AAATCATTTCAGCCGCGGCCTTGCGGGGGGAAGAGGAAAGAAGACCAGAGGGCGGGACTGCAACAGCGCAATCGAGTAGTGCAGCGACGTCCTTTCCGGTCCATTTTCCTGTAAACGATGTTGGTGCAACGGGATTGCTTCCGGGCATCGTAGTGCCAGTGACTGGCACGACGGGGATAACGGAGGACACAACAACCAGTGCTGACCCGCCCCCATTCCCACCACCAGGAATTTCTGCATCTTCAGGAGAACCACAAGAAAAGACCCCGCCCGATGAAATCATGACCCCCGACTTCGCCCCCCCACCACCACCCGCTCGCCAGCTCGCTCCTGACCCTTTGACCCTGGCAACCGGTAGTTCGAAAGAGCCGTCGCCGAGCAGCGTCGGGGGTGCGAGTGCGACAGATTCCACCGGCGGTCGCGCGCCAAGACACTCGACCTCCGCTGCAGCAAACGGCGGAAGCACAACTTTTCCCTTTGGTTTCGAGAGCGATAGAGTTGTCGATTCGCCACCTGCTGCGGAGCCGCCTACAGACGCACCTCAAGGAGTAGGCACAGCATCTTCTTCTGCGCCTTCAAATGCTGGCACCAACAACGACCCCGGATTTGTTTTTCCATCAAGTTTTTCAGCCACCGGAGCTGGTCCTCGTCGACCGCCGATAAATCCATCAGTTACCGCTCGTGCGCCGTTAAGAAGGCCTTCCAGCTCCTCTGCTGGGTCTTCCGCCGCCGCAGGAGGACAACAACGGCCGCAATCGTCTCTACTCCACGATCTGTTCGCCGAGGAGAAATATCACAAGGTCGGGCACTACATTGAACAGGTGGAAAAGCGGTTCAAGCGGGCGGAGCTGCCGGATATGCAGAGACTCGTCTCGATGTTTCTCGACCTGTATCTCGAATGTTTCGCGCGGAAGCAGCAGTGGGTTGCGTTTGAGAAGGAAAACCACAACATCATCGAGCACAAGATTCGGAAAAGTTACCAGATCTTTATGCGAAACGACGTGGAGTCGGCGGCGGAACTTGACCAGATTTACAGGTCTGAGTGGGACGAAGAAACCGGCGTGTTTGTCCATGAATTCAAGGACTCGCTGAAGTTATCGAGGATCGAAGAGAAGGACTCCAATCCAAATAGCCCGAGTGCATCCAAAAATTTGAGACAGGGTGCAGGAACTGGTGAAACAGCAGCTACCGAGCAGCCAGCAAGCCCGGCAGCAGCAGGATCAGGAGCAGCACAGCAGCACCATTCAAAACTCCATTTTGAAACCACAAATCCAGGTACGAGGTCATCGTCAAAAAACAGCGGCACGACTACCAACAGCGGAACCGGAAAACCTGGTGGTGGTAGCAGCAATGGAGAACAGCATCTTCCAGACAATTATCCTTTCGCGCACGACCAGCCGCCACAGTACACTTCGGAGGGGGCAACAACAGCTATGCTTTCCGAGGCCGCGACCAACACCGGCAAAAGCCACGCGCGGCGGAAGCACGAGTGGGTAAAATTGCAGCAGCTGCATCGCATGCAATTGCTGTACATGAGCCACAACCCGTTGGACGATTCGGTCCCAAACTATTTCAAAATGAAAGTGGACTACGAGAAAAAAGTCAGTAATTTGAACTATTTTCGGAAGAAAACTTTGCACCGCTTCCGACAGCAACTGGAGGCCCATGGCTGTACGATCATGGCAAGCGCGCGGGTGCAACGGTGTTTTTTCAGCCCCGTTGAAGTGGATATGCTGTTCTCACCGGAAAAAATGACGTACGACGAAGACTCGCAAAAGCAAATCTCGTTGAAAGACCGGAGGAAGAACACGCAGCCGCTGATTTGCACGAGAATTTTATGCTGGAACATCGAGCGGCCGGCTTACGATCAGGAATTGACCGATTTGCAAATCGAGAAATTTTTACCTGAGCACGCTAGATTGGAACAAGGGAAAAGAGATTTAGCTGACAGGATTTACGCCACTTCCACCTGGACGGCGTCGACAACCCCCTACCCCGGAGCGATGAACGAACAAAACTTCAATCGGTTCAAAGCAACCGGGAGGATCAAAGACCCGCAGATGTTTCACTTCAACATGGAGAAGAACCAGGGAGGGCGGTCGATGGCGGAGGGGCCGAATTATTTTTTCAATCACGAGGAGTACGAGGGCATGGAGATCAACCAGAACGGATATAACCGCTTGTCTGGGAATAATTTGCACCTTTCCCCGCCTTATCAAATGTAAAAATGTCTGGGTCTGGAAGAATGCAACTTGTCATGCTGTTTTTGGATTCTAAAAAAATTAGTGTTGCATGACCAGCAAGAAAGGTCCAGCTTGTGCTACGCGGAGGGGGCATTTCTCATGCGGAAGGCGCATCAGGGAGCCCTCCAAAAGTCTGTGATGCTAGGTCCTGCATTCCACGCTTCAGGGGTCATGAAAAAACTGCATGACAAATCGCGCATTCTTCCAGACCCAGACATTTTTACATTTGATACGCCCGAAATCGACGCGAGCGTGATGTGGATCCAGAAGGCGCGGAAGGAAATCCTGAAGGAGCGGGTATCAAATGCAAAAGTGTCTGGGTCTGGAAGACGAAGATTGCAGCTTGTCATGCTAAATCCGAATCATGCAAAAATCTCTGTTGCATGAGTGCCAAGCGCTGTCCACTTTCGATCAAGTTGGGAGGGAGTTTCTCATGCAGGAGAGGCATGACAGAGACCCCACAGACTCTGTCATGCTAGGTCCCGCATTCCAGACCTCATGGGTCATGGGAAACCTGCATTACAAGGTCCAACCTTCCAGAGCAAGACATATTTGCAATGCATAACGGGGTTTGGTGTACGACCATTGGCAGAATTTGATGAAGAGTTACAGCTATGAACTGCAAAAGCATCGTACTCGTACTAATTGCAAACATGCATGACAAATCTTCTTCCTAAGGTAAATTAGCATTGCAAATTCCATTTCTAATGCTGAGGGAATTTGTGATGCTATTCATACTAGTACGTTACTTTTGCAGTTCATAACAGCAAGCGGTTCGACGCGAACACCTCGGACCAGGACAAAAAAGATGCGGAGAAGCGGAAGAAAAAAGACTATTGGCAGCTGTACGAGACAGAGCGGGCGTCGTCCACTGCTTCGCCGGGGGTTGGTGGTGTTGGAGGACTTGTTCCACCCGCCGGTGGCCCAACAACAGTACACGGAACTGCTACCGGTGGGGTTGTTGCTCCTGCGAGTACAACTCGTGCCCAGCACCGCCGGTTGATGGCCGGTACGAATCAAAATCTTCTGCCTGACCAGCAAGCTAGTACATCTTCTGGCACCAAAGCAAGCACTCGACGCAAGCCCCTAGTCGTACCCCGCAACCCAGGATATTACCAACCGCCCCCGCAACTCGGAAATATCGTGCTGTCCTACCGGCCGAAGGACGTGCTGCACACGTGGGCGCACGCTAGTGAGCCGCGAAAGGATTTTGAGTGGAAGACCGCGGTGGTGGATTCCTGTGGGAAATTAGGCTTAACCTGGCTCCCCCACACATCCATGTTTTCCTTCCAGCAACTGCAAGTGGAGCGGCCGGCGCTGGTTATGCATTGCAAATATGTCGGGGTCTGGAAGGTGGTAACTTGTGATGCTGTCTTTGGATTCCAAAAAAAATCTGTATTGCATGACTAGCAAGAGCACTCCAGTTTGTGCTACGCAGAGAGGGCATTTGTCATGCGGAATAAGAATCAGGAAGCCCTCTAAAAATCTGTGATGCTAGGGCATGCATTACAGGCGTCATGGGTTATACAAAATACGCATGACAAGCCTGGCAATCTTCCAGACCCAGACATATTTGCAGTTCATACTGGTTGCGCGGAATCAAATCGTCACGCCGGAGTCTATCGCGAGTGAAAGGCTAAGGGTGGTTTTGTTCTTACGGTTCACGTGCGATGAGGAATCTTTCCGGGAGGAGTGGCCCTTACGGATCTTTCCCATCGACAAAACGGTCCCGAAAACACGCCCCGAGTCCCCTGAGCAAACCGCGCGGAGGGCAGCGAGGGAGCGGACGGCCAATCAGGAGCGAAGTGTGGAGCAGCAGGCGCAGAGCACGACGCACAGTACTTTCCAAGGCATGACAGACAAGGAAATTTTTGAGAGTATCAGTCAGGGTCAGGGTCGTGCACCTTCTCAGGGCGGACTTTTCGGAGGTGGCGGTGAAGGAGGTTCTTTTGCGGCTGCGACTGCACAACCGCCGCGCCGGAGTCTCACCCAGCAAACTGCTCCGGCCGCTGGTACTGCTGGTGCAGGAGTTCCCCTTCCCCCGGACAGTAGAACGCAAACCACCAACAGCGAGCAAGCTCTTCCGGTCGTTATCCCGTCGTTGGGACCGCGGCAGCACCTGAGTAGCATGCTCGACATGCCGGTGGAGGACCAAATTTCGCTGTTTGGTAAATCTGCGGAGAACATGGTGGCGCTGGATTTGCTGCATCTGGAAAGCGACCACATGAACCCGTGGGCTTACCTATCATTTGTAAAAACGTCCCCACACCAGAGTCAAGATGGGAAATCTGCTAGACAAATCACCCAGCTTTGGTCGTTTGGCATGACAAGGTTCTCCTCGTAGTGTCATCCTGTTTAGGTAGTTCAGCAGCATCACATATCCAGTATATCATGCGGATTGTAGCGTCACAAATTCCAAAGCACGACTATAAAATGCCTCTCATGGCGCTCCGCATGACAAACTTTTTTGGCATGCAGATTTGCATGACAACTCTGGTGTGGGGACGTTTTTACTCAGGATATTACCCGAGCAAAGCGGCGCCCATCCCGCACAGCCGGGCGGTTTTGGAAGACCCGAGGAAAAAGAAAGCAACACAGCCTAGTACAACCGGCGCTAGTCCCCCGGGTGTTGACCACACTGGCGCACCAGCAGGAGCTAGCGAAAATTCTGTTCCGATGAAAGAGCGGGGCATGGAGGGCGCATCGTACCAGTCGATGGCTGGACTGCATTCCATCCGGTGTTCGGTGGAGTGGCGGATGGGGAATGCGTTGCGGTTTTTCACCTTCAACGAAAGGGAGGAAAGAACCAGTCTGACCCACCTCGCGATTTACCGCGACAGCGAAATCGTGGACATACCGAACAGTTGGGACAAAAAGATCCCCTCTTGCGACAGCTTCACTGTAGCGGAAAGACAGAAAAACCCGTCGTTTCAGAAGATCTACGAAGACGCCGTGTATGGTAACTGCAAGACCACGAGCCGGGAAAAATTAGACAAGAGAAGAAGGGAGCAGGACAAGGAAAGTAGACAAGCGTCACCAGCAAGTGACCTTGGGAGGAAAAAGTTAGAGAATGTGGGAGAAGGTGTGGGTTTTTCATCACGAGGACCTGCAGCTGGAAGTTCTTCCGCGCCCCCGGGAAAGAACAGTAGTGGAGTTCTTCCGTTCAATGCGCCTGAACTAGTGCGGGACTCCTCAACGTCAACCGCAGAAACCGAAGCAGAGCGGGCTTCCTTGGGCTCTTCGCATCTGGGCTCGCAGGACTCGAATCTCGACAGCCCAAAAATCGGCGCGAACAGGACGATGCCAACGAACACTAAGACAGATGCTTCGGCACATAGTACTATCAAGAAGGGAAAGAAAAAAACTTCCAAGAAACTTACGAAAAACCAGCGGAAAAAGGAAGCTGCCGCCGCGACGCTGTTCGTGTGCGGGATCCAAATCGGCCAGGGCACGGTGGAAGATAGCACCTTTATCGACGGAAAATACGTAGACACGGATGAGGAAGGCTATCAAAATGATCCTGCAAAAGAGCCGAAATCCTCGATCAGTTTCACCACCTCTCGCGCCGCGTCGGTGGGAACGGCAAGTACTAGTGCGATGCCCACGCCCCCGGCGCGGAGTAGGACGAAGGAGCTTGCTGGGGGGCCTAAAAGAAATCTTGCGCCGGGGGCTGCTGCGGGGGATATTGGCGGTGGTGGTGGAATTGGAGGTGGTAACAATGCTTACATGGTAGATGGACACATTGTGCGCGGAGGAACTGCTGGAACAACCAGGCTTCGCACACCGCCACCGGAACTGGACAATTTGGAGCCCGATTTCGACCGAAGCGACGCAGGCTTCGCGGACCGTCGCAATACTAAGACACCGAGTACAACTAAAGACCGAGCGCAGCCGACACCGAAGTCGAGAACAGCGAGGGCGCGGGCAGAGCAGCAACTGCATAGCAGGACAAAAGACGAAGGTGGGATGAGCAAAATAAATCACCCGCAACAAGAAGGACATCTTCCGCCCCGACCAAAACCCAGTCCCACTGCGATGCTTCCGAGAGCGGCTCTGCAGCACGGCACGCCGAAACATAGTACTGCTGGTGCTCCGAAGCCCAAGCCCAAACCTCCGGTAGAGCCCGAGCCGGACGATTTCTTCCGCAATATGGACATTTTCAAGGGGGGAAAACCCGGCCGCGGCCAGTGGATCACGTCTGCGGTGAAATCCTTTTTATCCTGTGCAAAAATATCGCACTCGTATTGCAGTCATGCATTACAAATGTTTTCCTAAAGGTAAATTCGCATTACAAATTTCTTTTCTCATGCTGAGAAAATTTGTAATGCATTTATACGAGTGCGATACTTTTGCAATTCATACTTTTGCGACGGCTACGACAAACCGCTGAAGCTTTTTCAGCAAGCGGGACAACAAGTGTTAGCAAATTTGAAACTTCTGAAGCGCGGGGATTCTGCGGGGAGCGGCGCCGCGGGTTTTGGAGCAGCGAAGCGGAACCTCTCCCCATCCCACGAGGGGCAGGAGCCGATCCGATCCAGGATAGATTCCGCGGGGAATTTGATCCAACCCCCACAGACGCCGCAACCAACGTCGAACACCAACGGGAATGGGTGCTTTCTCTTCGCGCCGCAGTCACAAGATCACGCGGTTGCGAGACAGGACCTGCGGGAGGAATCGGAAAGGGATTTTCAGATTTTTGCCCACCTGAAGAAAGTCGCGAATTTGAAGTATTTCTACCGGTTTTACGTACAGAGCCGGCTAATGGAAAACAAGACGTCGCTCATGGCGGATCACGTCGAGAGCGCGGCCGTGCAATTCGAGGAGGAGAGGCAGAGTAGTAGGAACGGATCGAGTGAAGGCGCGCCGTCCCCAGGAGTGCAGCCCCCAGGTACTAGTAGTGCGGGGCAGGAACAAGGTCATCATGGGGAACATACTGCTTTCGGTGGAGTAGAGACTGCTGCTGGTACTCCAGCACCTGTTGCAGCCACGCCGAAGGCGGGTGCAACAGCAACTGCACCAGCCGGTCATAGTACGAGTCAGCCCCCGTCCGAACCGAAGAGAGCAACTCCAGGTGGTGCTGGGTCGTCTTCACCTTTGTTCACCGGGCGTGTGAGCGCCATATTGGCGAAACATCGGAGCCCTGTGGTGCAGTACGACAGTCATTACCATGAGCGCAGCTCGCGTTCGCGCACACCCGAAGGAGGACCTGACGAGGCGTCTACCTCCTCGTCCTCGCAAGGACATCAAGAAGTGGGAACAACGGCGACAGAAGGGTCGTCGTCGTCTTCCTCCGCCTTGGCTGCCACTCCTGGTTTGACTCGTGGTCCCGGAGGTGCCGCTGGTGGTCCCGGAGGTACAGCAACGACCAGCGGACTACCAACACAAATTCCTGCTGCACTAGCTGCGGTAACTGGAAAACAGCTATCTACAGAACAAGTTCCTCGACCGAAAGCGAACAGAAGAAGGCCCGGGGCATTGAACGACGACAACGATGATTTGACGCCCATGGGCCTCGCTCCGGTCCCGGACTTTGGGTCGAATTTCCGACCGGCGTCCGAATCCCGCGGTGCGGAGCAGAATTTCCTCGACAAGCGCGACGGCTATCTGCGGGGTGAAAACTACAAAGGGAACAAAGCAAATCCAGGTTCCCCGGTCGTGGGGAAGAACAAAAGTACGTCTAAACGGGACGACGGCGACCCTTTTTCCACAAATAACGGGGAGATCGACGTGAATGCCATCACTGAGCGGGAGAAGTTTGAGGAAATTTTTTCGGATATCAAATGTAAAAATGTCTGGGTCTGGAAACTTGTAATGCTGAGTTGTGAATAGTGAATGGTCCGTACTAATGCATAGCCAAGCATGAGAAATATTTCCGGGGCTTAGTGTTGCGTTTTCCGCATGACAAACTGCGTTTTTGCATGACAAGCAAAAGGGTCTCTTCCTGGACACGCATCACAGACTTTTCAGTCATGCCAGACAAGCATGACAAACCTTGCACCCTTCCAGACCCAGACATTTTTACATTTGATATCGGAAGACGACATGCGGTGCATGATGCCGAAACTCCAGACGCCGACGTATAAGCAACTGAAGAGACAGCAAAGAAACAGCTTCGCAGGCCAGAGAAACTCGTGGGGAAACAACAATCGCCTCTCCAATCACGGCGCTGCCCCCCGGGACTCTTCGGACAATCTACTGAACCGCAGCAACCAAAACATCCAGGTTTCCGCCTCCGGGGAGCGCTTCAGTTTCGGCACGCCGGGGGGCAATTTCTTGCAGCAAAATCCCGACGGGAGCATTGACCTCGAGTCCGCGCCAGATTCCGGGGACGAGTCACTATGAACTGCAAAGATGTCTGGGTCTGGAAGAATGCCAGACTTGTCATGCAGGTTTTCCATGACCCATGAGGTCTGGTATGTAGGACATAGCATGACAGATTCTGTGAGAGTTCAATCATCCATGCCTACCCTGCATGAGAAACTGCCTCTCGATTAGGTCAACAGTGGACAGCTTTTGGCTATCATGCAACACAGATTTTTACATGATTCAGATTCAGCATGACAGGTTGCTTTGTTCCAGACCCAGACATTTTTGCATTTGATAGTCACCCAGTCCGTTCAATTTCCAATCCGCGTGGGGTCTGGGGTTCGGCTGCAACTCGCCGAAGCTGCCGCATTTACCCACCGCGGAGGAGAACGCGCGGAAGAAGGAGCGGGCGAATTTCCAGGAAAAGTGGCGGTATTACCTGCAAAACTTCTTGAACTCCGTATCCAGTGTACAAACGTGCCCACCCCAGAGTTGTCATGCAATTCCGTATGCCAAAAAAGTTTCTTATGCGGAGCCCCATGAGAAGCATTTTCTATTCGTATTTGGGACCGTGTGATGCTAGGATCAGCATGATATGCTAGATCTGTGATGCTTCTGAGCTAGCTAAACAGGATCACACTACGAGGACAAACTTGTCATGCCAAACAACCAAAGCTGTGCGATTTGTATAGCAGACTTTCCATGTTGACTCTGGTGTGGGGACGTTTTTTCTCAGGATACTCCGAGTACAACGGGGACGAGTTCGAGGATGAAAGTATCAACGGAGACAACGACTCAGAAATTGACAGCAGCAGCGACTTCGCCTACGCGCATATCAAGTGTAAAAATGTCTGGGTCTGGAAGATTCATGCTGTTTTTGCATGACACAGAAGGTCTGGCATGGAAGCGCTAGCATCACAGGTTTCGAGAAGCTTCCGCAATGCCGAACCGGCATGAAAAGTCCCCCATTTTGGCGACAGAATTGGGCAGCTTTTGCTACCGATGCATGAGAGATTTTTCTGTGTTCGAAAATGCGCATCACAGGTTCGGATCCTTCCAGACCCAGACATTTTTACATTTGATAGCACACATCCAAGTCCCAAGTACGGAGACCTACCGCGTGTCTGGTGATGTTCGTGGGAACAGTAGTGCTGCTGCGGGTACTAGAACCTCTGCCACTGGTGCTCGTCCTCGCCATGAAAATCCTGAAAATCTAGCCGGGAACGACCAGCTACAACTCAGTTCGGTCCTGGCGCAAAATGCTGCAGCTGGCGGCGCTTTTAACAACGACCCCGGTTCTGACTTCGAAAGAGATGTTGGCATAGTTCGTGGCAGCGGGCAGCTTCCCGGAACAAGCCCATCAGGTCGTTCATCAGGAGACTTCGCGGGCTCCTCGTCCGTGCTGTCGGGTCCGGGACTGCTTTCCAGTAATTTCACAGCTGATCTTCATGATGAACATTCGGATTCGAATCTCGGATCATCTTCCGCGCCCTTCACGCCTCCGAATCTACCCCCCTGGTCTAGTCCAAACTCCTCCCCCCCTGCTTCTCCGCTGGGTGAAGGTGGTGGTGCAACAATGAACCCCGCGGGAAGATCTTCGTTGTTAGGAGCTGCACACCAACTACCAAAGCCCTTTTTCGCAGGAGTACCACTTTCATCAACATCGCCACAACGTTTCAGTAATGTCCCCGGAGTTGTGTTGCCCCCGTTAGAACCCCCACCGGGCTTCAAGATGGCGGACCCGAACACGTTTATGCGGAAATCGACGCCGGGGGGAGATTCGATCATCTCCAATGCGGGATCCGATATTGATCAGGACAGTGCGTTCTTTCGCTCCACGACGGGGGAGCAAGACAAGGCTATTAACAATAATTTTCCGTCCAACGGGCTGCATGGACCAGCAACACCAGCAAGTCCTCGGGACAACAAGCAAAAGGTCACTGTGATGAAGACGGTGAAAGTGAAGAAAACGTGGCAAAAAATCATCGTGGACGCCCTGAAAACCACCGGAGGTAACGAATTTCAGTTTATCCGCGACGGGGCCACTGGGGAGGCGAATTTCGCCGGTGCTGCTGCCGCTGCTGGCGATCATGGGGGGACTTCTTTTCATACTGGCGGAAGCGCAACACCAGCTACAGTCACTCCCGACGGGACGCCGGTGCAACCAAACCCCGGAGCGTTGTTCTACGAAAAAGATCGGCAACAGTTACAGCAGAGACCAGCGTCGGACCCTCTCTGGTGGCGGCACGTGAAGGTGGAGTATAAAATGCCCGTGTCCCTCCTCAACGACCCGTTACTTACCTTCTCGAAGCTACAAAAGCTCTTCCTGAAGATCAACAACCGGGTGTTCTCTATCGAGGGACACACGGACCACTCCCGCGCACCGTACGACGCGATCAGTATGGACTTCGGGTTTAAGGACTTGTTGATTGGTATCAAATGCAAGTATGTCTGGGTCTGGAAGAAAGCAGGAGTTTGTCATGCATCTTTTGGATCACGGAGATGCTCTGGAATGCCCGCAAAAGCATTACGAGCTTTGTCCAGGTCTCGTAATGGTTGTCTCGCACGAGAAGCTAAATGCTTGGGTGCGGCAAAAATGGACAACTTTTGGTGCTGACGCAACACAAACTTTTCTCTGATCGAGAGTTTGCATGACAAGTTCCAATATCTCCAGACCCAGACATATTTGCACTGGATAATTGGCTTATCCGTCAGCGAAAAGGAGCTGGAAACGCTCTTCACCGAGGACGGGCGGGCGGCGAGGAAAAGACGGAAGAAACGACGAGAACGGGGGAAGGAGACGGAACCGCGTGGGGATGGTACTAGTAAGCGCGGTAATCCACAAGAAACTGAAATGAACAACCACGATGACCCTGCGACCGATGATCGCACGAGTACGTCGAAGACAACGAGCAAAAACAAACACGGCGAACAAGGTCATCTTGCGTCAAATCTACGACACATTTCCAGAACCTCCGACGACATTTTGGACGTGAAGCTGGTGTATCACAACATTATTGAAAAACTGCGGAAGGCGGCCACAGAAGACTCGGTCCGGCTAGAAGTGGACCCGAAGCGACCGGTCAGGAAAGTTGCGACCAATAAGAACGTGGCGCGGCCGGATCAAGGGTTAAAGCCGGACTGGTTTTTCGATTTTGAGGAACAGGAGCGGGAAGCGGCGCTGACAAGGAAGCACGCGGTCGAGAACATTGTCCGGAAAAGCGAATTGCTGGAGAGGGAAAATCATGTTAACTCTGGAGGTCGTGGTGGTGGTAGAAATAATTCCGGCACTACTTCTTCTTCTCCCTCTTCTCGCTCTGAGCACGGACAATTGGGGAGTAAAACGGCGATGGATAAAAATGTCAGGTCTACTGCAACAGGTTCGACCCCCGTTGATCTTCATGGGGGTACAATAGGAGGTGGTGGCTCCAACGTGCAATCTTTTTCCGAAGGTGGAAATCCAGATGAAGCAGCAGGCGAGAAAAAACAGGCGGACGACAAAAACAACTACAATATCAAAAACTACAACCACGCCCAAATAATCCTCGAGGAGGACCGCGCCCGGCAGGAAGAAGAAAGAAACAAACAGAAAGAGATCTACCACCGCAAACGGAACCGCATGAAGGAGACCGAAGCGGCGCATTTGTCCCTGCAGCGACTCATGGGCCAGCCGGAGTACCACTACGGCAAGGACGGGATGATCCGGTACTTCCGGTCAAAAAACGAAAACCGGTTTTTTTGCCGGGTTTGCGCGATTTTTGCGCAGGAAGTTTACAAATTTGTCGATTTCACCACCCGGGAAGTGTTTGTCGGCATCACGACGTTCGACACCTTGCTGTTTTTTTTCATCCTCTTTGTCATCATTGCGCTGCAGATTTTGGATCGGTTCGAGCGGCCAAGTGAAAAGGATTTGAAAATCGCTTTTGAGGAGGACAGGTTCGCAAAAAAGAAGAAAAGGAGATCAAGGATGAAATTATTGTTTTTCGATACAACTGCTAGTACAGCAGGAGGTCGTGCTACTTCGAAAAGCGGATTCAGTAGGGATTCAACAGGTGAACAACATCAAAAGGTGGAGGTCCCCACGTCTATCACAAACCGGGATTTCGAAAGATTTCTCGCGAAAAAGTGGCGGCACGGGCAGAAATTGAAGGATAAAGGAAGACTGGGAAGCAGGTACGACCCGGAAAAAATGCGGATGTCGCTATCGCGAGAAAAAAGTGTTACAGTTACACATTGTGTTGCAGGCCAAGCAAGACAGACAAGCTCTGTCATGCCGGATATGCATAGCAGCCTCGTTTCATAGGTGTTTTCCCGTAGGATTTCTGCATTGCAAGTTTTCTTTCTCATGCAGATAAATTTGTGTTGCTGAATTGACAACAAATGTGTAACTGTAACACTTTTTTCTTTGCATAGTCGCTGGTTGAAGAAGAGTACCGGAGAGAAATTCAGGCCAAAGTTTCACCCGCCTGTTGCGTGGACCAGATCCGGGCGGGACGGTGTTTGGAGTAGGAAGTGTGGGACAGTAGACGGTGCAGCTCATTGTGAGCAGCCAGGTGCCTCTTAGAAGGCATTGTTTGTTTGAAGATGAAGCAGAAGTTCGACAATTACTTAAGTAAGTAGGTACTATGGTACTCGTACTATTTTAGACAAGATTACAACGTCAAGTTACCGACAACAATATTTAAGACTCAATGAACAATCAACGAAACACGAATTCAGGACGACAGATCCAGGTAGTCGTAATCGTTTCGTGCCTGAATGCAACGCAGTTTTTCCTCTCAGTTTTACGCGAAATAGACACACATGGACAAGATATCAGTCTTCCAGTAGGCTGCACCGGTCTGGCTGGTATTGAAGGAGACGCGGAGCAGTTTTCCACTTTTTTCTTGTTCAAGACCCGTCTGTCTCTGTCTCTGAGAGCAGGACGAACTTGTTGAGCCAAGATTTGTTGATTTTGCGTAAAAACGGGCTCTGGTGCGCCCTTCTTCTTTCTGAGACAGAGGGATGAGCAGCAAGCTTGGTTGATATGTAGTGAGGTCACCGAACGGCTCTAATACTATTCTGGGCGGCAGTAGTCAGACGAGCCCTTGAGTGGTTTTGATGGATCACGAAACGGAGAGGAACCGTGACAGAGCGATATGCAATGTGAAGTCATGTCCTACTGTTGAGTCTGAAAAATCACAAAAAAAGTGCCGACCTCTTCTACTTCTAGGTGTCCGACCACTTACAGTTGTTGTGATTTTACAAAAAGGAGAATGACGTCATTCGATAAAACTTAAATCTATCAAGAGCCGAGATTAGAATACAAGATGCATCGGCCGCGGCGGAGAAAAGAAAAAGACCGCGGCGGCGGTTTGTCATGCCGCACAGCACGACGACCCTCGTACAACTCTACAGCGGCAAGCGGCGGTACTAGAATTTTCAACCCCCGAAAGACGAATCAACCTTTAACCACGCTCGCCTGTGTCGCAGTCACTTTTGTGTCTGCCGCGGTGCTGAATCTCGATGGACAGGACCATGAACAGCTGACAACTGGGCACAACGCCCCGCCCATGATGCAGCAAATAACCGGCGACATGCACGCGTACACGCCAAGCGAGATCTCAGAGGGGATCTCCGGGGATGTACCCGAAGACGAACGGCCGGGCGCGTTTAAGAAGAAGGAAAACCTTATGGATTGCAAAAATGTCTGGGTCTGGAAGATTGCAAGTTGTCATGCTAAATCCGAATAATGCGAAAATCTGTGTTGCATGAGGGCCAAATGCTGTTCACTTTCGACCAAGTTGGGAGGGAGTTTCTCATGCAGGATAGGCATAGCAGAGACCTCACAGACTCTGTCATGCTAGGTCCCGCATTCCAGACCTCATGGGTCATGGAAAACCTGCATGACAGGTTTAACACTCTTCCAGACCCAGACATTTTTACAGTTGATAAACCTGACCCCGGAGCAGTTGGTGAAGAAAGATTTGGACATGATCCGGAAGAAACAGGCGGAGAAGAGGAAAACGACATTTGCAAAGAAGGAAGAGTATGCGCCGGGTGGAAAATAATCGTATAAAGCCGTGCGAATTGCAATGTTGCATATTGAGACAAGAAAACTATCTGCACTGTGGTCGGTCGCTTGTATTCCAATTTGCGATTTTGAAAAACTTTGTACTATTGCAATTCATGCGCCAGACTTTGCGATTCTACGTTTGCTGTGCATACAGAAGACATAAAGACCATGATCCGGAAGAAAAACGAGGCCTCAAAAAGGGAAGCGGAGCGGGAGATCGAGCAGATTAAGATGCAGCAGAGAAAGCACATGAAAATCGGTTTGGACGAAGAAGTCGAGGAGAATAAAGATGAAAACCAGAAAGAGGCGATCCAGCACAACTACAAGAACGACGAGGTGGAGAAGGAGAAGGAATTTTTGGAGAAGAAAATGCAGGAAAACATCCACGGAAAAAACTCCCTGCAGTCAAAATTCCTCAAGGTCGACCTCACCACGGACGGATCGGACGCTGCGGAACCAGCCCTGGCGACGAAGAGAACTTCTGATGCTGACGTCGCATCTAGCAGTAGTACTTCCTCGCAGGACGAGGGGGCATCTTCGAAGGTGAAAACCGCGAAGACACTGACGTTTTCCACAAGCAGTAGTACAACCTCGGGAGATGAAGACGACGGTACGACGGCAGAGGAAAACGCAGCTAGTACAGGAGCAACGGCAGGCCAGACTAACGCTCCTAACGGTGCAGCACCTGCCACGTCTATTCCGAATGAGAGTAGCAATACTGCAACCGGTAGTACCGGCGCTTCTTCTACTGCGCAGCAGCAGCAGTCAACGTCTCCTTCAACTCCCGCGAGCAACAGTAACGCAGTTGTTCACGATGGAAAGTGGCACGGGAGTGCGGCCGACGGAAAAAATGAAGACCAGTCGGCTGTCGGGACCGATTATCAAATGCAAAAATGTCTGGGTCTGGACGAATGCAAGATTTGTCATGCATATTTCTCATGACCCACGATGCCTTTAATGCATGACCTAGCATCGCAGACTTGTAGAGGGCTTCGTGGTGCACCTTCTGCATGAGAAATGCCCTGTCCGGGTAGCATAAGCTGTGCCCCTCTTGTTGCTGGTCATGCACTACAAATTTTTTTAGAGTCCAAAAGCAGCATGATAAGTTGCAATCTTCCAGACCCAGACACTTTTTGAGTTGATACCGGTCCAGGCGATGAGGGGAAAACAGCGGATGAATCCAGCTCCTCCACCGCGAGCACCGCTGTTCCGGTTGGACAGCAGGAGCCCGACAGCAGCACGACCATCATCGTGAATTCAAACTTCGATCAGGCGACGAGTGCCAGCCCCGGTAGCAGTGCCTCGGCCGCGACAAGCGCCAGCCCGGATGCTGCAGCGAGTAGCGTCAGTCCCGGTGGTGCGAATGCAGCAGCGAGCAGCATCAGTCCCGGTGTGAATGCAGCGGCTACTAGTGTCAGTCCCGGTGGTGTGAATGCAGCAGCGAGTAGCGTCAGTCCTGGTGCGAGTGCAGCAGCGAGTAGCGTCAGTCCTGGTGCGAGTGCAGCAGCGAGTAGCGTCAGTCCTGGTGCGAGTGCAGCAGCGAGTAGCGTCAGTCCGAGTAACTCAGCAGCGACCAGTATCAGCCCCGGTAGTGCTGCGGCTACGAGCGCCGCTCCGGATGCAGCTGCTAGTACTGTCAGTCCGAGTTCTGCGGTAACCAGTGCCAGTCCTTCAGCATATCCTATGTAAAAACGTACCCACACCAAAGTCAGGATGGGGATTTTGCAACACAAACCTAGGAGTTTTGTAAGTCACGCATGACAAGTTGCGCTCTGCAGTGTAGTGCAGGTTAGCAAGTGCAGCCGCATCACAGATTCATCTGCTCATCCTGTTCACAGCATCACAAATTCCAAAACACGATTGGAAATGGCTCTCATGGGGATGCGCATCACAAGTCTTCCTGTCTTTGCAAATCTCCATTACAACTCTGGCGTGGGTACGTTTTTACTCAGGATACAGCAGCGAGCACCGTCAGCCCCGGTGTCGCCGCTTCCACAAGCGACAGCACCGCTTCCCCCAGCGCGAAGGTAGAAGAAAATTCTTCTAGCAGTGACACGGACCAAGACAAAAAAGACGAACAACACGCCCCGGAAAAAGAAGAAGAAGAAGAAGTGCCGCAGACCATAGGCCCCAATGGGGTCGCCACCCCCGGAACCGTTTCGGCGCTAGCGAAGAGGAAAAAAGCGGAGCAGGAACTGGAGGCGAAAAAGGCGGAATTAGCAGCGGCGAAGAAACTTCAAAAATCCACTATTACAACTTCCGAACAGGTAGAGAAAAACTCTCTTTCCTTCAAAATCGAAGGCAATCACGACGCGGATGAAAAGGGAAGTACTAAGGATTTGTTTTTCTCGGTCAAAACCGCGAAATCTTCGGAAAGCAAGGAGGTGACGTCTGGCAAGAAAACAGCTAAAATGTCATTAGTGGAGAAAACGAGGAGACAATTGAAAGAACAACCGAACGATTCCGGTGTAGCGGGCACGCTGAGCGAAATGCTGCGGGAGAACTACAACGGGTTGAAGAAAATGTTGGGCCTGGCGGGAAGCAATAGTAAGAGCAAGAGCATTCCCGAAGGTTCACCGAAAACCGGTACGGTGACGACCACAGCGTCCCCACCGTCGAACGGGACGCAGATCCAGCAGACGCTGAACGGGATATCACAGTGAAAAATGCCCCCACCCTCAAATTTGCAAAAATTTGCGATGCGAAGTTTCCAAATGAAAACTTTTTGTCATGCATGCAAGGGGTACGAATCTCTCTGATGCAGAGTCTAGGCGGGTATCGCATGATCGCTTGCATGACAAGCGCCGCTTTTGCTGGGATCTTTTGCAATGCAAATTTTTGCTATTCGCGATTAGAAATCTGTGATGCTGATAGATGCAAGAGGGCGAATGTTTCATTTGGAAAGGTTTGCAATACAAAGGCTCCCAAGTTCGGGGGTGGGGGCATTTTTCATTGTAATACGGAACTAACGGAAACGTAACCGCGCCGCCGTGTTGCCAGCAGACCCCTTGTACGCATTGCAAATATAATTGATCTGTGGTCCCTGGATAATTTGTGATTGTGACGCGATAATTTGAAGATGAAGAAGAGCAAGACTTGGGAAGATCCACGAATAGGAGTGGCGAGTTCTCTTGATGATTTGCTGCGAATTTTTAACTCAGTTTGTCATGCGTCTTGCGAATGACTCTACTGCAATATGAGCCTCCCAAAATTTTTTCTGATACTGTTGCGCCAGACGAGCAGCTACTCTGCGATCATGCGAGCTTCACCAACAGAAATCTCCAAACGTCAAGGCGATTCGATCGTATTTGTAAAATGCATACCTTGCAACCACAATTGCACCGACCAAGAGCGTCTACTGGGGGTCCTGAAAAATTGCACGTGCCCAGCCACCACGGCAACGCCACCGCCGGCCACGGAGGGCACCACCCAACCCCCCGTTCCTTCGCCCTCGCATAACACCGCGCCCGGAGGGTTTGTGCAAATAGATGAGATACCAGCACCCATGCCATCGTATGCTTTGGAATAACAACTGGTAGGAATGAATTTTTCACCGTGGTAGTTCTGTCGTGTAAGTTGGCTATCAAACAGTTCCATGCTGATAAATTATCAGCATGAAAATGTTCGAAGATATGGCTGCATCCTCGAAGAAGTAGGTTACTCGACCATCGAAGACAGTACAACTCCTATCGGCTTGTTTTCCAATGCATACCGCGGCAGCGGGAGCTGTCCCCCTAAACCCGATGAACTCCGTGGATGAGCCGTACGACCACCAAAACGATGAGGTATTTTGATATTTCGTTAAGTGCTGATGTGCATGATCTTCGCTAAGCGTAAATGTGAACGTGGAGGTGTAAATGAGAAATGGAAAAAATCAAACCAGGACGACGATGATGTTTTGGACCATGAAAAGCCAAGACCTACTAGCGAGGAAAACAAAGACATCAAAGCCAGCCCCAGTACATCGACTGGCACGTCGTTCCTTCAAGCGGACGACAACAAGCATGCGGACGAATCATTTATTTCCGTCGAGGATAAAAAAGGTTCGAAAGATGAGTGGCACGTCGTTGACAAGGAGAAACTAAGCGGCGGAGTAGCAGCGTCCAGTAAGAACGATCATGCAAAGAAGGAAGAGGAGACAACAGGAACGGCACAACTCGCACGGAAAAAATCCACGATGACCACGTCGCACCAGTCAAGAACAGATGCTGCAACCACCAGTACTCTGCACGGAAAGAGCAAAACAGGTAAGTCGGAAGTAGTAGAGAAATCAGCACATGATGACCAAAAGGAGGACAAAACAAACCTCCACGAAGATCACAAGCCGCGGACGCCCGAGGAAGAGCAGAAACACAAGGAGTGGGAGATCCGAATCAAGATGTTGGATCAGGTTGCGAAAGACCACACGGAAAAAATGAAAAAGGAGGAGGCCGCAATGGAGGACAAAGCGATGAAAGAGGTTGCGTCGAAATACGCATTGGAGATTCACTATGCACGACTCGTAGAAGATGAAAAACCTTGCCAACTCATCTCTTGAAATAAAACCGAAAGCTGTAATGCAGAATCAATGAGATTCAAGATCAAGGGTAGAGGGTCTTGGTGTTATGCAAGTTCTTCAGTTGAGACACTGGCTCTTCATCTCCGTGTGCGGTGAACAATTTCCTCTGTCGATACGAAACATCCGGAAAAAGCTGCGCAGATGACTCGGCACCGATACCTGGGGAATCCGGATTTTATGAAGCTAAGCGACGTCGTCGGGGCGAAGACGATGAACAAACTGCAGAAAGAGGACGAAAATTTATCTACTGCAACTTCTCCAGCAACCGAAGGAGAAAAAAATGTCGCACAGGATCAAGGTGAGCAAGTAACTCCGACAGTAACGACGGTTCAGGACGAAAAAAGCGAAACAGCGCCGGCGGAGCAGGCGGAGAAGGCAGGTGAGGAAAGAACGGACGCAGAAACAAGCACGAGCGGCGACGACAAGGATCACACCAGTGAAGGAGGAAAGAAGGAAAGCGTAGATACTCTTGGGTTATCTGAGTCTGAGGACGGTAAAACGAACAAGAAGGAGTGGAAAAAAAGCATTGAGGAGGTATAGTTCAATTTTCTTCATCAAAGCATCTTTTGCAATCTTTTTCTGCGAAACCGCACGGGAGACTGGGGACGAGGGGGACCGAGGTTGACCGAGGGCGAGCGACTTTTTTCTGTGTTGTTGGCCATCGAAAGAGACCTACAGCGCTCGGGGTTGCGGAATTTTGAGTGAAAAGCGACTTTTTGTGGTTGCTTGAGCGCCGTTTTCGCTCAGAAACCAGACTCAGGTCGTGTTTTGCGGCTGGTGGGAGGAAAAAAAGTCGCTTGACCTCGGTCAGCCTTCGGTCCCCCTCGAGCGTTCTTGCGATCGCCAGCCCCGACGGCATGCTTGATCTAAGCCCTTTGCCTTGATGCTTTTTTCAGGTTTTTGTGGGAAAGCATGTTTTGCAATCTTTTTCTGCGAAACCGCACGGGAGATGACTGGGGACGAGGGGGACCGAGGTTGACCGAGGGCGAGCGACTTTTTTCTGTGTTGTTGGCCATCGAAAGAGACCTAATGCGCTCGGGGTTGCGGAATTTTGAGTGAAAAGCGACTTTTTTTGGTTGCTTGATTGCCGTTTTCGCTCAGAAACCAGACTCAGGTCGTGTTTTGCGGCTGGTGGGAGGAAAAAAAGTCGCTCGACCTCGGTCCCCCCTCGGTCCCCCTCGGGCATACTTGCGATCGCCAGCCTCGACGGCATGCTTGATTTGAGCCCTTCGCCCTGTCGCTTTTTTGAGGTTTTTGTGGGAACGCATCTTTTGCAATCTTTTTCTGCGAAACCGCACGGGAGACTGCGGACGAGGGGGACCGAGGTTGACCGAGGGCGAGCGACTTTTTTCTGTGTTGTTGGCCATCGAAAGAGACCTAATGCGCTCGGGGTTGCGGAGTTTTGAGTGAAAAGCGACTTTTTTTGGTTGCTTGGGCGCCGTTTTCGCTCACAAACCAGACTCAGGTCGTGTTTTGGTGCTAGTGGGAGGAAAAAAAGTCGCTCGACCTCGGTCAACCTTCGGTCCCCCTCGAGCATACTGTCGATCGCCAGCCCCGACGGCATGCTTGATTTATTCGCTTCGCCCTGCTGCTTTTTTGAGGTTTTTGTGGGAAAGCATCTTTTGCAATCTTTTTCTACGAAACCGCACGGGAGACTGGGGACGAGGGGGACCGAGGTTGACCGAGGGCGAGCGACTTTTTTCCAGGTTGTTGGTCATCGGAAGAGACCTAATGCGCTCGGGATTGCGGCATTTTGAGTGAAAAGCGACTTTTTTTGGTTGCTTGAGCGCCGTTTTCGCTTAGAAACCAGACTCAGGTCGTGTTTTGCGGCTGGTGGGAGGAAAAAAAGTCGCTCGACCTCGGTCCCCCCTCGGTCCCCCTGAAGCATACTTGCGAACGCCAGCCCCGACGGCATGCTTGATTTATGCCCTTCGCCCTGTTGCTTTTTTGACGTCTTTGTGGGAAAGCATCTTTTGCAATCTTTTTCCGCGAAACCGCACGGGAGACTGGGGAAGAGGGGGACCGAGGTTGACCGAGGGGGAGCGACTTTTTTCTGTGTTGTTGGCCATCGAAAGAGACCGAATGCGCTCGGGGTTGCGGAATTTTGAGTGAAAAGCGACTTTTTTTGGTTGCTTGAGTGCCGTTTTCGCTCAGAAACCAGACTCAGGTCGTGTTTTGCGGCTGGTGGGGGGAAAAAAAGTCGCTCGACCCCGGTCCCCCCTCGGTCCCCCTCGGGCATACTTGTGGTTGCCAGCCTCGACGGCATGCTTGATTTGAGCCCTTCGCCCTATCGCTTTTTTGAGGTTTTCAGGGGAGTGTATCTTTTGCAATCTTTGCCTGCGAACCCGCACGGAAGAACATACAGCATGCAATCTTGATCTGGTTTCACTGAGAAACGAACAGAAGCGAATATAAGCAAGCACGTAAATTCTTTCAGGTCGGGAACAAGATCAAAACTGTGAACAACGTCGCGGAACAAGAGCCGACTGAGAAAGCAGATACAACCACCCATCAAAAGTCCGATCCTTCAGTAACCCTGACCGAGCTTAAAGCGGAGAAAGAAGTAGACGAGAAGGAAGATCATGACACTGCTTCATCTGCTACCTCCCCACCAGAAGCCCCAAAGGATCACAGCGAAGACGGTAAAGGTGAAGATGAAGCTACGACCCCCGGCGTTCCCCTCTGCACTGATGCACCGGTCGCAGAAGGCGATGGTGGATCTCGTGATGAAAACACCCCAACGACCTCCATCCCCGCTTGTTCCGAGCCGCCACCCGGAGGCGGAGGGACGCCGGTGTATGACGGGAAACCGAAGATTAACCCGGTGAGCAAGAAGAAAACCGGTAATATCAACAAGGTCGTGAAAAAGGAGAATACGAAATCGTTTTTGCAAACCGACAATGAAGGTGTTAACGGAGATGATGATGAAAAACTATCATCAAAAGACGACCAGAACAACAATTTCTTGTCAACAAGCGAAGAAAAAGGTCAACAGCATGATGCTGGGGAGAAAACAGACGAACATGAAGATTTCGACGTTGACGACTACGATGAGCTGAACCACCACCTCGACCCGCATCACGACTACAGCGAAAAGAGTACAACACATGTCCACAACCCAGCGGACCATCCCGACGCGGAGCGGGACTTTCACAAGAAGGGCAAGAAACTCTACGACTGGTCGGATTACGATTGGCCGGAGGACAACGGGGAATCGAAGGAGTGGGACGGGCTGGGAGACGACCCACAAGCAGAGAAAAACGAGGTCCAGCACGGGGAAATCTATCCTGTGCAAAAGTAGTGTAGCCGGACTGAAGATTGCAGCCACGCACGACAAAGCTACTTCCTAACCGGAAGCTGCATGACAAGTTTCATTCTCCGTTTTGGTTTTGAAGAAATTTGTAATGCAGTACAATCACGATGGGATGCTTTTGCAATGCATAAAATCCACCACGATTGGGACGGGTTTGGGGACGATCCGTACTTGGATATGCTAGACGAGGAACCACTTTTGGGCGGTAACTGTTTTTATACTTGTTTTGCAACTGCGGATTTGGTTTTTGTCATGCAAAATCTACTTTAAAAGTGGAAGCACTTTGATGTCATGCACTACTCGTGTACAAAAAATTGTATCAAAGGTCACGCCATTTTTTCCGAGGCGGCAAACCAGCACCCGGGGGACTCGAACGACGAGGACCAAGATTTTTACAACGATCACAAGTCGAAGCGAACCCGTTATGCGGAACAGGATCTGTGGCACGACGACGACTTCGAGCGGAAAAACCAACCGGAAAGAGTGTACTACCACTCCGAGAAAAGAAACAGCGTGCCGGTGCATCAAAAACCCAACATCGACAACTACGAGCACCTGGATTTCGCAAACAACTTCCAGGAGTACACGTTTTTGTGAGCGGCTTCTTGCAGGTCACAAAGTTGATGTGAAGCAGGAGTAGTTGGGGCGATGACTAGGAGTGAGCAACTGTAGACACAGCACCGATGTTGAAGATGATAGTACGACTTTTACATTACGAGAAGCGCGCCGGGTAATGTGGAGCACCTTTTACCACGACGGGAATTCAGATTTGCAGAAACAAGTACAGCAAAGTTTCAGAGTACTCACTTTTACTACACTTAGCGAAAAAGAAAGGTCTTTTGCATCGAGAGACTAGAGAGATGATGAAGATTGCAGACACGACAGTTATGGGATCGAAGATCGTCCAAAATACACCTGAAGATGCCGTGTAAGTTCTTGTCCAGGGAACGGCGGCTTTTTTTGTAGAATGTAACGTAAGAAAAAAAACATAGTGATCAATTGTTTCGAAATATTTTTTTGGAGAAAACACAACTTCTACAAATGCACACGTAACACCAGAAGCACAATAGAGGTTTCAGCACAGTGACAATTCCTAGAGTTGCAAAAGACACTGAAGAATCATAGAAACTGTAGATCCATTAAATCTCTGTATCTGAGCGTTGCCTTTGCGCTGGTACTATTAACTCGTATCTCCGTCTTCGTTTTCCAAATCCACACTCGGTCCATGTCTTCGTAAAACGTTTGGTCGATCTGCTTTTCTTTTCGCGGAGCGAGTTTTTGAGGGACTTTTTGCGTACTTGAGAAATATTAAGACCCGCACGGTGTCGTGGACGAGCCTAAAACGACCGAGAGCAAGAAGAAAAGCGAGAGCCGCGACCCGATTTTTGGCATGTGCATTGATTTCGATCTATGGAGCGACTGTTTCAAATGTGGTGAGTCTTTGAGTGTCAAAAAAGTACATAATAGTTCTTTCATCTTGGTGCGTGTAGTTCTTGAATACCTTTTGCGAAAAGAAGAGAAACTACAAGATGGCAGGTTCCATAGACCTCGTCTTTGCTCCGCCTGATCATATCGGCGGAGCTTCAAAACGAAGCGGGAACCACGAACTGAGTATCGATGACCGCAGGGCGAAGGACGCGAAGCTGTACCAACAATTAAAAGACATCGAATCCAGTGTGAAAGATCTGATACCTGGCATGAGCTTCTCCGGCGAAGCGGACGATCTTTTCTCCGCCGATCTCCGCCGGGACATGAAGGAAAGTGCAGGTCTGCATCAAAAGGAGCTGCAGAAGGACGAGACCACTGGTGCAGCGGCCAAGAAATTCTATGCGGTGGATCATCTGGACGATTTCGAGTCACAGTTCGGATCGTCAAGGCTGCAGGAGGGAGGCTCCAGCAGCAGTACGGCAAGGCATGTTGTGCCAAGTTCTTTGTCATCTTCTTCCAAAAAAGACAAGAACTTCCTCTTTTTCGACGACGCCTATGGCGGTCCACACGCGTCTCCCGACCAGGACTCGGCGAAAATGTACGATTTGGTCGAAGAGCCCTCCCCTGTTGCGGTGCTCGAATCCGAGGGCGTGAACGTCCGCGCGCGGGGTCTGATGGGGCGGCAGACGATCGAGTCCCGCGTATGCTGTGTAAAAACCTCGCCACCCCAGAGTTGTCATGCAAATGCGCAATGGCAGGAGCATCTGTAATGCGCACGCCCATGAGAGGCATTGCCAATCGTGTTTTGGCATTTCTAATACTGTAAACAGAATGAGAAAATGGCTTTCCCATGCGGCTTCCCTTGCTAAGCAGCACAACGCTGCAGATGAACACTTGTAATGCACAACTCCCAAAACTTGGAGATTTGTGTTGTAGATATACCAACTTGACTAGGGGGTGGGGACGTTTTTGCTCAGCATAGCGCGCCAGGTTGCTGATGATCCGGAGACAAACGTTGCTCGCCCACATCAGCTACTTGGACCGAAACCTCGAAGCGACGATGACAGCTTTGTTGAGGACGATATGCATTGCAAATATGTCTGGGTCTGGAAGAGCGTCACTTGTCATGCTACATCTGGATCGTGGAAAAATTTGTGTTGCGTGATTACCAAAAGAGGTCGACTTTTGAACCAGTTTGGAGGCAGTTTCTCATGCAGGATAGGCATGATAGAGATCTCACTGAACCTGTCATGCTAGGCCGTGCATGCCAGAGCGCGCGGGTCATGGAAAACCTGCATGACAAACCTAGCAATCTTCCAGACCGAGACATTTTTGCATTTCATAGACGAATCCGGCTTACAACAACGATCCAAAGGAGCTGGCGGATAGGGGGATTTCTTTCTGTATCGAGTACGACAAATTGTCCGAGCAGCAACGAGCAGATTTAGCGGAGCAGGCCCCGCAGATCGAGGAGGTGTGTAAGTCCCTACGGGCGTTTTGGGAACAGACGTGCAGGCTGTGCGAACTGATGCAGTGGAAGTGGCGGATGTTGCAGCAGATCATGCAGCTAGAAGCGGACATCGAGAAGGCGAATCAGACCGCGCAGTCAGCGAGGCACTTGCGGGGAATGTATTAAAATGTTTCAGCTTGTTTTTTTTGTTCTGCAAGTGTTGAAATCAGAGTGCATTGTTACCTGGAAGATGGCACTTCTAGAAATTTGTGGCACTTGTATTTTTTGTACAGCACAACTATCGAATGATCAACAGCGCCCGCCCCCGGACGAGAGAGGAGGAGGAAACCAGGCACCGCTACAAGGTTCTGATGGACAAGTTCGACGATTTTTCCACCATCATTCGCTTGGTCCAGATGAATCGCATTGCCGAGCCGGATGTGACGGTGTTGGGTGACCGCGACCAGGAAAAAACGTTGAATCAAATGCGACTATTAGAATCGAGACTGGACATCATGACCATGCTGCAAGACGCCGGGCAGGAGCTGCGGTCGGTGGATATGGAGACGAACCGGCTGATTGGACTCAGGCACGTGATGGACGAAGAGACGAACGACTTGGACGCGATGCGCGGGCCCATGATCTCGCCGGAAGATCGGAAATACAAGGTACTGATTTCAGAATTTTCATTATGCCCCGCTGTGTGAAGATCTGAAGCGAATTTACCATGCGGTTAGCACCATGACAATGACCATTGTGATTGTCTTCAATCGCATTACAAACACAACTCATCAGGTTCTCTCCAACATTGGTGTCCGCGCCAAGATCGAACCGGTGGAAGAGATGTACGATGTCCGCGCGCGGGAAATGACGCTGAAGTTGAAGCATTTGGAAGAACGGAGAAAAGCGCTCCTCGAGGAGATCGACGAATTAAACCGGCAGTACACGCTTCTCCACGCGTATCCAAGAAAAAAACTGTGTCAATGTAACTTTCCTTGGCTGATAGCATCACAAATTTGCTCTACATGACAGCGAAAACCTGTCATGCGTGGCTTGTAAGGGAAAACACACATGAAAAGAGGACTTTATGGCTGTCTGGCATGACAGGCGTAACTCTATTGCATGCTTTGCATTACAAAGTTACACTTACACAGTTTTTTTCTTGCATAACGCGCAACGAACCGAGGTCGAACGGGAGTTGGGCGACACGCAGGCGTTGCGGTCCAAATCCTTGCACCATTCCCTCGGTCTAGGGGTATGACAGTGCACAACTCCCCGTCCCCCTCATTTGTATGTCAAGAACAGCAACACAAGCAACACCAGCTATGTGGCTCCCGCATGACAAATCCGGACATGGATTGTAGTCCTGTTGGAGCGTCCAAAACTTGTCATGCGCAAAGTGCTGAAAGGCAAGAGGTTGACTCGGTATTTTGCATTACAAATGAAGGGGAGGGTGGGGAGTTGTGCGCTCTCATAAGGGGCGGCGCACAACGTGAACGAGGTGGCGGAAAAAATAATGATGGGTCCGGACCTGCAACTTCCAGGGAAGGAATCCCAGCTGGAGTTATGCAATGCAAAAGGAGCATCGTACTAGTATAAATTGCATCACAAATTTCGTTAGCATGACAGATGGAATTTGTAATGTTGTTTTGGCTTAGGAAGGCGATTTGTCATGCATATCTGCAGTTAGTACGCTACGAGTACGATATTGCTTTTGCAATGCATAGGAGTCCATCGCGGTCGACTTGCAGGGGCAAAGAGAGGAGATGGCCAAGTTGATCGCGGCGAGACATACGGAGTTAAGGCAAGTGGTGGACAAAAAAACCGCGGTGGAGGACATGTTGCGGACACATCGCAGGTATGCATTGCAAATATGTGTGCGTCTGGAAGGTTGGAACTTGTCATGCCAAATCTGAATCATGTAGAAATCTGTGTTGCGTGATTACCAAAAGCTGTCCACTTGTGACCTAATCGAGACGCAGTTTCTCATGCAGAATAGGCATCGTGGAACTATCCCAGAATCTGTCATGCTATGTCCTACATACCAGACCTCATGGGTCATGGAAAACCCGCATGACAAGTCTGGCACTCTTCCAGACCCAGACACATTTGCAGTTGATAGCAGGCAGGAGATGCCGGAATTAGATTTGGAGAGTCTCTTGCCGAAGTCCGCTTTAGAGAAAGACGGTCTGGACCGGTATTTACATAGGAAAATCGGTGCGGATATACCACGAGACTTGTTGGAGCAAGTATCAAATGCAAAAATGTCTGGGTCTGGAAACTTGTGATGCTGGGTGGCGTATCACCAAGAGGCCACAAGTGCTGGCTCAGCATGACAAGTTTCTGAGCTTCTAGGTGTCGCCTATTCTGCATGACAAACTGCGTTTCTGCATGACAGAAAAATGTGGGTCTTGGACAAGTTTAAGAGTCATGGGAGACAAGCATGACAAACTTGCATTCTTCCAGACCCAGACATTTTTGGACTTGATGACAAGAAGTCTTGAACAACATCGACCCGATGGGGAGTTACTTCAAAGCCCACCACTATCAAATGCAAAAGTGTCTGGGTCTGGAAGCGCCAAACTTGTGATGCTGCATTTGGATGCTAAAAAAATCTGTATTGCATGACCAGCAAGAGGATTCAAATTTGGCTACGCAGGAGGGCATTTGTCATGCTGGATGCGCATAGATAAGCGCTCGAAAAATCTGTGATGCTATGGCATACATCACAGACATCATGGATCATGGAAAATGTGCATGACAAAGTTGTGCTCTTCCAGACCCATACATTTTTGCAATCCATAACCACATGCGCGACGCGATCCGGTCGGCGCGGATCCGGTCTATGAAATGCAAATATGTCTGGGTCTGGAACATTGCAACTTGTGATGCTGCCTTTGGATTCTACACAGAATCTGTATTGCACCATCAGCAAAAGAGGCCCAGTTCTTGCGACGCGGAAAGGGCATTCCTCATGCAGTATGGGCATCAGAAAGCACTCAGAAAATCTGTCAAGCTAGGGCATGCATCGCAAACAGCACGGGTCATGGAAAATGTGCATGACAAACTTTGCATTCTTCCAGACCAGGACATATTTGCACTTGAGACGCTCCTCCGTCTTGCAAGACATCGCGCGGTGGGACGGGGAGACCGTGCGCGCCGCGCGCTCGAAAATCCCGACGCAGGGCGAGAAGGTCCACAACGCGGACCTGTATTTCTCGCTGATCGAGAAGGCGGGCGGGGTCGAAAACGCCCCGAAGTGGATGCGGGAGTGGCAGCGGGAGGTGCAGGAAAAAACCGATTTCGCGATCGACCCGGGGAGAGCGAGGGAGTATGTGCTATTTTATCCGGACGAGGATAAAAATGGGGAGAATAAAGCGAAGGAAATGAGCCACGACCTGCAGAAACAGGACGGTGAGCAGGAGATTCTTGAGAATATTGAAACGACAAAGAATGATTCTCCGTCGCCGAGCAACAAGATTCGCGACAACCTTCTGGGCAGTGACGCAGCAGCCGCAGAGCTGTTAGATTTGACGCCCACGATCCGGAGTTCCAGCACGGATTTCAAAACGTCCAAGCTGCAAAAGCCAACAACGCCGACACTCAATCTCACCAGGCCTTCGATTGTCCCAGTGAAAACATCAAATCAGAAACCGGAAGAAGTTGACATGCTGTCCCCCATAGTCGCGGGCTTAGCGGCGATACGGAATTCCGTCAAGGACGAGATGGATTTTCAGCCCGCGAGCAGAACGGCAACGCCAGTTTTGGTGGAAGTAGAGGGGAGTAGCAGGAACGAGCTCGAGGTGTTGATGAGGAAAAGACAAGACGCTTCCCCCGGCATAGACTGGATCAAGAAGGAACATAGAGCAGTTCTAGAGAGTACAAACTCTACGCGTAGTACGCCCACGATCACGGCGAAGAGCAAAACGTTGAAGAAGGACAAGGTATCAAAACAAGACGGGAAGAAGGACAGCAACCTCAAAGACCTCGGCCAGATCATGAACTCGCCGACTCCGTTTCTGGACTCACAAATTTCCGCTTCTGCAGGAGACGGACAGTCCGCTTTTGACAAGATGGACGCAATTATCGGCGAGTTCAGGTCGGCGGCAAAAAAAAAGAAGGAAACGGTACGGGCAGAGGGAGAAGTAGGAGTGAACCTTACAACAACGCCAACCCGCGGCAGGCCTACTTCTGCCATCGACGAGTTGCTGAGTAAGACGGAGAAAGTGTTAGCGGCAGCAGCGCAACTCCCACACGGTGCGGATAAAAATAGCACAACTCCGCCTATTAACATCAAGGCCTCCCCGGTAGAGAAGCGACGGTCGAAGTCGATTTTGAGTACCTCTAGCAGTAAAAAAAGCAACAGACCAGATTCCGCTCTCGATGACGACGCGAGCAGAGGGATGAAAAAGCGGGTCAGATTTTACACCGATCAGGGCTCGATCTCGCCCACGAAAAGCCCCAATGCGAAGAAGGATAGAGGGAGCAATAAAACAAGTGGGAAGAACAAGGGCACTAGTAGTTCTTCGGTTACCAAGAAAACAAAAAGAATCATCGCGGAAACCGTGTCGTCGCTTTTATTGAAGCAGCAGGAAGCGGAGAAAAAATCTAATATGTCGACTAGGAACAATAAACAGAGCAATACTTCTGCGTCTTCTTTCTCGCCACTGAAGAAAAGACAAGCAGTGTTGACCGCGGATGCAACAACTCTCAGTCGTGAGGTGAAAAATCTGAAAGAAGCTCCTGCACAAGAACCACCTCCGGACGACCCGTCATTCCTGTACTACCGCGAGAAGTATTCCGATGTTCCGCTCGCAACACAAGTGGAACTTTCCCGCGAGAACGCCCGGAGGAAGTGGATTGACAAAATCAAGGATTTGGAGGAACAAATTGAAGAGAAAAATAAGGTCCTTCTGAAAACCATTCAGCGACCAAACTTAGTCACGCGCTACGGCGGAATCCCGCTAGATGACGACCCGCAGTCTGGTATGACCATCAACGGACAAATCCGGTCAACCGAGATGAACCGGGCACTGGCAAGCAACATTCGAGAGGTAATGGACGACAATCTCCGGGAATTTCTCCACGACGAATTGCACCAGAAGAAGATGCGGGAATTAGGGGAAATCGTCTCCGGGTTGAAACGACTCGAAACGGAAGAAACCGTGTCGAAAATGCGGAATATCATGAATGAGTTGTGCGAAATCCGGAAGCAGCCCGATTTCGGGAACTACTACAAAAACACGAGCCAGTCGTTCGGGTACGAACTGCCGAATGAAAGACAGATGCAGGCCATGCACAGTCGGTTTGTCAGCGAATACATGCGGAAGGACGGGCTGGGCAACATGGAGGTGCAAAGGGAGGCGTCGACAAGTACGGTTTTAATTTCAGATAATCTTTTCGGCGTAGGCGTACGCGTAGGCCGCCACTTTTTGTGATGCTCTTTCTGCTTGAGCTTGAGTATGCGTATGATTTTTCAACATCACCTTTCTCACACGAAATAAACACAACTTTTATCAGACCTGAAGCACATGAACGATCCTGCGCTGATGGCGAACCAGATCTCCGGTTCCCCCCTTGCGAACTTCAACCAAAACCAAATGAACCCCGTGGGCTCCATGCTGCCGCAAGATCTCCAGCTCGGTGGCTCCGGTCGCGACCTCTACGGCATGGGCGGGGGGATGGGCGGGGCTGTCTATCAAAATGAAAAATCTCCCCTGCCCACATAAAACCGGAGATTTGTGTAGCATGATTTGTAATGCGAGAAGGGAAGAGATCAGGCGTATTGTAGTGCTGGCTGGCGCAGGAAAGCCTTGCGTCTTCAGCATGACAGGAAGCAACTGGAAACGGGAAACAGCATTGCAAATTGCCTTCAAAAGATGGAGCAACTGCGTCTCTTGGCCTTTTAGCAATACAAGTGGATTTGTGTACTCAAATACAGCAGCACAGATTTCGGTTGCGATAAGGGGAGAGGGAATTTTTCCTCACAATACTGTTCCCGGCCTAGGCGGAAACCTCGTCGGCATGGACCCGGACCGCTACCGCGCGCCCCACTCCGTCGGGATGGACCTCGGTGTGGCGCCGACTGCGGCCGCGGGCAGAAACGGCGTGTTGTACTACGGGCCGCAGGGCGGCGTTGGGCAACCCGGGGGCAATCCGGTGTTCTCCCCCGGCCCGATGGACTACCGGGACCAAATGGGCTCCGGAATCGTGCAGCAAAACATCGTTCCTTTAGCGGAAGGGGTGCCAGTGAACACCGGCGTCGCGCACAACGTCGGGCACATTGAGGGGAAGTTGGAAAAGTACAAGAACGCCCGGGGCCCGCAACAGCAGAAAATGTACCAGCCGGGCCCGTACATGGGGAGATTGCCGGTCCCGCAAGATTTAGCCACGGCGATTTCTAGCCTGCGGCAGTCCTGCTTCGACATCACCGAGGGAATGCCCTTTATCGCCACCGGGGCCATGGACTTCGCAAGACCGTGGCTCACCGACCAGCTGCACTTCGCCGCGGGGCACGACGCCCACCAATTGGACAATCCAGTGGAGCAAATCATGCTGCAGATGCGCTACGACGAGAGCTGTCTGGAACGGAGCACCATATTGTGAGAAAAAATCCCCCGTCCCCATACCAAAACAGGACACTTCTGAAAATTTGTGATGCTGATTTGAGGCCACAAATCGCCTCTGTATTGCAAGAAAGCAAATCCAAAAACCTGGCCGCGTTCGGCAGGCAATTTGTAATGCTGTATGGCCTAGGGAGGACATACCTGCCTTGCGTTGCCCCTACACCAAAACGCCCCTTCTACTCCAGCTTTGTATCTGTGTGCAGTCCACTAGTGCAAGACAAATCCGATTTGTGTACGCAAATCCTGCATCACAGACTTCCACTTCGATATGGGAGGGGGGATTTTTCATTTTGATACACCATGCAGGATGTGCTGGAGGACATGGGGCCGAGTACTTGCTTTGATTTGTTTTGTTTGATCGGTTTGTCAGTAGATTTCTATTGCTGTAATGTGCATGAGAAAGCGTATTTCTGATGCATTTTCTCACTTGACAAATCAAACAACAGCTACCGCCGATCCAAATCGTGTCCGTTTCGGGCCGAACAGCACCGCGAAGAAGGATTTGAACAAAAGGATCATGGCCTCGTTGCAAGCTCTTCGGGACGTTCTTTTCGGCACCTGCATGTCTGCGATGGCGGCGGATGACTACAAAGTAAGTACTTATGGTGCGAAGAAGGCTTTTGTGGACGAGAAAATTTTTCGCATGTCAAGAGCACTTGTTTCTCAAGCTGGAACAAACACCCGCATGACAAACTAACGTATCCACATCAAAATTTTGTCCATAATCAAAACTATCAGGTTTCCCAGCACAACGCTCCCGCTATCCAGCAAGAATTAGAATCGGTTCTGCAGGACTACGGGCTGTTCTCCGATTTACGGGAAGCCATCCACGAGAAGTACCTCGGCCACGGCGCGTGGGACATGCTGCAAGTCTACCTGCAGAACCAGTCGCCTTCCGCGAGCGTGAAAAGGCAGGACATCGGAAAGCTCTTGCAAGCCATGGGGATTGATCTTCACTTCCGCAATCTCTGCGTCACCGCGGTCCACTGCGTCGCGCACCATTTGTACCGGACGTGTGTCTCTGTCGAGGCGGAACGGGACGCGTCGCAGCGACAGGGGCCGATTGACAAGGACATGCCGATGATGGCCTACGGGATCGTGAACAACTTCATTCTGGACAACTTCCCAATCTGGAACCGGGCGACGGACCCCGAGTACCAGGCGGCGTTGCAGATCCCGGGGACCACCGCGCCGAATTTGACGATTGACTTACCCGTTTGGACGTCGGACGCGTTGGAACGAGCGGCGCGGACATTGGCGTACGACGTGAAGAAGCGGGTGCTGTTCTTGTCGAAGAAAGTGCAAGACTTGAAGAACATGATGAAGGGCGGCCGGGGGCGGATGTTGTTCGAGGACCGGCAGGAATTCATCGAATTGAAGTACTGGCAACCGAAGTTGGTCGAGATCCAGGCGTACACGAGGATTGTCGGGGATATGCGAAACATGGAACTGAAAGTCGACAAGTACACGCCGAGCATGGCGACGATCACGAAGGGCGAAGAGCGGTTGGACGCGAGCCGGGCGCACTTCGACCTGTTGCTCCGGTTACAGTTCTCGCGGCAATGCATTGGGATGAAAATTGCCATGTACGGGAACCAGCTGTGGTCTTTTTTGCAGCAGACCCCGCAGGAAATGGACTGGCACAGCTCGGCGAACCATTTTGTCATGGAGAACCGGTAGCGGGGGAAGGGAGGTCTTCCTTGTGGGGATTTTTTTCGATGTTCTGGTGTCCAAGCAGCATTTTGTTTCGTTTGTCGTTTCGATTGTAATTGATTCTATCAAGCACATCTTTACCCCAAACTATGAAGCTTTTGTCTTTTTTCTTGAAGCAGCGCTCGGCAAAAGGAAAATAGGTGAATAGACTCGCGTTGCCACCTTATCTCTACGCAGGTACATACAAACAAACAGATTGCGGCGCCGCGTCGTGGGCCAATATGAACTTGTGTAGCAAAAGCAAATCAGAAAAGGCCTGAGCGCTGTCTTTTCTTCACGTTACTTTTTGTCCGTGGTCGGCGAACTTACGTGCTCGTAGATTGTAGGGCCACGGCTTGTTGGCCGTGAGTTGATCTGCAGAACTGCATTGCGTGAATTGTCTATACCTGTCCCGCTTTTTTTGAAAGAAATAAATGTAGAACCTCAAAAGATTTTCTCTCAATCAATTGCAATTGTGTCAAAAGTAGCCTTCCAAGAAGGTGTCGAATCAAAAGCAAATGCCATGTGCTGGTGAATTTTTTTTGGGGCTGCAGTTTCACTGGTTGCACTGCATCTTAAGTACTTGATGTTCGACTTTTTTTCACAGGAGCAAGCGCAGTGCTGAGAGGTGTTTTTGTTTTTTCACATGTCAACGGAACAAGAGAAATAGAAGGGGAAAGCTTAGCGCCCTCCGCAGTGTGTGCATGGGAGCCGGGTCCGCCCTCGGGGCGTGTTTGGGTTGGGTGGGACTTTCGTCGTGGCGTGGCGTTCCTGCGACACGGAACAGCGCGCGCGCTCGCGAAGGTGCTTAATGGCGCGGGGAGCCCATTCGCCAGATGGACGGGCGCGAATACTCTGCGCCCGCTTTGGGACGGCAGCGCGAAAGCTGCGCCGCGCAGCGTGGCGCGCATCATCTGGGAGGTGGGCCAGGAACGTGGCGGCCCGGGCGCATATTCGCGACGCGTGCGCCACTTTCAGGCCCCGGGCGGGCGCGGCCGCGCCGCATGCCGCGGGGGGGGGCGGGGGCAAGGTCGGGCGGGCTCCCCGAATAAGGGAGCTCGTCCAAAGCAGGAAGAGCCGTCAATATGGGGACTCGCTCGGGGATCATTCCGCGGGGCAGTAGCGGTTTCTTTGCCGCAGGGCCCCGCCGTCCCCTCTTCCAGCATGCAGGGCCGCAAACCGCGGCCACATTGAGGTAGTGCGTCCCGAGTGCGATGCGGCCGCTGCAATCAATCTGCCGCGACTTTCTGAAGAATGAAGCATCGGGCCGCCGGCCCCCGGCATGGGCGGGGCCCCCGGCCGCGCCTTATCGTTGCAAGCCAGCCCGCCGCGCCAAAGCGAGCGCCCCCACGAGTTCGTTTGGTTTTTTCACTACCGGGCCGCCTCGAAGGAAGGACCGGCGCGCCCGGCGGGCTGCCGGCCGCGGCTGCCGCTGCCCCCACACCACAGGCAGGGCGCCTCAGTGCCCGGTGGGAGGGCCCTGGCGCAGGCTTTTGGCGGCCAAGTCCGCCGCTTCAGCCGGTGCTATGCGCAGAGAGGCCACCGACCTCTGGCGCGGCCCTCGCTCCCTTTGGTAGTGTCGGCCCTTGCCGGGCGTGTTGGTTGCCGCTATGCTTCTTGATCCACCGGCCCATGTGCCCACCCATGGGTGAGTAAGGCATGGTGCGGCTTGTGGTTTGTATGGGCCAGCGGCGACGTGCGTTTTGGCAGTATTCCTTTTCCTTTATTGGTTTGAATCTTTTCAGCTTTGGCTTGACGCGCAGCCAGAGCGCACAGGCGTAAAGTCGTTCTGAGATCAGACAGACGGGCGGTTTGTGTTTCTGAAGAGAGCAGACAAACAGCAGGCATTTCTCCTTTTGGCCGTCTGTCTCTTTTTTTGAATTGAGAGAAGAGGAGGGGTGATCATGAGGCGCAGTTTTTTATTCTTTTCACGATTTCCACCGGCTTCCGTTGGGTTGGCTTCACCTATGTTTTTTCTTGGTCGTACTCAGATGGAAGCAGCTTGTTTGTTTCTCTCCGAAGGAATTTGATATATTATATCAAATTCAAGATACTTCACATTGATTCAGGCCGTCACAGTACCTCACTGAATCAATATCGAATTTCAGCCGAGTTATACGAGAGAATGAATCATGCTGCAGCTACATTGATGGCACTTTTGTAGAGTTGTTTCACCGTAGACCACGGCATTGCAGCAGCCAATCAACCTACCTAGCCCACGGGGCGCGACTAGTATTGATAGATTCTTAGAGACCACGTCGTGTCTATTTTTCAGCTTCTTGTGCACCGTGACCGCCCTCTACTGAGACACAGACAGAGGCACCTTGAGGACAAAATAAGATGCCGACCATGAAGGGCGGAGGCAAACTATTCTGAGTAAAAACATCCCCACCCCAGAGTTGTCATGCAAATCTGCATGCCAAAAAAGTGTCTCATGCGAAGCCACATGAGAAGCTTTTTCTAGTCGTGTTTTGGTATTCGTGATGCTAGAAATAGCATGATGTTCTAGATCTGTGATGCTGCTAAAGTAGCCAAACAGGATTACACTACGAGGACAAACTTGTCATGCGAAACAACCAAAGTTGGCTGATCTGTCCAGCAGATTTTCCATCTTGACTCTGAGTGGTATGGGGACGTTTTTACTCAGGATACAACCCCGCTCCGCCGGAGCACGAGGACTCGAAGGAGATTCCGGAGTCGCTGAAGCACCTCGTGTATCAAATGGAAAAATGTCTGGGTCTGGAAGGATGTGAACTTGTGATGCGCATTGTCGAACATAGAAAAATCTCTCATGCATAGGTAGCAAAAGCTGCTCAATTCTGTCATCAAAATGGGGGATTTCTCATGCGGGTTCGGCATTGCGGAGGCTTCTCGAAACCTGTGATGCTAGAGCTTCCGTGCCAGACCTTCTGTGTCATGCAAAAACAGCATGAATCTTCCAGACCCAGACATTTTTACATTTGATATCGTGGCCTCCAAGGGCGCTCTGATGACCAGAAAACAGGAGCTGTACAAGCTCTCCTCCCGCGTGAACCTGTCCGCGATTCCGTACAGCGACCTGTACCCCTATCAAAATGAAAAATGCCCCCACCCCGAAAGTTGTAGTAATTTGTGATGCGAGGTTTCCAAATGAAAACTTTTTGTCATGCATGAAAGGACTATGAATCTTTTTGATGCGGAGTCTAGTCGTATACAGCATCGCTTGCATGACAAACGGCGCTGTTGCTGGGATCTTTTGCAATACAAATTTTCGCTATTCACGATTGAAGATCTGTGATGCTGATACATGCAAGACGGCGAGCGGTTCCATTGGAAAGGTTTGCAACACAAATGTTCCCAAGTTCTGGGGTGGGGGCATTTTTCCTCACAATAAGCCTGCGGCCAAGTTCGACAACCGAAACTCGCGGGTGCAGCAGGGAGACCTGATGGGGGGCGCTACGATGAACGCGAACGGCAAACGGCAGGGCCGGCTGTATCAAATGCAAAAGTGTCTGGGTCTGGAAGGATGCAAGGTTTGTCGTGCACATTTTGCATGACTTCTGATGTCTGTGATGCATGCCCTAGCTTCACAGATTTTGTGAGGGCTTCCTGATGCCTGTACCGCATGAGAAATGCCCTCTCGGCGTGGAAAAAACTGGACCTCTTTTGCTTTTCATGCAATACAGATTTTTGTAGAATCCAGACGCAGCATCACAAGTTGCATGCTTCCAGACCCAGACACTTTTACATTTGATAGGCTGCCGCGGCTGACGATCTTTCTGTTCGGCATGAGCATCGCGGGGTTTCTATCACACATCTAAAACAACAGGCAGGGCACATTTGTAATGCAAAGATAACAGCACATAGCGCGTATCCTAAACAGCATGCTATGTGCATCCGCCCATGACAGATTTTTCTGTGTATTTATTTTTGCATTACAAACTACATGCCCTGCCTGCTTTTTGTTTTTTCTCTGCGATAGTTTCGCGTCATGCAGTTCTCCAAGGAGGTGTACATGAAGAAATTTTACACGGACGACTACCCGCAGGCAAACATCGGCATCATGAGCATGTTCATGATTTTAGGGGTGCTCATCGACGCGTTTACGGATCCCTGGTTTGCGCGCATCACGGACAACTGGGTGAGTAAACAGGGGCGGAGAAAACCGTTCTTGCGAGTCGCCGTATGGTACTTCTCACTTCTACGTGGATATTAGCGTAAGCAAGTACTATTGTACTGCATTCGTCCAGCAAAGAATTTGATGAATTCGTGCATAAATTAGGTTTACCTGCTTGACATGATCTTTCCGGGAAAAAAAACCAAAAAGAAAAAACATTTATAATCTTCGTCCCCCAAAAAAAAAGGTTCACCCCGCTCGCGTTTGTGCTGGGTTTTTTTCCGCCGAATCTGGGTTCCTCCTTTTCTGCCTTCTACTTCGGGTTCTGGCACATCGTTTCGAAGTTAGCCGATACCCTGACCATGCTCCCGATGGAGGCCTTCGGGAACGAACTGACGCCGCACTACAAGGAGCGCGACCGCCTGTGGGGATACATGTTCATGATGCGGACAATTATTTCCATCATGGGCATGGCCATGGTGGGGATGATGAAGTGGGGGCCGGACTGCGACGGGTCCGCGAACAGCGGCTGTCTGTATTCAACGAAAAAACTGTGTCACTGTGATGATTTTGCAAGAACCGCATCACAAGTTTGTATACACATGACACAGAAGATTTGCCATGCGCGTTTCCCACGGGAAAACACGCTTGAAAATCCAATGTCTTGCAGGTGTAGCAAGACAAATAGTTCTGCGCTCCATTTTCTGCATCACAAGTTCACAGTGAAACAGTTTTTTCTTGCGATAGTCTGTCCCACGGGTTTAACGTGTTGGTCCTCGGTCTGCTCTCCTTTTCCCTATCAAATGCAAAAATGTCTGGGTCTGGAAAAATGCAAGACTTGTGATGCAGGTTTTCCACGACCCATGACGTCTGGAATGCGAGACCCAGCATGACAGATTCTTTGAGGTCTCTATCATGCCTTTCCTGCATGAGAAACTCCCTCTCAACTTGGTCAAAAGCGGACAGCTTTTGGTACTCACGCAACACAGATTTTTGCATCATTCAGATTTAGCATGACAAGTTCTAATCTTCCAGACCCAGACGCTTTTACATTTGATATTCCCTCCCGCTCTACTACTTTCTGCAGACCGTGCCCGAACGGGACTACCGGTTATCCGAGAACTACCTCTACACCCAGAACACCGGGTATGAGAGTGCACAACTCGTCCCCCTATTTCCCCTCGTTTGTAATGCAAAACACGAAATGGAAATTTTTCACAAGTTGCCGCTTGGCACTATTCGCATGACAAGTTCTGGCAGCGGCCCAAATAGCACTACACTTTTGCACAAATTTGTGATGCAGAACCTGCATTCGCATTCCGACTGACGCTCTTGTATTGCTGTTCATGCCATACAAATGAGGGGGAGGGGGAGGTGTGCTGTACTCTCATACTGGCGAGATGTTGTCGGACGAAACCCTGCGCGCGAACTTCCTCATTTTCGTTGCGGAACTGAAGGAGACTTTGTTCGGTTCCACGACTTGGATTCCGCAGGACCAGATTCGCGGCACCACAACTGAGAAGGAGACGCAGCTGCGGTCGCAACTGAAGAAGAAGAAGTTTTTCAAGGAGTGCTTATCATGAGGAAAAAAGTCGCCACCCCATAATTGTCATGCAAATCCGCATGCTCAAAATGTTTGTCATGCGGAGCCCCATTTGAAGCGTTTTGTTTCTAGTCGTGCGTTGGAATTTGTAATGCTCCAACCAGCATAGTGGGCTAGATCTGTGATGCTGCTGGAGCTAGCTCAACAGGATTACACTACGAGGCCAAACTTGTCATGCGGAACAACGAAGGCTGGCTGCTTTGTCTAGCAGATTTCGCATCTTGACTCTGGTCTGGGGGCGTTTTTGCTCAGGATAGTGCTGCAAGCGACGCGTGGAGCCGTACGAGTTATGCATTGCAAATATGTTTCGGTGGTCTGGAAGGATGGAACCTGTGATGCTGTCTTTGGATTCTTAAAAAAAAATGTATTGCATGAGCAGCAAGAGAAGTCCAATTTGTGCTACGTGGAGAGGGCATTTCTCATGCGGGAGAGGCATCAGGAAGGCCGCGCAAAATCTGTGATGCTAGGGCATGCATCACAAACGTCAGGAGTCATGCAAAATATGCATGACGAGCCTGGCAATCTTCCAAACCCAGACATTTTTGCAATGCATACGAGTTCAAAACGAACGACATCATCCCGAACATGATCAGCTCCCTGCTCAACGCCCCCTTTCGCTTGCTCCTCGTCGCTATCAAATGTAAAAATGTCTGGGCCTGGAAGGTTGGAACTTGTCATGGTAAAATCGAATCATGCAGAAATCTGTGTTGCATGAGTGCCAAAAGCTGTCCAGTTTCGACCAAGTTTGGAGGAAGTTGCTCATGTAGGATAGGCATGGTAGAGACCTCTCAGACTCTGTCATGCTAGGTCCCGCATTCCAGACCTCCTGGGTCATGAAAAACCTGCATGACAAGCTTACACTCTTCCAGACCCAGACATTTCTGCATTTGATAGTCGCCGAGTGCATCGAAGCGGTCGGGGCGCGGTTCCCCTTCATCGTCCTCCCGTATGTGATGACCTGGCTGGTGGGCGAAAACAATTTTGAAGCGATATCCTGTGTTGTAAAAACGTCCACACACCAGAGTCAACATGGGAAATCTGCTAAGCAAATCTCACAGCTTTGGTTGTTTGGCATGACAAATTTGGACGCGTAGTGTAGTGCTATTTGAGCAAGTTCAGCAGCATTACAGATCTAGTAGCTCATGCTGATTGGAGCATGACAAATTTCAAAACCGCATTAGAAAACGCTTCTCATGGGGCTCCGCATGAGAAACATTTTACGCATGCAGAGTTGCATGACAACTATGGCGTGGGGACGTTTTTACACAGGATAAGCGAGCTCTGCGATCGCCACGGTGCTGGTGGGCATGGCCTTCGTTGCGGTCATCTCGTATCAAAAGGAAAAATCCCCCCTCCCCATATCGAAAAGGAAATCTGTCATGCTCGATTTGCGTACACAAATCAGATTTGTTTTGCAGTAGAGGACCGCACGCAGATAGCCAGCCTAGTTAGGGGCCTTTTGGTGTAGGCGCCTAGCATGGTAGACGGCTGCCCTATAGTCCTTACAGCGTTACAAATCGCCCGTATAGAGTGGCAGAGAGCCTGGATTTGCCGTCTCGCAAGACAGACAGGATTTGTGGTCAGAAATCTGCAGCACAAATTTTCGGAAGCATACCCTTTCGATTTGGGGAGGGGGGATTTATTTTTCCTCTCAATATCTCGGTCCCCACGTTCTGGAAGCCGCTGTCGAACCGCATCGGGAAGTTCCGCGCTTTCTTCCTGGGTGCGATCCTGTACGCTTTGGTGTGGTTGAACATGGGCTTCGTCCTCAAGTACGACGCCAAAATGAGTAGTCTCGGGATGCAGGCGGTCTTCATGGGTCTGGCGCAGGGCAGCCACTTTTTGTTTGACTCCATGTTGAACGACGTGGTGGATTACGACGAGTTTCTCTCGGGAAAGCGACGGGAAGCCCAGTACATGATGTGCAAAAGCTTCATTCCTAAATTCCTCGAGCTCCCCGCACAGTTTGTCCCCTTCGTCCTGATGCAAAACTTCGGCTACGACCCGAACCTGAACAAAACCCCGGACGGTTTGGTGCAGGACTGCCCGAACGGGGAGTGCCAGCCGAAGTATCCTGGGTAAAAACGTCCCCCCACCAGAGTCAAGATGAGGCTTTCGCAACACAAATCCAGAAGCTTTGGCAGTCACGCATGACAGGTTGCAGTACGCAGTGTAGTTCTGGTTGGAAAGGACAGCGGCATTACAAATCCATGCGCTTATCCTGTTTACAGCATTACAAATGCCAAATCACGAGTGGAAATGCCTTTCATGGGGATGCGCATTACAAGCGTTCCTGTCATTGTGCATTTGCATTACAACTCTGGGGTGGAGGGGAAGTTTTTGCTGAGGATACGAAGGGGGTCCTGATTGTCATGCGGGCCTCCGCTTCCTACGTGCCCTTCCTCTTTTACATCATCGCCGTGTACTACCTGCTCTGGTTCCCGTTGCGCGAGCAGGACCAGTCCGAGTACATCAAGGACGCCTCCGTGGAACATTCCAAAGGCCTCGCTGCAGTCGACCCACTGTATGGGCACGTCTGCGAGGCGCCGGCATCCATGATCGAGCAGCCGCAGGGGATATCAAATGCAAATATGTCTGGGTCTGGAAGATTGCTACATTTGTCGTGCATATCTGACATGACTCGAGAATCTGTGATGCATGGGCACGAAGCGGTCCTCTTACCTGTCATGCAAAAACGCAATTTGAAATGCGGAACACGCAACACATACGAGCCCAAAAATTTGTCATGCTTGGCTCCGTATTGCCGTGGGCCTCTCATTCACTTTTAGCATTACAAGTTTCCAGACCCAGACATATTTGCAATGCATAGGGGACGGATTTGGAGGATTTGGCGTTCGAAATCTACGAGAAGGAGCAGGAGCTGATGCGTGAAGATCCGGAAGCGTACGCGCAGCTATCAACTGCAAATATGTCCGGGCCTGGAAGAGTAGAACTTGTAATGCTGTCTGCGGATTCTAAAAATATCTGTGTTGCATAAGCAGCAAGAGGAGTCAGGTTTTGGCACGCGGAGAGGGCATTTCTCATGCGCAATTAGCATCAAGAAGCTCTCAAAAAATCTGTGATGCTAGCACCAGCATCACAGACGTTACGGGTCATGCAAAATGTGGATGACAATTTCGCATCCTTCCAGACCCAGACATATTTGCAATGCATAGCAGCTGCAAAACCACAGTCTCTCCAAGGACGTGAAGAAGTTAATCGATTCCGCAAAGGACACAGGCTCGCAGTCCATGTCGAACAAAAAAGCCCGGGATTCCAGAAGGGCGAGTGTGACGGCGTCGCAGGTAAAAAGCGCTTCGTTCAGGATTTTGGATGATCGAATTTTCTGTCATCGATTTTTGCAGGATTCGAATCTGAAATGAGCTTTGTTAGGCAGAAGTAAGACAAGATGCAGATCGAAATGCAAATCCCAGTCCAACGCCGCGCGCGCTTCCATGTTTGAAAACGGGGATGAGGACGACGAGAAACAGTACAAGGTGGATCTTTCCTACGTCCGTGCTCTGCCCATCTACGAGACGCGCCTGCTCTACTTCTATCCAGACGAAATCAGGAATGTGTGCGTCCTGCGCACGAAGAACGCGGTGAAGATGGCCCGGCAACGGCGGCGCTCGCTCGAGATAGGCGCGGACGAGTGGCAGATGTCGCAGGCAGAGGCGTACGGGTACGAACCCAGTCGCACGCTGCCGCACGACGTGGAGATCGTGCGGTTTGAGGAGTCCTATGCATTGCAAATATGTCTGGGTCTCTGGAAGGTTGCAAGAACTTGTGATGCTGCTTTTGGATATTAAAAACTTCCGTGTTGCATGACCAGCAAGAGGAGTCCAGTTTATGCTACGCGAAGAGCGGCATTTCTCATGCGGAATGGGCATAAGGAAGCCCGTTAAGAATATGTGATGCTAGGTCATGCTTTACAGGCATTCTGGGTCATGCAAAATATGCATGACAAACCTGGCAATCTTCCAGATCCAGACGCGTTTGCATTTGATAAGTCGGATGTCGGGGCGATCGATTTCCAGGGCTTGTTCTTCCACCCGAGGAAAGGTAGTTATGAGTGTAGTGCCTGTAGCGGAAAATGAAATTGAAAAAGCCGAAAGGCTTGTTGAACTCTTTCGACTTCACATCGCATTTAGGCATGACAAAACTCCTCGGCATGTTGTGCGTGACCTTGCATCTTCACAAAAATCGTGAAAAGACTCCTCTTGTTGAATGTGAATCAAAAATAGGTTTGCTGACCGGTGTTTGCCTCTTCGTGTTTGGCGCTCTGTTTGTCTTCATCGACTTTGCGCCGGTCCACGAGATCTTTGCCTCCGGGATGATCCGCCTGGTCGAGAAGCCCCGTGACTTCTATGGTGTCACACTTACCCCCGCACCGCCAGTGGTTACAAACGCGACGGCGGCAACGAACTTATCCTGTGTAAAGACACGACGACGTCTTCTCTCTAGAGTCAACTACACTAGGATTTTGCTAGACAAGCCAACAGCCTTTGAATGTCGCGCATGACAAGTTTGCTACGCTCGTAGTACGGTCGTGTTTAAAACTTAGGTAGTGCAGCTGCAACCTTACCATCACCATCACATGTGGATCGCCTCATCCTGACCCTAGCATCACAAATTTCAGGATAGCATTGAGGAAATGCTTTTTATGTGGCTGCGTTACATGAGAAACATTTATTTGCAGATGCTTACCGACAAAAATTTCAATTGCTGGACTGCTGTCGTAGTTTCTACACAGGATAGAACTCCACGATGGCAGCAGGAGCGGCCGAGGAAAAGCAAAACGACGACTCCACGCAACAGGTCGGGCTGGCGCCGTTTGGGTTGGCGCTGATGGGTGTGGCGGTCATGATCCTGTGGTACTCGGCGCACCGCTATGAGGCCGCGATGAGCTTGTGGTATGAGTATGTCGTGCACTACGACGTCGCGAAGAATAAATCGAAGCGAATGAAGGAGAAGATGGACGGTATTCTATTGTACTAGAGATGTATGAAAATTATTTGTGTTGCAAAATGCACCTAGGGAAGAGTGATTTCTCATGCGGATTTTCAATCATGTTTCGTGCCAAGATAGAACAACACCGTCGACATAAAAAACATCAAAAATTTCTATACAGAGCAAAAGAAAGTGGCGTTGCGGGACTTCAAGCGACAAATCTTCATGGTGCTGAACTACTACGACAACTTCACGCAGGGTGATTATCCAGCGGACGTTGATATGGCTGAGTTGGTCGGAGCATTTGTTCTTGAGATTTGCATAAGAGCAACCTAGGGACCACACCAGGACCACGTCTGAAAATGCATTTATCAAAGTGCATAAGGGAGTATGTGAATTAATACAAGATGGAATGAAAGTAAACATACCTGGTGAACAAAATCTAATCATGGCTCAACTCAGCAAATTTGCCTTGCATATCTGCCGATCACAAGGGACTCTGTTCGAGCAATTGTCAAACTTCTTCACGTATCCTAAGAAAAAGTATCATACCCTCCTAGTAAGAATTGCGATACAAATTAGCTTAGCATGAGAACAAATGGAATTTGTGATGCTGCTGCACCTAAGATATGAGATTTGTCACGCAGTATTGCAATTGCTACAAGTTGTGTGAGATACTACTTTTTTACAGGATATCCTTAAGTTGGATTCGTACTACGCGGAAAGGCCAAGAGTGTCAGAGATCCAACCACCAGTATAGATTTGATTTGTGATGCGTACTGATGCAAAACAAACGATGTTTGTGATGTAGGACAAACAAAGTACTCAAATCAAAACTTGTAAACCCATCACTATCAGTCCGACAGCCCACAAGGAAGCTCTGGTTCAGATGCCGTCGCTTTTGAGGAAGCCTTATCCGAAGTAAAAGACGTCCACACCCCAGATGTATCATGTAAATCTACATGCGGAGAGTGTATGTCATGCGCAGCAGCTCCGTTCTTTTTCAATGGTGTTTGAGAAAAAATTCTGATTTTCTAATCTATCAGGATGTAGTGGGCAATTCCAATTTGTGGTGCGGCTGGACTAGCTCGTGCCCAAATCTTTCCCAGCAAGACAGAGCCAAAGTTGTCATGCGACACGACCAAAACGTCGGGGTTTGCATTTGTCTTGCAGATTTGGCAGCGTGACTTTGGAGTGTGGGACCCATTTTTCACCCGGATAAGCCGTTTCCCAGAGCCAGATGCCCTCCGTCCCGAAGAAAATCTCCACCGCGAGCCCAAGTATCGGATCGGGAGTGGGCATATGAATTGCAAAAATGTAGTCTGGGTCTGGAAGATTGCAACTTGCCATGGTAAATCTGAAGCATGCAAAAATCTGTGTTGCATGAGTGCCAAAAGCTGTCCACTTTTGACCAATTTGGAACGGAGTTTCTCATGCAGAATAGGCATGGTAGAGACCTCGCAGACAGAGTCTGCCATGCTAAGTCCCGCACTCCAGACCTCATGGTCATGGGTCATGGAAAATCTGCATGACAAGTCTACACTCTTCCAGACCCAGACATTTTTGCACTTGATAGGGCAGTCATGCGGATAGTCTGCGGGAGCGCATGTTAAACGCCACAACGGAAGAGCAGGCGGTGATTGACGCGGCATAAGGCCCGAATCAGAAATACCATCCACCAATCCGTCAGGATAACAGTCGAAAAACAAAACAGTTTGAGGATGGGAAAATTAGGTTATGCAAAAAACTTCTATGGGGCGCGATCGGGACGATGGCGATTTTTACTTTCGCTCGCCCCCTCGCGGAACAATGTAGTACAAAATTCAACAAGATGAACTTGTTTCACTGCTTCAAGGCCTTCTTCACCAAAGCTCCTATTTCATTTGCAGTGGCAGTGAAAAAAATAAGTCGGACTGAAATTATTTTTATGCATAGAGAGTTAGTTATACGCTTAGGCTTACGTTTCATGGATACACTTTTATCTTTCTTCCCAAGACCAACGGTAGAAGTGCCTTCACTTCACCTACAAGTACGATATTACGTTAATTGTTTTTAGAGTCGTTTCATCTCGTACCACCACCAGCAACAGCACGACCAGCAGGCTTCACTTTCTCCTTTCTTTCCAACACTAACAGGTTTCCATAATATCAAGCAAAACAAACACTATGAAATGTTAAACGAGTCAAAGCTTTTCGTTCAGCTCATCCTTTTCACAAGACAGGAAAGATGCAAAACTCTACCAGTTAATACCATTACCAATGCAGAACAGAGCAGACGAGCAGTGCGTCTCTATAAAACCCGAGAGTAATTCTAATTCAGCCCTAAGCAGTACATAGTTGTATATTGAAAAAGAAGATTTGAAGCCAGTATAGCATGAATAACAGGGGGTCTGTAAAAGACAAAATTTATGACTTCCTAGCTCAACAGAGTATGCACTAGGCTAAGGCACAGTCGGAAAGTTTGACAGTCGATAAACACAGAAGAAAAGAAGTGACGTCCCATAGATAAAGAAAGTTAGGTAAGTGCCGTGATCTGACACCGGGACAAGGATCTTTGAAGCAAAAAAAGAAACAGGGTCTTTATGCCACATGATTATTAGTGGAGTAAATCAGCTACATCTCGAAAAGAAGTACGGGAATACGCCAAGAGTGTGGCGCGCTTGGCAATGTGTGCACTTGTGTTCCCGGCAAGGAGTTGCAAACTGAAATATTATCTGTCGCATATGAAATGCTGCGATGCCGATGGCGCTGCCTTTTCGATGGAGTAAGATGCTGCCACTGTTTCACCAGTGTAAGCTTTCTGGCGAGGCAGGGGCGGCCTGCTACGGTGTTACAGCGGAAGGCGCGAGCAGGCCGCCCGGGGCGGGCCCCGCCCCGCCTACGCAGTAGCCGCCTGGGAAGCCGGCCCGCCATTATTCTCCGGGCCCCATGAAACCGGGGGCAGCGCGGCCCCCCGTCCGTATCGCTGTACAACCAGGCCCGCCCTGCGCCATTTGGGCGCTACGCTTTTTCCCCGGAGGACGCCGACAAGCCCCCGACCTCGTGCATCGAGTACATGGCGCCGATCAGGGCGGGCCGACTGACAGTTTTCCGATCATCGCGGCGCGTTTCTTTCGGTGGGCGCTTGGAGTGTCGGCACCGCGCCCGGCTGGCTTCGCCTGCCTGCGCGGTTCCCCGCCCGGCCCGCCCGACCCCGCGCCCCCGGGAGTGGGTGGGGGGCGTGGTTTTCCCTTGCCCGTGAGTGCGCGCCCCTGGCACTGTGTGCGAAGGAAGAAAAGCCGGCGCGGCTTCTTCCCGGGACTCGGACGAAGGGCACCCGGTAAGTAGCCAACACACAGGGCGCCGGCCCACCTGGGCCGGCGGCGTAGCTTGCGCGCGGGGGGCGCGGGCGCCTCGGGCCGCCTCCCGGCCTTTCTTTGTTTGGGTTCGCGCCCTGCGCAAGAGGGGCGGGCCGGGGACCGCCAGACAGCCAAGAAGTCGCGGGCGCCGCGGGCGCCGGACAAACTTCGCGTTGCGGAAGGCGATCGCCAACAAAGAAAGGGAAAGGCGCCGCAGAAGCCGCAGAGTGAAGACGTGTGGCGCCCCGCCCCCCCCCCCCCCGCCCGTGATTTCGCAAGCATTTAGGAGGCCCCTCGTGCCGCGGCCCTCGTGGCCCCGCCGATGTCTTTCGGCGGAAGCCTGCCCCCGCGCCCGGGCGTGCTCGTACGTCCAGGGCCCTCGCCCCGGCATGTCCTCTCGCCCCCTTATTTCGGTGGGCGGGTTCATTTTGCTTGGCGCCCCTAATTGCCTGCGTGCTTCCGCCACTCCGACAGCGCGCGGCCTTCAGGCAGTTTTTGTTGTCTCGCACTGTCGTGTGCCGGCGCGCAACCTAGTTTGTCCTGCGCCGCCCCGTTTGGTGCCTGGCCGCGCTGCCTACCTACGTACGGTGCGTGGATGACGGAGCAACTGCCTCACCGTTGCCTTTTGCTGTCGCAGCGCGCAACGATTGCGTGGGCGTGGTGCGGCGTGCAGGCTTAAAGGAATAGCTATCCCGGCGATGTTTTCTGCTATCGCAGAGCGTGGGTGCAAGTATCATGCGGACGTGGTGCGTCATCTCTCGCAAGTTACGTCGATCGCCCTATCATCGTCATGGTGAAGGCGCATGTGTTCCGCGTATTGCTTCGGTCGTTCTCGTGTTTCGGTGCAAGTGTAAGGCTAGGGCGGCCCTTTCCACGACTACTGGTTGATCCTTTTCATGTTGTTGGTTGCGGCGCTGCGCATCATTTGAGAACGAAGATCTGCCTCAGGGGGCCATCGTGTACTTCAGCTCGAAAGCTAGTGTGTCCTCATGCATATCTGTGTATGAAGCTGCAAGCGAGGACTTGCTCGCTGATACCTATTTTCATCAGCAATTGATAAATAATGTAGAAGATGAACGCATATGATCTTTTTATAAATACATCGGCAGCTCCTCCTTCAGAAGTGCGAATCGCCGTCACCAACGGCTGCTATACAGCAGCGCCTAAATAAAATGCTTTTGCAAGAGCACCAGCACGGTCCGTGCCACCTCTCCCTTCCATGAATCTTCTCGCCGCGGCTTCCGCGTCGAATCCGGCCCCGGTTTGGGTGCCGGACGAGAAGTCCGTTTACTGCTTTCGTTGCGGCGTCCGTTTCTCCTTCTTCACCCGGAAGCACCACTGTCGGTTCTGTGGCAACATTTTCTGCCGACGCTGCAGCGACCACCGCGTGCCGAACTTGAGGCCCGACGAGGAGAGCTCCCGGGTGTGCGAGTACTGCTACAACAGCCGATTTTTAAACACGAGTTCTACTAGCGCAGGAGGTGGAGCCGCTGCTTTCTCGGGCGTCACGCCGAATGTGGTGTCGTCGTCCCAGGCTGGTAGTAGTTCTTTCGCCACCAGGGTCCTCGTCGGGCAGCCGGGCGGCGTAGGTGCGGCAGGAGGAAGTAGTGGCAATAATATCAAACAGGCACAGCTTCTGCACGACTCCGCAACGGCGGCTGCAACCAATGGCAATGGTGCGGCGGCGAATAATTTCCAGGAGAAGCAGCAATTACTGTACTCGGAGCAGCAGTCTTTGCACTTGGTCAATTCGGTGTACGAAAAATGTTTTGGGAAAGAGCACGGAATTTTTATACTAGCCGCAGCTTCGACGACGAGAACGACCCCGGGCACTTCTACTACACTTCCAGTAGAAACAAGACCTAACACCGTTGTCGAAGAATCTAACGCTGCAGGAGCTTGTGGTATGTCAGATCAAGAACGGCAGGAACTGGTGTACACGATCTGCAAGCTGGCCGAGCAGGCAGTAGCGAAAGTGACCTTGGTGCCGGTGCTGGCGACGAACGTCAAGCGAGCGTGGTTTCCGCCCAGAAGCAGGGAAAAGCGAGCGTGGAGGGAAAAAATCGAGAATAGCGCAGTTCTTGGTGGAACGAAGCAAAGCAAGAAGATCCTAACCGCTGGTGACCAGAAAAATTCTTTCCGGCAACTAACCTACACTACGAGTTTCGAGGCAGAGCGTGTCCGGGAGTCCTGTATCCTCGCGAATGACGTGCTGAGCTACGTGAAAATTAAGAAGTGCAACGATCCGGGGAAAAAAATTCAAGACTCCTGCCTGTTCGAGGGCTTCGCCATGACAGCGAACTTCGTAACCGATTTTATGCAGCAACAGAACAACGGAGACGACCAGGCGGGCACAGGAGGTTCAATGTCCATTAATGGAACAACTTCTGTTGCGGTGAATGGCAATGGAGTAGAAGTTCTGCGCAACAACCTCAACACGACGGGGTCCCAACTACGAGTAACTATAACCAAGCAAAACTCTACAACTTCCAAGAAGATTCTCCTGCTCGGTAAGGGCAGCTTCGATTTTCAGAAGAATCTCCTCACATCGCTCGATATTCTCCGCACCCAGCGGGAGCAGCACTTTCAGTTATAAAGTGCAAATATCCCTGGATGTCTGGAAGACTGCAACTTGTGATGCTGTCTTTGGATTCGAAAAAACTCTGTGTTGCATGAGCAGCAAGAAAAGTCCACTTTTTGCTACGCGGAGAAGGCATTTGTCTTTGTCATGCGGGATAGGCATCAAGAAGCCCCAAAAAAAAGCTGTGATGCTAGGGCATGCATCACAGACATCATGGCTCATGCAAAACGTCCACGACAAGTCTCAGAATCTTCCAGACTCAGGCATATTTGCAATTGATGTCAGTCGATCACGAGCAAAATCATCGAGTTTAAACCAAGTCTCGTGGTGGTGGAGCAGGGCGGGGTGACCTCCCGGGAGCCGGAAGAGCAGTTGAAGAAGGCCAGAATTTATGCATTGCAAATATGTCTGGGTCTGGAAGGATGCAAGGTTTGTTATGCTTGTCTGGCATGACTGAAGAATTTGTGATGCGTGTCCACGAAGAGACACTTTTGTTTGTCATGCAAAGCGCAGTTTGTCATGCGGAAAGCGAAACACTAAGCAACGCAAATATTTGTCATGCTTGGCTGTGCATTACAGAGAGTTCACTATATACAACTCAGCATTAGAAGTTTCCAGACCCAGACATATTTGCATTTGATAGAATTCCTTTGATAAAAGACTGCCCATCGCAGTCGATTCAATTTTTGTCCCGGATTTCCAACGCACCAGTTTTATCCGCGAGGACTTTCTATCAAGTGTAAAAATGTCTGGGTCTGGAAGGATGTAACTTGTGATGCGCATTTCAGAACACACAAAAATCTCTGATGCACAGGCAGCACGAGCTGCTCACTTTCTGTCACCAAAATGGGGGATTTGTCATGCGGATTCGGCATTGCGGAAGCTTCTCGAAACCTGTGATGCTAGAGCGTCCATGCCAGACCTTCTGTGTCATGCAGAAACATGATGACTCTTCCAGACCCAGACATTTTTGCCATCCATACTTTCTACGCGGACTTGTGTCGGGGCGACAGCTCGCAGTTGCTAGGGACCTTGCGGGATTTCAAGATCTATCCTGTGCAAACGTATCGTACTCGTATAAATGCAAGTCTTGCAATACAAATCTTGTTGCCAAGGCAAATCAGCATGACAAATTCCATTTCTCTTGCTGAGGAAATTTTTTGTATATGCATTTATACGAGTGCGATACTTTTGCAGCCCATAAGATCTTGCCCGAGTCCTACGTGCCTGCTACACGAGGACCACCTGCTGGCACAACGACAAGTAGGAAGGCTCTGGATAGCACCGGGCGGGAGAAAAATGATGATGCTGATGAAAGAACGGCAATAACTCGAGCTGGCGACCAAGACGACGTGAAGATGAACTTGCCGGTTGCAACAAGTTCAGACTCCACTTCTTCTGACGATCATGACCATTTGGACTTTGCCGAAACCGCACTACAATCCGCCACGAAAACAATGCCGGTCGTCCCAGAACAGCAGGCTGGCGCACCACCGCTCAGCACTGCGAAAACGTCTCCGACTTCTTCCCAGCATCTACTTCCGTCAGGACCGCCTCTGAACGCTCTTTTCTACGGTAAAGGTTTGAGGAACAAAACTTTGGAAGAGAAGAAGCAAAAAGAGCTTTTGTCTATGCGAAAAGCGTTGATAAGCGAAGCGGAAGCGAAGAAAACCCGGTCGCTGTGTGTCTTTGATTCCTCCGACAAAGCAGTGTGCCGCGGGGTGACGATTTATCTGATGGGCCAGGGCGGTTTTGGCCAGTTGAGAAAGATGAAGAAGGTTTTGCAGTGGGCGATTCGCTTGTGCCACGCGCTAATACGAAATTGGTTCCAGGCGTTGCAGATGCTATTTCCTTGTTTGGCGCAGTTAGGGGTTATGTTGATCAAACGATGAGAAAGAAATTTTAGTAAAGTCCTAGTCCTACGATTGATTTTGATTCTTGTGTTTCAAAAAAAATTAGCTTTATGCAAATGGAAACCCTTCCAACGCCTCGGATTTTTTTGCCTTAATTTTTCGTTTGGAGTACGACTTTCTAGTCCAGCAGAATATCCTACGGCCAGTGGAACAGCGGGACAAAGAAGAAGAAGGATCGGCTTCTTCTATTGCTGCTCTACCACCACAGGACATAAATGTTGGTGAAACCATCGGAAATAAAACCAGCCACCGCTCGCTCCTTGGCTGCGTCGGTTCCGTGCAGTATTCCAAGAAATTGCAGTTGGAAAGGAGGTTGTTGCCGTTTGATCGCCAAGAACATGTTGAGGGTGGGAATAGTACCAACGGCAGCAGCATAAGCACCGTGACAAGTTCATCTACTTCCAAACATACGCTCAATTTTTCCCTGGCGCAGCGACTGCCCGTCGCTCTGTTTCTCATTAATCACGAAGACAGCGCGGGCCTGGACGGCAGCGTCAACCGGGTAGTCTTGTCCGCGCACGCGTCCCTACCGCGGGGCAAAGAGCCTTTCAACGAGAAGAGGACGTTTGATTTTTGTTCGGGGGAGGACGAGCATGCGGACGACGAAGTTGTAAGTGGTTTTGACCCAGGTCAATTTGAGCTTGATGGAGCCTTTTCATCGTCGCTCAGTAAAAGAGTCGGGTTTTCCTACCCATTCCCCATTCCGGCCGGGAGCGTACAGGCGAGCGGACTGCAGGTCACGGAATATGAGCGGGTGCATGTAGACGATTCGTTTGTAGTTCCAACTGTGGGCGGCGATTACACCGATACGTCGAAAAGGACGTCAAATTCGAAAGTGAAAGATGCGGGAAGGAAGTGGAAGAACAAGAACAACGACGAGCAAGAACCTGCTAGTACTGACAACGCAGTAAACACGACCGCCGTCGGCGCTTTCTTCGACCTGACTCTTGGCGAGTGGTTAGTTTTCGAAGCCTTCGGACCCTTGACTGCGCAGCTAGAGCAGGGCACAAATTCTAGTACCTCGGCTTCAAACAGAGCCGAGGAACAACTGTTAGTGGCGGTGAGCAACGAGGGGCATTTCGGAGGAACAGCGGGCGCTGGTACGACTTCTGTTGTTGAGGTCGACCATAGTACCACTGCAGCGGAGCAGTTAACGGCTTCTGGCCAGCCAACCGTTTCCTCCAAAATGAACCAGCAAATAGCTGCCGGGGGTAGTAGTACCTCGGCACAGACTGCGATCTTGTTGGAAAACAGGGGGGACCCGTCGAGGTTCCGGCCGAACTTCAAACAGACACTGGTGATTCAGCACGGGACTGCGCGGGTGTGCATTAGCGCGCGGGAGCTGGCGAACGAAAACGTGATCACTGCGGCGGACTACAATTTTATTTCATCCGACGAACATCCGATTGCGACGACCGAAATTATCCACTGGAAGAGCGCAAAAAGCAGTAAAAACTTCTACAATAAGTCCTCCACAACTGCGCGGGGGCCGGAGACGACGAAAACAAAGAAGTTGAAGTCCAATGATGTTGAAGAAGAGAAAAAGCACTACCTGTCACAGGCGCTGGCGAGACTGCCGTTTGTGCAATTTGTGAACTTCTTTTTTCTCTGCTGCACCGGAGGCGGGGGGCCTCGTTCTGCAAATACTGTTTCATCCACACAACAACAGCTTCACTCCACCACCTTCAAAAACCACATCTTCCATTTCGCAAGGCAAAAAGTTTTGGTGTCCTTCGAATTTTTTGAAGCCAAGACCTATTCCATCGTGCGGGAGCGGAACTTGCTGTTTCCCTTGTTTGATGTTGCCGAAGTAGAAAGTAGGAAGCTGCCCAGCTCTCTGGTGAAGGACTACACAGCACCCAAAGCGTCGAGAGCAACGCCCTCGGGAGGTGATGCTGAACGTGTTCGAGATCATGCCTCAGCTTTTCGCGAATCTGCTGGGCTCAAGGTGGAGCAAGAGCATGATCAAGCGGAAGTCGTGGCAGAAGTTGGGGCTGTTGCAGTCGCTCCAAGTGGCACGACGGCAGCCAATAGTGCGACAGCTGCGAAAGGAGCAGATGATGCGCAGACACCGCTCATGAAACAAGTAGACTCATCTGGATCATCTCTTCCTCTTGCAGCGGAGGGGGAAAAAGCCGCAGGAACAGCTCCGGCTGCGACAGAAGTGCAGCCCGGCGACAGAAGGTACTGCAGCCCGGCTGCGACAGAAGGTACTGCAGTGCAGCCCGGCGAGGAGCAAGTAGAGGAGGGGCATGAGCTGCAAAGTGGCGAGGTAATATTAGTACCCGGCGTAGCTGCTGTTCCAAAAGTTGTTGATTTTGTTGAAGCAACACCAGTAGAATCGTCGGACCAGCAACAGACTACTCCTTCTTCTACCCCAGCCTCGCTTGCGAAAGAGCCGCCGATTGACGCCATGACAGTCGTAGAATCGGAACAACAACAAGAGGACATTGGGGAGGTAAACCTGGACAACACTGAAGATGAAAAACAAATAGAAAAACAAGGAATTGCAATTGCAGCACAAGACGTCGGCAATAACATCAAAACTTCGAAACAAGAAGATGCAGCAGCAGAACCAGCTGCAACCAACAAAAGTACTCTAACCTCCACCTCGCCGCGTCCGTCTGCTGTCGAACAAAGTAAAGCGCAAACAGATGACATAATCCGGCTCTCGCGCCAGAGTTTCCCGGAAGACCCGATTGAAATTGAGGTGAATGGCTTGACATTGCTCGCACAGGATCTGCCCGAAGAGATGCTGGAGGACCTGAACAAAAGGTATGAGCAGGAGGATTGGGGCTCGATCTTGGCCAGTGCGTTGCTGAGTCGAAAGTTGTTTGAGCAGATGGAAGTGAAAAGGGTGTATGGGGGGTACAATCCACCGGCGGGCAGTAAAAGGTTACAAGAACTTCTTGCGACCAGCACGGGAAATAATAAGACTACTGCATCGTCGTCTATCTGGCAGTGTCCCCTTTTGAATGTCGCCCGGAAGACGAGGATGACGAGCACTACTAATTCTACAAAAGCAAAAAAAGAACCAACAACATCAACATCATCCCAGAATGATTCTTTGGCGAAGGAACATAAAGACGGGAAAACTAATTTCCCAGGCGGAGGAAGTACAGCGACCACAGGCGGAGTAGCCGAAGCTGCGACTGCAGAGCAAGAACGGCGGACACCGGCAGGAGTTCTCAGAAGTGTCGGCGAAGAATCTTATGCGAAAACGACCGTCCATTTCCCAACCTTTCGCTGCTGCCTAAATAACTTCTCGTCGACAACAAGGTCGTTCTTGCATAAGGAAGAAGACAAAAATGAGGAAGTAGTGCTCTGCGCAGAAATTGATCTCGACGATGTCGGCGCAGAGGATTACTACACGGAAGAACTACAAGGTCGCGCAGCCCAACGAGTGGACAAAGCAGGCAGAATTCCTGCACAACAAGATGGACGACCGGGTTCTGGTCAACAACAACGCCACAGCATCCGACGGGTCCTGGCGCGACCGAAAGATTCTGAGTTGCTGACCCCTACCACCGCGGAGATTTTTCCGGCGTTACAAACGTTAGAAGAGGTCGTGGCAGGACAAACATCCTCAAGATCCACTTCTGGTGCAGCAAGAACGTCGGACGCAGAGGACTTCGAAGACAATTTGAATTTCATCACGAAAACCTTTACACGCAACTGCCACACCGCGTTTGCGCATTCGCTAAAGGCCATGGCTGAGATGAAGAAAAAATCCCTCAAATCCTCCTCCTCTTCTACGAGCAACACAAATGCGACGTCTACTTTGATGGCTGTTGTTCCCGGAGCCGCTGGTGGCACAGGAGCAGCAGCTGCTCTCAAAAATGCGGAAATGAACCTAGCGGCTGTTGCGACTGCCTCCGCCGCGGGGAGTACTTCTACTGCTGCGCAACTCTTTCAGCAAACGGACTCCTCTATCAAGATCGAGTGGACGATATGACAGTGCACAATTCCCTCTCGTCCCCCTCGTCTGTCATGCGAAATCCTAATCCAGTCGCTGCATTGTGGCACTGCTTGCGTGACAAATTCCGGATGAAGTCCAAAATAGTACCACATTGGGTACACACATTTGTCATGCATATGCTCCATCTGTGGCTGTGCTTGTGTTTGTATTGCTGTTCTTCATGCTATACAAGTAAGGAAGAGGGGGACTGCGACTGGTGCACTCTCATAGACGAATGAAAAGAAGCACTCGTTCGAGGTGCTGTTCTATCACGCGCACATGTTCCACCTCCTGCGGCACTTTCTGACCAACGGGGACCTGCAATTCGCGTTTTCTCTGTCCAAGTGCGATCCGTTTCAGGTCACGGGCGGGAAGTCCGGCGCGTCATTTCTGATCACTTCGAACAAAAAATATCTGCTGAAACAAATGAACAAACCGGAAATCAAGTGGTTTGAGAAGGAAGGCGACGTATGCAAGAAAAAAACCGTGTAAGTGTATGTAAATCTGTGTTGCAGAAAATGAAAGACACTCACACTTGTCATGCTGGACATGCATCAGAGGTTTGTTTTGTACGTGTTTGCACGTACTAGCTGCGCATGAGAGGTTTTCTCTGTCATGCAGAGCACGTTTCTGATGCTGTTCCTCCAAGAATGTTTGCACTTATTGAGTACACACTTTTTTTCTTGGATACGACGCGCTGTTGTGGTACTACTCAAAAACGCTGTTCGAACAGGAAGAAATTTTAAAAAACGGCATAAATGATGACGCCGCTCTACCGTCGAACAAAACCAGAACGACGAATAGAAGTACCATCTTCCCCTCCATTCTCACGCCTATCTACGGCGTTTTCTCCGTGTACCAATCCTACCCGAAGAGAAACCGACGGAGTTTCATGGTATTGAAAAATTTGAAGCACAGCGTGGTGGATCATCATGCGGATCACCTGCCGTACGGAACAAGCGGAACAAATATGTCGAGGAGTAGTAGCATGAGGACGAACATCAACTCTGCTGCAAAGGATAGTACAACCAAGGACGTTCCGCGGCCGCGTCTTCTGGCGAGGAAAGAAGAAGAAGTTCGTGGCAGTGTGCAGCACTACAAGGCCTTTGCGTTTGATCTGAAAGGTGTCGGGAAAAATCGCAGACAAGAGGAAGAAATAGTGGAGGAAGATAGTGCAACTACGACCCCTCCTGCAAGTAGAGCAGCAACTTTTGGTACGGCTGGTGAAGTAGAGAAATCCTATGTGGATCCACCTCCTAATGCTCCGAAGGCGGTGGCGAGAGTGGCGGAGCAGCATGTTTCACTGCATCCTGTATTGGAAAGTAGTCAAGTTGTTGAGGAACAAATGCGTACAACAGCTATGGGAAATTATACAACGGGTACGCGACCGCGTTTGCTTGCAGCGGATGACCAAGCACAACAAGCTTCAGAGATGGTCCTCGACAAGGAGGCACAAGGTATTACAGCGCAGGAGAATTGTACTACAACCAACGTCGAGAACTACACCACAACTACTACCGCAGACGGAGGAACCGAAACAACAGTTCGGGTAGTTACCACGGAAGCAGGCCAGGAGGGTGCAAGCAACGCTCTACTAACCGAAGATGTAGTGCTTGATGCTGGAAAAATCGACGCGAATATACAACAGCGTTATGAAGAAAATATTAACGACCAGGAAATAGATGGTCCAACATCCACTCCGCAGCCAGGGACACAGCTATCGTCCGTTGCGCATGAACATGAAGATGCAGAAGAAGAGAAGAAAGGAATATTATTAAACAGGACTGCCGTAAAAATTGATGTCCCACAAGCTGCAGTAGAAGAAGTTCCCACAACTACCTTGAAGAAGATGTCCCCGCCCGTAGAAGAGGAAAGAAAATCAGCCCCCCTGCAAGAAAATGAAACGGAAATCACTTCTAGACCACCCCCACCACGACCCTCGACTGCTATTGCGAGGAGTAGAATCGATTTTCCGAAGCGTACCCTGTGGGACCAGAATTTCCGGGAGTGGGCCCAAGGCATGCCCTTATCCGTATCGAAGGAAGATTATGGATTGCAAAAGTGTCTGGGTCTGGAAGATTGTGACTTGTCATGGTAAATCTGAAGCATGCAAAAATCTGTGTTGCATGAATGCCAAAAGCTGTCCACTATTGATCAAGTTGGAAGGGAGTTTCTCATGCAGAATAGGCATGGCAGAGACCTCGCAGAGTCTGTCATGCTAAGTCCCGCATTCCAGACCTCATGGGTCATGGAAAATCTGCATGACAAGTCTACAATCTTCCAGACCCAGACATTTTTGCACTTGATAAAGATTTGGATTTTCTGCGCACCGCAATTTGGAACGACACGTTTTTTCTGTTGAAGATGAAGTTGATGGACTACTCGGTCTTACTTCTCATAACGGAGGGCGAGGACGTCGGGGAGCGGGAAGATGACGGTGACGGTGGCGGACAGGAAGTTGATTTTTTTCCGACCAATACGGAACAAAACCAAATTCGCATCGGGTTGATTGACTACGTCCGACCCTACACCCTGGACAAGCTATGCATTGCAAATATGTCTGGGTCTGGAAGAGTGTAAACTTGTCATGCAGGTTCTCCATGCTCCTTGAGGTCTGGAATGCGGGACCTAGCATGACAGAGTCTGTAAGGTCTCTGTCATGCCTGTCCTGCATGAGAAACTCCGTCCCAACGTGGTCGAAAGTGGACAGCTTTTGGCACTCAGGCAACACAGATTTTTGCATGATTCGGATTTAGCATGACAAGTTACAATCTTCCAGACCCAGACATTTTTGCAATCCATACAAGCAGGTGGAGCACTACGCGAAGGTGGTTTTCAACTATCCGCAGAGCGGGTACCAACCCAGCATCTTGGACCCGGCGCACTACGCACAGAGGCTACTGAAGTCCATCGGGAAGAGCTTCATGCAACGGGTGCCGGACTTTTGAACCGTGACTCATCTTCGACGGGAGAAGTTCTGTTTGGATCAGCATAGAAGGAGACTGACTTGAATAGTCAAAGATCATCTCTACTGCTCTTACTGACGCAAGGACCACTGCTGAAAAACGGACCGAGGCGTCGCGATGGTCTGCTCGTCTGGGTACTTATAGCAAATGTGAAAGGAGAACGCCAAATGTGTGGAATAAATTACTAGCACGAGAAGTCGTCGCTCATTGCGCGCCTGTTCGCCGTAACAAACAAGCCTGAAGTTGTCTGCAAGGTTCGGTCTACGACATGACACACAAGGTTCGGTTGAAGTCGTCTGTCGCACAAGGTTCGGTTTGCGACATCAAGTTCGAGTTGTAGCCTCATGATAGTGATATCTTCGGTTGCAAGAATTTTCTTTCTTATGCATCATTCACATTCATCTGAGACTCGGTTTCGGGCCTCCTCTCGTCGCCCACGCACGCACGACCAAAAGTTCGGTAGTTTCTGCTCTGATGTGTATAACTGCGAAAAACTAAAAACTCTCACTGGCGTCGCGCAGGAAGATAGTATTGTTGGTCCTCTGGTAGTGGTACTGGCAAAGCAGACCAAAAACGATTTAAACTTGCTCCCCTAGGAGCGGCGACCTTTTCCAAGAAGTAGCTAGTAGTGCATATCTTCAGCTACAAAAAAAACAGGCGCAGTACAACTTGTCCTTCTTGTTTTTCTTGAGGAACAAACAAGAAAAAAAGTAAAACGATATACGATCGATCGACGTCTCCCTCCGCCGCGCACAGATTTTCTGTAAAACTCTGGCGCTCCTGTAACTATTAAAACTTAACTTTTATTGAAACCAGAACCGCTCTCACTCTTCAAATTCAATTTTTATTATTGTCGCGTCACGAAATAGCGAACCAATACCAAACGATAGCAAAAAATCGAACGCTGGCGCTGAAGTCCTGAATAAACACGCTGTGCAGCTGCTGCTCTCGAACATCAAGCAACGACCACTAGCCGACCACAGCGAGGGTCGGCCCAGCAAGAAACTCTGTTGAAGCCACCGAAGATAGCACTATTTGCCTTTCCAGTTCCAGTGGAAAAAAATCGAATGTTGGCTACCACGAAAGAGAAGGCGCCTCGCGGGGTCATGCTCTCGGCTCTGGCCGTATTGGGGGCCGCGTACTTTGCGCCCGGCCTTGTGCACGGCGTCACTTTGCGTGCGGGGGCCGGCTCGGCGGCTAATTCAGAAGATCCGCAGGTGATCCGCGAAGAATGTCGCCCGAGGCTGGTTTTTGTGGAGACTTTTCACACGGAGCTGAATCAGCTGGCTCCCGTTAAGGACGCGCTGCGTAACTTTTATGGGTACAACGACACAGCGGAGGTCCCCCAGAAAAATTTCGCTAATATCGACACGTTGAACGGGCTCGGTCTGCCGGCGGGGTCGCCAGACGGGACATTGGTGGGGGAGTTTTTCGCCCTTTTTGCCCGCTTCCCCTTGCGTGCAGCGGACGGCGCAACGTCTCTCGGAGAGATGGCCGCTGGTGTCATAGAGGAATTTCAGCGCGTGCTGTGGAAGTTATTTTCCGCCTTCCGCGCCCGAGTCCCAGAGGAAAAAGAGCGACGCCGGATCGCGCAGCGGCTGCTCGCCGCCTGGGGCGTGCCGTTGCGAAAGAGTCCCCAGGAGGAACGACGCCCCATCCATATCGTGTCGGACTTCCTCTACCCGGGGGCCGCTTTTCTTGGTCTCCTAGCCGAGTTTCTGGAGGACCGCCGCGTCTTCCCGGCGGGCGGCAAGCTGTTTGCGTGGGTGGGCACTCCGTTTCTCGCGGTGACGGTATTTTCCTGGACGGGCTCGACTGCAGCGGCCGACGCAGCTGCCGTCGCCGACATGCACAAGTTAAATTTCGTCGCGCCGACTGGTCCCTATCTCCCGGGAGGGGGGGACGCCGCCGCCGTCGTCCGGCTCCTGCTCCGTCTGCCCGGAGGCCCGAGCGAGGGGGAAGAGGTTTCGCGCCCCTTCCCGGACTGGTTTCCGGTCGATCGGATCTGCGCCGCGCTGCCCTGGTTTCCGCGCGACAACGTGGCGCTGGCGGAAGGTGGGTACGAAAGACTCGTCACAGGGACAGCCGGCGAGCCGGTGCACTCGCTCTTCGCCGGGGACGATCAGGCGTTTGCGAAGCGGGTGTTCTGGCTGAACACCGGTGCTCCGCCTGCCGGAGCACCGGAAGCTGCAACTGACGTGGCGCCCGAAGTCGCGGAGCTCGAAGCGCTGGCACTTGCCGGCGCAGGAGCCGGGCCCACCACCTCGGGCGCCGCGGCGGGTGCGGGGCAAGTAGTGGTGGCGAAACCTCCGAAGACGCTGGTGCTCGTGGCTTTCGGCACTTTCGCTGGGGTTCCGCTGGTCGGGGGTGGAAACAAGGGAGAACGCCGCCTCCCTTACAAGGAGATGCTGAAGGACCTGTTGAGTCTCGGCGAGGAGTACGTCGTCGCGGTGCGCGTGAACTATCCGGAGGGCCAGGCCGAGCGGGAAAACGTCCAAACGCCGGCGGAAATTTTGGCTGCGCTGACGGAAGATGGAACTACCGGCCGCGCCACGGTGAAACTGTATGAGGGGTATTTTCCGCAAAAGGCACTGCTCGGCGCGCGGTCGGCGCGGGAGAATCGCCTTATCTTCGTGTCGCACGGAGGCATTAGCAGCCTCTCCGAGGCGCTCCGCGCGCGCGTCCCCACGGTGTTGATGCCCTTGCAGGTGGAGCAACTGGCGAGCGACAAGCTGATGGTGGCGCACGGGCTCGGGGTGGACGCCTCGCAGGCCGGGGCGAACTACGAAGGGTACATCGGCGAGCCGAAGGCTTTCCCGCAGAAGTGGGTCTTGCCGGCACAGTACGCGACAGATGACGCGTCTACATCTTCCCAGACTGCCGGCTTCGCAAAGATCTCGGAAGCCGTCGCGGCGGTCGCAGCACGAACGAAGGTGCTCCGGGAGAATATCGACGCATTTGCGACCGAAATGGAGAAAAAAGCACTTGCTGTCGAAGACTTAGCAGAAATGCTTGCGACAACTGGAAACGCGCCGCAACTTTAATGGCCGAAGGCAGCTGAGTAGGTCTTACGTCCAAAACCACTTTTGCATGCCTTCAACGCCCCGCCCGAGCCGAAGCCGTCCGTGAGCAATGCGTGCTCGCAGCAGTAGTTCGATCGGACGAAATATAAAAGTCTCAATCCCACACTGAGAAACTAGATCTGAAAATAGCAGGCTATTGATTTTTATTCAGCCATAACACAGTAGTACGACGCTTGCCTTTGTTTTTGTTTTTCTCTATTGCGGCCCGAGCGACGCCGGGGGCGCAGGTATTAAAAAAACCAAAAAGCCGGCCCCCTTCCGCGTGTAGCCCTGGGACCGTGACACTCCGGCGGCGGCGCGAAAATCCCCCCAAAAAAAAGAAAAGCGCCACCGACATACCACTACAGCAAGGGCTGCGGAGTAACCGCCGCAAGCTCCAAACAAAGGCGCCAGGCAAAATTTACCTTCCGCCGCTAGTTATGGCCCGAGCCCCACCGGGGGAGCAGGTATCATTTAAAATAAAAAGCCGGCCCCCGTAGGCGTGTAACCCTTGGGCCGTGGCACTCCGGCGGCGGCGCGAAAATCCCGAAAAAAAAATGCTGCAATGATGGCGCAGCAGCCACCGGACGCAGCAACAGTGAAGGAGCTGATGAGAAAGAAGCGACAGGTCGACACAGGTAGACTGGACAGAGCGAAAAAACAAAAGCCAGCAACAGCAAAAACCGAAAAAATGCGGGAAGAGCAGCGAAGAAGAATAGTGGAGCAACAGCAAGAAGCGGAACGGGGGCGGGCAGAATCAATTCAAACGATCAGCGGCAAGAGCTGGGTGCGTTTACCCGGCCAAAGAAGGGAGGTCTGGCACCTCGAAGAGAACGACCGGGTGCAGTTCGACGTGGACAGCGAAGATTTTTGTGAGAATACAGGAAGGGAGATTAAATATGTCTGCGGGATCGCCTTCTACAAAAGCCAGGATAACACCTGGCAAGCGGAGTGACTTTCGGGTCATTCCGAATAAAGCAGTACTGGGTGCCCGTCCACTCATAAGATAAAGAGAGATGATGAAGAAACATCCAGGACACGCACAAATATGATGATGATGATGATGATGACTTAACCTAGTCGCGCAAGTGGAAGTGCTCAGATTGAACGACCGACTTGTTATACTAGATATCACGTGAAAGGTGGCTGCTGTCGTAGTCGTTGTTCACGGCTTTAGTCGGGGGACCAAGGTCCGGAAGGTGCAACAAGAAACCTCGGTATAGAAATATTAAGCGACTCCTCACGCGTCGCCGAGTCGCCCGCAGGATCTTCGTGGTTGGTTTTCAACCACTTCTAATATAAATCGAAAATGGACGAGGGCCGCCCCCGCCGCGTCAGCCACCGGGCCAAGCAGATGAAGCCAACCATGGCGCCGTGGCTCTCACTGCTCGCACTCCTCTCGTCGTCAACCTTGATGTTGCAGCTGTTTTCTCCTGGGGCGAGTGAAGTTGTATTGACTCCCTACTTCTTTGTGTTTGCTCTCGCGTCTTCCAACATCCCACCACACATGATCAACCAGAACTTGAATAACGGGAATTATCCAAACCAGCCGCCCCAGGCGTTCGTGCCGGACACTAGCCGAACTGGTAGTTCGACCGGTGGCTTTTTGGCACCGCGGAGGTCCGGGTCCACAGCCTCTCTTGGTGAAGGTACGCCCATGATGTCGGCCCGGCGGATATCCTGTGTAAAAACGTCCCCACCCCAGAGTTGTCATGCAGATTTGCCAGGACAGGAACATTTGTGATGCGCAACCCCATGACAGGCATTTTCAATCGTGTTTGGGAACTTGTAATGCTGTAAACAGGATCAGAAGGTCGATTTGTGATGCGGCTTTCCTTGCCAACTTGCACTACCTTACGGACTGAAACTTGTCATGCGTGACTCCTAAAACTCCTAGGTTTGTGTTGCAAAATCCCCATCCTGACTCTGGTGTGGGTACGTTTTTACTCAAGATAGCGGACCACGGCACCGCTGCCGCTCGGTGGTTTCAACCTGCCCACAGGATCAACAGCGGGACTATATCAAAAGGAAAAACCCCCCCTCCCCATATCGAAAACGAAATTTGTGTTGCTGTATTTGAGTACACAGATCACGTTTGTCTTGCAGTAAAGGACTGCACGCAGATCGCAAGCCTAAGGGGGGGCCTCTTGGTGTAGGGCCCTAGCATGGCAGACGTCTGCCCTATAGGCCTTGCAGCATTACAAATCGCCTGCATATCGTCGCGGACTCTCTGAGTTTGCCCTCTTGCAAGGGAGACAGGATTTGTGGTCACAAATCAGCATGGCAAATTTTTAGAAGCATACCTTTTCAGTATGGGGAGGGGGGATTTTTCCTTTTGATAGACTATCAGGAGTTGTCACTCCTCGTGCACCACCAACGTCCACCACCTTTCCGCTGCAGCCGCCGCAGCTCTTTGTCCCCCAGTTGCAATCCCACCAGGGGATCCACCCCAATGCGTTTCAAAACCCGCTACTGCAGCAGATGTCTTCGGCGCCCAGTACTTCTTCTTCTTCTATGGGGGTGAATTTTCCGATGCATCAGTTCGGCGTCGGGGGTGCGGCCATGTTTGCAGCAAACCGGAACTTTCAACAACCGAACGCGATTCTGGCCTCCGGTGCAGCTAGTGGAGCCGGGACGCCAGGTCTACCGCCACCCAACGCGATCGGGTCTTTGCAACTACAGCCGAAGTTGAACTCGATTTTTGGTTCCGGGGTAGTTGTGCCACCAGGGGTAGTTGTGCCCCCGGCTTTATCCGCGAGAACTTCTTCTATCGAGGGCACAGAAAGTCCTTCGACGACCCAGCCGGTGCCAATCAAGCCCCGGTTGCATCGGGTGGCGTATGAAGATTCCCCGATGGATCATCAACAACAGCAAGGGATAACTACTCCCGGTGAAGAAGGTCGCGCACCAGGTGCGGCTGCTGCGTCGTCTGCGACGTCTTCTGTGCAACCAGAAAATAATGTTGCCCAGGGCGATAGTGCACAAGACCAGGAGGAAGAAGTGTACCAATTGACGCCCGTTAAAGGCTTTGTGGAGCCGAACTATCCTCCTCGACCTGTGCAAATGACCAGAGTTGTTCGTGCGCCGCAGAGCACGGCAGAAAACGACAACGACTCATCTTCTGGGGACGAAACCACACAAGAACGAGCGTCGCTAGACAGCAAAACCAGAAACACGGCAGCGGGAGGAGCTGCACTTCCACCGGCCGGCGTCGGTAGCTCTACTCCCTTAACCTCGGAGAGGACAATATCGGAGGCCACGCTGAATTTAGCAGAGCAAGATGATCAAGAAGTTCAAGGCAGAATGAATGCCGACCAGGAGGAGCCGACAAGCCCCTTGCGACCCGCTTTGGCGGCCTTGCAACTAGACGACGATGTCGGAACAAAGATGCACAGCACAGAAGATGAACAACAGCAAACGGCGCGGTTTGGAGGTGCAGCTGCTGCTGGACCAGATGGAATGGACACCAGCGCACAGCAGAATCCAGCAGAAAAAACGTACGATCCACTGGACATTGATGAATCCGACGAGGAAGGTGTAGTACCAAGTGAGGCAGCAGGAGCAGGAAGTGGCTCTAGCGCCACGCAGTCTGGCAGTGGTGTCCAGGATGTGAATGAAAATTCTTTGCCGACGTTCAACGAGAATTACAAGGGGTTCCTTCTGCAGCAACCAGACACAGCAGTAGACTCTGTCCAGCAGGGGCCCGAGGAGGGTGAGGAATTGCCAGGACCCCCTGGAACAGAAGGTGCTTCCGTCAGTATATTATGACTTCATGCTTTTGTTCCCGCTTTAACTTTTGCTTTTCGCACCAGCTCTGAATAAATGAATCGATTCAACAAAGAGCGCCACGAAGACGTTCCCAGCATACGATGTTTGATAATCTGTGACAATCTATACCTGCCCGCTCGCGGACCACTGGTGTCCACTGCTAGAGTAGATCTACACGATTCATCAACAACAATGCTCGATGACATCAAACAACAGGCGAAGCACTTCTAAATTCCTCAGATATGAAGATCTCGAGCACGCTTTCCGCGGTGGAAACAGGCGGAAGTGAGGCCAACAACTGCGATGTAACAACACCCGACGAGAAAAATACAGCGGCGACCGGCTCTTCTATGAGTACTAACTCCTGTACAGCGACAACCTCGACGGTTGTTCAGGACCGGTCTTCCAATCGTGCCGATTTCACCACGGGTGGACAACTAGTACCCGAAGCAACCACCACAACTGCGGGCATTGATGAAGATGATGACCAAGGTCGACAGGATCAAGAAGAAGAAGGAGATCCAGACGCGGATAACACCTCTTCCCCGACCGGCACTACAGGAGGAGCTTCTTCTACCACAAATTCGTCTTCGCCGGGAAACAATATTATTGTTGCCAGGTCGGTGAATTTGGACGGAGGAAACACAAATAGCGCTAGTACAGCAACGATCCTTGGTGAAGACGATACCGACGGCTTGGTGGAGCGAAGGGAAATTTCCGAATCGACGTTATCCCCTGCTGGTGCGACTGGTTCTTCTGGTCTTGTCGTTCCTCCGACAGAAGGTTCGACTACTGTCACGACTTTGTCGACCAATGATGGCACCAATCAGCCGCCGGGTACTAGTAGTACCGCGGAACAAACAAGTAGTACTGTTGCGACAGAAGGAGCCAGCACGGAGGAACATACTGGAGCTGCAACTGCTGGCTCGTCTTCTTTCGCGAACATTTTTTCCTCGCCCCTCTTCTACATCGGGGGTGGAGCCTCGGTTGCGGTGGTGTCTTTGGGGGTGTGGAAAATACAGCAGATCAGGAACACCGAGTTGTGAGAAAGAACAGAGTCAATTTCAGCACAACTCCTCTGGAAGCTCTGCGTGAAATTCCGATTCGTTTTATCGTACATTATGAAAGAAATTTTGGATTTACAAGAAAAGGAATCGACATCTTCGTGGTAAACTCCATACATTGTTTTGGAAATGAGTAGGACTAGTACTACAGTGGAAATGTATAAGTTTTTCAAAATGAAAACGTTTGTTTCGCTTTGTCACCTTCTGTCAAGAAGAAAAAAATGAATTTAAATTATTAAAAGCACAAAAACTTTCAAAATGCTGAGAATCTGCAAAACTTGAATTGAATACAGCAAACTTTTACGTTGTGTTGTCCTTCTGCGAAAGAATGATTTTTTTTTTTTGCCTTCAACACCGTGTAGGAAGATTGAACTTTGATAATTAATATGATGGGTTTAGGGTTAAGCAAGTGCAACATGCTCCCTGGTCGATACAGCGATTCATTGTTCTTGTCAGTTTTTTGTGCTGTATAAACATGAATTTACAGCACTTTCGAGCGATGGTACCATCTATGTGGAGATGTCCTAGAAGTAAAAGCAGTTTTTTCTGTGTAGTATGTCAGTCGCTGTTCCTTGAGGTACCTTTTCCAGAAGCCAGTCCGTTATTCCAGCCAAAACGCACAAGTAACATGACTCAACAGCTTTCCCAAAAAATTCCTCCTTCAAACGCACTTCGTGTATGAAAAAAAATGTTCTTCGGCTGCTACCTGCTGAACTCCATCCCCCACCCAAAACGGTCCTATCGCACGAAAAAAGTGTTTCACTGTAAGGATTTTGCAAGTTTTGCATCACAAGTTTGTTTTACATGACAGCGAAAATTTGCCACGCGGGGTTCCTAAGGGAAAACGCAGCTAGAAATCCAGTCTCTTGCATCTGTAGCATGACACACACTTCTGCGATCCATTTTCTGCATCACAAGTTTACAGTGAAGCAGCTTTTTCTTGCGATAAGTCCTATGTCGGCTTCACGGTCGATCCCAAAAACCGCCTTCGCCAGCACAATGGCGAGAAACAGGGCGGGGCGAACCGCACGAAGCGGGGCGACGGCCGACCCTGGAAGATGGTGCTTGTCGTGTATGGGTTTCCCAACAAGGTCGCGGCTTTGCAGTTCGAATGGGCCTGGCAGAACCCAAGCTTGAGCCGGAACGTCAAGGCGGGGATCCGGGAGAACAACAACGCAACTGAGATGAACACCAGCCTGGAACTGCAAGTGCCTTCCTTGCAGAACATTCTGCGGAAACTGCAACCGAAAACCACGGGGCGGAGACGGCGGATGTATTTGACAAATGCCGAGCATCTCCAGGTCGCGCAACTCTTACTGCACTGCGAACCTTTCAAGCGGATGGCGCTGCGGGTACACGTTTTTGAGAATGACAGTGACATGTTGGGGGATCATGACACCAACACGACAAATTATGCGGGAACTACGGGAGCAGTACAACTAGCGCCGGCCGTAGCTGCCGCGACTGCAGCGTCGGCGTCTGTAAAGTCGCACAGTAAAAAACCGAACAAGAAGCACCCCCAAAATGCTTCTTCATCCAAGAACGGCAATCCGTTTCTGGCCAACGAGGCGAGAGTTACGGAAGTCGCGGCCGCTGCGCTCAAATACCTAGGGACGATGGGAGATGAGAAAACCGCGTTGAAGTTATGCAGTGCAAATGTGTCTGGGTCTGGAAGAGTACAACTTGTGATGCTGGATTTGGATGCTAAACAAATCTGTATTGCGCGGGCAGGAAGAGGAGTCAAATTTTTGCTACGCGGAGGGGGCATTTGTCATGCGGAATGCGCATCGATAAGGGCTCAAAAAGTCTGAGATGCTAGGGCATACATCACAGACATCATGCATCATGGAAAACCTGCATGACAGACTTGTCCTCTTCCAGACCCAGACCACATATTTGCATTTGATAGAAGTTCATCAATTACAACATGCAAGCTTGCTCCACCTTGAACGAAGACGTGCAGAAATTTGAAGCGAATTTGAAGGAAATCATATCAAAAGGAAAAATCCCCCTCCCCATATCAAAACGGAATTTCTGATGCTGGATTTGTGTACACAAATCAGGTTTGTATTGCAGAGAGGCATTGCGGCCAGATCCCCAGGATAGGTAGGGGCGTATGGGTCTAGTTATTCAGCACGACAAGCGGCCCACTTTTAGGCCCAACAGCATGACAAATCACTTCCATAACGGGGCGGAAGCTTCTGCCCTTGTCTTCTTGCAAGACAAATGTGATTTGTGACCTCAAATCAGCAACGCAAATTTTCGGAAACATACCTTTTCGATATGGGGAGGGGGGATTTTTCCTTTGGATAAATCAGCGATATTCGGGACGAAGCAGCAAAGCGACGGGAAGAGGACGAGAGGCAGAAGCAACTGAAGGAAATGAACAAGAAGAAAAACAAAAACAATGCTGGTGACAGAACTGAAGGTAGTAAAAACTGTACTGCTTTCATATCGTCAAGCAGTTTGAAGATGACAACTGCTGGCTCTCAGGTATTCACCCAAACGAACAAGTACGCGATTCTATCCTGAGTAAAAACGTACCCACACCAGAGTCAAGATGGGGAATCGGCTAGACAAATCCACAAGTTTTGGCTGTTTTGCATGACAAATTTGGATTCGTAGTGTAGTGCTGTTTGAGCTAGCTCAGCAGCATCAGAGATCTAGCATACCATGCTGATTGGAGCATGGCAAATTGCAAAACACGACTAGAAAATGCTTCTCATGGAGCTCCGCATGAGAAACATTTTCAGCATGCAGATTTGCATTACAACTCTGGTGTGGGTACGTTTTTACTCAGGATAGATTCGTGTCGCGGCGAAAATCACATTACGCGGTGGTAGTTTGAGTGGCGACGAAGCGATAGGAAATGGGTTAACATCAGGAGCTCGTCGTCCTGTGATTCAACATCCCGTGACGTCGAAAATTATCCCGCAGCACATGGCAATTACGAAGGGGGACATTGAGAGCCTGGAGCAGAGTTGCAACTACCTGTTTAAGCAGGTGGAAGAGCTGAAATCGAGACAATTTGCCGCCGGAGAAACGAGTTGCAGTTTGTGCCAGAAAAGTCTTTTTTCTGCAGCGGCTCGTCCTGGTAGTACCGGAGGTGATCTTCCACTCAACCCAGGACATGAACTTGGAAGCAGTGTCGCTGCTGGTACAAGTTCAAGCAGCAGTGCCAGTTCCTCGTCCGCTTCTGCCTCATCTGCAGCGGTGAAAAATCTTCCAGGACGACGGGCCCCGTTGCTGATCTCTTGTCTCTCTTGCGCAACGCAATTCCACGTTGGCTGTTTGGCGAACCACTTCCTTCAGGAGCAGCAGAAAGTAGAGCAACAGACAGCAGCTAATGTGGTCGGTGGTACTAGCAGTTCGTCTTCTTCGTCTAAAGTGGAAAAAATGGCATCTACTTGGAGCGACAAAAACCCCCCACAACCTGTTTTACCGTTGATCCCGACCGAATTACCGGTCGCGTGCCCAAGGTGCCAAGCGAAATTTTCCTGGTCGGTGTTAGTCCGCACGGTCGACATGGAGCAGGCTGCGGGAAATTATAAGCTGGGTAGTAGTTTTGTGGCGTTGCAGCAGGACCAAGAGGAAGCTGAGCCGGAAATTCGGGAAACTGATTTCTTGTCAGGAGAGGAGGATGATCTGTCCATCTCGGGCGACGAGGAAGGGGACGATTTGAACTCCCGGGTTTTGACTTCTGTGTCCAGCCAGAAAAGCCAGAATTTATCTTCCTCGCAGCATGTTGACAGTGCTGCTGGTGCTTCTTCGTCCCGGAAGAGGAACAAGAAACCGGGAGCAGCAGCAGGCGCTAGTACCGGCGCAACTGGTACAACAACCAGCGGTCAACAAGCTTCGAAGAAGAACATCGCGTTTGGAAAAATGTCCCAGAAATCGCAATTTCTGTTCTACGGGGGGACTACAAGCAGTGGAGGGAAGAGGAAGAACAACGACAAATCGAAGCAAAGCAAACGATCGCAGAACTACAAGGGACAAACTGCAGGGACAACATCATCAAGATCAGATTCGTCACAACAATCCTCGTCGCAGCTATCTTCCGCCCAATCTTCGCGGTCAAAAGATGTTGGCACGCTAGGTCTTTTCACGCCACAGAAACAAGTGACGAGCAGCAGCGGGAAGCGGAGGAAGAATTCTTCGGGTAGTTTTTTACAATCTGGAGCAGATGGTGAACATCTTGACACCGGGTTTGCGGAAGATGCTGCGGACGACGATGAAGTAGAACAGGATCCATTGCTGAAGAGACAGAAGCTCTCGACGATCAAGGAAGTCAGCCAGGAAATGGGGACCAACAGCCAAAACAGCGGTTTGAACGGGAACAGTCAGTTGAGCGGTCTTGGTGGGGCAACGGGGACTGGTGGGCCGGTTTCTCTGTCGCAGTCGTATCCGACAGGATTCGCTCCGAACTATAGTCCGGGAGAAGTTGGAAAAGACGGACAGAAAAATGAAAGCAAGGCCGTTTTGAAAGGTCTGGAAACTAAAATTACTTCTCGAGCAGAACCACTGAGCTTGATTGAAAGACTGCGTCTGAAAAAGCCAAGAGAGATGGAAGCGATGGACGAGAATAGACTTAAAGATCTTCAACGTCAAGGTTCACATGCAACAAAATTAACCTGTGGTAGTATTCGCTGCTAGGAAAAGCGTCCTGGAAATTGGCCTGGAGGTTTAGTGTGGGTGATTTGTGTTCCTATTCTTGTCTCTTGCAGCGGAGCAAGAGCATTTGTAGTTCAAGGAGCCGAGCGGCGCTAGGACGCATCGCGCACTAAGATTTCTGTGATGACCGAGCGCGTGCAGGTGCTTCGCGATTTTCCCCGCCGAATCATGGGCGTCAGGCGGAGCGCGCCGCTGCAGCTTGCGCGCTCGGCTTCGGCTTGTTCGTGTTGGGCAAGGACGTGACTGGGCCGGAGAGTTGCGCCACCATCGGAACGCGCTGCCCCAGGTGGCCGCCTTATTGCTGGACGAACACAGCCGCCGGCAGAAGGTGCTGCCCCTACCCGAGTTCCCACATGCCAAGCGCAGCGAGCTTCTTACTGGTTCCGGCGCCCCCACATAGAAGGGAATGCCGGGCAGAGGAGTACATCGAGGAAGTTTCCTCGGCGGGACGCTGCGCCAGGGACATCCGGAGCAGCTCGCGCGCTTGACCAGGGCGGTCCGGCGCCTAGCCTGCGCGCCCCATTACTTTCGGCGCCCATTGCCGAACTCCTTCCGCCCCGTCCGCCCAAGCGTCCTCCGCTCCGGACGCACGCCGGGGGCCCGCGGCGCTGGTTTATTGGAAGGCTGGCCCCCCCGGGAGGTTCTCGAGAACGCGGGGCGCCGTTGCGCGTCATGCCTGGACAAAGAGCGCCAGGCGCCCGCCCCGCCGCGGCGGTTGGCCGGCGGGCCGAGGGAGACAGTCCTGCACGAGGGTGCCGACTACTGTCTCGCGAGAAGTGGCAAAAAGCTGTCGCGCGTCGGCCCCCGGCCTTCTTTTTCTGCTTGCCCGCGCCCGCTGCCCCCGCGCGCCCCGCCCGCGGGCTGTTTGCCGGGTCCGCCCTCATCGCCCGCCTTTGCGCTGGTTTGGGCGCCCTCTTCGGGCTCGTCTTGTTTGTCTTTGATCCGGGAGTGGCCCTAGTCCTTTCGCCGGCCAGCTCGCTTGTCTCTCTGTGGCCCGCCCGTCGGTGGTGTAGACGGTCCCTTTTCGGTGGGCGAGGGGAGTTATTGATTGCCGAGCGTTGCACTCGGCCACATGCTCGCTGCGCGAAAGCATTTTGACGTGGCGCTGCAGCTGGTGCTGGATAGGTTGTCGTGATCGCCGTGCAGCATCTCGGCGGCAATGGCCTAGCGCTATTCGTTCATACGGCATTCGTTCATACGTGGCCATCCGGCCGCGGTTGTACTAAAGCTAGCCGCCCGCGGTGATCTTTCAGTCGAATCTGCTTGCAGCGGAGTTGTTTCGCCTTCGTGTGGTCGTCGTTGTTCTGGATCTTTTGCTGAGAAATTGTTTGAGGGAGCTTTTTAAGGAGTGAGTCGTTTCTTGAGCGAGCACACATGAATTCTACGCAGGGCGGCTCGGACGCTCTCGTCGACCATGGTACACAATCATCTTGATCGATTGTTCAAAAGCAGAGTGCCAGGTGCATTTAGCAGAGAGTCGACGTTGAGCTAGTGTGTCAGTACGTACCTCCGAGCGAGCTTGTGTTGCTGCGTTTACTTTGTCGCTTTCCTGATGATCATCACGCTATCGAGGTCCATTTATGTGATCGATGCCTATCGGCAAAGCCAACCACAATGAGAGGCACGCCGGGCGTCCTCGTCTGCGTCTATGTGTAAACATTTCTGATCCATATTCAGGCTACGTAGGTACCGCGAGCTTACTACATGAAACGCGGGCCGATATTCACCCATTGGTACAGCACTAAAGTGCAAGCCAAAATGACGACCGTTCTTTGCTGAGCCTCGTTTGAACAAAACCCTCCGCCGCATTAGCACCACTCCCTCGTCCCCATCATGGAGTATTTCGCGGACTCCCCGCGTTTCGTCCGCCGACGGTTCCACGCCGAACAGGAGCACTTGACCCACATCCAGCACTCGGACACCTGTCGCTGTCTGAAATGCGCGAAGTTCGCCCGGACGGCCCCGAAACTCGGGATCCAAATTCCCGACTCGGTGTTAGAGGAAGTCAACAAAAACCGGGTTTCACTGATCGACCCGCTGGTCTGTGCCCCCGCGACAACCAGCATCGGCGCAGCGGGCAGTCAGGCGAGCGGGGCCGCGGGGGAACCGGTATAATTAATGCGAGTGGAGGTTTGTCTTTGACTTTGTCATGCGTGAGTGTACTACCTAGTACTGCGGTTCAGTTTCTGATGCTCCTGTTTGAACAACTACAACCTGGTGCGATTGTCTTCAAAATTTCTAACAGCGTGGTCGCGGGTCACCAGCAAAATCATCCAAGACCGTCGTCAAGAAGGAGGTTGCGCCGGCAAGGGTATTAATTCGTGTTGATGCCGTTCATAAGAACTTCGACTTCCACAACTGGGGTTTTGCATGCCAGCATCAAATAAGTTGCAAAATTAGAATTCTATGCTTGCATAATAAACAACCGACGCAACTACGCAAAGTTTCTATCTGCAATACAGAAATACCGTGACCTGCAATGGCTGATGATGAAGATGAAGGGATCCGTGATCGTCGGCGTCAACACGCTATCAACTGCAAATATGTCTGGGTCTGGAAGAGTGCCAGACTTGTCATGCAGGTTTTCCATGACCCATGATGTCTGCTATGTAGGACATAGCATGACGGATTCTGTGATTAGTTCTCTCTCTATGATGCCTATTCTGCTGCATAAAAAACTGCATCCCGATTAGGTCACACGTGGACAGCTTTTGGTAATCATGCAACACAGATTTTTACATGATTCAGATTTAGCATGACAAGCTCCATCCTCCCACACCCAGACATTTTTGCATTTGATACACGCTTTACAAAGACGAACGAGGGAGACAGTCGTACGATATTCAACTCTCAACCGTTGTCGACCCAAGCGGCGCGAGCAGGGCTGGGGCAAGTGACGACGTATGATTTTTTGATTTTGTCTCATGTGAAAAATCATTTATTGGTCTGCATGATTGGTGGTATTCTCGCTCTGTGTCTCAATGTGCATGACTGACACGTTGGTTTGAGTTTTATCTTCTTCAAAATGTAGTTCCAAAATCTTGCAATCCCAATCTTGCAACACAAACCACACGACCCATTACAGGCTACCGGCGCATCCCGAAAAAACGAGCTGGTGGAAAAGATGAACTATCCTGTGCAAAAGTATCGTACTCGTATGAATCGCAATACAAACTGGCTCAGCATTACAAATTAAATTTGTAATGCGGATTTACCTTAAAGCAACTACATTTGTAATGCATAACTGCGATCACTACGAGTGCGATACTTTTGCAATGCATATGAGCCAGATGGTCCATCGGGTCCTTTTCCCTGACACAATCTTTTTCGACCGCGGAAAACCCACGCAGTATTTTCTCACGTGCAACATGGACGAAGACGTCTCCTCCGCGGGGCAATCTGGGACGGAATCCACTGTGAAGATGAAATCGTCTGGCGTTTCCACAACCACCTCCGATGAGCAGGAGAAAAAGAAGGAAGCGGCGAAGAAAAAGAAGGAGTTGAAGAAGCAACTAGAATATCAAATGTAAAAATGTCTGGGTCTGGAAGAATGCACGTTTGTCATGCTTGTCTGGCATGACTCTTAAATCTGTCATGCACGTTGCCCAAGAGCCGCGCTTTTCTGTCATGCGGAGACGCAGTTTGTCATGCAGAATAGGCAACACCTAGTAGCTCAGATGAAATTTGTCATGCTGAGCCAGCACTTGTGGCCTCCCCATGCTACGCCACTTAGCATCACAAGTTTATTCCAGACCCAGACACTTCTGCATTTGATATAGAATCGGAAGTTTGCGCCAACGACGAAGCGAATCCAAACGCGAAGCTGTTACAACGGACGTTGACCGCTTTGGTGAAGCTCCGATCCAGTTCCGAGTTGATCACCATCGTTCGGGATTTTCTGCGACGAGCGCTGGTGTTGTATCAAAATGAAAAATCCCGATCCCCCCTCCTCATCCTAAAACGGCGACTTGTGTAGCATGATTTGCTTCCACAAATCATGTTGTCATGCTAGAAGGCAAAAGATGCGGACACGGACTGTAGTGCTCGCTGACGTGGGAAAACCTTGCATCTTCAGCATCACAGGAGGCCACTGCAAGTGGGAAACAGCATAACAAACCGTCTACAATTTAGGCCGCAACTGCGTCTCTTGGCCTTCTAGCAAGACAAGTCGATTTGTGTACACAAATCCAGCATCACAAATGTCCATTATGGGGAGGGGGGATTTTTCCTCGCAATATGTTGCGAAGGAAACAGTCGAGTTTCGAGAAATTGATCCAGGGCATGGTGAAGGAGGCGCTGATGTCGGATGAAGAATATCAAATGCAAAAGTGTCTGGGTCTGGAAGAATGCAACTTGTGATGCTGCATTTGGATGTCTAAAAAATTTGTGTTGCATGAGCAGCAAAAGGAATCTAATTTTTGCTACGCGGACAGGGCATTTGTCGTGCGGAATAGGCATCATGAGTCCCTCAATAAACCTGTGATGCTAGGGCATGCATCACAGACATCATGGCTCATGCAAACTGTGCATGACAAGTCTCAGATTCTTCCAGACCCAGACATTTTTGCATTTGATGAAGAGTTGCACCAGGCGATGATCCAAAATCTGAACCCGCGGTTAGTCCTAAACCCCTACCGGTACTTCCTAGTTCCGGGGAAAGAGGGCGAGCACTACTGCGGGGAAATGGAGGGGATCACGGTCTACTTACCGCCGAACGCACCGGAAGGGCCGAACGGGCTGGCGATGGTGCACGCGCAAAAACAGTTCATCAAGCACGCGTATACCAATAAGCGCGGGATCGTACCGCGACAGATGAATCTGGAGTTGAAAGCACCGCCCGGGGCGCAGCAACCGGGCCCGTATCAAATGCAAATATGTCTGGGTGCGGAAACTTGTGATGCTAAAATGTGGATGATTGCAACAGTTGCGAATGCAACACAGCATGACAACTTTTCAGAACGCTTTCTCATAGGAAACCCGCATGAGAAGCTGCGGCTTTGCATGTACAAAAGAGGCTGCGACTTTTGTTGGTTATGCAATACAGATTTCCTGGGTATGCAAAGCTAGCACTACAAGTTCCAACCTTCCAGACCCAGGCATATTTGCATTTCATAGCCCGCACGCGGTCTCGACGGCCGTGAACCCGTATGACGAGTCGATGGAGATGCTGATATGCATTGCAAATATTTCTGGGTCTGGAAGGTTGCAACTTGTAATGCTGCCGTTGGATTCCAAAAAAATCTGTATATGCATGGCCAGCAACAGGAGTCCAGTTTGTGTTACGGGGAGAGGGCATTTCTCATGCGGAGTAGGCATTAGGAAGCCGTCTAAAAATCTGTGATGCTAGATCATGCATTACAGGCATCATGGATCATACAAAATGTACATGACAAATCTTCCAGACACAGACGTATTTGCAGTTGATAGCTTAGAATACAGTACAAGGACGGAACCGTGCGCCTGTGGTCAGATCGGGAAGTAAGGATGTTCTGCGTCTTGCGGAAGCCGAACCGGCAGGAGTTTTTGGACATCCAAGCAGTACAGATTTTACCCTTCGCCGGGATGCACCAGACGCCGCAGTCGCTGCAGTTTGTGACGTACAACTACAATGAGAAGCTGATCGCGCTGAAAACGAAAATGCGGGCGAGAAGTCCGAAAAAGGATAAGGTCGTCTACGACCCGGTACCGGCGAGGCCGTTGAGTATATTTTCAATTTACAAGTTGCTGTTGTTGAATTTTTGATAAAGGATGTATGCATGACAATCAGTGCTTTCGATGCAATTCACGGGATACAAATCAATGCGAAAAAAATTCATATCAGGTCCAAAACGCCCAGTTCCACTGCCCTTTGACAAAGCAAAACAGCAAGATGAGGAGGAAGAACCTCCAGCTGCGGCTGCGGCGAAGAAGGAAAAAAAGCAGAAATCGAAGGACAAAGCCGCGGGTGACAAAAGCCCAGAAAAGGGTGCCGCAGGAGCTGGGGAACAAAACAAAGACAAAGCTGCAGATAAAGACAAGCACGACGAGAACAAACACGGATCCGTATCCTATGTAGAAACGTCCTCACACCAGAGTCAAAATGGGAAATCTGCTATACAAATCAGCCAGCTTTGGTTGTTTCGCATGACAAAACTGGCTTCGTATTGTAATCGTATTTAAGTAGGTAGTTCAGCAGCATCACAGATCTACCACATCATGCTGATTATAGCATGAGAAATTCTAAAACACGACTAGAAAATGCTTCTCATGGGGCTCCGCATGAGAAATTTTTTTGGCATGCAGATTTGCATGACAGCTATGGTGTGGGGACGTTTTTACACAGGATAATCCTCAAAAGAGCACGCCAGCCCGTCCAAGGACAAACACGGAGGTGCTGGACATCACTCACCGCTGCTCCAAACACCACCACCGTACGACCCTTTAACGTCACCGCACTTGTCGCCTGACTTAGAGCTCATGAAGGGCTTCTTCCCGGAGGCCCACGTCGTCGTCGCCGAGCAGTACGACGACGGAAAGATTTATTTCCACGAAGAAGAAGCTACGAGAATTCGGGCGTTGCAGCGATCCTTGTCTCCAGAACGGTACGGGAAGAAGGGGAAAAGAAAGGCAAAACCGGTGCTGGAGTCAAGCCCGGAATCCCCGGGGTCGAAGGAGAAATCAGTGAAGATAATGGGCAGCGAACAGCACGGAGGGTCGAAAAGCTCGACGGCTGGTGCTGGGAATCAAAATCATGCGGGGAGTAGCAAGGAGGTATATTAGATTTTTTTTTCGTCTTTTTATGCTAAGTAGGAAAGAAGATCATCTTCTGGAGGTCATAATCCATGAATATTCTGCGAGAGTGGTTCTTGTTTGTCCTCTATCTTCAACATGACTTTGCAATTGCATTCTTACACGCTCATGTTGACAACGACTCCGTGAGGACTACTTCCCAAACACACCAACACACCAGCGTGCCTCCACCCAGTCCCCACCCCCGGCAATCAAAACCCCCGGTGGAGCCGCGGCAAAACACGCGGACGCACCCTCCACCCCCACGAAAAGTCAACACCAGCAGCCGCACGGCTCCCCGAAGGCCGCCGAGGCGGCCCCCGCCGCAGCGCCCGCGGCCGCCGGAGCCCCGCCCCCGGAGATGCACACCGGGCCGAAGAAGAAGCACGAGCCACTGGAGCACTTGGGGGAAATACCGGAAACGCATTTTTACATGAAAAACAACGAGAGGGAAGAGTTGATGGAGGAGACGATAGATAAACTTAACGGCTGGCTCACCGAGAAATACGGGCTGCGAATTTTCTCGGGCGTGTTTGAATTCGCCTTTGCGAAAATCGACGTGCCAAGCAAGGAATTCCAGCGGGTTAGTTATCCAAGAAAAAAACCTTGTAGGTGTAACTTTCTTGGAGGATTAGCATGACAAATATCTCTCGCATGAAAGCAAAAACCTGTCATGCGCAGATAGCACGGGAAAACGCCACTGAATGGGCCCTATGATGCATGCCAAGCATGACAGACGCAATCATCTTGCATGTTGCGCATCACAAATTTACACTAACAACGTTTTTTTCTTGGATATTAGTGCGAAGAAAAACAGTGTGCAAGGTATGTGTTAGTACTGATTTGGACCGACTTCAAAAATGTTAAGAAAATCGGAAAAAAATCCGCAAAAAATCCAGGCACGCCGCAAAAAATCGACTTTGTGCCGCGGCTGCTAACGTCCACAAGCGAAGCAAAGTAGCGCGAAACGAAGTCGGTTGCCCGCGTTCTCGAAGCTCGAGAATGCGCCAACTCGGTCTCGCGGCAGTTTTTGCCGGTGTCCTGAGGCGTTAGGCCCCACCCTGGAGCGTCCGGGATGCCAGAAAGATTCCCGCAGCCGGGTTGGGGGCGCCGGGTTGTCATGTTCCGCCCGGCGGGCGGTGCTCACAAAATCGATTTTGTGAGTACCCGCGGACAGACTCGATTTTGTGCGCACCCTTCGGGCACGCTTTTCGAAGATGCCCTATCGATCCTCGGGCGGGGCCACACAATCCGCGCGTGGTCGCAAAATCGATTTTACCTCCAACACAAAAGCCGGAAAACCCGGCAAAAGCTGCAAAATTGATTGCGTGGGGCGAAGTCGCAGAGGACGGGCCTCTGCCCGCCTTGGATCGATGTTTCGCTCGCAAGCTACAGGCTTAGGGATGATCGCGAATTCCAGAACTTGCGCCCCGATGAAGTTCCGCACATTCATCGCGTTGGCCCAGCGTAGAAACCAATGAAAAACGCCCGAGCTTGTGACTTACATCCGGGCCCAAGTTCTGAAAAGCCGCGGGAGCGGCATGGGCCCCGTCTGCGTGTTCTGAGCTCCGTAGAGGCGCCAGGAACAGGGTCTCGGCTGGCGCGGGGGTCGATTTTGTGCAGTGCAAAATCGATTTTGTGCAATGCAAGATCGATTTTGTGCAATGCAAAATCGATTTTGCGGGATTCGGTTTTGTGCAATGCAAAATCGATTTTGTGCAATCCGCGTCTGCAGGAATGCAGAATCCATTTTGTGCAATGCAAAATCGACGTGCCAAGCAAGGAATTCCAGCGGGTTAGCGCGAAGAAAAACAGTGTGCAAGGTATGTTTGGTTGTGATTTTTGTTTTTCATCTTCACCGCATGACGAATATGTATGAAGAGACAAGTCCATGGATTCATATTCTATGCATGACACATGCTTGTTACTCCGACCGTACTTCATATCTTCATATTGCGTAAAAATACAGCTATCATGGCGGAGAAGAAGCAGCAAAGGATCAAGAAAACGCCGAAGCAAGTCGTGGAAGAGTATCAAATGCAAAAATGTCTGGGTCTGGAACATTCTAAACTTGTAATGCTGTCTCTGGATTCTGAAAAAATTTGTATTGCATGACCAGCAAGAGGACTCCAGTTTGTGCGACGCGGAGAGGGCGTTTCTCATGCGGTAGAGGTATCACAGAGCGCTCTGAAACTCTGTGATGCTACAGCATGCATCACAGACATCGTCGGTCATGGAAAATATGCATGACAAATAATCTAGAAATCTTCCAGACCCAGACACTTTTGCAATCCATAAAGAGCTGCAGGAAACGAGGCTAAGGTGCTACTTGATGAACGCGGCGAAGCTTCTCGTGGGGAAAGCGGAAAGAAAAAAGAAGAAGGAGGACCGGCCGAGCTCAAGGGGGAGTAGTCCAAGCCCGTATGCGAGCGAAGCCGATGAGGATATGTATGCATACGGTATTGAAGCAAGTAGTTGAAGTCTTTTCGTTCCTGAGTGATGCAGAATCAGAATGAGAATGTCAATGTTGATTTTTTGACTTGTCTGCACTTGCAGCCATCCATGATAAATCCAACATCATCAACTCGAAATCCAATCCAGATTCCCCCGGCGATGATTCCCAAGGCCAAACCTCCCCCGGCGCTGACAGCAGCCCGGGCGGCCCGTCCGAAGCCGCCACGGATGCCCAATCCCCCGCGGCGCAGAGGAAAAAGAGGCCGAAGTGGCGGACCGAAGCCGGCCCGGAGATGCTCACCAACATGATAGACTATGTATTGCAAAAGTATCGTACTCGTATAAATGCATTACAAATTTCCTCAGCATGAGAGAGAAAATTTGTAAATGTAGATTTACCTTAAGAGCAAGATTTGTAATGCATGGTTGCAATTACTACGAGTGCGATACTTTTGCACAGGATATGGACCTCTGGGAGCCGATCCGGCTAGAGTGCAGCACCGACCCCCTGGCGGAGTTCAAGAACCAGCTGTCCCAATCAACCGGCAAATCGAAGTCCGGCGACACGGACAAAAACTCCGTGGAAATGATGGTCCGGGCGACTGTCGATGCGGCAAGGGAGGGCACCCCCTTCGACCACGTGCCCTTTCTGAAAGAGATTCCGGCGCAGTGCCACGACAAACTGGTGGAAAGCAAGATCGATTTATTCCAGAAAGAACACACTGTCACGGAGAAAACGCGCGTCGGCCCGATCGGGGCGATGCTGCGGAAGCCGCTGCTGCCGGGAGTTGTCGGGGGGAATTTACCAAGGACGAACTCCGAGCCCGTGATGTCCGGACACGCGCTGAGCCACCGCGGGAGGTCGACCGGAACGCCGGTGAAAATGAACCAGTACGGCGGAAGTGGTGGTCCATCTATGTCTCATGGAGCACCGCATGGCATGATGATGAACGGCAATAATAACTTTTCATCAACTACCCCAAACACCGCAAACAACTTCCTCGGGCACGCGCCCATCGTGCCGATGGGCTCTACTGGCGGGATCATGATGGGGTCCCATCCTACTTCCGGGAGGCAGTTGCTTTCCGCGGGGACCAATTCCTCCAAATTTTCCGCAGGAGTTCCGCAAATGTCCTCCACGCCGGGGTCACGGGTGCACACCAGACCAACTTCCATTGCGCAAAACGTAGTGCAGCAGCAGATGATGCAGACCACAAACACCAGCTCGACGCCGAGCCGGAGCCGCAAGGAATTGCCGAAGAACAGCATGGAGAAAGTGGACGTCTCCAGGATATTCCTCGGCGGGGAAAACTTGCATTTGATCCAGACGAAGAATTCGGACGCGGGGCGGGCGGTGCCGCCGGACGAGTTTACGATCCTGAGTCCGAGGCGGAAGGACATCGGACGAACGACAACGGACAGCCTGTCGGATTTGCTCGGCGGGAGTAAAACGAGGGAGAAGTAGAAATAGAGGTGGTTGCGCGGAAAAGACAGCTGAGAGAGTCTTCGTGTTTGGACTTGAATATTGATTGAAGTATACTCCAAATGCCAATATGCTATTGTTGAGAGTGAGAATGAGTTTCACTTTCCGCTTCTGTACAATTTAGCCACTCTGTAAAGCTTTTTTGACTCCATTGTTTGAGGGTGGAGATGTACAATTATTTCACCGAGACTACGTTTATATCGTTTGAAAGCGAAACAAACTAAAATCTGGCTCGACGTCGAGATTTGAAATGCGAACCCGAAGAGAACAACCTTATCCTGATTTACAACAACGAACAACAAGTTTTACAACCTTATCCTAAATGTGCTTGAGAACAGACGGACGATGAGAAGTACCGTGAAGATATTAACCTTATCGAGACAACTCTGAAATGCAATATTCGAACGTCGCGGGCCAATTGTGGCCACGGCGCACGCTGAAGACAAGAAGCGATCCTGGTTTGGTGCTGATCAAATTGAATCTCGACGAGGCTTCCCTCATGGAAAGACCTCGCGATGACAACGAGACTGAGCTGGGCGGTCTTGGAGTAAGTGTTCTGGTCTGATATGTGAGTAGCACTTGGAGGCCATCGCCCTCCCTTCGTTTCTGTTGATGGTCTTTGCCGTGGGTTTGTGTGTGAGGAGGTAGGCTGGTGTCTCTCGGTTGGAACGGCGTGCCAAGCGGGTGCCGGGCGGCTGGCGACCCTTGTCGAAAACGCGGGCGGAGTCGACTCGTTTTGCAGCAGTTACAAGCCGGCCCGCGGGTCTGCCGGCCGAGATCGGCCCTGGGCCCTGTCGCGTGCCGGGATATCCCCGAGGGGCCCCACTAGGCCTGGTCGGCGGTCGCGGCGGGTTGCGATAGAAAAGACGCAGGCGGGCGGAGTTGTGCGGCGCCGCTCAATGTGAGCCCGGGCGCCATGCCGCTCGGCCGGATAAGTGAGGGCGCCGGCGCCGCCCAATCATTGCGAAGTGCGGCCGGGCCTGACGCGAAGCCAGCCGAGAAAGAAGCGCCCGAGGGCTTTTCCGGAAGTTTAACGAAAATGAAAATGGGCCGAAGGCACCACTCTCCAGCGCAAGACTGCCGAAGGTGAGGCCCTCGACAATGAGGCGCAGAAGCCATTGGCTGCGAAGCTGGCGGCGCCACGAGGTCAGCGGACTGTAGGCGGAGCAGCAAGAGAAGGCGTCGCAGCAGGAGAACGCGGAAAGGACTGCCGCGTCGGAGCGGTGCCACTTTGCCCCTGGCCAGGTTCCTCTGGCCGCGGTATCGCAAACGGCAATGCGCGGCGTCAGGGCAGGGGGGTACGGTGCGGGGCGACATCATCACGGCGCAGCCACCGCGGCACGCAGGGCGGCGGCCCGGGAACCGTCTGCCGGCCACATCGGCCCGCTTTGGGTGCGGCTAGATAGAAAGCCCTGCCGGCTCGATGCGGAATAGCAAAAAGAGCAAAAACACGAGAACGAAAAAAGCGCGGCGCGCGGGTGGCCGGCCCCTCGGCGACCCACCTTCCTTCTTCCGCTTCGAAAGCTGGAGCGTTGGCTCGTTTCAACAAACCCGCAAACCTACCCGCAGCAGGCCCGGCGTGCGCGTGCGCCGGAAAGGCCGCCGCGCGCGCCCGCGCGCCCGCCAAGCCAGCCAAGCCAGCCACGGCCGGCCTAGGCCCACCGCACCCGCCCCCCCGGGGGGGTTGCTTGGGCCGCTCGCCTCGCCTAACAAACACCGGCCGGCTTGGCAGCAGGTGCCCCCGTATCCCTTCGGACGGGCCGGGTTTTTTGTGCCCCCGCCCGCAACGAAGCAGCTGCCGCACTCTCGGCAGACAGGCAGGGGGCTAGTTTGCGCGTGGCAGTATGTAGAAAGCCAGCGCGCCTGGCCTTTGTGGTGTCGGGGCCGGCGGGGTGCTCTGTATTTTCGGCGCGGGCCCCCGAGGTCCCGGGCCTTTTTGCAGCGACGCGAGGCGAGCGCCACGCGCGTTGGTTTGCGTGGTGCCGGTTTTGCATCTGCGACCAGATTGACTTTCCCATGGATGATCGATGTGTTTCTTCGCCCGCAAAGAGCAATTTGATGCTCATTCTTTTTCCCCACCTTGTTCATTGTTCTCGATGATCTGATTCAGTGAGCGAGGGATTGGGAGAGAAAGCGAAGGCGTTCGCGTTTCTCCGTGCATCCAGAAAGAAGAAATCAGACCGCTGAGAGAGCGTCCTCGCATAATTCTCACCGCTAATATTACCATGCCCTCCGCGACCAAGTCTTCGAAGGCCGACCGGGCCAAGAACCTGGACGTGAACAGCCCGTTTCGGTACCTCTGCTCCCAGGCGCTCGGGATCAACGAGGACCATGTGTACAACAAACCGCAAACGATCAAGAAACTGGAACTGGTCCTCGGCGACATCGCCAGCAACTTGCTGTTCTGGAAGTCCGCCCCGTACCTGGGCTACTTCCTCGTCGATTTATCGCTCATCAACCAGGACATTGGGGTGGAGCACTTGCAGATGCTATTCGACTACGCGGGGAGTGTGTTTGAGGAGAAAAAGACGCGGGTGGATTCTGGTAGGGTTTTTATACTTATCATGTTTGGCTCCCATGACAAGAAAAAGAAATATGAAGCGTAAAAATCGCGACTAGAATGATGTTGTTGATGAAGAAGTGACTCTAGCATATCCCTTCGATTTTGTGGAATTACTTGCAATTTTTTTTGCCAAAAATGCAAATCAGGTCTTCCCGCTGACCTGCCGCAGCCATGGCTTTACTCCAAGAATGCGGCGCTCGCCTCGGAGCAGCAGCAGGATAGTACTGAACAGAAAACGTCGGGGGCGGGACCAGCGCCAGCGTCTGCTTCAGCGTCCCTACCAGCTACTACATCAACTACGACAAACGTGAAACCCCTCTACACCCCTCTTCCCCACCTCAAGCGCTTAAATCTGTCCGAAAATCGGATCGACCGCCTTCCCGACGAATTCCTCACCCTGAGCGAAAACCTCGAGGAGCTGATATTACAATGAAAAATGCCCCCACCCCCGAACTTGCGAGCATTTGTATTGCAAACCTTTCGAAGAGAAGCATTTGCCTTCTTGCATCTAGCAGCATCACAGATTTCCAATCGTGAATTATAGCGCAAATTTGTATTGCAAAAGATCCCAGCAAGAGCGGCGCTTGTCATGCCAGCAATGCTATATACGCCTAGACTCTGCATCACAAAGATTCATATTCCTTCCATGCATGACAAAAAGTTTTCATTTGGAAAGTTCGCATCACAAATTATTGCGGTAAGGTGCCCTTACAGGTTGTGTAGTGGTTTCGGTCGCTTTAGCGTCACAAATTATTGCAACTTTGGGGTTGGGGGCATTTTTCACTGTAATAGCTGAATTTGAGCTGCAACCTGCTGGAAAGCGTCGAGAACGCGTTTCAGTTTTTAGACCAATTCGTGCACCAGTTTTTCGGATCAGACCAGGAATTAGCGGATTTCCTGTTAGCGGAGAGGAGCTATGAACTGGAAGTAACAGAGCTGCAGGAGGGGAACAATATGTTGCCGACTTTGCTGAAAGAGAAAGAGGAAAAAGGGAATAGCATGAAGAGCAGCGCTAGTACGGTGACAGCGAGAGGAGCTAGAGGGGGAAAGAAAACAAGTTCTTCGGATAAGCACGACCACGGGAGCAGTAGTGGGGCCGACCACGAAGATGCGGATCAAGATGCTAGCAACGAGAATCACGTCAGTTCTTCCGCTTCGTCGTCCAAATCAAAATCCTCCAGCCGGCCTGACAACGCAGATGACTTTGACCAAAATGAATCAAACAACGACAATGATGAGGACGAGCCTTCGAACAATCCGAATAAGGTTCTAGTGAAGAAAAAAGACGACCCGGGTGGGGAACAACATCAAGGTTTTCATAGCAACAAGCCGTCGACCGTGATTTTCATTCGAAACTATGCGAATCTGAAGCCAGTCGCAACACTACTAGAGAACGCAGCCGGCGCGGCGACTTCATCATCGTCCCATCACAAGAACATCAGGAAGTTTTCCTCAAAATTGAAACTACTGAACCTCTCGGAAAACAAGCTGACGAGTTTGCGTGGGCTGGAGTTGAAGAATGTTCTCCCGAATCTGCGAAATCTCAACGTCGCTTTGAACCCGCTGCTCCACGATCTAGGACCACTGCGGAAGCACTGTTGTTCCTTTTCCAACGGGAATTTGGAGAAACTGAATTTGTCTGGAAACCCTCTAGTGTTGGATTTCCTAGCGATAAAACAAGACTTGTTCGGATCATTCGGTGGGAAAATAAATGGCAGCGCATCTACTTCTGACGACGCAGGCAATTTCGCTTGTTTCGCCGACACAAGAAATTCTACACCGTCCGGACTGCTGCAGCATCTTCAACAACAGCCGAACAAACAGCATAGCTCATCCTCCTCTTCTTCTAGTACCCTCCGTGAGCTCCAATTTTCCGATGCGGATTACGGTCGGTGCGAACTTGTTCGGATGGAAAACTATCAGAACTTCATACTGCATAATAGCAAGCAGAAACTGGAAACGCTCGACGGTTTTGAAGTTGATGGTTTTGATTTCCAAAAGGCCAACTCGCTCTTCTTTAACAAGCAGATCTACTTTCACGGAAAACGAAAATTTTTCGACAGGCTAGCGACGGAAATTTGCGAGGATTTTTTGAAGGCGGAGCTGGAGGTGAAGTGGAAAGAGATTTTTGGGAAACGGATCGAAACGCTGGAAAAGGCACTGTTGCGGTTGCAGGTTTACAAAAAGGGAATTATCGCGGAGAAGAAGCCAATATCAAATGCGCTGAGCGAAGATTCGAAAAAGTTACCATCGTCATCTGCAAGTGGTCCAAGCTCTTCGTCACCTTCTCCCCGAAATAACGCGGGCAGTTCACGGAATAAAATTGGTTCTGATGCTGGTATCATGAAAGCACATGACCAGGAGCTGACGGATATCCACTTCGCGGAAACTGTTTTGGAAAAATGCATCCACAATCGGAAGAAGGATTTCCAAGCGATAGTCTCCACGATTTTTCCGAGGTTCCGAGAAACGACGATCGAGCCCTTGCTGCAACAGCTGAATATCCTGTGTAAAAACATCCCCACACCATAGTCAAGATGAGAAGTCTGCAACACAAATCCCAAAGTTTTGGGAGTTCTGCATGACAAATCCGGTCCCATAGTGTAATCCTGTTTAGCTAGTTGAGAAGCATCACAGATGTAGCACATCACTCCGATTGGAGCATGACAAATTGCCAAACACAACTAAAAAATGCCTCTCATGGGGCTCCGCATGAGAAGCATTTTTACCGTGCAGATTTGCATGACAACTCTGGGCTTGGGACGTTTTTACATAGGATACTGAAAGCGTTTTCTTCTCTCGAAGAGGAAGCCGCCGGGAATGTGCTGTTTGAGAGGTACGAGTTTCCGGTTTTTGTCGGGAGCGCGTGGAGGTCCTCTTCTGCGTCATCATCTAACGGCACCAGCATGACAAAAAACGCCGGGTCTACTTTCCGTGACACCCCGTACAATTGCGCCGGGGGGTTTTATGTAGACAAAAACGGGTCCAAAGGGATCGCTTTGCCGTCATTAGAGCTGAAGATTTCTGTTCCGAAAACAAATACTGGAACCAATTCCGCATCTACTACCTCTTCCAAGAAGAATTTGAAAGAGCCGGGACAGCAACAGGGCTCCTCGCTGGGATCACCTCGGGTCGCGTTTAGCAAACGAGACGAGAAAGAGAAGCAGAGTATTAAATTCAGCTCCGGTACTGGGATGAACAAACAGCCAGAGGTTGACACTTCTACTTCTACGACAGGAGACTCAAAAACCTCCAAGACGGCCGATCTTTCCACTCAAGAACAAGCCGAGTCAACATCAAACACATTACAGCACGCTGTCACCCCAACCGACGTCCACAAATTGACGAGCTCTCACCCAATTTGGGCCTTAGCTGCCGTGGAACTGTTTGCCAGGAAATTCAAACTCGAGGAGTTAAGCGAGTTCGGCGTCGAAAAAGTGCGGATAAAAGCCGTCACGAAAATCTTGCACAGATTTAAAGAGGCGAGATGCAAGGAGGAATTTGGCGTCGATAGCAGTTTGGCCGTTGGTGCTGGTGGGGCAGGCGGTGCGGTTGCAAGCACGTCTAGCAAAAAAGATGGAACGAACGGCAAATCATCCACGACCCAAGAGTATCTCTTTTTCGTCCCCCGGAACGAACACTCAATCGCGAAGTTTCTCGCTTCAAGCACGGCTGCTGCGGGTTGTACTAGTTCTGCTGCCGGCTCACCTGCATCAAAAATACAGACTTCTAACGACGAGGAGACAGATCTGCAAAGCGAAAGTTGTGTTGATCACAACCTGTTACACGACCACTTCGTCGTCTTGACCACCGACATCCAGACCGTGGAGCGAGCGAGGTTGAAAAGTTTTTTGACCAAGCCGGAATTTCTCGGGTGCGAGTTGCTCAAGATTTTGAAACGGTATAGGACGGAATTTCTTGTCAACACGGATAATGTTGTTGGATCCTCCCCAAGCTCAGCTGCGTCCTCTACAACAGCAGCTCAATCAACCGTGATCAAGCAGGACGTGTCTGAGGTCGGGCCGTTGCTCTTCCCGGACGGGCAAGTGCTGGTTTGCAGTATCGAATTCGGCAAAGACATGGTGATTGCACAAAACGAGAAGCTGCAAGAGAAGAGACGGGTGTCCATTGCGAAAAAACGCGACTCGTTGGCCGCTCTGCAACCGCAGGAGATGAAATCATTGGAGAGCAAACCGAATTCGCCACTTGCTGCAGCACATCATACGGCCAGCAGTCCGGTACTTCTTTCCACAGCCGCGGCCGCTGGTGCACCACCGTTGGTGTCTCTCGAAGTTCCGGTGATCCCAAGCGACATTGGGACCAGCAGTGGGCAAAATGGCTCGCCCAGGGAACAGACACAAGACTCAGCGATCAGCGGGATCAGTGACGCCGTGAGTGAAAACGAAATCGTTGCTGGTTGTACCACGGGAGTTGTTCTGGATCAGCCAGTGGAGGGGCACGGTGTAGTTCTTCCTGTGAATGATCTGAAACATCACATAAGTGGTGCACCAACAGAGAAGTCCAACGCGCAGAAATTCTGCGAGAGGATCAGCTTTCAAACGACAGCATTAAATGCATCCCCGACCACGACCACTTGGCTCCGCCAGGACTCTCCGTCGACTTACAGCGAGACCTTCTCTAACGTGTTTGAGGACGTTTATGAGGCGGAGCCGAGTGAACTCTCCCCAAAAACGACCAGCGGGGTGGGCGCGAGGAACACGTACCGGTTGTCGACAGGGGATAGTGCATTGTTGCGAATCACGGAGACCGCGAGAGTGGTGCCGCAGTTTCTGATTGAATTCGGATACGAAGCGGGAACGGGTGTCGAGGGATTTAAGTTCGAGAATTATCCAGCGGCTTTTTCATTCGTGGCGCAATCTGCCGCGGCTGCATCATCACTAAAGGATAAGGACCAGAAACAAGACGCTGCTGTCACAATTAAACCAACCCGCTCCAACAAGGGCTTGAAAGGGCAACAACAGCTACAGAAACAAGCGCTCCTCCTCCCCGCAGCGGAGAGTTACCGATTGGGCGCCATTGCAGAAAGGGAACAGCAGGCAGCGAGTAACAAGGGCTCCTCGTCTTCCTCGAGCAAGGGAAATAAATTGTTTCCGACCGTTGTGTCCAGTCCAAACTTGTTGAACACGATAAATCTCTTCCCCCCCGGACAGGGAGGACAGCAAAATTCGAATTCCAGTAGCAAGATTCCGGGGAGCAACAACATCACAGGGACGACCGGGCCGTCGAGCAGCAGCACTTTCCCTGGGCAGCTGCAGCATAATTCTTTCAATTTTAACCCGAAAAACCGAGAAGACGGCTCTGCTTATCAGGATCCGAGAAGGCAAAATCTTTTCGCTGGGAAAGTAAACGAATTCCGGAACATGTTGAAATTGGTCGAGCGGAACTTCTACCCGATTAATTCGTTGAAGGATGTTCCGAATTTGAGGCAGATTGTAAAGAAGAACGAAATTTTGAAGCAGGTTTTGAAGGAGGGAACTAGCAATGCAGGGACAACTTCTAGTACTGCAGCAAGTCCTACAGGAGCGGCGGGGACTACCGGTGCTAGTGCAGGTGGCAGTAACGCGAACACTTTGCAAGCCTTGCTGGAAAATACGGAAAAGCGGTCGCACTATCTTGACGCGCTGCAGCTGCTGATGGGTACTGCTACTAGCACTGGTTGTGATGGAAACAAGGGGGGAAATACTTCGAAAACAAGCACAACACGACCAATCCTGAGCCACAACACCGACCCGGTCATTTGTGAGACGCTCTACGCAAAGCACTTACTTTCCGGCGATACAGGCACGCCGGAAGCACGGGCGAGTAGTGAAGCGGCGTTACTGAACCTACACCTTGTGCGGTATGGGGATAATCATGATCTCCATGGAGGAACTGCGGGAGCGGGGTTTTCTACTAGACCAAGCGTAGAAGTAAAAACCGCATCAGACAACAACATTCCACGGGAAATTTCTGAGGACTTACTCGTGAGTTCCGCTTCTGAAGAATCCAATGAAGGCGGCAGCTCAGAAAATGAATCGGAATACGACGACCCCGCGGACTTATTCGTCGCCACACGGAAAAAATCTTTGACCTGCGGCACAAGTTCCATGCCGATTCCGCTCACGCTGAGGAAATCGAAACGAGCGTCGAGGAGCGGTTCGAAGGGAAAACAGAAGCTCCCGAAAGCGAAATCCGTAAAATTTGTCGATTTGCACAACCGAGCCCTCCGGGAGTTTGCGAGCTGTGCGAAGCGGCAGTTGAGTTACTGTTTGGTGGAGCTGAATTTGGCGTTCAACTCTGTCGAGAACGTAGTGAGGCAAATAGGGCAGTTGAAGGTCTTGAAGAGTTTGAACCTAGCGAACAATCTGATTCAACGCGTTGGGGTGAGTAGAAAAAGTACTGCCACGAGGAAAACAAGGCGCAAAGATCAAGATCGTGCACTGTTCCCGGCTTTGGAACGCCTGGATTTGAGCAACAATTTGATCCTGGAAGTGGAAGAGATTTCCCACCTCTGCAAACACAACAACCTCCTCAACCATTCGGAAATCCGCCATTTATCTCTTTTCGGCAACCCGGTGCTGAGTACGGATTCGGATAAAGTGCAAGCATTTCTACTGGAAAAGCTTTTCCTACCAGTACTAATTCTCGACTTTGCGAAGGATTTGCGGTCCGGGAAGGTTGGAATCCCGGAAGTAGCAGAGGGGCTTCACATTGATATCAAAATCAGTCGGAAGAAGGAACGGACAAGTGGCTCTCGGAGCATCTCGCAGAGATCCACTTTCGACAACTTCGGAAATAACGCTGGTGGCAACCGCGGAGGTCGGCAGAGCAGCAAAAGCGCTATTTCCTTGTCTGCAAGCAGGATAGACTGGTCGAGTGATATTGGGGTATCAATTGGTGACAAGTCTGGGAAGCCCACCACCCTGTGGCGCGACGGACTGAGACGTCATTTGGTTCACCACATTCTGCGGGAAATAACTTGCAACAGTGAAGACAATGCTGCGATAGACCAAACATTTCAAACAGCGAGGAACAACTTCTCGCAGTTCGGAACATCGACGCTGATGAGCAACTCGAAGGCGAATTCTCTTTTAAGGATGCTACAGTCTTCCAAAACCGCACCGGGTTTACCCTTCGAAGATGATGACCTGACAACAACCAAGCAGCTTTCGTTTTCCTTGGACAAGGAACCACTAAAACTCCCAATGACGGAAATCGCCATGAACAAATTGTTTCGAATGTTGGAGGAGCAGAATTTTGAAAGACTGATCGAGGAGGAAATCTTCAAACCGACAAGTGGCAAAAATAATGCTCAACAAGAACAACCTGTCGACTTGCTGAACAGCGGCAACTACTTGTCTACTTCCAAAAATCCCCGGCGCATCCCGACAAACAACTTCTCCACCAGCATTTCCAAATCCGCAAATGCAAACCGGCTAACCTCTGGAAGTAGCAGCTCTACGGCCGGAACGGCATCAGTGACACTAGTACCGCCAAATTTGTCGTCAGCAGGTGGCCCGGATCTACTTCAGGATGCTGGTTGTACTGATTCCCTAGCCAACACAGTGGCGACATTGCAACCGTCAGCGAACAACCCAAGCCCCCTGGCAAGTCCGAGGGGGACTTTTACGATTCGGGAAGGAGGTGGCACGGCAGACGAAGATCATTTTGACGATGATTTTTACAATGAAGACCAACACTTTCAGGCGTTCGACGATGCTCTTGCGAAGAGAAATACGAACATCAACGCGCAGCCCCAGCTGGTCGAGGCAGTTGGGGCACCAAGCTCAAATGTTTTCGCTGGAAATGTGGAAGGAAATGAATTTTCTCAAATGAACCAGCAACACACGACAGCGACGACTGAAGGTGCAGTAGATCTTCTCACAGCCTCTGCGAAATCTCTAACCTCCACAAGTGCCACGGGGTTATTAAACGCTTTGAACTGGTGTCGGTTCACTTATGAGATCAATCTACTCGCCACCTTTCTCGAGGAACAAGTTGCGACAGTGTTTCAGTACGGTAGCACAGCAGGCGTTTTGGGAACGAAGAACGGGAACCAGCATCATCAAGTGAAAAATTCCGCGTCCTTTCCAGCAATCCACGCATCTGGCCTCGTTGCTGCAGCTGCGAAACAAAATAAACCTTCGTCGAAGCTGACACAATCCGCTCTGGACGGACTCGCGGATGAGGACACGGCTGGGCAGGATGTTTTCACCGAAACATTACGGGAAATCAGCCGGACAAGTCAAATGTCGAACCGCAGTTCAGTTAGCAATTACGCGTTGTTTGGAGGATTTTCTGGAAATGCCTACGCACCAGTTATCCCGCCTGTTTCCAGCACGAGCAAAGTGGTCGCGTTACTGTTGAACCGTAGCGGGGTCGATTTGTTGACAAGTGGAATCGTGGACCAGAACAGAACTAGTTCCGGGCCGGAAGATCTCCTCTCCTTTCACCAATTTCCACCGTGTACCGAGAAAGAGATCCTCAAAGCGGAGCATGACAGACTGTTCTCGCAAAACGGCAGAATTCTTCATTTGCACCCGCTGGACACACTGAATGCAAACGATGGTCCAAGCACGACGCCCTTTTCCTCCCGAGAACAGAGCCCGATAGAGGAAAGCCCAATGATCCAGTTGCAGGATGGCGGTCTTAGCAATGCCAATGCGCCTGTAGCTGCACCAGCTTCAGCGACTCTGACAGCGAGTGTCCGGAACATCAATCGGGACAGCCAGACCGACGCGTTAGTGGTGGCAGAAGAGCAGAAGAATTTAGTGAGGAAGCAATTGAAAATGAGCCGGTCAGAAGCCGGAAACAGTGCAGCTTCCTCGCCAAACTCTTCTTCGACATTGACTTTGGAGAGCCTGCTCCGCCAGCGGCTGCGTTGCTGGAAAAAAACATCATCTAATTTGAACCGAGACCACCACTCTCCGCACCAGGAAGGCCACAAGCACGCCACTGGACAAGAACTCCCCGCCGTGACAGCTGCTGCGATAACAGGAACAACAACCGCAACGAGCAGCAGCTCAATTCTTTTCGACACGTTCGTGCGACTCTGCGTGCAAAAAGCGAAGAGTTTTCGGTCTTCATCGAAAATATTAAATGGTGAACAAGCATCGGCTTACTTCACCAGTGCAGCTCTTGTCAACCCGGATCTAAAGCCGGAATCTTCGATATTTTATCAACTGCAAAAATGTCTGGGTCTGGAAGAAGGCCAGACTTGTCATGCAGGTTTTCCATGACCCATGAGGTCTGGTATGTAGGACATAGCATGACAGATTCTCCCGTGAGAGTTCTACTTCTATCATGCCTATCCTGCATGAGAAACTGCCTCTCGACTAGGTCAAAAAGTGGACAGCTTGTGGTAATCATGCAACACAGATTGTTACATGATTGAGATTTAGCATGACAAGTTCCAGACCCAGACACTTTTGCATTTGATACATTTTGGATGGAGCACATTATCCGGACGTGCTTGAGCCAAACGCTGCAAGATGACAAAGTCATTCTTTACGAGGATAGCATTGCGCGACTGGCAGTGGAAAAGATTTTACAACTGCCGGATACTGCTGTTTCTGCTGTTCTGCAGCGGGGAAGACGGAATTCTTTGGGGCCAGCTGCCTTGTCCAGCAGTAGGAAAAACTCCAAATCTATTCCTGGTCAACAGCAGCAGCAGCTCCCAATCCCAGATTTCAACACCATCGCGTTAAATTCCAGTTTTTTCTCCCGGACCAGGTCCATCTCCGGTGCGTCCAGCTTGTCTGCAACGAGAGATGGGGCGGTGTATGGGAACGACATGACAAATCCTGAGCAGCAAATGGCACAACTAAACCCCTACACGCCCGAGATCGAGCAGTTTTTCAAGGCTTTGTTTTCCTTCGTCTGCAGTTTGGATTTGTCTTGTCTCGGCACGAAGTTACTGTCCCTGATTTTCCAATCAGTGTTCCTGAATTCCACCTTCCGACACAATTTGAAAGAATTTTTACACCTTGGCGGCAACACACTGCACAGCTTGGACGGTATTCCGACTTTTCCAGTTTGTGGTGTTTTGAACCTGGACAACAACTGTCTGACCCAACTCGCCGGTTTGCGACAGCGGTTTCCAAGGCTGCAGAGGCTGGTATCAACTGCAAAAATGTCTGGGTCTGGAAGGATGCGAACTTGTAATGCTAGCTTTCCATACCTAGGAAATCTGTATTGCATATACCAACAAAAGTCGCGGCCTCTTTTGCCCCTACAAAAACGCAGCTTCTCATGCGGATTGCCTATGAAAAAGCGTTTCAGAAAGTTGTCATGCTGGGTTGCATGCGGAACTGTTTCCATCATCCACGTTTTAGCATCACAAGTTTCCAGATCCGGACATATTTGCATTTGATAGCTGGATGCGAAGAACAACAAAATTTCGGATTTAAGCGAGTTGTTTCGGAGGAGTAGTGCAGGGGGCGGGAGGAAGAACAGCAATACGAGCGGGGGGAAGAATAGTTTGAAGAAAACAGGAACTTCAACGACATCTTCAAAGGCAGTTACCAGCACGACAAGCATGAAGCGATCGAACAGTAAGGGGAAATCACCCAGCGCAACATCTAGTGCAAAAAAGCAGAACGAAAAGCGGCCCTCACAACAACAACAGCTCACCCGGCCGATGAAAAACTACTATTTCCAACGGATGACGCAGCTGTCGTTAGAGAACAATTTTATCGACAGTTTGGACGGCTTTGAACTCTTGGAAAATCTCGTCGAGCTGTACCTGTCGAATAATCTGCTGGAAGAATTGAGAGCGGTCTTAACCCTGAAAAACTGCGCGAGACTGCGGGTGTTGGATTTATCTGGGAATCCGCTGTGTAGTGGAGCCAGTTCTTCGGGGGAGAACAACGCGGGAGGCGGTGGAGGTCAAGACGACGACTTTTCGGATAACGAGACGATTGGAGGGCAGCAAGGACATGCGGGAGTACTAGCTGGCAACAATAAAACAAACATGTTCGAATCGAAGTTGCAAACCGCTATTGGGGGTGATGCAAGCAGTCGGAATTCCTCTCGACGGGGGAGGAGAGCATCGCTGTTCGCGACGACTGGCGGTGGAGGAGGGTCGAAAAGTAGTGCAGGTGAAGGGACGAACAAGGAGGGCAATAGCGGTGCAAAGCGTGGTGCAGTGGCCCAAGTTCATCAAATTATCGACATTACGCATCTGGCGACACTCAGCGGAGACCGGTTGCTACTTCCACCGCCAGTTGCTCCAGGGACTAGTACAGACCGTGAGGAGGAGTCGAAAGAGATGCAAACCAAGGAAAACAAAGGCGAAGAGACAACCGCAGAAGCTGATGACGCACTATCCCCGGCTACAAAATTGCAAGACAAACCCGATGAACAAATAAGGAACAAACCCGAAAATAACCACCAGAACTTCCTCCCCCCACTTCCCTCCAAGCGCTACCGGCCGTACGTGATTTTCCACTTGCACCAAATAAAACTTTTCGACGGATTGGAAATCAAGCAACTGGAAGTTCAGGAGGCGCGGAATCGGTTTCAGGGGAAACTCTCCATGGAAATGCTCGAGGAGAAACTCGGTCCGTCGCCCGCTTGTTTCTACGTCCGGACGATCAATCTGGAGTCGAGCAAGTTAAAAAATCTCGGGAAGAATTTGTTGACGGACGAAATGTTTCCGTCGTTGCGGGAGTTGATTCTAGACGACAACCCGATCGGTGGATTGGATGGGATCGGCCCGCTGGGGAAACTCGTCATTTTGAATTGCTCGAAGTGCAAGATCGGGGACGTGAGGAAATTGCTTGGAGGTGGAACGAGTGCTGTTGGTGGAACAACTAGCGCAGTTCAGAATTCGTCAAATCCCCTAGCGTTGGGAGGTCCTGCTCGTGGACCACAAGGACAACTACAAGGACTAGCGTCGAACCAGCAGAAGCAAATGGGAGAACAAAAGGGCCTCCTTTCTATCCCCAATCTCCAAGTCCTAGAGTTGAAGCAGAACAACATCGTCGACTTGTCTGCTATCACCTTCCCAGCGTTGAAGTCCCTACGGTACCTGAATCTGGAGCAAAACGAGTTGAGAATTTTTTCAAACAAACCATTTTCCCAATTGGAAAACCTGCGGGACTTGAATCTGGACAAAAACAAGCTACGGGTGCTGGAAGAAGAGGACTTGTTCGGGCTGGTGAATTTAAGAGAATTGCGTTGTGAGGACAACCTGATAAAATCTGTAAAGTTGAACGTGTTTGTCGTCCCGAAGTTACGGCGGATTCTCCTCGGAAACAACCGGATTAGCGACGTTTCGCTCGACGTGATTTTGTCGGAAAAGGACCCAAATTTGATGATAAACGACGCAACTTCATCTGGGGCGAATAACCAACAGAACAATCAGCAGGCAGGTGGTACTAGTTTCAACAACCGGAGGGGGTCGATGCCGGAGTTGATTTCCAGTCAGTCGCAAGCGGCGGGTCCTTCCGGTGCAGGTGGAGCAGCAGGGGCAGCGTCAACAAACCTGCAGCGGCTTTACCCGAGCAACATCCAGCCCGCGAACACGAATGGGTTGACAAGACACGAAGGAAATGGAGGCTCCTCCGGTCTGCCGGTCGAGATGGTGTCGATTTTGCAGCTCTCTTTCGCGAACAACGCCTGCACGAGAAAGCCTCTGTACCGTGCAACTTTGTTGACGAGATTTCCGAATTTGAGGATTTTGGATTCACTGCAGCTACTCGACGAGAACAACCGACCACTGGCCGAGACGAGGCCTTTGAAACAGTCGACGAGCGAGCAGTTTGCGGGGTATAATCTCCAGATGCAGAAGATGCAGCAGGGGGGTGGGGGTGCGGCTGGGATGACGCAGATGGGGGCTATGGGCGGCGCGATGGGAACAAATAATAACCCGGCCGCATCCATGGGTATGCAGCAGGTAGTGCATCAACCTCCGACCACGCCACCGGGCTTTACAAATAACAATCCTTCAGGACAGACGCCCCCGCATCAAAGTGGTGATGTAGGCAATCCTTCTGGGGGAATAATCGATCCGAATCAGCCTCCCATGCAGAGCCCGAATCAGAGGATGCGAGTGCAGCAAATGCAGCAACAGATCATGCAGAATCAGCAATACAACTCCTCGCTTGGCGGGATGAACGCACAGGTACAACAACTTCAACAAGGTCAACAGATCATTACCAGGACCACCGCCGCACGGGTTGTTGGTGAAAATCAGCGGGCGCCGTTGCCTAGTCAAAACATGAACAAGGGGGGATTTCTGCCTGGAACAACTGCTGCAACAGGACCACCACAAAATATGGACCGCCGCGCAACCATTCACGGAACTGGCACAACCACGGCGCACCAAAGTAGCAATCGACATCAAAATGCGGTGGCAAATTCAGTCAACTACGCTTTATGGCAGCAGCAACACCCGAATAGTATGAACAGAAACGCGTCGGATTACAATCAAAACACGTCCAACTACGAGCCTTTGCACCCCGGGCCGATGAATCAGGCGACCTATTTTGCGCAGCAAGCACAGCAGTACTCGCAGCAAGCGGCGAGTGCGCAGATGAACGCAATGATGTACTACCAGGCTGCGGTAATGGCGCAATACAAAAACATGAATGCAGCAGCAGGGAACCTCCAACAGAACCCAAACAGGCCAAAAACCCCGATAGAACGAGCCCGGGAAGCTGCTGCGGCGGCGAACAACAGTAGTAGTGCAGCAGCGGTCAATGTTGCCAACAGTGGACAAAGTGCTTCAGGATCCGTTTCCGGTGCGTTTTTGGTGACGTCGAAGGGCGTGGAGCAGGTGGATAAGAAAAAGATGAACACGACGACGAAGTAACGAAGTTTTTTGATTAATTTCAGATTTGTGGTACATTAGTTTCAGTTTTCAGGCGCGTCTGAAGTTTTTGCAAAAAGAACTTGGACGTCGACCGACCTCGACAGCAGAACTTTCTTTCATTCAATTACGTCTACTGTAACTGTGCTTGAGCACGTAAAGTTCACCAAAGAGTAACAAAAGTGAACGTCATTTGATTTCCTTTTCATTTCCAAGGTTTTTTCAGCGCGCAAAGCGACGTTTCCAGATCCAATTTTGTACGGAATTTCCTAGGCAGTCGAAATTATGATGTGCTTTATCATTCGTTTCAGAAAAGAACAGCAGCGTCAGATGCAAAATGCGATCGAGGATGAAAAAAATTGCTTAGGGCCTCTTCGTTTCAGTAAAGAGAGGCCAAACAGTGAAAATGTTGAAAGTCCACAGTACATTTCAACAAAGCAAATTATATCACCACGGCTAGTAGCATGCGACAAAATTACTGCTGTGTTCATGCAAAGAATGAACGCCGTTTTCGCAAAAAGAGGGCGGCGAGCCATACGCTACAAAAAAGGGCACTCAAGATGAAATACCGAGAAAGTTTCAGCGAGATCCACTTTTTATGATCTAGAGGAAAAGATGGATCTAATCGCGGTGTCGAAGCATACTTGCAGCTTTTGCGAGGCTTTTGTAATGCATTTCATTTGTGCGGCTTTTCATTTTACTATTTTGTTTGTCACGACCCCACCGACAAAGCAGCCCTTTCCATTTTTACCTCGCAGCGCTTTTATTTTTCCGTGAAGATTCGTTTGATTTTTGTATCCTTAGCAAGAAAGGGAAAATTTGTTTTTCATGTTGTAGAAGTAGGACCTGGACAAAAAGACACACAGCACGCGGTTGTAGTTGTGAGGACATTTTTTTACAAAGAATTCGAATCACCTTCTCCTTAGCAAGCAAAAAACACTCACGATAAAAAAATGTCTTCCTACCGTTCCTACCACGGGCTCGAGTCCGAGTCGGAGCTCCGGTCCGAGACCGACTGGGAAGCGCAGTCCGTTTCTACGTGGAAGGTCGGGGCAAATGACGGGGAAGGGAACTTGTTACACGGTCACCAGACCGACCAGATGATTGTCGACGAATTCGATGAAGACGAACCTGACGGATTGTTGTGCGAGGTAATAATTATGGGTTTCGCGCATAACAGAGTGTGTGATATTGCGTGATCTGTATGACAACTTTTAGTAGTACGTTGAGTTATTTCCTTTTTCCTACCTCAAATACAAAACCACAAAAAGAACGACCCACAACACAGGAAGCCTGCCCCGAGTTCGCCTGTCGCTACTGTCTGACCTCCAATCCAGAATGCGTGGTCAAGTGCACGATCTGCAACAAGTGGTTTTGCAACGGGAACCAAGCCACGTCCGGCGCGCACATTGTCCACCACATGGTCCGCGCAAAGCACCGCGAAGCCGCGCTGCACCCCAAAGGCCCCCTCGCCGACACAGCGTTAGAGTGCTACTGCTGCGGTTCCAAGAACGTCTTTCTCCTCGGTTACGTTCCGAAAAAGGAGGATTTTGTCGTGGTCTTGATCTGCCGGGAGCCGTGTTTGGTCCAGAACGCGTTCAAAGATTCCCAGTGGGACACGACGAAGTGGGAACCGCTGATTTCCAATATCAAATGCAAATATGTCTGGGTCTGGAAGGATGTAAGTTGTGATGCTGCATTTGCATACTACAAAAATCTGTATTGCATGAACAGCAAAAGAGGTCCAGTTTTTGCCACGGCGAGAGGGCATTTCTCATGCGGTATAATAGGCATCAGAAAGTCCTCACAAAATCTGTGATGCTAGAGCATGCATCACAGACGTCAGGAGTCATGCAAAATGTGCATGACAAAGTTTGCAGCCTTCCAGACCCAGACATATTTGCATTTCATATCCAACCGGATGTTCTTGCCCTGGTTAGTGAAGGAGCCGGACATGAGCGACAAGAGAAGGTTAATCACGCCCTCCCAAGTCGCGAAGTTAGAGGAGATTTGGAAAGACAACCCCACGGCTACTTTGAAGGACATGGAGCGGATCGGCACGATGAACTCGGGTGTCGAGGTAACCTGAGGAAAAACGTCCCCACCCCATAGTCAAGATGGAGACTTTGCAACAGAAACCTCGAAGTCGTGGGAGTGACGCATGACAAGTTGCAGTCCGTAGTGTATTAATGCATGTTAGCAAGGTCAGCCGCATTACAAATCCATCTGCTCATCCTGTTTGCAGCATCACAAAGTGCACAGCACGACTGTAAATGCCTCTCATGGGGATGCGCATCACAAAGTTTCCTGTCATTCCAAATCTGCATAACAACTCTGGGGGGGGGACGTTTTTTCTCAGGATAGGGGGAAGAGGAAGAAACCAGACCGGTCACCCTCCGGTACGAAGACGCGTATCAGTACCAGCACACGTTCGCACCTTTAGTGAAGATGGAGGCGGACTATATCCTGAGTAAAAACGTACCCACACCAGAGTTGTAATGCAGATTTGCAAAGAGAGGAAGACTTGTGACGCGCATCCCCATGAGAGCCATTTCCAATCGTGTTTTGGAATTTGTGATGCTGTGAACAGGATGAGCAGATGAATCTGTGATGCGGCTGCACTTGCTAACCTGCACTACACTGCATAGTGCAACTTGTCATGCATGACTCACAAAACTCCTAGGTTTGTGTTGCAAAATCCCCATCCTGACTCTGGTGTGGGTACGTTTTTACTCAGGATAGACTACGATAAAAGGATGAAGGAATCGCAATCCCAGCAGAACGTGAAAGTCCGGTGGGACATCGCGTTGAATAAAAAGCGGTTAGCGATGTTTTACTTCACGAAAGAGACGAACGACATCCGACTGGCGCCGGGAGACGAACTACGGTTGAAGCACGAATTTGGAATCAAACACCCAGAAAGCGGTCAGATGGTCAGCTGGGAGTGTCAGGGAACTGTGACGAAAATCAACTCGCAGGAGGAGGTGTGTTTGGAGTTGAGGAACGCGGAGAAGAAAGGGCCGTGGGACAACGAGTTGGTGGATGGGTTCACGGTGGAATTTGTGTGGAAATCAACCAGCTTTGACAGGATGCAAACGGCAATGCGCATTTTTGCGGTGAATGAGACGAGTGTGAGCGGGTATGGATAAAATTCTTTGTTTTTGTCATGCATTTTTTGCAACACAGAGACAGAGACTGCGACTTTGTGAATCAAAAAATCCAGAGCTGGTGTCCTGCATTTGTCATGCAAACATCCCATCACCTTCAATTCAAACAGGTACCTCTACCACCGCCTACTCGGTCACGATCCGGAGCAGCATATGCATTGCAAATATGTCTGGGTCTGGAAGAATTCGAATCTGTGATGCGAAGTCTACATCATGACAAAACCTGTCATGCATGGCTAGCAAAAGGCTACCCTACAGTTCTTGTTGCTGAAAGAGGGGATTTGTCATGCGGATTAGGCATTGGGGTACCTACTCAAAATCTGTAATGCTAGGGCTTGCATGCCAGACGATCTGGGTCAGGCAAAAACTGCATGACAGATCTCGCATTCTTCCAGACCCAGACACTTTTGCATTTGATACAGCAAGAAATCCGTCAATACCTCAACGTCCGCCACTACCAGGCCCCAAATCTCCCGGCTTTGAACCACTCCCAATCCTACGCGGTGAAAAAAGCGCTCTACTCCCCCCTGCAGCTCATCCAGGGCCCACCCGGAACTGGTAAAACCGTCACAAGTGCGACCATCGTGTACCACATGTGTCGGAACGCGCAGGAACACTGCAGACAGGAGCGGATTTCCCCCCAGCACGCGCAGGTTTTAGTCTGCGCGCCGTCGAACATCGCGGTGGATCAGTTGGCGGAAAAGTTGCACAAGACCGGGTTATCCGTTGTCCGAGTGGTCGCCCGTTCCCGCGAGCACATCCCTTCGAACGTCGAGTATTTGTGCTTACACAGACAAATAGCACACTTAGACACAGTATCAACTGCGAAAATGTCTGGGTCTGGAAGATTGCTACATTTGTCATGCATGTCTGACATGACTCAAGAATCTGTAATGCAGGAGCGCGAAGCGGTCCTCTTAGTTGTCATGCAAAAACGCAGTTTGCCATGCGCAACACGCAACACATAGGAGCCCAAAAACTTGTCATGCTTGGCTCCGTATTTAATTGCAGTGGAGCCCTCATTCACTTTTAGCATTACAAGTTTCCAGACCCCGACATATTTGCATTTGATACACAGCGGATAACAAGCAATTGCAAAGACTGGCGGAGTTGAAGAACAGGATGGGTGGGGAGTTGAACGCGGAGGATGAAAAAACAATGAGGAATTTGACCATGAAATGCGAAAAACTTTTATTGATGTCGGCGAACGTGATTTGCACAACGTGTGTCGGTGCGGGCGACGTGAGGTTGCAGCAGATGAGGTTCCGCCAGGTTTTAATCGATGAATCCACGCAAGCGACAGAACCGGAATGCTTGATCCCGATTACAAACGGGGCGAAGCAGGTACTACACTAGAGTGCATTTCATCGAGTGATCCTGCATCACAAATTTTTTTCAATTTTTTTGCTGCTTCGTGCATATTGGGAGCGAACTTTTGTCTTGCATGAAACACATCAACACTAGCATAAATTCCCAGGTCGTCCTGGTCGGAGATCACTGCCAGTTAGGTCCGGTGATCATGTGCAAGCGCGCCGCCAAAGCCGGTCTCCACCAATCTCTCTTCGAGCGATTAGTCCACTTAAACGCCCGCCCGATCCGCTTAGAGGTCCAATACCGTATGCACCCCTGCCTCTCCGAGTTTCCATCTCACTCCTTCTACGACGGCTCGCTGCAAAACGGAGTGACATTAAAAGACCGCACCTACCACGACATGGGCGGCTTCCCCTGGCCGAAGCCCAGCATGCCGATGTTTTTCTACAATTCCACTGGTTTAGAGGAGATTTCGGTTTCCGGGACCAGTTATTTGAACCGCACGGAGGCGTCGAATATCGAAAAGATTATCGCGTACTTTTTGAAAGCCAGGATCAAGCCGGAACAGATCGGGGTCATCACGCCCTACGAGGGGCAACGGTCGTACATCACGACTTTGTTGCAAAGATCCGCAACCGTGATGCAGACCCGAGGGTTCGAGGAGATTGAGGTGGCGAGTGTGGACTCGTTTCAGGGACGGGAGAAGGACTTTATCATTTTGAGTTGCGTGAGGAGCAACACAAATTTAGGTATAAATAGATGCTTTTTTGAAATAGTTGCTGTTTTTGCCTTGGTCATTGGGCGCTTGCGCTTCACCTGTGTTCTTTCAGTTGATTTTTTTGAACACTTACTGCCAATTAAAATTATGGCATCGATTTCAACACTTTTCCAATACCTACCACCACTCTCAGGTATCGGTTTCCTGAACGACCCGCGCCGTCTCAATGTCGCCCTGACCCGCGCCAAGTACGGATTGGTGATCTGTGGTAACGCGAAAGTCCTTGCCAAAGTCTACAAGGGCACCTCTCTCTGGCTCAACCTCCTCGCGCACATGAAGAAGTCCGACTTAGTCGTCGAGGGCCCTTTAGCGAATTTGAAGTCTTCGAATCTCGAGTTGGAAGCGGCCCCGATGCGCATCGGCGGAAACATGATGATGAACGGAGGTGGGCCGATGGGTCCGAGTTCTGGACCTGGGTTTGGTGGAAACGGACCGCAGATGGGCGGCGGTGGATACGGGGGCATGAACGGTGGAGGGGGCGGATACGGATACAACGGAAACGGAGGACCGCCGGTTAATAACCAGAATTATGGGGGAAATGTGAACCAGAACGTAAATGCGCAGCAGGGCGGTTACATGAACAATAACGATGGCGGTGGAGGACCACAGCAGAACAATTACAACGACGGTGGACCATACGGAAATCAACCTAATGGAGCAACCATGAACGGCTACAGCAACGGGAACGGGATGGGCGGCGGGCCACCGGGTGGTGGACCACAGCACTACGGAAACTACGGCGGACCTCCGCAGTACGGCGCGCAGCAGCTTCCGGACGGGCTCGTTGGTGCACCAAGGTCGTACTTGTCCAGCAACCAGAGATGGTAGAGCGAGAAGTATTCGCAACAGTAGTTGTGAGGAATCTTAGATGAGATCCAGAAGTAGACAAGTAGAACGACTACACTAATAAACGCGGACCAATGCTTCTGAAAGGATTCTGGACAAAGAAATCGAGGAGTAGCTGTGGATGAACCTTGGGAAGGCCCCGGGGCGGAGGAGCATGACGTCGAAATTGCAGGGCGCTCTTTTCTTGCAGCGCATCTGCTCTGGCGTCGGAAAGCAGCGGACAGGAAATGTGCGAGCAACTACACGACGAGCATCTTATCACGGAAACAGCCCTGCTTCGCTCGTCGAACGAAGGAACCGCAGCCACGGACAGCGTCAACGAAGGGCTTGGGGCGGAACGAGCTGACACGCGAAATCAGCGAGAAGTGCACTCGACAGTGCAAGAACCAGCGACGTTGGGACGGAAAAAGCAGGCACTGCCATTGTGAACTGCGCAAATCAGCACGAACTAGTTCGGACCGGCCCGCGGGTGCGGTTCCTCGTTCGACGAAGAGCAAGGGCAGACCAGATACTTATAATTCCGCCGCGGTGGGATCTGAAGGGCGGGGTGGTTCACAGTGAGACTCGAAGAAACAAAGGATTTAGTACTATACCTCGCGAAGCACTGGAGTATAGTGAAAACACAATTTCAATTTCAAAGAAGAAGTAGCGACTACAAGAAAAGAAAATTTCAAAGAAATAATGACGAGCAAGCGCTAGAAGTTCCAGTGCTGAGAATACATTTTCATTTTCCCGCCCCACTAGAAGCTGCATACCATTGATCGAAATGAACAGGGAGAAGCGAATCTTACTTGAATTTTTACCTCAATGTACAAGACCAATTGCAAGTGTTATGCGTTTCATCTTGGTTAAGAATGCAGCAGTTTCTCTCTTTCGATGCAATTGGCATCGCAAAACTGCAAGATGGTGGTTACTTTTCCAGAACACTTCGCTAATGCTGCTCCTACCAATTGCTGAACCTGATACGCAGAGTAGATGAACAGAAGAAGTTCCACTTCTATTGCTGTTGCAAGATTCAATCGCAGCACCGCCACCGGACGACTATTTTGGTTTTGTGCATTCTGAATCTGAATCACAATGGGAATGCAGCGACCTTTTCCCACCCAAAACGACGACCACGACATGTTTATCAACCCCGTTTGAAGAAGTTTTCAACAAAACTGCGAAACTTTTCAATTTTTCAAAACATAAAGACAAGCCGACCTTTCCTCTTCAGCCGCTGCTGTTTGTGTAGTCCGGCTGGGAGAGTCGTTTCTTTGCGGCCAATACACAGACAGAGTGCAGCTGTTGGTGCCTGCTGTAGTTGTGTACTACTCCATTTGTTCGAAGCTGCCAGGAAATCAGGGACAGAATGTATCGTCTCCACATTGTTCAGACTGACGATGGAAACACTCATATCTGTGCCAAGAGGTTCCTTCACCTAATCGTGATTGTCGTTTTCCGGAATTTACACTGCAAGAAGAAGTAGCTCCTTATTTTCCACCTGCTATTTGTATTTACAATCACAAGCCGCTGACACATCGCTGACTGTCCTCTTTCATCGTCACTCATCGACTTGCTCTAGGTGATAGCTAATGCACGTTGTATCCACCTGAAGATCCTGAGCATAAACTTCGTGGTTGTAGCTCGGCTCTGATTTTTCCAATGTTCCGATGTTGAATGATCATAACCAGTGACACTGCGACACACCTACAAAATGATTTTCTCTCTGAATATTTGACGCTGTAATGTCTTGCCGTACAACTCCCCTTTAGCGTTAGCGTTGGCTCTACCCGTTTTACATATTAGACATTTATATGTTCATCCTCTGACGCCCTCTTTTTCATTCACGATCTTCACGACGATCGCATCTATATCTGAGAGTTGCTCCTTCTGGTGGAAATTTGTTGACGCATAATCCTTCTGAAATTGTTCAAAATGGGTTTCACCTTCTACCTGGACGAGCTGCGGGTGTTTTTCCCGTACGACGCTGTTATGGATTGCAAAAATATCTGGGTCTCTCTGGAAAGATGCAACTTGTCATTTTAATTCTGGATAGTGCAAAAATCTGTGTTGCATGATTGCCAAAAGCTGCTCACTTTTGACCAAGCTGAGAGGGAGTTTCTCATGCAGACGAGGCATGATAGAGGTCGGACAAAATCTGTCATGCTGGGTCATGTATGACAGACCTCAGGCGTCATGGAAAACCTGCATGACAAGTCTTCCAACCTTCCAGACCCAGACATATTTGCATTTGATAGCTGTCTACCCTGAACAATATGAGTACATGAAGGAGCTGAAAAACTGTCTCGACGTATCAAAGTGAAAAAAGCCCCCACCCCATATCGGAAACGGAAGATGCGCGAATTTGTGATGCTGTATTTGAGTACACAAATCAACTTGTTTTGCTAGAAGGCCAAGCGACGAAGTTGCGGCCTAAATTGCAGGTAATCTGTCATGCTGTTTCCCACTTCCAGTTGCCTCCTGTCATCCTGGAGCTGCAAGGCTTTCCCACGCTAGACAGCACTACAGTGCGCATCTCTTGCCTTCTAGCATCACAAAGCTGATTTGTGGCCACAAATCTGCATCACAGATTTCCGCTTTGATATGGGGAGGGGGCATTTTTCATTGTAATACGACGCCCCCGGACATGGAATCCTAGAAATGCCCACCGGCACGGGGAAAACCGTCGCATTGTTCTCCCTGATCACCAGCTACCAACTGCTCTACGCAAATAAAGTCGGGAAATTAATTTTCTGCACGCGGACAATTCCCGAGATGAACAAAGCTTTACTGGAATTAAGGACGATTTTAGATTTTCGCGACGAAGTTCTAGAACGGGAATTTGAGGAGAAGAGGGAGAAGAATCTGGTCCCACCAGACGCGGAGTTCAAATCCGAGAAAGTGCTCGGAGTAGGCTTATCCGCACGACGAAACATGTGCGTGCACCACGAAATCTCCACGGATCCGGACAGAGATCGAGTCGACGCGCGGTGCAGGCGGATGATCTCGCCCTTCATCTTCCAGAGATTAGGCGGCGTAACCGAGGCGATCAGCTGCAAGTGCAAGCACTACGAGAAGTACCAAAGGGTGATAGATAACGGGGAGATGTTCGTGAAGCCAGATGTGTATACGATTGACGAGTTGACGGAGTTGGGGAAGAAGGAGGTTGCGGACATTGAGGATTTGTTCGGGAGCCGAAGTAAGAACAGCAGTAGTTCAGCACGGACTGTGGCGAATCGGGTCACGGCGTTAAGCCGGGCGAAAGAGCTGCGGCAGAAATTCGGCGGAAGTGGAAACAGTGGCGCGCAAGGTGCATCCAGTTTTTCCATACCGGAAGCTGATTTGAATTTCACCCCCGTTCCCGGCTCTGTGAATTCCGCAAGTTCGTTCAACTCCGGCATGAGTAGTCTAGTCTCCCCGGTGATGCAGGGCGGCGTTGCGATACAACCGCAGATGGGGACGACAACCGGCGGGGGAAGTAGTTCAAGTAGCAGTTCTGGCACTTCTTCCTCTTCACAGCCTCCAACTGGAGCTGCAGTCCCGAGCGCTCTTTCCCTCCTCCATCAACAACAGTCCCAACCCCAACAAATCTCCAAAGGCGGTTGGTGCCCGTATTACACCGCAAGGAAGCTTTTACAGCAGGCGAAGATCGTTGTTCTCAACTACCAGTACGTTCTAGACCCGAAGGTTTCGCAAGTCTCCACCCTGGGTGGTGTCGGGGAGAGAATCGGGTACAAAATGGCCGCCGCGGCCAGCAGCAACGCGAATAACCAGTCCGGCGGGAACAGTATGTATTGCAAAAATGTCTGGGTCTGGAAAGTTGAAACTTGTGATGCTACTTTTGGACTCTACATAAAATCTGTATTGCATGAACAGCATAGGAGGCGCAATTTGTGCTACGCGGAGAGGGCATTTCTCATGTGGTATGAGCATTAGATAGAAAGCCCTCGCAGAGTCTCTGATGCTAGGGCATGCATCACAGACCTCATGGGTCATTGAAAATCCCCATGACAAACTTCCGCATTCTTCCAGACCCAGACATATTTGCATTTGATAAACAGCAAAGAGCCGTCCATCGTCGTTTTCGACGAGGCGCATAACATCGACGATATCTGCTCCGAAGCGCTTTCCGTGGAGTTAAACGAAGCTAAATTGAAGGGCGCGGAGGTGAACATTCAAACGCTGAAAAACGAAATTAACCGGGTGAAAAATGAGGATGCGAATAGGTTGCAGGAGGAGTACCAAAGGTTGGTGCAGAATCTCCAATCGGCGGGGAGGTTGAATGAGGACATCGCGGACCGACTGCAGTTATGAATTGCAAAAGTATCCTCGTATTCGTATAAATGCATTACAAATTTCCTCAGCATGAGAAATGAAATTTGTAATGGGGACTTGCTTTCTGAAAAATAAAAAATTTAAATTTGTAATGCATGATCGCAATGCGAGTACGATACTTTTGCACAGGATAGCAGTCCCCGGTGATCCCGGAAGACATCCGGGAGGAAGCGTATCAAGTGTAAAAATGTCTGGGTCTGGAAGGATGTAACTTGTGATGCGCATTTCAGAACACACAAAAATCTCTGATGCACAGGCAGCAAGAGCTGCTCACTTTCTGTCACCAAAATGGGGGATTTGTCATGCGGATTCGGCATTGCGGAAGCTTCTTGAAACCTGTGATGCTAGAGCGTCCATGCCAGACCTTCTGTGTCATGCAGAAACAGCATGACTCTTCCAGACCCAGACATTTTTGCATTTCATAAAGCGGTCCCGGGGAATATTCGGAAAGGGGAACAGTTTCTGCGGATTTTGGAGCAGTTGGTGCAGTTTTTCAAATCTTACCTGAACGTGGACCGGGCGTCGTCTGACCAACCTTTGTCTTTGTTGCAAAAAATCCACGACCGACTGGACATCGACGGGAGGACGTTGAAGTTTTTCTACGAAAGGCTGAAATCATTGCTGAACACTTTGAACATCAACGACTTCGAAAAGTTTAATCCGATCAGCAAATTGTGCGACTTCTCCACTTTATTAGGGACTTATAGTCAGGGTTTCGTGATTCTGATCGACCCCTACCCGGAGAACGAGGCGATAAAAGATCCGAAGTTATTATTATACTGTGTGGACAGCAGCTTGGCGATGCGGCCGGTGTTGAAACGGTACCAATCCGTGGTGCTCACCTCCGGGACGATCTCACCCTTGCACATGTACGTGGATCTACTGGGTATGCAGGAGAACATGATTGTCACGCGGTCGTTCCAAATGACCATGGAAAGGCAGTGCATTTGCCCACTGATCGTCACGAGGGGACCGGACCAAGTCCCCGTTTCCAGTAACTTCGAAGCGCGCGACAACTTGGCGGTGACACGGAACTACGGGGAATTGCTGCTCTCCTTGGCGAAAACGGTCGCGGATGGGATTGTGTGCTTCTTCACACTATGAATTGCAAGAATGTCTGGGTCTGGAAGAGTTAAAACTTGTCATGGTAAATCAGAACCATGCAACAATCTGTGTTGCATGATGACCAAAGGCTGTCCACTTTGGACCAAGTTGAGAAGCAGTTTCTGATGCAGGATAGGCATGATGGAGACCTCGCGGAATCTGTCATGCTAGGTTCTACATTCCAAACCTCACGGGCCATTCAAAATGTGCATGACAAGTCTGGCACTCTTCCAGACCTAGACATTTTTGAAGTTGATACACATCGTACCGATACATGGAATTGGTCGTGGAACGCTGGTACGAATCCGGTTTGCTGGGGAAACTGATGGACCAGAAACTCGTTTTTCTAGAAACGAAAGACGTGGTCGCCACCACCCAGGCGCTGAACCTCTACCGGCAGGCGTGCGACAGCGGGCGCGGGGCGGTTTTTTTGTCGATTGCTCGGGGGAAGGTTGCGGAGGGGATCGATTTTGACCGGCACTACGGGAGATGCGTGGTGTTGTTCGGGGTGCCGTTCCAGTACACGTTGTCGTACGAGCTCAGGGCGAAATTGCATTATCTCCACGAATATGCTCTGCAAAAGAATCGTACTCGTACTAATTGCAATCATGCATGACAAATCTTGTTTCCTAGCCAAATCAGCATGACAAACTTCCTTTTGCCTTCTGGAAAAATTTGTAATGCTATTTCTACTAGTGCGATACTTTTGCAATGCATAACGAACACTACGACATCCAGGAATCGGAATTTCTCAACTTCGACGCGATGCGGCACGCGAGTCAGTGCGTCGGGAGGGTTATCAAATGCAAAAATGTCTGAGTCTGGAAGAATGCAAGACTTGTCATGCATATTTCTCATGACCCGTGATAGTCTGTACTGCATGACTTAGCATCGCAGACTTTTAGAGGGCTTCCTGATGCACCTTCCGCATGAGCAATGCCCTGTCCGACCGTGTAGCACAAACTATACTCCTCTTGCTGGTCACGCGATACAAATTTTTTTTAAACTCCAAAAACAGCATGACAAGTTGCAATCTTCCAGCCCCAGACATTTTTGCAGTTGATACGGGTGCTCAGGTCGAAGAAGGATTACGGGATCATGTGCTTCGCCGACCATCGGTACGGGAAAGCGGGGAAGCGGGAGAAGATCCCGGAGTGGATCCGGTCGTGCTTGGACTTGGACCGCATGAATCTCTCCACCGACTCCGCGGTGTTTGAAGCACGGAAATTTTTGTTGAACATGAGTCAGCCCTACGATTCCGCGGCGAACAAAAATTTGCTGCGACCCGAGGATCTGGTCACGGAACCACCTCCGGGGACGAACGGTGGAGGGAGTGTTGGTAGTGGAACTGGAAATAATGAAGTGACTTCTACTGCTCCGATTCTTGCTGAAAAGCAGCAGATAGATATAGAACCTGCGGGGAAAAGACAGAAAGCGCTTTGAGAGTAAATGAAAATTCTGCGGGTACATGTCAAACAGTAGTTTGATGTTGTAAGTACGTAGTCTCTTGTATGACAAGAATTCTCGTCGTGGTCCACTGAGGGCGGCGGAGGAGAAAAAGAAGTTGCCAAGTGTTGAAAGCGACGGCTGTCACGCAGTCCATTGCCGTTGTTCTTTCTGCTGCAGCAAGAAGCGAAGACGCAAGGTGGGCTCTGAGGGTGCGTGTGTGCAAAGTGATTTGCTTTTGAGTGATGAGAAAAGAAAAATCAAAACGCCGGCGCTGAGCACAGTGCATTTTGAAAGAACGACCCTGTCCCTTGAGCGGCGAGCGCGCGTGGTTCATGTTTGCCTGAGGGAAGCATAGTACAGATTCAAATTGTATAGTTTTGGTTTGAAGTATTTATATATTAATTTGTGAGCAAGCGAATTTTCAGTGTTGTGTAGTTTGGCGAGTAGCCAAATGTCCGAGGGGTCTTGACAGCTTGAAGGTGCTAGAGCGTAAGAAGTAGAAAAAAGCAGCACGCCCGAGACCATGGACTCTACTCAGCAGGAAGAGGGCCGCGCCGAGCATTCGGAGCTCTTCCCGCGTGACAAATCGAGGACGCTTCGCAAGCGCGGCGTGGGGGAGTTGCAATGCGGACAGGAGCGCCCGCTGATCCGCCAGGGCGTAGTGGAGGAAGAGCGGGCGCGCATTGCGCGCGCGTGTGTGTGTTCGCTTCTGTCGGGCCTCCCTGCCAGCTGCGCGCGCCGCCCCCTATATTGCCCGGGCCTACTATTTTCCGCAGGCGAGTCCGTCTTCGGGGCTGTCGCCGGTTGGCCCGCTGGTGTGGCGGTTTCATGCCCGTGCCATGCGCGTCGGCAGGGGGCGCCCGCGGGCCTGCGAGTGTGGGCCGGCCCGGTAGGGGCGGGCCGGCCGTATTACTCCTTCATGCGCGGGCGCGGCCCCGCTTGTCACGGTGTTGGCCAGCCACTGCACATTGGCCACCGCACTAACACGCGCGCGCAGCCTTCTTTGATGGAGCTGCAGCCGCGCGTGAATTTTTTGGGCGAGCGTTTGGCGCGGCACGCGGATGCCCAATAAGCGGCGCGCTCTATATTATGTATTATGTGTACAAAGGCCCTGTGCCCAAGATCGCCCGCGTGACAGGGGTTGTAGATCCGATCAGAGTGGCCTGTGTGTGTGTGTCTGTGTGTGTGTGTTCCATCGCTCAGAAGTTGCTAGGGGGGCGCAGTCGCTGGGCGTGTTTGAGTGAAGTCCGTTAAGCGGCGAGCGCGTGTGGTTCATGTCTGCCCGAGAGCAAGATAGCTATAAACTCGAACTGTATAAGGGTGGCACACGAGCGCCAGCACGTATTCGACATGTTGACCCGAAGCTATAGTGTCGCCCGCCGCAACATGGAAAACAAAAAAAAAGGCGCCACTCCGTATATGTATACATGAAGACGAGTCGACTTCTGTAGATCTTGGCATAACCAAAGTGATGGAGTTGAAGCGGTAGCGGCTGCGTGAGGCGTATAGCGAGGAGCTACTCCGCAAAGAAGAGGCAGGAGAGATGCCGCCGCGGCCGAGTAGCTGGACGAGCCAAGACCTGGCGGGGTGCTTGGAGTTTCTAGAAGACTCCAACTTGACCATTACGAGGAGGCCATCGAGCAGCGAGTGACGGAGAAAATGACCAGGGAGAAGTTCCAGGCAGGCAGGTTGCGGCAGAAATGGCCAGCACGACTCCCGCGTACGACCTGACTACTGCGGCCCGGATTACCTATCTAGCGGACCTGCGCCGTGTGTGTGTGTGTTCGTTTCTGTGGGGCCGCCCTGGCCCGCCCGCCCGCAGGCCTGCAGGAGCGAAGCCTGCGGGCAGGGGGGCCCTGCCAGCTGCGCCGCCCCCTATATTGCCCGGGCCTACTACTTTCCGCAGGCGAGTCCGTCCTCGGGGCCGTCGCCGGTTGGCCCGCTGGTGTGGCGGTTTCTTTCATGCTCGTGCCATGCGCGTCGGCAGGAGGTTCCCGCGGGCCTGTGGGGGCGGGCCAGGCAGGTAGGGGCGGGCCGTATTCTTCCTTCATGCGTGGGCGCGGCCCCGCTTGTCTCGGTGCTGGCCATCCAATGCATCCTGGCCACCGCACTAACACGCGCGCGCAGCCTCCTTTGATAGGGGTGCCGCCGCGCGTGAGTTTTATTTTTGGGCCTTTGGCGCGGCACGCAGATGCCCAAGCTGCGCACTCATTCTTGTGCCTAGAGACGCCCTATGTCCGAGATCGCCCGCGCTGCAGGGGATGTTGATCGCTCCACCGCGCGCATGTTGTTAGCTGAGCGCAGTCTCTGAGTGTGTTTGAGTGGAGTCCACCGTTGAGCGGCGAGCGCGCGTGGTTCGTGTCTACCTGAGAGTAAGGTAGAACTAGTTGTATACGGTGCTGCACGAGATTGAGCACGTAGTCGACATGATGTGGGCCCAGAGTGATAGTTTCGCCCACCGCAACATGGAAAATAAAAGGCGCCGCCACATATTTATCTGGTCACCAATTGCGTGCGCGCGCGAGGGCCGACCTGTTTCAAGAGAGTGAGACCGACTGGAGGGTTTTTCCGCTAGAGGACAAGTGGCGCCGAACTGAGGTCGCGGAGTGAGATTTTTATGCACGAGGCACGCGGCAACGGTTTTGTTGCTTTACATACTGCGCCCACCTTCTATTTTGCTGTCGATTTTACAAATAGTGGAGCACAGTGCAAGACAATCGTAAGAATTTACGATGGCGCTAAAAATCGGAAGCATTTGCGAGACCTCAGCCCTTTGGCGGGCGCCAAAATGTCGCTAACGGTCGAGAAAAGGCTTCCCGCCCTAGAGGCACGGAACGCCAAGAAAAGCCTCCGCGTCTCGGGCGCCTTGCGACTTCCATCAAGCGCAACGAATGGCCGGCGGTCTAAAGCCGGGCGCCATGGCGATCCGGCAACAGGGTCGGGACGTTTTGGGGGAGCTCCCTGCGGGGGGCCGGGGGCGGCTGGCCCCCCCCCGCCGGGGCTTGTGACCCCCGTCCGGTATCGCGCTAGGTGTGCCCGAGGGGCCGCCGTGGGCGCCCGCACGCAGGGCGCCTGCCCCTTTCGTGGGCCGCCGGCCCTGCCATTTGCAAGCATGCAGCGCAGCCCGACCGGCGGGCGCGCGCCCGCGCCGCGCGGCACTTCGGCGGCCGAACAGCGCCGAGAAATGCCAGCCCCTCCTCCCGCAGGCAGGCACGCGCCGGCCCGCCGCGCGGCGTTTCTTTGTTTCGTTCTGCGCGGCCGGGCCATCGTTTATTGGTGATGGTAGGTGGTTGCCGCATGATGGCCATCGGCCGCACTGCGTCCGTTGACGATTGCTGGCCGGCGAACTCGCGAAACCCGCTATCGGAGGAGACTATGGTGTGTGTATGTGTCGGACACGATGGGGGGCGCCCAAAACGGAGCTCGTCGTAATCGGTGATCGGCCTGTTTGTTCCCGCATTCGGGGCGCGAAAGCTAGTGCCTTGACGACAAAGATGTCGTGGGGGCGCAGGAGATTTTGCCTTAGCCTTGAAAGGAACGGTTTAGCAAAGGAACATAAAAATGGAATGCAAGACCAAGACGAGTTGAGGGACGAGGCGTAGCAGGATGTGTGAGAGAGCTGCAAAACGCGAGTGGAGAGCGGGACGTCTTAGTCCTGCGCGACTGCGCCTTCATTCTTTTACCGAGCGAGCACTGGTAGTTGGGCGTCATGCCGTGTGTTTCTCTTGATACTCGTATCTTTTGACTTAGACTTACCTGTAGTTTTATCCTTATCTGCGGTCTTCAAGACAACTCGCCTTCTTGTTTTGCCTTCAACAGTTTCTTTGGACTTTCATGTGCCGGATTACTTGATGTAAGCAAATGGCCGATCTCGGTGTTCATCCAGAACGAGGTCCTTATGACCGCCGTTCGGAGGAAGTGGAGAACCTACTCGCCCCGAGCCCCGGGAGCAGCTCCGGGGAGGAAAGCCGGCGCGCGGGGGACGACCTCCCTCTACCCGGTGGCCACACGGTCGGGTCGCGGGATCTCATGAGCCTGGGCGAAGCGGTGGCGCGGCTCGAAGAGCTGGAGGAGCATTGTGGAGTGTTGGAACGCGAGGCTGCGGTAGTCAGAGGAGAAGTAAGCCGCATCAGGTCAGCCATTTCGGGCGCAATTACCGGGCAGCAGCAGCCACCGCCGGACAGCCCTTCAAGCGATTTATCGTCTACACCGGAATCACTTGCCGGGAGACGGAACTTCGCGGCGAACAACTCGGGGTCGACAAGCAGTGGTTCATCCCGAGGTGAAGGGAAAGGGAGAATGCAGTGTCTTTGTTGGACACTCCTGCTGGCTTTCGTCTTTGTCGTGTTTGTCACCATCGCAGACGGAGTTGCTCACCCGTCCGTACAACAAGGCCAGTGGTTCTGGACCCCATCGCGCCTGGTGCTCGGCAATCCCCCGAAAGAGAGTGGGGTTTTGAATTCGACAAGGGGGGAAGTGCGGCCGCAGCCTGCGGATTCGAACAGTAGTACGCGCCAACCTGTACAAGCAGCAAATGCCCGAGCAACCTTCGGCTCTGCGATGCGGAAGACATGTGGACTGCATGACCACCTGCTCCTGGCGCAAGACACTGATCTCACCGCGGGCGTCGCTGCACTCGCGGGCACGCTCGTGGCCGTGAGGAATGAACTGACGCAGCTTGCGCGGGATTTCGCTTCCTTCAAAACGTCCCGGATCGACGACATTGCGGAACTAACTCGGAAAATGCGGGAATTCATCTTCTCGCAGAAAAATGCAAACGTGACGGAGCAGGCTTCCACCGTTGCGTTCGGCGAGACGCTTGCGACGTATAAGAATTCCTGCTTTAGCTTTTGCGTGTAGAGGAGGACTTTGCGACGAAGGCTGTTTCTTTGCATGTCATCTTTTGCAGCAGCTTGTTTCTCTACTTTCTTCAAAAAACTACAACACGAAGGTACATCCTCGGCCTGACCGGCTGATCCTGGTTTGGAACGCAAAAATTTCTGGTGGATGAGTATCGAAGTAATTGGTGCAGCACAGTAGGACCTATCAAATTCAAAGTCAACTACATAGCGGAGTTGTGGCAGTTTCGATTCTAAGGATCGTCTGCTGCAGAAGTTTTTTGAGACTCTACTTCTGGTGAGAACTAAACATGCGAAGACTCATGCAAACAAAAGTGACAGAAACTACAGAAACAGTAAGTCTGGACGTCAACAAAGCAGCCGAGCCCGACGAGAAATGGATCGACTCGAAAATAAGAGGCGTGCCTAATTTGTTTTGCTGGTGCAGCATTTTGTGTTCGAAGGAAGAGATATCGATTTGCATTGCGTGTTCGGCAGCGGAACGTCCCGAAGTTCAAAAGCAGAAGTTTCCTATATTCCTTTGTGATGCGATCGTCAACGTCATCGTATTCATATCCAAATCCAGTACATCTACATTTTCAGAAGAAGAACATGACTCGTCTTGTGCGCAATTACAAAGTGTGTCGAGCCCCTTTGTTCGGTAGATACGGGTGGTAAAAAATAGGGCATTGAAGTTGAAGTTTTATCTCGTATTCTGGGTCGTTTTCGTTTTCGTACCAAAGTGAGCGACCGTTTCAAAAGAGAGAGAGCAAGGGCTCGTTTCGTCAAGAAAAAGACGTGCAGAAAGTACTGAAGCAGAACGCACAGGAAAATGCAGCAGAAGTGCAGAAAACGTTTGCTACACTAACTGTCGGTGCTATCGCTGTTCAAACCTGCCGTTATCATATTCCTTCCTCATCTTCGGCTTCGCTGCACTGCTCATCTGAATTCCACTACACAAATGATCTAAGTATAATAGAAATTTTCCAGGGACGACTTTGTACAAAAAAACTTTTTGGCCACGAAGCAATTAAGTTCAAGTTGATTGCGGGAATAATCAATACGAAATGTCTTCCCCCCTCAGCGGCAGTGTCGAAGAGCCTGCGGCAACAAACGGGGTGGCCTGTAGTACCGGTGCAGTGGAGACCGCAAAGGTTGCGGTAAACAAGAAGAAAGACCCCGAGGAACAGGTACAGGGTGAACTGCATGATCTCGGGAATCGGAGTGATGCGGGATTTCAAGATGGGGAAGGTGAAGGAGATGTTGAAAATCCTGAGCTGGATGGGTGCGGCCAGGAAGATGAAAAACAAAACAGTAACAAATCCACCGGAGGGGTAGTAGATGACGAAGATGAAGAGAACTTTGAAATCAAAGAACTGCTCAAGGACACGTACGACATATTCTCCGATTTGCGGAGTCGCTGCGATGAAGAATACGCTTCGGTGGAAGAAGGGGAGGATGAGACTAGCGGACCTTTACAACCAGTACCACTGAACAATACAAACCTGAAGCGGTTTGACGCTGTTTCTTCCCCACTGCGGATCATCGCCCCGTCACACCATCTTTATGTGGTCCGTCAAAGTAGCTTCCGTGAAACTTTTAATCGAAGAGCAGAGTTTAGAGGTTTAAGCGTTAGAAGGCTTAATTTGAGAAATCGAATGCTTTGAGATTTTAGCGTTTAAGCATTCGAGTGCTTAACTTAAGAACTCGGATATTTTTGAGTTTAAGCGTTCGAGTGCTTAAAATAAGAAAACAGCAGATTGAAATTTGCGCGAGCAAATTTGAATTTGCTCGTAGGTTTTTGAAATTTGCTCCGGAGCTTCTGCAAGAAGTCTAGAAATAGCGACTCGAACGCTTAAAGTCACCGGAAAAAAAGTAGTCGTTTAGCCATTCGGATGCTTAAATGAAGAGAATTTTTGCACCCGCCCGAGCAAATTTCAAAAATGGCAGCGCAAATTCCAATTTGCTCACGCAAATTTCAATCTGCTGTTTCCTTATTTTAACCCTGCGAGCCGTTATTTGCCAACTTTGTGAAGCTGCTTTGAGTCATTCGAATGTTTTATCGGGGGCGACGAAGCAAAGGGAAAGAGCACAGACAGAGCCAAGACGCTCCGGGGCGCTTTTGTTAAGTGCCTGCAAGCTCCGCGCAAAACTGTCGCTAGCGTCGTGATCTCAGCAGATCGCGACGCCGGGCTCGCAGGCACTTAACATACACTTTTGCCAAGTGCCTGCCGGCCCCGCGCACAACTGTCGCTAGCGTCGCGATCTCAGCAGATCGCGACGCCATTCGCAACTCGCCCCAAGGGGCTCGCGCGCGGGGCAAGTGGCGTCGTATGTGCCTGCGCCATACATCGCCAATGGCGTCGCGGTCTGGTGAAATCACGACGCTAGCGACAGTTTTGCGCCGGGCCCGCAGGCACTTAACATACAAAAGCGCCCCGGAGCGCCTTGGCTCTGTCTGTCGTGCTCCCATTGCCCTTTGCTTCGTCGCCCCCGATAAAAGTGCCGCCCGCTCGGCGCCGCTCCGGCGGCCACGCCCCTCCACCCCACCCGCGCGTCAGTTGGCCCAGCGAGAAGCGTGCGCGCCACGCCTTGCTCTTGAATTCGCCTCCTCGCCCTCGCGCGCCAGGCGCCCGCGCCGCGCTGCAACCTTGTGCACCGAAGCCCGCAGGGGGCCCAATGGGGCAAATTGCCCCAGGCGTCGCGATCTGGAGGGATCACGACGCCCACGGCGGTTTTGCGCGGGGTGGGCACTTAACAAAAGCGCCGTGGGACATTGCTCTGTGCTCTTGCACCGGCGGAGCTTTTGTTTCCCATGGTGCGAAAGCTCTTGGCAAATTTCAAATTTGCTCACGCAGCTGCACAGACAAGCAATCAGCTTAGCCATTCGAATGCTTAACTGCTTGAAAATAAACAATCACTTTAAGCATTCGAATGGCTAATTGACTGGTTATCTTTGAAGCTGTGTGAGCAAATTTGAAATTTGCTAGAGCAAATTGCAATCTGCGTTTCCGTGAATTTAAGCACTCGAATGCTTAAATTGCGATTTCTTAGTTTAGGCATTCGAAATCGAATGCTTAAACCTTATGAACGCGATTTCCTAGATTAAGCATTCGAAGGCTTAAAACAAAGAATGTGCTGCGCGATTAAAAGTTTCACAGAAGCTGCGGGCCTTACCCAAGTAACATCTACTTGGCGAGGAAGAAGTCCGGCGGTTTACGTTTCCAGACCTGGTGGGTTCGTCCACGGATGCGTGAGGAGTATCAACTACCGAGTTCTGATGTCATGTCTGCAGCTTTTATTTTTGAATGCGTTTCTGCGTACAAAGAAGAAGAACTACAACTACTAGAGCGGGGCGCTCTATGAGTACTAGATGACGAAAAAATAGCGAACATATTTACGAATTTACTAACAAACTAGTACGTGTCTTGTCAGTCCCAGCCCGCAAGCGTAGTTGATATGAAATCACCTCTGCATCCGCGCGACGAGCGTTTGACGCGTCCACACGCAACACCCCGCAGCCATCGACGCTGGACACGCAATCCACGGGTGCCCCGGCGTCGAAATCGAGCTCCAAAGCGCCTGTTTTGATGAACAGTGACGTCCCAACATCCTCTGCTTCCGGGGCCCCGACGTTGTCCGAACTCGCAGCGCAACTCGTCAACCTGAAGCAGGACACCAAAAAACAGGAGGAGGTGTACAACTTCCACTTGCAGCACCTCCAAGACGAGATCGGCATTTTGAAGCAGAACATGGCGAGTGAAGTGACCCGCGTGGAGGGCAAATTGGAGAGCCGGATCGACAGTGTAGATGGCGAGATCAACCGTGTTGATGGCGAGGTCAACCGTGTGAAGAAGCGGATGGATACCGCGGAGGTCGAGATCGAGCAATTGAAAAAAGACGTCGTGGCTGGGAAGGAGATGAAAAGAGCGAAAAAAATAATTCGCGAGGTGCTTGTGTATGCGAAATCGGATCTCAACAATTCCCGCGACGACATCCCGGACGCCACTTTTCAAGCGCTCTGCAGCGTCCTGGACGGCTGGGCGAACTACACGCGCGCGTTTTCGGTATTGCAGAACACCGTGTCGCAGCTGGCCAACAGCACGAAGTCTACCGAACTCGTGCGCTCCGCAGCACTTAAGCAGCTGCAACTAGCTGCAAGCCTCCTGGAAGGCCCGGTGGCGCAATTGATAAAACTCGACGAGGAGGGCGGGTCGGCGCAAGTGGATCTGAAGGCCATTGCCGCGGCAGCTGGAGGCGCATCAACTACAACCAACAGCAAAAGCGGACAGAAAAAGAACAACTACAAGATCACCTCGACCTCGTCTGTTTCCCAGGAACAAGATCAGCAAACCAAAATCAAACAGAAAAACTCGGCAGGAGAAAGCGCAAGTGCTGATAGTACCACGAAGACCTCCACGTCGACCTCGGTAATTGCAGCTGATCCTGTAGTTTCTGCCACTCGTCGTCTTGTTCCCGCGGCTGCACTGAAGGAAACTGCGAGCACGGAGGCGAAGAAGACCACGAAAATTTCTCTGCGGTCGAAAACTTCGAATTTCCTGTTCGGTAGCAGCAAGAACCACAGCAGCGTCAAAGGAGAGCAGACAAACTCATCTTCCACTTCTTCCAACAACATCAAAGAACAGGCGAGCAACATCAAGCCCCCTGGAAGAAAGCAGAACTCTAGTTCTCGGTCACCGGAGAAAGGGAAAATGAACGCGGATGTGATTAGTAAAGGGGGTCCCGCCTTTGGTGGCGGGGTCTGGCACGATTGCATCGACGAGGAGAAAGGGGCAGACGAGGTCGTGCGAAACACCAAAAAGATTTCTGGCGGCACGGCCTCTACGGACATGCTGGAGCGGCGGGAGCGGATGCTGCGGATGAGTGCAACAAGTAAGCAGGAGACGAATCTTTATGCGGACAAGATTCTTCAGACACACACCGAGTTTTTTGCGCCACTGGATGACAGTATTGATAACACTGCCGCAGGAACAACCAAGATCAACGCAAAGACCTCCGAGATCAGGTCTTCCAACAGTGCGAGTAGGACGGCGGGGGCGGCGAAATCGTCGGGGGAAGAGAAAGGTAAGGCGAGTGCGGACGATATCCATTGCAAATATGTCTGGATCTGGAAGAACGCAAGGTTTGTCATGCATATTTTGTATGACCCACGATGCCTATAATGCATCACCTCGCATCAGATATTTTCAGAGAGCTTCGCGCTGCCTATTCCGCATGAGAAAAACGCCCTTCCCGCGTAGCACAAACTGGACATCTCTCCTCGCTGGTCATGCAATACAAATGCTTTTAGAATCCAGGGACAGCATCACACGTTGCAACCCTCCAGACCCAGACATATTTGCAGTTGATAGGTGACGGGAAGAACGAGTCATCATCCTCCTCTTCCACAACCAGCTCGTGTAACGGTCTGGGGTCGACTACGACAGCTTCCAATCAGCCCCCCGCATTCTCCACTGGAGTAACCCACGAGAACAGCGCGACGGCACCTCGTGGTTCCGGCGACCAGGCAACGGGCGATCCGGCCGTTGCACCATCCTGCCTGGATTCTACTGCCTCCCGAGACGTCGAGGACGGCCATGCGCACATCAAGCGGAGAATCACGACACCGGTGCTGTTTCACCAGCCGCAACAGCGTGGCGGGGTGGACGCGGACCAGATAGTCTGCTCCGTCAAGAAAAGCATGACGGACCTTACGAATCGGTTCGAACTGGATGTGCATACCAATGATGAAACCACATCCACGACGACGACGTTGAAAAAGCGGTACTACAACTTCGCCAATCTGTCAAGTGCGCATCTGGCGTCGGACACTGCTGATGACGTTGAAGGCGACACCGGGGCGGAAATCCTGCGTCCAGCAAGTACGGAACGGCGACGGTCGGACGGGCGAGGAACCACGAGGTCGTGCTTCGCAGCGCCGGTGCCGCGTCTCAACTCCGGTGCTGTGGAAGAAAAAACCTTGCGACAGAATAAAGCACAGACGGGAAGCGGCTTCGTGAACACAGTGAAGCGTCTTTTCCGCAGTCGGAAAAACAGCGATGGTAAGTAGTAAGTACTTAAGTTAGTACATACAAGAAACAAATGAACACATTTGTATGTCATTGTCAAATCACGTTTGTTGTTGAGCGCTAGGTCCGATTTTTGATTCGGATGTTACGTTAGTCCATGTCCGGAGTGCTTGGGTTCCACCAGCGGTTCGAGATCAAGGTCAACATGAATGTCAAGACCGAGCGTCATTATTTCGATAACAATTCCCTATTTCATCTCAGGTCCCCCGGACGCGTCGGCATCGGCTTCGCGTTCTCGGAAATAAAGGGGGACAAGCAAGGGTTTCACTCCGGACAGGCGCAGCTACAGGCTACTATCTACCTGGTTGATGTCCATTGAGACGCAGAAAATCGTGACTGATGTATAATTTTCAAAGTATGTATGATAATTTATGGTTTTGTCACTCATCTAACAGTACTGCTACAATTTCAATTATTGGTTTGCAACGTTTTACAGATTTTCTACGCAGGCACTGCGTCTTCTTCAAACGAGAAACTGTGTAACTTCAGTAAGATCGCGACTTTCAATTTCGATTCCAAATTTTACACGCAACTTTATCTGACTACAAACTGTAACTCTGTTAGGAGAAAAATCCAGCAGGGGGCAATCACCACATCGACACCTGATTTTTTTCACTATAATGACACCTGATTTTCAAGACCAGACTAAACGTTGTGCCGCGTTTCATTGTGGCGCCTCAACAAAGATGACAGTTCGCAACTTCAAAGAATGAAATAGAGTTTACCGACATCTGGATAAGTATTCCGATTACCAAGCAAGAGCACCAATATCACAAATTGGGATTTTCAGCAGCTTTTTTAGAGACTACACCGTGTACACTAGGAAAAGAAAGTTGGAAATATCAGAAAAGAAACACCACAGACAGCTCGTATGAGTATCTTCGCTGTCTTCGGTTTAATTTCTGTGTTCGGCGTGCTAGTACGGAGATGAACATGCTGAAGCCATGAAGGCGGTAAGCCCGGCTTCGGGTTGTGTTTGATATGCAGCAAGTCGTGACGGAGACAGCCACTCGCCTCGGATCCGGACTCCTGCAGCTTCGGACGTTATGCAGCCATGCTCCGAAAAACAAAATAATGCACTTCTCGTCGCCTCTTCCTTCGTCTTGGAAAAAACACTCGAATGCAAATATTCACGTTAATCGACATGCATCGGTCGGAGAGATCACGGTTTTTATCGAAGCACGATCTCGATCGACCGAGATTCGTGGTTGCAGCGTAGACCTTGATCTTACAACGTTGCAAATTCGTCTCGTCTGTTCGTGAGCCAGTCTCGTCGTGTCCATGATCATCGTTGAATTGAGTACTACTACTGAAAATCCACTATTTTCGTTGGGCATTCATACCACCGCGTGTCTTCTTTTGTGAAGGAGCCAACGACGTTGCTTCGATGATTTCCGAAGCAAGCATGCAAACGTGTTACCACCGCGTATCCGTTTGCGGCCATCGACTACTTCAACTTTTTTTCATCGCATATATCATCTTCATAGCCACTTGTAGCACTTTCTGATTTTCTTTCTGACTACGTAAAAAAGAGAGCAAGGAAGTAGAATTGTGAAACTTCGCGTCCACCAGGTTTGAAACTTTGACAGCAGAGGAATTACGCACGACCATGTCCGTCACGTCTGTGGGTCAGGAGCATCCGGTTCTCGGCCGCGATGTTTCCTCTGCAGTTCTGCTGGACAAGAAGCAGTTGATGGAGAAGGGTGTGGAGAGCATCGCAGAAAAACAATTTCTGTTGATCAAGCAGAACTTTGGCGACGAGCCGATTCGTGTCCGCAAGATGCTGCGGAAGTGCTTTTTGTGCAACATGAAATGGATGTGCGAGATGCTGTACAACGAGGGCGATATTTTCGCCCTGGGAGTTTTAAGCAGACGAAAACTTTCTTTCTCGCAGACCAGGACAGCTTTTGCCTACTAGTACCCGCAACGTACGATTGTACTGATTCGTGATGACCAAGGAAAAAAAAATAGGTTCTGCTATTGTATAGGTAGATCAACTCGCTTCACGTTTTTTGTGTATACCTCTCCCTAGACGGTCGACCAGCAACTCTTGCGAAGGCTGAACTAGCAATCATGATTTCTCTGCGAGGGGGCACGTTTTCGCTCTGATACCTTGGCAAGCAACCTGCTTCTCTGTTTTTGCCGTCCTTGAACGTGTACACCGTGGTATCGAGATGGAAAAAATTTGTCGGGTTCTTGCAGCTGATGTCAACATTGTTGTTCATTGAAAAATTTGGATGTGCTGTTTGTTGAGCAGGAAAAGAACAACCATGCTGATATCAGGTGTGAAGATAAGCTTCTTTTTTACTTTGCATAACAATCTTCGGACCCGCTGCTGCGGGAATTACTTTTCATCACCCGCCTTGCGGAAGGCATGAAGGTCGACTGGCACTGGATTGCCGAAAAAATTTATCACACTGCAAACGTGCAATTTTCAGCCTTACCAGTAGTTCCTGAACGTAAGAACCTTGTGCATATTATTCGCAAGGAGCGAGCAATACAGTATGAGCTATAGTGAAAAGCAAGAACACTAGCGAACTTTCTTCAATTGGCACGGCGTATAGACGGCTGTGCTTATGCATTGACTCCTGGTTGAGTAGTCTACCAGTGGTGTGATGCATATGGCGCAGAATGAAATTTCAGTGTGATAACCTGATGAGTTTGATTCACCGGTTCGCGTACGAAGCCACGCACCCCATGGGAAACCGGTTGGTGAAGAGGATTGTCGAGACGGCTGTGTACGCCTCTGTTGCCGCTTACATTGAGCAAACATTTTTCTAATTCAGCTGCAAAAAGTTTCTTCAATGAATCCATCCACCATGGATTTCGTGGTAAATTCTAGAGGTTTCCTATTGACGGGTCGGAACACATCAACTTCAGACACAACTACTTCCTCGGATATCAGAAAGTATCAGCTCCAACGACAAGAGAAATCAGATTTGATTTTTGTACATAAATATTTTTGTTTGCTTTTCATCTTTTTGTTCAACTCACTCTCAGCGATAGACCAGTTTCACGTTTAAGCGTTTTTTACAGGAGAATTCAATTGATTTACAACAATTTTACAGGATGTTTCACACAAATGATAAAGAAGTTTTTGTTCAGGATCGAAAAGCAGCACGCAGCTTAAGAACATCATCTTCAAATAAAAAACTGTACAATAATGATAAACTTGTGCTGCTGCTTGAAAGTGTACTCAAGAAAAAGAAGGTGGTATACCCCAAGGTCAGTAGTCTTAGTCACGCTTTTGGCCGCCATGGTTTTGTTCGTATCGTTTCTCTTTTCGAGCAGGTAGCTGTAAGCTGCCGAAGTTCGAATAATTTCTCGTCGTCTTGCTGGTCCACACCAGAACCAAGCGCGAGGCATTTTTAGCTCGTCGAGTGTACGTTTGAGTTTCGGAAATCAGAGAGACAGCTGGAGTTATTGTCAGCATGAGGGAGCAGGGAGGGGTTCGACCGCCTATCAGCATTTTTTTCTTGTCGATGCGAGCCCATATGTACAAGCAACGCCAATAAAAGTCGTGTATTTTTCGTTTTGCTCGTCCTCGCAATGAGCTTTTGATTTCTGATGAATTCAGAGAGATAAAGTTGTCATGAGTTGTCCACCCTGTCGTGGCCAGCATGAGGGGAAAAGGGGTTCGACGGCATAAAATGTGTTTTTCGATCTTCGCCCGTCATGATTGAAATAACCAAAATGTACTTATTGTTATTCCTACTTTTCCCGGGCATTCGGCAATGTTATATTCGCAGGTTTGGGCGCTGAAATCCAAGTATAGTGACCTGAAATCGACAGAACGAGTAGCGCACAGAAGCTAGCAGACAGTTGTCGAAATGTAAGGAATTAAGATTTTTCTTCAACGCTGGTTATTTTTGAAAATCGTAGATGTACCACGACGACCGCCATATCTCCTCGCCTTATTCGACTTTGCGACGCGGCTACGGACAGACCTGAGTCCGGATGCCGTCGAAATCCAAGGATCCTGATACCGGGGATCGAAAGTCCGTGACGGATAAATCTCGCTATGAAGACCAGAAATCATTCGACCACGAGCTGATCAAGCGCTTCAGCGATCCGTCGAACACAAAGTCTATCATTCAGCTCCGAAAGGAACTGAATGCAGAATGGGGGCAGCTGCCGGCGAAGCCCCGTTCGACTTCTAAGAGCACTGGGACCACTCCGAGTCCCAAAAAGCCTCGAAATGCGACCCCGAAATCATCAAGAAGGTCCCCGACTGCAACCAAGTCCGGTTCCAGCGGTTCGAGTGACAACTCCACCGCCGCGAGCTCTACAGCGCCAAACAATTACCCGAGTAACTCCTCTGCCGGTGCACGGGCGGGTGAAGGAGAACATCGGATGGAGCCCATAGAGCAGCAGGTGGTGATTTTGGCTGATGCAGAATTACAAGCGGTCCCAGCAGGTGATGATGTTGGTCGGCAGGCGGACGAAGACACGCCGAGAGAGCTCGAGGGACTGGTATACAAATTTAAGTACTTCAACATGTTATACAGGTTGCGCTTGCGAAAATATGGTGGCATGAGTCGAGGTTGTTATTGCCTACGAGAAAAAAAAAATCTTCCAGCGTGACGAGAACATGAAGCTGCGGCACCTGCTCTGTATCCAGTGCACATTTTTGCTTATACGTCTTTCTGGCCGCTTACCCTTTGTGTGTCTCTCGGAAATATGGTTCCCAATGTGCGATGAGTGCTTATTGTAGCGTTTGTAAAATCTTCGAAACTAAAACAGAAAACACGAAAGCATGAATCTGTATGTGTAAGCAGATGCAGTTTATTTCTACTGAGACAGATTAATCTGCTGCTGGAGGGCGCTACGCCAAAAATTAGCCTGGATACCAAACGTGGTGCTCGGCGTTGTTCTGCTGCTCGGCTTAGGGCTTTTGATCCAGAGCATTTTCGGCTCCGCGAGTACTACGACATCCCGCCCGCCGCCCCCGGATGTGCACGCAGCGACGGGTAGTCGGCCAAACTCTGGTACGGACTACAACCCGAGCTTTGGGCAAAAAATCGCAGCCCAGGTGTCCAAGTATTTTGGTAACGGCGGAGTCTACCGACGGGTTTACGCCACTGAGAAGAACCAAGGCGATGATCGTGGCTTATAAGAACAGGCGAACGCGAAATAAGAGCGAGGAGAAAAAACTTTCCCTGAATTTGATCCCTCGCGCAAACTGAAAAACTAGATCTTTGAAGCTAAGGCAAGTAAGTACTCGTGCTTCGAATCAATGACTGTCAGGAAGTGTACCTTATCTTGCATCTGCTTGTTGTCTTTGTCTAAGTCTACCTAGTAGTTCTACTTCGGGTGCCTCTTCCACTATTTGCTAAGATGTAATGTATGAGGCTCTACAAGTACAAATACAATGTCGAGCATTCGCTTTGTTTCATCACTTGAATACAATTACTTACAAGAAACGGAGGCTCAATCCATGCCATGCGAACTCAACAATTCTTCTATTCCACCAACGCGCTGCAAATAAATGATCTGTGCATAAACGAACTTTCCGTAAAAAGTTCAATGTATGCAGCAGCAAAGTTGCAGCTTGAAATAATCGTGTTCGGAAGCGAAAGCTCCTCAACTGCGACGAAGAATTGTTCGTCATGTGGTTTGACAAGGAAAGAACTTCTTCATCCCTGCGACCCACGTTGAGGATATGAGTTTCGAGACGGCGGCGCCGGTGCGTTTTGAAACAATGTGTGACCAAATGGTATACGACTGCAACATAGGGCTTGGTCTCGCAAGGATTACTTACTTCCCTTTGTGCACCTCAGGAAGAGCCTTCTGCTCCCCTGTGACACATCGCTACAGCTTCAAAAGGTTTATCCTATTCCTTTGTATTTTCGGGGAATACGAGTCACTCGGACTCCGAGAGAAAGAGGAGCTTTTCCCCGGACCAAAGTTGCTATCGTACCAAAGCAGCTTTTTTTGCTTGGCGGAATTTTTCCGCGACGGTATGGTCGAGGTCTTGGGTTTTGACTTCCGGGTCTCCGGGGCCTTTTTTTTGCTTCTCGTCGCGGGTGGCGAGTTGCTAGACCGGGAGAAGCAAAACAGGAGCTGTTGCCACGCTTGCAACTACCGGCGAAGGGTCTGGGGCCCGTGCCAAAGTTGCTATCCAACGAAAGCAGCTTTTTTTGCTTGGCAGATTTTTTCCGCGACGGTATGGTCGAGGTCTTGGGTTTTGACTTTCGGGTCTCCGGGGCCTTTTTTTTACTTCTCGCGAGTGGCGAGTTGCTATACCGGGAGGAGCAAAACAGGACCTGTTGCCACGCTTTCAGCCACCGGCGAAGGGTCTGGGGTCCGGAGCAAAGTTGCTATCCAACGAAAGCAGCTTTTTTTGCTTGGCGGATTTTTTCCGCGATGGTGTGGTCGAGGTCTTGGGTTTTGCATTCCGGGTCTCCGCAGCCTTTTTTTTGCTTCTCGCGGATGGCGAGTTGCTATACCGGGAGAAGCAAAACAGGAGCTGTTGCCACCATTTCTACCACCGGCGAAGGGTCTGGGGTCCGGAGCAAAGTTGCTATCCAACGAAAGCAGCTTTTTTTGCTTGGCGGATTTTTTCCGCGATGGTGTGGTCGAGGTCTTGGGTTTTGCATTCCGGGTCTCCGCAGCCTTTTTTTTGCTTCTCGCGGATGGCGAGTTGCTATACCGGGAGAAGCAAAACAGGAGCTGTTGCCACCATTTCAACCACCGGCGAAGGGTCTCGGGTCCGGAGCAAAGTTGCTATCCAACGAAAGCAGCTTTTTTTGCTTGGCGGATTTTTTCCGCGATGGTGTGGTCGAGGTCTTGGGTTTTGCATTCCGGGTCTCCGGAGCCTTTTTTTTGCTTCTCGCGGATGGCGAGTTGCTATACCGGGAGAAGCAAAACAGGAGCTGTTGCCACCATTTCAACCACCGGCGAAGGGTCTCGGGTCCGGAGCAAAGTTGCTATCCAACGAAAGCAGCTTTTTTTGCTTGGCGGATTTTTTCCGCGATGGTGTGGTCGAGGTCTTGGGTTTTGCATTCCGGGTCTCCGGAGCCTTTTTTTTGCTTCTCGCGGATGGCGAGTTGCTATACCGGGAGAAGCAAAACAGGAGCTGTTGCCACCATTTCAACCACCGGCGAAGGGTCTCGGGTCCGGAGCAAAGTTGCTATCCAACGAAAGCAGCTTTTTTTGCTTGGCGGATTTTTTCCGCGATGGTGTGGTCGAGGTCTTGGGTTTTGCATTCCGGGTCTCCGGAGCCTTTTTTTTGCTTCTCGCGGATGGCGAGTTGCTATACCGGGAGAAGCAAAACAGGAGCTGTTGCCACCATTTCAACCACCGGCGAAGGGTCTCGGGTCCGGAGCAAAGTTGCTATCCAACGAAAGCAGCTTTTTTTGCTTGGCGGATTTTTTCCGCGATGGTGTGGTCGAGGTCTTGGGTTTTGCATTCCGGGTCTCCGGAGCCTTTTTTTTGCTTCTCGCGGATGGCGAGTTGCTATACCGGGAGAAGCAAAACAGGAGCTGTTGCCACCATTTCAACCACCGGCGAAGGGTCTCGGGTCCGGAGCAAAGTTGCTATCCAACGAAAGCAGCTTTTTTTGCTTGGCGGATTTTTTCCGCGATGGTGTGGTCGAGGTCTTGGGTTTTGCATTCCGGGTCTCCGGAGCCTTTTTTTTGCTTCTCGCGGATGGCGAGTTGCTATACCGGGAGAAGCAAAACAGGAGCTGTTGCCACCATTTCAACCACCGGCGAAGGGTCTCGGGTCCGGAGCAAAGTTGCTATCCAACGAAAGCAGCTTTTTTTGCTTGGCGGATTTTTTCCGCGATGGTGTGGTCGAGGTCTTGGGTTTTGCATTCCGGGTCTCCGGAGCCTTTTTTTTGCTTCTCGCGGATGGCGAGTTGCTATACCGGGAGAAGCAAAACAGGAGCTGTTGCCACCATTTCAACCACCGGCGAAGGGTCTCGGGTCCGGAGCAAAGTTGCTATCCAACGAAAGCAGCTTTTTTTGCTTGGCGGATTTTTTCCGCGATGGTGTGGTCGAGGTCTTGGGTTTTGCATTCCGGGTCTCCGGAGCCTTTTTTTTGCTTCTCGCGGATGGCGAGTTGCTATACCGGGAGAAGCAAAACAGGAGCTGTTGCCACCATTTCAACCACCGGCGAAGGGTCTCGGGTCCGGAGCAAAGTTGCTATCCAACGAAAGCAGCTTTTTTTGCTTGGCGGATTTTTTCCGCGATGGTGTGGTCGAGGTCTTGGGTTTTGCATTCCGGGTCTCCGGAGCCTTTTTTTTGCTTCTCGCGGATGGCGAGTTGCTATACCGGGAGAAGCAAAACAGGAGCTGTTGCCACCATTTCAACCACCGGCGAAGGGTCTCGGGTCCGGAGCAAAGTTGCTATCCAACGAAAGCAGCTTTTTTTGCTTGGCGGATTTTTTCCGCGATGGTGTGGTCGAGGTCTTGGGTTTTGCATTCCGGGTCTCCGGAGCCTTTTTTTTGCTTCTCGCGGATGGCGAGTTGCTATACCGGGAGAAGCAAAACAGGAGCTGTTGCCACCATTTCAACCACCGGCGAAGGGTCTCGGGTCCGGAGCAAAGTTGCTATCCAACGAAAGCAGCTTTTTTTGCTTGGCGGATTTTTTCCGCGATGGTGTGGTCGAGGTCTTGGGTTTTGCATTCCGGGTCTCCGGAGCCTTTTTTTTGCTTCTCGCGGATGGCGAGTTGCTATACCGGGAGAAGCAAAACAGGAGCTGTTGCCACCATTTCAACCACCGGCGAAGGGTCTTGGGTCCGGAGCAAAGTTGCTATGCAACGAAAGCAGCTTATTTTCATGCTTGGCGGAATTTTTCCCCGACGGTATGGTCGAGGTCTTGGGTTTTGCATTCCGGGTCTCCGGAGCCTTTTTTTTGCTTCTCGTGGATGGCGAGTTGCTGTACCGGGAGAAGCAAAACAGGAGCTGTTGCCACGCTTGCAACCATCGGCGAAGGGTCTGGGGCCCGTGCCAAAGTTGCTATCCAACGAAAGCAGCTTTTTTTGCTTGGCAGTTTTTTTCCGCGACGGTATGGTCGAGGTCTTGGGTTTTGACTTCCGGGTCTACGGGGCCTTTTTTTTGCTTCTCGCGAGTGGCGAGCTGCTATACCGTGAGAAGCAAAACAGGACCTGTTGCCACGCTTTCAGCCACCGGCGAAGGGTCTGGGGGGGGGCCCGTGCCAAAGTTGCTATCCAACGAAAACAGCTTTTTTTGCTTGGCAGATTTTAGCCGCAGTGGTATGGTCAAGGTCTTGGGTTTTGGCCTCCGGGTCATCGAGGCCTTTGGTTTTGGTTCTCGTGGGTGGCCAGTTGCTATACCGGGAGAAGCAAAACAGGAATCGCTGCCACTATCTCAGCCAAGTGCGGAGCATCCGAGCACCGCAGCAAAGGCACTACCCAGCAAAAGCAGCGTTTCTTGCTTTCGTGATTCATTCCAGCCACGATGGCATCATGTATGGTCGAGGCCGTATTAGGTTTTCATCTTCGTTTGATGTTTGTCATTTTTCTCTTCGCCACGCCATCGTCACACAAACCAGCAAAGTGGGGCCGGTCACCACTTCGACGTACACTACTCTACTTGTTCTGCTTCGGAAAAAGTATACAAAAAACCAGACCACGTACCACTGTCGGTCCGTGCGAGTGCGCTTCCTGCGCTACGAAGAATCATCGGTTCTCGTGACATTGTCAGAAATATTCGGTCGGTCTTTCTCCGCCCTAATTGTCTGTAATGGAGATTCGTTAATCGGTAATATTCATGTTTTCCTTTTCTCTCGGCCTCGCTGGACTTCGGCCAAAGTCGTGCTGCAGCTCGTGAAACAACAGTCGGAGGTGGAACGTCGTGATGACTACTTACTTGTTCATCTAAGAAGCCGAATCGGTTTTGAGAACTATGCGACTTCCACTTTGCAATGTCTTCTTTGTGACACAGGATCTCCTTCTCTCATAAATTTATTCCTACCTCCACGACAGAAAAAACATCTAAGTGCTTTCTACAATAAACTGACCATCATCAGCATAAGCATTTGCAGATTTCTCAAGAAAACTTTATTTTGTCCTTCAGTGATTTGATTTTGAATTTGATAAATCATTTCCTTTACGTTGTTATTTCTAGCGAACAAGCACAGCAAAAGAAATGTCCAACATGAACGCGGGTCGGCGCGCCAGTACCACCCTGAACAATACCGCTGCGTCCAATAACGCAAACGTCGACGCCTCGATCGACCAGAAACAGCGTGGCGTCTCCCTCATCCAGCAGGGCAATGCGGTGGACCGGAAGAACTTTTTTGAGAACATTCAGTCGAAGGAGTACCGCGCCAAACAGGGTTCCATCGGCGGAAACGTGGATGCGGGCATTGACAAGTTCGGGCAAACAAACGCCGACGAAGACTACGACCCCCGCACGGGCAAGAAGTGGGCTGCGCGGGGCCAGAACTCGGTTCTGATGCAGTCGATGCAAAGAACCAGCACGGTCTTTGTGGACCAGACCATCTACCGGGAGGGGTTGATTCTGCCCCAGTTTCTCCGGAACCTCTTCGGGATTACCACGCCGCAATCCTACCTGCGCTTGTCCTCCAGCCTCCGGGCCAGCAGCCTAAGGGATGCCGGGGTCTCGGAACGCCAGAGCATATGGGAGTACAAATCCGATAATTGTTTTCCCGCCACTTCGGCCTGCGTGGGTTGAAGATGTAGAAGAAGTGCATTTGTCTTGCAATAAAGAACAGTGCCTGCTCCTAGGTAGTAGCTGCTACTGGTACACTGTCTGCAGGTTGATGCAAGATTAGTTGCTGAAAAAGAATCAGAATATGATCATCATTCGGCCTTCCTCAAAACATGCCTTGAAATCGAAACTTTGCATCACAAAAGTGATTGTGATGTGCATTTTGTGCATGACAAACTTGGACTCAGAATAAAAATCGTGTTTGTAAATTGCATAATCCTCGATGCGATCTTCCACGGCTTCTTCCGAGGGTTCGATGGAGGAAGAAGAAGCGGTTTCTTTCCTCTTCAAACTCCTTCTCTTGCCGGCGTACGCATCGCAAAATTGTTCTACATTTACGGGACCGCATCACAAATTTTTTCAGCATGAATTGAAATGATAAAATCAATGTTCAAAACTTGAAATTCTGATGCGAGCTATGATGTGTCACATCATAGCTCGCCCCAGAATTGCTCACCGCATGACAGAATGTGCTGTCTTCACAGTGAGGACTATAATGCTATCATGCGGCATTCCGTAGCAAAACGTAGACGAAGATTTTGCTGGGCATACCTTCTTTCTCCTGGCTGACTTTATCGAGGCGCCGTTTGTATCCTGTGCAAAAGTATCGTACTCGTACTAATTGCAAATATGCATGACAAATGTTCTTCTGAAGGCAAAACAGCATAACAAGTTCCACTCTCTCGTCTCGTGCCAAAATTTGTAATGCAATTCATACTACTAGTACGATACTTTTGCAATGCATAGTTTGTCTTCCTGCAGGAGTACACGGCGTTGACCTTCTGCTTGCTGTATCAACTGCAAAATAAATGTCTGGGTCTGGAAGGATGCGAACTTGTGATGCTCCATTTGGATGCTACAAAAATCTGTATTGCATGAACAGCAAAAGCGGTCCAGTTTTTGCCCCGGCGAGAGGGAATTTCTCATGCGGAATAGGCATGACGAAGCCCGCAAAAAATCTGTGATGCTAGGGCATCCATCACAGACGTCAGGAGTCATGCAAAAAATGCATGACAAACCCAGCAACATTCCAGACCCAGACACTTTTGCATTTGATATGCTGCTCTCCCTCGGCGTGTACTCCACGGACGTGCTCGAATCGCGGTCCGTCGTGATCCACCCGATCTTTGGGCAGCAGGAGGATGACCTGCTTTCCACCGTCGTTGATTCCGTCGTCTACGGCCCGGCCAATTACGTTTTCCAGCAACCGCAGTCCCGCGTGTTCTACGGCCCCGAGCTGCCGGTGCTAAACCCGCTCTCCTACGCCTACACCCCGCTGTCCGGCTCCGCGGAGTTGGCTAAGGCGTTGGTGCCCTACGTGCCGCCGATGGATTTCTACCCGTTTTCCGGCAAGGGCTTTGCCTTCTCCACGCTGTTCGGCAACGGGAGCTCCGTGGGCTCCTACAGCGACAAGGGGTTTATGTACTTCGGATACGGGGAGTCGTTCACGAAGTTTCTGATGGAAATCTTCAACTTCCTCCTGCAGCGGGAGCTGGACATCTTCTCCCGCGCCGGCACCTGGATGGCCAGTCGGATGACCGTGGTGTGAAGAAAGGGACGGGGTGGAGGATAAGTTTTTATTTATGACGGCAGAGGTTCGCGACTCGTTAGGCACAGACACGACTCGTTTTGCAAGATGATCCATGCTGTCTGCCGCTGTCGAGACAACTAGTAGGGCTGTGCTTTACATCACATTTAAAAAACAAAACCCTGCTGGTCCAAGTTCGCTTATACATATGACGACGATCACCACTTACTTCATCTGTGTAAGTAAATTACTTAATCGAATTTTGAGAATCTGATGACCAAATGTGACATTCTGAATTTGATCTTGACATATACTTTTTTTTTTGCCTTTCAAGGAGAAGCTCTCGTGGCCTCTGAATGTATAAAATAATTGTACCTCCATAATTCAGTACCAATGCCCCCGTCGAAGGACGGATGTCGCATGCAACTTGATCGGCTCTTGATTTCATTTTGACATTTTATGTAAATCACACTTACGGCTGTACATGCATTGCAACGATTTTTGTGTTGAGTGAATGTTATATGGCACAGCTCGCTATTGAAAATTAAAATTTTGTGAAGAGGTTTTCGCTCCGGTGCGCAGGAAGCTCGTGTTTGTGCGGACGCTGCGAAAGAAAGCCTTCGCGGCAACGCCGGTTTGTAGTGCGCGCGACGGGCAACAATTTGCCGCACACTGGAGCAGATGCCTCGAAAAACCAGCACACGAACTACCAATTTTTGTATAAATGAGGGCGAGCCGGTGAAGGGCTCTCCATTCAAAAACAACGAAAAGGAAAAAGAAACATAAAAAAAAATTATCGGGTGCAGACCTTGTTCTGGAAAATAAAGGTCCACGTTCGGATCTGGCCACCTCAAGTTTTCTTCAATCAACCAACAACCTCGGTCGCAAAATGAAGAAACGATCAAGCCATGCAAAAAAAAGAAATTTTCTGCCCGACCAGATCGATCTCACAATGAATCGGTCAAGTAGAAGCGTCGGTTTTGGGTCATATGATCACGACCCGCGAGGGCCTGCTAGTAGGATACACGCTCCAATGCCCAGTCGGTAAAAGTAGCAGACAAGAACTCGTCGGAGGAGAGAGAGTGCAAATTAGGGTGCAGAGATGTCATCTCTGAATGCATGCGCGAGTGTTGATGTTGTCTACTATAAATATCAATTTCTCCTCTCATTGACGCTATCGCTACACTCGCAGTACAGAGCCACTCAGCAACATTCTTGTTGATGAGTCTGCGACACGAAGATTCTCTGAAATGTATATCAAGCTACTTCCGCATCCGCGACATCACTTTTAGTCTTAAGTGCTTTTCAAACACGAACAATTACTCAAACACTCTTCTTTCATCGTCCGTCACACCGGAAGATCTGACCCCACAACTCTTTTTTCTACTTCTGTTATATTCGTGCTCCTACTACTACGCAAGAAGAAGAACTGCCTGTCCGAGCAAGAGCTAAGAAAAATGTCGCTACGACTATCACACACCCCCTCTGTAGCTACGGCCGCGGCTGTGCTTCTCAGACCGGGCTCGTTCCTGTCAGCGATTCGTTTCCTGAGCATCTTAAGTTGGACTACCCAGCAAGAACTCTTCGTATCTGCATCGAGTTCTCGCACCGGATCTTCGGCATTTCTGGGAGTCGGCCTTGCACAGAAAACCGGCGCGGCTGCTGTCTCCTCGAGTGCTTCTCGTGGTCCGTCTGCAATTTACGCCACTTACCCGGACGGAATAGCGGCTCTGAAGCCCAGCGGCTTAGGCAGAGAAGATGTTGCGTACTTCAATGCGATGCAGACGAGGGTCGGAAACACGATCGAGGGCGAGGGGGTGGCCTACTTCGACTTTCTTGTTCCCGCGGGCGACATCGGTAACGAAGAGAAGGTGTTTGCAGCTTGCTTTGGAGCAGATGGGGAGGGAATAATCAACCCGCATCACCTGATCGCGTTCCAACAGCTGAACGCGCTTCAAATTGCGGACAAAGAAGTCCAGTTCGCTCCCAGACTTCCGGATGGCAGCATTGGGGTCTGTTCGGAAAACTTCAAACTCTGCGCGTTTTATTCCGAGGCCTCGGACCAGGTGGAGCGCGTCGTATGCCCGGATGAGGACGAGGAGCTTGCCGATCCGCAAGAACAACGACGTGGCTCGCTGTGGTCTCGCTTGGCCCGGAACGTTTGCGACAGTGCTAGTGCCGGTCGGCGGCGGCGGCAGGAGCGGCTGGAGCAGTACGAGCAGGAGCAAAACCTGCAGCGACTTGAGCTGTCCGTGCGCCGGATGCTAGATCAGGAGCGGGGCGACACAATGCGCATGCGCGCATTGGTAAAAGACACTCTGTGGCCCAAGCTGTGGAAAGTCATTCAACAGAGCGTCAAAAACATTGATGAACACGAAAAGGCAATGCGGCGCAGTGGGGGTGCGCACGCGAACGTGCTGGCATATTATGACGCTGTGAGAAGTTATCAGACGCACTGTCATATGATTGTAGTCGGCGCAGCGCAGTCTTTGTCAAGAGAGCATTGAGTCTAGCATGGCATTGTCCTGATCGTAAGTTTTCTTCACGATAGGCGAAGGAGCTCCTTTTCGTTTAGGGTGCATTGGTAGGCTGCATCAATTTTGGTTCATAGCTCTGTGCTATATAGTTGTGTTCTATGTAAATTGCATATTGTCATGTGACGAATTGCTTTTGCATTTGCTCACATGTTCAAAAAAAAACCTACTGCGAGTTGGAATGCATCAACACCATTAGGAACAACCATGCTGATGATCATCATAAGTGACTTCGGTCTTCTCAATTTTGGCTGCGCTGCAGCACGCCATTTTTTTCCCTCGGATAACTTTCTGGAAAGCAAGGAAGGGAGCGGGGACCGCTTCAGCGTGATTGATCAACTGCAACTCCCTGATGCAGCGAGACAGATTTTGTTTGAAGACAACCACTTGGCACAGTACGTTTGGACTCCACCATACAGGCTGGCGTACAAAATTTTTCTGGGCCTACAGGCCGGCGAAGCGCGATTTTGGCAGAAGGCGGAGTGGCATCGTGACACAGACGTCTTACACGCCGGCACGCGAGCCTCCGTAGCGCTTTTTGGTCTGAGCACCACCGGAACGAAAGATCAAAGGCAGTTCGACAACCTGTCGTCCAGCCTCAACCTTCCGCGTAGGTTCTACGCCCCAGGTCCCGGTCAGAAGGCGCAAGTTCCTCTCTCTGAAGAGGAGATTGCTGCTCTCGAAGAGACCGCGATCAACGCGGAAAGTGCAGAAGAAGAGCTGCTTTTCGACGGAGGCCCCTGGGGCGTGCTGCATCGGGGACCCTACTCGCCTACACAACGCGCCTACAGCGATGACGGGCTGCCGCGGTTGCTCTTTACGATGGGACTTGAGGCCGTCGAGGGTTGGGACGGATCCCAAGAATACCAGCTGCGCACGGGGAGGGAGCAAAGGCAGACGGTGGAGGACATAGTATGCCTGATACATATAGATGATTGCTCTTACTGCCCAAATGCACCACTACCAAGAAACGAAAATATTCATAGAATTGTTGTAGAGGATGGGTCTCGTCCATGACCATCTATAATCTCGCATGCGAGGTAGATTTCGATGCGCGTTTTTCTTCTCTGAGCATCAGCATTAGGCTGCGAGCGATATTACCGGTAGCGGATCCAGGCCATGCCTGTTTTTCTGTACGAAAGGCTTTTTGTTGTGGATGGAAAACAAGAAACCTGTGCATCCTCAGAAAGATGAAAACCCTCGGACGCGACACCAGAAGTACTACACTATTCCGTCCATATTATCGAAAAAAAAAACGCATGTGTTGCAAGTACGTATCAGACATCAGTCTGATAATTCGGTACGTGTCCCTTCGCACGTTCTCTTTTCTTCGATTCCTCAGGTGTTGGATAACCGCCGCGCGAGCAGGATGAATCGTCGATCTGGCCGCGGTCCTGTGTCATCGTCCGGAGCTTCAGCAAGCGCTATTTCACCACTGCTTCAACCCGCGCCAGGAGCCGCGGGTGTGGCGGACATGGGTGGATATGAGAGCGACCATACCGGCGCCGCGTCCGACGTCGCGGAACGTTACGGTGCAGCAGGAGCTGCGAGTTCATCTGAAGGACGAGGAGTGGCTCCTTCCCCAAATGAGCGCCGTCGTCGTCATCGGCGGAAAGGCAAAGGAAGCAAAGACCGTCGGAGGACCCAGGAGCCGGGGGCGGGACGCGTCTGAGTTCTCACTCGTACGTTTTTTTGAGAACGCATGTAGTTATGATTATGTATGAAGGTGAACTTACTATACTAACATCAAAATTCGCGGCTCTCTTTGCATAGAGAGCCTCGGGGTAACACGAATTTCCAGTGACAAGTTGAAGCAATTGGATCTTCGAAAAAGTAGTTTCCTCTTATCCACGTACTTGTTTGCGGCCAAACAAAAACGACACACTTTCCTTTTTACTGCCGCCCACACGACATATTTGTTCATCAGTAGGTAGTTGGCTACTACGATCTACTCTTTTTATTCGTCACATTTCATCATCACACGTATGCATGTAGGGATCGCAACAGACAAGATGGGCGCCCGTCGCGGCCGGGTCTCTCACGGTTTTATAGACTGTAGGGCTGCTTAGGGTTATTCCGATTCTGATTTTGTTCATCACATCAGCTTCAATAATGAGGCTCGATCTCTACTACGTTGTTTGCCTTTCGGACTTTTACACTCTAGCACAAGAATGGAGAACTTTACTTCAACCGATGTTTCCGTTTCCGAAACAATTTTGTCTGCATTCCAGCAACGGTTGGGATTAAAATGTTGAAAAAAAGGCGTACCGGGACTAAATGTTGAAAAAAAGGCGTACCGGAGGGATAGCAACGGTTGGTCTCCCGCGGAACACTATTACAATCGGATCAGGGTCCACCTCTATCCTTTTGTTCTGTTCGGAAAATTTTTCCCTGACACGAAAGACTGATCACCGATGGTGCGACGGTTCAACCTAGTACCAGATAGCCACAAGCGCTCCACGTCCTGCGTTGATCGCCAGATATGAATAGATCCTCCTTTTTTCAACGGAAAGAAGGAAACGGCGACGCACTTCTTGACGCATGTAGTGGTCCCAAGGCTTTGTTGCTGCGTGAGTGCGTTTGTTAGTGCTTGCGTATGTGGCCGCAGCGGCTTTCATCAGCTGTTTTATTTGATTTGTTCCCAGATCAACAGCACCCTCTTCGAGATCGTAGATTTCGTGGTGAAATCGGTGGAAATAAATATTTTGGCCATCGCGCGCACTTGCGAAACGCGGTGAGTCAGCGCTAGCGGTTGCAGGAACTCTTAAGTATGCTAGTTTGTTGTTGTTCATCCTGCCACGGATGAAGTAGAAGATATTTATCCACAAGAACTGGGAGAATGAAGATCTTCTTGAGCACCTCCTCCTCCGCATCAGCACAGCATGCATTTTCCACTTCAAGCAGATCACCAGCACTGTGCTCCAGAACATGCGGCTCGAGTGTCTACTTATTAGGGCGTGAGACTTTTACTTCACGTTCACCCTCTAGTACAAGAAGAACTCGTACTTTCGGGACAACAAGCACCAGCACATTACGAAGCGGCGGCAATCGGATCACGTTTCTTGACGCAGAAGCATTTTCTCTGACGAGGAGCACCACATCAAGATGGACAACATCTTCAGAGACTAGTACCCAGCGGCTTTCCACGACTGTGCTTGCGCTCAACCCAGCACACATCCTGCTCGAAACTTGCCCGGTCCGGTGGAAGAATTTGCAGAACGCGAACAGCTATGCATTGCAAATATGTCTGGGTCTGGAAGAGTACATGTTTGTCGTGCGTGTCTGGCATGACTCTTAAATCTGTCATGCACGTTACCCAAGAGCCCCATTTTGCTGTCATGCAGAAACGCAGCTTGTCATGCAGAAGAGGCAACACCTAGAAGCTCAAAAGCTTGCCATGCTGAGCCAGTACTTGTGGCCCCTTCATGATACGCCACCCAGCATCACAAGTTTCCAGACCCAGACATTTTTACAGTCCATAACAGCGAAAAATACCAAGCTCAGTTGGACGCGATAAACACGCTGCACGGCGGGCTTCTGTCTCGAGATCTGCTGTATGCATTGCAAAAGTATCGTACTAGTAGAAATAGCATTACAGATTTTTCCAGAAGGAGAAATGAAATTTGTAATGCTGATTTCGCTAAAAAAACAAGATTTGTCATGCATGATTGCAATTAGTACGAGTACGATACTTTTGCAGAGCATATGCTGGAATTGAAGAATAGCATGACAAAAAATATTACAAACGATACTAAGGGCGAGGACACGATGAACTCTGGTGCTACTTCCACTACGAGTAGCACCACGACCACCTTCCATCCCTGCGACCAGCTGTACCGGCAAACGCAGAACGACGTGGCGAAACTGCTGTTCCTAAAGCCCTGGTTGCTTTTTCAGTACGCGAAATACGCAAAACAGCGGCTGGCGGATGTGAGTCGGCGAACGAGATTGCTGGAGGAGCAAAGGAGCTGCACACGACATGCGGATGCTGGAGATGGTTCTGGTGGCATGGCTACTGGAGGTGCAAATAGTGGTGATGTAGGGGTACTAGGCGAAGTAAATACCGCGGCAGCTGCCTCTGTGAATAAAGATGCTACAACTAGTACAACTGCCGGTGCCGACACGAAACTCCCTCTTCCCCTCGCCATGGTGCCGACCTTGATCGAAAAACGGGCGGAACATTTTGCGAAACAGATAGAGCGAGTGGCGGAGGAGAAGCAAGCGGACGAGAAACGCAATCTCGTCGTCGTCTGCGCTACCCGGGAATTTCGCCAGGCGGTGGAGAAAGTGCTGGAAAAGAAAGCAGCGATAGCGAAAAATGCGCAATCGATCGAAGAAGCTGGGTCTGGGAACCAAACTCCGTGTGACGAGCTAGACGAGCTCGAGAATAATCGTGGGGATCGAGGCAGGACGAGCAGCTTCTCATTGCCTTTGTTTACAAAGATGCCCACTGCGTCATCTTGTGCAACATCGTCGCCACCACCAAGTACAACCGCTGGCCCGCTCTGGCCCTTCTTCTTTTCCTTCTTTTACCTGGTCCTACCCATTTCCATCACCTTCATCTGCGTTTTGTCGTTTGTGAAAGGCTATGGATTGTAAAAGTGTCTGGGTCTGGAAGATTGCAAGACTTGTCATGGACATTTTGCATGGCCTGTGATGTCTGCGATGTATGCCCCAGCATCACAATTTTTTTGCGGGTATCTTGATGCCTATCCCGCATGACAAATGCCCTCTCCAACGCGGGGCAAAAACTGGACGCCTCTTGCTGCTCATGCAATACAGATTTTTGTAGATTCCAAAAATAGCATCACAAGTTGCATTTTTCCAGACCCAGACATCTTTGCAATTCATAAAGGCTGCATTTTAGGTTTGATCGCACTAGCGCAGAACTTCCTGCTGAAGGGAAAGGAGATTGTGTTTGGTGTGTAAGTCGAAATTAATAGTAGATGAACTTCGAGATGAAGATGATCTGCATGCCTTGATGTTTCCTCATTGCTCACAGTGTATCAGGCATAATTTGCGCGACCACTACCAGTTCTTATGCTTGTTTTTTTCTGGCACCACTTTGTCTCTGATTTATGAAGAGAAATAGGAAGACGAGCACGAGCCACAGTGACGATGTCCTTGTTCTTCTTGTAACTTTCAAGCGCAAGAAGAAGGGTTTCGCTTCTGCTTTACAGACTTGGAGTGAGCTCTGATGTGAAAGTGTAGAAGATGATGAACGAGTGAGTACAACAAGTACAACGAACTGCTCAGAGTTCTGGTGCACCATGTTGGACATGTGAGTGCGAATTACTTAATTACGAGCGTGTGAAATAAAAAACAACAAGAACAACATGCTTATTTGCGCAAAGCACCTTCTTGTCTTTGCGTACTAAACAAGACTAGTCGCTGAGCGCTTAAATAAAATTAGAAAGTAGAGCTTATTTGTCATTCGAGACGTACACCACAAAAATGGCTCCTTCCTATTCCGACGGCCCTCGTATCGAGGAGATCGACAGCGATGAGGAACACGACGCAAAGCAGCTGGATACCCGCAATAGCTATCAGAAAGCCAACGATCTTCCGGCGAAGGAGACGGACACTAGACCTTGGGAGGAATTACCCTTCACGGAACAGGTCGAAAAGCTCCGAGAATTCGCCTGGAAGGTCCAGTCCCGCCACCACAAGCCCGGTATCAAAATGAGAAATCCCCTCTCCCCATATCAAAATGAAGTTTCTGATGCTGGATTTGCGTACGCAAATCAGGTTTGTGTTGCTGGAGAGGGCTGCAGGCCCCTATCGAGTCTGAGGAGAGAGGTTTTGCCTAGGCGCTTAGCATGAAAAACTTCCGCACTGTAGGCCCAACAGCATGACAAACCGCCTGCATAATGCGGCGGAGCCTGCGGAGTTGCCTTCTTGCAAGACAGACGCTAATTGTGGCCACAAATCAGCAACACAAATTTCGAAAACGCACCTCGTCAATATGGGGAGGGGGGATTTTTCCTCACGATAGCCGGGTGTGTTCTACCGGAAGATTTCAAGAAGCAGGCGTTTCGGGAAACGGGAAAGGTGGTGAGTTACTGCTTGGACTGTCTGAAGTACGTATCAAATGCAAATATGTTTGGGTCTGGAAGGTCACAACTTGTGATGCTGTCTGTGGATTCTAAAAAGATTTGTATTGCATGACCAGCAAGAGGGGTCGGGTTTGTCCTACGTGGAGAGGGCATTTCTCATGCGGTAGAGGTATCACAAAGCCCTCTAAAAGTCTGTGATGCTACGGCATGCATCACAGACATCATGGCTCATGCAAGATATGCGTGACAAATCTAGAAATCTTCCAGACCCAGACACCTTTGCAGTTGATAGTACGTCGGGGAAGCCGATTTTAAAGAGCGAGCCCCGGGCATGCGGAAGCGGATGCAGGAGATTTTGACGGAAATCGAACGGTTGGAACAGGAATCGAAGGACCACCGGGCGACGTTGGCGTTCAAGCCGGACGCGGAAAGTGGGAGTTACAGCATTCAGTCGAAAGCGAGTTGCAGCGGGAACAAGGGGGATGGTCGGGCTCCTGGGGGAAAAGACGAGAAACTTTTGGGGGATGATGGTATAATGTCACGCGCACAAGCTGTCACTTTTGCTTTTCTTGCTCGGATGCGCCATTATATTCGAGGACGCGTCTAGGTGTAGGTGTTATTGTTATTCACGATGAATTATACTACGTGATTATGGTGTCATGATTTCGTCTCAGGAATGAACTGTATTGGAATTTCCCACCACAGAAACTGCAGCAGGAGCATCCACTTCATCCTCCTCTTCCACCGGACCGTCGACAAAAATGCCGGCAGAACTTGCGGAATCCAAGAAATGCAACGGCATCACCGCGACCGGAGTGAAACAGTACTTGAAGGGGAATGTGCTCAAACTCCCAAAACTCGGCCTCGGGGACACGGACATGGGGAGTGTGCTGGAGGTTTGCAAAGGTGAGAGGACAGTAGAGTTGCAAAACGATGTTCGAGGGGAATGTAATTGTTTGCAAGAAAGAACAAGACGCATAACATACTCTTTTCCATGCCTACTTTTATCGAACATCCACCTGTCTTTGAAAATCGAAAACGAAAATAAAAAAATCACAGACTCGTCTTACATCCAGACCCTGGACCTTTCCCACAACGAAATCGCGGACGCGGGGATGCAGCAGTTGGTGGCCTTCCTCGCGAGTCCGGATAATTTACCCTCTTTAAAGACCGTGCGGATTGACGGCAATGCGGAGATGACGGAATTGGGGAGGTGCATGGTGACCGGGTTACGGATGCTACGGAAGAAGGTCGAATTTGTCGCGACCGAGGAGGAGGCAGCGAAGTTTTGTGCTGCGGTGGCTTGTGCGGTAGAGGAACCGGGGGAAGGGAAATCAACTGCGAATTCTGCTGGCGCGGGCGTTGAAAATAAGTCGGCGTCTGATCACAGTGAAGACAGGAGTGGTGTGGATGAGGAGCAGGGTAGGAAAGCAAGTGCAGAAAAATCTGTGGAAAAGGAAGTCGAAGTAGTTGAAAAACCAGTAGAATCGAAGGACGAACTCGACGATTTGGATTGATCAAAATCGAATCCACATCAGCATTGCCATTAGGCTGATAGCGAAGATACATCAGGGAGAGTTCAGATGACGAAGATGGGCCCGCGATAGCGTGGCTTGCAGCACAGGAGTTCACAAACGAGCCATTGTGTTTCCAACGTGCACGACGGGAACTGCAAAAAATAAGAGGGTGAAACGTAAAGAGTTGCACGGAGGTCTGAGAGGCACCAGGACACCAATCCTAAAGCATCTGAGCGGCGTGGCAGAAGGGGAGGAAGAGGGATTTGTCTGTAGTGGTAGTGGAGAAGAGGTTGCAGCTTTTAGCTGTACTTAGCTGACCACGACGAGTGTGAGTGAAACAGCGGGACCATCGGGAATATTACACCTTATTCCTCAAACAAGACACCATGGGTGTAAGTCTCACTCATTGGGATCGCTCGGCCTCGAAAACTACATATCGAAGGCCGGCGACTGAAACTGTTGCGGCCCGAAGAGTGCCGGGCTCCGGCCGGCCATTCCTTATCAAACGATCGACCCTTCTGTCCGAAGGACGCGGCCCGTGCGGCTCGGGGGCCGTCTTGTTTGCCCTGGTTCTTACCACGGGGAACTGCCGCAGAAGCGGGGCGCGCGGAGCGGCTTAGCGGGAGTCGAAGGCGGCGCCCGGGGCGTGAGATAGCGCCGACCATCGAAGAAGCTGCCGCCGGCGACCTGTCCGCAAAGCACGGAGTAAAGATGAAGGTCGGCGCGAATCGCCCCGGCGCGTCGCCTCAGCCCTGCGCCATGCGCCGGCGGCGCTGGTTGCTCCCTTCTTTGCCTCTGCCTTTCGACTCGGGGAGCAAAACGGCGGCGCTTCTTGCGTCGTGGCGGCCGCCGGGCCTGTGTTGGCCAGCCCCGCGGCCGTTTGGCCCGCTACCGCGCCCCCCGGCGGGGGACCAAGGCGCATTTTACCCCGGCGCATTTTTTTTGTGGGCACCCGCCCGTGCAATGTTCTTAAGTTGCCTCGCCCGCCGGAGCGGACGTCGCCCCGCCCTGTACGCAGGCGCAGCTGTTCTCGGTGATGCGATGCTTCCTTTGCGGCCGCCTGTTACGAATCACTAGCATGATCCGTCGCGCGGGAGCCAGTGTCGTCCCCGTTGCTTGCCGGTCGCAGGACTCACTTGGCCCGCACAAAGGCGCTGGTGTTGGCCGGCTGTGAGTTTCTGTCTGTGCCGTGATCGCGAGAATTATTTGCGTTGCAAATTCTTTGCTCCGCTCTCTTACTTGTCAGCAAAAGTGAGCGGGGCCTAAAACTCTGCATGCCTGCTGCGCGGGAACTTTATTGTTTTTACACCGGGGTCCCGTTTAGTAGTTTCGTGGAGAAGATAAACGGAGTTGTTTTTGTGCTGCGATTGAGAGATGTGACAAACGCGGAGGAAGAAGAGCTCCAACAGCACAGGAGGCAGTTTGCTGCGTTGACGCTTTGCTGTGTTGAAGCTGGAGGAAGACGGTTTTTGAATTAGCGAGTCTGACTGGGAAATTGAGATGATTACTAGGTGGAAGAGAGTTGTGCCGGCGCGTGCGTGTCTGCAAGCGTTATGGAGACGCTTCTGCTGCATTTCGCAAGCAAATTGGTGAATGGCTCCCATCTTCGTGTAGCAGTGAGAATGCGAGCGCCTCGGGCTCGCCCCTGCCCATGCCGCGGGCTGGGCCCCATGTCGGCCCAGCGGGTGGTGGGACAGAGGGGGCGACCTGGTTCGTAGAAGTTAGCAGCCGCGGGTCGGCCTCGCGCGCGCTGGCGTGCCTCCGCGCTGCTATGCGTGGTTGACCCTGGTGCCGGCGCTGCTGGCCGCTGGCTGTTTTGTAATTTCCGAGACGATGATGGCCTTCGCGTTTCTTATCACCTCCGCGACCGCATTGGGAGGCTTGCTCTCGTCGTCGTACAGCAGCGGTTCTGTGGCATCTGCCAGAGGCGGGACAGGGGCGGCGGGGTAGTGGAGGAAGCCTGGACGCGACTGGAGGGCCGACTGGGAAACCGGCCACGCCAGAAGGGTAGCCCTGCAACGCCGCTGGACTTGCTCGCTGAGAAGCGGAGGCCGGCGCCGCCCGTGTTCTTTATAAATATATGTAGCCCGCGCGCCCGCGCGGGGTTGCCCCGCGCCAGGTAGGTGCGGGGGGCCTGGCGCTGGTGCGCCGCCGGGGCCAGCGAACTGCGCCGGCCGCAGGCGCGCGGGCCTAAGTAGTCGCCGCGCGCATGCGGGCGCGGGCCCCCGCCCCGTGCTCGTTAGCGTGGCAGCCCTGTTTTATTCGTCTGCGCCCAGCCGCGCGCCCAGCCAGTGCGCGGGCGCGCTTGCTACCTGTTGGCGCGGTGGGCCTTGGGCCGTCGTGATTGCGCGTGGTCTGGATACAAAGGCCGGCCCGCGTCGCCACCTGAGTGATGGAGATGGTCGTAGCGTGTGCCCGATGCCATTAATTTTGCCGGTGGCAGTGATGCCACGCCATTCACTGCGCCGCGCGGGGCCCGTACTGACCTCGCGGCGGCCGGCGTGAGTGCGCTTGTGTGTAGAAGCGGCCGTCGTTCGGGGGCGCCCGAAGGGATGTGTTTTTGTATGTGTTGCAGTGTGTTTTATTTCTTAACAGACAACAAAGAAAAACAAAAAGCGTGTGCGAGGCGTTGCGCAGACGGGTGTTGCTTGTTTCTGGTGATTGGCGTTCGGAGAATTCGGCGAGAGATGTCAGGGAAGGCTAATGCTGAAAATGTGACGTCCGCAACCCAACCGAGGTCGAGTGCTGGATGATGTAGTCCTCAGCTATTTATTTCTGTTTCGTGGCCTACAACAGATGAGTGGGAAATTGCCTCTCGCTTGATGTTTCTTTTCTGTATTTTCAACTCGATCCAGATGTGGTCAATATTATTTTGTTCAATTCTTCCAGAGCTAGAGCCGCTACGGGATACGAGTAAAGAGTTTTGTCTTTTTGAATACTACACACCATTTTCGACGAGGCAACCCACGGAGGAGTACCTGCCTGCCCCGAAACTAAAAATGACCACAGCAACCGTCGTCTCTGCAACTCCGGTGCACGACGTGACGGCGCACATTTCTCCCTGTGCGTGGGCTTGTCCGTTTTTTGACTATACATAGAGGAATTTTTCAAGCGCTTTTTTTACCCCATGTCTAACTATAGTTTTTGATAACTTGTTGTTTTCTCTAAAGCCCACGGTCATTTCCATTCGCATTTTCCGTGTCATGCCCTGTCATCAAACGCCCTGTATTTTTGGAACGAAAGTATTTCCACCAAAGAGATGATGTCCTAGTGTATTGTAGACAATCTCTTTAATCTTTTTTTTTGTTCTTGGCTTTTACCTATCTTATCAATTGCGTTTCACCGTTTTTTTTGTCTAGCTTGCTTTCTTCAGATCAGCTTGATTGTGATAAGCTACACAGGAGACACGCCCCTGCGATGCATCTACCATACCGAGGATCGGCGGGGCAGATTCACCGATTTTCCCGTGGTGCGCACCACCAGTTTGGCTCCACGATTAATGTGCGACCGCGCGAACGCACCACCGTGGGCGGAGAGAAGGAGAACGGAGGTCCACTGCAAAAGTACGCCAGTGCAAGAGCATGACTTGCAGTAGAAGCCGACTTGATTTCGCCTTCGCGTTCGCGCAACACACACGACACTGAAAGAGCACCGACACACGGCATCTCCTTCCGGTAGTACAGAAAAGAACAGCTTCAACCGCCCCATCTTCCAGCACAGAAACCCACACTAAGACAAGATGGAGTTCGCCGCCCGTCTGACGCAGGTGCCGCTTAAGCGGTTCTACAAGTATGTGCTGCGCCGTTTCCTCGGGGGCTTCCTGCGGAAAGATTTGGACCTCGACAACCTGGAAGTCTCCCTGCAAATGTCGCACGGAGTGCTGGAGTTGCGCAATTTGGAGTTAGAAACGGACCTCCTGAACGAACACCTGCAGGACTCGCCCTTCAAGCTCCTCGACGGTGCGGTGGGGTATTTGCGCATGGAAATCCCCTGGAGCCGCTTGTTGGAGAAATCCTGCAAAATTTACATAGCGGACTTGCACGTGTCCGGGAGTATTTTGAGTAGCGGGAAGAACGGATCTGCAGGTGATGATCAGGATGTTGACGGGATCAATTCCAGCAGGCCAGACTCCCCAGATCATCAGCATTCGTCATCGAGTACTTCTAACCTGTTTTCCTCAGCAACCTCGAAAATGACAAACCAGACGAAGAAAAAACAGCAGTTTCAAATGGCGAGCAGTGATTACGACTCGTCAAGAGGATCTTCGTCCAAAGGCAAAAATCGTAGCACTGCCGATAAGAAAAAGCAGGAACCGCAATCCTCGGGCTACGGGGACGAGGGAGTGGAAACGTTGTCAAGGCTCGTGCAGCACGTTTTGGGGAATATGGAGGTGTGTTTGAAAAACGTGCGACTCTCGCTGTTTTCCGAGGATCCGGAAGAAGATATCGGAGGTAAATATATGAAACTACGGTTTTGTTGTTGCAATTTTTTACAAACGGCCGTTTGTAAACGAGAAAAAACGCGCGCTGCCATCGGGATTGTGTTTTTAGCGCGATTTGGGCAATTTTTCGCCTAGACTGCGAATGTTTTGAGATTTTCTGGAATCTCGCCGTGTTTGTTGCGCCTTCTTGTGCCACCGGCATCCGTTTGTATTTTTACAAACGCCCCCCCAAAGTGCGCAGCAGCATGCAGGATAGCTTTCTTTGGAAGAATGATCATCGCTGGAAGCTTTACGCTTTCATTTTTCTCGATTTGCAGAGTCCCGTCGGGGCTACGTCGTACAGGATGGCCGTTTGTATTTTACAAACGGCCGTTTGTAAACGAGGAAAAACGCGCTCTGCCATCGGGATTGTGTTTTTATTGCGATTTGGGCAATTTTTCGCGTAGACATCGAATTTTTGAAGATTTCGTGGAATCCCGCCGTGTTTGTTGCGCCTGCTTGTGCCACCGGTGCCCGTTTGTAATTCCAAAGTGCGCAGCAGCATACAGAATAGCTTTCTGCGGAAGAATGATCATCGCTTGAAGCTTTACTCTTGCACTTTTCTCGATTTGCAGAGTCCCGTCGGGGCTACGTCGTACAGGATGGCCGTTCGTATTTTACAAACGGCCGTTTGTAAACGAGGAAAAACGCGCTCTGCCATCGGGATTGTGTTTTTATTGTGATCTGGGCAATTTTTCGCCTAGACTGCGAATGTTTTGAGATTTTCTGGAATCTCGCCGTGTTTGTTGCGCCGTCTTGTGCCACCGGCACCCGTTTGTATTTGAGACCCTGACGCTCTGAGACCCAAACCAGCGAAACACGACGGCAGCGTGGTTTTCTTGTGTTTAGAATGACGAAAAATAAATACTCATAGCATCGTGATTTCGATTTCTCTTGTTTTTTGGGGGATCCGCCTCTCCACGGGGATCCGCCCGCTCCCCGGGGATCCGCCTGTTACTCGGGGATCCGCCCGCTCCCCGGGGATCCGCCTTCGCCCAGGGGATCCGCCCGTTCCCCGGGGATCCGCCTTCGTTCGCCCAGGGGATCCGCCCCTTCCCCGGGGAACCGCCTTCGCTCAGGGGATCCGCCCGCCGGGGATCCGCCTTCGCGCAGGGGATCCGCCCGCTCCCGGGGATCCGCCTTCGCTCAGGGGATCCGCCCGCTCCCGGGGGTCCGCCCGCACCCCGGGGATCCGCCTTCGCCCAGGGGGTCCCGTCCGCCCGTTCCCCGGGGATCCGCCTTCGCCCAGGGGATCCGCCTGCTACTCGGGGATCCGCCCGCTCCCCGGGGATCCGCCCGCTCACCGGGGATCCGCCTTCGCCCAGGGGATCCGCTTGTTCCTCGGGCATCCGCCCGTTCCCGGGGGATGCGCCCGTTCCCCGGGGGCTCCGCCCGCACCCCGGGGGATCCGCCTTCGCCCGGGGGGCCCACCGGTTCTCCGGGGGATCCGCCCGCTCCCCGGGGATCCGCCTGTTCTGCGGGGGATCCGCCCGCGCCCCGGGGGGTCCGCCGGTTCTTCGGGGGATCCGCCCTCGCCCCGGAGGGCCGGCCCGCCTCCCGCGGATCCGCGCGCCCTCGGGGGGTCCAGCCTACGAACTTTCTTTGGGGGGATCCTCCTCAGCTCGGGGGATCCGCCCTCGCCCCGGTGCGTTCGCCCCAGCCTCCGGGGATCTCCCCTTGCCAGGAGGGATCCGATATTCGTGCTTGCCCCTCGGACTGCGCCGGCGTCGCGGGGTTTCACTCCCTCCCCGACGGACACCCGGCCAGCCCGGGGCGGGTGCGCCCTTGCGCCAGAGGCTCCCGCCTTAGGGGTCCTTGCCCTTGCCGCGTTGGCGGTGGGCACGGGCACCGGCACCGGCAAACCGGCGCACATTTCTTGTTTCGGCTTGGTTCTTCCAAGTTGTCAGCGTGTTGCTGGTTGTCAAAGCGGCGCGTTGACAACCAGCAGCAGGATCGAGATGCGACAACCACACAGAAACAGGAGGCGTCCGCACAACCACCCGAGGCCTTGAGAATCGAGAGAATGCGCGCCGGTTTGCCGCGATGCCCTGCACTCGAGTGCGTTCCAAAATCTTCCAAAATGTGCGCCGGTTTGCCGCGGTGCCCGAAATCGACGCTGTGCCGGCGGGGAAAGACCGCGAAGGACGGCGCGAATCCGGCCGGAGGATTCCGGAGAGGATTTTGGAATCCTCTCAGGAATCCTCTTCCGAAATCGAGGCAATACCGCCGGGGGAAGGGCGCGGAAGACGGCTCAACTTGGGCCAGAGGGTTCCCGAGAGGATTTCGGAATCCTCTGCGGAATCCTCTGTGGAATCCGCGCCCGGAATCGAGGCAGTGCCGTCGGGGAAAGGGCGCGAGGGACGGGCCAACTTGGGCCAGAGGATTCCTGAGGGTGGGGATTTTGGAATCCTCTGCAGAATCCTCTGCGGAATCCTCTCGCGAAATCGAGGTAGTGCCGCCGGGGTAAGGGCGCGGAAGACGGCTCAACTTGGGCCACGGGATTCCTGAGAGGATTTTGGAATCCTCGGCGGAATCCTCTGCGGAATCCTCTGTGGAATCCTCCCCCGAAATCGAGGCACTGCCGCCGGGGAAAGGGCGCGGAAGACGGCGCAACTTGGGCCAGAGGATTCCTGAGAGGATTTTGGAATCCTCTGAGGAATCCTCTGTGGAATCCTCCCGCGAAATCGAGGCACTGCCGTCGGCGAAAGGGCGCGAGAGACGGCGCAACTTGGGCCAGAGGATTCCTGAGAGGATTTTGGAATCCTCTCAGGAATCCTCTGCGGAATCCTCCCCCGAAATCGAGGCACTGCCGTCGGGGAAAGGGCGCGGGGGACGGCTCAACTTGGGCCAGAGGATTCCTGAGAGGATTTTGGAATCCTCTGCGGAATCCTCTGCGGGATCCTCTGCGAAAATGTGCGCCGGTTTGCCGGGGCCGCCAGGTTGCTCGCAATCCGCAGCCGACTGTGGCGATCTGGGCGCACGAGACTGCAACGCAGACGCGGCGCGGTTGTGCAAACAAACAGCAGCGGAGTCCTTGCGCGCGCCGCGTTTTCGGTTGCATTGCAACACACTTTAGCACGAGCTAAGCCGAAGGTTTCCCGGGAAACCTTAAACGACCTTGCCCGAGCGGAATCCATTGATTTCTGGGTCTCACAGCGTCACTTTCTCTTGTATTTTTACAATCGCCCCCCCAAAGTGCGCAGCAGCATGCAGGATAGCTTTCTTTGGAAGAATGGCCATCGCTTGAAGCTTTACTCTTGCACTTTCATCATGGATTTGCAGACTCCCGTCGGGGCTACGTCGTGCAGGATGGCCGTTTGTATTTTACAAACGGCCGTTTGTTAACGAGGAAAAACGCGCCCTGCCATCGGGATTGTGTTTTTCTTGTGATTTGGGCAATTTTTCGCGTAGACTGCAAACGTTCTGGGATTTCCTGGAATCCCGCCGTGTTTGTTGCGCCTTCTTGTGCCACCGGTGCCCGTTTGTAATTTTACAAACGCCCCCCCAAAGTGCGCAGCAGCACGCAGGATAGCTTTCTTCGGAAGAATGGCCATCGCTTGAAGCTTTACTCTTGAACTTTTATCGATTTACAGATTCCCATCGGGGCTACGTCGTACAGGATGGTCGTTTGTATTTTACAAACGGCCGTCTGTAAACGAGGAAAAACGCGCTCTGCCATCGGGATTGTGTTTTTATCGCGATTTGGGCAACTTCTCGCGTAGACTGCCAATGTTTTGGGATTTTCTGGAGTCCCTTCGTGTTTGTTGCGCCTTCTTGTGCCACCGGCACCCGTTTGTAATTTTACAAACGCCCCCCCAAAGTGCGCAGCACCATGCAGAATAGCTTTCTTCGGAAGAATGGTCATCGCTTGCAGCTTTACTCTTTCACTTTTCTCGATTTGCAGACTGCCGTCGGGGCTACGTTGTACAGGATGGCCGTTCGTATTTTACAAACGGCCGTTTGTAAACGAGGAAAAACGCGCTCTGCCATCGGGATTGTGTTTTTATTGTGATTTGGGCAATTTTTCGCGTAGACTGCCAATGTTTTGGGATTTTCTGGAGTCCCGCCGTGTTTGTTGCACCTTCTTGTGCCACTGGTGCCCGTTTGTAATTTTACAAACGCCCCCCCAAAGTGCGCAGCAGCATGCAGAATAGCTTTCTGCGGAAGAATGATCATCGCTTGAAGCTTTACTCTTGCACTTTCATCGATTTGCAGACTCTCGTCGGGGCTACGTCGTACAGGATGGCCGTTTGTATTAATTGTTGGTCGTTACTTTCAGTTTCATGCAACACAAATGTCTTTCACTTTCTCTTTTCGTTTGCTTCTAAGTACTCAACTTCGACGGAATAAATCACACAACAAGAACTCAAGAACTACAGGTGCTCCCTCCTACTACCCCTACGCCTTGCAGATCATTGTTTCCTCTGCTTTGGTATGCATTGCAAAAATGTCTGGGTCTGGAAGATTTCGACACTTGTCATGCACGCTTTGCATGAGCCATGATGTCTGTGATGCATGCCCTAGCATCACAGACGTTTTGCGGGAATCTTGATGCCTGTTCCGCACGACAAATGCCCTCTCCGCGTAGCAAAAATCGCATTCCCTTTCGTGCTCATGCAATACAGATATTTTTGGAATCCACATGCAGCATCACAAGTTGCATTCTTCCAGACCCAGACATTTTTACATTTGATATTTGGTTTTCGCCGATTCTTCCGCGCAAAGAAACACCGAAAGAAACATATCCTGAGTAAAAACGTCCCCACACCAGAGTTGTAATGCAGATTTGCAAAGACAGGAAGACTTGTAATGCGCATCCCCATGAGAGCCATTTCCAATTGTGTTTTGGAATTTGTGATGCTGTGAACACGATGAGCAGACGAATCTGTGACGCCGCTGCACTTGCTAACCTGCACTACACTGCAGAGCGCAACTTGTCATGCGTGACTCACAAAACTCCTAGGTTTGTGTTGCAAAATCCCCATCCTGACTCTGGTGTGGGTACGTTTTTACTCAGGATAAAACATCAACCGGGATGGAAGAAGTAGGAAAAAAAACTCATCTGTATCCGACACAACTTGCGAGGAGGAGCGTCGGATCCAGATTGCGGATGTTGCGATTCAATTCGTCCCGACCAAATCAACGTCAAATTTTCAGGAAAACGCCATCGCAGACTCGCTGGTTCTCGACCGAGCACCGGTTCTGAAGGAAGATTTGATCTTGCGAACCGACAAAGCGGAGCCGCTGTCGCTGGTCGTGCGGAAGAATCTAGATGGGGAGAATATGAAGATGGAAATGGAGGTTTGTTCTTTGGTTTTCATATTTATTTGCCATTGTCATGCATAATCATAAACGGAATCGGAATGTTATGTGCAACAAGTAAAATCTTTGCCTGAAACTTCCTCAATGGTGTCGTCAACGCAATATCTACAAGGTCGATCTCCACATCGCGGGTCTCCACGCGATTCTGTCCCTGTGGAACGTGCGCAGATCTTCCGAGTTCCTCACGTTCGGCTCCCAGCAGTCCGCGTTACGGGAGCAATTACGACTCCAGCAGCAGCTGCACAAAAACAAGCACTACCTGCAAACGAAAGAAGCGCAGCAGGACGCGGAGCTTTTTCACTCATTCATCGAGCCGAAACCCAGCCGGAATTTTTGGTACGAGCTGTACGCGCTGTTTGAGACAGAATCGATCTTGGAGGACAACTGCAGCGAGGAAGATGGCGTGAGCAACAGCATGAACAACAACGCAAACAACCTGATATCCGAGCAAGACGTGCACGCGGCAACGAAAGTTTTGGCGAAGGGGAAGAAAAGAAGAAAATCCGGTTATCGAAGGGAAAAATCCCCCCTCCCCATATCAAAACGGAATTTCTGATGCTGGATTTGTGTACACAAATCAGGTTTGTATTGCAGAGAGGCACTTTGGCCAGATTCCTAGGCTAGGTAGGGGCCTATGGGTCCAGTTGTTCAGGAGCATGGCAAGCGGCTCACTTTTAGGGCCAACAGCATGACAAATCGCTGCCCTAATGGGGCGTAAGCTTCTGCCCTTGTCTTCTTGCAAGACAAGTGTGATTTGTGGCCTCAAATCAGCAACACAAATCTCCGGAAACATACCTTCTCGATATGGGGTGGGGGGATTTTTCGTTTTGATACCGGTAGTTCGAAAGGAACAGGTGGCAATGTTGATCAGATGAAGAGTAATAATTATGCCGGAAATACTAGCAACAAGCAGAACAACCAACCAACTTCCTTCACCCGTTGCTTGAAAATCAACCTACAAGTGGATCGACAGAGCTACTTCTTCGTTTTGGCAGAGCGGGTGCAGTTCGTCAACCCGTGGAACCACTTGGAATTCGGCTCCGGGAAGGTGTTGAACGGGCCGCCGCCGATTAACAGCGTCTTACCCTACACGAACTACGAGGTGAACATTGGGAGAATGGGAGTCTGTATCGCAGACCGGCAAGACGAAGGTGTTGACGCAGCTGCTGCAAAAATAAATGGACCGTCGTCTAGTAGATCTGGCGCCTTTTCCCCGACATCTTCAAATCAGCACAACTACGGCCAACACCATCAAACTGGCTCTAATTCTGAACAAGTTCATTCGGCGAATCAAACCTCGATAACGGCGGAGCTTTCTTCAATTGACGCGTTTTTCAACTTTCGGGTCGCCCGGGAGCCGGACGAAGTTTTTCTCGAACAGCATGCGAACACGGACCAGAACATCCGGTACCGATTCCCCTTGGAAAAGGAATTCAAAAACCCGGCCGGTAATCTGTCGGAAACCGTGCAAGCGGATCTGCAAAAATTCAGAACCATCGTCAACCGGGAAGAGGAGGAGGAAAACGCGATGTTTCATTCTGTTTTAAACGAAAGCACGAAAGCGAGTGTCCTGGCGGGTACAACAACAAAACCGGTGTTTGCGTCTCCAGTTGAGTTGCAACAATCTTTTCCACCGCCCTTGGAGCAGAGTGATTCTTACGGGGCGGACATGTTTCAGTCGGTGATAAGTGAAGGGACTGGTGTTGGTGCTGCTAGTTCAACAGCGTCGAACAGCAGCCCGGCTACAACTGCGACTTCAAATGCTGCTGGACCACGTGTGAATTTGCAGGATGCGGACGAGTATGCATTGCAAAAGTATCGCATTCGTATAAATGCAAGTCTTGCATTACAAATTTTTTTCTTAAAGTAAATCAGCATGACAAATTTTATTACTTATGCTGAGAAAATTTGTAATGCATTTATACGAGTACGATTCTTTTGCAGTTCATAACGAGGCGGCCATGTTCCAAAGCATGATGGAAGACAGGGATAACGGGTTAGAGTCATGCTCGTCGAGCAGCGGAGAGCTCGTCGGTATGGAATGGGAGAAATCTTAGGTGCTCTTGTTAAGCGGTCCTCTTACGTACTTAGTGGTTGTACTCGGATGTCGCAGAACATGAACAAGAAACGTTCCTCTCTTTCTCTTCCACAGCCTGTTTTAAATTTCTGGAGTGTCTAGACTACGAGTTCTAGAAACTCATCTCCAGAAATTTCGTACCCTCGTGGAGAAAAAAAACTACTGTCTTGCTTTTGTGAAAAGAAAACAACGTCTTTTTCTGTTCCACGAGCTGTTTCGAATTTCTGGAGTGGCTGGACCATGAGCTCCAGAAATTCTCCAGAAATTCCGTACCATCGTGGAAGAAGAAACTTGGTTTCTTGCTTTTGTGAAAAGAAAACAACGTTTTTTTCTGTTCCGCGAGCTGTTTCGAATTTCTGGAGTGGCTGGACCGTGAGCTCCAGAAATTCTCCAGAAATTCCGTACCCTCGTGGAGAAAAAAAACTTGCTTTCTTGCTTTTGTGAAAACAAAACAACGTCTTTTTCTGTTCCACGACCTGTTTCGAATTTCTGGAGTGTCTGGGCCATGAGCTCCAGAAATTCTCCAGAATTCCGTACCCTCGTGGAGAAAAAAAACTTGCTTTCTTGCTTTTGTGAAAACAAAACAACGTCTTTTTCTGTTCCACGACCTGTTTCGAATTTCTGGAGTGTCTGGGCCATGAGCTCCAGAAATTCTCCACAAAGTGGGATGCACTCGGCTGTGAAAAGAAACTGGGTCCACGAGTCAAAATAAGAGCACCGCTATTCTCGGCACTTCCATACCGGAGTTCCCGACCAGCAGCCCAAGCAGCACCAACCTAAACCTGCCAACGACCACGGTGTTCGGCGAGATTAAAATCGAAGACGATGCGAACTTCGGCTCTGTAACAAAAAGTGGAACGACATCGACATCAGCAGCTGGTGGCGCACCAATAATTTCTGGAGACCACGACAGTGAGGACAACATACCACTGCCGTTTCTTGGATTCGACAGGCCACCAGCAGGATCCGCTCAAGCAGGAGCTTCGTCGTCCTCTAGCTCGTCGGCAACGAGTACTACGCATCAGAGACGAGACGAACAACATGATCAAATGAATCTCAAACCCGCAGAGACAGCCCAGGCGACATTAGCGTCCGCACCTCAAAATATCGCCGAGCAACTTACCGAGCGGCTATCTTCGGTTGCCGGAGGTCAAAATGATGCCGAAGGAGCTTCCCCCTCCTCTGCACCAGCAGCAGCCACTACAAATAAAGACGTCGATCATGTAGTAAATGATCATGATCCCCAAACCACCTACGACACTTCCCGCCCGGTTCCGCTCTCCCCCGACGTGCAATCGGTCGACACGGAGACGATAGAGTCGGAGTCGCTTGGTACGAAAAAATCAAAGGAGGAATCCATTTTAGAGGAAACAACCGACGAGGAATTAGATGAGAATGATTTCAATCTGGAAACGTCCGTGGTGGATTTGGAAATCGAGTTTTTCGCTGATCAATCCGTGGAAACACTAGCGGAGAAAATGCGTGCGTTGGTGCGGGATCAGGTCGTTATGCAAGGGGCTGCGACTGCGACTACAATGAACTCTTTTGGCGTGGTGCAGACAGGATTGGAGCCAAGAACGCAAATTTTGAGCGGCGAACACCCAGCCTCCACCTCCGCGCAAGCAACGGATGGGAGTGAAAGTAGAGCAAGCAACAGAGTAGACGGGCGTGAGGTGGGTAAGGATAAGGAAATATCCGACGCTGACCCTTCTGCAGGTGAGGAAAACTACACGAAAGAAAAAAACCCTGCACCGGCCGCCGCACCTGGCTTTTTCGGCCGGATGTTTGGCGGCAGTCCGAGATTGGTGACAGAAGAACAACAAGGTGTGTCGCCGACAACCCCGCCCAACGAACTTTCCAATTCCAAATCTTCCCTCAACCCTGAACCAGAACAGCTCGAAGACATGCGGATCGTGATGCCGGAGTCTTCCAAACCGCGCCGGGGAGATTGGGTCGGGAATCTGCAGCGGCTGACGTTTTGCGACGGAACGAAGGACGGGAGAAAACGGATTTTGGAATGTGGGAGAGACCCGGTCAGGGACAGGGATATCGGGAAAAAGGGTGAAAGTAACTTGATCCCAGGATTGAATGCGACGAATAGTTCATCCAGTACAGGTTCTTATCAAATGTAAAAATGTCTGGGTCTGGAAGAATGCCAGGTTTGTCATGCATATTTTGCATGACTCCTGATGTCTGTGATGCATGCCCTAGCATCACAGATTTTGTGAGGGCTTCCTGATGCCTATACCGCATGACAAATGCTCTTTCCATGTAGCAAAACTTGGACTCTCTTTGCTGCTCATGTAATACAGATTTTTTTAGAATCCAAAATCAGCATGACAAGTTGCAACCTTCCAGACCCCGACATTTTTACACTTGATAGTTCGTTGTCCGATACAATCAAAACCGACACGGAAATCGAGCTCAATACCACCGAGAGCAATCATATCGCACGAAAAAAGTGTTTCACTGTGATGATTTTGCAAGATTTGCATCACAAGTTTGTCACACATGACAAAGAAAACTTGGCATGCGTGCTTTCTAAGGGAAAACACAGCTAAAAATCCAATGTCTTGCATGTGTAGAAAGACAAACGCATTTGCGTTCCGTGCTATGCATCACAAGTTTACAGTGAAACAGTTTTTTCTAGCGATAAATCAGGACAGTGACAGCGGGACGAATTATTTGAAGAAAACCAAATCGCTCTCCTCCTCCACTTCTTCCTCCAACGAGGAAGTTCCGTCGTTATCTTCATCTGTCAGTAGCACCCCGTCCGCTGTGAAGTCGATGAACGCGCGGTTTTTCGGGTATAATTCCGGTGGAAATAGTTCCGGCAGTGCTGACCATTCATACCCTTCCGCCTTCTCCATCAATATTCATAAAAAGGAGGCGAAGCTGCAGGTCGCGCCGTATCCAGTGGTGCTGGATTTGTGCCCCAGGAGCATCGAGTGTCTGTCCGTGATACTGTCCCGGTGCAACACGAAGTCCGGAAGTGGTAGTGTGGCGGCTGAACAGGCGGCGGGCAGTTCCGGAGCATCAGCTGCAGCAGGAGCTTCCGGAAGTGGTGGTCCAAGAGTCGGCACCGGGCCAGCAAGTTCCAGTTCGTCGCGCGGTGTACAACAACCAGGCGCAAACTACACTACATCAAGTAATTATCCAGCACCTAACGCGAAGATCCCGCGGCCCGGATTTCTCCCGGAAACCACCTACTCGCGGCGGCTGAACCGGAGTTTCACGGGGATAGAACAGGCCGACAACAAAGAGAACTACGCAATTTTCACGGAGCTGCAGAAGTTTGAGCTGAGGTTAAGGCTGGGGAAGCCTCGCGGCCGATTGTGCACGCTCGGGTTGGAGTTGCCGGACATTGTCGTGAGTGCAGGGGTATGAACTGCAAAAGCATGGTACTAGTAGTAGCTGCATTACAAACTTCCTCAGCATGGGAAATGGAATTTCTAATGCGGATTTACGTCAAGAAAAAGATTTGTAATGCATGAATGCAATTACTACGAGTGCGATGCTTTTGCACAGGATAAAGGGGAACAAAGAGTGGTGGGAGTACTAGCGGTGGTTCTAGAAGTAGCTCTTCTTCAGCTTCACCACAGCGAAGTGGTGGATCGGCGAATAAAACTCCTCCGGGCGGGATAGATTATTTCACGGAATCCTGGAAACTGTCGTCGGGGAAAATTTCCTGCTTTTACTACGAGGAAGACGTTTCAAGTGCAACTAGTAGCAAAGAGGAACAAGACACAACGACGCAAGGCGGTGGTGCGCAGCAAGTAGTAGCGGCCCCAGGAACTGGTGCAACGGTTCTCGTTACTACTCAAGAAGTCGATCGCGAATTCGGCATCCCGATCTCGCAAAAGGGGGCCAGGATCGTGTCCCAGGAGGGGACGCAGGACGCCATCGTCGTGAGAGGATTTACAAGGGATTTGCGCGTTTTGAAATTCTCGGAGGGAGGAGCTACTAACGTAGTAGATGAAGAAGAACAACCGCCGCCCGCAGATCACGACAAAGCTACCGATGTCAACGCTGATTCCGGCTGGACGAAAATCTCTCTCCCGTCCGGTCTAGCCGCCAGATTCGCGGGCCAAGGCGTGAACAGACCCGGCTCTCTCTTCGAGCACGTGCAGGAACTGGGGCAAAAGTTTTTCTTCCCCAAACACCAACAAAATAACCGAAACCGCTATAATAAATCTGGAATGAACAACCGCCAGTCGATCTTCGAGCAGCAGAAAAAGCAGCGGGAACGGAGGCAGAGGCAAGCGCAGATGGGTGCTTTCGCGGGAGGAAATAATAACTCCTCATCTTCTAGGGGGGAAATCAAAGAGGAAATCCAGAATATTAATCCATTACTAGAGCCATCCGGAACGGAAATTGACGTGGTCGCGAACCCGTTAGTGCTCCACTTTGACAGCAAGACCTTGTTGTCTTTGGTCGAGTCGTTTGATCACTTCGCGACGAGCTTCGGGAACTCCGCATATCTGAACCAACTGATGCGGAAAAGATACGACCCAGTTAAGAGAATCACGAGCTTAATTGAAGAGTCGCATTTTTCAACCTTAGGTGTCTCCGTTTACGTGAAAAGCGTGTGGTTGGAAGTTCTGCCGCCGGTGGAAGCTGCTGCAACTACTGCAGCACCATCTTCGTCAACAGAACAGCAGCAAGGAGCAGCAACACAAACCGCAATTAATACAACACCCTCCTCCGATAGTAACCATCATTTGAAGAACATCTGGATCGGTGTGGGCGCAGTGGAAGCACGGTACGTGGCGATCGCCACCGGGGCTTTCCGTGTTGGGTTATTGGGCCGAGACCTCCGGGCGATAGGGGAGAGACCAGTGGAGAATAATTCGAAGCAATCGGTGGAGTACTTAGCGGAGCCGTGGTGGGTGCCCTTACGGGCGGAACTGCTACCAAGACGGTTCACGTATCAGAAACCGGATGAAGAATTGTACTGCTGTGTGGCGAACGAAGACTACGTGATGAAGGGAAATGTGGTGGACTTTGACCTTTTGCTCGAGGAGGACGAAATCTTGCAAGTGGATAAAGGCGGTAGAAGTTGTACAACAAGTGTGAACAGCATGACAACTTTTTCCACCAACGCCTTGGCCCCCTGCGAGTTTCGGTTTGCGGAGCAAAATTCTTCTGCGCCGGGAGGTATGATGAACCCAGGAGGTCCTCTTCACCAACAGCAGCAGCAGCAATTCTCTGGTGGCTACGTCGAGCCGCAGTTTGAAAGGAGAACCTTCGCAGAGGACCGAGATCACATTCATCGCGGTAGAACTTCTAGGGGAACAGCCGCCACCAACATGGGCGGAGGCTCGTCTAGCTCTTCGTCTCAGCAGAGATACCAAAAAAATCACCAGCAAAACAACTATCAACAAACCTCGACAACAAACCCGGCGAACCAGCGCCGTCCGACCGCGTTTAAGGAGCCCGCGGTGGAGGGACAGAGGTCCTTGTTCTCCTCCTCGGCGTCTTCAAGTATCTACTTGATTGAGGAGCACGTGAGGGAGAAATTTCGGCAAAATCTCATGTCGGCGAACTACAAACAGGTGTCCCCGCAAGAGTTACTGGAGAAAAAGCACGAGCAAGAACAGCAATTAGTGAAGCAGAAGTACAAGATCCCCGTGAATTTCTTCCGGAAAAAAAACGCGATCTTTGAACAAGTGGACAAAAACACCTGGGCAGATTCTGGCTGTTTGCTGTTGGTGTTGGACCAGAAAAAGATCGGGCACAGCGACAGTGGCGGTGGTGGGGCCGCATCTAGTACAGCGAGCGCTGCTGCACCCGGAACAACTTCAGACGGCACAAGTAGAGCGCAAGCAGCACCTTCAACTCCGGTCTCACCCCCAGCATCAAACTCCTCCACCTGGTCAACCCTCTACCTCTTCGAACTAACGCTGGTTTTATCTAGACTGTCTCTTCACTTCCACCCCCACATGTACTGGTCTTACGCAGACTTGTATTACAATGAAAAATGCCCCCTCCCCATGTCAAAACGGAAATCTGTGATTCAGATTTGTGGTCACAAATCAGCTTTGTGATGCTAGAAGGGAAGAGATGCGGACTGTAGTGCTGGCTGGCGCAGGGACGCCTTGCGTCTTCAGCATGACAGGAAGCAACTGGAAACGGGAAATAGCATGACAAATTGCCTCCAAACGAGGGAGCGACTGCGCCTCTTGGCCTTCTCGCAATACACAACGATTTGTGTACTCAAATACAGCAACACAAATTTTGTTTTTGATATGGGGAGGGGGGATTTTTCCTTTTGATAACTTGCTGGAATTCTTCGCCCCACCGGGTTATTCCCCACCGCCTATGACGGAGGAGTGTTTGGACCGGGATCGGAAAAGTTTCACAAAGTACTTCATCGATTTGAAGGATTGCCTGGTGCAGTTACCCTCCGAGGGCTACTCAGAGAAATGCCTGGCGGATATCACTTTGGCACGGAGGGGGAAAGCGAAAACAAGTAACCACAGCAGCAAGCAGTCACAGATAACATCCTCATCTTCGAGTGGCAGTGGTGGAGAGCAGCAGCCAAATGGGATTGGAACTGGTCGTGTGGATCCGTTACGGCTGAACAACCTCCCAGCGGCGGCTGTCGGCGCGGCCACAACTGGTCAACATCTGCGCGACATCGACTTCATGTCACCGCGTGGTGACGGTCCGAGCGGAAATGATCAATTCAGTTATGGGGAAAATAACTTGATGCTTGCTTCCCCTCGCTCCCAACCGTCGGTCACACGGCAAAGCACCACAAACCAAGCAAATAACCTACAAAATAACACGAAAGTGGAGTGTAACACGGTGATTACGCTTTCCAAATTCGAACTTGCAACGGGCGTCGCGGGTACGCAGTACCAGGGGTTTCGCATAGAACTCGGTGAATTCCACGCATACGTCATCGACAAACCGGAGCACTTGCTGCAAACCCACCTCCGCATCCCGCCCAGCCGGGCGAGTTTGACTTCGATCTTGAGCAGCTTAGGGTTTGCGCACGTATTGGAGGCGAAGGACGCGGCGATTTTGTGGAAAGTGAAGCGGGACTTGTCCAATTTGCAACTTGCAAGCCAAGCAGCGGCGCAAGCGGGATTGATATCGAAGCATAGTCAACTACAACCAAATAACGCCGGGGAGGTGGAAGATGAGCACTCTTTAGATGTCCGGTGTAAGAGAATCGCTTTGCACGCCTGCTCGGACACGCTACAGTGCTTGCTCAATGTGTTGGTGGAAGCGCAGACCGCGACGGTTCCAATAGCGGAGGATATCGTGCAGCAGAGGAAGGAGCAGATCATTCTGAACAGTCCCAGGACCAGTGACGTTGTCTCACCACGAGGTTCTTTACCTGCAGGAATGGATGCTCGTGGTGTTCTACCGGTAGCAAACGTAGAGTTGATGCCACCTCCTGCTATCCCGCAGTTGCTGCACCAACCGATAACGATTACCCCGATGGAAACGAACCAGCCGGTGGCGATGCAGGGAGTCGGAGGGTTGTTGCATAGCGACATTGGGAGGGATGATTTGATGTCCGAACAATTGAAACATGTTCCAACTTTATCAAGTCCAGACTTCACAAACAACGCGAATGACCTACTACAACTACCCGATCCGACTTTGTCCGCAGGAGGTGCAGCTGGAGCATCGAAAATGAACAATCAAGAGGACATATCAAATGCAATAATAGGTCCGGGTCTGGAAAGTTGGAACTTGTGATGCTGGCCTTACATTTCTGTGAAATCTGTATTGCACGGCCAGTAAAAGTCGCAGCCTCTCTTGTCCTACAAAAACGCAGTTTGTCATGCGGAGTGCGTACAAGAAAGCGTTCCGCAAACTTGTCATCCTTTCCTGCATAAGACAGTGCTTTTATCATGCACATTTTAGCATGACAAACGTCCAGACCCACACCCAGACATGTACTCTGCACTTGATAGGACAGCAAGGTGGAATTCGAAATGTTTGAAGACCAGGAACCGGAAGTGCCGAGTTATCAAGGGACGAGAAGGCCCTCGATTCTGTCCATTCCGGAATCCAGTGGCAGCGGTGGCCCGGGTGGATCTGGTACTAGCAACACAGATATGACAGTACACATCTCCCCCGCCCCCTCATTTGTATAGCATGAACGGCAATAGAAGGAATGACAAATTTATTGCACTGGAGCTTTTATATTAAAGAAATGGGACGCCCTGCCCTTAGTCTTCCAACATGACAAATTTGCACTGGAGTGTAGTGCTATTTGGGCTGCCGCAAGTTGTCATGCATAATAGTGACAGGAGGCAAAGGGTGGACTTGGTGTTTTGCATGAGAAATGAGAACGAGGGGGAGTTGTGCACTGTCATGACAGAGCAGCTCTTGTCCGACAGCCCTCGGTTGTTCCTCGAAAAAGAAGAGCAGCTGGCGAGTCCGAAATTAATCGCGGACGATCAAAGGGCGGTGCGGAACATGACGGGTGGGTTGGGACAGCAACTGGACGAAGATGATAACGACTTTTCCATACCCCTTCCCTTTGCGCCCGGCATGCTGGATGACGACGACGACGACGACGAGGACTCCTCTCATTTCGGTTCACCACCGTTATTAAGACCGACAATTTCTTCGAAGCCAGCGTCGATTGTGAAGATCTCTTCCAAAGACTCGAAAGATCACAACCGAGGTGGACAGCATCCGAGGAGCAGAGCGATGTCTCTGGATAGTGAGGTTGGCTACTTTTCTCCGGTGGAGCAGGGGAGTAACGACGATGAAATGGAGGACGTTGAGCACTACCGGCGGAGATTTCAGCAAGAACTACAGCAAGGTGGTGTTGCACCAGGTGCAAGAGGAAGCATGACAGCGGGGGGAACAAGCACGTCCTCATCCTTCGATCCAAATGGCGTAGAAGTACAACAACATCAGCAGTCAGACGAACAAGGCGAGCCTGTCACCGTCTGCTACTTCAACCGAGACGCTTACAGTAACGCGGAACTCCGAAATTTTCGGGATGAGGAGCGGGTGGCGAGAAGGGAAATTGCGAACATGTACAGTAGTTCTGTTGCTGTTGGAGGAGTTGGGGATCCTGTCTCGTCAGCAGCGGTGCCAGGACATCGACCTGGGTCGACAACATCTGGCCAACATGCCGCCGGAGCGATTGCGTCAGATCCGCGTCGTCGCGAAGTGGTTAGGGGTCCAGGACAGCAACAACGTGGGTCAACAACAACATCATCGTCGTCCTCCTCAACTGCGCATCAACGTCAAAATACCAATACAACCTCCGGCGGCTTCCGTAACGTCGTCGCGCACCAGCACGGTTCCGCCACGAGATGGTTCGTCCCACCCGATAGGGTATCAATCAAGCACGACCAATTTCTCTACGCGGATAGGGAGGATTCACCGAAAGATCTAGCGGGGGAAAAGGAATTGGAGTTGGATGGGAGTCGTGTGGCGAAAAACTTTTCTTTCAAGTGTGAGGAATTATCTCTCGCGATCTACGGCGGCACGGACTTCGCGGTGGATAGGTATCAGCAGAAATTGCAAGCGCTAGTGTCCACATCCTCCTCTCCTGGTGGACCCGGCAGCGGTGGCAACAACTATCCTGCGCGACTACACAATAGGAGGCGGAAAGATCTCTCGTTAATCCTCCAACTGAGGAAAATGGGATTGAAATTGTTAGTGCCTGTGAAGCCGAAAATCCAGCAACCGACCAACGGCTTCGGGTTTACTGTCCAGCCGACGTTTTCAAAAACTTCAACCTCTGACCGCGCAGTGCACTTACCGCCCGCAACCAGTGACCTATCCAGCAACACGTTCATAAGGGTACCTGGAGGAGGTGGCACTTCTAGTTCGGGGAGTCATGCTTTGTTTCAAGCGCTGCCCTGCGACATTCTCGATAAGAGAATCGTGTTGCACATCCGCGACATCACGATAAAGGACGAAGTGCAGAGCTCCGCCTTTCAGCACGTTTTGGCGTATTACCAAGACGAGAAAAAGAGGCCCAGACCGAGCGATTTGGATATGTTGGTGGTGAAATTGGATTCCTTTACGGACTACGACAGTTTGCGGGAACTACAACAGCAGTCTATGCATTGCAAAAGAACTATCGTACTAGTAGGACTTGCATTGCAAATTTGCTCGAGAAGAAAAGGCGAATTTCTGTTGGTAATTCAGGTAAGAAACTAGGTGTGTCATGCATAGCTGCAAATTATACGAGTGCGATACTTATTTTGCACAGCATACAGTCATCGTCTCAACAGCAAGCAGCTCGGAAAGAGTACACTCTCGACGTGAAGTTACTTCCGATCAGGCTCACTCTAGACCAGGACGTCGTTGATTTCGTTTTGCGTTTCGTGCGGCTAACCACATTGCCAAGCTACATCGAGGAGGTCGCGGATGAAGAGGATGAAATGGTGTCAGTTCTGTCCAACTCTGCAATGAACAACAATCATGCGCCGGCACACGGCACAACTTTTTCTGCCTCGTCCGCCGCCGGCAACTACTCTGGAACAGCAAACATGGAGCTTTCTGCTGATCATGATGCAGGTCCTCGTGGAACCATGACAGGGCACAGTGCTTCTTCTTCTTCCTCCTCCAGCAGTGCCCTTGGTCCGAAGTTCCAGCATGTCCGCATCTCCGCATTGCTCGCGGTCATGGACTATCGGGCGAAAAGGCTGGACATGCAGGCGTTACAGCGGGGCGACTTGACCGAGTTGATCAACCTACTTCCCTTACTAGAGGGTTTGGAAATCGCGTTCCGTTCCGTGAAGGTGCAGCAAGTGGTCGGCACGAACAAGCTGTTGCAACTATCCAGGAAAAAAAGATTGTAGGTGTAACTTTTTTTGCAGGAACAGCATTACAAATCTGTGTGACATGAGAGCAAAACTTATCATGCGCAGATAGTACTGGAAAACGCGGCTGAATGGACCCTACAACGCATTCCACCTAGCATGACAGACGCAATCATCTTGCGCGTTGCGCATCACAAACTTACACTGCCAATGTTTTTTTCTTGGATAACAACTGCTAGTCGACCAGTACGCGAATGATTTGAATCGGTCGCAGATTTTGCGGTCTTTGTCCGGCATAACCCCGATCCGCTCCTTCGCGAATATCGGGGTCTCGTTAACCGAATTTGTCAAAGAGCCGCTGCAGGTCGCTCTACAGGATCAGTTGAGCAATGTCGGGAACAGGATGGGCGCCGGTTCTTTACACTCCTCCGGGCACACGAACCAGCTATCGAGGTCCTTAGTTCGGGGGACAACGGCGTTTCTGAAAAATTTAACGATCGAATCCTTGGAGCTCACGGAAAAGGCGTTTTTCGCGACGCAGTCGGTTTTGGAATTTATCGTGAGAAAAAACTGCTTCACTGTAAACTTGTAATGCAGAAAATGCATCTCACAGGTGTTTGTCTTGCTACAGCACATGCATCAAGACAGTGGATCTTTGCCTGCGATTTCCCTTAGGAACCTTGCATGGCAAATTTTCTCTGTAATGTAGAGCGACCCTGTGATGCAAAACCTGCAAAATCCTTACATGGAGACATTTTTTTCTCACGATAGAATTCGCCGAAAAGTCAATCGACCAAAAAGTGAATCAGCGAATGCCTGGGACGAGCTCAGGTTCTGCCTACGGGACGAATCGGTCCAGAAGCAGTCGAAATCGTGGCACGATGCAGCCGGCTGCGATCTACGAGGAGGAGAGGGATGAGAATGGTACGATACTTGCTGTTCCAAAATTGTGCACCTGCTATTCCGTAGTTGATTTTGAATCTGGTGAGCGGTGCAATTGCAATATTAAGCGTCCACCTTCTGCTCATGCAAAATTTTCAAAACATTGATAGCTGTGTCGGGACGAAAGAAGATCAAAGTCACAACACTCGAGCGTCAACAAAAAATAAACAAATCAGGTGACGTCGACCCCTTCCGTGCCCTCATCGAAGACGAAGATTGGACAACCGTCGATAAATATGCAAGAAAACAACTGTGTATATTGAAAGCCTGTGATGCAAAGCATGCAACACAATTACACTTGTCACGCTAGCCTTTCATGTTGAAGTCCTCTTTCATAAGCACTATGTGCTTTCACTGATACTAACTGTGGATGACAGGCTTGGTCTGTCATGCAGAACAGATTTGTCATGCTGTCACCCCATGGGACCTACACTAACACATTTTTTCCTTTGGATGATAAAGGCGCCCGGGAGTCGATGCAACCGGCGGACGGTTTGGAAGGACTGCAGATGGGGTTCGAGAATTTGAAGCGAAACGTGAAAGACGCCGGACGGATAATTTCGCAGCCGATACACTCCAGGCAAATTCAGTCGGGCGACCAACTGATAAAGCACTTTGCGAAGGTACAGTTCATCTGGTTTGCGGTAAAATTTATTTCGTCTTCACTATGTATCTTCGCATGAAAGTACAAGTAGTCATTGAAGATGTGTTGTGATAAGCAAGAAATGCAAACCGCAAACGCACTTGATACAGGGCGTCCCCGTGTGTATCCTGAAGCCGGTAATTGGTGCGACTTCAATGGCGGCAACGACCTTGCGCGGGGTCAGGAATTCCATGGACGGCGAACGAAAAGAAGAGCTGGAGCGGAAGTACAAAGTTCCAGGATGAGGGTCTTCATGCTGTAAATCCTAACGTCGGCGTTTGTCATATATATAACTTTACTTTTCTTCAACTTGTTCCAAAATTAATTGTCAATGAAAACAAATAAACTAAGTAAGTACTGTACGGTCGTCGTCTCCAGCTGCGAGGCAGAACCTGCAGCGCAAGCGGAGAGAACACTTTTTTGACCCTCGTGATTGAGCGAGAGGTCGTATACGAACGATTTTTGGCAGCTTCAGCAGAAAGAACGAAATGAAGTAAGAGAGAAACTCACGGCACATATTTTTTCCAATTGTCAATCAATAGAAAAGATCACTTTTTCCAATTGTCAACACTAAAGCAGAATGCTCCAATGGTATGAAATGGTAAAATCAAAATGCACTGCAACTGCTGCGCAGTAACCTGTAATTCATTGTAAAGGATGAAATCGAAAAAGGGATAAAATCGAATCCTTTACGCTTTTGTACCAAAGTGAAAATAAGAACCTACTTAGTCAATGTCAATGTACCAAAGTTGTTATCTTGACAAGACCGAAAAGGATTTCGTTGTGGCTCCTTCGCCCGATGATGGCTGCCACACATCAGCGGGCTCCTGCAGCTGTAACGTGCAGCGCGACGAGGCTACACCTGCTTACCTTGTTGGCCGGTGTGTAAGAGAATTTGGTCGTAGTTTATTTTGCCACCTGCTCCCCATGATTAATTTTCCTTTTCGTTGCCGTTCTAAGTCTTTAAATCGCTGTCGTTTTTTTCGTAAGAGCTGTCGGATTGAGTGCAAAAAAGCTGAACGCAAAGAACTGCATCAGGCCACGAGTGATAGCGTCAAACAGGGCCAAAAATGTGAAAAAGTCGTTGCTTCTATTTGCTGAGGGGTCGTGAGAGATGCAAGCAAAATGCAAACGATTCAAAATGTTCTCTTCGTGTTTCGATACTGTAGCGTTTCCCTAGGTGAAAGCACCCGGGGCGACACGAACGAGAACAACAGAAAAGAAGGACACCGCCTGAAACAGAACTTGAACTGACAAAATAAGTCATGATGGCGCCTTCCGCTTCCAAAAGGAGAATGCCGAGGTTGTTCTTGCGTTCACCTTCATTCCTCGTCGCCCGGCCGTTCACAACGTTGGCGGTTTCGGCGCTGTTGGTGATGTTCAACTTTCACCGTGGCGTGACTGCTGTAACTAACGCAAAGACCGAGAAGTCTCCTGGCGGCGTGCTAGACTCAACAGCACCAGCAACAGCAGCAGCTCCGTCATCGAACGTAGAGGTGGAAGACGTCCACGACGAGGAACTACACCCGGATCATGAATTATACCACCGCCATTTCCACCCCCCGGTGGACCCGTTGCCCGGCGCTACAAAGGGAAGCAAAGTAAACGTGGAGATAGAAGCTGCCACTGCTGGTGGAGGGTCTACAGGGTCTACACGACCGGAGAAGAAACATGTTCCAAACGGTAGAACTGCAACGAAAAAAAAGCATAAAAATCCCGACGACGACATTATTCCGGCACGAGTCTTCGGCCCCGAACAGGAAATCGACGAGGAGATCGAGAATTTTGAAAGCGTCAATAGCATGACAAAAAGTAGTACGAAGTCGAAGAAGTCGGCCGCTACGGTCGTTGTGTCGCCGTCGTCTAAGAGGCAGACCGAGGAGCGGCAAGGACAGTCAACAACAAAGCAGGAGCAACAGCAAAGCAAGTCCGTGAAGACTAAGAAGTCTGATGTTGAAGAACTACTACATCAAGATCCAGCCGCCTCCAGCAGCCTAGAATTGAAGCAGAAAACGCCGATGCTCCGCCGGGAGAAGTTCAAGCAAGGCCCCTCCAGCGACTCCTCTGTCAATTCCGACACGGCTTTGCGCCTGGCCATCCTCCATACCGCGGACACCTACAACATGGATCCCGGTCCGGTGGCCCACGTGCAGCGCGCCTTCTACCTCGGAGAGGACGCGTCTTCCGTGTTAGCGGAACTTTCTGGTTCGTCCCACGGCGGCAGCCTCGCTTCGGACCTGCACGGCCAGATTTTCGACCACTGCAAGGGCCGGATCCGGGGCGTCACCTGTTTCCCGGGGATCCTGCAGAAGATCGGGATGCAAGAGATCGACTTGACCACAAAGGAGGGGCGCGACGAGATGATGGAAGCGGGGGTTTTTTCCTTCGGGTGCAGCAACGACTACGCCAGTGGAGCTTTCACGGGCACGAATTTTGCCAGCGCGAAGACGCTACAAGACGAGCAATCGGTGAAGCGGATGCACCGAAGGACCCCGATGGGGGGCCTCTACGAAATCCGCAAAGCGTTTCTCCGCTACCGACAGTACTTCGAACAATTACCGGGTTTTGAAGTGCTCGCCTTGGGCGGCGGCGGGTTTTTGGACAACGGGGTGGTTTCTAGTGCCGACTCCGGTCGCTCGATGATCCAGCTGTGGAACAGTGCGAAACTTGACGCCACCCTGATCGTACCGGAGTCCGACGCGATTGCGCGAGCAGACGGGTGTGAGACGGATGTCTCCTGTGATTCCACTCTGCAACGGATGCGGGAATCGAACTTCGCCTACGTGCACACCCTGTTTGACCACAATATGGCGTTCTCAACTGTTACATTCTCAACTGTTACATGATTTGTCATGCAAATTTACCACCAAGATCGCCACGCTTAGGCTGCTTCGCATGGCAAATATCCGAAGGGCTAAACAGCATGTAAATCTGTGTCAAATCTGTAATGCAAAAGGCGCAATCTTGTTCCTTCCACTTTCGCCGTTCTTGCCTTACAAATTAATGTAACAGTTGAGAATGTAACATTTGAGAACGCCATACACAAGATCGGGGACCAGGCCTACGCCGCGGACCTGCGCTGGCGGTTGAAACACATCGAAGCGAAGGATGTGAATTTGAACATTTGGGGCACCAACGCCACGAATCTCGCTGCCAGGAAACGAGTATCGTCGAACGTGTTGGTGAAGGCCGTGGAGCGGTACCCGACCCAATCTTTACGGATGACCAGCCGGGCGATTCCAACCGGGGAGAAACGGGGGTTTTACGAGACGGAAAGCAAAAACACGATGTTGAAAACAGGAAGTACAAATGATTACGACAGCAATAGTTACCCAGCCGCAAGCACACCTTCTAACCTGCTGAACTTCAACCCGTTTGAGGATGTTCACCAGGAACAACACGCTGTGACCACTGGCAGTGGTAACAGCAAGAGCGCGAAGATGTTGACATCAAGCACTGGTCGTGGTTCAGGAACAATAGACGCGATAAACGACCCAGCAGCAGCAGAGAAGACCGCGCAGCGGCCTTTGGTGGATCAAGGCCGTGATGGGGCTCTTGATATCGAGGACGTCGAAGACGACTCCTCGGCTACTGGAAGATCATCGTCCGGAGGTGCTGCGTTTTCCTCTTCTTCAAGTCCTCTGGGCACAAGCACAACGACCAAAAATAGGCTGTCCGATGTCCTCGATCCCGATGACCCGGAAGATGTCTCAGACAATGCCAATGCGGAAGTTTTAGAATCTTCTTCCAACGTGCGGGATGAATTTGTCGGAAAAGCCTGTGTGTTTCCCTACAATGATCGGGAGATGCGAGAGCGGAACACACTGGAATTTGATCCGCCACTGTCCGCGTCCTTGTCTTTTCACCCGGACCCGCTTCGGGAGCTGAAGAGGCTGCTGCAAAACTACAACTTGGCGGGGCACTACGGCTCGGCCTACGATGACGCTTCGTCGCATAGCAATCAGAGAGAACAAACTATCGTGAGAAAAAAGTGTTACAGTTACACATTGTGTTGCAGGAGCCGCAAGACACACAACCGTTGTCATGCAAGAATTGCTTGCGAACTTCATTTCGATTTCGTACGCGTTTTCCCTTAGGATCTCTGCATTGCAAGTTTTCTGTGCAGCCACACAGAGTAAATTTGTGTTGCTGCAGTTACAACACATGTGTTACGGTAAGTATACACTTTTTTCTTGTGATACGAACAGGCGACGCGGCGACTTCTTCCGCAAACCAAACGGATAGTACTATCCTGAGGAAAAACGTCCCCACCCCAGAGTTGTCATGCAGATTTGCCACGACAGGAACATTTTTGATGCGCATCCCCATGACAGGCATTTTCAATCGTATTTGAAAATTTGTAATGCCGTAAACACGATGAGAAGACGGCTTTCTCATGCAGCTTCCCTTGCCAACCAGCACTACACTGCAGAGGGAAACTTGTCATGCACTGCTCCGAAAGCTTAGAGATTTGTGTTGCTAGATTCCCAACTTGACTATGGGGTGGGGACGTTTTTACTCAGGATAAGTACATCGGCGGCGAATTTCCGGTCCGCCGCGGCGGACGACAAGCGCCGGGTGGGGCACTGCGCGGCGGTGATCATTTTGACAAGCCAGTCGATCGAAGCGGACCTGTTGCTCTGGGCTTCATTATATCAAATGCAGATATGTCTGGGTCTGGAAAGAAAAAGAATGGGACTTGTGATGCTAGCTGTCGATCACACAAAAATCTGTGTTGCAAGAGAGGCAAAAGACACTCAGACTATTGCCACCCGGAGAGAGCATTTCTCATGCACTTTAGGCATGAGCAAACCTGTGATGCTAGAGCATGCATCAGATGCAATGGGAGCCATGTGCAATTTGCATGACAAACTCCCCAAGTCTTCCAGACCCAGACACATATGCACTGGATACATTAACCAGCAGCGGGTACCGGGTGGACCAGATCCTCGGAGCGGGCATGTCGGTGCCAGTTTTGCTAAAGCTCCCCTACTATGAAATGCAAAAGCATCGTACTAGTATGAATTGCAATACAAATTTCCTCAGCATGAGAAATAGAATTTGTAATGCGGATTTAACTTGAGAAAAGAACTTGTAATGCATGGTTGCGATTACTACGACTACGATACTTTTGCACAGGATACCTACACGCTCGCGCAACAGAGCCGAACGGCGAGTCGCATGACCGCCGCCTTTGCCGACACCAGCGAGGAGGAGCGGTTCACCATCCTCTGGCGGCCGGGCCCGCAGGCGGTCGGTGTCTTCACTTGGAACATGAACGAAGCGCAACCGGAAGCCGCCAAGATGGTATTCCTCCCCGAGGGCGGCTGCGACGGCTCGCTGAATTTTTTTGGGAATCAAGAGAACACGGGAACCAGCGGGGCGTCTTCTACACTACTTCGTTCCGCAACGCTGGCGGAAGAGTACCCGCCAGTCTCCCCCGCCGATGAGGCAAACATCAAGATCACGAACCTGCTATCCTGTGCAAAAGTATCGTACTCGTATTGCAATCATGCATTACAAATCTTTTTCTTGAGGTAAATCCGCACTACAAATGTTATTTCTCATGCTGAGGAAGTTTGTAATGCATTTATACGAGTACGATACTTTTGCACTGCATATCTGCAGGGCGAGGATACCGACTTCACAGTGGCGGACCTCCGCACCTGGGAACTGCCCATCCGCTGTATCAAAATGAAAAATCCCCCCTCGTCCCCATACTCAAAGGGAAATTTGTGTAGCATGACTTGGGATAACAAATCACGCTGTCATGCTAGAAGGGAAGTAGAGATCGATGTACACACTGTTGTAGTGCTGGCTGGCGTAGGAAAGCCTTGCGCCTTTAGCATGACAGAAAGCAACTGGAAGCGGGATGAAACAGCACGGCAAATTGCCTGCAAACGAAATAAGTAAGAGCAACTGCGCTTCTTGGCCTTCTAGCAATACAAGTCGACTTGTGTACTCAAATCCAGCAACACAAGTTTCGTCTTGGATATGGGGAGGGGGGATGTTTCCTCACAATGCGCTGGTTTGGCCTGGTGGATTTGTACAACATCGGGCACTGGGAAACGCACTACATGAACTTCATGACGGACGCGGCTCGCGAGGGCATGCAGGCAGACGTGGCGTTTTTCTTCCCGGGCAAGGACATTCCCAATCTGTTTGGGTGGGTTCCCGAGGAGGAGGACCTGTACTCGGACGGTCTGAATTGCCGGGGGGAAATCGCGGGCTACGCGAGCGTATCAACTGCAAATATGTCTGGGTCTAGAAGATTGCAACTTGTGATGCTGTCTTTGGATGCAGATGCCAATAGAAATTTTCAATGCATGACCAGCAAGAGGAGACCAGTCTGTGCTACGCGGAGAGGGCCGCGTTTGTCATGCGGAACAGGCAACAGCAAGCCCGAAAAAAATCTGTGATGCTGGGTGATGCGTTACAGGCATCATGGATCATGCAGAATATGCATGACCAAAAACCTTGCATCCTTCCAGACCCAGACATATTTGCAAATCATAGACCCTTCAGGGAATTCGGGACATGCAGGCAGCGGACGACCCTGAGTCGGTTGACTACAATAACTTCGCGAATCCCGGCGGGAGAGCCGCGAGCGACAGAAATGACGGAGGTCTACTTAATACCGGTGGACAAAACTCCTACTTCCCTGGTTCGTCAGCCGGCGGAGGTGCAAGTGGTATTAGTAGTTCCTCGGATCTTTCATCCTCCCTTCCGAACTGCAAAGACTTGAAACGCCAGCCGAAAAAAATCAACGCGAAGGACTTGTACGACCAATTTGACTATCAAGTGCAAATATGTCTGGGTCTGGAAGAATGCAGAGTTTGTCATGCGTGACCAGCATGACTCTCAAGTCTGTCATGCGTGTTCGGCAAGCATCCCAGATTTCTGTCATGCGGAAACGCAGTTTGCCATGCAGAACAGGCAACACCTAGCAGCTCAAGAACTTGTCATGCGTGGCCACCAATTGGGACGGCCTCAAGATTGTCGAGCTAGCATCACAAGTTTCCAGACCCAGACATAAGTATTTGCATTTGATATTGACAGTAAGAAACTGGACATCGTGCGCGTCTCCGCCGTAGAACTGATCGCTTTGACCCTAGAGAAGCTCTCGGAGTCCGACTCGAGCAGCATGGGCCAGAAGCAGTTCCGGTCACTGCACGTCCAGTCCGGGATATCCTGGGCAAAAGTATCGTACTCGTATTCTTGCAATCATGCACTACAAATCTTTTTCTTATAGGTAAATCAGCATTACTCTCATGCTGAGAAATTTGTAATGCATTTATACGAGTAGGATAGTACTTTTGCAATTCATACGGGATCGAGGTCACCTACTGCGGGGATAATTTCGGGCGACCCGGGTGCGACCACAACATGGACATGTGCGAAAAGTGCGACGAGAGTCTGAAGGAGGAAACCGAAACCGATTACCTGGATCGCGAAGACATGTACGCGTCGGAAGAAGAAAAAGCGATGTGTATCAAAAGGAAAAATCCCCCCTCCCCATATCGAAAAGGCACGCCTCAGAGAATTTGTCATGCTGATTTGTTACCACAAATCGCGTCTGTCTTGCAAGAAAGCAACGGCATAGGTTCCGCCCCAGTATACAGGCGGTTTGCCATGCTGTTCGGCCTACAGCATACGCGTCCCTCATGCCAAGTGCCTAGGCCAGAACCTCTCTACATGGGCACGATATGGGCCTGCGGTCCTCTACTGCAAGACAGATCTGATGCGTGTACGCAAATCCAGCATCCGAGATTTCGTTTTGATGCGGGGGGATTTTTCATTGTGATAATGTGGGCAGCGGAGATGAGTTCGAAGGTGTTGAAGATCTCGAAGATGCTATGCAAGAAAAAAACTGTGTAAGTGTAAATTTGTGTTGCAGAAGACAAGATGCAACAGAGTTACACCTGTCATGCCAGACAGCCATGAAGTCCTCCTTTCATGTGTGTTTTCCCATACAAACCATGCATGATAGGTTTTCTCTGTCATGTAGAGCAAATTTGTGATGCTGCCAGCCAAGGAAAGTTACACTAACACAGTTTTTTTCTTGGATAGATGCTGCAAACGGAGGAGATGACGAGTGGGGAACAGGACAATGCTGCTGACATCGGACGAGGTCCAAGGAACAGGAATATGAAACAATCTTCCGCCTCTACGAACGATCGCGTTCACCAAGACTTGAGAGACTTCAGACCAACGGACAGGCCTGTGGCGCAGCAGGTCGTAGCGAGCGCGCAGCTCCATCCCGGCGGCGGCGCGCAAAACGCTCCGTCGCAGAGGACATTAGACGACAGCTACGACCACGATGTGTACGAGGATCATAATCCCTACGAGGAGCCGTTAGCGGACAATCTTTTTTACGACTCCGAGAGGCACGAAGCGCACTTGTCGGCGTCGGAGGTAGGCAGAGCAGGGCTGCAAAATGAGGACGCTCCGGTGACGGGCACAACGAGTACAACCGGTGAAAAGATAGACAAGGCGGAATACGACCGCTTTCACCATGAGGTCCGCGGCGTGAAACGGATTGTGTTCGTGGGCGGCCAGCACATCCGGGGCACGCGGCACTACCGGCGGAAGACCATGAACGCGTGCCAGGACTGGGCGACAAAGTGGGAAACGACGTTTCTGCGGGGGAATTTCAAGAGCGGGAAGCGGTTTTGCCCCCTCTGCGGGGACACTTCGAAAAGCTTTACCACGGTGGACGATTTGAATGAGTTGGTGGACCAAGTGTGCGGGTTTTTCGAGGTGAGATTGATCCTGTGGGACCAGCGGAGAGGGGTGTTACCCGATGTCACGGAGTTTCTCCGGAGGCACCAGAACGTGCGGCTCCGGAAATTCGCGGATCGCATCCAGTACATGAATCTGTTCTCCCTGGCAATCACGAATAGCATGAACGAGGTGGTCCGGTTGTTCATCAAAAAAGTTTTTCTGGAACATGCCTACGACGTTCCGTTGCAGCAACTCGGAGAAGCGGCTGCTGATCCCGCGGTGAAGGAGTTTCTGTATTCGCAGCAGGAGTGGGTCTCTACTCTACGCTTTTCAAATGCCTGCCGTGGCTGGGGTAGTAGTAGTAGTGGTACTTCTCCTATTGTGAGGAAAAATCCCACCTCCATATCGAAAGCGGAATTTGTGTTGCTGTATTTGAGTACACAAATCACATCTGTCTTGCTAGAGAGGACTGCAGACCCATATCAAGCCTGAGCAGAGATGCTTTGACTTAGGCGCTTAGCATGAGAAGCGTCCGTGATGTTGGCTCAACAGCATGACAAACCGCCTCTATAATGGGACGGAAGCTGCTGCCCTTGTCTTCTTGCAACACAAACGTGATTTGTGACCTCAAATCAGCAACACAAATTTTCGAAAACCTACCTCTTCAATATGGGGAGGGGGGATTTTTCCTTGCGATATCTCCTGCAGCCTCTTACACGACGAGCTCCAAAAAAGCCGTGGACCAAAGCGATAAGCTCCTGAACACCGAGGCTGACGAGTTCGCGCGGCGCCTTAGGGCGGGTGTGGATAGTACTTCTAGAGACCACAACCAAGGGAACAGCGGCAGCAGCGCAGGATCTCCTTCAAAAGTGACGCTTGGCGATTTATCCGCCCAAAACGCGCAGCTGCTGCTTATGGCGTTCTCAACTGTTACATTATCAGCCGTTACGTGGATAATTTTTGATGCAAGAAAAAGAATCGCAAGAAAAGTGAAAGGGGCGCCCTTGCGCGTCTTGCATGACAGATTTGGCACAGAGTCTCAGCCTTCTTTGGCTCTTCGAGAATCTGTCATGCGAAGCAGCTTGATCGCGTCGATTCTGATATGTATTTTTGCATGACAAATCATGTAACAGCTGAGAATTTAACATTTGAGAACGCCATACTGCTTCGCGCCCAGCAGTTCAATCCCGAGCAACTGAGCCACGTCTGCAAGAAATTCGCGTTTCTGCAGCAACAGCAGCGCAGACGAGCATTGCTGTACGAACTGCGGGCAAAATTGAACGAGGAGCTCGCACTCTACTCCGCACTGCTTGCGTCCGTGGACTTGGGGCCGGACGTCGTGCAAATGTTCCCCCGGTGGCTTCCCTCCTGGCCGCGGGACGCGACGGTGCGAGCCCGATCGATGCCGGAGGTCTTGGTGAAATTCTTCGCGCCCGTGCAGACCCAGATCGTGGCGAGCGATGACCTTCCCTGGAACCCCGACGCGCTGCGGTATCCAAATCTCCGAGCCAAAATCGGGCGCGCCCACATTCAGGAACTACTCCTGCAGGAGCAGGAGGGAGCAGCAGGAGGGCAAGCAGGAGCAGCAGCGAGCTCGTTCCTGCAAGAAAAAGCGGTGGGGAGCTACAACGTCGCACAACCGCCGCCCGGCTTTTCTGCCGGCATGGAAGAACAGAATTCCGAACAACTCGGGGCCCGCGTGCCCGCGCCTGAGCCCGACATTTACCCGTTGAGAAGCCGCGAGAGCAGCGTGGCTTCGATTTTGCAGGACGACCTGGAGCAGATCACCTTTGCGTTCTCGCTTCTGTCCGCCGAGGTGAAGATATGAAAGTGCACAACTCCCCCTCCCCCTCACTTGTATTGCTTTGCATGACAAATGAGGGGGAGGGGGAGTTGTGCACTGTCATAGAAGAGTCTCGCGCTCGACAAGTTCACGGCGCAAATTGAGTACCTGCGGAAGGTGGCTCTGAAAAAGCCGCAAAAATTCAACCAGGAAGCGATTAAGGACTGGACCAGCTGGATCTGCCCAGAACATGACTACTACGATGGGAGGACGAGTGGGCAACGGGCAGCTCCTGGGGTTCGTGCGAGAGCAGGACAAGGAGGGACAAAATCTACTTCCACCGGTGGGGCAGCTGGTGCGCGAGGTGAACCAAGCACCGGCCAGGGGCAACACAGTGGACTCTACCAACTGCAAACGGAACCAGTCCTGCAGATTGACGACTTCGTTTTTTGCACCGGGTGGCGCAGATTCGACGAAAATGATCAAAACTTCGAATACAAGAACGCGTACGATAGAGAAAGCATGAAGAAAGCAGCTTCATCAACAACATCACTGTCCTCTGCAAGTAGCCCAGTGAAGGTTAAGGAGCACGCGAGCGTGTATCTCGCGCGGCACATGTCCTCCATTCTGGACATGGCGAATCGGCTCTTTGAGGAGAGAAACGCGGACGTGGCGAGCGGCGGCGCTGCGAGTGATATGAACTCCGCTGTGAAAAACGATCAGGCGATCTTCGAAAAGTTGGAGAAGAACGCCCTGCAGATGCTGGAGTCCCTCGGGAGACAAACCACGGTGAATCCGGAGAACCAGGCGTTTCGGTACCGGTGGCGGCCTATGAACTGCAAAAGTATCGTACTCGTATAAATGCATGACAAATTCCCTCAGCATGAGAGATAAAATTTGTAATGCGGATTTCCATTGAGAAAAAAAAAATGCATGACTGCAATACGAGTACGATAATACTTTTGCACAGGATACGGCCGGTCGACGCCAGCCGGTGGTTCTTTCACCAGTGGAGCAGCGGCGCCTGGTATGGGAAGAAAAAAGTGTTACAGTTGCACATTGTGTTGCAAGCCATGCAAGACAGACGCGTTCTGTCATGCCGGATAAGCAACGAGCTTCGTTTCATAGGTGTTTTCCCTTAGAGTTTCTGCATTGCAAGTTTTCTCTCTCAGGAATTTGTGTTGCTGAATTGACTTACAAATGTGTAACTGTAACACTTTTTTCGTGGGATACCTGGCTGACGCACACCTTGTACGACGGTAGCCACAAGGTCGCGGATATCCAAGAAAAAAAAGATATTATGTAGGTGTACTACCTTTTTTGGCGGAACAGCATTGATACACAAATCTGTTTGGCATGACTGCAAAATAAACCTGTCATGCGCAGCTTGTACGTGAAAACGCGCTGGAATGCTGGGCTCTACATTTATGGATGTTGACCAGCATGACAGACGCAATTATGTTGCATGTTGCGCATCACAAATTGAAAGCTACGCCTACAATCCTTTTTGCTGGATAGTGGACTACGAAGAGGTAAACGAGCGGCGGGAGGACCGGATGATCGTCTTGGCGCTGGTGTTTCTCCTGTTCGGCATTCTGCTGATGATTGCCGCGACAAGAAATATTAACATCGTGCGGGACCCGGATTCCCTCGGAGTGCTCACGGAGGACCCGGGCGGGGTCTTCCAACAGCTTATGTCCAATTTTGTCACGAACATTGTCACCCTGATATTACAATGAAAAATGCCCTGCCCGCCCCAGAACTTGGGATTATCTGTATATGCAAACCTTTCCAAATGAAACACTCGCCCTCTTGCATCTATCAGCATCACAGATTTTCAATTGTGAATAGCAAAAATCAGTATTGCAAAAAATCCCAGCTGCAAGAGCGGTGCTTGTCATGCAAGCGATGTAATATACCTCTAGACTCTGCATCAGAAAGACTCATAGTCCTTTTATGCATGACAAAAAGTTTTCATTTGGAAACTTCTTCGCATCACAAGTTATTGCATCTTTGGGGGTGGGGGCATTTTTCCTTGCAATACCTGATGCCCGCTGACACGCACAAGGATGACATGGACTTCATCGAGCATGGCCACCTCTCGGACATTGAAATTCAGGGCTACAATTCAAATTCCTCTGGCGGCATCACCAGTACGTTGTCTGAGCCGATGAGTGACACCTCCGGTCGTGGTGCACCCGCTGCTGGTGGAACAGCGACCTCGTCCTCGAACAAGCAGGGAAGTAGTAGAAACGAGCGCTCTCAACAGAACACGCAAAACAAGAACTCTCTGAGCACGAAAAGTTCATCTCGGAAGCAACTGTCCATGCGGGCGTTGGAAAGTAAGAAAAAGAACTACCATATCAAAATGAAAAATCACCCCTCCCCATATCAAAAAGGAAATCTGTGATGCGGGATTTGTGTACACAAATCACATTTGTCTTGCAGGAAAGCATTGCGCGCAGATCGCAAGCCTCAGGGGAGGCCTTTTGGTGTAGAGGTCTAGCATGGCAGACGTCTACCCTGTTGTAGGCCTTGCAGCATTACAAACCGCCGGCATATCGTGGCGGACTCTCTGGGTTTGCCTTCTGGCAAGACAGACAGGATCACAAATCTGCATCACAAATTTTCGGAAGGACATGCTTCCAAGATGGGGAGGGGGGATTTTTCCTCGCGATATATCAAGCGCAAACGAAAGACGCGGGAGCCGCAGCACAGCAGAAAGCGGACGACCGTGGGGACGAAGGAGAAGTGCTGGACGTCGGTGCAGAAGATGGCAGGATTTTTAGGAATTATGAGACCTCGTCCGCGGGTGCAAAAATATTAAACGGAAACAACAAGAAAGTCCTAAACAGAGCAGGACGAGAGGGGAGCAGCGGTAGTCTTTTAAGAAGAGATAATGGTCCTAGTGTTGCTAGCCGCGGAGCTAGCATATCAACTGTAAATAAAGTGTCTGGGTCCTCTGGAAGTAGATTCTGACACTTGTCATGCACGTTTTGCATGAGCCATGATGTCGGTGATGCATACACTAGCAATACAGATTTTTGAGGGCTTCTTGATGCCTATTCCGCATGACAAATGCCTTCTCAAGGTAGGACGTGGAACGTGTGTCCACCTAGGGGTATTGGCAGAGGCTAAATCTGTTCTAACGCCACGGTATTGGCAGAGGCTAAATCTGTTCTAACGCCGCCCTGACAGGAGTCAAAGGTCAAAGCGATACGATACGAAGGTAGCAAAAAATGCATTCCCTTTGGTACTCATGCAATACAGATTTTTTTTGGAATCCAAATGGATGCAGCATCACAAGTTGCATTCTTCCAGACCCAGACATTTTTACATTTGATAGAGCAGTGTAGACGATCCGCGTGGAACCGAAATTTCGAAGGCCTCGATCATATCCGCGGATGGAGACAAGGAGCGGCTAGGCATTCTGCGTGGGCCTTCTGATCGTAATCTACCTACAGTCACGAGTGATGGCACAGCTGCAGCTGCACAACAAGAGCAAACGAAAGTGCGCGGACTGAGCATCGGCCGACGGACGGCGATGAGTCGGGCGGAGAAAAGCCGGCAGACCTCCGCTTCGAATGAGGAAGAAGAAGAAATATTGAACGAGGGTGATGTTCATCTTGACAGCGAAATAACAAACCAAAAGGCGCAAACAAACCCCGGGGCGCCACCAGGCGGCGGTGGTGCCGCGATATTGTGAGGAAAAATCTCTCCTCCCCATATTGCAAGCGCGTCCATCTGAAAATTTGCGATGCAGATTTGTGATCACACATCGCGTCTGTCTTGCAACAAGGCAAGTGCAGGCTGTCCGGGACGTCATGCAGGCGATTTGTAATGCTGTAAGGCCTTGTGTACTCAAATACAGCATCACAAATTTCGTTTTCGATATGGGGAGGGGGGATTTTTTCTTTTGATACGCGAGCAGCAGTAGTTCCTCGTTTCGCTTTTACCAGGAGGCGGAGGAGCAGACCAGGAAAAACTACGTCTCCAATAGACCACGAGCACAACAAAGACGAAGTAACGACCTTCAACAACGGATGGAAATGAATAAGCCACCATGGAACCACCACGACTACGTCGATGATCTTGACGATGACGATTCTTTCTTCCCTTCGCTGCGTGATGTCTTCCAGTATCCTGTGCAAAAGTATCGTACTCGTATAAATCTAAATGCAATTCTTGCATTACTTAAAGTGAATCAGCATGGCAAATTGTATTTCTCATGCGGAGAAAAATGCATTTATACGAGTGCGATACTTTTGCAGTTCATATCCAGACTGCACCTGCTCCCGCCGACCGGCACAAAGGAGAACAGCGAAGCATAAGCGTTGTTGAAGATGACAACAGGAAAAAGTACATCCGGTCCAGGTCGCCCCCGATGGCCGCCGCGAAGAGGTTCTTTCACATAGGAACGCCGCACGATCAAGACCAAAGCGGGATCCAGCTAGAAGACGTGAGGGGAACACGAACATCATCAAGCGGAGATAAAAAAGATGTTGCACGAAGAGGATCTACTTCCGCTGCAGCGCTCGTTCCTGGCCGTCAACCAAAAGAACACGAAAAGAACGACAGCTCACAAGAAGAAGATGACTTGGTGTTTGGACAGGAATCGGGAATCCTGTTCAAGAATGATCCGCAGGACCGTCATCAGGACCGCTCTGTTCTCTTCGGGTTGCTGTCACCGATTCCAATGGAGAATTCGCCCGCGGCGGGAGCAGGTGCTGCCAGCGCTTTAGTACAACTTGGGGATCATGATGAAGATGATGATGATCTTGAGCAGAACATGAACAGTACGTCGGCCCCTGGGGGTGTTGTGGAAAGAACTGGTGCACCACTAGCGGCTGGAAATAGAAGAAGCGAACGCGGAGATGTAGTTGAAGATCCTGCTGGAAGTTCTGCTCCTAATGCAGGTGAGCAGCAGCAGGAAAAAATCTATGACCCAACGGCACAACCACGTCACACGACGAGGAGAACCAGTAGCAACTACCCTCGGCGGGGCGGGGCCTCCAGGACAATTTTTCCGATATTGAAGAACAGCGGCGAAGAACATCGGGAGGAGGTGGTGGGCAGCAGCACTTCCAATCGCTCCGTGCAATCAGGTTCAGATGGACGGCCTGGTGGGGGGAGAGGAGAGATCACGGATGAAAATCAAGGAACTAATAGTAACCGGCACGAAGGAGACGATCATATCGTGTGAGCAGGGTTGTATGATTTATGCTTTTTGTTTTTTGATTCATTCAGGAGCAGGACGTCGTGCGGTTTTTTGTTAAAGAAAGAAAAAGCGTTATAGTATATGCACATGTACAATTTCGACGCTTAGCTGACCAAGTGAATCGATTTTGTTTTTTCAAACCAAATTGTCACTATGATCTTCATCTTTGTTTTCACCGACAGTACCAAAATCAAAACCAAATCTAACGAGAATGCAGGAGCTGGAATTGCTTTGAGAATCAACAGAAAAATAATAAATCTAGTAGACCGCCTCCGCCACAATAGGCGTGCTGGTCGTAGCTGAGCTAGCTTGCTGATGTGACAGTACTGCACTCCGACAAATATGATTGAACGCATCGATTGACCCAATATCGAGCTGCACTTCTATCCGGCGGGGCGTATCCTCTCCTGGAAGTAGCTACTCACTTCTTGTTCCAAGAATTTAGTTCTTGGAACAAGAAGGCAGCTGTTGAGAGGGACTCACTTAGACTTACACTGACAGGAAGATTGCAGAACTTGAGAATACAGTTTCCCTGAAGATGAAGTTTGGCGAGATTCCGATGTAACGGAGCACGCCCCCGCAAAGACACAAACCGTCGTGAGGAGGTGGCTTTCATTCCAAGAGTATGTAGAAAAGATGTTCTTTGTGAAATTCCATAACCGGTGCCAAGATCAAAGCCGGACGGCTCGGCTCTGTTCTTCATCTGTCACGTGCGCTAGTAAGTAGGAAGACTTGTGTACTCGTTCGTCGGTAGTCGTGACGAAACTACATAGTGCACAATGAATACTAGGGTCGCCCATTAAGACCGTTCTTTCGGTACTAGAATTCGTGAGAAAAAAAACCCAAAAACAACGACCCGTCGGTTTGTGTTGTCTATGCCGTACTGATGAAACCGGTGTCGGTATTAATGTGAGAGACAGGAACATCAACAGAGTCGCTGCTTTTCGTCCTCCGCTGACATGTAGAGCAAGAAAAAAACCACGCAGCTCTTTTTCTTGCGAAAAAAAGCATGATCGGTTTCTTCTTCCCTATCTCCACCATGAGGTCGGTTGAGTTTCGTGCAAAAAAAAAATGAAAGCCGGTCTGTTTCGTTGCTACGTTAATATTTCCATTGCCAAGCTTATTTGACGAGAACGCTCTGGTTCGACCGACCACGAAAACTCTTCTCCACCAACACACAGAACTCTTTATTTCCCCCACGGTTTATCTTTATTTTCATCACTTGCAAACAAGAGCACAACTTTTATTTCACTTTGGTTCGATCGACAAGGAGCAAGAAGATGATGTTGAGCCTATTCCCCCCCCGCGGTCAAATCATCTCAAGAAGATCATACTGAACAACACATCAATTTGTTCACGTACTAAACTGCAACAAAAAAACGTCTATATTGATAAATACGAAGTTCCCACGAACCTCATTTCAAATTCAATAAGTACGAAAAAGTCAACATGTCGGCGCAGCAAGGCGCGAATGTGCACGTGACGGAGAACGCGAGTGGCGCGGAAATTGACACCGCCGTTGTCATCGGCATTGTTGGGGCGTGCGTTGCGGTGGTGGCGTTAATCCTTGTGGTGGCACTGTCCATGCAGAAAAAGTCCCCGCAGATGGCTGTAGCGGAAGCAGGAGCTCCAGTGACCACCCCGAGGAAACAAGCTGGCCGAGGGACGTATCAAATGCAAAAATGTCTGGGTCTGGAAGAATGCAAGTTTGTCATGCTTGTCTGGCATGACTCGAGAATCTGCGTTGCATAGGCACGAAGAGGCCCTCTTACCTGTCATGCAAAAACGCAGTTTGCCATGCGGATTACGTAAGACATGGGAGCTAAAAAATTTGTCATGCGTAGCTGCGTATTGCAGTGCGTCTCCCATTCACTTTATTTTAGCATGACAAGTTTCCAGACCCAGGCATTTTTGCAATGCATAGGACGATGAGCGCTGCCAATGACGTTGCCCTCGAGATGGCGGAGGTGCAACTGCAAACACCCCGTAAAATATCCTGTGCAAAAGTATCGTACTCGTATTGCAATCATGCATTACATTAAGCTAAATCCGCATTACAAATTTCATTTTTCATGCTGAGGAAATTTGTGATGCATTTATACGAGTACGATACTTTTGCAGTTCATATAAAACAAGCCGGATCAATAAGACCGTTTCGGCTGAGGGCGAAGCGGGCAACTATCACGACCAGCACTACCACTATGGCGTTCTCAACTGTTACATTCTCAACTGTTACACGGATTTGTCATGCAAAACTGCCATCAGCCTCCACTTGATCAAGGTGCTTAGCATGACAAATTTTCGAAGGGCTAAGCCGCATCATGATCTGTGGAAAATCTGTGATGCGAAAGCTGCAATATTGCCACTTTCACTGTTGCTGTTCTTGCATTACAAATCCATGTAACAGTTGAGAATGTAACGTTTGCGAACGCCATAACCACCACCACGGCGGAGGCGAGCACGGCCATTACGAAGAAGGGTGGTCGGACCACGGATCGCACTACAGTGACCACCACAACTACGGGGAAGATTCGCACTACGGAGACCACTCGCACCATGGCGACGAATCTTCCTATTACGATGAACATTCTCATTATGACGAGCACGAAGGCTACGGCTACCACGATCATGATGGTGAATGGGACGAAGAATACGATGATCACGAGGGCTACCACTCTGACTATTCGCACAATCACAGCGGGCACCATTCGCATCACTCCGGGTACAGCGATCATCACGGGTACGACTCTACTCCCCACTCAAGCCGCTCGATTTCCTCCGAAATGTCATCTACCCGTTCCTACCCCGGAGCTGCTGGGTACAGCAACCACGGTGGAGCAACTGCGACGCCGCGCTCGGAGCGCGTGCAACAAAAGAAAAACGCGGTGCTGAACAAACACGGCAAGGGCGGAGGGCAGGTGACCACTTCGACCTTTCAAACCGTGACGCACCACGGCGATCACGGGGAGCACTACTACGAGGACACCAACATTGCCAGTTGGACACCCCGGGCGAAGAAGAAACCGCAGCGGCAAGTGGACAAGATGTATCCAATGCAAAAATGTCTGGGTCTGGAAGAATGCATGTTTGTCATGCTTGTCTGGCATGACTCTTAAATTTGTCATGCACGTTAACCAAGAGCCCCACCCTTCTGTGGTGCAGAAACGCAGTTTGTCATGCAGCATAGGCAACGCCTAGAAGCTCAGAAACTTGTCATGCTGAGCCAGCACTTGTGGCCTCATCATGAGACGCCACGCAACATCACAAGTTTCCAGACATCCAGGGATTTTTACATTTGATAAGATGCAAGACAAGGCTAACGCGCGCCTGGATATCCTGAGGAAAAACGTTCCCACCCCAGAGTTGTCATGCAGATTTGCAATGACAAGGACATTTGTGATGCGCATACACACGGTACACATTTTCAGTCGTGTTTTGGAATTTGTGATGCCATGAACAGGATAAGCAGATGGATCTGTGATGCAGCTGCACTTGCTACCCTGCACTACACTACGGAGTGCAACTTGTCATGCGTGACTCCAAAAAGTCCTAGGTTTGTGTTGCAAAACCCCAAATTGACTCTGGTGTGGGTACGTTTTTACTCAGGATACTGGAAGGCCGCGGGCACTACGGCTTTGAAGATCGGTACCACGACTGGGATATCCTGTGCAAAAGTATCGTACTCGTATAAATGCAGGTCTTGCATTACAAATTTCTTTATCAAGGCAAATCAGCATTACAAATTTTATTTCTCATGCTGAAGAAATTTGTAATGCATTTATACGAGTACGATACTTTTGCAATCCATATGGGAGGCCGGCACCTCCATATCAAAAGGAAAATTCCCCCCTCCCCATACTAAAGCGGAGATTTGTGTAGCATGATTTGAGACCACAAGTCATGCTGTCATGCTAGAAGGTGGCAAAAGAAGCGGACTGTAGTGCTGGGTGGCGTAGGAAAGCCGTGCGTCTTCAGCACGACAGGAGGCGGAGGCAAATCCGAATGGAAATGGAAAACAGCATGACAAATTGCCTGCAAAGGAGGGAGCAACTGCGTCTCTTGGCCTTCTGGCAATACTTAAAAGTCGATTTGTGTTTACTCAAATACAGCAGCACAAATTTCGTTTTTGATGTGAGAGGTGGGGGGATTTTTCCTGTGGATACTCCAATGCGAACGACCACATCCTCCACAACACCAGTTCGATGCGCGGCGGGGGCGGGGGGTGGTCGCTCCGGGGCGCCTTTCAGGCGCACGGGGGGCCGCAGATTGACGTGATGCGGGCTGCTATCCCACGAAAAAACTGTTTCACTGTAATGACTCTGAAAGATCTGCATCACAAGTTTGTTACACATGACACAGAAAATTTGCCATGCGCGCTTCCAAAGGGAAAACACCCCTAAAGAGTCAAGGTCTTGCAGGTGTAGCAAGACAAATAGTTCTGTGCTGTTCCATTCTATGCATCACAAGTTCACAGTGAAACACTTTTTTCTTGCGATAGCTGCGAAACGAGAGGCGGACGCCAGTGCGCAGACGGGCGTCGTTATCCCAGAGAAAAAAGCTGCCAGCTCATATTTGTAATGCAAAAATAAATACACAAAATAAAAATCTGCATTGCATATCCGAAGCAGCATGTGCATGCTAGGGGGCCGCCCATGGCAAGTTTTTCTGTCTATTTATTTTTGCATTACAAATATCCCCTGCCAGCTTTTTTCTCTGGGATAGTCGTGCGCCCGCCCATGAGCTATGACCGAGTGGAGCACATTTACAACCAGCAACGGGAACTTCACCAAGCTGGACGGGATGGGTTTTACTGATCATGACAATTCACAACAGCACGACATTCAAGATCATCATGCCTGGAAAGGAGCTGCACGCTACAGCAGCTGCAGCTTTGGAAAATGGAAAATACTTACTTCTAATGCGTATGATCAGAAGCAGATGCCGCAGCATTTTCGTTTCGAAAGTACACTTATTTTTTTCTCTTTCATCTCATTGTAAATTTCTTATTCTAGTTCTTGCTTTCATGTTTGACACTCCATACTTTTTAATCGCAACTTCATCACCGCTCTACTTTGGAGTTTACAATTTCCTGACAACATTACATTTCTATAATTTCACGCTCACCTCCTCCATGAAACTACTATAAATCAAGTGCCTGATTCTCCGATATTAGTTGTAATTTTATTAGTGTTAGTCTCATGTATTTTGTCTTCGTGTTGGTGTTGTATCCTTCCCATCTGTAGCAAATTTTCGGAGGAAGAAGAAACCCAGTAGCGTTTTTCCGGTTTCCATGTTGCGACGAGGACGCCAGGTCAAGGTCCACAACATCCAGCTGAATTACTGGGCTAGCCGCGCATGATCAACAGGAGCTTCTTCTCAGTTCACAACATCGAAGTAGAGTAAGTACTATCGGACTTCAATATAATTTGTTGTACATGAGTGCCACATGACAGACTCTGTCTTGTTGGAATTGAGGAAGTGTGCTCTTCGTTCGTTGCACGACATGAAGACGGAGATGAGGAAATGTTGTCAGATTTTTATTTTTCATGAAAAGACGGTGATCCGTCTGTCTTCGCATGGAACCCGAACCGCTATGTACTTTTTTCATAATTTGCATCTCTTTCAAGAATTCGGCACAGTGTACCAAACGGTGCGAATATATAATGGGTGGCGAGGCAGCAGCTGTTACTTACGCAGGCGCCGAGAACTTATCGAAGCAGACTGTCTCACTATGTTCGAATAAAGGCGAGTCCCTTTCTTTTTCGTCTTCCACTGTCTGTTGCAGCTCGCTTAATAGTACTTCGTCGATGCAGCAGGAACAATTGCAGGAGCAGCGTTAATGTTGTAGTTCTTGGCGTTATTTCCGATTTCATTCTTGTGGCTTCGGTTGCGAAAATTTCGTGTCGTCCCTATTTCACAGTTGTACAGGTCTTCGTGCAGAAATACAAATCGTTTTCGTAGTCCATTTTTCGTCTTGTCGTCGTGAAAAGCAGGCAATTGTAGTCACACGTGCTTCTTTTTCTTCTAAGATTTCTCCATGTCTCGTCAACTACGAACTATTTTTATGTGCCTGATACTTACAACGACAACCAGCAGCGAAATTTGCCTGTTCCCCCGCACCCGCTCCCCCCCAGCTGTTTTTGCTCTAGTGAAAAAGATTGTGAAAATGAAATACACTCGGTGTAAGCCTAAGCAACCCCATTAAGAATAACCTTTTCCTTTCAATATTCATCTTTGTTTCGAACAGCAGCAAGATAGAGCAGGATACATACCAGAATGCAAATGCTTGACAATCGTGGCAGCAGCTCCTCTCCGCTGCAAGAAGCTTCTGCGACTATTAAGCAGCTTGTGGACATCCACTATAGCGACGCATTGCCTGCGGTCCGGGTCTATGAAAACAAGTCTCCAGGAGTACACGATGAAATCATATTGAACTCGATAACCAGAACCACCCCTTTGGAAGAGCAATTTCTGCAGCGGTTGCTCCAATTCAGCAACACGGACCATAACGTGCTGTTCTATGTTTTGCTTTTCCTGGTACTCGCCGGCGTGGTGGTTGCCGTGGTTCTGTACAAAAAGAAGCAACAGCACCGGGACCGCGAGGCGTGGGCCCGGTACAACCACGAGGGTATAGAGAACGCCCGACGCTGGGACGAGCACCACGCAGATGTAAAGGAGAAGCGCAAACGGAGGTCGTGGGGTGGCTACCACGAGATGACGCGCGACATTCACCTGCAGCGGGAACAAATCACGCGGGACCTGGCGCTGGAGCAGGCAGTATCAAAGAAAAAAAGTTCGTCACGATCACTCATGCGCATTCTTGCAATACAAAATTGTTTGTCATGCGTAAAAATGCATCAAAGCCAAACTTCATTAGGGATTTCCCTAGTGTTTCTGCAATACAAGGAAAGTTTGTGATGCTGAGAAAATTTGTAATGCAAACCCTCCAAGATAGTGACTGTGACTGTGTCTGTGACAAACTTTTTTCTCTCCATAGGCTGCCGCAAACATTCAGTACACCAAGGGCGTCACCCACAGCAAGGGCACCAGCGACATTAATAACGCGATGGGACAGCTGCAAAACGCGATGGTTCGGGCGAGCGCACGAAACCAGGCCACGGTGGCGAAGCACTCCCGGGCATTATCAAATGCAAATATCGAAGGTCTGGGTCTGGAAGAGTGCAAGAAGTTTGTCATGCTTGTCTCACATGACTTTGACTGCGAAACCAAACTCTGGAAAAATGCGAGGGGAGGTGGAAAATGTAAATAAGGGCCTCTTGTCTGTCATGCAAAAACGCAGTCTGTCATGCGCAAAACGAATCACATAGCAGTCCAAAAAATTTGTCATGCGTGGCTGCGCATTGCCGTGCGCGTGCGCATATCAATCATTCACTTTTGGCATTAATACAACTTTCCACCCAGACCCAGACATATTTCCAATACATAGGCACACGTGCTGAACCAAGGCCCGGAATCTGCTCAGACGCGAGCGTATGAACTGCAAAAGTATCGTGCTCGTATAAATGCATGACAAACTCCCTCAGCATGAGAAATAAAATTTGTAATGCGGATTTACCTAAAAAAAAGAATTTGTAATGCATGATTGCAATTATACGAGTGCGATACTTTTGCACAGGATAGAGCGCAGCGCCAGATGGGAATGTATGCGCAAACCATCGGCAAGTCCGGGAAAGGGCAGGGCATGGGAAAAGGGGGGTTTTACTGATCTCAACTGCTTTACTTGTTCTTTTGACTCGCTATTCCCAATCCGGTATAGAAGAAGATGAGGCATTTTGTTTCATTTTTAAAAGTTAGGCGTGTAGCAGTACCTGCTCCATGCATGTAAAACTAAAAGGACCCACTATAGGTGGAGCCGGGATCATGAAAGTAGGTCCGCCTGACTGCGTTGTCTCTCCCTCCCGCACCCCGACCCGTATTTCGATGCCCTTATTTTTTCGGTTTTCTCGAGTTTGCTTTTCATTATGTGAATGACTCTGCACCTAGGATGAATACATAGAGGTTGATTGCGCTCAAGAGCCTGTAGAGAGAAATTTTTTCCTGCATCAAGTACAACTTCCGTCGCATGACTACAGGAAATGAAGACCAGTCCATCGCTTAGGAACTTGTTTCCTATTTAGGAATTATTTGAATTGCTGTAGTTTTTTGTAACAGGCGATCCCCAGCACTACCTACTTGAACAAACACTCTCATCGTCCGAACCCCATAAGTTGTAAGTACAACAGTTGTGATTTTTCAAAAGTATACGAAGCTGCAGTATCTTTTCGCGCGAGGAGCAAAACGAAAAACTCAAATGAAAATCGATCTGGTGTGCGAGGTTGTTCAGTCTTGAGTTCTTGGTGCAATAAACTGCAAGAAAGATGCAGTAGACGACAAGTAAATGTAAACTTGAAGTGGAAAAAGATCAAAGAAAGCGACAAAAATAATCCTGAAGTTCAAAACGTAGTAGATCTTCCGCGCGGTTATGATCATGATATCTTTGGAACAAGAATTATTGCAAGGAATTTGCGCTTGGATGGATCTTTTACAACTGGAGGAGGATCTTTTTTCGGATTCGGAAGAAAGCGAAGCCAGCGTAGGATCTTTCAGCTTTCTGTGAGTACAGCATTAAGAAATTTGTTTGCACGCATGGCCGTCGAGGCATTTGCAGTGGCAAAGAACTTCATCTCTGAATTTTCCGATCAACCACATTAAAACAGGCTCACGTAGGTGCTTGAAACTTCGCAGGAGAGGACGAAGTTTCTTTTTTTAGCTATAAATTCACCACTTACTACACCTACTTTTTCCCGTTCGATCGTCATTTGCACGCGGCCACTAAGAACACGTACAATTTCGTTTATTCAGCTGCGGAGAATAAACTAACATCGATTTTTGGTACAACATAGCGAACCCTTGCATTTATTCAAACTGTATTTATTCATCTTGCAGCTGCAGCAAAAGCGCTACGCCAGTGAATTTTTTTGTGGCTTTCGTCCCAAGTTGTAGCGATTACTTATTTCAGTACTGGACAAAAATGTCGACTTACGGTATCGGTATCGATTTTGGCGCGACCACGTGCGTCGTGGCCATGTCGAAGAACGGTCAGACGGAAGTATCAAATGTAAAAATGTCTGGGTCTGGAAAGTTGGAACTTGTGATGCTAACTTTGGACTCTAAAAAAATCTGTATTGCATGACCAACAAGAGGAGCCACATTTGTGCTACGCGAGGAGGGCATGTGTCATGCGGAAATGGCATCAGGAAGCTTTCCAAAAATCTGTGATGCTGGGTCATCCATTAGAAGCATCATGGGTTATGCCAGACAAGCATGACAAGCCTTCCATTCTTCCAGACCCAGACATTTTTACATTTGATAGGAAGTGATCCCCAACGAAATGGGAAACCGAAGCACAAACGTCTGCGTTTCTTACGTCAAAGCAGCGGATGGCAGTAGCACAATCACCGTCGGGGATGCGGCTTACAATCAGAAGGAGAGAAATTTACCAGGTACTAGCTATAAATATATTGTGTAGCTGCAGAAGAACTAAACCTCATCATCGTGATTTGATGATGAATTTTTGCATCGTTGCATGTTGACCAGGTGGTCGTGGGGATAGATACAGACACATGTTATCCTCTCCACGTTAAATCTTCCTTGCTGCATGATCTCCATGTCTTGTCATCTATCAAGCGCCAGCGCAAGCACAACTACGTTTTTTACTTACACGGTGGAACAACAACAAACAAAGGTACGGTGCGGGACTTCAAGAAGCTGCTGGGCCAGCCGTTCGACGACGAGATTACCCAAGAAGACATCGCAGAAAGCAAAGCGTTGAAGCATCTTGAGGTAAGTACTATTAAATGTGAGCCATTGCAGCTTCTCCGCTTTATTCGGCATGATCGTGACACCTCTTGAACTTGTCTAGTACTTCTTGGCTTGCATGCAAGTAGAGGTGCTGGACCAACTTGAACGCCACCACAGAATGGATGTATTTCTTTATACAGAATCATGACTGCACGACTACATCATCAATAAAAGCCATTTTGATTATAAATACCTACGTGTACGTCTCCACATTTTTCAAAAACCCAGATCGTCGAGGCCTCCTCTTCCAGCAAATCCTGTGCCATCAAATTCGCGTGGGAAGAGGCGTCGGTTCCCCTCGAAGACATCGCCTCTCTCGTCTTCGTATCCTGGGGAAAAGTATCGTACTCGTATAAATGCATTACAAATTTCCTCAGCATGAGAAAGAAAATTTGTAATGCTGATTTATTTTAAGAAAAAGAGTTGTAATGCATGATTGCAATACATAGAGTGCGATACTTTTACAGTTCATACTTCGCCAAAGTCCGGGAGACCGCGAGCCTGTACCTCGGGGAGGAAGTCTAAGGAAGTGTCAGAATCGAAATTGACAAAGTCGAAAAATTTGTGATGCGCAAAATCGTTGCCAGTTAGACCCACAGTTTGTAGTCGGCGCATGACAAATTTTCCCCGTCCTAGAAGCGAATCTGTCATGCGGTTTAGAGCAAAAGCGCTGCCTTCTGCCATGCTAGTCAGCAGCCCAATACTTGACCCTTACCTGGACTATAATCCGCCTTCCTTGCATCCCCTGCAATAGAGTCGCTTTTTACAAACTATTTCAACTTTGACGATTTCGATCCTGACACTTCCATAAAGTCACGCACTGCGTCTTGACCGTGCCATCCCACTATTCGGACGAGAAGGCGGAGTTGCTCAAGGCCTGCTGCGAGTCCTGCCCGAACTGGGGCCACGAGAACAGCGCGACGCAGTTGAAGGTGATGCGACTACTGAAGGAACCGTGCGCAGCGCTCATCGCCCACGGCTTGGACGTCACCCCGGCCTACCTCGCCCACCGCTTGATTCCGGGCATGGCAGCACCCAATGTCAGCAGCGTGAGTGGAGCAGCTTCTATCCCGCGTAAAAAAAACGACCACGTGGTGGTCCTCCCCAGTAGTCATAGTCATAAAGTCTTCAAGACGAAGAACTAGTACGGGAGCACTGCCAGGCAAAATGAAGCCTGTCAAAAAATACTCTTCGAGTGGTCATTCAAGCCGCTTGGACTCGGAGAGTATTTTGATCGTGTTTCGCTAGTGCAGGCGCATCTTCATCACATCAAACCGATTTTTTTCTCCTGATAGTATTTTACACGAACACGACAAAAAATTCGACCACGAGCATGACTGCGAAATTGCTTCTCATGGATATTATAATTTGCATCTACAAAAAATGTGGGACGATGCAGCTACTGGGGACGTCTTATTTCCCCAGGATACAGGCAGCACAGCAAGGATCAGCCGCAACGGCGGGCGGGAACGGTCTGGCGGCGGTCAAGGATGAGGAAAAAACCGTCGCTATCCCGTTCAAAAACGTCCCCACATGAGAGTCGGGATGGGGATTTTGCAACACAAACCTAGGAGTTTTGGGAGTCACGCATCACAAGTTGCAGTCCGTAGTGTAGTGCAGTTTAGCCAGTGCAGCGGCATCACAAATCCATCTGCTCATCCCGTTTACAGCATTACAAATCCCAAAACGCGATTGAAAATGCCTCTCATGGAGATGCGCATTACAAATCTTCCTGTAGTCGCACATCTGCATGACAACTATGGGGTCGTGGGGACGTTTTTACTCAGGATAGTGGCCGTTGTGGATCTCGGCGCGTCTACCTTCGATTATCCTATGTAAAACCGTCCTGCTCGCCTCATAGTCAAGATGGGGAATCTGCTACACACATCCACAAGTTTTGGCTGTCGAGCATGACAAGTTCTGGCTCGCAGTGTAATCCTGTTTACCTAGTGAAATAACCGCATGACGAATTGACTAGCTGATTCGGATTCTAGCATGACAAACTCCCAGATAGCATTTTTAGCTAATGGCTCTCATAGGGCTACACATGAGAGACATTCTAGGCTTGCGGATTTGCATGACAAGTATTGGAGGGTGGGGACGTTTTTCCTCAGGATATCGATTGCTCGGTTTTCACGGTGAACAAAAACTTATGAATTGCAAAAGAAGTATCGTACTCGTATAAATGCATTTCAAATCTCCTCAGCATGAAAAATAAAATTTGTAATGCTGATTTGCCTTAAGAGAGAGATTTGTACTGCATGACTGCAATTACTACGAGTGCGATACTTTTGCACAGGATAAAACTCCGGCATTTTCCGACCGGTGACCTCGGTGGGGTCCGGGTCCCTCGGCTGCATATGAACTGCAAATATGTCTGGGTCTGGAAACAACTTGTGATGCTAGTTTGTGCACGGTGGGCGCACTGCGTTCTTACGCAGCCACGCATGACAAGTTTCTGAGCTCCTATGTGTTTCGCTTCCCGCATGACAAACTCCGTTTTTGCATGACAAGTAAGAGACTGCTGCTTTCCTGCTCATGCATGACAGATTCAAGAGTCACGCGAGGCAAGCTGCATGACAAACTTTCATTCTTCCAGACCCAGACATATTTGCAGTTGATGCTGCAAGCTGATGGACGAAACGCTCTTTGACTACTGCGTCAAGGATTTGAAGAGGAAAGACCCGAAGGCGGCCCTGCAGCTGAAGAAGGAGGAGCGAGCGATGCTGCGACTCAAGGAAGCCTGTGAAAAGGCGAAGAAGGCCCTCACGGTGTCGAAGCGGGCCACCATTGAGGTGGAAGCATTGCTGGGCGATGTGGACTTCTTCACGCAAGTTATGCATTGCAAATATATCGATCTTCTGGGTCTCGAAAGGTTGAACTTACAATGCTTATCTTGCATGGGTGTGTCGTGGAAAATCTGCATTGCATGACCGACATCAACAGACGCGGTGAGAACTCTCTTGTCATGCGAAAGCGCAGCTTGTCATGCGGGATACGCATGACGAGCAGCCGTTCTCAGAACTTATCATGCTTGTCTGCACCCACAAGCGCAGTTCCAATCTTTCGCGTTCCGCATCACAAGTTTATTCCAGCCCCAGATCGATATTTGCAATGCATACAAGTGACCAGGGAGCAATTTGAGGAGATGCTGAAGAAGGAAGACGAGGAGAAGAACGTTATTGACCAACTGAAGGAGATGCTCGAGGAAGTGCAAGAGAAGGTCGCCGCAAGTACAACTTCGTCCTCAACAAAGATCAACGAGTATTTGTGCATCGGGGGCGGGTGCAACATCCCCGTTGTGAGCCAAACGATTGCCGAGGCCTTCAGCGCCAGCAAAGCGAAGGAGCTCATATCAACTGCAAAAGTGTCTGGGTCTGGAAGAGTGCCAGACATGTCATGCAGGTTTTCCATGACACATGAGATCTGGTATGTAGGACATAGCATGACAGATTCTGTGAGAGTTCTATCATGCCTATCCTGCATGAGAAACCACCTCTCGACTAGGTCAAAAGTGGACAGCTTTTGGTAATCATGCAACACAGATTTTCACATGATTCAGATTTAGCATGACAAGGTGCTTTGCTCCAGACCCGGTATAAGTAGCAGTAGTTAGTTCCACCGGTGGACATAATAGCATGTTTTAATCTCTCTCTACATAGTGCATCCACGTAGTTCTCTTTTCTTTTCTTTCTTCAAAAAGTTCAAGTCGTTCTCTTCCCCGTGCTGTACCAAGGTCTTGTTTCCAGACAAAACACCAGACACTTTTGCATTTGATAGCTCAAGGGCGAGACCGATTTGCTTGCCGAGGAGGTGGTCGCGATGGGCGCGGCAATACAAGCGGACGTATTGCTCAACATGGGAGCAACGGACGAGGGGGAGTTGGTGGTTTCTGCAGAGCTGAAAGGAAATGTCGAGCCAGCCGACGACGACGATACGCCAGGTAAATTTTCGGACAATTATTGTAGAGCAGGGACTTTTATGCAAGACAAAACATGCTTGCGATGTGAATTTCGCTTGACATGCTGGCAATGTCAATGTGACTTTCGCATGACAAATTTTCTAAAGATGTGACATCAAAATAATAAAACTACCACCATACAACTTCTACGGAACAGGTATCGCCATGGAGGGTAGCGCTCTGTCTCAAGCCGTCGGCATTTCCGTGAAGAAGGGGAACGCAAAGTCATTTTTCCCAGTTTTGCACAAGGGCGTTCCGGTGCCCGTCAGCCAGAAGGAGAGCTTCGCATGCGCACCAGGTACCATAGCTGCATTTCATGTTTGTTGCATGACAAAGAACATCACCTGATTATACTTATTCCGAATCGTTGAATTTTTGCATGGACGACGGCGGCCCATCACAAGGTCTTCACTGGTGTGATGTTGCGTGGATCGAGACTATGGTGAACCTCACCTACCTAGAAAATATTGTATATCAGGTTCCTTCAACATTGAAGTGGTGGCCGCCGACGGGACGCCTCTCACCACCGTCTCTATCGAAGAAACATCGCACCACCACATTGACCTCATGTTCAGTGTGGACGGAAAGGGGAGCTTAACGGTGGAAAACGTGACGCACTATGAAATGCAAATATGTCTGGGTCTGGAAGGTTGCAACTTGTCATGCTAAATCTGAATCGTGCAAAAAATCTGTGTTGCGTGATTACCAACAGCCGCCCTTTTTTACCAAGTTGAGAGGCAATTTCTCATGCATGATAGGCATGATAGAGATCTCACAGAATTTGTCATGCTAGGTGCTGCATTCTAAACTTTATGGGCCATAGAAAACCTGCATGACAAACGTGGCAATCTTCCAGACCCAGACATTTTTGGAGTTGATACGCACTGAGTGAAGTCTAATATTCTCGTCTACTCTTCTGGTGAATTTACACCGGGCGATGAAAATGATGCTAGCTACATATAACATTTCGTCCCGCCGACGTGGAAGCTATTTTTTCATCTAATTGCACATCAATTTTCCGGATAGCCACCTCCCTCTTCTTGAAAGCAACGAACGAAGTGATTTTCATTTTATTTTACTGAATTGCGCGCATGATGATTGATGCTACTGGGGAAAGAACAGAGATCATGAATGACCAAGAGTGTAGTAGTTACGCCCGCTTCTACAACATTATGCGCGATGGGGGCGCATCAAAGCAGGTAATGTTTCGTGCTAGGCAGATAAGAGCATGACAACTCGTCGACAGGAAATCATCATGTGACAACTCGACAATTGGTGACAGCAGCGAACAAAGAACAACTTGCAAACCAGTGGCTTTTAGAACATCGAACAACATTGCAACTTCGAACGAACAACAGGAAATAAAGGATGAAAGCAAGAAACTACATGAATGTCAGTTGTGGGTACTTACAATACCACATGAGCTGCCTCTGCTCCAGTAGAAGCCAGAGGAGAGATGATGACACGCCGTACAGAGCTGCCCGGTTTTTGTTCCTCGTCGTGGGTAATTCGTCTTAAAATAGCTCTTTCGGGTGCAAAATGTTATACCCAATCGTATCCGTGACCACTCGTTTGCTACTGCAATAGATCTCGCTAAATATTGATTTGGTGGTTGAGTAGATCTAGATGGGGTTCATGGAACTTGTGGTCGCTCTCGTTGTAGAAGATCATCGTCGTTTCATAAAGATTGGGACATGAAGATAAGGTTAAGGAGTCTCTCCTCACTCCGATTTTGGAGGTGAAAGGGAAAGTCAGTCCTTGCACCTCCGTACATTCGTTTTCGTCGCACCATAGCACACTCCCTCGAATCCAAACACCGATCTGCTCAATCTTGTCGTTGGTATCTACCTCGCCCCGATAATATCGATTGCTCATGATCTAGTGGGACGATAAATCGTATCTGTTGATGTTTGACATTGCCGGGTATCTATATTCATTTGTGGTGGACGAGGTAAGTATCTATATCCATCGTCGATTATTGAGGTAGCGGTTGCGCACAATCTCACGCCAGTTTTTATGTATTTAGTTTCGTCATCTTTATCTACAACTAGTCGCGCCATTTTCATTTATCCTCTGCTCTATGTTTGATCGTAGAAAAGATTCGTTGCTCCCCGGCCGCGTGGGTCTAAAGATGTACAACAAGAATTTCTTCCTTCTGAACCTGCTTGCTGAAACAATCCTGCTCCTCCAGAAGAACCACCAGGAGGTCACCCCGCCCCTGTTCCATTTCGTATCGGCCCGGCAAGAACAGAAGCTGAACCTCTTCGGCCAACCCGTCGAGAAGTGCGGAACGGCTCCGGGACCGGCTTCCACTGGCTACTGCGACGGCGGGGACGCCAGCTCAGATCCGGGACTGCACCAAATTTGTGCGAGCAAACTCCCGGGCGACTTCTCTACGAAAACCAACCAGGGCTCCAATTGGTCGGAAGAACAGAGCGGAAAACACTGGTGCATCTGCATCTGGGCGTATTCGGGATATGTCTCGCACATCGACCCGACTATCTCACTACAATGTAGCGGGATTCCGGAGTCGGCTCTGTCCGAAAATTACCTCGCGAATTGGAAGTCGGGGTCTTTGCCGGGGGAAGTGAAAAAGGGCGTCGAAAGCCTGATGAAAACATGCCTCGTCCAAGCCTCGGATGAGGAGCAAAAACAACATCTGGTCACGCTGTACACGAAATTGCAACAGCGGGAGTCGCAGCTTGCGAAGCCGCAGGAGCTCGGGGTAGGACTGCAAGGACTACGACTAGCACCGCACGGTGATGAAGATGTTGCGGGTAGTACCGGAACAAGAAGTACTAGGGACATTGCTGTACGACAAGATGAAGAAGGTGAAAAAGCCCGACAAGCAGTGTCGAAACGGCAGCGGCAGGAAACAGACGAGGAAAAGCAGATGAAACAAGAGCAGCAGCAGATGTTGTTGAGCAGTCAAATGAATCAGGAACTACCAGACCTCCAGGCTAAAAAAACGGAGCATCTCGAGCGGCAGATGCGTGGAGCGCTAGGCGGAGCATCTTCTACTACAAAGGACGAACTGCAAAATGAACCTGGACGAGAGGAGGCTCCTTTTTCATCGGGCGCTGCAGCAAAGAACATGCAGATTTACATCATCGGAGGGGTGGGCTCTCTATTGGTGATCTCCTTCGTGTTTCTTCTCTACATCAACTGCGCGGGGGGCGTTGCTAGTATTTCATCTGGGAGGACGAGCGCTGCTGCTGCTAATGGTGCTAACGCGACGAGTGGAACGGCTGCTGCGAGAAGTGCTTCGTTTGCTGGTCGTGGCAATGCCACCTTGCAAGATGAAGATGAGGAAGCTTCCTTGCTGCTTGAAAAAGCGAAGAATGACGCCTCTGGGGGCGCGGTGTAGATTAACTTCTTGTTGTTGGGCGACTGATAAATATTAGATGACTTTTACACGACTTCTACCGAGCCCGAGACCCTCAAAGCTGCCCTTTCATACATGATAGCTGAGTGGGGCACAGCCAGCAGTTTACAACTTCTACTTACGACATCCATTTTCGCTTGGCTTCCTTCCTTATCATGCGTTTCGGTTTCATCTCGTTTCATCATGCTCCTGTACAAAATTCAAAGCACTTCCACTACGTCGAGAACCTGTATGGAGACCTGCACGAACCAGATTTACGAATTCTGCTTGTACCAAACGAGGAGGGACACCCAAATCCTAATTGCTATGCCGAAAAAATAAATTCGTCTTTGTCTTGTTTCCTTCACGACCAGGCTGCTCCTGTGTGGCCGGTCGTGTTTGCGTAAGCACCAAAAGGAAAACTGCAGTAGGGTGGTGGTGGTGGTGGTGGTCCTACTACTTTTTCGGAATCAGAAACACACTACTTCTTGTGTCTTCTATTCCCTGTCATTCGTCGTGGCGTTGTCTCGCACTCTTCCGGCAGACTCATCCGATCGTGTGTGATTTTAATTTGATATGAACTTACAAACGGCGCGCCCGTTAAGGCTGGGGGCCGGAAAGTTGGCCTGAAATAGGCCAGAAGTTAGCCAAGCAGGGCGAGGCCAGCCATTCGCCTTGGCTTTCAGCTGAAGGGGGCGCTGTAGGTCGCGAGCGCTGCGCGTGAATATGTGAAAATGCGACCACCCACTCCTGGGGCGCGCCACAAAAGGAACGCGCAAAACACGGGCTCCCAGGACGAGGGGCCCTGTAATGCTGGGGCCGGGGGGGATTCTCACCGGCAGGGAGGCACAATCGGCGCCGGCGCCTTCCACGAACATCTAGGGCCGCAAGGGGGGGGTCCAAAACTGAGGGCGTCACCCCGCCCGCCTACTGCAGACCGAAAGCTTTGCGCGCTGAGCCTTTCGGGCACACTGGCAACCAACCCTTGCTTTCCATCAGTGGCCAGGCGCCTGCGCTGCCGCGGGAGGACGGGTTGGACAAGGAAAGGGCACCAAAGAGGGGGCGCGGAACCTCGTGCGGCTCAAAATTTGAGCCCACTGAGGTTCTTGCATGAAGGGGGCGGCCGGTCTGGGTTGCCATAGCTGCTCCTGGGTTCTTTGGCCAACGTCCGGCCTAATTTGGGCCAGCTTTCCGGTGGGTTGCATTAACAGCGGTGGCCGTTTGTGACATCTGTCGCCCTTTCCTGCATTTTGATTGCGTTAAGGGTCTGTCGCCCTTTCCTGTCCGCATTTTGGGACATCTGTCGCCCTTTCCTGTCCGCGCTTTTGATTGCGTTAAGGGGGGCCACCCTTTCCTGCATTTTTCATTTTCTAGAAGAAAAGGCTAGCCAAAAGTTAGCCAGAAGTGAGCCAGAAGTTAGCCAAAAGTTAGCCAAAAGTTAGCCAAAACGTTAGCCAAAACGTTAGCCAAAGAAGGGAAGCAAAAGACGCAGACTTTTGCTTTTCGGCAAAGGCCGATGCTATGGCCGCACCTGTTTCCGGCCGCTGGATAACGTTTTTTGCAACTCCTGGCTAACTTGTTTTGCTCTGCTCTGGCTAACTTTTGGCTAGCGTTTTGATTTGCGACCACTTATTTTTTGGCCTTCTTTGCAGATTTCATTCGCCGGGGCCCCTGTCACACTCACGAACCCGATCGCACTGCTTCCGGAACTCTCCGAAGCCTTCCAACAGCGGGTCGAAGCAAGGAAGTCGCCTACGCAACCGGCCAGCCTATACAAAACAGCTGGCACCGTTGCGGGCGGCCTGTTTGTTGGACGCGGCGGGCTTGGTGGGTGCTTCGCATTTTTTTTCCTGAGCAAAAAGGCGCGCGGGGTCGTGTGCGCCTTTATTTTGCCCCACGCGCATATGAGGACTCAGCTGGAGGACCCTCCCTCTCCCCGGCGGGGTTGCGCCTGGGTGGGCGCCGAATCAATCCGCTCCGGCACAGCCAGCGGGCACAGGGAAAAGGGCGTCGATCTGCCGGCCATGGTGGCTGCACCTTTATCCCAAATAGAAATAACAGCGCTTGCAGCTAAAATCTATCCGGGGCAGAGCTAAACTCTTCCGGCAGACTCATCCGATCGTGTGTGATTTTAATTTGATATGAACTTCGGAAAACGAAAAACAACGTCGTGGAGACTGAAGTCGGGTCGTTGCGTACAAGTAGAACTCGCATGTTGATTCGTCAATCGAGCAACTTTTGCACTACTTAGGAACATGCCTCACGGCAGAAAAATTTTGGTTGCTGTCTCATGGTGGTCCGCATGATAACTACCCTACGTTCACCCACGACAAATAAAAGTTCGACCGTAAAGATAGTGATCGTCATTGGCCGTGCCCTGTGGTTTTATTTTGCGTAGTGATCGAAACGATGTATAGATAGTGTCTTCCCGCTCGCTGTCTTGAAGATGGTACTTGTCGTGCCACACAGTCCTTGTCGGAGGGCTCCACAATGTACAAGTTGTATGGATTTTTGCTACTCGCAGGGTCGTACAGTTCTTGAAAAGTAGAACGAGCATCAAAAGTCCAAATGGGTCGTAAAGCTGCACCACCATGACCAAATCACGTGCGTCTCGGCGCGGTTACTTTTGCGCGTGCTTTGCACGACATAAAGATGTTACAGACAGCAGAATAAAGCAGTCCAACAGGCTGCCCATTGTATACAGAAGTAGCACGAAGCTCGAATATGATTTAGCAAGTAGCTGCAGACGGGATTCGATTTTTTTTTTTCGCTCGCGCGGCGTTAAAGTTAAACAAATAAACATTCGTCAATATAATTGACACCACCTGCCTCAACATTGGGCGAACTCACAAGGAAAATGCGGGTCTTTTCGTTTTCTCTTTTTCCTACCGGCCTCCTGACCGGGCTTGTTACTCCCGCGAGCGGAAAGATGCGGCGGTTAGCCAAGCAAGCGCTTGCGAAGGCGGGAACCTTATGGATTGCAAATATGTCTGGGTCTGCGTCTGGGAGATTGCGAGACTTGTCATGCTAGTCTGGCACGACTCTGGGATCTGCATTGCGTGGCAACCAAAAGCTCCTCTTGCCTGTCATGCAAACACGCAGTTTCTCATGCGGAATACGCAACGCAGAAGCATGAAAAAACTTGTTATGCTTGGCTGCGCATTACAGTGTGCTTATTATTCAGTGACCTGCATCACAACTTTCCAGACCCAGACATATTTGCATTTGAGAAACCTCTAGTACGCCGGGCGCTTCTGCCGGTGCCACCAGTCCCGTCCACGAGCAAGAGGCTTCCGCGGATCACCAAGGGGCAAAAGAGGTAGGCATTGCAAAATTATCGTACTAGTACGAAATGCGTGACAATTACTTCTTAGAAGTAGAAGTTGTGATGCCGATAATTCAAGTGAGGAAGCCGATGAAGCATCTTTGTTTTGCATGATTCCAATTCAAGTATTAGTACGAGTGCGATACTTTTGCACAGAATACGAAGCGCTGCCGAAGAACCTGTATGGGGAACCAAACGAGAATATCCTGTCGTGTAAAAATTATGCCCCCACCCTCCAGCTAAAGTGAGAACTTTCTTGTCTATTGGGCATGACAAGCTTCGGTCTCTCCTGCAGTCGTTAGGTACTTACTAGCTAGTGCAGTTGCATGGCAAATTTTTTTGTTCCTGTCGTGATTATGATCCTCAGCATGTTGGGCTTGGGGTTCTTGTGCGTGAGACTACTTACAACGCAGTCGGGGCTGCATAAAAGTTTAAGTGACAAGTTCTCAGGGGGTTGATCGGTTCTTGGTTGGGGCTGCTTTTGCTCAGGATACGGAAGTATTCATTGCAAAACCAAAAGCATCATTCTAGTAGAAATCTCATGACAAATTCCCTCACCAGCATGAGAAATGATGAAATTTTTAATGCTAATGCGAGTTACGGTTAACTTGAAAAGAAGAAGCTGATGTCACGCATGATAGCGATTACCACGAGCGCGATGCTTTTGCAATGCATAGGAAGTGCGGAGAAAATGTTGGTCCGACCCGGAGCGGTTATTGTATGGCTTTCTCAAAGAACGTGACATTCATATGCTGTACTTCTACTTGCATGATTTGCCATACAAATCCCCTGTGAGCCTTCACATTCTACGGCTCCTTTGGATGACAAGTTTTCGACGCACTCAATAGCATGGAAATCCGTTGTTCCCAATCTGTAATGCAAGACGCGCAAACTAGAACCTCGATGATTCTGAGATGGCAATTCATTCTGATCACTATCGGTGTATAGCAAACTGGTCGCGCTCGCGGTCCCGCCCAGCACTACTGCTGTTCGGGCGAGCCCAATTGTTCATGTAACAGCCGGCAATGAATGTAACGGTTGCGAACTCCATATACTGCGACGGTGGCGGCCCGGAACAGGGGGACGCCGGGTTGCACCAGATTTGCACCGCCAAGCTGCCGAACAACTTCTCTACAAACACCAAGCAGGGGGCCTGGAGTAACGAGTTCACCGGGCAGCCCTGGTGCATCTGCGTCTGGGCGTATTCGGGGTACGTGCTGAAAATCGACCCCACCATCGAAGTATGAACTGCAAAAGTATCGTAATCGTATAAATGCATTGCAAATTTTCCCAGCATGAGAAAGAAAATTTGTAATGCTGATTTGCCTTGATAAAGAAATTTGTAATGCAAGACCTGCATTTATACGAGTGCGATACTTTTGCACAGGATACGAAATCAAGTGCGACGCGATCCCGGAGAGCACCCTGAAGCCCGAGTATCTCGGCCACTGGGACGAGATATGAATTGCAAATATGTCTGGGTCTGGAAGGTGGTAACTTGTCATGGTAAACCTGAAGCATACAAAAATCTGTGTTGCATGAGTGCCAAAAGCTGCGCACTTTCGACCAAGTTGGAAGGGAGGAGGTTCTCATGCAGGATAGGCATGGCAGAGACCTCGCAGAGGCTGTCATGCTAAGTCCCGCATTTCAGACCTCATGGGTCATGGACAATCGAATCTGCATGACAAGTGTACACTCTTCCAGACCCAGACATTTTTGCACTTGATACGAGAAGGCGGGAGTTGGTTCGCTGCCAGGCGAAGTCTACACGGGCATTTTGTCGCTCATGCACACGTAATATTTTGACAACTTCATAATTGATAGATACTATTCGTGATGATAAGTACTTACTTATTTTGGGGCTTTGTATGTAGTGAGGTCACCGAACGGTTCTAACCGGGGAGTTTTTTTGACACCCAGCCAGCAAAACGACCGGCAGTTTTCAAGCGGACGAAAGAGTTTTTTGACAAAAAAAATTTTCAATTATCAAGCGGACGGAGCTTTGAAAACAAAAAAGCCAGGTCGAAAACTATCGATTCACACTTGATAAAACGACGCAGGGGAGCCGGCAAAAGGGGCGCCCTTCTGAGGAGCCCACCGCCTTAGTTTCTGGCGATTTGGGGCGCCCAAAAAGAGGCGCGCAGAAAACGCGCCCAAAATCAGAACAGCGGAACAGCATGGCACGGCCGCGATTTCGAAGCATTTTGGGCGGCCGCGAAAGCGGCCGCCTTTTCGCCGGTTTCAGAGCCTGGGGAGCTTTGCAAAAAGCGCCGGCGTGAAAAATAAAAACGCAAAAGAGAAAAAGCGCGCCAGACGCGCAAAGCCAACCCGCATGCTACGGGCCCGATTTTTCTTCGCTTTTTGGGCGCCCCCCGTGGCGCCCGGATCGGCCCCATAGCATGGGGGCTCGCTTTCGGAAAGGAATTTTGGAAATGTGCCAAAATTCGCGACGTTTCTCAAGTGACCGCCATACCGTGCGGCATAACGTTACTCACGGCGGTATGGCGAGCCCAGAAAAAGCAAAGCCGCGGCCAAGGCGGCTGTCGGAAAAAAAACGCCCACGACCTCACTACCCCCGCCCCGGCGGCTATATTTGGTACTCCTGTGCCTGTGGTATGCCTATGCTGCGCATAATTCCTAATATTTCGCAGGACGACCACTTGTTTTGTCAACCATTGATGCACACAGGACGCACCGCAACAAGAGCAACATGAGTGCATTTCTTCTTGCAGCTGCGCTTCAATATTTTTGCCATGAAAAACCACAGGTGTGTGATTCAAGCGGGGAACGATGCGGGCAAAAAGGCCTACCTGCTGGACCTGTACAACACGATCCAGCAGGAGAGCCATGAGGAAAAGCTGCCCCGCCTCTCGAAAACGACCACGGCGGAGGAGATTCAGGAGCTGCTCAAGAAAAAAATCGACACGACCAATTCGGCGAAAAACCAGACCACCACTGCGACCCCGACAGGAGCAGTTGCTTCCGTTTCTGGCGAAGTGGGTGCGGGTGGTGCAGCGATGGAGGGCGAAGTCAAGCTTGGTGAAGCAGCTGAGCAATTCTTGGGCGGTGCAGCTGGCTCTTTTTCTTCCTTCGTGCAACTTGGAGCCGAGAACAAGCAGGGGGAGAAAATGCTCATGACCAAGAAAGTGCAGAAGCAGAAAACGAAGCAGGCAGTCCTTGGAGCTACGCAACAAGGTTCGACCTCTGCTGCGACGACCCTGCACGGAAAGAGGGACCACTATGACGTTCTCAATCGTTACATTCTCAACTGTTACATGATTTGTCATGCACAAACACTAGCACAATTCACACGATCAAGCCTTCTTCGCATGACAACTTCTCGACGCGCTAAATAGGAATAGCACTACAATCCATCCCAAATCTGTAATGCAAAAGGCGCAATCTTCCTCGTTTCACTTTTGCCCTTCTTGCATTATAAATTCGTGTAACAGTTGAGAATGTAACGTTTGAGAACGCCATAACCACGGCGCGGCGGTCTCGGAACTACGCGGGTCCGGCAACGTTATCAAATGTAAAAATGTCTGGGTCTGGAAGAATGCAACTTGTCATGCTGTTTTTGGATTCTAAAAAAATTAGTGTTGCATGACCAGCAAGAAAGGTCCAGTTTGTGCTACGCGGAGAGGGCATTTCTCATATGGAAGGCGCATGATCAGGAAGCCCTCTAAAAGTCTGTGATGCTAGGTCATGCATTACGGGCATCAGGGTTCATGAGAAATATGCATGACAAGTCTGCATTCTTCCAGACCGAGACATTTTTGCATTTGATAAACGTCGAGGAGGAGGAGCAAGAGAAGAAATCGGGCGTGTTCTTCCTGGATTCCCTGTGGATGATGCTTTTCTATCCTGAGCAAAAACGTCCCCACCCCAGAGTCAAGATGGGAAATCTGCTAGACAAATCAACCAGCTTTGCTTGTTTCGCATGACAAGTTTGGCCCCGTAGCGTAAAAATCCTCTTTGGGTAGTTCACCAGCATCGCAGATCTCGAGTATCGTGCTGGTTATAGCATCACAAATTCCAAAACACGGCTAGAAAATGCCTCTCATGTGGCTCCGCATGAGAAACTTTTTTGGCATGCAGATTTGCATGAGACGACTATGGGGTGGGGACGTTTTTACAAATGATATTTTCGTGCCTCTGCTGATCCTCGCGGTTTTTTGCATTGGGGCACACCACTTCCAACCGCAATCGCACCAGGCGACCACCGGGGGCGATGTGTTCTTCAGGAAGTTCTGGAGCTCCACCTCCCGCTGGACGTTTTTTTCGCGCGGTGACGACGCGGCGGGGTTGAGCGGCAGTGGAGGCGGGAAGAAGAAAACCGCTGCGTCGACGGAGGAAGGGGAGGCCGTCGGTGTGAAACAAGCTGGGAGCAAGAAAACGGGTTCCAAGACGAGTGCAACGGGGCACAGTATGGCGTAGTTCTCAAGCGTTACGTTGGTCGCTGGGGCGTGATTAATTTCGCTTGAATGATTTGTGGTGGTGCATGCAAGATTATAGCATGATAAGGCAAAGAAATCCAAATAAACGACGAGGACGAAGCTACAAATTGCGCCTCGATCATGAGTAACTCCGCACGCATTCCATCGCAGGTCGGCGCATTGGAAACTTGTCATGCGAAGTAGCTTGATCCGATCCTGCAGAATGTGACACAGGCTCTGAGTGAAATTAAACCAACGCGAATGAGGAACACGCAACAGCTATCAGCCTGACGCTCGGGAGCGGTGTCATACAGAAGGGAAACAAGGATGATCGGAAACTGTCGAAGGGGCAGTTGGTGTAGTGAAGCAAGAAGCGACAGGTGAAGGTGGACCGGTTCTTGTACTACATCAGCCGGAACATTATGACAACGATAATCACGATGAAGGCGAAACCAAAAGTACAGAGATCGTGGTTGAGTATACAACTAGGAAGTTGGTTGAAAATGAAATCGACAGGATTTGTTATTGCAGTTGCACACGCAGTTTGAGTTTTCTTGGAGACGTGAGGACACCAGCACAGCAAGTGCCTTATGCGCACTTTTCCTCTAGTACCTCTTTTTTTAGATTCGCATTTCATTCACAGTGATATATTATGATTTCCTTTGTCATCTACCGTAGTTTCCTGCTACAACGAGGAACCCTACAGATGATTCAGTCTTATCTTCAGCAGCAGCTTCACCTAGAAGATGAAACAAGCAATCGAGACCAACCACGACAGTTTGCCATGTACTATCTTGGACAGAATAAAATTTACCGAGTATTGCAAAAACCGCTTTTTCCTTTTGTAAATGAATCTCACACAGCACACCTATTTGTTCAATTTCAATTTTCGATTAGGTTGTCTGTACAAAAATCCAAAAAACTTTAACTTTCACGAGAACACAACTCCTACAAGCAATATCGGTCGCCTTTAATACCTTCAGAAAAAGTATTACCACATTACAAATACAACTGTACATATTGTAGCGCTTCTGCTACAACAACATTGGGAAAAATGAACTGTACATATGAACCGGAAATACGGCCTCGGCCAGAAGCAACTTGTGCAAGAATAGTGCCCCCCTGTGGAAACGAGTACAAGGCAAATAACCAGCCGAACAAGCACAAGAACCGATCTGGTAAAAAAATATTGTAAGTCGAGCTGTTGGTGCTGACATGACGAGCCCACATCGTCTCCATTGTCAACATCTACTAAGTCACCAACATTTGTGCCTGTTCATCAGCGATCTTGTCGCTGCAACTTGGAACGCGGCGCTGTACTAGGCTGTGCTACTCGCTGTAACCTTCAGACCGTGTGGTGGTCAAGCGACAATAAACGAAGAATTTCTAGTAGTTACAGCACTAGAGCTTCTTCAAGAGCAAGAGCATCTCCGGGTGTGCTTTTTTCGCTGTTGCTTCGATGATATATTCACAACGCCGCTGCTGATGTGGACTAAAGATGTACAACTTAGTACTAGAGTAAGAGTTTGCAAAGTAGAACCAAGTTCCTGTTGTCGTGGTGTCTGTCGTGCAGCTGCGAGAGATGAAATAGAAGTACCTAGTTCGTTGGACACGACATCGATAGGATCAAATAACTCCTGCACGACCAACATGCCGGAATCTTTCGGCCAGTCCTCCAGTAGTTCCTCATCCTCGACGACGGATCTCGCGACGGACAGACGACCCCCCCAGGGCGGGTGCGATGGCGTGGTCTGCCTCCTGGGGTGCCTCATGGCGGTGCCGGGGGTGAAGAAACGGATCGTGAATTCGGTGGCGTTTTTATCCTAAGTAAAAACGTTCCCACCCCATGTTCAAGATGGGAAATTTGCTTAGACAAATCAACAAGCATTGGCTGTTGCGCATGACAAGTCTGGCCCTCTGGTGCAGTCCTGTTTCGCTCTTTCAGCAGCATCGCAGCCCTAACCTATTACGCTGATGGGAGGGAGCCTTACAGATGCCAAACGCACGAGGACAAATGCTTCTCATGGGGCTCCGGATTCGCATGACAGCCATGGGGTGGGGGCGTTTTTACATAGGATAGCTTTTCCCCCCCTGTCCGCCGGGGTATTACCTGAGCGACACGGGGAAAGCGTTGCTGTGTTCTAGGAGCTCATCTCCGTTTCCCGAACCGATTCCGGACCTGTCCACGGCTTTGGGGATAACGTATCCTGAGTGAAAACGTCCCCACCTCCACAGAGTCAACATCGGGAAGCTGCTACACAAATAAGCAAGCTTTGGCTATTGCGCATCACAATTTTTCGTTTTGGTGCGCAATGTAGTGGCGTTCAGCTAGGGCAGTAGTTTCAAAGATCCAGCAGTTTCCGCTGATTCGAGCATCACAAAATCCAAAGCAACGCTAGACAATTCTTCTCAACATCATGGGGCTTCGCATGAGAGAATAGTTTATTGACCATGCAGATCTCCATAAAACAAACCTGGGGCCGCGCGGACGTTTTTACACAGGATATTACGGTAGAAACGGTCACGCTGCACACGGTAGTCGGAAACGAACTCAGGGCGTTTCACTTCAAAAAAACAGCAGCTGGGGGCGCCGGAGGAGATCATGCCAAAGTGGCAGGATCATCGTCAAGCAGCTCTCTGGCAAGGAAAGGAAAGATATCGCAAGAAAAAACTGTTTCATTATAATGAACTTGTGATGCAGGGGATGGACGAGCACGAGAGCACAGTCGTAATTTGATGTCTTCCTTCTACATCAAATACAAGACAAAACGGCATTGTTTGTTACGTTGCCCGTCTTTTCCCCACGTATCCATCTACCACGCATGAAAAATGTTCCCGGTATGTTTGTCGTGCCCGTAATTGATTCATTGAAAAAAGGAAAATCATCACAGTAAAACAGTTTTTTCGGTTGATCGCAGACCATAATCTTCTCCCACGGCAATAGCACTGACATAGGCTTGATGTTTCCTCATCTCCGAGATATCGCCGCGAAGTGCGACGTCAGTGTGCTGGCGTATGACTACTCAGGGTACGTATCAGAACTATTTGTCGACGACAGATAAAACACATCAACATCGTCAATCAGCGTACTAGTACAAAACTAGTGTCGGAAAAATCGATGTTTTGCAGTAAAGGGCAGAATAGTAAACTGTGACACGACACCAGCATTTAGGGTATTCAACAAAGACCAAACACCTGCTTCTTCAACATCACAGTTACGGGTGCAGCACGGGCGAGCCGTCGGAGCGCAACCTGTATGCGGACATCCAGGCCGCATTCCTGTATCTCATACGCATGGCAAAATTATCGCACTCGTAAAGATCATTGCAGTCATCTAGCATTACAAATCTAACTTTCTACCTGATTCAGCATGACAAACTGCATACATTTTTGTTTTTTCGAACGATCGAACTAGTGGTACGATAATTTTGCAATGCATAACTGAACGAGGAGTGCAACATCCCGATGTCGCAGATAATTCTTTACGGACAGTCCGTCGGCTCCGCGCCGAGCATCCACCTGGCAAACGAGCTGCAGCACGGCCTCGGGGGGCTCATTCTCCACTCCGCGCTGAAATCCGGCCTGGCGGTGGTATACAGCAAAATTCAGCACAGCCCCTGGTACGACGTCTTCCAAAACGTGCACAAGATAAAGGAAGTATCCTGTGCAAAAGTATCGTACTCGTATTGCAGTCATGCGTTACAAATCGTATTCTTGAGGTAAATCCGCATTGTTCTCACGCTGAGGAAATTTGTAATGCATTTATACGAGCACACTTTTGCAATGCATAGGAAGTGGACGCCCCCGTATTTCTGATCCACGGCACGGCCGACTTGGAAGTGCCGATTGACCACGGGAAAGCTTTGTACGAAGCGTGTCTGTATCCTGTGCAAAAGTATCGTACTCGTAGTAATTGCAGTTATGCATTACAAATCTTTTTCCTAAGGTCATTCAGCATCACAAATTTCATTTCTCATGCTGTGGAGATTTGTAATGCAAATCATACTAGTGCGATACAATACTTTTGCAATGCATAGTCTGCGGCCCTTTCCTCCCTGGTGGGTGCACGAGGGCGGACACAACGACATCGAAGTCATTTGGCGGTAAAAAAGAGATGATCAAGATGAAATATGTGTACGTATAAAAAATTTTCTCTGTGTATCTCTATCTACGTTGTAGTTAGAATGTGTTTCAAATTCAATTAATTTTCGTTCATGCCGGCGTCACAACTACCACTACGACAGGCAAGATGAACTTATTCATTTTCTGTATCGTGATACACCGCCTGGAAAATTCTATCAGAGCCACGTTTTTCACCAAAATCCGGGGCTTTTTGGATTCGCTGGAGTGAAGACCGGTGGAAGCTAGCCGATCTTGGAGTGCAGTGACGGTTCGACGGCCGCCCTGGCTGTGGTCTGCCGTGGAGGTCGTGCAGCTCATTTTGCGTCAGACGACAACGAGGAAAGGGAAACACAAACTCGACGACTTCTTGCCATATTCTTCCGGATCTTGCTGCTAGTACTGCAGCTGGTTCGTGTGGGAAAAATTGGGAGCCTTTCCTGTTTTGTTCCCCTGCCGCTATACATACGTCGATCCTCATCTGCTCCTTCGGAAGAGGCAAACTGTTGATGTGCTGTGCTCTCGCAAATGTGGTCTGTGTGCTTTCGCAGCAAGCAATTTCAATGATGATGAAAACATGCTCAGACTACAACTTGTTCAACTCTCGCGAACACGAGCAGTTGCTTGTGGTGCATGTGAGAAACGCTGCGGAAAGTAGCTGCGACGAACAAAAGCAAGTGCAAACGTGCCTACTTCAGCTGTGATTTTTCACAGTCAAACTCATACAAAACTGTGTTCGCAAACTGCACACCTCCAACGCAACTGAATATGCCAACTTTTGTTCGCCTGGTCTATCTTGTGAATCAAGTATATAAACTGGAAGTTACGCACCTTGGTAGAACAAACGGGCATTATCCGGGAGATAGCGAATTGAAAGTCGCGAGATCCAGCTCGCATTTGTCTGCTGGCTTGTACTGTAATTTCCAGGATTTGGACGAGACAACATCTATGTTTGCACCAGTTTTGAATGGACGAGGACAGAATATTAAAAATAAAGTTGTTACCACGCTGCAGCCAGGAGGAGTACTCCTTTGGAGATGAAAGGTTGAGTCAAAATATCAGCAATGCGGCTAGAAGAGCTGACACTAAGATGGAATTACTGCCTCGAGGCTCCAAGTCGTGCGAGAACAGCTAGTAGTACTCGGGATGGCTCGCATCATATTTGTTTTTTCCCAACGAATAAAAAGACATAAGGCTACTCTACTCATTGCGACCGAAGTAGAAAGGCCAGCGAAGATTTGCGAGCTGTACTATGTTGATCGCGATCATCAAGAGACTGCACGATAGCAGCAGGTGAGCCTAGTCACGCCCACATGACTATAATACTGCGCACTTCATCTTTTCTTCTATCACTTGTTGTACTAGAAGTACCCTCCTCTTGCACCTCAGGTCAACATCCTGTCGTGAATGATGCTTCGCCAACAGAGGAAGTAGGTGTTGCGTCAAGAACTTGAAGATCATGCGAACAGAGATAGTAAAATTACCTTCTTGATTGATGACCGCGTGACGTTTCCAATTACGAGTTGTACTGCATTACCTAAATTTTTGTTACTACACCTGATAAATTAAAACGCTCGACGCCCTTCTGAGTACTAGATCAGTTCTTGTTATAAGCGACGGCATCGTAGTTCGTAGTTCTAGTTGGAGTGAAGCAGTAGTACTAGTAGACTTTGTTCGGCCGCAGTATCCTCGCGAGCAACGCTATCTAAGTGGTTGTACATACAAGATGTGAGTATAGATCTACTTTTTTCGTTTTTCCGAAAGTCTTGTTCCTTTGCTTTGCATCGAATTCAACAACACAATAAGAAGAAATTAGTTTGGGACGACGTTTTGCAATCTGATAGACTTATTCTTGCCAAAAGGTAGTAGTAGGTTTTTTGCGCTACAGAAGGAAGTTGCCGCATTACAAATTTCTTGCCAGAAGGTAGTTTTGCATTACAAATTTCTTGTCGAAACTACCACCTCCACGTCGATGTCTAGCTCCCGATCCAAGGATGCGGCGCTTATGAAAAGAAAAAGTACGCGAGAAGTGGGGAATAGCATGATAGACCGTCTTTGTCATGCAGGACCTGCATGCAAAAGCAAAACTAGAAATTGACATTGAGACACAGGATGATGAATGCCAATGCGACCAGGAGATTGTTGTAAGTAAGTAGGAGCACCGGATGATGCGCTTTATGCATGGCAACAACGCTTTCTGCAGCAGATGAGCCGCATATCAGCAAATCATCCTCATCGAACAATTAGATCCATCGGTTGATTCTGTCATTTACGACGGACTATTCCTCCGTTGTACTGTTGTTTCACCCCTTCCATAAGGTTCACGAAACGACCTCCGAACTGACTTTGACGTTGACCCAAGATTTGGTTCCGGCCTTCATCTTATCGACAGGATCTTTCAACACAAAATAAATCCAACTTGTTTCAACATACTGCACAAGAAAAAGACAATAAATACGACAGCAAATAATTCTACTTCCGGGACTCTACTTGACATCAACGAGGAGCAACAACTGGGCCATGTAAAAAACACCAGCGAGACATCTTTACCAGACCACACCGGAGTGCCGGAAGACAACCTGTGGTTTACTGTTCCAGACGAGCTGAGCAAAAGCGAAAGCGATTGTCTTGAACATAATTTTCCTTCCTGCGTTGGGACTACAACACGACTAGTAGAACAATCGGCTTTTGATATTTCGTCACCTTCTTGTTCAGCTTTCGAGCAGCAGCCGTCATCTACTTCGAGGCAGGTGCCGAGTTTTTGTGCTGACCCTAACGAGAATTACATCGCAGCTGGTGCTCAAAGTACAACAGCTAGTACCCACGACCGCTATCATCAATCGACGACAGGACCACGAGTAGAGGCGGACTCGTCTTTAGAGGACCCATCGATTTTCAATAGCGAGGACCTGGTGTGTAGTACCAGTCATCTTCCGGACCACCACGACCCAGAAGTTCAAGTTGCAGCTGCTGCCGGAGATAGAAGCCATTTTCTTCTTGTAGCCTGATCGTTCTCATCGGTGATGGCTTATCAAATGTAAAAATGTCTGGGTCTGGAAAATTGCAACTTGTGATGCTGTCTCTGGATTCGAAAAAGAGTTGTATTGCATGACTAGTAAGAGGAGTAGATTTTGTGCTCCTCCGCGGAGATTGCATTTGTCATGCGGAATAGGCATGAGGAAGCGCTCTAAAAATCTGTGATACTACGGCATCCATCACAGACTTCATGGGCCGTGGAAAATATGCATGACAAATCTATCTAGAAATCTTCCAGACCCAGAGACTTTTACATTTGATATGGCTAGCAGCTCCCGCAGAATGTCCGTCGAACCGCAAAAAGTTTTAACCGAAAGTTATAACCCGCTCAGGTGTTACAATCTCAAACGTTACAATAGAATATGGAAATCTGTGATGCAAGACTAATTGGTCAAGCCAACTCTCATAGGATTGCGCATGACAAGTTCCGAAGCCCCAAACCCCACTACAATCTGGCGAAATTTGTATTGCAAAAGGTGGAACGCTGTGCGAGTCTGTCATGCTCATCATGCAACACAAATTCCAGACTCTATACGTAACGTTTGAGAGTGTAACGTTTGAGCAAGTCATAAAAGTGGGGACATCCCCGCCCCACGGTTCGGGCACACCGCGACGCTAGTTGGCCAAAACCGCGTAGTCTTGTTTGGCGGAGCCACGGGAGACAGCGGTACTTGTTATTTTTAGAGTGCTCTATTTTGTTCGTTCTTGTTTGGAACATTTATTGCAACTGCAAGCGTGACTGACATGGATGTGGTTGTTGTTCTTGGCTCTTCATCCAGGTGAACCAGATACAGTTCTTATTCTTGTTGATTCACTTTTACGAGACATTGAATAATAAGGTCGTTACACGATTACTGCGGACACTTACTCCCTGGACACCACCACCTTCACTTGGAGCCAGATCCGCCCCACACCAGGGGATGTGCCACCGCCGTCCGTTACTACAATGAAAGGTGCCCCCTCCGCCTGAGAAGGTTATTATTAATGTAAGGACACTGAGCACTAGGAGTTTTTCTAATGCGGAATCTAGGCACGGTGCATCAGGGCATCTTGTACAAATGCGGCTGCTGCTGGGCGCTTTCGCAGCACAAAGTTTACCTTATTCTTTCAGAACGCAATATGATCTGCGATGGTGCTGTCACATGTAAGAGTAAAACGGGTGATGTTTCATAATGCGAATACTGCCAAGTTCTGCTTCTGGGGCGGGGGTGCTTTTCAACGCGATGTTTGCCCGCGCGGCGCACGCGGCCGCCTGTGTGGACACAAGCCAGCTGGTCATCTATGGAGGAGCGACAGGAGGCGGGTCTTTGTCTTCGGACGAGCTTTATGGATTGTAAAAATGTCTGGGTCTGGAAACTTGTGATGCTGGGTGGCGTATGTATCATGAAGAGGCCACAAGTGCTGGCGTAGCATGACGAGCTTTTGAGCTTCTGGGTGTTGCCTATTCTGCACGACAAACTGCGTTTCTGCAACTGGCAGCAAAATTAATGGGGCTCTTGGGTACTTAACGTGCATGAGAGATTTAAGAGTCATGTCAGACAAGCATGACAAACATGCACTCTTCCAGACCCAGACATTTTTGCATTTGATAAGCTTTATTTACTGGATTTCAGAAACGAACAGAAGTCGTCCTGGATGAGCGTTCCCGTCTTGGGAGACACTCCGGGGAGGAGATATGGTACTATATTGCGGTATAATGCTGAACACATAAAAGTACTACACACGAAGTTCTTGCTACAACTGTTTATTCGCATCATGCATGACAAGCGTTCATTCTGCATTGCACAAGACAGCATGACAAAGGAGAACTACACTTACAAACTAAGGTCACACCATGGTTTTCAACAAGCCCCTGTTGATTGTATCCTGTGCAAAAGTATCGTACTCGTAGTAATGACGCATTACAAATTTTGTTCTCAAGGTAAATTCGCATTACAAATTTCATTTCTCATGCTGAATGCATTTATACGAGCACGATACTTTTGCAGTTCATAGATTGTGTGTGGCGGCAACAACGGTCAACAAGCGGAAACTATCGACGTTGCAAAAGTTGTACTATCGTACTAGTACTACTAGTTGCATGCGGGGATCCAGTTCCACTTTGTCGTCCTCGCAAGTATAGGAACAACTTCTGACCGCGAGGAAAAACAATAAAACTGCGATTTGTCATGTAGACTCAGGTCGACAATTGGATCTGTCATGCAGGAAGATCGCAACTAGTAGTAGTACGCGTAAGATTTTTGTGCAGGATAGAAAACGACATTTGGATTCTCGACGTGGAGCACGCCCCGTTTCAGTGGAGTCTTGTGCAAATGTATCCAAGAAAAAAACTGTGTAAGTGTAACTTTTTTGCAGGAACAGCATTACAGATTTGTTTTGCACGACAGAAAACTTGTCATGCGTAGCTAGTACGCTAAAACACGTACTAAAATAGCCTCTGACGCATATCCGGCATGACAAGTGTAACTGTATTGCAACATCTGCAAGACAAAGTTACACTTACGCAGTTTTTTTCTTGTGATGAAATGAAGGAGAATTCGAAAGCCCCGGTAGCCCGCGTGTACCATTCCGCGGAGGTGTGCCGCGAGTATCAAAAGGAAAAATCCTCCCTCCCCATATCGAAATGGAAATCTGTGATGCAGGATTTGGCTACACAAATCGGATCTGTCTTGCAGTAAGGCATCGCAGCCAGATCCTCGGCCTAGGTAGGGGCGTATAGGTCTAGTTGCTTAGCATTGCAAACGGGTGTCCCCTAGCCGCAACAGCATGCCAAATCGCTTCCATAATGGTGCGGAAGCCTCTGCGCTTGTCTTCTTGCAAGACAGGAGACGCGATTTGTGACCTCAAATCAGCAACACAAATTTTCGGAAACACACCTTGTCGATATGGGGAGGGGGGATTTTTCCTCAGAATAGCGAGGGCCCGGCCGCCGGCATGATGGTGATTTTTGGCGGCAGAACGGCGGAAAACCGGTCGCTAAAGGACATCTGGTATGCTCTGCAAAATTTTATTCGTGCTGGTACATGTACGAATTGCATTACACATTTTTTTTAGCATGATGAAAAATCAAGTTTGTCATGCTGATTCCCATTCTGCGGAAGATTTGTCATCCATATCTGCAATTTTAGTAGGAATACGATAAGTAGACTTTTGCAGTGCATACCTGGGGGCTGCGACAGCATCGGGACGGCAGGTGGGACTGGGTCGAGGCTCCGACAAAAAAGGGAGGTATATATTTCAAGTAGAATCATCTCACACTTCTTAATACAACTCGTTGGGACAGCGACAGAACAGGTTTTTTATTTTTTCTTCTTGCCTGTGCTTTGATAGTAATTCCTCCACCAAGCCCCGTTTGCGTTGCTACGCGGAATGACAAGATGTGTACAGACAGCAGATCATGATCCTGTTTGTCGTCTTCACGAAAAAACAAAAATTATGCAGTCGTCCCCGAGGCGCGATTTCAGCACTCGTGCATTTTCTACAACTCGTATGCGAGCGCACAAGCACAACTCCTCCTTCCCCTTATTTGTGTTGCATGAGCAGCAATAGAAACACCAGCGCACATGGAGCCTGGTGCCCATGACAAGTCCATGCGCGTAGCGTCGTATTGTTTAGGTTTTCAGAATCTGTCATGAAAATAACGGTACCACAAGGCAGAACTTGGATATGGCATTTCGCATCACAAATGAGAGGGAGGGGGAGTTGTGCACTGTCATAACTCGCGACTGCTCATCGTCGGTGGCAGAGGGAACGACGTCAACAAGGCGCTGCCAACTGCGGTGTACGACACGGAAACGTGTAACTGGGAAAACATCGCGTCCATCAATCGGTTTCGACATTTCTGCTACTTGCTGCAGAACCAGCTGTATAGCTACGGCGGGTTTGACCACAAATCGCCCTCCGCGCCGACAAACGATCTGCAAGTGGTGGACCTGGATCAGGCCTTTGCGGAGCTGGGTACTTACAAATTGTACGGGTTTTCTGCAGCCTCACTTCGAAATTCACTTTGAAGATTCGAGTCTGCTGTTGACATCTTTCTTGCATAAAGGCATCCATGGCATTATCATGGACAAGTGCTGACGCGCATCATGCATGGCGCTCCTGATCATCCCCTTTACCTGTTTGAGGAAGAAGCCAAATTCAAATTGTGATCTTCTGTGTACGTACTTTTTAAAACCTCTAGGCGTCCCCGCCCCCGGTGGTTCCGCCCCAGCTGCGGCGCAGCCCCAGCACCTGGATTCCCTGGCAAACAACCACCCGAGTGCAGCGCTAAATCCGCTGCGGTCCTCGTACGGCATGGTGCAACAGCCGCTCGACGACGCGAACGCGCGGGGCAGCGACATCCGCATTTCCAACCAAGTATGCACTACAAATTTCCTGTACATGTACAAAATGCATGACAAAAAAAAATTTCGCTAACTTGCAGCGTGTGTCCAAGTTGTCATGCTGGACTACGATTGAAGGCAAGTTTTGTCATGCAGCGGCTGCATTTGTTTTTGTACGTGTACGGGAACTTTACTGTGGATACCAAGTGTTTATCTCGCACGAGCGGGACTTCACGCACTTGGTGTATGGATTGCAAAGGTATCGTACTAGTATAAATTGCATTACAAATTTCCTCAGCATGAGAAAGAAAATTTGTAATGCGGATCTACCTTAACAAAAAGATTTGTAATGCATGACTGCGATCCGAGTACGATGCTTTTGCACAGGATATTGTGCGACAGGTCGCGATTTCGGAGTTGGAGGACGAAAGTCGAAAGATGACTGGCCAGGTATGGAAAGGAAGAGCTCCCCCCGGAGATGAATTTGTGTTGCTGATTTGTGTTCACAAAAAATCACATTTGTCTTGCAAGAAGACAAGGGCAGAAGCTTTCGCCCCATTATGGAAGCGATTTGGCATGCTGTTGGGCCTAGAGGGCAGCCGTTTGCAATGCTGAGCAACTAGACCCAGACGCCTCTTCTACCTAGGCTGGGGACGATCTGGCCGCAGTGCCTTGCTGCAATGCAAAGCGTATTTGTGTAGGTGTACTTACACAAATTCCGCTTTGATGTATGATGTGGGGACGTGGGATTTTTCCTTTCGATACCAGGGCAAGATGGCAAACGTCCACGTAGACCTCGGAGGCGGTGACAAGGCGGCGCTCGTGGATCATGTACCTCTATAATCTGGCTGTTGCTTGCTTTGGTTACGCATCTCGTCTACCACATGAGAATTGATATAAATATGTAACGGGATTTATGAACACTTTTATTCTTTTTGATGGTGTAAGAAATAGCCTCGTAATTATTTGTTTCCAGGTCCTGAACCTGCTGCTCCAACCCGCCACGTGGCAGCCCCCACCCGGTGACGATCAACCGTTTGTCTTGTCCATACAAGAGTGCTACCGCCTTTGCCAGGAAGCTCTGGAGATCTTCAAGCGCGTATTTACAATGAAAAATGCCCCCACCCCGAAATTTGCAGAAGTTTGTCATGCAAAGTTTCCAAATGAAAGCTTTTTGTCTTGCATAAAAGGATTGCCAGCAACTCTGATGCAGAATCTAGTTTCGCAAGGTGCATTGTGCATCATAACCGATCTGGCTGCTGTTGACCTACTTCGCAACACAAATTTGCCCTATTCAGCATGGAAAATTTGTGATGCTGAGATATGCAAGACGCGGAATGTTTCTGTTGGAAAGGTTTGCAATACAAATTCTGCCAAGCTGGGGGTGGGGGGCATTTTTCATTGTAATAGCGCGAGCCGATGCTGCTGCAGTGCCGCGCCCCGATCAAGGTGTACGGCGACATATCGCACGAAAAAAGTGGCGAGTTCACTGTGGTGAAGATGATTCTGAGGAAGGATCTGCATGACACATGACGGCGATGTAGTGTAAGTGTTTCGCATGACGGCGAAGTAGAATGAAAATGTAGATCTGGTGCCATGACGCGGCGTCACGCGCGGTTCTTCGTACTATATCGAAGAACACACGGCTGAAAACAAGAGTCCGATGCCTTACCACGATTCTGAAACAGGACAAAGTCATCTTAAGTCCTCGCATGATCAAAAGTATTCACCGTGAAGAAGCTACAGTTTTTTTCCTGTGATGGGACATTCACGGGCAGTTTTTGGACTTGATGCGGCTTTTTGCCCGCTACAACTGTCCGCACGACGACTCCACAGCTGGGGGAGACCTAGATGCGATGGACTACCTGTTTCTCGGCGACTACGTCGACCGGGGGTCGTTCTCACTCGAAGTGATCTGCCTGCTCTTCGCGCTGAAAATCAAGCACCCCTACCAGATACACATGATACGAGGCAACCACGAAGACCCAACCATCAATGGGATCTATGGCTTTAGGGAAGAGTGCAGAAGGAGGCTGAGGGACGGTATAGTAGTACTCTTATGTTTGTACGATTTCCATTTCTATTGCGAAGCCGAAGTTGTAGTAGCCTTTGTTTGGTATTTAGTTTCTAGTACAGAGTCAACCATAATTAATGATAAATTGTTGTCCACTCGAAAAAATCAATACTAAAATTTAGATGTCGACTCGCCGAATTCCGTTTGGGCCATGTTTAACACCGTGTTTGAGTTCCTCCCCGCTGGGGCGGTGATCGAAAACAAGATCCTCTGCATTCACGGCGGCATCGGTGGTGCCATCATATGCATTCCAAATATGTCTGGGTCTGGAGGAGCGCAAGCTTGTCATGCTGCCTTCGGATGCTAAAAAGAATCTCCATTGCATGAACCGCAAGAGCAGTCCAGTTTTTGCTCCTGCGCGGAGACGCGGCATTATTTCTCATGCAGGATACGCATTGAGAAGGTTGCACACAGAGAATCTCTATATGCTAGGGCATGCATCACAGACATCGCGGACTATTCAAAAGATGCATGACAAACCTTCCATTCTTCCAGACCCAGACCTATCTACATTTGATACATCAACTCTCCCGACGACATCCGCAGTATGCCGCGGCCGCTGAAAGTCGCGCAGATATGAGAGTGCACAACTCGACGTCCCCTTCCCCCTCATTTGTGTTGCATGATCAGCAACGCAAGCGCTGGCAAAGATGCAGCTTTTCCATGACAAATTCCTAGGGGATTGCAGTACTGTTTTGGCTACTTTCGGAATCTGTCATGCAAAAAGTGCTAACAGGCAAAAGGCAGACTTGGAAATTTGCATGACAAATGAGTGGGAGGGGGAGTTGTGCACTCTGATAGCGGATCCCGTCCAACCACGAAGAGCAGAAGGTGACAGACCTCCTCTGGTCCGATCCCAGTGACAGCGACACCCTGCGCGGGGTCACCACGAACGAGACTCGCGACCCAGACGGCACAGGCAGAATAGTGAAGTTCGGGCCCGACCGGGTGTTGCAGTTTCTCGAGAAGAACCCCCCACTCTCGATGATCATCCGCGCGCACGAGTGTGTGATGGACGGGTTTGATATCAGAGTACACAACTCCACCTGCTCCCCCTCATTTGTTTATTGGCTAGAGCAATACAAACACCACCCCACGTGGAGTCTATACATGACAAATTTTTGTGCCTAGTGTAGTACTGTTTGAGTTGTCATGCATAATAGTGACACGACAAGAAGGGAGCAACTTCAACTGGAATTGTGGATTTTGCATGAGAAATGAGAACGAGGGGGAGTTGTGCACTGTCATATTTGAGCGGTTTGCGTCCGGGAAATTGATCACTCTCTTCTCCGCCACGGACTACTGCGGGCACCACAAAAACGCCGGCGCTTTGCTGTTCGTGCGACGCGACCTGACGATTGTCCCGAAGTTGATCTATCCGGCGGATTATGCACTGCAAAAGTATCGTACTCGTATAAATGCATCACAAATTTCCTCAGCATGAGAAGTAAAATTTGTAATGCGGATTTAGCACAAGAACAAGATTTGTAATGCATGATTGCAATACGAGTGCGATACTTTTGCACAGGATACGGATGAAAAGAAATCGTCGCAGTGGGATCAGCGGATTACCACCGCGCGGCCACCAACACCACCCCGCCCAGTACCGCGAGCGCGCAGGAACGAAAGTGGAACGGGAGGGGACTGGTGATGGAGCATTTTTTACCGGGTCGTTCTTCAGCATGGATCACAGAAGATGCAGAGGCGGGCTGTGCTGTGGCCTGTTCAAGAATTTGATTATTGAAATAAATTGACTTTGTCTACTTTGATAGCAGGAACGAAATTTTGATAGAGTATTTCTTATGCCAAAAGAACTACAAGCGGGATTTCAATTAAACTACAGGGGAACAAAGTTGTACTTCGGGGGGGAAAAAAGTACAAATATCCCGATGATTTTTAACAAGTTCAAGTAAAGCAGAAATTAGTTGTAGTATGTTGCGTCCTTTCACTTTCTCTTTCACGGAAGAACAAAAGCGAATTTCTTTTCAAAACAAGGATCAAACTCTGAAAAAGGTGATTCACGCCTGATTTGGTGCACTGGCTCAAACAGTCACGAAACTTCTAGAATGAAGCACGGATATTATATTGCAGTTTTCACAAAATGGCGACTACAGAAATCAAGGGTATGATAGTTGGGGGCAGTTGTAGAGTTGCTACGATAGTACAGGGGAACAATGACTATAAGTATCAGCGCGGGAGCTACTAGCATGAACAAGATTACGGATTATGGCACCGTCGACCATATCTGAAGAGACCCATGTTGCAGCGACTACAGGAATTGCTTATGGGCACCACTCGGGCGGCCTGATTATCCATCCGAATCTAGTTTTTACTTTTTCACTTCAACTATAATCAGCGACATTGATCGACAGGACTATAGCGGGGACGACCCAGAATCAAACGAGGACTTCTTGCAAGAAGGGCGTGTGTCATTTCGTTCTAGTTCTTTCTCATGGCCAGGGCCCGGCAATCGCATAAACTCTATCGAAGCTAATGCGCAAGAGATAATGCTCGTCTACTCTCGGATAATGGTTGTACTACCGTTTTACTTAGAACTTTTACGCACGCACGCATCGATCTTGATACAAGGCATAATTTTCCGCGACTACATTGAATTGTTTTAATACGACAAGAAAACCACGAATAAACAAGCTGCAAGCGGTGGAAATTTGGAGAGGCGGCGGTATGTCCATTAGACCTGTGTAGGAAAAGTGCGACGATGCTGGAAATATAGATAAACAGGTATTCTTTATCTTACTAACTTGTTTACAACTTAATACCGGCTGGTGTGAGTTGATATTGTTTACAGCAGAGTCATTTGTAGCTAATAAAATGAATTATAAATCGGTTTTTTGTCAAGCAGCTAGGGGAAGAAGAAGATTTTATACCTTTGTGGGCAAGGAAAAATTTTTCTGCAACAGACTCACGACCCTTCTCAGCGAAGGCGGTTTGTGTCTCGTGTCGAAAATACTCTTTGTCCTCACTGGTAAAATGAAAATCCGAAGATGATATCTTCTCCTATAAAGAAAACTCACTTCTTTGAGGTGTCTATCGCAATGCTTTATGGCTTCTTACCCTTTTTGATCAAAGGACAAGAAGGAGAAATACTTTGTAGTTCGAGAAAAATTTTATTCATAGATACCCTCATTCAACATAAATATGAAACTACAAAAACGGAAGGACGATGCATCACGTTTTTCATCTTCACACATGATTTGTACTAGCTGCGCCCACGACGACTCGGCGTCCTCCAACCCATTACTTTTTTTATCGGACCCGACATAGGTGGCGAAGAGCTTGCGGTAGTACTTAGCACGAAAGTGTGTTGGATTACACCGTGAAAAAATAATTTACGAGCTGCATAATGCACCGCTGTTGACGTTGTACAAGTCGAAGCTTTAGTGTCGAAAATGTTTTGTACACAAATATCCACTGAATAAACGTCAGCCACACAAACGTGACATCAGAGCGTGTGTGTGTGATCACGATGTGACTCTCAAGCACCAATCGAGATGAAATATGAAGCCTATGCCTACGACCGCCCTTACAGATTACCTTCGCCGTGATGCTTGCCCAAGCTGATTCATTTCCTTTCTAGCACTAGGTGGGTATGAAGATTTAAGCAGTGTCACTCTCATCTTAGAGGACACACTACACAAGCTGGCACAATGGAGATGGACCTCTGTTCCTCTATGACTACTGAATTCGGAGGGTCATGCGCCGTTGGATACAAGCGCGATTATAGAAATCATCGAAGCAGTAGCAGCACACTTTGTTCAGCGTGAGTGGACCGAACGACGCAACTCCAGGCACTACAACTGTAAGTGTAAGTGTGTTGTAGCTGCAGCACGGCCTGTACTACTGGCCGCCGCATTATATGCTGATGAATTTGACTGAAGATGACAGGTAGAGGTAAAAGAGGAGGGCAAGCGCAGGATATGACACGGTTTTTATTTCTCTCACTTTGGCGCCCCCGCGCCAGGGCCGGAGGCATCAAATTGGTCTTTACACAGCAGTCTTGGAACTAATTGTACCGTCGACTCACTTTCACTTTATTTGGATGATACGTAGGGAATATCTACTACACGTAAAGATGGTGCAGCTAAAATATAAACAACATTCGAAAATTTAGTCAGTGACTGTATTATTCGTTTATGAAGAGAAGTATGGAAGAGGCCTGTTCGAGACATCCTCTGTAGAGTGAAGATCAGTATGAAAGGAATGAATTTTTGTGACCTTTGAGGACGACAAATCTCTTGACAAAAGTTGACGTTTTTATAAAAAGCATCAGGTTGCAGTTGGTGTTGATCTAGTTGTCAGCTGCGTGTGCAAGAATAAACAAGACGCCCCCCTCGCTTTATTCTCGGTCTGCTCGCGCGACCACGGGGGCTGTAATTTTGATTTCCTTGGACCTCCGGGCCGGCGCAAGTTCCTTGTGGTCTTGTTCTTCATCGACCATTTTGTGCTCGTTTGTTACGGTAGAAGCTTGTTGCATCTGCAGTGCGTTGTTTGAGCGAGTAGAAGTACTTGACAATTTCGTTTCCTCGTCGTGAGCGAACTGTATAGGCTTGGAGGTGGGACGAGGAGCAGCGACATAAATGTTTAATGTTGAGAGGAAAAGTTGAAAAAATCGACTATTGAACATGGAGATGAATGTCAATCAAGGCTGCATCAACAACAAAAACCTTGCTCTGATGAACACCGCTCCGAACAATATTAAAGTCAAGTCGCGGCCTGCTAGAGGACCTAGAACAAGTACAATTTCATTCCAGACACATCCAAACAAAAACTCGCCCCTTGCGCTATTGAATGGTTTTTTTCGAGTTTGCGCCGGTTCGCGCTCGGCCGCCGGACCATGTTGGAGAAACTACTACACGACGGTGCATTTATTTCACATCAAAACGCAAAACAAACCACCAACTTTCCACATCGACGAACTTGTCTTGCTTTTGAACGTGCAGCGCGACCACAAGATTCGCCTTCCACCTCGTCCCGTAGTAACACTTGTTCATCAAGATCAAGAACCTCATTTTCTTCCACCACGCTGCTGACAGCACTTGGTGAACCCTGCTCACTTCGCCGTCGTCCGGAAGAAGTATTGCCAGCGAGCGAGTTCATCTTGTCCGGAGGTGGAGGACAAAAATCGACCGCATCGGCTCTTGCTCAGCATCTACTTCAAAGGTACAATAAACCAGGAGCATCTACTAGTTCTAGTACAACTCCTGCCAGCTGCACGACCTCTAGCACCACGACGACGACGACCGCACGTACTAGTTCGTCTCTCCGCGAGGGCCCGACTGAAGACGGAGCGCTCGTTCAACCTCAGCCCGTCTTCAAAAATAAATCTTTCGGGTGCTTGTTCAGGCCAAAAAGTTCTTCCTCGTCCAGTTCATCGAGCAGTCGTATTCCTCCGCCCAGAAACGACGAGGACTCCGAACAAGTAGACCAGAGGCCGTCGTGTGAATCCGAAGACAACGGTGCCGGACGACGAGAACAAGGACCACATCTTCGAAGACCACCTGTGGAGAAACAAGTGACTGCAGCGATTGCTGGACGTCGGGAGCACGACGAACCAAGAAACGTACAACACGCACCACCAGGTAGAGCACTACATCCACAATATCCACCTCCTTTAATACATCAAGAAGTTTTTGTAGAGCAGCATCGTCATGTCGAAAACTCGTTCCGTGGTGATTTCGGGCGAGCGGGGGCAGCGGCCCGCCCCCCGGTTCGGCCACACGGCGACCCTTGTTGGGGACACCAGGGTGGTGGTGTTTGGTGGCTGTTTGGGCGACATGAAAGAATACACGATCACGGCAGACGCGTACTCTTTGGACGTTACGAAAAAAGAGTGGAGCAAAGTCATACCGGACCCAGAGGGTAAGACGTAGTACCTACTGTGGATAAAGATTTTTTATGTGCTGTCTTGTAGAGACTAGAGAGGAGAATCATGATTTGGAACGAAACAGATACACCTTGGGGCACGTCGCTCGTAAAATTCGTGCAGTGAGAATGGAAAGCGAAAGCACACGATGAAACATAATCAACACGACAGGCGGCCCTGCTCCGTCCGCGCGAGCGGCACACTCTGCCGCCTGCGTCGAGTTAGCGCAGTTGGTCGTTTACGGCGGCGCGACCGGTGGAGGAAGTTTGGTTTCAGACGAGCTGCACGTGCTCGACTTTAGGAATGAAGGGAAGTCGATGTGGCTCACCGTGCCGGTAAAGGGGCAGACGCCGGGGAGGAGATACGGTAGTAGAATTTTTCACGTGTTTGTTTTACAAAATGTCGCGGTTCTTACGGTTCGTCATCCTGAACACCACCAAGAGATGGAGATACCCAGCATGAGAAATAACGCACATAAAAATCTTCATCCCGCCCCTGGTAAGTAAGAAGTACTTACCTAAGCTGCATGACTAGAAAAAAAATCCACCTTCTATCAGGTCATACGATGGTTTTCAACAAGCCGCTCCTGATCGTTTGCGGCGGCTCGGTCAACAACAAATTAGATTCCGACATTTGGATCCTGGATATGCTAGAAAAAGCTACCACTGCACCTTGCTCTTGCATACTAATACGATTGCCATGTTTACAACAATTTGTAATGCCGGATGGAATATGGCAAAACTGCGTTCTTCTTGGAGATAAAAAACGACCACGCTGTTGTTCAAAAAGCTGCATACCATGGGTGTAGAAGTTTTCTCCCTGTCTATACTGCACGTCGAGAACTCTCCGTTTATGTGGTCCGAAGTGAACCCAACGTGCAAGGGCAGTCCCCCGCTGTTATTGCAACGAAAAATCACCCTTCCCCATATTGAAAAGGCACCCTTCGGAAAATTTGTGATGCAGATTTGTGGTCACAAATCATTTTGGTCTTGCAAGAAGGCAAGCGCTGGGAGATGAGCCGCATTATGGGCGCGATGTGTCATGCTGGTTGGCCTACAGGGCACGCGTTTCCCATGCTATACAGCTAGACCCGTGCGCTCCTAAACAGCTTAAGTATCTGGCCACAATTCTTTGCAGCAAGACAGACCAAATTTGTGTACGCAAATCCAGCATCAGGAATTTCGTTTTGATATGGGGAGGGGGGATTTTTCCTTTTGATAGCTGTCACGCGTCTACCACACCGCGGAAGTGTGCCGTGAGGGACCTGCTTCCGGGATGATGATCGTTTTTGGCGGGCGAATATGAGACGCAAAAATGTCTGGCTCTGGAAGGATGCAAGGTTTGTCATGCACATTTTGCATGAGTCCTGATGTCTGTGATGCATGCCCTAGCATCACAGATTTTGTGAGGGCTTTCTGATGCCTATACCGCATGAGAAATGCCCTCTCGCAATGGAAAAAAAAGAACCTCTTTTGCTGTTCCTGCAATACTGATTTTTATAGAATCCAGCTGCAGCATCACAAGTTCGCATCCTTCCAGACCCAGACATATTTGCAATTCATAGCGAACGGGCGAGGGAAGAACGCAGCGCTCGCTGAAGGACATTTGGGGCTTGAGGCAACACCGGGATCGGAGTTGGGACTGGGTTGAACCAAAGAAGGGAGGTGGTTTCCTTTTTTACATGATGAATCTGAATTGATCTGCGATAGAATAATTTTTTGGTGTAGTTCTGGTAGCATGGTGGAGGATGCTAGAGACTGGCAAACAAAAATTGGTATTTATTGCATCTTTGCAGCCTTCACGCACAATTCTGTGGTAACTACACGCACAATTGCAATTTGTGAGGCGAAGCAGGATTGGTTTCTGTGTAACGAAAATGTGGTTTCAGAGCTGTGTGAGAATGTGGAGTACTTAACGAGGTGTAGCAGCAGCATGTCGTGCTACAGAACATAAATTGTTTCGATATCCAGATCTTTAGATAATATCGTTTTTCCAACAACAATCATATCAACAACAGCCTCCCCCGAAGCCCGTTTCCAGCACATTGGAATATGCTTCAAGAAGTTTATGCTGATCATCGGCGGTCGGGGCGCAGATGTGAACAAGGCCCTTCCCACCTGCATCTACGACACGGCCCAATGCGAGTGGAAGACCCTGAGTGGCGCAAACGATCGGTTCCGGACGAGTGCTTGGGTGTACGACCGGCAAATCTACTCTTTCGGCGGGTTCGATCACAAGGACCCAAGTCTGCTTATGGGACGATTCTCAAACGTTACACTCTCAACTGTTGCACGAATTTGCAATGCAAGAATGGCAAAAGTGCGTCGAGGGGAACGATTTCTAATGCTACCTACCGCGTCGACAGCTTGTCATGCGAGGCAGCCTGATCATGTAGATAAGTACTTACTGGTGGGAATTCTGCATGACAAGCTCATGCAACGCTTGAGAGTGTAACGCTTGCGAACTCCATACTGCCCACCCAGGAGCTGATGGCGCTGGATTTGGACAAAGCTTTCAAGGAGGTCGGGTATCAAATGTAAAAATGTCTGGGTCTGGAAACTTGTGATGCTAAAAGTGAATGGCAGACGGACTGCAATACGCAGCTATGCATGACAAATTTTTTGGCTCCCATGTCTTACGTATTCCGCATGACAAACTGCGTTTTTGCATGACAGGTAAGAGGGCCTTTTCGTGCCTATGCAACACAGATTCTCGAGTCATGCCAGACACCCATGACAAACTTGCATTCTTGCAGACCCAGACATTTTTACAGTTGATATCGGGTGGGAAAAATTAATCAAGGATCCGGATAGCAACAAGGAAGACCGGCCCGGTCCAAGCCCCAAACCCGCGCCAGACAATAAAAGCAAACCCGGGCCGAAGCAAGGCGTTGTCATCGCGAACCAGGTAATATCATGATGACTGGACAACTTCTTGCTGGAATGACCTCCTACAGGGTTGTTCATGATGTCGTTTGAGTGTGATCGAAGTAAACCTGCTCCCAAGTAGAAAACCATACTTAGAAGTTCATGTCGTATCCTCCACCACTTAGAAGTTACTCATACATGTCGTGTCCTCCACCAGTAGTTCTAGTTCGTGATATAGGAAGCTTCGTGCGTAAAAAGCCGATGCACTTGTTGGCATACGAGACAGCTGTCGGGCACCTCCCGCTTCGCAGACACTCTCATGCGCAAACAATAGCGATCGCACTTACGTTTTCTGGGCTTTTAATGAAATAAATCAAACCCTCGTCCTTGATTATCAGGTACTGGTTGCCTCTGATCGCGATTTCACGTCCATGGTAAAGCGTGTCGCGATTGATGCATTAGAGGAAGAAGCTATCCAAACGAAAAACGCTAGTACTATCACCACCGACTGTAGAAGCCAATTTTTTATCTGGCTGCTTGAATGAAGATGAAATTCCAATCTGTGCATGGGTGCAGAGGGAGTAGAAGAAGAACCTTTTCGAATTGTTTTATGCGTCTCCTCCTCAATTTAATCCTGTCTGTGATCCGAAGTGATAGCATGAAGAGTGATAGCATGATTTTTTTGTTTTCATAGAAGCACGGAAGCTGCACAACAACAGCAGGCGCGGGATGATAGACACCGGGAAGAGTAGCACGCCCCTCGCTGATATGCAATTTACAAATTTTGTTCTATACACAATGAAGTACTACATGCATGCATCACAAATTTTGCTCCCAAGAACAATTTCTTGTTGAAGTATGCCGCTTGCGATTCGGAAGCTGAACAGGATTGTGCGATGCAAGTTGTGTCATGCAGAGACCGTAGTTTTTGTTTTTCTTTTTCATCATCTATGTGTGCGGAACAGCCATCCTCCTGTATAACTGACTCCATATTGGACCGACTTCTGCAATATGAAATGCAAAAATGTCTGGGTCTAGAAGAGTGCGCGACTTGCCATGCAGCTTTTCCATGACCCATGAGGTCTGGAATGCAGGACCTAGCATGACAGATTCTGCGCGATCTCTCTCATGCCTATCCTGCATGAGAAACTCCCTCCCGACTTGGTCAAAACTGGACGACTTTTGGTAGTCATGCAACACAGATTTTTGCATGCTTCAGATTTAGCATGACAAGTTGCATTCTTCCAGACCCAGACATTTTTACATTTGATATGCAACCTATGACGTGGCAGCCTCCAGCCGGGGACAACTTTGCCATCGCGCCGGGGGAGTGTATATGCACTGCAAAAGTATCGTATTCGTACCAATTACAGTTTTGCATCACAAATTTTTTTTCCAAGCTACATCAGCATGACGAATTCCATTTCTCATGCTGAGCCAATTTGTATTGCAATAGCAATACTACGAGTACGATACTTTTGCAGTGCATAGTGTCTGCAGTTATGCGACGAAGTTTTTAAGGTGTTTAAATCGGAGTCCATGCTGTTAGAACTACGAACGTATCCTGTGCAAAAGTAATATGATCATAGTGGTAAGTACAAAAACAAATTGCAATCCTGCAAATGTAAAATTCTAAAGAATATCAAATGTTTGAGGTTCGATCGATGAGGTTCGATAGAGTTGTAGGAGGATGATGAAACTTCGTCGATTCATGTTGGCGTATCGTGGTTACCTGCGTTAGCGCCTGTGGTTCGATTGGCTAAGGACAACAAAAACTGAACACAACAGATATTAACATCCAGGGGCAAATGAAGGGATGTGGTATAGCAGTTTCTCGACGCATTGATAAAATACCTCCCCGGATGCCCCTGGATGACTCAATTCATTTCTCAATCAAAAAATAGCACCCTGCTTCGATTTTTTCCCCCCGTATACGATAGCAGTCACTTTTCTGTATTTTCTTTCTAAGAGCAGTAGTTTCGTATATCCCTCTGTAAGTACTTCATAGTGAGTGCTATATCGGCGGAAGGTTGGGGATTCCGGCTCTGCCGTTGGCATGTTTTTGAATTCATAAGATTTTTCCTCTTCTTTGCAATTGGTAGCGAGGGGCTTCAAGGGGGTGGAAAGTGACGGACGAACCTTGAGAATTTCAATGTCAAGGGTGAAGAGAAGAAACATCTTATGCCCCTTCTCTTCGGAAGATATAGATGTCGCACTTTGATAAGAAAGCAGAGGATGACCCCTAGTTCCGATAATTCCGCTACCATGGACATTATTTGTTGAAAAGCAGTCACGTGTCTTCAATTTGCAGGTGCCTTGCGCGCGACCTCTAGAGATAATTTCCGTCTCCTCTAATCAGATTTTGTCTCTGAAGAGGGCAGAAAGAAGACTAGCTACGCTGACGAGAGATCCTAACTCGTCATGATTGCTCTTTCCAAAAATGTCCGCCACTGTCGTTCCTTGCTGATGATCATGCCTTCCAATCCCCTTTTTTTATTCAACGAAAAGCTTTGTTTTGGGCTAGTCAGCTTGGGCGACAGGGCACAAGGAGACAGGTACAGTGACACAGCCGCCAAGACATAGCAGAGGCTAATGGAGTCGAAGACAAAATCAGTCTCTTGGGTGCCCGCTTTCTTCGCGTAGCAAGATCGTGCGCACCCTGGCTGTGTCTTCCCAAGCGTGACGGGGTGGAGCGATTACGTACCTACGAGGATGAGGAGCCTCGGCTTGCTAAAACATCATTGCGGATGGCCCCGCATTGATGTCGGACAAGTCCCGAAGACGCATGCTGATCACATTGAACCGCGGTGGAGGAGGAGATGAGCAGAGACCTATCTTAATCCTCCTTGAACACTAGGATCTGCACTACTTCTCTTTGCTTATGGTTTATAGTTGATCTCATACAAAAAAAAATTGCAATCCTGCATGAAGTAGACAGATCTTCTCTGTTGCGTGATTCTATAATTTACATTTTGACAACATGCTATTCCATGTTTTCTTCGTAGTTGAAAAAGATCTGCGACGCAATTTATTACCACCAGTATGTTGATATTACTTTTCGCATGGATAGAACGCCGATAAAAATCTACGGCGACGTGCACGGTCAATTTGGAGACCTGATGCGCCTGTTCGCAAGGTACCAAAGTGTTAATATCTTCCACGTAGTTTAACTTTGATATTTTGTCGTACTTGTGGCGCATGCATGGCAGAGGACATCATTTCTAATATTGCACGAAACGCATAGGAGGTTTATGCCTGGACGAATGATCGCTTTCGCTTGTCAGGTACAAAGGTCCAATGGACGGGGATCTGGGCGACATAGACGCGGTGGATTACCTTTTCCTCGGCGACTTTGTCGACAGAGGAAGCTATTCTCTGGAAGTCGTGGTTCTGCTCTTCGCGTTGAAAGTGAAATACCCGGGGCAGGTACACATGATCCGCGGCAACCACGAGGACCCAACCATCAACGCCATCTATGGTTTTCGAGAAGAGTGCAAGAGAAGATTGCGGGAAGACCCGGACTCGCCTTCGAGCTGCTGGATGAAGTTCAACTCCGTCTTCGAGTTTCTTCCCATGGGCGCACTGATTGAAAAGAGAATATTCTGCATTTATGCTGGGGAGAAGGTGGTTGGCATCAGCTATCGTTGATTTTTTTTTGTCAAAAAATGTTGAGGTGGAACCTCTATCTCATGATATTACAGGATGAGCATAAGCTATCGACTGGGATTTTTTGACATGCATCTTTACATACAAATCAGAATCTAGTAGAAGTTAGTTGCATTAACCGCTGGCTGGAACAGGATGAAGATGCGCTTCGACGCCGACGGCGTCCGATTGGCTGGACCCAGGAGAAGATGAACCGATTGGCTGGACCCAGTCTAGTTTGACTGTGGGGCCGATGTAGGTTTGGCATGGTAACGGCCGTAGGCGGCAGGGCGACGGCTGGACCTGGTCGTGATGAGATGACCAGGGGCCGGGATCGCGGAAACTCTCTTGAAGTTAGGGTTAGGCTAGGCAGCTCTGCTTCCCGGAGCAGGACATCAGGGCCCGTGGGGCAAGGCAAGGACCGTATGCGCGGAAGGTCTCGGAGGCTGGCACACGATTATCAGTTTTCACTTATTTTCCTTCTACTTTTTATCTTCACTAGCCCGGGACGGGGAGGGCGCTGGCATTGGTGTAGGGATAGGCACAGCTATGGTCATGGATGGTGGTGCGACGACTGGACCTGGTCCCGGTGGGGGGACTGGGGGTCGGGTTCGCTCAAATTCTCTGATGGAAAGTCTAGGCGGCTCAACTTCGCGGAGCAGGGCGTCAGGGTTCAGGGACTAGGCATGGCTGCTCACACGGTCACAGGTGCAGGGTCTCCTGTCCGCGGCAAGGGTGCTCTCTGATTGCCTTCGAGGTTACTCTTACTAGGAGTCGGGGATATGAATTTTATGGCGGAGGTCGCGTACTTTATCGCTGGGCTTTCTCGTGCTACATTCTGTGTGAGGCCACTTGGTCCCTGGGGGGTGCTCTTGGGCCTAGACGGTTATGTCCATGGGTTTTAGGGATGTTGCCCGCCTCTGCGCGGCGATTGGCGGTGGTCGAGGGCTCGTAGGTCGGTCCTCCGGTCCCTCTTTGGTTTGCCCGAATTCATCTTGTCAGTTCCCTTCCCTGGGTTCTTCGGGCCGCCTGCGTTGCGGCGTGTGGGGAGGGGCCTTGAGGCATCCTTGCAGGCTGTCTCTACGGTGAGGGACCGAGACGCCCTTGCCCTCTCTCCTCCGATCACGCCATAGGGCGCGTCGGGTTGATGGTTCAGATTGATAGGACGATAGGAACGAAGCGAAATGCGCTAACCGCTGCCTTGAACAGGATGAAGATGCGCTTCGACGTTTTATTTTTTGCAACCAGTATCGATAAATTGACCCTGAACCACTTCTCCATCCTTGCATACCCACCACGGCGGTATCGGCGGAAGTATTCAAACTTTCCGCGATGTTGAAGGGCTCAAGCGACCGCTGCAGGTCGCACAAATACCACAGGTACAGTTTTATTTACAACTGGGATTTTTATAGCAGTTGCTGCGGTAGGGTTAGACATGAAGATGCTATTGATTTTTGTGCATGTGCAATGCGAATTCCCCTGCATAACAAGCGTGTTGTTCCTTCCGAGCTGTCTCTCTTGATTCAAAAAAAACCGCAATCCTCAGACGGAATCCGAGCAGCGAGTGACCGACCTGCTTTGGTCAGACCCGTCGGATTCGGATGCAGTCAAGGGCGTAACCTATCCCACAGAAAAGTGCTAGCACTTCACACTTGTATGCATAGATTGAATGTTAAAGCAATCACATAGCACGCCCATAGCACTCTGCTGCAGGTATGCAGCGCAGATGTTTCATTTGTGTATTTTGTCTGCATAGACAAATTTGATGTGCCAGCTTTTTTCTGTGTGATATTCCCACCAATGAAACCAGGGACCCGGACGGAACGGGGAGAATATTCAAATTCGGGCCCGTATGGATGTGTCGGGATTGAAATCGACAAAGTTGAGATTACTTGTAATGCACAAAATGGATGAAAGTTGTAGCCCAGTTTTCAAGTGGCGCATGACAAATTTGGGTAGAGCCGAAATCCAGTTTGTCATGCTGTTTGGGTAAGGAGGGCGCCTTCTGTCGTGCTACTTTAGCAGCTCAGCTTCTACCCCTCAGCAGGCTTACAATCTGCCTCACTTGCCTACTCTGCAAGAGAGGCACTCTGTGGGCTGCACTTTATGCATGACAAACTATTTTCAACTTTGACGATTTCAATCCTGACAGTCCCATACCCCGACCGGGTGAACGAGTTTTGTCAGAAAAATGCGCCTACGGATTGTAAAAATGTCTGGGTCTGGAAGAATGCATGTTTGTCATGCTTGTCTGGCATGAATCTTAAATATGTCACGCACGTTGCCCAAGAGCCGCATTTTTCTGTCATGCGGAGACGCAATTTGTCATGCAGAATAGGCAACACCTACAAGTTCAGAATTTTTTCATGCTGAGCCAGCACTTGTGGCCTCCTCATGATACGCCACTCAGCGTCACAAGTTTCCAGACCCAGACATTTTTGCATTTCATAGCACCGTGTTCTCTGATAGTGCGGGCGCACGAGTGTGTCATGGACGGATTCGAGCGATTCGCCGGCGGCAAGCTGATCACGTTGTTCAGGTAGAAAATGATTGTATAAATTTTGACTTTATTTCATGCGTGACAACCTTGAGCATGAGCTACACCTACAAATCAAATGCATCTGCATGACAGATCATGCTGAAATTAGTATAAAGGTAAAGGACGCAGACGCACTCGTTGCAACAGTACTGCAGATGAAAAGAAAAGAAACTTTGACGTTTACAACAAAAAAAAACCATCACAGCGCCACGGACTATTGCGGGCATCACAAAAATGCTGGCGCGCTCTTGTTCGTGCGACGTGACTTGACCATTGTGCCAAAATTATGCTGTGCAAAAGCGTCCCCACTCCAGAGGTGTCATGCAAATAACCCCCAGTGTTGAATATTTTACTGCAAGAAGCAAGAAGCCCCACTCCCCCAGTGTTGAATATTTTACTGCAATCCCCACTCCCCCAGTGTCATGCAAGCCTGCAAGAAGCCCAGTGTTGAATATTTTACCTGCGCACCCCGATGAGGACTATTTTATATCGATGCCAGGGCGTTTTTGATGGTGATATCAGGAGTCAGGATAAGATAGTCAATTTGTGATGCGGTTTCAATACCTCAAACACCACTACTACACTACGAGCCCAAAGAACTTCTCATGCGCAACAGCCAAAACTAGTTGATTTGTCGTGTACGTAGCAAGAGTGTCGCCAACATCTTGACTCTGGGGCGGGGGCGTTTTTGCACACGATAGAAATTGATCTACCCCGCCGACGCCAAAAACTCACCTGCTGACAAAAACTGGGATTCTAATGTCACGATGAATCGACCGCCCACGCCGCCAAGAAATGTGCCAAGGGCCCGAAGAACCGAGGGCATGGGCGATTGGTGACGAACAGGCTTCGTCTTGCAGCTTCTCGTGCTGGACAAACAGATTCCTTCCATTTTTCAGGGGACGCTGAAAAGGAAAATAAAACACGATGGCCACATTTTACTCATTTCACACTATATAAAATTCCAAGAACTAGAACAATATAATATCAATATTACACTATCTCGCTAAAAAATCGGAACACACACACCAAAAATCCGTTTTGCAAAGTGACTCGTTTCTTTTTATGATTTTGCAACAACAAAAAGTGAAAAGACGATGCTTGGTTGATGTCCTTGCCATGAGCCTATAAGGGTTTCTGCTTTGGTATGGCCTTCTCAAATGTTACATTCTCAGCTGTTACATGAATTTGTGATGCAAAATTACAAGCAGAGTCGACGCGATCAAGCTGCTTCGCATGGCAAATTCTAGGAAAGCCAAATAGGGTGAGAATCTGTGGCAAATCTGTGATGTGAGACGTGCAAGGTCACCCCTTTCACTTTTGCCCTCCTTGCATCACAAACTCATGTAACAGTTGGGAATGTAAAAGTTGAGAGCGCCATATTTGGTCCTCACCAGCACTCGTTTGTTTCCGTACGAAAAAGAATAGCTTTTGTCAAAGAGAAAAGACCGTGCATTGCGTTTTTGTCAAGATGTATACACCCGTACAGGAACAGGTTCCTATTTTTTTGAAAGAATAGCACCCTGGTGCATGCATTTGTGAATATTAAATCCTGTGGCGTGTTACACACCACAGGAAACTACACTGTAGTTTCCACGGCTGTCTCAGGAAGAGTTGGCGAGACCGTGGCTTCTGGGGAGAAGCTAGTACTTGGAGCGCAACAAGCTACAGTTTTGTTTTTCAAATCTTTCAAAAAGATGTTGTACTATGTAGAAAATTGCACCACGATGATCTTCACGACAGGTAGTGGAAAGAAAAGAAGCTCTCGTGTTGAATGTGTGATGTGTTCCCGTTCCGGAAACGATCGCATATCATTCGTGTGAAGCTGCACGGTAAGGAGTCTCACATTAGCATAACGCTGCTTGTTCTTGTTGGCCCCTGATGAAAAGAAGCAAATCTGAAGATTATGCAAAAAGTACAAAAGCTACACGCAAAAAACCGCATCGACTGATCCTTTTATGCGTTTGTTTCATTGCGCTCCCGCACACAAATCACGCGAGGTGTCATGGCTCGCTTATGCAAAAGGGCTGGTCTCAATCTGTTTCTGTTCTGAAACAACTTCTACGCGTGGGCAAAATCTTGAGGAAGCTGCTTTTGACCAACTAGTAAAAGTGAAACTGGTGTAAAGATCCTGCTCGTAGGTCGCTATTTTTCTTTTCGTTGCTGGCGGCTGTGGTCTTATTCAGTTGATGCTATTTTTCCTTTTGCATTTTCGCCACCACCGGGGCACTTGCATTTTCATACATCGAGGACTTTTCCGTCCTGCAACAGAACTCAATATAGTCGTGGCTTGATTTAAATAGAAGACAGAATCAGAACGACAATGAGTTGCCTCCGTCTCTAGTGCGACAAATCTTTGGCCCCCGGCGTGCGTGAAACAGCGGACCAGCGCGCGACCTGGCCTGTCTGAAAAAGCGGTACATTCATCTCCGCCCTCTGTAATTCGGGAGCAGAGGAAGTCCTCCTGTTTCAAGATTGATTATCGCCGGTTTTTCTCCCTGCCTCCTCTGCAACTGTTGGGTAATCTATCATGAAGACGCTCGGCGCAAACAAAACCACCAGCACTCGTTTGTTTCCGCCAGCAAACAAAAAGCTTTGGTCCTCACCAGCACTCGTTTGTTTCTGTACGAAAAAGAATAGCAATAGCTTTTGTCAAAGAGGAAAAAATCTGCGTTTTTGTCAAAATCTGGCACACCTGTACTACACAACCGTAGTACAGCAGGACCAGGTTCCTATTTTTTTTGAAAGGAAGACGACCTGGCGAGGCTGTCAATTTACTCAAATCCTGTGGCTTGTAGTTTTGACGGTTGGTGCGCAACAAGCTACAGCTTCGTTTTCCAAATCTTTCAAAAAGATGATGTACTATGTGAAAAATGACAACTACAACCACGAAGATCACGACAGGTAGCCGTGGAAAGAAAAGAAACTCTTGTTAAGGTGTGGTGTGTTCCGCAGTGGTCCCTCGAAGTGCTTACCTTTTCGTGCAAAGGTGGACAAAAAGAAGGCTTACACTAAACTCGTGCCGAAGTTTGCGTTTGGGTTTGGCTGGCCAAGGATGCTAAACAGAAGGACGCAAAGTGGACGGCGCAAGTTGTAAGCAAGGAAAAGACCGCAAAAATGTGATGGATCCTTCATACGATTTTTTCAGTCACAAGAATAATCTATAGCGGCTTGATGCAAATGGAGATTTTTCTGTATCTGTTGCTGTTCTGAAGCGGAAGGCTTGAGATGTAGGTTCTGAGCCGATTTTTAGCGAATGTGACACGACGGCGAAGATCCTGCTCGTAGGTCGTCTTTTTGGTGGTGGGCGTAATAATATCCCCTCAATTTTTATTTTTTCATTTTCGCCACAATCACCCGAGCACTTGCATCTACAAACCCGCCCGAAGATCGATTCTTTCGTCCTGAAACAGAACTCGACGATGTTATAGTGGCCTTATTAGGAGACAGAACACCTACAACAATGATGAATTGGAATTGCCAGCTCCGGTAGTTGAATTATATCTAGTGCGACTCTTTGGCTCCTTGCGTGCGCGACCTGGCCTGGCTGGAAAAGCGGTACTTACAACATCTTCATTCTTCGCCCTCAACAACTAGCGAGCAGAGGAAGCCGCCCCTCTGTTTCTACATTATCGCCGGTTTTTCTCGTCCATGCCTCCTCTGCAACTGTTGGGTAATCTATCATGAAGACGCTCGGCGCAAACAAAAGCACTTGTGGCACGAAGAACTAAGGAGCGCCAACAAGTATTGTCCACGTTTGGAGGTCCGCTCCACAATAAACCGGGCTGCGCTGCTGGCAGGTCGTTCTTGGCGAACAATATACATTCATCCACCCAGAGGACGAGTTTTCCCACGATCAGAGCTGAACCCCAAGGGAACAAGCAGAGTGCTTATCGGTTTACCCGGCCGAGGCCCCCGCGCGTCACAGGAGCCAGGAGTTGGCCACCGCAGTTGTTCTCGTGGTTTCATCTCGTGTGCAGGAGACTAGAGGCGACGTCGGAAGAAGTGCAACACGACCGCGGCACAGGGCGGAGGCGAGTACAGCTACAGCTGTGAAAAGAGCACACCACCGGCAAAAGTCTCCTGCGCATTTTCACCGGTCCAGGCAACAAGATGATGGACGACGTAGCGGATCAGGAGCACGCGGTGCGCAATCTGTATGGGACTCTCAAACGTTACACCCTCAACTGTTCGATGAATTTGTCATGCAAAACTGGCACCAGCGTCTACCTCTACTTACATGATCGAGCTGCAGCTTCCCATGACAACCTCTCGGTCTCGACGCGCTAGAGAGCACTATAAGCTGCTCCAAACCTCCTGTAATGCGAAAGGCGCAACCTTCGCCCTTCCACTTGTGCCATTCTTGCATTGCAAATTCATGTAAGAATCATGGAGAGTGTAACGCTTGAGAGCGCCGCCATAATCTGGTGCTCTCCGTCTGCGACCTGAAGCAGAATGGCGAGTGCCCAACGGAGCGGGTGCTGGGCCAGGCCGTGACCGTTGGGACGCGCATGTACTTGCATGGGGGATGGTATGCAAGGAATAAACAGGGGTTGTGAGCAGGAGGTTCTTTTGTTGTGGTTCTGTGACTTAACTTTTTTTGCGGTAGAATTGGAAAAGGAAACGATTTTATTGTTCAGTGCAAAATAAATGCATGCTCGGCAAGCTTTCATCAATTCTGATGGACAACCTCTCGTCGTGCAACTACAAATCAGTGCGCCATATATAAGTGGGCACATCATTCACTACATTCTTTTTGGCTCCTCAACACCGTAAGCACAACAATCACTTTTCCGAGACCCCCTGTACTACCTGTTTCCTCTGGATACCGCCACCTCAAGAAGAGCGTTCGACGAGGTCTCTATGCGAGGAAAATCTCAAGAAGTCATCCAGAGTTGAAGATTATCTCGTGGGTGGAAATTTATGCAGCATTTGGTGCTTCAGGCCCTCGGGCGGTTAGTATCTGTTGAATGTAAAAACTGCAACTGCTACGTCCTTATGCAGAAGTACTTAAAAAGTTATGACGATGTTTCACCTTTATGGCTCAGGGATTTTGCTTCTTGCATACCGTATCTGTTAGAACTGGAGCAGATGAAATGGTCCGAGCTTCCGGCGTCCGGGCAAAAGCCAGGTACAGAATTTGACAGAAACATTTTGAAATTGGATGAGTTCTACATGACGCGAACCACAATGCTTGTTTCCCCGTGCTCTTCAAAAATAATTGAAAGTCTTCACAAGAACTCCAGTCGTGTCACTTGAAAAATAAATGTGCGTTTGAAGAAGAAAAGTAAAACCCATTCCATTGATGAAAAACAGCACCCCGCTACGGGCATTCTCTTTGCCACCACAACAACCATCTGTTCTGCTTTGGTGGTCTTTGCACGAGCGACACAAAGGGCGGACAGGACGATCTTCTCTCCGGTGGAGCAGAAACTGGAGGCAATCAGCGAGACCTGGGTCTCATCGAGCAGGGGCTTCCGAGGGGCGTCGGCGACACGGGGTGCGTGTATACCATGGAAACGCAGACACTACTCTGGACAAAATTTACCGGCGACAGCTCCTACGCTCGCTACTGCCACTCCTGCTCGATTGTCGGCGGAAACGTGGTCATCTTTGGCGGCCTTCCCGCAGAGGCGAGTGCGTCGACGAGCAACGCACTGAATGATGTCCTGGTGTTTAGTCTCGACACAAAGTCCTTCCGCTCCGAGCCCGTGACAACCTCCGGACAGAGCCCCACGCCAAGATACGGGCACAAAAGCATCGGGATCGGGGAGGAGGTAGTATATAGATACTTACGTATGTCTAGTTTTCAGTAGTAGATTTGATGTGCCGTCTTTTGAGCATGTAGGATGGTTCTGTCAATCGCAACCTCCCATGTTGAGAAGTTCCTTTATTTTTATCACAGTGGTACTGAGTGTGAGTTGTTCGTGTGAGGAACTGATGATAGATATTGAAGATGATGAAACAAGAACATCACAGCTCGTCGTGTTTGGCGGGCTGCTAGAAGACAACCAATTATATTCCCTGAATATGGAAACCCTTGCTTGGATATGGAAAGGAATAGACCGCATCGTTTCTTGCGCTATAATATGTAGTCATGGCCGCGTATAGTTTTATCCACTCATCATGTTCATGTAGAAAATGCGTGATCATCATCTCCTGGAGCGGAAAAAAAAGTACAAGAAATACACGCTGTTGTCATCATTGCTGAGAAGAAAAGCTCTTTATATCACCAAGAAGCGACTCGATCTTTTTCTACCTCTTCATAAACAAGCAAACTCGCAACGCAAGGGACCAGCCCACTATTACGGAATGAGAAAAGCGCTAAACCTAAATTGAATAGAAATCTGCGCAGCACGCCACACATGATGTTGTCTTGCTTTTTCAACGCATGAAAAACAACGCTTTTTCAGTGAAAAAAGCTTGAGCTTTACTTGTGTGATGTAGGAACATTTGCGCAGCTTTTTCTTCCGATAGCTGCCCAGAAGATTTCACTCCTTCGATTTGATCGGGAACCGAGCCTTCGTGTTTGTTATGCATAAAAGCGCAACAGGATTGTACCCGGCATTTCTCCACATGCGGTTCTGGGTTCTTCACGAAGCAGTAGCAGAATCATTTTTGCATTTCCACACGAGGAAGTTGTAGTAGCCGGATCCGATTTGGATTTCACAATGTTGAGCCAAGGGCATGAAGAGAAATTCCGTGCTGATGTTGCCTTTCCGCCCTCATACCCCGCGGCAGGACAGTATGGCGTTCTCAACTGTTACATGAATTGGTGATGCTAGAAAGGCAAAAGTGAAAGGAAGGACCTTGCGCGTCTTGCATGACAGATTTGGCGCAGACTCTCAGCCTGTTTGGCCGTCTGAGAATTTGTCATGCGAAGTAGCTTGATGGCGTCGATAGTCAAGGCAATTTTGCATGACAAATCATGTAACAGTTGAGAATGTAACAGTTGAGAGCGCCATAGACAGAATCCGGACTGACAGATCTCTACATTCTCGACTGGCAGGTACTATGTTGTAGCGTTTCGCGTAAAAAGTCTGTATATTTTTTTGCACGTGCAAGATTTTTAAGTACTCTACGTTCAGCATCAAGTGCGAGGAGACCGATGAAGCTCCTTCATCCTAATTGTGTCCACTTGCTACCTCTCTTGCTACCTGATCCTGAATCCGAACAGGAGAAACGATGGAAGCGACCGCTGTATGAGGGTCAAACCAACGTACGAGGGCACGCGGCAGCTACTCTGCATGACAAGCTGCTCGTCTTTGGTGGGGCAAGAGACAATATGACGGTGGACAACTTCTTCTCGTCCCCCGGGTTGAAGTAGATTTTGGAGGTCCCCTGCTATGTCATGCAACAGCGCAATTCCAGCTCGCGGGCGTTCAACCGATCCTTGCATGACAAAGAATAGAACTCCAAAGAGAAGTACAACTGGAGTTTCTGTTTCAGCGTACCTGGAATATAATAAAGATTTGTTATGCTAAGCCGAATTCTCTGCTGTTATTGCTGTAGTTGCGCACGAGGCCTTATGACTCACTTCGAAGGAGAAGGAGGGGTTGTCCACTTTCATAGAACAGAAGGACGCAAGGGAGGTGGTCATCGAGGAGAAAATTAGCAAAAAGTTGTTTTTTATCAAACAAAGAAAGTGCGACGTCATGATGATCACTTGTCACGCGCATTTTTGCAATACAAATCCGTCTGTCATTCGTAGAAATGCATCTTAACGGGTCATACACGACGATTTCCATTGTGTTTGTGCAATACAGGAAGAATAAAAAGTTGCGGTGCTAGAAAAATTTGTGATCATGCAAAGTCTGCAAGAACTTAGTGACTGTGGCGTTTTTTTTTCTTTTCATATGTTTCCTCAACGTTTTGGCCATCAAGGAGACCGGAGTGAACGACGGGGACTTTAAATTTAAACTCGTCACGGTCGGCGACTCCGGCGTCGGCAAATATCCCAACGGAAAAAGCTGTTAGCATATGATGTTTATAAAATAAAAAATGCAAAAACGAACTAAGTACAATTTACGCATTGCATTGACCAAGTAGCCCCGTGCTAGTATAGGCACGCCCATGACAGATTTTTTTGCCTATTATTGTAGGTATGAATTTCAATTTTTGCAATTGCATTTTGAAAAACACGACAAATGCTATGCCAGTTTATTTCTGTGCGATAGCCAATCCTGTCTGCTGACCAGGTTCGTGCAGGACTTTTACGCGGATTTTCACGTCTCGACCATCGGAGTGGACTTCAAGACCGTGGTAACCATGGTGAAGGGGAAGTTGGTGAAACTCCAGCTCTGGGATACCGCAGGGCAGGAGCGGTTTTCGGTTGTGACGGGGAACTACTACAGGAATTCTGACGGGTTCATATTTGTCTACGACGCAACAAACCGGACCTCTTTTGATCACGTAGATCAGTGGATGGAGCAGGTTGAATGCTATGATCGGTTTTAAATATTTTGAATTGGAATTTTATTTCTGTTTGCACATGAATTCACGTCCTTGTTTTTAGTTTTCTGAAGATCGGATACTAGTCAAGAGATAGTTAAGATCAGCAACGACCTTTTTTTCCGGAAACAAACTCCAGGTTCAGCAACACCATGACTGTGGACCGAACACCATGAAGATCTTGGTGGGAAACAAGCACGACCTGAAGGACCAAATCCAAGTGCCCGAGTCGGAGGGCATGCAAAAGGCGTCGAAAATGGGGGCGATTTTCATGTGCACGAGCGCCAAGACGGCAGCCAACGTGGACATGGCGTTTCTTTCTGCCGTATCCAGTGCAAATATGTCTGGGCCTGGAAACTTGTGATGCAAGTTTGCGGCCGCGCGTCCGCTTTGGGGGCTATCAGCCAGCTTCTGTGCTGCGTACTTCGCATGAGAAACTGCGTTTTTCTCTGCATGACAGGCAAGAGGACCTCTTGGTGGCCACGCAATACAGAGTGCACAGCCAAATTCCAGACTAGCATGACAAATCTCGCATTCTTCCAGACCCAGACATATTTGCATTTGATATGCCGCCACCAATCTTGTCGAAATGCGGAAGGCCCGGGCGGCCGTGACGGCAGCGTCTGCGGGCACCAGCGGCGGTGGCGGTATCGGGCTCAGTATGCAAGAACGCAGAGAGTAGAGGAAGCAGATGGATGGACAAAGTGACTGTAGTTTCGAACAAGAAGTATGAGATAGACAGGCTGCAGATGCATTGTTGAATCAGCGGGGGCGGGGAAGGAAGCCCTGATAGAAGATACATGGCTTCAAGCGTAGCCGTATGACACCTGGGAGGATCATCGTCCATCTAGACCTAAAGAAATGCTTGCATGATTGAAGGATTATCAACAGAACTACGTCACAGTATAGTTGCCCGAATTTGATGAATTTCGTATCCAAGAAAAAAACTGTGTTAGTGTAACTTTCCTTGGTTGACACCATCACAAATTTGCTCTACATGACAGCGAAAATCTGTCATGCGTGGCTTGTAAGGGAAAACACACACGAAAAGAAGAACTCATGGCTGTGTGGCATGACAGGCGTAACTCTGTTGCATGTTCTGCATTACAAAGTTACACTTACACAGTTTTTTTCTTGCATATTTCGTCTTCCACTTGCATACAAGCAGCGGCAAACGCAAACTCCACCGGAACAACGGGGTCGAAGTGTAACTGTAAATGATTTGTTTTGGTGGATCACATGCAGATTGAATTGGGTCTTTGCAGAAAAACAGAAACCAACAATGGCACTACAATGGACTCGATGTCGATGGGTAAAAATAAGCAAACCGTCTATATTTGATTCTTTTTGTGAACAATTCTCGCACGAGTGAACTAGTACATCATTCGACGTTATCATCGGTACTACTTTCCTTCTTATTAAACTCCTGCCACTAGCTGCGGTAGGTGGAAATAGATACCTTTGATTGTGACAAAGAGAAAGAGAAACTCCTTGAGAAAAGGCGACACCTGCTTCTAGTACTTCTCAGTGGAGCATTCTACCTTCAGCTCAGACTTTTACGGATACACCCTGCCGAACGACAAAGGTTCTTCGGTGTGATAGATAAGAGTAGCAGTGGCCGAATTAGAAGTCGCAGAGTCTCGAAGACGTGTACGCGGCACGGCATTAGTAAGTGTTTATGTTCGTCCTCGCTTCCTGCGCTGGAACAAGAAGTGACTTGGGTGTTTGTTTGGTTCTCAAATGTCGACTACGAGTGATGTTCTATGTTCTACTTCTTTTGGTTCTTTGTGTTAGCTGAGTTGGTTGCATTTTCCATCACAAAAATTTGAATTTCATCTGTTTGTTTTTTCTTTATTGTCTTTTTTTCCGTGGCCTGTTTTTTAGCGTCGTCCTACGAGGGATTGCATGGAATGAACAAAACAAAAATTAACGGCCCGGCCAGCTTTTTTCGAAGGCTCAACATCTTCAGCTGCAAAACCCTTCTTTGTGCATCACGAGTGGCAAAAATTTGAGAGAAATCTTTGAGCTACACCCTGTCGGGTTCCAGGACAGCCATCGGTATGCATTTGGTAAATTTCCAACCACTTACGATTATTTCTACCTAATTTATAGGACCTAGTGCTACTAGTCGTGTAGTCTTATTTATTTATTGCTCCACCCAAGAAGTAGAACAAGCCAAAGACAGTTGTCACGCAGATGATTTCTATTTCTGAGTGGTTATATGCTGGAACTGGAACTGGATTTATCGTTTTCCATGCAGATTACAGGCTTAATATCGCCGCCGAGTAATGAGCAAAGAGCTACAACAACATCTTTTTCGCGCCGTCTGGAAGTTGTTTACTTTGCTATGCTATTGTTGTGCATCTCTTACTCAGGCATGATGATTCTTCATTTCGGCTCCTGCTACTGAAAGCGGTTTGGACCTCGACCTCCTCGGTGCGACCAAGAGGAGCCTTCTGCTAAAGGACTTCGCATCCTCGTCGACGCTGCCGACGGGCGACAGCTGCCGAGTCCTGAACCTACTAAGCGACGTGCAGGTGTTGTGGATAATTCTATATCAAGTCCAGCACCACGACTTGGCAGTGACAAATGCGGATCAACGTCCGAGATCTGCTCACGGCGCCCTTGACCAAATTACCAAGCCAAGCAGTTGTGGCGGGGGACCAAGATGGAGCAAAGGTTTGTTTACGTCTTTTAAGCTTTTTCTGTGAATTTTGAATAAAAGTAAATTTCCACGAGGAGTCTCCACATACGATTGAGATTGATTGATTTTGTTTTTTCTTGTGTAACGAATTATACTTACAGCACGCAGGGAACTTGAGATTCTGTCATGAAACAAACCATGTAATAAATTCTAATTTCTTATCTTTTCTCCGCCTCACAGCCGCCTCACTACGCCGGCGGCGCTCCTGGTGTCACGACCACTCCCCGCGCCGGCGGAGGTGCGAGCGCGTTCAAGGCAAGTGGAACGACACGTGTTCGGGCGACAGGAGTAGCAGGAGGAGGAACCAGCGGCAGAAACTTCTTCCACACAACTACAACGTCGTCGAGCAGTTCCACTGGTACCTCCGGCAGGCCAAAAGCACGCGCCCCGCCCGTAATCGTCACCGCACAATCTCATTCTCAGGCACTACAACATCAGAAGAATCATACAAATAACGGAGGACCACATCATGGAGGTCCAACGCCAACTACAGTACTGGAGGATGGCACCGCCGCCGGCATGTGCAATAACATCCGGGCGGACCGCGAGCGGCGCCCGTCGGTGGACACCTGTGAGACGTGCGACATCTGGGGCGGCTTTAGCCAGAAGAACAGTCCCACGCATTTTGCCCAACACGCGGCCGGGGGCACCACCGGCGGGAGTCACAATCAGCGCTCACTGTTGCCCCTCTGTGCCGAAGAAATCCAGTTTTTTGACGAAAATCATATCAGCGAGCAGAAGATGCAGAAGGTGAAAGCCGCAGCGGCAGGAGGGGGGCGTGGTGGTGTGAACAATTATGATCCTGGTGCTGGTAATCGTATTAATCCGCAAGAAACGAAGATGATGAACAACTACTCGATGCTGAGTACAAATAAAAATGCTGCCACGTCGACGTCATCTGCTGCTGGATATCAAAAAGCAGGTGGGACGACGACCCTGCTTCCCGCCTTGTATGGATTGCAAATATGTCTCGGTCTGGAAGAATGTTGCGAGATCTGTCATGCAGTTTTTGCCTGACCCAGATCGTCTGGCATGCAAGCTCTAGCATCACAGATTTTGAGCACTTATCCGAATGCCTAATCCGCATGACAAATCCTCTCGCTCGGAAACAAGAAATGGGGCTTTTTGCTAGCCATGCATGACAAATTTTATCATGATGTAGACTTCGCATCACAAATTCGAATCCTTCCAGACCCAGACATTTTTGCATTTGATACATTGGTGCATGGTACTAATTCATCTTCCCGTCCGGGCGGTACTGACACCAGTGCATCTATCCAAGAAAAAAAGTGTGTAAGTGTAACTTTCTTTGAGAAACAGCATCACAAATTTGCTCTACATGACAGAGAAAACCTGTCATGCGTGGCTTGTAGGGGAAAACACACCTGAAAAGAGGACTTCGTGGCTGTCTGGCATGACAGGCGCAACTCTGTTGGATGTTCTGCAACACACACAGTTTTTTTCTTGCATAGCATCGTCAAGTCGTGCTGGTGCCATGGTGAATAAAGGAACGCAAGCGCAACATCATCAGCCTGTTGGGCAAAAAGGTCTCCTGCAAACAAACCCGCCTGCTGTGGTCCTCTCTGGCTGCGTTTCCTCCCCTTCGCTACGTGTCGACCAGGTATGAATTGCAAAAATGTCTGGGTCTGGAAGATTGCGAGAATTGTCATGCTAGTCTGGCATGCCTCTTAAGTCTGTCATGCACGTTGCCCACGAGCCCCATTTTTCTGTCATGTAGAAACGCAGTTTGTCATGCAGAATAGGCATCAACACCTAGAAGCTCAAAAACTTGTCATGCTGAGCCAGCACTTGTGGCCTCCTGAAAATACGCCTCCCAGCATCACAAGTTTACAAACCCAGACACTTTTGCAATCCATACCAGGAAAAGCTGTACGACCCAAGGACCGCAGCAGCCTACCGATTACCACCTCCGATCGAAAAAGAGGAAGCTGGCGGGACGTCGGATCAGGATCATGTGCGCGTTCCCGCGAAAAATTTTTTTTCTGCAGGTCCACCAGCGCTGCTCCCCTCGCTGGTGCTGCAACATCAACCTCCGCAACTTGGATCTTCTTCGCCGCTTCTTGGACAGAAAAAGATGGCGCAACAGCATCAGGGTAATAGCAAAGCGAAGAACGTGAAAAGCTACTCGTTTTACGACAAAGCGACACATCAACCTGGCACGTCAGCGACCTCGGCTTTGGCTGCAGGTGTGACCCCCGCGGCGGCGCAGCAGGCGGCAGACAAAAAGGCACTGCTGTTGAGTGGCGGGGGGAATTATAGAAACAAGAGTAAGAACAAGCATAGAAATGCAGCTGCTGGAGGTGCTCCCGGGACGAGGACAATGATTTCATCGGAAGAAGGTGAAGGTGTTCTTTTCGACGCTGACTCGCTCAACCAGGCGTCATCTCACAAGAACTACTCTAGCAAGCACGCAAATACCTACGACAATGACCGGTCGGCAATCGGGTCCCGAGAGGAACGATCGACAAGGGACACTTCGAAGGATAAGTACAGGAAATTTGATACCGTACACGATAACACACAAATTGCATTCTGGAAATCAAGAAATATCCGCTCGTACAATCACAATTCTGTTTAGCAACATCACAAGTGTCCTGCTCGGCTTTTAGCTCCTCCGGAGACGAACTTCTCATGCGTTTTGTGCTTCTTGTGCGGTTTCAACTTTGTATTGCATAGACGACACGAGCACAATACGGAATGGAGGCTACAACTCATCTTCGGACTACATTGACACCAGGCGACCGAGCTTTTCAACTAGCGGAGGGGGCAGATCGGTACTTACTGTTAGGTTGTTATGCGATATGGCCATTGTTAGCATGCAGATGCACTTGCACACAGTTCTCCATTACAAATTTCTCTTGTGAAGTAGATGCAAGTTCCACCGCAATAGAAATAGAAATCGAAAAAAATGGAAAACCAAATTTAGTCCGGCATCGTGACAGTGGAGCACAGTCGTCGGCCGAGTGTTATGGAGCGGAAATCTTTCGCAACTCGTGTAGTAGTACGAGCGGCAGAAAAAGTGTTACGCACTCATGATGAATTTATTCACTGTGTCTGTTTCGTATTCCAGAACCGCACAGGCACAACAGAAACAGAACAACCAGTGCGCGCATCGTGGATTGACATGGGATAATTCGTAGAAGTTTTGTATTCGCTCTCATGATTGTTCACTAGTCTCTGCATGATGGATTGACATTGACGACCAAAAGTAGCTTCTAGTTTACTCTACTGCCCCGCTGTTGCGAGTTGCGAATTTTTTCACAGCGATATTCCCGAAGTTGTCCGACGTTCGGGAGCTGAGCAAGGAAAGTGCGCCCTCGATGGAGAAGGCCTTGTCGGTATGGGTATGATTTGTTGTGATTTTTGTATCAACACAATTTTAATATCGAGTGTGCCTGCTTATGAAAAACAAGCTGCAGGAGCACTTCACTTCTTTCTTTAGTGTTGTGCAGATGATGTAGGAAAACAAGTGAGATGTTGAAACTTCCCATGATTTTTCATCCCTTATGATTTCACCCACCTCAGGCGCCCCTCCCCACTTTACTTTCCGTGGACAAGGAGAGCCGCACCTTCCTCTCCGCTCCGAAGGCCGGGCGGGAGCAGGCCTTCTGGTTTGTGTCCAAACGCAATCTATGAACTGCAAAAGTATCGTACTAGTAGTAATTGCAAAACAAATTAGCTCAGCATGACAAATGGAATTTGTCGTCTTGTTTTGCCTTGTGATGGAGATTTGTAATGCATGATTGCGATTACTACGAGTGCGATACTTTTGCACAGGATACAACCCCCGGGCGGCGCAGCTGGAGCCGATCTGGTATGCAAAAAAGACCACCATGCCTGCAACGAGTCTTATTCACTGCAAAAATGTCTGGGTCTGGAAGAGTGGAACTTGTAATGCTGTCTGCGGATTCTAAAAATATCTGTGTTGCAGCATGAGCAGCAAGAAGAGTCCAGCTCTTGGCACCACGCGGAGAGGGCAACATTTCTCATGCGTGATAAGCATCAAGAAGCTCTCAAAAAATCTGTGATGCACGGACCTGCATCACTGACGTGACCTCATGGGTCATGCAAAATGTGCATGACAAACCCCGACTCTTCCAGACATCCAGGGATATTTGCATTTGATAAGTCTGGACTGTCAACCGATCACGGAGGAGCTGTTGGCGAGGATGGAGCAAATGTCGCCACCAACGAAAAAAGACAACCGACCCCGGGAGATCCGGCGGCTGCTTGGGCAGCACGGGGGGCCTTTTACCGCCAAGGCCGAGGGGATCAAAAAAGTGGAAGGCGAGTGGAAGAGCGTACGGCAGTGCACGCCGGTGCTGGGGGAGAGAAAAGACATGGCGCAGCAACTCTACGACAAACTCGCACGGTTGAGCTGAGGGTCAACAAGGTTTTTTCTTTTGTGCGGTGCAAAAAGAAATGAATGGAGCGAGAATTATATCAGATGTATTAAGCCGTTTTTTACGAATGAAGATGAAGGAGCTTGCTCACACGAAGATAGATGTCTGTCTCTCGACGAAGGGCTGATCATTTTGACTTCCTGAGCATCAAGTTGATTAGCAGTGCGTCCTCACGATGATAAACATTACATCACAACTGCGTAGTCCAGTACTTTAGTTCAGCAAGGCAAAGGAGTTTCTGACTTCGGAAATAATTCGAAGCCGCGAAGCAGCAGAAGTGTGCTTTTTTTACGAACAAGGGAAAAGAGACAACCAGCATTCAACATCTGTAGGATGGTTTCTGATGATTTACAGCTAAAGAGTCGAGTATGAGATTTATTCACATTGTGCGGACAGTTAGTCGATCTACTCTAGTAGTTTCCAGTATAAAAAATGTCGGAACTACTACTTGTCGCTTCATAGAACGGTACAGTAAATTACATCTAATGACTGTTGAGTCTGACTCGACTGAGTAGTTCGTCTCTCTTCGTGGAAGATTTCTAGACTTTATCATTTCCTGAATTCTTGGATGGTGCCGCATGCACCTGTGCTAGTCTAGTATTCCGTTATTTCCGATAAAAATGTTTATTGTCACAAAGGTTGAGGCTCGCAACCCCAACGTGTTGGCGTTGCTCTCCTTCAGAATTAGGCGCCGCCTACTTCACTTTTATCGACACGGAGGACACAACTTCCGTAGTTGGTGATGGTGATGGCTTGCGCTTGTCGTGGACTGGAGCAGCTTGCGTGTTTTTGACACGTTCGTCGGTGCTTCGGTTCGAATTTACGTTCCTGGACGCTGCTTGGAAAGTAATTATGCCGAATTCAATTGATCTGATCGTCATCGTTATATTCACTATGTCACCATTTGGATTTGCAGAAGTCGGGCACGGCGTGTCGCTTTGTTTTATCAAAGAGTCGAGCCGGCGATGATCATGATGAAAGAAAGTTTTTTTTTTCTGAACGTGGCTAAAGAGAGTGGTTTTTTTTTTTTTCAAGTTTTGAAAAAGGAGGGTTGATCCGTTCACTTTTGTCTCTTTCACACATCACGAGGATCAGGAACGCCAGCTCTTCTCCAAAATCGGATTTGAGGAGGACGCGACCGATCTATTCTCTGTTTTATTTTTGTATTTATTGCCTATTAATTTGTGAATTTCAATTAGCATTGTCACCGCCGCGCAACTTTCATCTCCAGCTTCACTCCCGCAAAATGGGCGGGTTGTCTCGGAAGCGTATTGTGGTTGCTTCGTGCAGCGCCAAAAATCGTCCTCGAGGACCCCGCAGGAAGGAAGTGACGTCGGCGCTCCATGCTCATCGTCTTTGCTCCGTAGTTGCAGAGGAGCATCTACTTCAAGGGACCAGAGAACCAGGAGGGTTGGTATTGGCACAAGTACCACGAGAACACCGCAATCTTATTTCCCGACAAATCTCCAGGAACAGGATCACGTCGTCGAGTTGTGCTTTTCAGCTTGTTCGAGGAGCCCAGAGCGTCGTGGTGCCGACCAGCCTGAATACTGTTAGTCCAACGACCTACCAGCAAGAACGCCGTGCCTTTTGCTCTGCCGCGGGAACAACAACCCCAGCGGCAGGTGAAGTTTCGAAAACCTCTTCGTCCAGTAGTTCCACGCCTGAAGACGTTTCTGTGAAGAACCGAGATGATCTTCCGCATCCTCTGGCACCCGTTCTTGCGCATCAAGAGGGCGAAGGCCAACAAGAAAGAAGCCTCGAAGTGCAAAAGGGCGAGAAACTGTGCGAAGTGTTGGAATTGATGAGCTACTTCTTTCAAAGTGCAAATAAGGGGGAGGTGGTCGATCCCGCCGGAATAAAAGTTGACGACTCAAGTAGAAGTAGGACTACCGTTGCAGCTATCGATGTGCCCGAAGCAGACCAGTACGCGAATAGAATCTCCAATCTGTGTCAAGAGGTGGTCCGACTTCATGAGAAGCAGCAGAAAACCGTCGGTGGTTCTTTAGCAGCATCGTCATTATTTTCCTCGTCTTCGTCTTCCGCCAATACGAAAAACAACAAGCAGAATCATGCACCGCTGCACCTTCCGAAAGGCCTGCGAATGACCAATGAGCAGCTACTCGCGGGATTGCGGTGTATCAACTGTAAAAATGTCTGGGTCTGGAAGAATCCAACTTGTCATGCTGATTTTGGATTCTAAAAAAATCTGTATTGCATGAGCAGCAAAGAGAGTCCGAGTTTTGCTACACGGAAAGAGCATTTGTCATGCGGTATAGGCATCAGGAAGCCCTCACAAAATCTGTGATGCTAGGGCATGCATCACAGACACCAGCAGTCATGCAAAATGTGCATGACAAACCTGGCAATCTTCCAGACCCAGACACTTTTACATTTGATATGGTGGGAAGCAGGGTTATCTGGCTATCGGATACCAGTAGTTGCTCGCGAAGAAAGTTCCAGTAGTGATGGTAGAGACAAAATGGAAACCAGAAACAGAGGGCACGCAAAAGCCACTTCTTTTCCAACTGATATTTCGCAACTTTTCGTCCGGACTCTGCTTGTCAGGCTGGAGCACGCGCTGCGGGTAATAAAAACAGCAGGGGTTGTAGGAGGAGCAGCAACAGCTTCAAGAGCGAGTTCTTGTACCTCTAGCGAAAGAACCACTTCTCCGCTAGACATTTCCCTTGCACAAAGTGCCTTGATCGCTCGGGAGTTGTTGGCAGACAAACCACTGCTGGCTGAAAAACTGGATGCAGTTGTCATGAAAATCTACCGAAAGCTTCAATCAGCGGCCGACTCTGGAGCGGCCGTCGCTCCTTCTTTCTCCACTCTGCAGCATTACCGATTAAGGTATGAGGTAGATGAACAAGCATACAACAATTTACCGCGATCACGTGGCGGGTTGTTAAATGGAAACAGCGAGCAGGAGGGACTAGAGTCTGACGCCGCCGGAGTGGACGTCGATGCAGAAGAGACCGCAACGTCGCGCATAGCGCGAGAGCAGCATGATGCTCTTCAAAACGTAGAAGTAGTTCCACAGGTGTTCTTGTCACTTCCGCAAGCGATTCACATCCTTTCCGAGTTATCCGAGTTACAGGACGTTTTTTCCTCGACGGAAATAGCGACACGTCGCTCCGCAGCTGTTCTAGAACACGCGGCACAGAAGATTTGCGGCTCTTCGAATGATTTTTCAGCGCCTACTTTCCGTTCTGGTTCCGCACGACCAGACGGCGTGTCGAAGCTTTATCCCAGTGGGGAAGCGCATTTGATGCAACTCACCTTCGGCCAGGCCGCCGCCATCGTGCACGCGGTGGGACGTCGTGGAGGCGCAGAGCAGGGTCGAGAACTCTCATCTTGCGGAGAAGATTACAACGACTCAACAAGAACGCCGGTGTTCACGATAGCAAAAATTTCACGGTCGGCTTGCCCAGACAGCACCAATTTTCGTGCCCAACCGGTCGTGACGGTCGAAAGCAAAGCCGTGGATGGTCTATCGCTCTTCTCGTCTCCATCGTCATCATCTTCGTCCACTCGCAGTCGTGGAAGCGATGACGCATCAGGAGATGTTTGTCCTTCCTCAAGTACAAGTACGATGATGTTGTCTTCTATGCAACATAAATTCTCCCTGCTCCAAACCGCCTGGCCGGTTGTTGTGCGGGCGGGAGCGTCCTACCTACCGAGTTTGGACTCAACCCTCGTGGCGGTCCTGTTGCGAGCACTGGTGGAGCGGTATCGGAACTTTTCTATAGAGTCCACAACTGACACGAGGTTAATTATGGGAAGAAAAAATGATGTCCTGTGTCGATCTGTCGACGGGGTCGGTCTGGTCGAGAAGGACAATTGCAGCGGAAAGAGCGAGTCCGTATCTTCCACCCTACTGGACAAGAGCAGCAGCACACTCGCGGAGAAAAAGCAACTCCGGGAATCAATTTTGGATGTAGGTGCGGCGGAACTGCTCAACAGCAGTTCGGTTCGACGTGGTTCATCGAACGAGGAAACAAACGCTGTTGTTGTACAAGTTTCTAGTACAAGAACTCGGCTTCTACCAACATCGGGGCGAGTCGACTCCGCAAAAAAGTTGGATTACGCGGAAATCGAAGAATTATCGAAGCTTGACCTGTTTTCGACACGAGCGCCTCAATTGATCGTGACCAGCGCGACCAAAAGCAGCAGAGCCGACGAAGCAGCTACACAACTTCGCAAAGTCCGGGCAGCCGCTCTGTGGCTCTTGGAGCGGGTCGAATTTGGTGGACTAAAGTCAACAAGTGTATGCCCTACTGGTACTGCAACGTCGTCGCGCGTGGGCGAAAGTACCGCTTCAATCGCAAACAAGATCTCGATTATCCGCAGCGCGCTCCTGTTATGGAAGTGTCAGGTTTGAAATCGCCAAAGTTGAAATAACTTGTAACGCATGAAATCGATACCAGTTGGAAGCCCAATTCTCAAGCGGCGCATGACAAATCTCGGCACCGTCTAAATCCAGTTTGTCATGCTGTTTAGGGACAGAAGGCGTCTTTTGTTAGACCGGAAAAACGGCCGAAGTACATGTTTTGTCGCGCTTCGCCACTGTCTGGCATTGCTTTTGTTTCGCTTTGGGGGCTGCCCGGGGCCCGACTAAGATGCCCGTCCCAGGGACCTCGCCGCGCCAGGCGCCGGGCTGCGCGTTCTTTGTTGCCAAGGGCCCGGGATAGATTTCCCGGCCCGGATGTCGCCCACGGGGGGAAGGCAACGATAGTCCGCGGGGTCTTCCCTTTCCGGCTGCTATCGGCGCGGGGCCCCGCGACGGCATGGGGTGCGGCAGCCGCGCATGCATTTGCGCGCCCCTGCGCCGAATATGGTCGCGGGGGCGCAGAAAAAGGAGCGCCCGGCTTCGGCACTTTCGGGGGTGAGGCCCCCCCCCCGCGAGAGAGGGCCAAAATGGGGGCCCGGAGTTGGCCCAATTCGGGCCCCTTCTTGGGGGGGGGTAAAATAAGCTCAATCTGGGCCATTTTGCCCCCCCCCCCCTGTAGCAGCGGGGGAAGGCCATTTTTTGCCCCCCCCTAAAAAAGTGGCCGAATTGGCCCAACTTTTGCCCCCTTTTTACCCCCCCCCCGAAGGGGGGGTGGTAGGTTGCCCCCAAGAGGGATTCTTCACGGCCCCTGCCGCACCCCCCCTGAAGAGGTCAAGCCCCCCCGGCAATCTCGCGGCCGGGCTGCTAGTTGTAAATAATCGTGCGGGCTCCGGGGTTGGCGCTCCACCACCATGCCGTGCCTGCCGCACGCCCCCGGTGAGAACCATGGCCGGGGGGGCCCAGCGAGGCGCGACCACCTTGCCGCCCCTTCCCTCTTCCGGGCGGGCGCCGCCCGCCTGCGGTCATTGAAGCACATAGCAGCAGGCGGCTACCCGCCGGATGACTTGCCCCATCGTCCGGCCGCACCATCGCGCCCCCTCTAGTCGCTATGCCCGCGGCCCGCGTGCCAAGTGGTTGCACGAAAGAACATGTACCTCGGCCGTTTTTCTGATCTAATTTTGTCATGCTACCTCTGCAGCTCTACCGCAGACCCCAAACAGGCTGACAGTCGGCCTCACTTGCCGTCCCTGCAAGAGAGGCAATTCATGCCTTGCAGTTTATGCATGAGAAATTATTTTTTTAACTTTGACGATTTCAATCCTGACGCTTCCATACCTGTTGCAGCTCCACGACTCGAGCGAAGAAGGCCGACGAGCGGTGCAGGAGTTAATCGTGAAAGCGTGGCCGGAAAATGCTGTGTGGCAGGTGAAAGAAGCGATCGGAAAGATGAGCTCGCCAAGTAAGTCGACCAGTATAACCTACCTGAACACCGAGCTGGCGCTGTTGCTACAAGACCTCAAGGCCGCGTTATGTCCGTCGAGGCGGGGAAGTTGGGATCACGACTTTTCTCCGGCCATGCGAAATATTTCTGCAGCTACGCCAGCGGTCGACCCTGCTGCAGTCGATTCAGCATTCCTCGCTAGTAGAGACTTTGAGAAGGTTTTGCAAAATCTGGACGAAAGCTTTAAGAAGGAAGTGGGAATAAAGGCGGTTCCGGATCTTCACGTGGGAGTAGATGCAGAGAAAAATAACATAGTACAACTTTCCGCTAGCCAGCTGTGCCAGGCGGTGGAGGTTTTGAGCAAGGTGGACTCTCGGGCTGGTGGTGTTGAGAACGAGCAAAACAAGGACGAGGTCACAGATTTTTTAACCGACGATATGATCCATAACTACACAACATCCTATACAGACCACTTTTCGGCCAACCATTCAAGGAATTGGCTACGCGACGCGACAATGGCGATTTTGGAGCAAAACGCGAGCTTACTGGCGAACAACCTCAGCCTGGCGACGCTAGCGCGCTTGGCCCCGAACGTGAAGATACTGCTTGACAAGCAAAAACCAAATGCGGTGGCTATCAAGGACAAGGCGCAGTACGATGAAACACGCTCGGCCACGCTCCCTGGTGGTGAAAAATCCACAATTGCATCAAATGACTTCGCATCCGCTTGGACCGGCTTCAAATCTACAGTGCTCCACGCCGCGACAGCGAGGCTGAACGGCAACAGAACAAACGACAGCAGTCGTGCAGATTTCGATCGTAGTTCCGCTTCCGCAACAAGAGAACACATACTAGAGCCGTCCGCTTCTAAAAACAGCTTTGACTTCGAGGCTTTTTTCAAAATTCTCTCCTGCCTTGACGAAAGCAGCTTAGCGTTAGCCAACACTGCAGCTGGAAGTGGAACATATGATGTTGCGGGAAGTGGAAGAGATGTTGGAAATAATCCACCTGGTTGTAGTGGCCCCTGTGGAACTCGTTTCTCCTTTGCGGATTTCTATTCCAAACTCCCACTGGAAACCGTCCAGTCTTTGGATTCCACCTCCTTTCACGGGTTGCTGAAACAAAGGATGGTGATGGGCCGGTCTTCTATTTCTTCTGAAAATAACCACGATGGGTGGTCATCTGATCCTACTCCCACCGCTCAGGTGGACCACGAACTGCAGCAGAAACTGGCGGCAGAGATCAAAATGAAAACCGCATCGACTTGTTTCAGGAGCTCTGTTGATGCTATCTGCTACGCCTGGGAAGTTGCGGCGAGCTTGGACTGGCACAAGCGGTTTTTGTTGCAGGCGTTACTCGACGGGACGGGAAAACTCGTGTTTTCTTCGGGTCAGGATGTGAAGCAGCGAGACGAGGAGGACCGGTTTGCAGGAACAGACCACAGGAATCAGGAACACGACTACAAGCATCATGTTCTTGCGAGAAGGCAGATGTGTGATATTATTCACCATATGGCAAGGCTCCGGGTTTGCGACAGCAAGCTGCTGGAGGGAATGTTGCTAAAAATTTTTGCTTCAACGCAGAGCAGTACTAGTTGTGCAATAAACGAGAGGACGACCACCCAGCAGCAGGGTGGTCAGCCTGTGCAGAACAAACGCGAGCAAGACGAAGGACTTCGACTTGCAAAAACAGGTTGTGCCGTAGTTACAAAAGCCAACCGACCACACTGTTCGTCGAGGAGGCGAGCCAAGGCGAGGATGCAAAAACAGCACCAGCAAGAATTGTATGTTGGAACAAACCAAACTTTTGAGTCGCAGACTGGAAACAGCAGTGGCCGGAAGAATAACGTGGAGCCAGTCCACCCTGACCCTCACACTTACTTCCCCCTCGCCCAGCTGGCCCGGGACTTGTTTACACTGGGTTACCGGGCGAAAGCGAATGAGGAAGCGGAGCAAATAGCGAATTTCTTCGTTTCTGTGGAACAACTACACCGCCGACCAACATCTTCTAGTCAAACCACCGCTGACAAAACTGCCACGAGGTCTACAACTTTCAGGTCGTTGTTTCAAACTCTGAAACTCTGCGAACAGTTAGAGATTCTGCACTACTTGTCAACTACCCTGAACCAGTACCCTGTGACTGCGACGAAGCTCGTGTGGGCGAAGCTACAGCTGATATACCGGAAGTGGCAGATTTTGGCAGGAACGAGGACTTCTATCTCGGGCAGCGGCGTTGGTGGGGCCAACGCTAAGACTAGTACCACGACAGCAGGTGTACAGCTCCTCAGGCAGAAAGAAGCGAGGAATTTGTTTGATTTCACGAATTCGCAAAAGCGGAAGGTAGTGGAACTGTACTACCAAAGCATAAGTGCTTGTTCGAGCAATGGTTCGAATTCGACACAACATCAATCGTGGTCTACTTCTGCAGCTCCGCACTGGCTTGCGGAATGGCTAACGCAGGACCCACTACAGCCGCACAGTGGGGCTGCTGGAACGTCACACCTCACGAGTTGTTTACACGACTGTTTTCTACCAGCCTGGCTGGAACACGAGAGAAATCGGGATGAAAAGCTGCGGGAAAGTGTTTTTTTGAATTGGGGCTCCGGTGGTGGTGCTGGGTCGTTGCATGGGAAGGTACAGGAGCGCGTCGTCGCTCTTTCTTCTGTACAACCATCAAGAAGACCGACGAGCTTAGAAAAGATCGCGGAACAGCTGGACCGGCAAGGGAGTCCTTATTTGTGTCAGAATTGGTACAAGGTGCTACTGGCAGAAGAATTGAAGGAAGAAGAGTTCAATAAGCGACTGCTACGGGTGACGAGCAAGGAAAATTTGGAAAATTACGCGGCTACTTCAGAGCAACTACGAACACCTTTGGGACACGATGAAGCTTTCCCGCACGAGAATTACGAGGAGGATGAAATTGATCGCAACGCAGCGGAAACAACTTCTCGTGCCAAACAGCGACTGCTTGTTTTCGGGCCTGACACTGCAAGAACCGCGTCAAGCAGCACGCGCACCTTGTTCCTATCCGGGCACGAGAACCAGGAGAAAACAGCAGCTGCAGAAGAAGTTGCGAATATTGATCATATTCAGGAGGTGGGACAAGCTGATAATCACAACGAACTCCACATGTTGGCCGCTACACCCAGCATTTCATCGGAATTGAAGAGCAAGTCGAGACTTCTCCTGCGGAATAGTGGTGGAACAAAACCTGCCCTGGAGGATGAAGATGCAGAAGTGAGTGACGGTGCATCTACTTCAGCCGCAGAACGGAGGCTCTTTGTACGGGATGAAATTGAAACGAATAGGAACAGCAGCCGCGCCGCAAGAACGAACTCGGGTACTAGAGCCATGGCCGCGACATCGCCAGCAGGCACCGGATTGTCTCAACAGGCCCGCATGTTCTCTTCAACGACGAGCAGCCCAGGTACACCAAAAACTCCAGAAGGAGATGAAGATCCGGAAGAAGACCAGAACGGCAGCAGCAACAACACTCACAATTTCGCGATGTTAAAAGCCACAACCGCACGACCTCGAGACGAACCCAGACCAACCTTGAAAAACGACACTCGGAAAGACATGATTCGCAAGGTGATTGAACAGCTTGGCGGGTCCCGCGCCACCGTCCGAGAGGTCGAGCAGCAGCTGGGGAAAAAGTTTAAACTGCACAAGCACACGGAAATCAAACAGATTCTGGGGAAGCGGTTGCAAGCGTTTATCCGCTACGACTTCGAAGAACAACCGGTGACGGAAGAAGATCGGGAGAAGGTTGCCTCCCTGGTAGAGCAGTTTTCGAAACACTGTGAGGAGCAGAACAAACACGGGAGATCTGCGGTTCATATCGACATAGACAGTACTGATTTTTTGAACCTTTTCAAAAACGCCGACCTCGCAGTGTACTTGGAAAGAAACGGGTACAACCGGTGGGTGGCCGAGAAAGCGCTGAAAACCCGGCCGGGGAAATATGAAAGCCTCAGGTTGGAAATCCTCAAAGTGGAAATTACTATCTATTATTTAGACCAGAAAAACGGCCGAAGTACATGTTTTTTCGTGCAACCAGTTGGCACGCGGGTCGCGGGCATAGCGACTAGGGGGGGCGCGATGGTGCGGCCGGGCGATGGGGCAAGTCATCCGGCGGGTAGCCGCCTGCTGCTATGTGCTTCAATGACCGCAGGCGGGCGGCGCCCGCCCGGAAGAGGGAAGGGGCGGCAAGGCGGTCGCGCCTCGCTGGGCCCCCCCGGCCATGGTTCGCACCGGGGGCGTGCGGCAGGCACGGCATGGTGGTGGAGCGCCAACCTCGGAGCCCGCACAACTGCAACCAGCAGCCCGGCCGCGAGATTTCCTGGGGGGCCTGGCCTCTTCAGGGGGATTGAGGCAGGGGCCGTGAAGAATCCCTCTTGGGGGCAACCTACCACCCCCCCTCCGGGGGGGGGTAAAAAGAAGGCAAAAGTTGGGCCAATTCGGCCTCTTTTTTAGGGGGGGGCAAAAAATGGCCTTCCCCCGATGCTACAGGGGGGGGGCAAAATGGCCCAGATTGAGCCCATTTTACCCCCTCCCCAAGAAGTGGCCCGAATTGGGCCAACTTCGGGCCCCCATTTTGGCCCCCTCTCGCGGGGGGAGGGCCCTCGCCCCCGAAAGTGCCGAAGCCGGGCGCTCCTTTTTCTGCGCCCCCGCGACCATATTCGGCGCAGGGGCGCGCAAATGCATGCGCGGCTGCCGCACCCCATGCCGTCGCGGGGCCCCGCGCCGATAGCAGCCGGAAAGGGAAGACCCCGCGGACTATCGTTGCCTTCCCCCCGTGGGCGACATCCGGGCCGGGAAATCTATCCCGGACCCTTGGCAACAAAGAACGCGCAGCCCGGCGCCTGGCGCGGCGCGGTCCCTGGGCCGGGCATCTTAGTCGGGCCCCGGGCAGCCCCCAAAGCGAAACAAAAGCAATGCCAGACAGTGGCGAAGCGCGACAAAACATGTACTCCGGCCGTTTTTCCGGTCTAAATTATATTCATGCGAAAATATTGGTCTAGAGAGGGTAGACGAGAGGTGGCCGGGAGGTAAAAAAGAGGTCAAAAGAGGTCAAAAAGAGGTCGACAGAGGTGGAGAGGTGGCGCGGGAGGCAGTTCGAGAGGGTGCGCGAGAGGTGGCGCGAGTATAGCCCGCCGAACCGCTCGCCCTTTAGGGCCGCTAAGCGCCTCGGAGGGTGCCGAGAGGTAGAAAAGAGGGCAGGCGAGAGGTGGACAGAGGTGCCGAGAGGTTGCGCGAATAAGGGGCGACCTCCCGCGGACCCTCTTGGCCACCTCTCGGCCACCTCGGTCGACCTCTACCCGCGAGTATAGCCGGACTATTAGCAGGGACCCCCAAAAGAGGTCAAAAGGAGGGTCTGCGAGAGGTCTGCGAGGAGGTAAAAACAGAAAGAAATAGGCGCGCATCCGCATGACGCTACACATATCTCGCACTGCAGGCCCTTACGGACTTGTTTTGTTCGGCGTCTTTCCGTGCCACCCTCTCGCGCACCCCCTCGCGCCACCCTCTCGCGCCACCCTCTCGCGCTACCCTCTCGCGCCGGGCGGCTTCTGTTCGCCCACGGTGTTCTTTGCAGCTGCTCCCTGCGCAGAGCGCCCAAAGGCGCGGGAGGCGCGCAAGTGGTCCTGCGGGTTGGCGCGGCGCAAACAGGCGGCAGGACTCCAACATGTTGCGTTGTCCGCAGGCCCGTGGTGTTGTGGTCCAATCGGCGCACGGTCTTGCCCCGGCCCAACAGCCTTGCGCTCCGGCGGTAGCCGGAGCATGGCTGGTAATTTGTAATGCAAAAAAACGACTCCAGTTGAAGCGTCATTTGTAGTCGGCGCATGACAAATTTCCCGGGCACTCAAAACGTGTCTGTTATGCTAGTTAGGCAAAGGGGTGCCCTTCTGTCGTGCTAATTAGCAGCCCAATTCTTCACCCCTAGCAGGACAATAGTCGGCCTCCATTGATGTGTCCTTTGCAATACAGTCTTTTTTGCCTTGCATTTCATGCATCACAAATTATTTCCTTTTCCACTTTGAGGATTTCCATTCTGAGGCTTTCATAGGAAAGTCAAGGTCGCGAGTTTGAGCGGGGATGTGACGAGGAAGTTGTTGATGAGCGGAGGAGGTGGATCTGCAAAAACTGAAAAATTAACTGCGGCAGAGGAATTGTCTGCCGTGTCTCTGGCCGCCCGGGCGGAGACGAAGGATTATGATTCGACCGAGCAGATGATGATGACAGCAACGGGCACAGAAAAACCTTCGATTTCTGCCGAAAATTGTGAAAGCAGCGAAGAGCACGAGAATGAAGATATCTTCAGTAACGTACCATCGCCAAGAACGGCGAAAAACCACCGCCAGACACGTCGTGGAGGTGCGCGAAAGGACCAGCAGCTGCGAGACAAAGACAACGGTCCTAGTAGTACACCGACGAGCAATGTTATGAACTGCAAAAGTATCGTACTCGTATAAATGCATTACAAATTATTTTCTCAGCATGAGAAATAAAATTTGTAATGCTGATTTGCCTTGACAATGAAATTTGTAATGCAAGACCAGCATTTATACGAGTACGATACTTTTGCACAGGATAAATGTCTCCATGAAACAAAAGCTCGCCGACCTGACCCCTTCGGACCGGGAGATATCAAATGTAAAAATGTCTGGGTCTGGAAGAATCCAACTTGTCATGCTGATTTTGGATTCTAAAAAAATCTGTATTGCATGAGCAGCACAGAGAGTCCAAATTTTGCAACACGGAAAGAGCATTTGTCATGCGGAATAGGCATCAGGAAGCCCTCTAAAAATCTGTGATGCTAGGGCATGCATCACAGACTTGAGGAGTCATGCAAAATGTGCATGACAAACCCGGCAATCTTCCAGACCCAGACATTTTTACAGTTGATAGGAGAAGCGGGAGAACCAAGTGAAGAAGTACGTGAAATTTCTCGCGGCAACCAAGTACGAAGCCGGCACGCCCTTCCGAGAGAACCACATCCAGAGCTGCTTGCGGACGCATTTTGGCATCGAGAAATGGCGAGAGACGAAAGACTTATTGGGGAAGAAACTGGAGGCGTTTCTGACGCACGATTGCGATTCCCCGAACCCGTTCTCGGGGAAGGAATTTGATGGGGACGAGGGGGAGCTTTCTCATATCAAAAGGAAAAATCTCCCCACCCCATATCAAAAAGAAGTTTCTGATGCTGGATTTCAGTACACAAATCACATTTGTCTTGCAGTAGAGGAAACTGCAGGTATATGCCAAGCTTGAGCCGCGATGTTTTGGCGTAGGCTCCTAGCGTGAAAAACGTCGATAGTGTAGGCCCAACAGCATCACAAACCGCCTGCATAGTGCGGCGGATCCTCTGGATTTGCCTGCGTGCAAGACAGACAGGATTTGTGGGCACAAATCCGCATCACAGATTTTCAGACGGATGCGTTTTCAATGTGGGGAGGAGGGATTTTTCCTCACAATATCTCACGATGGATCTTCTGTTGAACAAGGGACGACAGGAGCAGGTCTTGCTGCTTCATCTGGTGCGGATTTTAACAGTGGTAGTTCATCTTCAAATCCTATATCAAATGCAAATATGTCTGGGTCTGGAAGCCTGTGATGCTGGGTGGCGTCTCATGATGAGGCTACAAATGCTGGCTCAGCATGACAAGTTTCTGAGCTCCTAGGTGTTGCCTATTCTGCATGACAAACTGCGCTTCTGCAGTTAGGAAGTGGATCGGGTATCCACCTAGGGGTATTGGCAGAGGCTACATCTGTTCTAACGCCCAGGTATTGGCAGAGGCTAGATCTGTTCTAACGCCAACCCGCCAGGAGTCAAATGGTCACTACTACTACTGCATCACAGAAAAGCGGAGCTCTTGGGTAACGTGCATGACAGATTTAACAGTCATGCCGGACAAGCATGACAAACATGAATTCTTCCAGACCCAGACATTTTTACATTTGATATCCTAATCCATTAAACAATTCCCAGTACATGGTACAATCCCGAAAAGCGTTGATCGAACAGCTGAAGATATCCAAGACAAAAGAACTGTGTAAATTGGAAGTTTGTGATGCAAAAAATGCAAAAATACCGTTTTTACGCCTGTCATGCGTGAAGTGCGTCATAGCCACGTTTCATACGTGTTTTCATGCGCGTAGCTATGCATGACAGCTTTTTTCTGTAAAAAATGCAAAGCGAATTATTTGTGATGCTGCCTTTCCTATACCGTTACACGTACACACTTTTTGTTTTTTTCTTGGATAGAGGAGACAGGCGAAGTCCGACCGAGAAATCCAAGCCAAGAAGTTGGAAGCGCGGCTGAACACGACCACGACCAACGGCGCAGGGGTATTAATGTCAGCAACAGGAACTACAGCAGGCACAGGCAGTAAATCAACTGCAAACTTGACGACAAGTAGTCTCCAATCCGCCCCTGTCATCGCCTCTGCGGAAGACGTGGAAGCGGTTTTTTCCACCGGCCCATCTGCTGCCGCGAAAGCACGCATGCTGCGGACTCGCAGGCACGCGTTGCTGAGTCAGGGGTCCTTTTTGTCGAGGGAGGTTTTCGCAGATCCGGTGAGCGGGAGGGTGCTAAGTGCGAGAACTTCTAACGCATCTTCGCAGGATCTTCATGGCAACACAGATCCGGTAGCAACCACAATTAGGCATTTGGTTCGGGCGCGAATACGGAGGATAGTCGAGCGGTATGGCGGAGTTGGGAACTTTGCCCGGATGCATAGAACAAGCGGCATTGTTGCTAAGTGCTCATTCAACACCGCAACGGGTACTAGTGCTCCTGCGCATCTTCGACAACATAACTTTACTCCAGCAGATGCCACTGAGGGTGGCATTGATAGTGAGAAGCACAAAGACGGGGCAGTTGCACCAAATTATTGGGGACATAAGTCATCTTCATCAAGAACACAGATGAACAGGAGCGGAATAAGATTCTGCTCGAAGAAAAAAGCAGAGCAGCGGTATAAGAAATTGGGAATGTTGGGCGGCGCTGATGTAGTTTCTGATCGGGTGACCAGGTCGTCTGGGAAGAACAAACAAATTGCAGCAAGCGCCAGCGACGGCAGGCCTGTGAATGAGACGAGACCTGTGGGGCGAGGAGCGGAAGAGGATGCCGTGTGGTCACCAAGTAGAGCAGGCACTGCATCTGTAGTTGCACCCTCTGTGCCTGAACACGTGATCATCATTCCGGAAGAGGAACAGTTGCGGTATTGCCGGGATTTCGATGGAACGGAGGTCGTGCTACTGCCGGATACAAAACGAGGTGCTGTTCCTGGTGGTCGTCCAAACCCTGCCTCGCAGAGTGGAGAACCGCAAGATGATGGTGCAACTGGCTATTCTGACGGTTCACTTCTCTCATTGCACTTGCAAGAATCACGACGTCTGTGCGGAGATTCTATGCTACGGGTAGCAAATTTGCGACGCAAGTTTGGCGATTGTAAAGTTGTGTTTGAGGAAGAGGAGGAGAAGCGAATGCGGGGACCGGGGTTGGTCAGTATGTGACGATTGGTCGAAGCAGAAGCACTGAACAAGACAGAAGGAAATTCTTTCCGACGGAACGCGAGACACACGATATGAAGAACTGATGAAACATGCTCAGATACAGTTGATACCAAAAGACATCATTAAGCTTACGCTCTTAATACCCGGCCAGGCGGCGTCCTTCTATACTCGCTGGCCCCGCGACCATGATCTTTGAACGGAGTCAGCCGCAGCTCCGAGGGGTTTTGATTTTATTTCGATTGCTCTCGTCCTCGTGTTTTGGCGGGAGAGCGAAGGACGACGTAGCCCTGTTTTGTAAACCAGTGTTTAAGCGAAAGCGGCCGGCAACAGCTGGGTTACCGGTTCTTCAGCGATGATAGTTGGTATACCACACGAAGTAGCGGCATTTTTGTTCACGATGTGTCCTCTATTTTCATCTCGTGATCCTAATCGTCCATCATCATCTGCGAGGCCAGGGCCACCTGAATAAGGAAGAGAAAGATATGGCCCACCTGCCCGTTCCTTTTTCGGTTTTGTTTTCCCGTTCCAGTTTTGTCATGCTCGTCCCCTCCAGCCTGCCTAAAGGTAAACACCCTTCAACTTCTACCTCACATCCTCGACCACGACGAACCCGAGCTGGCAAGCTTCTGCTCTTTTTGCTCCACAGCTTGTTCGCAATAAGCCCCGTCATTTATTTCAATTTTGCCCCTTTTAGTGCAGCCTCCGCCTCCTACCTGAATATCGAAGACCAGGACAACGGGCCGACGCTAGAACCCTCATCTTCATCTAGCCGAGCTCGAGTGCTGCTACCCCTGCCTTCCCGATCATCTTTTCTTCCCTCCTCGCCCGGAAGTAACGCTCGCAGGTCAACAGCAAAAGCATCCGAAAGTGCTGACGAAGCAGGGGCGCGATCCATCGATTTCTTGAGTGGAACGACGGGAACAAGGTCTACTTCTACTTCGCACCGGGACAATGATGCGAGAAAGGGTGGTATCGTCAGTAGCTGCTCGTCGGCTGCGGTTCCACTGTTGTCCTCTACTGTAACTGCCGCAGATATGGAAGCGTCAGGATTGAAATCGTCAAAGTTGAAATAGTTTGTGATGCATAAAATGGATGCCAGTTAGAACCCAGTTTGCAAGTGGCGCATGACAAATTTTGGTGATACCTAGATACAGTTTGTCATGCTGTTTAGGCAAAGATGACTGCTCTTCTCATGCTACTTTAGCAGCTCGAGCTCTAACTCCAAACAGGCTTACAATCGGCCTCCCTTGCCTGCTCTGCAACACACGTATTTCGCGTTATGCATTTTATGCATGACCAATCATTTCAACCTTGACGATTTCAATCCTGACAGATCCATAACAGACGAGCCTCTCTTAGGCAGCTGTGCAACGGGATCATCGGGACCTGCTGGTGCCAGTCATGCTGCTGCACCACGGGACGCGGGCGATCATGCAGAACATGGGCTCGTGCTTCCCCGAAGGTCGTCGGGCGGGATGTCAACCTCAAACGGGCTGCCCACTACAGCCAGTTCCTCCTCGTCCTCTACCCTCGCACGGGCCCCGACGCAGCTCACAATGGACAGTGCCGCAGGCGGAACGTCGTCCATCTTGCAGGGCCAGACACAACGCGGTTGTCCAGCCTCATGCTCGTCTGCAGCTTCCGCCGTCGATGGCATGAAGAGCAAGGTTCTTTCGCTGAGGGGAACAACAAATGCACCGTCGTCCACCTCTCGGGTGAGTCAGCTGCAGGGATTTGTTCCCGACGTTGACGATGGCAGTTGCACAAGACGAGACAAGAAAAAACCACGACGAAAGCCCGACTCAAAAAGGCGGTTTTCACGCACGACAGAGAACATCAAAGGAACAAGGATGTTGACACCAGCGATCAAACAAGAACCAAACAGAGGAAGTAGGAGATGGCTGAGAAAAATCCGCTATGCACTGCAAAAGTATAATCGTACTAGTATAAATCGCATGACAAATTCCCTCAGCATGAGAAATGAAATTTGTAATGCGGATTTAACTTGACGTTGACAGAAAAATTTGTAATGCATAAATGCGATTAGTACAAGTACGATGCTTTTGCAGTGCATATCCGCACCACACCTCATCGGCCGCTCCGGTCGCACGAGCTGCGGCTGTTTTTCGCCCTGAAATGGATGGATTACAATGGGGAGTCTGTGTTGGCTGAATATGCAAGACAAATTTCCCGTACATGTACAAAATGCATCACAAATTTCACTTATTCGAAGTGTAACACTAGGCATGCTACACTAGATTCGAAGTCCAGTTTTGTCATGCGGGGACCGCATTTCTTTGTTTTTGTACGTGTGCGGGAAATTTCCTGTGCATACTGAAGCGAAAACTGAGTGCCAAATCTGTTTGTCGTCCTGTGCCGGCGACGATGTAGTGGAACAGCGAGACGCAGATGGTCGCGCAGCGAACACCGGAGGTCGCACTCCTACCGGAGCTGCTACGTCGTCGTCCAAAAATACTGATGCGCTGTCTAGTAAAGACAAAAACTATATCCAGGAAAAAACACCCATCCCCATCCATTTTTTGCATGACAAACAAAGGAATTTATACATGTTTTGCATGACAAATTGGATGGGGATGGGTGTTTTTTCCTGGATAAACTACTACGATCGTCGCAGCAAGTCTGCTGAGCATAATGTGTCGGACCTTGATGTCCCAAAGGTTGCCATTTACCCCTGTGGCCACTTCCTCTGTAACGTCTGCGCCGCGAGCCATGAGGACCGCGGCAGGGGGTTGAAGACCGGCTGTCCCTTTTGCCGCACCGGGTCGAAAAGCGAGGTTTTCCCGAGCCTGTTTGAGCTCAGGACATGGCTGAAATTGGAGGAAGTTCTCGAGTTAGGACTGCCGGAAGACGGAGTGGCTTTCGACGGGGGTGGACCGCAGCAGGGCGAAGCCTCTTCTGCTTCTTCTTCTTCTTCTGTGGCGCGACCAGGAGGTACTGAAATATGGTTTTTTGCTGCTGCTGCTTTGCAGAAGATGAACATACACGAGGCTTCTGCGTTGAGTTGTCTGATTTCCGCTCGACGAGGGCTTCGCCGCATGATATCTGCGTCTGATCCATAGAGTGTGGTTTTTACGTTCCTACTCGCAATGATCGCAGTAAAAATCAGGTTCCAACGCAGCTGCTGCACCCTCCCCTTCCGCCGAGCTCTTTCCGCCAGCCTCGAAAGCGCAAGCACAAGCCAAACCGGCGGCCTGTTCGTGGACCCTCCGCGAGTGGCGCACGCACCAGGAACTTTGCCCGCGACAGTGCTTCTTGGAAAATCCGATGAGCATATCCAGGAAAAAGCACCCATCCACATGCAATTTGTCATGCAAAGCACGTACCAAGTTCTATGTTTGTCATGCAAAAAGTGGATTGGTTTTTTTTCTGTTGATAGAACATTCGGAAAATCGACACTTTGCTGGCACTGTTTCATGAAAACGACGGAAATCTTCAAAGTCACAATCATCGTGGTCCTCGCACGATATCCTTCACGCCACGGGAGCGCGAATCTCTTTGGAACAACCTGAAAAACCACGTAGACCAGGAATTTCAGACGTGGCTACTGTTGCAGAAGACCAACTTCCACCGGCAGGGCAGTACTGGGAGTAGTACTGCTGGTACTAGTGCCAGCGCTTCCTCGTCGGGGATCTCTGGTGGGAGCGGACTTTTCGCTGCAGGTGGAGCTGCTGCCTGTAGTTCTACTGGTGCTACTGTTGCTGATGGTGCTGCTGCTGCAACCTCCTACTTAGGTACCGATACGTCGCCGCAACAAGAAGAACCCGAGGCACCTCGCGATGAAAACAGCACAGTGGCCGGCAGTTGTTTGGAGGATGTTTCTGCTGTAGGTGCTGCGAAGACAGAAAGCGACTCGAAGATTTCAAACGACGACCTTGTTGGCGAAGATGGGACCACAGGAGCTAAGATAATGACTTCTAGTGGTAGCAGCTCCAGTTCCATCATAAATCACGATTTTGCAGCTGCCAGCCCCGTATCGGACAGCGCCAGCACAGCTACACCGGGGAGCAGTTGCTCGACCTTGCGCTGTATGCATTGCAAAAGTATCGTACTAGTTCTAGTATGAATGGCATTGCAAATTTTTTCAAGAACGAAAATGGAGTCTGCCATGCTGATTTTTCTTTCGGAATGGAATTTGTCATGCATGATTGTCATTCGTGCGAGTACGATACTTGTGCAATGCATACGCTGTAACAAGTCTTCCACGTCGTCTCTGTTTGCTCTGGATGAAAACAGCACCTGCTCCCCCATGTCTGCCGCCGCAGCCTTGCGGGGGCTTTCGCTGGACCAGAGCCCGGGTCGTGGTGGAGTAGCTGGAGTTGCAGCAGGTGTTGCTGCTTCACATGACCACGACGTGCTGCCACCCGCCACAGAATCAGAAGCCCCGTTTGGGATAGGCCTAGTACCGCAGGAATTTTTACGAACTGCTGCGGAACAAGGACAAGCCGCGTCAAGCAGATCAACTCAAACTCTCGACGTGGCAGATGCTGAAAGCGAGACGCTGCTGGCAGCTCCTTCTGGAGCAGCAGCAGCTCTCGAACATGATGAAATCAACCATGATTTTTCTACCGCACACGAATTGCAAGACCGCGCTGCTGTTTTGTTCCCGCTCGTTGACGAAGAAATGACAGCATCCGAAGCAGTACCACTTGCAGCTTCTCCCACTGGAGGTGCTCCAAACGCTGCACCACCATTATTTCCTAGTACGACAGCCACAGATGAAGTAGAAGAACCGATCAACACCCCCTCATCTACACAGCAACCGATACCGACCAGTGCCCCGCGTGCCCGGATTTCTCGTCTGAGCAACCGGATTCAGCGTCTGCGCCGCCGAAACCACGAAGCAGAACGGTACGTCGGGTTCGACCCCGACCATGATCGAATAACGCTGGACTACCTGCGAACACTCGCGAACGCCGATGGGATGGAGGTTCCGCCTTCCGTCGTCCCGAGGTTTCTTCGTGGGGGTGTAAACAGGGCTGCGAACAACAGAGGTAGTGCTGGGGCTGCTGCTGCTGGTCCTGGGAGGAGGAGGCAATCGTGGCGTGGAAGGAGAACGACAGACGCGTCAGCAAGTAGTTCTGCTTCGCCGAACAGTGCCGGGAATGGAGCTAGCGCGTCGAGCACGACGACAAATAACGTTTCTAATGCTCCGAACACAATGACAATGAATGCTGGTGGAACTTCTACTGTAAGCACTACGAAGCAACCCTCGACGTCGACAGTGGCGGCGTTTGTGCAGCACCGGGCGATTATGGACCTGGTCTCCACGATCGGGGAGGAGGCGGCGGTTTATCATATGTAAAAACGTCCCCACCCCATCGTCAAGTTGGGAAATCTGCAAGACAAATCAACACGCTTTGGCTATTACGCATGACAAGCTTGGCCTCGTAGTGTAATCCTCTTCAGCTAGTGCAGTAGCATCACAGACGTAGCGCATCGCGCTGATTGGGGCATCACAAATTTCGAAACGTCACAGCTAGAAAATGGATATGCTTCCCATGGGGCTCCGCATGAGAGATATCTTCGGCATGCAGATTTGCATTACGGGGACGTTTTTGCATAGGAGACGGCTGCGCTGCTGTTCTACCTCTTGGTGAAAAACAGCGGGGACTTGCGGCTGCACGATTGCAGCGCGACAAGTGGCAGAACATCAAGTCGGGGCTCAGGCAGAACTAGTTCAGGTGCTGCCGGGGCAGGTGGTTCCTCCCTTCCGTCTGTAAGTGCAGGTGCGGCTCCGGCGATGCAAGAAATGCGGTTTTGGACTACTGACGTTCCACGGAGCATAGTACAACCACACGGCGAGGAGCAGAATTATCCAGATAGTACGCGTCGAGTTGAACTAGCAGGCGATGTGGAGATGGCTGCCGGTCGTTCTATCGGCGGTGCCGCGTCAAGCACAGGTCGGCTCGGTCCTCCTACAGAGAGTGTGCTTGTGCGAGAAAACTGTGACCACCTGGACCACCGAAGTTGTTCACCAGCTGATTTTTCCAACGTAGAAGTCCAGCAACCGCGTCTGCACGATCTGCAGGAGGAACAAGAAGGAGAAAGTGAACAGTTACTGCAAGATGAAGGTCAACTACTGCCAAGGATCGCGAAGCCCACGACTCCTGCCGCGACGACCTCCGAGAGCAGGGGCACAACGGAAATCGGGGAAACACCGTCAGCGTCGCCTGTCGGGGAACAGGAGGAGGGCGACGTGGAAATGGGAGACGTTGGCGCTGGTGTCCGGATGAACTATAACGATGCACGTCGAGCACAGCGAGACGGAGACCACGAGTACGATTATGTTCTGCGGACATCAGGAGCTGATGATGCGACCGGGTTTGAAGAAATCGCACTTCTAGGCGACGATGAGCACGAAGCTCTTGCTAATATGGAACTACTACACGACAATGACGCAGTGCTACACCGCCTGCCTTCCTTCACTCCACCGTCTGAAAGACCAGAAGACCGTGGTGCGGTGCTGGATACGCACATTCTTACATCGCCCTCTGATGAGATGAATTCAGCGAGCGAAGCGGATCAGCAGGATTCGTCAGACGTTGCGGAGATGGAAGATGATCGTACTGGACTGGACGAAATAGTAAGCGCCGGTCAGAACGATGCTCACATCTCCGATGGAGAAGAAGATGACCTTTTGGCGCAGTCCAACAGTCTTCTCTCCCGGTCTAGTACCAGTTTGTTGTCTTTATCTCCCTCTCGAAGTAGGGGCACGACTAGAGCACGATCTAACACCTCCTCGGCGTTATCTTCAAATCTGAACTTTCCTCGCACGTCCTCAAGCGACTCTTTTCCTTTTGGCATCCGACGGCAAGTTTCCAACCCGGCGAACAGTAGTTCCTTGGAAAGGAGCTTCGATGTTAGCGGCGTCAGCGGCGGCTCGTTGACGCCCGGAGGTGGGCAGAGAAGAGCAGCATCTTCCTCGGTTACTTCTAACATTGCTGCGATTCCCATTCCGGACGACGAGGATGAAAATGATCTTACCAGTTGTGAAGAGACGTCTTCTGAAGTAGGGGGATTGGGGATACCCGGAAGTGCGGTCTCTGCTGGTGGCGAGCGTGGTCGCGAAGCAGAGCGTGAACAAAAACAAAATTCACCGCAAAGCATCAGCGGCAAAGCCGCTGGCGACCTTTCGTGTTCACAGGAAGAGCTCCTGCTTCTTCCGCAGCACACCTGTTTGCGCCTGATTCCAGAGGATGGAAGTTTTTCGGACCACTTTGCAGGCGGGCGATCTGGATCCAGTAGTGGTTCTTTGCTACGTTCTGGTTCTGTCGCGCAGCAGCAGCAGCACGAGACGAGGACGACGACCACCAGTGCCGATCTGAAAGAAGAGGAAAGGCCGACGCATGACCACAAGACGCAGCCACCAGCTGTGGACCTAGAGGAGCGAGCCAAAGACCATATGTTGCAGCGGCTGGTGTCTGATATCTTTTTCGAAGCGGACGAAAACTGTTCTAACCTCTTCCACGACGACGTGGTCGAATTTTTGCTGCAAACGACCGAGGATCGCAGTAGCAGTTCGACTGGAAACGTCAACAACGACAGAGGAGAACAAGAACAACAGAGGGACGACCCTTCCGAAAATGCAAATAACAATTCTATGATGTCAGAAACAGATTCAGATTCAGACTCTGCGGAGATGACAAGCGAAGATGGAGGCCCCGACTACAGCGACACTGGCAGCTCCAGCTCTAAAGACCCTACGGCTACTGCTCCTCATGGTACCCGAGCCAGCTGTTCCTTTCCACGACCGACCGACAAAGCCGAACAAATCCGCACGCAGGTTGTGGACTACTTGAATTCTCAGAAAATCGTCGGGCGGTTGCAACCGCGGCGCCGGGGCAGTAACCGACCGACTTCGAGCAATGGTAGAAGGAACAGCAATACTCGGAGGAGGTCTACAACAACTTCGAGCAATTCTGAAGACGATAACGTTAGCAACACCAGTTCCAATAACCGGGAAGGTCCAATAAATGACGATGAAGGCCACCACAGCTGCGGCACCGTCTGCTGCGCGGCAGTGATCGCCTTTTCCGACCTAGGTTGCATCTACCACTCGATCGCGGCAACGCTTGCGCAGCCGAATCTGTTACCCTTGATGGCGATTTTCCCCGTCAGCGGATGTTTAGCCAGCCGGGTGATGTTCGCGCAGTTCGCGGGACACAACCTGTTCGAAAGACTTTTCGAACGGGCGGAGCGGAACAGAACTAGGAACCAGGCACGGAATAACAGTAACAACCAGGGCTATTACCTGCGGAGCACCCGACTGCTGCGCGATTGTTGTGACCGTTTCTTCGATTACCACGATTGTTGCTGCACGGCCATCGCTATCAACTGTAAAAATGTCTGGGTCTGGAAGATTTCCAGGTTTGTCATGCATATTTCGCATGGGTTATGATGCCTGTAATGCATGACCTAGCATGACAGATTTTTTGCGGGTATCTTGATGCCTATCCCGCATGACAAATGCCCTCTCCGCGGAGCAAAAACTGGACGCCTCTTGCTGCTCATGCAATACAGATTTTTTCAGATTCGAAAAATAGCATCACAAGTTGCATTCTTCCAGACCCAGACATTTTTGCAATCCATAATCGCTAGGCCGTACGTGGTGGTCACCGAAGCCTGTTTCCAGGGGATTTTAGAGTGCGTAGAGGATTGTGGTTGCTGCAGCGAAGCCTGTGAGGATTTTCGACCGTTTGGGTGTGTAAGGGATACCGTGGCGCAGTGTGCCGGGAGTGTGTGTTGCTGCTTTGGCTTCAGTGGTGCTGTTGCTGGATCAGCCTCTACTACGACCGGGGGAAGAGACCGCACTGGCTCTGGTATGTCCGGTACCTCGGCTCGAGATCTTGCGGTGAGCGGAAGAACAAGTGCTAGTGATAGTGCGGGACAACGAGGACTACTACTACACAACGAGGGTCGTGAAAGAGAACTGATTTCTACGGACCGCGACAGCGGCTCGCAACACCTGCAGATCGAACTGAGCAATACGAATTACGGATCTACTACTATCACCACTGGATCTGGAACAACTTCTAGCGCATCGAGAGTATCACCATCAACGAAAAAAACCGAGCCGAAGCCACCGTCTCGTTCTCCCCCCGCCCACTTCCTGGAACCGATCCCGCAAAACGTGTCCGAGTTGAAAGACCTCCGCCTGTCCGACTGCGCGGCAGCGTTCATCGCGCATACGCGGCAAAGCCAGCGGCAGTGCGAGCTGAAGCGAATGCGCGGCCGGATCAAGGCGTTACTGACAGACCGTATGGGAGTGTCAGGACCGAAATCGTCAAAGTTGAGATGGTTTGTCATGCATAAAATGCAACGTCGCAGAGAATGCCTCTATTACGGAGGACGCAAACCACGTGGCTGATTGTAGTGCTGGCAAGGGTCGAAGTCGATAATTGTGCTGCTGATGAGCGTGACAGACGGGAGCCATTTTGCTCTAAACAGCACGACAGACTTGCTTTAGAGCAGGCAAAGAAGATTTGTCATGCGCCGACTCTAAACTGTGGGCCCAGCCGGTATCGATTTTATGCATTGCAAATTTTTTCAACTTTGTCGATTTCGATCCTGACACTCCCATAGACCAAATGGTCGACCGGATGAAGTATGGCTCGAAGAGGGAAAAGGCGATAAGATTGAACCAATTGGCAGCTTTTGCGTCGGAGTTGCAGGCGGTCGTGTTGGCGGTGGAAGAACAGCAGATAGCGGGGACGCATGGATGAAGAGGCTACACTGGTGGCGGGGACACAGCAAATAGCGGGGACGCAGCTGGAGGAGGACCCCGGCGAGAAGGCCAGCAGGCAAATATCCAGTGCAAATATTAGATATCTGGGTCTAGGATGATGTTGCAAGTGGAACTTGTATTGCTTGTCTGGTCGTGTAATTCCTGTGGAGTCTGCGTTGCATGACTAGCACAAGCGCGACGACCTTTTTTGTCAGGCAAAACTGCAGTTTGTCTCTGTCTTTGTAATGCGCGCTATGCACCATGAAGGAGTGCCCATAATAGTAATACTTGTCATGCTTGGCAACTGCACTAAGAAGACTGTTGCTGTTCAATTTTGGCCATTCAGCATCACAAGTTTCCAGACCCAGACATACTTTCAATGCATACCAAACTCGCGGCAACAGCAATTCTACCGCGTCCCGCTTTGGACGACACAGCAGCTGTATCCACTGCAAAAATATGTCCGGATCGACGTCTTAAAAAGACTGTGATATTTGTCATGCTACTGTACTAGTCTGGCATAGCTTTGGTCTGAGCTCTGTAGTGCGCACCGACAAGGACGAGGTCCTCTTGATGCCTGTCATTCACAAACGCAGTTTCTCATCATGCGGGATACGAATAGGAATGAAAAAGCAACGATAAAATCCGTTATTATGCTACTTGGCGGTGCATTAGCATTTACACTTATTCACTGACATGCGTCACAACTTATTATGTATAAAAAGGAACTTGTTCATTTCAGGGGACCCAGACATGTTTGCAGTGCATAAGCTGCAAGACGCCATCGAACCGACGCAAGCGGACTACGATTTGCAAGCGGACTTCGCTTTTGCGTCGGAGTTGCAGGCGGTCGTGTTGGCGGTGGAAGAACCGCAGATAGCGGGGACGCACGGATGAAAAGGTTACACTGGTGGGTGTTTAAGGCTCGAAGAGTTGCACGACGAGTGTGGCCGGGCTGATTGTCGGTCAGGGGAAACAAGAATATCTCATCTCTCCTCGTCATCACGAAGAGCGATCGCCTCGCCTAGCGGCTACGGTAATGAGCAAAGCATTTTTTGTTGGGTCGACGGGAGATAGAAGATACTTTTAGTAGTTTGTTTTGACTAATATTGTTTTTGGGAATACAGAGTGCGATCCAAGTGCAACAAAACTACCAGGAAGCCCAAATGCCGATGCCGCATGGAAACTACACGTCGTGGGCAGCATGTCTACTTTAAGATTTCTTCCACTCATCAATGTTTCTGTATACTAGGCTGTCAAAAATGAAACCTTAAACCTGTCAATGTCATGGAAAACGAGAAGAAGTCTTTCTTTTCAAACTTTCTGTTTCGAACCAAATAACCACTCTGCAAATTTCGATTTCATACTTTTCTTCCAAACGCCGAACGCTATGGGAGAAAGAATCGCAAGTAACTCTCCACATTTGTCAAGGATTTTACCTTTTTTGATTTTGACCTGTTTCGTCTCTCGGAAAGTGTTTTTTTTACAAAAGATTTTTCGAAATTTACGTTTTGGCGTAGTTGCTATCGGGCAGCACGATTTGAACACTAATGTCAGCAAAATGTCAACGCAAAATGAATTTTATGCTTGAAAATTCCATGCATCTACATCTTCATCGTCAGAAAAATACCCTCGCAGTAAGATTGCTGCTTGCACCTGTCAGTCCAGCTGCGTACATTTTTCACAGTGGCCGAAATCGAACTCCTTAAATTCAATATTGAGGTCGGTGTACTAGCAAAGAAATCCGTTTCGGTACGAAGAAAGATCGCGACTGCGCGTCTGCGGATTGCTCTTCCGAATCAGGATGAAAGCAAGGAGGTTTGTGTCGGTTCTTTTTCCTCGTTCGAATTTGACGTCATCATCGTAGATGAACATAATCGGTTCGTGTGGTAAAAGTGCTGGATCTCTGCGGAGTCGTCGCTTCTTGCGCCGTTCGGTTTTTGTCGTGCTTTCGCGCGTCCTTTGTGCTGTCGGTTCGTTCGTACTCATGAAACTGTCGAGAGCGTCCTCGTTCCGTTCATTTCGGCAATCAATCGTTCTAGTAGTCTCCGCGTACACGACATTTTTCGCCGAAATAAAGGTCTCGTCGGTCATTTGAGCGACCTATGTAGCACTTCGTTCACCATGTTAGTGTTATGACGTGCTGGAAGACGAAGATGTCGTCGGGAAGATAGACTTTGTCGGCCTACGCACGATTAGCGGCAGTCGACGCACATCACGCGGCGAGCAAGGCGGCTCTGGCGACCAATTTGTCGCAACCAATTTGTACGCCGCTGCATTTTTCGCGACCAATTTGTCGCACACTGTGCCGTAGATAGGCATAGTTTAGTCTTCATCGTATTATATGATTTGCTATTCATATTTTCTCAACACGACAGTCAAACTGAATTCGAATTCCAAACCTTTTCGCTTTCCCCCAGCCTGTAGCGGAATCGCTAAAACTCTCTAACAAACCCCAACGAACAGCAAATTTTTTCAAAACTATTTCATAATCAAAGAAGGAGCAAGTCGAAGAGGATTATCGACAAACGTATACATACAAGAACACGGAAGAACAATATCTACAAATACCAAGAACACAGAGAAGGACTTCTGAGTTCGTACTAACTTTCCCCAAAGTACAACTCAATCCACGACTGAGGACACGACTACGACATCAGGCACTGCCATCGACTTGATTCAGACCCACACGCCGTCGAAGGGCCACCCATCTTCGTCAAGCCAGGGCTGTTGTTGTTCCTGCACGAGTCGAAAATCTCACGCGGCGAGAAATGTCGCGCTTATCGCTATTGGCGAAGACGTTCCTTGCCTTGCGCATCGGGACTACGGAGCGCGGGGGACTCGCGGTTGTGGCAATCGGTGTTGACGGAGAAGCAAAGCAGGGCCGCAAAAAAGTCAAATACGGCAACCTGCGGGGGAGCCGGAAAAGGGCGGAGGCTACCGACAGCATTGCGACCGTGGACGGTGAAAAGTCGTCTAATGTTGATGACAAGTACGAATTCCTGGAGGAAGGAGCTGCAGCAGCAGGTATCAGTATGCTGCAGAATTGTACTAGTGCGCAGTGCGCATATTTTTCCAGCTTCACTCCTCTTACTTTTCGCCTGTCAAGCTTGACAAGGCTGGAGCCGCAGATCATGATCGATCTGTGCACTGTCGGCAAACGGTGCACATGTTTAGGCCGGTGCTTAAGGCGCCAGTGAAGACGTTCACACAAACCAGTTGAGCACCAGAACGATAAGCAGTGAATTGCCTGCTTGCAATCCTATCCTGCCTACTATTCCACGGGCCTATCTCTCCCGCCTCTCTCTTCTCTCCCCGCTTACGCACATCTCATCTATATGCGAAGTCAATCTACGACAGTGTGTTTTTAAGTACTGTTGGTACTTTTAGTTTTTAGTAGTAGTTTACCACATCCTCGAATCGTATTTCCACATTCTCGATTCTATATCGCATTATCGCTCGTTCTGCCCTATTACTACTTCAACGTCCTCCCTAGCATTATCGGTCACAATTCGGTTTCTAAACGATCCTGCCGATCTTCTCCCCTGGTTTGTTCTGTGTGGTGTTGTTTCTGCTTCCCTCGTGTCTTCTTTATCTCTAACAACACGTTAAAACTATGAGCACTTGGATGGTGGAGCCGGCGCCCCTACCCGCCTTGTGCACTGGGATCATAGTTTTAAGCGAGCACCATCGCACTATCCACCACCTAGGGCTGCCTTCCCACGCAGCGTGGCAGATATGCTTTGGACGGTAGGGGCAGAAGTGTTGTCCTTTCCCTCTCTCTCTATTTCGTCGTTTCTTGTTCAGCTTTTGTGAATGTCCATTCGGTTTAAGAATAAACATTAACCTCATTTTAGTAGTAGTTTACGTTGTTATGCGTTTTGTGTTGTATCTCTCTTTGATTATAATCGCTGTCCAGAACCAGAAGTTGGTTGCAGTTACTAACAAGACTGCAGACCGGGCTGAGGTTGATCTCTGCTCTCGCACTCGCGCCTCATGTTGAGTGTCATTGTCAGTGCCTACAAGCGGAAGTAGGTGAACGTGATGAATCGACGCAAGTTACTATTCGTGTGGGTGTGCGCATTATTTTTGAACAAAGCCAAGAAAGCCGTTTATTGAACCCACCAAGGCTCGCTGTGAGATTTCCTCTTATTTGAGAAGGCATAGACGAACGATATCGGGTAGCAGGTGGATTAGCAGTCATTTTAGGGGTAGCTCATGACTAGGACAAGCTTACACAACAACTTCACGGAGAAGATGATCAGCACCATCAAGAAAACAAATTCAAACAGCAAGTTCTTAGCCTGTTTTGTCACCAAGGCCACTTCTAGAATCGCATTGCAAATATCCCTATCGCATCAATTACATCGATTACAGAAAAATTGGCGACAATCCCCGAAGAACAAGATGGGCCGGGAGGTACCAAAGTCGATAATTTGATGTTTTAGGTGGAGCAGGGGAAATTAATTGAATTATGTCCTTTCATCAAGCCCTCTACAGGTTCTTTTACAAGATCTTCAGATCATTGCCAAATTTGCAGCTTGTTTTTACTCGCAGAAGAAATATTGGAACTAGAAGTAGACCACCGGGCCGCAGCCGCTTTCGATGTTCCATGATGTTGAAAGCATCGCCACGCTATGCTTTGTGAAGAGTAAGCGACGCGGTCTTCCACCGACCACGAAGCTGCATCCATCGATCGTCTTCGGATGTTTTGAAGGGAGGACTGCTTGCGTGCTCTCTTTTCGCTTCATCATTTCATTTGCTTCTCCTGATCCTCAAATGCTCTCCCTCGCAACATTGCTTTCAGTTTTCAAATCACGAACCAAGAAATCATGAGAGGATTGTGCTACTTCATATATTATGGAATGCAAATATCAATATGTCTGGGTCTGGAAAAGCATGATTGAAGCGCTTGCAATGGCAGCCAAGCATGACAAGTTTTTGAGACGCCTGTTCATGCCTAGCACGCGTCACAAAGTGCGTTTTTGCATGACAAAAGAAGCTCCTCTTTTGCTCCTCATGCAACACAGATTTTCCAGGAATGCAAGACACGCACTACAAGTTCCACTGTTCCAGACCCAGACATCTTTGCAATCCATATATATAAATTTTATTTTTGTATTTAATTTTTTTAGTATTTTTAGTTATTCCCTTTATTGTATGTTGTATTTCTAAAGATTCCGGCGCGACACCCGGGGATGGGATGCAGCAACAGCAGGACGCGACTTTGCGATTGGAATTGCAGTCGTTACGTGAAGATGCTCGAACCATTATCGGGGCCTGGGGCGTCCTCAACGCCGATCCAAACATCCCGGAGGTCACTATGGCGTTCTCAAACGTTACATTCTCAAGTGATACATGATTTGTAATGCAAAATGACCATGAGCCGGAAGACGATCAAGCTGCTTCGCATGACAAATTATCGAAGTGGTAAACAGCATGTAAATCCGCGCCAAATTTGTGATGCAAGACTTGCAATCTTTCCCCTTTCCCTATTGCTGTTTATGCGTGGCAAGTTCATGTAACAGTTGAGAATGTAACAGTTGAGAGCGCCATAGCCACGATGACCAGCGGGCCAGTTGCCGAGTTGGGGAAAATCGCAACCGAACTAACGAGCGCGTTGGGAAAAGAATCGCTTGTTAAACAAGCCACATCTTCGGTGATCGATGATTTGAAGGAACAGGTTTTGCAGGGGATAACTGCCCTTCTGAAACATGCCAAGGACTTGAGGACGCAAGCAACTGGGATCAAGAACGCCGTTGACGAACAATTGAAACGCCTCAGCGCGGCCTCTGAGTCTGCAGATTCTGACTCCGTCGCAAAGAAGACCAAGTACGAAACGGCGCAGCGGCAGCTTGAAGAGGCTAACGCGGGTGCTGCGAATGCGATGTGGATTTTCAACCAGGGCGTCGCGCCGTCGGATGCTAGCATCAACGCCGCCAATCATTGGTCAAAAAAATTTACTTCGTCGGACGTGAAGCTTTTGGCAGAAAGCTGCGAGCAGCTGCGGCAGGTGCTGCAAGGCTTGGATCTTCCAGACGGTGAGCGTGCAAATGACGAGAAGCAGATGCAGCAGGCGGGCCCGCTGGTCTCTGCAGAGGACGTAAAGACGTTACGTGAAGATGCTCAAACCATTATCGACGCCTGGAGCAATGTCCTCAAGGCCGATCCAAAAATCCCGGAGGCCACTATGGCGTTCTCAAACGTTACATTCTCAAGTGTTACATGATTTGTAATGCAAAATGACCATGGGCCGGAAGACGATCAGGCTGCTTCGCATGACAAATTATCGAAGTGGTAAACAGCATCTAAATCCGCGCCAAATTTGTGATGCAAGACTTGCAATCTTTCCCCTTTCCCTATTGCTGTTTGTGCGTGGCAAGTTCATGTAACAGTTGAGAATGTAACAGTTGAGAGCGCCATAGCCACGATGACCAGCGGGCCAGTTGCCGAGTTGAGGAAAATCGCAAACGAACTAACGAGCGAGTTGGAAAAAGAATCGCTTGTTAAACAAGCCACATCTTCGGTGATCGATGATTTGAAGGAACAGGTTTTGCAGGGGATAACTGCCCTTCTGAAACATGCCAAGGACTTGAGGGCGCAAGCAACTGGGATCAAGAACGCCGTTGACGAACAATTGAAACGCCTCATCGCGGCCTCTGAGTCTGCAGATTCTGACTTCGTCGCAAAGAAGACCAAGTACGAAACGGCGCAGCGGCAGCTTGAAGAGGCTAACGCGGGTGCTGCGAATGCGATGTGGATTTTCAGCCAGTTCGTCGCGCCGTCGGATGCTAGCATCAACTTCAACGCCGCCAATCATCGGTCAAAAAAATTTGCTTCGTCGCACGTGAAGCGTTTAGCAGAAAGCTGCGAGCAGCTGCGGCAAGTGCTGCAAGGCTTAGATATCTTTATCAAGTGCAAATATGTCTGGGTTAGAAGCTTGTAATGCTAGTTTGCGCGTCCCCATAGACGTATTGGAGGTTGCTGAGCTGACAGCTCAGCAAGCTCCAAGCTGACAAGTTTCTCAGCGACTACTGCTTAGGTGTTGCGTAAACTGTATGAGAAACTAAAATGAAAATTGCTTGGTAGCGCTGCAACATGCCAACATGCATGACAGATTTCATCGTCATTTTTTGCCTTGGCATTCCATGTACCTGGAGGGCGGAAGCCTCATACCATGCCATGCCATACCATACCATGTCAGCAGAGCATTACAAGTCTTGCCATCTTCTTCCAGACCCAGACGCATTTGCAATGCATATCAATTGTGGATACTCAAACCATGCAGATTTGGAAAGAGTTGATTGTGGACACTCAGACCATTATCGACGCCGCGAACATGGTCAGCGAGGACATCGCCCTGACACAGGCCGACGAGCGAATAGACAGGGAGCACGGTAACATCGTTTCCAGCTTGGACAAAGTCGCCAAATCTCTGCTCCGTTTGAGCTTGGATGTACTGCATGGCTTAGAGAATAAAGCGCCAGTCATCGAGAATTGGAAGAAAGAGGTGCAGGAGGGGATACGCGTCCTCGTGAGTCATGCTGACGACCTCAAGACGCAAGCAACTGAGACCCAAAACGCAATTGCCGCGGCACAAGAAGGAGCACCTGCGCAAGCCTTGGAAATTAATGCGGCAAAAAAACAAGGCGGCTTCCATTCGGTTTCGGCTCTTACGAAAATCGGTGACCACGTGATGCGGAGGCCGACGCCATTGGCTGTTGGCCAGTTGCAGTTCGACGAAAACATGAGCAAGTGCGACGCAGCTCAGTCAAAGCTTGACGAGACTATCGCGGACGCTAGCGATGCGATGGAAATTTTCACTCATGTGCACCCTGGCGCCGTCAGTCATTGGTCAGGAAAATTTACGTCGTCGCACTTGCAGACTTTGGCGGGAAGTTGCAAAAGCCTGCGGGAGCTGCTGAAAAACTTGGATCTTCCAGACCTGCTTGATCCGTCAAACGCGGACACTGCGCTTCCGCGTCGTTTTTCGCGTTGGCCCTGGGTTTCCCGGTCCTTTGAGCAAATGACTCAGCTCCGGCTGCAGCAAGCATCTACCGCAGCAGTTTGGCTAAACAGCAGACTATCGACTTCAATAACCCAGCTGAGAGTTCACATCAAGGCGTGGACAATTGGCAGAGCCTCCCGACCGGAGGGCGATTTAGATTTCAAGAGCATGCTGACGACGCAGCTGGACTTATGGAAACAGCAAGAAGAAGCGCTCAAAAAGGTCCGGATGGATGTTGTGGCGAGCCGTGAGTGGTTGGAAGAGAGACAGTTTGGAGGTCTGCTCCGGAATAATTTGATGACAGGCGAAAAAGTAGAAGCAGGCCCGCTGGTTGATGACGTTGCGGAGCTTGAAAGTTGTGTTGCTCGAGCGGCTATGTCATTTGTTGGCGTTGATGGCGTTGAGGGAGGCGAGCCCAACCTGTTCAAGCAAGCGGCGCCCGAGGATGAAAATTTGCGCCCTGAAGAAAAAAAGCATGCGGCGCCGGAGGAAAAAACGCTTGTGACTTATGCCGAGCAGTATACCGCGGGCCTGTGCCTGTCCAAGGGAGTGGATGTCGGAGGTGTGCTCCAAAAAAAAAAAAAGGGATACACGTCTGCAGAGGCCGCGGCACATCTTAAAACGCTGCGGGAAACTGCGACAGGATGCGGGGGCCTTGCTTCCGGCGCGACTACCCCTGCAACTGCTGCCGCTAGGCTGGGGGAGGTTTTGTCCCAGGCAAGCGACCTTCTCAACCTCACGGAGCCCCCCACCGCAGCGCCAGCGGATGGGCCGCCAGCCGGCATGCCCAGTTCTTCGGAGCCGGTTGGCGACATCGATAGGCTCAGGGCCTCCCGCAAGGAACTTGCCGAGAAAAAGGCGCGGGTGGAGAAGTCCGCGCACTCCTTGGAGTCGGCCTCGGGTCCAGGCGCCGACGTTTACGAGAAGGGGCAGTGACGCTGTCAGGCCTAGAAATTGCGTGGCTGCGCTCCTGAAAATAACAGGCATGGCCCAAAATGGTTTTCCGCTGAATCGGCGCAAAGGCTGCCATTGATTTCGTGGGCGCCGTGGTGGTGCCATGGCGCATCACAAACAGCCGGGACACCGCATTGCCTGCGGGCATTGGTTTCGTGCTCCCAGCTGCCATCAAATATTGAATGACGGGGAAATCAGGGTAGACTTGCCGGCACAATAAAGCGTCGCCAGCGCGCCCGCCCGGCTTCCTTGCGTTAATAAGTGCTCAGTTACCGACAGGCCGGCACAGATGTGTGGCGGGCCTGGTGGTTTTGGAAAGGGCCCCAGGCGCGGAGGCTTCCGCCCCCGAAACTCGGCCGCGCCGAAGCCGGGCCCCGGGGGGGCGGGCGGCTGCCCCGATGGGGTGCCGCACTCCACCAGCAGGCCCCGGTCCGCGGCTGACAAAAAAAATGGCTAAATTTTTCGGGATTCCCCCAATACCGGCGGGCCCAGGCGTGAGTGCCCCAGGCTAGTTTGCGCGGCAAGCCCTCCTGCCGGAGGTCCCAAAGACTAGGCGGAACCGACCCTCTGCGCCACATTAGGCCGCCTGCTTGGCTTACGAGCGTCAGTCAGAGAGCCCGCGGGCCGCGGGAGGCACTAAACCCCAGCTAATTTTTGCGGGATTTCCCCAAAGCCCTTAGGGTGGGCGGCGGTTTTCATCCCCGGGCGTTGAAGTTTCCCGGGCCCGCAGGGTTCCGCCCTTTTCCACCGCGCCCGGGGGGCCGGGTTTTTGTCAAATCCCCCCGCTGGTCCCGCGTGTGTTTTTCCATGAAAAGCCACGACGGGAATTAAAATTTAAAAATTACGGCCGTTTGCAGGGGATTCGGAATTTCGAACGCCCTGGGGGCTTCTTTGGTATTTTCGTACCCGGGTGGCCCCGAAGGTGGAGGGCAGCGCTTGTGGTCTGGTTTTCATGGGGGCCCTCGGGTTTTCGGCTTGGGTTGTGAAGACCTGGGCCGTGTGGGCAATGTTGAAATCCCTGCACCCTATCCCTGTTTCGTTCTTTCGCAAAGCCATTGTCGCTGGCTTTTTCGAAAGCTTTCGATTTTTGGGCTCTGAGTCGTATTCTATTTTGGACTTCTAAACGTGCTCGCTGTTTTGCTTTCTATTTTTCTGCGGGATTCGCGTGTTCGGCAGCTGTCTTCTCAACTTCTATTTTTCGCGACACTGGAGATTTCCAAAGGAAATCCTCCAAAGCGCGAATTTAGAAGTTGAAAAGCAGCCGCTCGAACATGCGAATCCCGCAAAAAATAGAAAGCAAAATAGTAGCACGATTTAGAAGCCAAAATAGAATACGATTTAGAACCCAAAAATAGAACATGATTTAGAATACGAAAATAGAACATGATTTAGAATACGAAAATAGAAGCAAAATTAGAAACGAAAATAGAGCCCAAAAATAGAAACAAAATTAGCCGCAGAATTAGCAGCGAAAATAGCCGCCCGCGGGGGGTGTTTCGTATGGGTGTAACTGGGTGGGGTGTTCGATGGGTGCTTTTGCTTCTCGGGCGGTTTTGGGATTTGGGGTTTTGTTTTGCGGGAATTCATCCTGTGTGAGATTGCCGGCGTTGCCATGCTCCATGTGTAGGAGGCGGCCTGCTTCTCGTTGTTTTCTTTTTCTTGTCCTGAAGCCCCTCTCGTGATTGTTTTGGGACCTCGCGCGCGGCAACTTGGGTTGTCGCTTTTTCGGGTTTGGGCCTTCAACTATTATCCCGATTGTCGGGGTTTGAAAAAATCCCGCAAAAATTAGCTGGAAATTAGCGGCCGCCACCGCCCCGGGGTTTCCAACTGACGAGCGCCGGCCGCGTTTGCTTGGATGGCAGGCTGGCGGCCGGGGCGGCCCGACTAGGGGGGGCAAAGGCGCCGCGGAGGATTTCATTTTCTAGATGGGCGCCCGGTGGCACGTCCCCGACCGCAGAAAGCCACACCGGGGGCGCGAGAAGAGTCACGGAGGCCGCCCGGGAGGCCGAAGAGCCCCGAGGAGACATTGGGAAAGGCGGGGCCTTGCAGGGACCCCCAGGTAGCAGGGGGCCCCGATTCTCCGGGAACACGGAATCTTCCGCGGGGCGAAGCCCACCCGGGGAGGCGGTTCGCCTGGCCAGCAGCAAGCGTGTTAGTTGGTGTTCTGGACGCGCCGGCGCGTGCCTTTTTTTCCTATCCCCATTCCCCGCGATCAAGAAGTATTACTATTGGAGCCCACGCACCTCCTTGTTTCGGGAGTTTAGTTAGGCCTGAGCGTGTCAGGGCCCCCTCTTATACAAATGCTGCCGAAGCGCAAGACCTTGAGCACCATGTTGCCCGGCTGACTATGTTGTTTGTTGGCTTTCACGATTACAACGATGGCGCCCTTTGGGCGATCAGCAAGCTCGGCCACCAAAAGGTGCAAACGCTTATGGAGTACGTCGCAGCGCATGCCGAGAGCTTGGTCAGAAGAGGCACCGCCGTACGGCATGTGCCTCCCGGAAGTATCGCACAGGGGGCCCTCGATAGCGTGCGGCGCGACTTAGAAGACGCGATCACGCCGAACATCTTGAGGTCGCTTGCAGGAAAGTGCACGAAGCTTGATGGTAGGAGGCTGAATCCTTTCCCCATCTCCACGCGGCCCCGCTTTGCAGGCACCGCTAGCCCGCGGCGCCATTTGTTTTGTAGCCTCCCGGCGCCGACTGCCTCGGCACGGCCGCAGCGGCTGGGGGCATGGAACCGGCGGCGGGGCGCCTGTTTCGGCATTGTCAGCTGGCTGAGTGCCCCCCGCGCCGCCTCCCCAGCCGCGCTGGTTTTTTGCCCTCGGGGGCTGGCTTGCGCCTTGCCACCCCTGCTCCCTCTGCACCGCGCCCCGGGCGCCGCCCCCCGTTTGCTTCCTCGCCTACTGCTGCAGCCCCCCCCCGCCCTGGCTAGCCGGGTCCCCCCGGCCGCCCTGTTGCATACCCGGCGCCCCATTGCGAGCACCCGCCCCGCCACAATGTGGCGCGCTTGAATTTTGTGCCCCGTTTATGTATTGCTACTGGCGCGCCTGGCGCGAAAAGTTGGAAGGGTGCGCGCGTGCGCCCACAGACGGCGCCTTCGGGCCGGGGAACGGGCGCCCGGCTTTTGCCTTTCGCCGTCACTCGAGTGAGAAGCCACTGCCCCGAAGCGGGAAAGCGAGGCATGGGGAGATGGGTCAGCACTCGATAGCGCCTCTTGATGTTGTGTTTGCTCGTAGGTTGGAGAAGGTTGTGGCCCAGGCAAAGGGTCTAGAAAAGTTGGCCAACGATGAAGCTGGCTGGGCGAGCGACGAGGAGGGCCCGGATGTGCATGACCTCTGGGACAGGGTTACTGCCGCCGAAGCCCAGCTGGATAAGGAGGCGGACGAGGAGGGTGGTATGTCTCTTGGCGCCGTCAGGACTCTCGAAGACGCTGCGGCCCGATTGGCTCTGGCGTTTGTTTCTGAAGGTGAGAAAGTTCTCGACGGATTGGCCATTGGGCGCCTCGGCTCTGAGGCCGTGCAAACGCTCGCGGAGTATGCCACGGCGTACGTCGACAAGGTGGAGAAGCGCCGCAACCCACTGAAGGAGCCGAGCAGGGAGTGGGAGAAGACAAAAGCAAAACAAGAAAAGTAGGGGCGGAAAGCGAAAGTCTTTGGGGGGCCCACTCGCAGAACCTTTAGTAACCGACGCGGCCGCCCGTGTTCGTCCATGCATTCAAATAAGCAGGCAGGTTGGGCGGGTGTGCCGCCCTGACGTTGTTATGGCGCGGCCGGCGTTGTTTTCCTAATTTCTCGCGCGCAGCAAGATCTGTCGGACGCGCCTGAAGCGGCGTCGGTTGTGTATTTAAGAACAAGGCAGGCGCACGCGCACCGGATCGCATTTTCGTAAAGCCCGGAGGCGGGCCCCGTTCGGCTCTGGGGGGCCCTCGCAAGGGTGGGTGGCAGCGTGTTCGCCGAGCCTGAGCTGGCGCCCGCCCTCGGTTTGTCCGCGCTTGGCCGGGCACTTTAGTCAGTGCGGCGCCCTTCGTCCAGGGCCCAGCCAGGTTTGGATTTTGCAAGCAGGCCAGCAGATAGGGCCCGGCCGGCTTGTGGGGTAGGAAGGCGGCGCCAACAGAACAGGCGCAGCCAGGGCCTGCCCTCTCTTGTGGGCGACCGGGCGGCGGCAATTTGATTGGTCTTGTGGCCTCTGCTGGGTGGCCCCGCCCCTCTTTCTTCTTTTCCGAGGATGCGAGCGAAGCAGCGCGGGCCGGCGTACGCGCGCCGGGCGGGAAACAGCGCGGCGAGGTTGCCGCCCCGCGGAGGCTGATTGGTTCAGGCGGACGAACCTTGGGCGGGCTGTTTTTCTAAAATCTGGCGAACCCGTCGGGGACTTGCAAAACCCCGGGCGCCGAGGCCGTCGCCCCGCGGCGATTTTATTTTTCTCGGGCAGCATGCAGCACGCAACGCAGTACCCGCCCCCGGAACGTTTGGCGGGAAACGGGATGGACACGGCGCCGGGGCCCCGGCGCCCCTCCCCCCGCCGTTTTTTTTGTGTATTGGCCGCAGCCCTTCTTTTGTTTTTTTTTGTCTTTCTTGCTCCGCCTCGGGATGTTCTTTGGGCCCGTTTGAAAATTTAAAAGCCCGGGGCCTTTTCTTGCGGTAGCCTACCAATTGGCCCAGGCCGTTTTATTCGCGGAAGCGGACGGGCGGGGTGTGCCGTTTTGTTGTTGGCCGCCCGGGGCAGAAGCCGAACCGCCCGGCCGGTACGGTGCGGCGCTGCCTGTCTTATAAAATTAAAAACGCAGTAGACGCGACCGCGGGGCGGTGCGCCGCGCCTTCGCGCCCCAGCCAGCCAGCGAACAAAAGCGAGGACGCCTGCGTGTAATTGAGCGAGATACGGCGCCCGGTGATTTTGCACATTTGTGCGCGGGATGGCGTCTGCGCTCCTGCCCGATGGCACCGAGATGGTAGCTGGGGCCCTGGGGCGCGATTTGTCAAGGCGGCGGGGCCCGAAAGCGTCCGCCCCCACTTTCGCTCTCGGCCCTCCGGGCTCGTTTCTTGTTCTAGTTAACGTTGCCAGGGTGGCGTGGTTTTCTTTGCCAGCGCGCTCGGTGGCAACTGTAAAAGGCCCCAGAAAGTGTTTTCAAATTGCCGCGCGCGCAAAAGGTACCGGCGTAGGGCCTTCATAAGTAAGACAAAGCACGCAGAGGCGGGCGCTACCGGTAAGACCAGAGGGCGGGCCAGAGGATGTTTGCCGCGCGCGAGGCGATAGAGACTACCTAGGTGGTGGAAGTAGAGAGGCAGCAAGCAGGGGGTGGGGCCAGCTTTGTTTAGAGGCCGGCCCAAACCAAGCAAGCCGCCTCTCGTCGCTAAACACCCTGGCTGCGGTGCGCCGGTGATATGTTGGGGCGGGAGCCAGTTGCCACCGCACTCGCCCAGGTTGCCCACCATCACGCGCGGCCGCTCGTGTTGCCGGGCCCCAACAGTGAAATCCCCCCGGGGTTTTTCTGGGCATACAAAACTGCAGGAGGCGGCGAAGCTTGAGTGGCTCAGGCCCTCCATTCGGCGAATATCGAACGCGCGCGCCATCTGGAAAAAAAGAGAAAAGGCAGGCGGCGAGCCAGAGGGCACGCAAGACTGGGAGTTGGAAAGCCAGAACGGCCGCGCCCCTGTCATTTTCAGAACGGCGCGCCGAAAAGGTGGATACAAAAAGGGCGCCTTCTATTACGCAATCGACGCCGTCCAGAAGTTGGACAAAAGCAGCGGCAAGGCGGCTCGTTGGGTTGGCGTTCCAAGGGATTTGGAAATAACGGCCCGCGTACGTCGCCGACCAGGAGGGCCAAAGCCTTCGGGGGGCTCGCGTCTTGCCGCGCTCACCTCGCTGGCCGTGGGCAAGGAGCGTACAGAGGCGGAGGTCGAGTGTCTCGGGGTTGTCACTTTGCAGCAAACGGAAGGCGGCAGCGAATGGAAAGACGCGGAGGTGGGCCATCCCTCTCTTTGGTGGTGGCGCGGCGGCCTGGGAGCTGGGTAAGATAGTGCTCGTTTGTTGCCTTGTCATGATGCGTTCGAGAATTAAGAAAATGGCCGCGGCGAGATAGATTGCTTGGGGCCTGGCATTGGGGGCCCGTCTTGTTCGGAGAAGGGGGCCAGAGAAGGGGGGGCTGTGTTTTCCGCCTTAATGCCAAACCAGGGGAGGGCAGGCACGCAGCCGCGCGCGGGCCTGTCGTCCGGTTGCAAGGCGTTGAGAGGGCGCAGCGTGTTTTGCAAAAGCACCCGCGCGGGGGCTATTATCGCAGGCCTGCAACATGACCGCAGGCCACCACTTTTGATTGCGGGGCCCGACGGCCAGGGCGTCAACTAACTTGCGCCGCGTTGATTGTCCTCGGCGCCTACACCTCGGGCGCCGCCGCGGGGCGGAATTCAGTTAGGCCAGCGCAGCTCCTTAGGCAGGGAATTGGCTTGCCGCGAGGTGGCGAGCGCTGCAGCAAGGCAAGGCGCGCGCTGCCCCCCGCGCAATATTATGGAAAGGCCTCAGGCGGCCAGCAGGGTTTTGGCAGAAAGATAAAAAAAGGCGCGCGCCCCCCAGGCGGCCGGGGCTTCGTTTCCAAGCACGGACGCAATCCGACTGGCTTGTGCCGCCTGCCGCCTCCCTGATGAATCGGCCAGCGCAGCGAAGCCGGTATGGCGGCCGACCTTCTGAGGCGCTCGCCAGCCGCTTTGGCTATTACTTGGCGGCCTTGGGTGCCCGAAAGGAGCGGGCCACCAAAGAGGCGGCTAGCCGAAGGGCAAAGGGCGCCGCATGGTATCTATGCAGGAAGGGCGTGAGCGCCACATCGGCCCGCGCCCCCCCAAACCTTCGGAGGCCCCAAAAGAGGCCGCCAACCAAAGTCGGTGGGCCGCCTGCTTTTATCCGGCGCGCGTGGTTTTGAGGGCCAGAAACTAGTTGGCCCGCCATTCCAGCGCAAGAAACCCGGAAAGCCTCTGCGAGGTCCGGGGGGGGCGGGGCCGTGGTGTTTTGGCCGCGGCTTTTGAATGTTGCCTTAGCGTGGCGCGTGAGTGCTTCAGGCCGACTCCAGTCGGGATGGATGCATGGCGTTGGGCTCAAGGGCATGCATTGCGCGCAGCGAGTTGACGGCCCGCGGGGCTTGACGGCCCCGCGGGCCGTCGAGCACCCCCTCGCGCGCGCCGCCCCCCGGCCCTCAGACACGCAGGGCCAGAGAGACAGGGAGCGTGCGATGGGCGTTCGCCGTGCTCGGGTGGGGGCCTCTTCTCTGCTCTCGGTTGCTAAGGCAGGGCCCCCCCATATTGCTCCGGACCCCCGGGCGCCCAGCCCTTCTCGTGGGGCGGCGGCTTTGTGTGGCCCGGTCCCTCGGGAAAGCCGAAAGGGGCCAAAGGTAGAAAAGGGGGCCGGGCGCCTTGGCGCCTGCCAGCCTGGCCAGGCAGGCATCCTAGACAGGTATGGGGGGCCGGCGGGCGATGCCTGTTCTTACTTTGGTTCGTTGATTGGGCGGCCACCGGAGGCGCCGCGCCTGCTTCTATTTTGGCTCGGCCCGTTGGGGTTTTTCGCCTCGTATTCGGCCTCCATGTATTCACCCGCCCGCCCCTCGCCCGGTGTTGTCTTCGTGCGGTCCGGCTTGCCGCCTTCTTTTGGCTTCCAGTTAGTGATTTAGTATATGGCTTTTCTGTGGGGCGCTCTAGAGTTATTGTTCAGCCTGCTCCGTTTCTGTGCTTTTGTTCAGGCCCCCCTTTCTTTGGGATTTTGCTTGTCAGTATTTATATGGCTTCGCTGGCCCGGCGGCATCGCGCCCCGCGCTCCCGATTGCATTGCGCCAAACATTTCGACAGGCCTGCAGCTGCATTGCCTTCGAGCCCGAGAGGCAACGCACAAGCCGGGGGGAGCCCTTTCGCCACCATTCGCCGGAACACGTTGCGCGGCATGGCCCTCCACCTAATAGAGTACGCCGAAAAGGTCCCCGAGGACTACCTGGACCGGATTACTCCGGCGAATGGGCGGAGGCGCCGCCTTGATTTCGTCGCGCAGGCCCGGCGTGATTTCGCGGCCTCTCGCACTGCCGGACAAGAGCGAACGACGTTGCTTCGTAAAGTGCTGGTCGACGCGGCGCATTTTCTCAAATTTCTCACAAAAGCGTCTGCCCCACGGCCCGCCCCCCTGGCGGAGACTCTGAGAAAGATGCCGGGGTATGTGCCTCCTGGGCTACGTCCAGACGCAGAGGGACAGCGCGCCGCGCAGCTTTTAGCCGCTTTGGAAAAATTTGAAGAGGCCGGCGACTCCGTTTATTCGCGGGTCGTCAGTGGCGCGCGCCACTCTGGTGGCGATGGCCAGGCCTGGGTCGAAGCTTTGCAGGAACTCGAGGGCAGTGCCACATTTCTGCGGACGCTCCACATTGGCGCATTTCTCGCGCCACCTACTCCGCCCCAAAAGCTTGCGGGGCTTTTTGTGGGCGAGCAGCTTGCTGCGGATGTTTTTGCCGCACGAGAGCGGACCGCCGAAACGGTCAAAGAGTTGCTCGAAGGCTTTTCCCAGTTCCAGGGCACGCAGGCGCCCGGCAAGTCTGCAGGGCAGGAGACCGTCCCTGGCCCCGCAGGAGCTCCGCAGGGCACCCGGTGGCAAGAAGATTTCCTGTGCTCGCTTCGCAATGTGGAAAGCAGGTTGAGCGGCGCTATCGAAATCGTGGGGCCAGCGCTGCAGGGCGATGGCAGCCTGCTAAGCGAAGCAGAAAGGCAGGCGCTGCGCGCGGCGGGATTTCAAAGCGAGGCCGAGACGAACCTGTACACGGCTTACCAAGAAATAACCGCCGCGGCCCCCGGCGTGCTCGGTGGCCGCGAGGAGCTCGCCCGGGCGCGTGAGCTTTTCTCTTATGCGGAGAGCGGCCTGCGCGCACAGTATTACGCGGCGCTATTCTGGGCGCCGGGCGAGCCGCTGCCGGCCGGCTTTTCTGCTGGCGAGGTCTTCAAAGAAACAAAAGCACCCGCGCGCCAGGAGGCGGCTCCGCATGCAGATCGGGGGGAGGCAGGAGACAGCCCAGGCTCGGCCCCGATGGCCAGGCAAGAACCCGAGCACGCGCCTGACAAGGCTGCGCCGGTGCTTCTGGAGAGGTGCCTCGCCTCCGCCATCAAAAACGCGCCGCCTGTTTTGCTAAAGGGCGGTGAAGAAAAACTTCTGCGGCAGATGCGCGGCGCGCCCAAAACCTTTCTGCAGGCTTTCCTCGCCAGTGTTGGCGCTTGGGTCAATATGGTGGGGTCGAGAGGCATGTATGAGTTTTGCGATGTATTGGCGGAAATACATCGCAAAACTCATACATCATACATGGAAGATTTGAGGAGAACGGCCTCACTTTCGTACATTATACATCATACATTGTACATCATACATCGCAAATTCTCCGCTGTAGGTACCTCATACATCATACATCATACATCGCAAATTCTCCGCTGTAGGTACCTCATACATCATACANATCATACATCGCAAATTCTCCGCTGTAGGTACCTCATACATCATACATCATACATCGCAAATTCTCCGCTGTAGGTACCTCATACATCATACATCGCAAGTTCTCCGCTCTGGGTACCTCATACATTGAACATCATACAACATACATTGTACATGGTGCATCCTGCTTGGTACATTGTACATTGTACATCGTGCATCGACCACAGCTCGGCAGAGGCCCGGACGTCGAGCTGTTGCAACAGCTCGACGCGGCTGCTCCAACAGCTTGACATGGCCTCGCTTGTCGAGCTGTTTGAACAGCTCGACAACAGCTCGACATGGACCCGGATGTCGAGCTGTTGGAACAGCTCGACAACGGCTCGACATGATGGACCCGGATGTCGACAGCTCGACATGGACCCGGATGTCGAGCTGTTCGAGCAGCTCGACAACAGCTCGACACGGGCTCGGATGTAGAGCTGTTTGAACAGCTCGACAACAGCTCAACATGGGCCCGGATGTCGAGCTGTTTCAACAGCTCGGCAACAGCTCGGCAGAGGCCCGGATGTCGAGCTGTTGCAACAGCTCGACACGGCTGCCCCACCAGCTCGACATGGACCCACCCGGATATCGAGCTGTTGGAACAGCTCGACAACGGCTCGACATGGGCCCGGATGTCGAGCTGCTCGAACAGCTCGACGACCTACAATGTACGATGTACAATGTACAATGTCCAATGTCCAATGTCCAATACATCAATGTACATAATGCACAATGCACCAATGTGCAATGTGTCATACATCGTACGTCATACACTGGACCATGTACAATGTACGATGTACAATGTATGACGCATTGATGTATTGCACCTCATACATTGTACATGGGAACCGTCGCGCTCTCCTCAAATCTTCCATGTATGATGTATGAGTTTTGCGATGTATTTCCGCCAATACATCGCAAAACTCATACATGCCTCTCGCCCCCACCATACCCGCTTGGGTTGACGCTAGGCGGCAGCAGGCTTTGTCTCAGGCAGAGGACCTTGAAGATCTTGCCGCGTCTGGGCGGGCGGACAAGCGCGCCCTCGGCATACCTCTGGCGATCCAGCTATACGCCTGGGAGGTCAGTGCCGCGGCGCACCAGCTGAAGGAGCGGGCGGGCCCCCACATGTTAGAAGCGCGGCCGGCAGACTCCGCCAAGCTATTGGCGAGCGAAGACGAGGGCGGCGTGCATTTGCGACCCGTTGAAAACCTCGAGGACGCTGTGGCCCTGTTGGTTCTGGAACTTGTTGCGGAAGACGAGAATGCAGGGGGCGCTTCGGTTGTCGGGCAGCTCGGAACCCAGCGGGCGCAGGCGATCCTGGAGTATGCCCGAGCGTATTGCGCCGATGGGGTCGTGGCGACGGACCATTGGCCGCAAGCTCGGGAAGCTTTGTGTGGTTGGAAGTTGGACAACTATGGATGGGAGGCGACGCCCCGGAAACGCTTCCGAAGCAGAACAGGCCATGAGCAAGCACGCCCGCCGCATGGTTGGGCTTGCTGTCTGGCGGAGGCTAGCCGTGGAGCTCTCCTCAGCTGCCCCCGAAACAAAAAGGGCAACGAAGCCAAGGCAATCCACAAAGGGCGGCCTCGCGCCGGATTTTGCATGCTCTGTTATGTGGTCACCCCGAGGGGCGGCGCGCGCGCGCCCAAACTTCCACCGCCCGGGATGGAAGGAAGCCTTAGGCGCCGCGCCTTCCTGGGGGCTCGCGCAGGGTTTTCTGGCAGATTACCAACCTACGTAGCAGCACGCCAACCCATTCAAGGGGCCTCGCCGAAGCCCCCCAGCAGTTTTCCCCGGAAATGCCTAGCCGGGCCCCCCGGGAAGTCTTCAGCGGGCCGTCGAGGGGCAACGCCGTGGCGCCTGCCGTTGTAGTGCCGTGGCGCCGCCGCCCCGCGATTTCCCCACGCACTCGGCTCCGGACGCTTCTGGGCGGCTTGTTCTTTTGATCTGCTTGCGGCTTTTTTGGCACATGGCCGCCCGGCCGGATCGGCTGGCCGCCCGCCGGTTTTCAAAAAATGCATGAGAAAAAAACTGGTGCCGGATTTTGGAAGGCAGTTGGGCCCGCGCACCGCTTATGGTGCCGCCTTACGGCAGAAAGCCTAGCAAGAAGAGAACAACGCGCCCCCCTGTCTTGTGTCACTCTTATTTTCGCGGCTTGTGTATGGCAAACAAAGGACGTGCCGCGGCCTGCTCTGGCAGGCCCGCGGCCTTCGTTGTTTGCCCAGCCATCAATGATAGACGGAAGGGGCAGCGGCCGGCCCTAGATTGGCCATGCACGCCCCCGACGCCCATGGCCCGCCGGAACTATCTATCGACGGACCGCCCTGGGATAGAGGGCCGCCCGGGCCTATCTATCGCTCGACGGCGGGGGCCGCGCGCGGCGACTAAAGTGAAGAAAGCCCGGGCAACCTGCGAAGGACGTTGCACGCAACGCGCACGCGGGGGCCTGGGCCATGGTATAGCCAACGGCCTCGGCTTTCGTGCGTGTCTGAAAGCGCAGCCGCCTTCACAGGCGCGTGCCCCCGAAGGGCCCGCGGTTTTTTGGGTTTGGAATGATGACAACGGGCGGCCCGAACCATGGGACAACAACGAGCCCAGTTGGGCCCCGTGGGGCCCGCGCCCGGGCCCGTAACTATTAGGGGGGCGCGGGGGGCGCCATTGCGCGCCAGCTTCAGGAAGGTGCGCGGGCGCCGGCGGTGCGCGCCGACGGCCGGCGCAGCCCCGCCCCAGACATGGCGGGCTCGCAGGGGCCATGCGCGGCGTTCGTTTCTCATCTCAGTGAACCCACCGTCGAGATTGGCTGTCAGTCTGTGTTGTCAGTCTCGTCGGTCGCAGGGGTGAAGCGTTTCCCGGTTTCCCGCGCATACAAAGTTGGAGAAGTTCGCGGCAGCTGGAGTTTTAGTTGGACAGCCCAAAAAAGAATTGCTAACAACCGACAGCGGGCCTGTGTCCTCCAGGAGCTCCACAGAACAAGGGGTAGCCCCGTTCATTGTCGTGCGCCGCACATTGGATGGGCAGGCGCGCGACGTATTAAACTTCGTCGAACAAAAAATCTCCCAAACTGTGCTGGAGAAGATTAGCGAGACGGCGGCGAAGGAGCGTCGCGCTTTCATTGCTATGGCACGGAGCGCCATCACCGACTCGCCTGCGCCTGCCGAAAAGCAAGCGCTTCGGAGAGTGCTTGTAGACGCGGCGAAATTCCTCAAGAAAACTTTCTGCAGCGGCTTACAGAAGGGCGGATCAGAGGAGGGCGCGCCGGGTCCTGAACATGCTCAACTTCGCGCAGCGTTTGACCAGTTTCAAAGCGGCGGCGACTCTGCCTTCTCGTGGGTAGTCGATGTCCATGATGAGCGTGCTCAGTCTGCTAGTGATGATCGGAGACGGGTAGCAGCTTTGCAGGCGCTCGAATACAGTGCCGAACAAATCCAGGAATTTTGGCACAAGTTATAAAAAGCAAACGCTGGCGCTGGCGGCGTCGGCGACCCTACAGAGGCGAATTTCTGATGCGTTTTCTTGTTCGGGTATTCGGTCCAACAGCTAGAGCTAATGCAACGAAATAAGCACCAACAAGTAGATGCTCACGCTTGCGAGCATCCAGTGCGACGCCCGCGAGCATGGGCGCCCCGCTTCGGCTGAAGGGGCAGCGCGCTGCTATTATTTTACTCAAGCCGCGGGCGCGGAGAGTTCGATTTGTTTTTTCGTACGAGCGTATGTATCAGATTGGCGCCTTGTTTTTCTTTCTCAAATCAGACTTTGCTTGATTTCATGCAATCTGCGTATTCTGATATAGACATCCACATACTGCCAATTTCCGACTCTATTCAAGCCGCGGAGCACGTTGTAGTAGTATTTTATAATTGCTACTCCTACTGCTACAGTCAATTTTGTCTTGGGCTTGCCCTTGCGCAACAGTGACTCCGAAACCTAAAAGCTCTCCGAAAGGCACAGTTTGGGTTTGCGACTTTTTTTCAACATTTTCTCAGCGACGAAAAGATGCAAAGCCAAAGCCACACCGATTTCTTGTCACAGCGCAGATCAAACTCACGCTGTCCGGATTCTTCAGGCAACGGCAGTGCGCCAGTCGTGAAGCAGTTTTGGTGTCCGTTTTCACATATCTCTGTCATTACTTTTTCGCTTTTTTTAATTTTTATTTTTATTTTCATGATGAACTCGCCCCATGAGCCTCTGTGCGTCGTGCCGAGGAAAATTCTCTGACTTGCGCTTGACTTGTTTTTGCCATTCGGCGCTCCGTTAGTTTCTATGTTTCATCCCGAAAGAACAACTGCGTTTTTCGTTTTTCGAAATTTTTTCATCAAAATTAATCAGAAACAAAAAGAGTGCACTATTCGTAGTGGCAACCTTTATCTGAAGTGCATTTTCAAAGCGTAGAAGTGTTGTATCTCGACCGAATAGTCATGTTTTCTTTTACCTGGACTGCTCGAGAACGTGAATGGAGAGCACTGCCTTGAGTTTTCAAGGAATCCTTGGCGTCTCTTTCTTTTTCTTCGCGGTTTCGATAGCTGGATTTACTACTATGAAAAAAACTGAAATCTTCAACGCCACCAACCCAACCAAAGATTTTGATCTCTTCTTGCGGGTGCCGTAGTGGTTCAATAAGGAACATCAAGTAAGTTGAACAGAGGCAAGAGAGAGATATTATTATAACAGTGTCAAGTGTACTAGAACCAGAAGTAGCAGAGCAAGGCGTATATAATTAGAGCGCTGCTTTTTACGTAGTACTGTTTCAATTCCGCCGAGAACACCAAGGCAAGAAGACATTCGCTGCGACGTTTGCGCGCATGGGTATCTCCCTTCGCATGAAGTCGCAGTCTGTAGCGCTGGCCATTCACTCAGAAAGGAGACGAGAAATGAGGAAGTGTTGAGATGAAGTACGGAGTAAGAATAGTCGAAGAGGCGCTGAAAAACTAGTGACACCTTCGCCGCCTTCTGTCTTCCAGCAAGCGGTCGCATTTTTGTAATCAAGCCGACTTGTCGTCGTTGTGCTGCTGTCGTTTTAGTGCTGCAATCTTTTTGCGCACAAAGGCCAGCTCAACGATAAAGCATGACCTGCCTCTCCGAAGATTTGGATTTGCGAACGTAAGCTTTCCGCAACATTTTCTCAGCGTCGACAAAGAGAGGGAAAGCCAAAGCCACAATGTTTTGTCTAGGCGGAGACCAAGCGCACGCTTCTCGGGTTCTCCAGGCAACAGCTGCGCCTCAGTTGTTAAGTATTTAAGTTGTCTCCTGATTTTATACATTTAGTTTTTTTTTGCTTTTTTTGCAACTCTATTTTTCCACTTTGTCCTTTACAATCAATATATTATTTAAGTAATTTTTTCGGGTTTTTCCGTATTCATGGCGCTCGTGTCCTGTCTGTGCCTCATCTCGAAGAAACAGCTCTGCCTTGCGCTTGACTTGTTTTTGCAAGTGGGCGCTCGGTCAGTCGCTTTTCCTTCTTTCCTCCTCGAGAAGGCGAGCGCTTTTTTCGGTTTTCGCAATTTGTTCGTCAAAATTAATCAGAAACAAAAAGAAGTAAGCATTCTTCATCGACCCTCATTCCATTAAGTCAAAAAAATATTGTATCTCGACAAAGTCATATTTTATTTTTTTTGTGCCTGGGCTGATGTCCTGAGGGCGTCAACGGAGACGAGCATTGCCGCGCGTGTTTAAGAAGCCCCGGGCGCCTCTTTCTTTTTCTTCGCGGTTTCGATAGCTAGATCTAGTATAGCAAGCACTACATGAAACAAACTTTGAATTTTCAATTTCGCCAACCCTTCTCAGCGTTGCTGTATTTTGGTCGCCTTCTGCGGCTGCAGTAGGTACAAGTACAAAAGCAAGAGTAGATGAGAGATGGAAAACCTTTGCAAAAGCAGTAGAGCAAAAGGTGCGAGTTGTAGCTGCTATATACTAGATGTCTGCGCACGCCCGTTCGAGATACATACTACTTTAACGAAAACATCAAGACAAGACATCCACTGCGACGTTGGCGAACACGGGCGCCCCCCTTTGCATATTGTAGCAGTCTGTAGCATTGGCCAACAGAAAGGGGACGGGAAATGAGGGAAAACTAAGAGGAGTCACTGTCACAAAGTAGAAAGATTGAAAATAAGGCGGCGCATCAAAAATATTTTTGCGTTCGTCTTCGTCCAGCTCTGCTATCTGTATCTTCCGATCGCTTGCGTTATTTCTATCAAACCGACTTGTTGTACGGGTATTCCAGTGCTTGGGCTACAATCTTCACAAGACTCAGTTCGAAAACTATGACCTCTCCGGCGAAGATTTCTATTTGCGAACTTCAAACCCTCCGCAGCATTTCCTCACCGATACAAGGACGCAAAGCCAAAGCCACAAAATGCTTTTGCGCAGATCGAGCCGATGTTCCTCGGCTCGGTCAGGCAATTGCTGGGCCCCGAGTACTATGTTTGTGTGTTGTCCCCTGATTTACATTTATTATTTTTTTTAAAGTTCCTCCATATCATCGTCGATCATTTTTCCATTCTTTTTCTTTTTCAACTGAGTAGACGTCGAATCCCCCCATTTTCGCCGTGTTCGTGTCGTGTCTGTGCCACCTCTCGAAAAGAAAGCTCTGGCTTGCGCTTGACTTGTTTTTGCAAATCGGCGCTTGGTTAGATGCTTTTTCTCACAACGCACCATTTTTCGTTTATCAGAATTTTTTGTTGTTCGTCAAAATTAAACAATCAGAAACAAAAAGAAGTCACTACTTATCTCCATATCTTCATCAATCCATCCAAAAAAGTTTTGTATCGTCATGTATTTATTCTTTTGTGTTTTCAATGTATTAATTTATTCTTTTGTGTCTGTATTGCTTGAGAATGTGAATAGAGAGCATTGCCTTGGGTTTTTGAGAAGCCCTTGGCGTCTCTTTCTCGCTTGTCGTGGTTTCTAAAGCTAGACCACCTCGAAACTTGAAATCTCCAAAGTCGCCAACCGTAGCTGTATTTTCATCACAAAAGCAAGGGAGAAGAGATGGAAAAACAGCGTGGAAGGAGTGGCGAAAGAGGGTTTAGAAGTGGTCCTACTTACTAGTTTAATGAAAACGCCAAGGCAAGATATCTGTCGCGTGTGAATGGGTATCCCCCTTTCGCATGATGTATCAGTCTGTAGCGCTGGCCAGGCAGAAAGGGGGCGAGGAGGCGAGAAATAGGGAAAAACTAAGTGGATGAAGTACGAAGTAGCAATATTTTTTGAAGAGGCGCTGTAGGAATATTGACAACTTTGTCGTCTTCTATCTTCCAAGAAGCGTTTGCATTGGTGTAATCAAGCCGACTTATTGTCGTTGTATTGGCATTCTAGTTCTGAATTCTTTTTCTGCGCACAAATGCCAGTTCAAAGACAGCGCACTATGAGGAGCCCTCCGAAGCTTTATTACATTTGCGAACTTCGAAGTCCCATCAACACCTTTTTCTCACCGATAAGGAGATCTGAAGCCAGAGCCACAACGTCTTGTCTTAGCGCCGATCAAGCTCACGTTTCTTGGGTTGTTCAGGCAGCGGCTGTGCCCCAGTTGTTAAGTCCTTGTATTGTCCCGTGATTTACATTTTTTTTTATATTTCCTTTGATTTTATTTCAGTTCGTTATCTTTTATGATTAAGTAGTTTCTAAGTCGAATTTTAATTTTTCTGTATTCATTTCAATCGTTTTCTCGTCCTCGCACTATTTCGGAGAAAAACCTCTGGCTTGCGCTTGACTTGTTTTTGCAAGGTTGCGCGCACTTAGGGGCTTTTTCTCACGTTGAGAAAAGGACTATACTTTGTGATTTTCATAAATTTGTTCGTCAAAATTAATCAGAAACAAAAAGAACTCACTGGCAATATTTATCTGCATTCCATTTTCAACAAAGCAAAGAAGCATAATTGTATCTCGACCAAGTAATTTTAATTTATCATGTTATGTTTTATTTTTTTGTGCCTGGACTGCTTAAGAAAGTGAATGGAGAGCATTGCCTTGGGTTTCCAGGAGATCCTTGGCGTCTCTTTCTTTTTCTTCGCGGTTTTGATACGCTAGATTTAGTGTTTTAAAACTTGAAAGCTTCAACAACGTCACAACCTCGACGTAGCAGTAGCTTTATTTGTCTTTCGATCCCTTCATCTTGCAGCTGTAGTAGAAGCACGGTGGTCGCAAGGAAGAGAGAGATTGAAAATTCGAGCAAAACCAACAGGAGTAGAACAAGAGGTAGAAGCACTATTTCTATTTGCTAGTTTAACTACGAAAACAGCGAGACCAGACATCAGTTGCGACGTTTGTGAGAATGGGTATCCCCCTTCGCATGATGTTGTAGCAGTCTGTAGCCGTCTTTGCCTGTCCGAAAGGAGAGAAGCAGAAATGGGGAGAAGCGAACATCAAGTACGAAACAGGAATTATCGGAGAAGCGCCGTAGTAGAGGTTTTCTATCTTCCGAGAAGCGTTTTTTTACAGCCGACTTGTTGTCGTCGTACTCGAATTTATCCAGTGCGACAATCTTTTTCCGGACAAAACTCAGCTCGGAGATAGACTATGACATCTCTGAAGATTTAAGTTTGCAAACTTTAGCTTTCCTCAACATTTCCTATAGCGATAAGGAGACGCAAAGCCAGAGCCACAATGTCTTGTCTAAGCGAAGATCAAGCTCACGCTTCTTGGGTTTTCCAGGTATCGGCTGTACCCCAGTTGTGAACGAAGAATTTGCGTTGTCCCCTGATTTAGGTTTTTCTTGTAAGTGTCATCACCGATTTTTATTTTTTTTCATTCTTTTTTTACAATTAACTAAATTCGAACTTTTCCGTAAGCATCGCGTTCGTGTCTCGTCTGTGCCTCTTCTCGAAGAAAAGTCTCGGGCTTGTTGCGCATGACAATTTGTTTTTACAAGAGGTCTGGGCTCAGTCAGTTGCTTCTTTTCGGAAGAGCTATAGAATAGAAGAAATTTTCCGGCTGTAATATTTGTACGCCGCAGGTGTATGAATTTGAAAGACGAGGACATGGACATCAAGAATTATGATTTCCCCTGTATCACCATCATGTTTGTAATTGTCAAAAGGTATATACGCCTTCAAAAATGTCGTTGCGGGTGACAACTCGGCAACGTGGGCAGTTTCGTTGGTCGTCGCAGTCCTCGTGTTCATCTGGATCTTGCAAACCCAATCTGTTTATCTTTCGAATCGCATTTATCCTCCATTCTCGCCCACTTTCTTATTGTTCCAAACAGCTCGGATTTTGATTTTGTAGATGTGGCCACAAGTCCAGCTGCTGCCTCCCCCGTGAACAGATAAAGTGAAAATACAACTGCTCGACATCGGTATAGTAGAACTGCATCCTCATCTGAAGATCACAACTCGAACGAGGATTGAAAAACCGTCGAACTGGAAAAAAGTCAGATCTTCTGGAAGAGGAGGATCAAGAACGAGCGTTGTAAGGATCACAAAATTATGTTGTTTTTACCACCCTGGTTCTTGTCTTGGATGAAAGATCGGTATTTCTGATATGCGAAAATGCGATCTTGATCATCCATTTTGATTCGGACATACGAGTAAAAGAGTACGCAGGAAGGAAGAAGAAGACGATCGAAATCCGATGAATGTATTATGTAATAAATAGGCATTATGTCGTCAAGTCAAGTCATCGTGAACAAGAAGAACAGATGAAACGGAGCCAGCTTGCTACCGCCGAACGATCTTCCAAATCGATCCGTCCGTTGTCGACAAAGTAAGTTCTTTAAGTGCCCGAGTTGTTGTATCATGAGCATGCCGGCCCTTTATTGAGTTTCTTCTAATTGACCTTCCAGCAGTGTCGACGAGTCCGTGGACGATTGATGCTTGAGCTTTGGTGAGAAAACGCAACCTGTGATGCTTTCATGACTTGTATCTGTATGTAATTGTAAAGCGTTTTTGATCCGCGACAAAGCAAATTTTAACATCGCTTCTAGTTGATTCGTAGCGGTAGAGAAATAAAAAACGACGGCAAGTGTACGCACTTACGAATTATTCGAAGAGTTTTTTAAATCCAAATTCAAACTTGCAAAACCTAAACTGTTCGTGCTATGCCAGTATTTGACAGTCTCGGCCACTATCTGAGTTGTACAGAAAAAGTTCAAGTTGATGGTTAGTGCCGTCGTTCATGTCTGTCTGTTTATTTCGTTTTCGCCCACTCATGTAATCATTGTGCCTTTATTACATTGTCGGACAAGAGATACTCCTAGTTGTGGTGTTACCGATTATAAATTCGTCAATTCTCATTTCGACCCCTACACGACGCAATCTCCTTACTTAATTTAGCATATTTATCAATCGCGAGAATAACTAGAGAACATACATAAAGACGGGATCAAGGAGCTCTTGCGTAGTTGTTGCAGAGACGCAACATGTGCAGCGTGATGGTGCAGCTGCTCTTTACATTTTCCGTTTTGCTCCTGACATCCTTCTTCCCCCACGTACCCATCTTCGGGGCTGCGGCCGCAGGTGCGGGAGCTTTTGCACGATCTCCAAGTGCAGCAGCAAGAAGGTCTCCACCCCGACGTCCAGCGACGTATGCCGCCGCTGCGGCCTCCGCGGCTCGGATCGGCGTTCCCCTACCCGCTACGGGACCGCCCGCTGGTGTGGGAGGTAGTTTTACATCAAAAAAAAAGGCGTCTTCCCATGTTGATCAGCGTGGTCGTGCCCCAGCACCGGCCTCGTCCGAACCCGGTGAAGGTGGACCAGGAGCACGACAAGTAGAAGCAGCACAGTACCTCCAGCAGCAAGATCAAGATGCACCGAGAAATAAGATTCCGCTCTGGTCGGTTGACGAGGTGGAAGCCGCGATTTTGCCAACCCAGGCGGACCAGGATCTGCAGGGCTTGATCGAGCTCTACGTCACCTGGCTCTTCTATGGATGTGTCAGAGTAGTTGAAATCGACAAAGTTGAAATAATTTGTCATGCATAAAGTGGACGCCAGTTGGAACCCAGTTTCCAAGTGGGGCATGACAAATTTCGGCGGTCCCTAAATCCAGTTTGTCATGCTGTTTAGGCAAAGAAGAGTGATTTTCTCGTGTTACTTTAGCAGCTCGAGCTGTAACCCCAAACAGGCTTACAATCGGCCTCACTTGCCTGCTCTGCAACACACATACCTCGGGTCATGCATTTTATGCATTACAGATTATTTCAACTTTGAGGATTTCAAACCTGACGCTTCCATATCTTCCGCGAACACAAGGCGGAATTTGGGCACTTGGCTGATCCGAAGAATATGACGATTTCTAGCTCGACTTCCGTTTCGGCTGCCCTGGATTATCATTTGTAAAAACGTCCCATCCCCGAGTTGTCATGCAGATTTGCAATGACAGGAACAGTTGTAATGGGCATCTCCATGAGAGGAATTTCTAGTCGTGTTTTGGCATTTGTAATGCTGCAACCAGGATAATCAGATGGATTTTTGATGCGTTTGCCCTTGCTAACCTGCACTACACTACGGACTGCAACTTGTGATGCATGAGTCCCAAAACTTCCAGGTTTGTGTTGCAAAATCCCCATCTTGACTATGGGGTGGGGACGTTTTTACTCAGGATATGGATTCCGAAATCTTCATGCAACTGAATCTGGAGAATAAAGAAATTTTCAGCCACGTCGTCGCGGATGGAAGGGAAGCAGCGCAGAGCTTCTACTCGGGGGGTTTTCAACCAGGTGTTGGATCTTCATCTGCAGCGAGCAGTTATCATGGAGCGGCGCAAGGTGGTCCTGTGGGAAGTAGACCTGGAGGTGCGCAGCACGAGACAGAGAAGACCGATGTTCTGACAGCGTTGTACGAGGCCATGCGTGCTTCGACTTCTACTGCTCCCAGAAGTGTTAGTGTTGACGCCACCAGCGTTGTCGCCCGGATGCCCAGCACCAACGACATGCTGAACATGCGAAGGGGCGGCGCGGGGCGGTCTGTTCGGGGAGCGGCCGCGCAGGTATTTATTTCCACCCGAAGGTCTAAAAAGTCATCTGGGAGGACCACGGCGTCGAAGCTTCGACACGTACAACACCGGATTTACCAGCTGTTGGACAAACTTCACTCCGTTTTGGTAAAAGCGGGGCGGCAGCGCTCAGACTCGATCTTGGAGTCTCTCAAGCTGGACGAAAACACGAACAAGATCCACCTGAAATTAGACCCCCGGATCTTTCTCATGCAAGCATCGTTTCTCAAGTTTTTGGACTCTTTGCGCGCTGCGGTGGACAAGAATGGGGTTCTTGTAAGAGGTGCAGACGAAGATTATAGTGTTGCTGCTTCGCAATCGCAACGCCAACGGGTGCAACGACAGCACGCTCCGGTGGCAGGAGCGTTCCCCTCCTGGCTGAATCTGGGAGCTGCTGCTGCTGAATCTGGACGAATCTCCAAGGTTACTGAAATTTTGAAACGGTCCGTCACTGGCTACTACACTGACAGCGGAGACTTTGTTTTCGCTTTGGAGGAAATTCTGACACGCCAGCCACCAAAAATGGAAGATCGAGACCGGATGTTGAGGAGACCAAAAAAGATCAGGAAATCCGCGCACAGCTACGTGTCACACTTAATCTACACGGTGTTTAAGCAAGATATAATCGGCACTAAAGCCGTCGTCGACCCTCTCTCCACCGAGTCCTCCATCCGTCGGCGGATGCTGAAGAAACTGGGGCAGTTGCGGGACCACAAAGGCTGTGCATTTCTGGATAGCTACTCCAAGCATTTCGTCCCCGCGAAGTTGCGGAGCAGGCAACTGAGGAAGTACGAAGTAGTTTTGTCTCTGCATGCGATCGAGCGGAGTAGAAGTACTAGAGGGGGTGACTTAGCTCCTTCGACGCAGCAGGGTCGTGTGCAAGGCGAAACTGTTCTGGAGCAGCAGCTGGCGGACCAGTCAAAATTTGTTGCAGCCGAGAACTTCGAGAATTTCTTCCTCACGCACCCTGCTTGGAAGGATGGAGCGCTTTCTTTTGTTCCAAACGTGTCGAATGCTGGCGACAGCGAAGAGCATGCTGCAGGTGCAGCCGCTGCTAGTACTACACAAAGAGCTGCTAGTACTACTGCGCATCATGATACTCCCACTCCTGTAGCTCCTCCGCATATCGTCGTTCCGAACCGCCGCATATCAAATGCAAAAATGTCTGGGTCTGGAAGATTAGAACTTGTCATGCTGTCTTTGGATTCCGAAAAAATCTGTATTGCATGACCAACAACAGGACTCCAGTTTATGTTACGCGGACAGGGCATTTCTCATGCGGAATTGGAATAGGCATCAGGAAGCCCTCTAAAAATCTGTGATGCTAGACCATGCATTACATGCGTCATGGATCACACAAAATATGCATCACAAATCCCGGAATCTTCCAGATCCAGACATTTTTGCATTTGATACCACAGACTCCTAGCAGAGCTGTACGTCGCTGCGCGGACGTGGCTTTCCCAATACGGAGTGTTGTTCTTGTTTGAACACAGAAAGCCAAAGAGAGTTACGTCGTCTCGTCGCAGCAGGGCAAATATTGCTGCACAGACTAGGGCTACTACTTCTGGGTTGATGGTGGCAAGAACAGCATCGCCAGAATCCTTTGAGCTTTTGCTCCTTATCCACGGATTCTACGAGAAATATCTTGCACCCGCAGGTACAAGTTCTTGTTCAACTAGCGCAGCAGCAGGAGCCACGCCGCAGCCAGGAATGCGAGTGGAGGGAGGAGGTGGACTTCTAGAGGGCGACTACACGACTCGAGCAGGCCGGGAAGAAGTTGTGCAAAAAATGTTGCTATTTCTCCGCGATCGCCACAGACCCAAAACAGTTCCTCAGCCCCCGACTGCCACACACGCACCCTCGTGGTGGTCGAGTGAGTCGATTTTGCAGAGTGCCGCTACTTCTGCCCTGCTGCAGCTCTTCTTCGCGTTTGTCCTGGAACCATTGCTATTTGCGAGCACCACCCGAGAAAAAACCGCTTTACTCCACTCCATCACGGTCAGTGGCGTTATTCACGGAGCCATGCAGACGCCGCGCGGAGAAGTACTGCCCCTGGGAGCCGGGGGCGAGACTGGTGGGTCAAAAGTGGTGAAGCAACTTGCGCGAACTTTCCTTCCCCGGGTTTCCAGGTGGGAGACGGGGCTGTTGTTACAAAAACTGTGGCCGCGCGCGGCGGCGGAAATGACGAAGGTGCGAGAAAGTGTTCTGGAGGAGTTTTCGGGGCGGTATGACACGGAGTTGAAGCTGCGAAGAAGGACCGCTGCTAGCGCCGCAGGGGCAGCAGGTGAAGAGGTGCCATACAGTCCCGGGCGAGCTGCACCTACTGCGCCCCCTGCAGGCACCACCACGCCAGCGTTTTCGGCCGCGGGTTCGTGCGCCAGTTGCTCCCGACCAACAGAAGTTGGTCCCGACCACGCGGCCGATTATATGCCATGGCGGCAGTTTGTGTGGTTGGTCAACACAAGTAGGGACGATGCTATGGCTACCAGTAGTACTGGAGAAGTTATGCAGGCGCCCCTTCAACATCAACATCTACCGCACTATCCAATTTCGCAGCCGCTGAGGCCGGAGTGGCAGGCCGAGCATTCTCGGACGAGGCACGGGTGGGATCCTTCCGGAGGAATCTCCACTGGGGTCGCGGCAAGCAGCATCCCGCCCACGTTTCGCCCCTTTGGGGAATGGGACAGCAAATTCTTTCGGAGGTCAACAGCGTCGTGCGATATGGAAGATGGTGCGAGTGAGGCATCTGATGTTGAAAAAAATGATCTACCAGCAGCTGCCACGACCGCGTCCGCGACGCAGCATCGAAATTCGGAGGGCGCGCGAAGCTATTTCCGGAGTGGTGAAGACCGATCATCGGCAACAAGTAGGGAATCGAGATCGATTTCTACCGGTAAAGCTACTCGCGCAGCCTCCTCAGAAGGCGGCGGAGCTCCGCGACGCGCTAGTCGGCGGAGAAGAAGGAGCAGCTCGCCTGCTGCTCCTCCGCAAGTAGAGACTCCACCTGTTCATCTTGGCGGTCAAAGACGTAAATCCACACATCAAGGACCACAGACGAGAACAACGCAACCTCGCGGCAGGTCTCCCACCCGCGGTAAAGCTCTTGTGGCGCAGCCGCTGCGAACCACGGGGAGGGAGAAGGACCGGCGATCAAAGAGTCGGCTGCGCGTTAAAAGCAAAAGGCGCACCGCCAGCGCTCCTGTGGGTGGCGCAGGGGGACGACGGACGGAGGCTTCGATCGACAAAAGAAGTTCTTCGAAGAGGAATCGTGCGGCACTTTGGAAGACACTAGATGACGTGGCGGAGGCCAGCAGTGCGGTGCATCATAAGGGGGATTATGTTGGCCCGGCTGCTGCTCCTGCTGCGCCTGCAGCATCAGCAGCTCCTGTGGGCGGGCATCAAGTCGAGCCTGAAGCTCCTGCGTCAGACCATTTCGAAATAGAGCCTGGCGAAAATCCAACGTTTGCTCTGGGGCTAGCGGCTATTCCGTCGACAAGGCCATCCTGGGCAGATTGGATGGATTCAGATGATGACAGCGACGGCGAAGATGAGGGTGAAAGTGAATATGTGCGCTCTTTTTATCAACAGGGACACCAACACGACCCCATCTCCGTGGAGGAGTGTGCACTCCACGGACGAGACACGGCTGCAGTACTACCAGGCAGCCCTCCTCGGGGTTCTCTGAGTCGTCCCCGGGTAGAGCAGGTACGGGACCCAGAAGTTGTGGGGAGGTACAGTGTTGCACGAGACCGAGGTGACGACGTTAGCAGTGCTAGTGCTGCCGCCGTGCCTACCTCGAGCGAAACTAGAACTACTAGAGGTGGACGTCGGGGGCCACGACCCTCGTCCACTCCCGCTTCATTACCTTTATCCAGAAGTGCTGGAGCTGAAGCAGAAACATTTTCCGAAGCCGACGAAGCAGTCTCCGAAGCAGACGAAGGGACTGCACCGCCGCCGCACCAGCGCACCATGCGGGGAAAAGAATGGTCCACAGAGGCGGTAGAGGAATTGATGAGGAGTCACCGGGTTCCGGATCGTTTTACAGTGTTTGGGGAACAATTTGCTACGGGTAAGAACCGATTTTCTGCCTTATCATCGTCCAGCGAAGACGAAACGAGCGAGGAAGACGACGATGATGCAGAAGATGTCCTCCGGTCCGAAGGTAGCAGAGCAAGAACTCCTTCAGAAGGCGGAAGTAGAAGCACTCGTCCGAACAAACTTGAACATTTCCAGATCGAAGAGCGCCCCAGGCTTCTGACACCCGAGGAGGTTCACGAGTTCCAGGCCTACTTCGCCCTGTTGAAACAGACCTTCAAGGGCCTGCGCGCAGCCATCGCGCTGGACCTGCAGATCTGGAAGAAAACCAGTGCGGTGATCCAACAAGCGATCGAGCAGCAACGGGGGCACAAAACACCAGGCGAAAGACTCGACGTGCTAGCCGAAGAGCACGACATTTTTGGAGGGCCGCAACAAGGAGGAGTTACTGGTGGTGGTGGACCGCCACTTCCTGTGAGCAAAACCCTGTCAGTCCCCGGAGACCACCGGGCCTTTCATTTCGTGGAAGACCAGTCATACCAGGGCACGATCACGCGTCCAATCCCCACAGACCTGCGTCGCCCGGAGTTACAGCATTTCTTCCTAAAAAAGTGGCTGCCGGAATTTTTCGGAAAGCGGGCGATTGTGCGGAACAAAGCTAGAAGTCCACCTCCCGCAGGTGGTGGTGAAGGATCCACCCAAGGTCTTGCAGCTAGTTCGTCCCCTGAAGGTACTAGTAGAGCTGCTCCTGTGCCTGCGGCCGCGCAGCCAGCTGCAGGAGAGGGCGCCGGCGCGTCACCGTTTAGAAGTGCGCTTCTTGAACAAGACGATACCATCAAAACTCCATCTGTTCTGCAGCGGTACTTCTACCGGATTCGCGGCCAGTTCGATGCTTTTGTCGATATGGAGAAAGCTGCGCAAGAACATCCACAACAGGGAAAAAAGCAGCAGAGTCTCACCTACAAGGAGGACTCTAAACTCACCGACAAGGCCCTTCACTTCCTGTTCGCGTTGGAGCAAAGTTTGATCGTCTCTCCACACCAGCGCAAGCATGGCAACGTGCTGGAGCTCCGGGAGATTCTGGTCCGGCAATTGTGCTTTTCCCTCCAGGAGGCGTTTCTGTGGCAAGAAAAACATCGCGACCAGCTTTTGGCGCAATCGGAGGGGGTATCAAGAGCAGGGATCGATATGGCGAAAGAAGGAAAACAAGTAGAGCCGCCACGAACCGCTGCGTCACCAGGACGTGATCGAGCGTCGGCGCCGTTTTTGCCCGTTACTGTGGAAAAAGGAGAGTACGACCTTTTTTTGAGCCCCGAGATGTGGGAGACGAGAGGTTTTTTCCGAAGTGCGGGTTCTCGCGGCCTTTCCGTAGAAGTACCATCTTCCCCACCTCCCGGTGTGGAGGCCGCGAGGGGTGGTCGTACAGCTGAGGGCTTGACGCCAGATGATTTGGTCGTGAAATCTATGTCCTCTCCGTTCGGTTCGGAGCTTCGCGGAAAGGAAGAACAGCATGATGGCGGCCTCTTCGTGCCACTGCAATACAAGCCGTCTGCGTTGTACCAGTTCCTGACAGCCGACTGCCAAGCGAGGGTTCTGGATTTGACCTTTCCAGACGGGTACGGAATGATTCAAGACGGCGCAGAAGCTGGTGCTCCGGCGTCTACAGACTTCGTCTCGTTGGGCGATGGAGATCCAGCTCGCGAACAGAAACATGACAGTACAACCGAATTTGTCTTCGGCTTTGACAACATGTGGAACGCGGTTTTGAAGCAAAACGTTGATGTTGTTTTTGACACGTCAGGCAGAATCGGCCGCACCAAAGAACTCACAAAAAAGTCTGCGCAGTGGTACACCACCTGGGAGAAGAAGCGGCAGGACTACCTGGTGCAGCGCGAGGCCGCGGACGTAGAACGGGAAAAGCTTATTTCAGCTGGACAAAGAAAGCACCATTTGGGTCGTGGCCGTGAGAGGGTTCTTGTGGAGAAAGCAAACCACAGAAAAACCGGATTGCTCCTTTCGATCGACCAGCGCATCGCCCAGCACGCCCTGCTCGGCCTGGGATTATTCACTTCCCACCCCTCGTCTCGAAGTCTTTTCGGTGCTTTATACGAGGAAGATGAACATCAAGCGCAAGAAGAAGTGGCGGGGCACCACAGCGGCCACAGGGAAAGAACGAGAACCCACAGGCACGACGATCATGCTCCCTCATCTCCACAACGACCGCAGCGCGTACTAGGCCGCAAAAAGACCCGCGGCCCGAGGAACGGCACGGGGGCGTGGCTGGCGGTGCCGGACGTACCAAGTGTGGCGCCGGACGGGAGGACGCCGTTTGACTTGAGCGGCAGGAACGTTATCCTTGCGGATGTCCAGGTTGATTTCGCGGGACCACCTGCTCCAGAGGACGGAACAGCAACAAAGACAGACAAGCAGTTCTACTTCCACCATTCAGAAGTGCGCAACAATTTAGTACCGGCGAAGAGCGCAGCTGGAACTGCACGACCGCCTACCTCCCGGCGAAGGGATCGCGAGTGCTTGCAACGGGCAATCGAGGCAAACCGCGTCCATGTGGATTTTGCGGTCACACAGCTCCTCTACACGTCGGAACACGGGTTCAGCGGGGAAGCTGCCATTTTCCCCGATACGGAGTACTGGTTGCAGTACAAGACACACGGGGCAGGCGAAACCTTCGAAAGCCGAAACCGGCAGAAACTCAGAAGCGTGGCCGAGGCCCTTGAGCTGGTGCTCGGGATCAAGTTCGTTCCTTTGTTGAACGAGGAGGAAAATGCTGGTCTTCAGGGTGGAGGAAACAACAAAACTACGGCCGTTTGGAGGACTAATGGTTTGTTCTCAAAAACATCTACCACGACGTCCTTTGGACTTGTCGGCGAAGTGGACCAGCTGACAGGTGTAGAAGTTGTGCCAGGCAGTCATCCTGCTCAACATTTCCTTTCCTACGACGCCTGTTTGAACGCGGTGCGGCCGGTGGTGACCACGTTCCACCTGGAAGAAGATGTTGGTAAAGAAGGTCAAAGTTTTTTTGCCTCCGGTGGATCCTCCAGCCCCCCGGAAGATCTACTGGAGCAGGCGTTTCTCTTCCAAAACTACTACGAGGAGTCTTTGCGACTGAACATGGCGCATTACGTATCCTGTGTAAAAACGTCCCCACACCAGAGTCAAGATGGGAAATGTGCTAGACAAATCAACCAGATTTGGTTGCTCCGCATGACAGGTTTGGTCCATAGTGTGATCCTGTTTAGCTAGCTCAACAGCATCACAGATCTAGCATATCGTGCTGATTCGAGCATCAGAGACTCCAAATCACCCCTAGAAAATGCTTCTCATGGGCCTCCGCACGAGAAACCTTTTTGGCATGCAGATTTGCATGACAACTCTGGGGTGGGGACGTTTTTACTGAGGATATTACGAGGGTTCGCGGAGAATTATTTCCGGCCGCGTTGAGGATGAGGATGAAATGCTGAATTTCCAGTGGCACCCGGACATGCTGCCGGTGTCAACTACAGCAGCCGAAGCTTTGTCGCCAGCAGGATCTACTTCAGCGGGACCAGCACAACAGCAGCAAGAACTACCCGCGGCGGGGAGAGGACGTGGCGTTTTTGGCTATTCTGTCCCACTGCGGCATTTGCTGCACCACGTCATGATTCAGAATAAAAATAGTCGGACTTCTGTACTAGTACCCGCAGCTGGACCTTCGTCCACGATTCAACTTCCGCACGGGGGTCGTTCTTTCACAACTCCTGCAAGCGGCGACCCTGCTGCGGCTCCTGCGCATCACCTGAGGGTAGCACACGAACAGCAACAGGCTTTGGCAATGTTGAAACTCCTAGAGCAGAGTGGAGCTGCGGAGGAACGGAGTATGCGCAGCGCGCTGCTTGCGCTAAACCAGACGCCCACCGGATCGGACCTGTGCGCCTGCGGTTTGGAGCGGTACACATGTAGTAAAAAATTGCAACAGCCGGACCCCGAGACCGGATCCAAATGGAAATTCCACTACGGCAGCTCCCTTGGCAGCGCCTGCCCCTGCGGCCGACCCTACTTTTGTTGCAACGAGAAAAGTTTGAGAACAGCAGCAGCCACTGCCGGCGCTGGTGCACGGAGCAATCCGGGCGGGGGACGGGAAGCTCGGCACCTGCTGGAAGGCGCGGACGGGATGCTCCGCGAGGAGGCGGCTGCCGGGGAACAGTTCGGGGCCGCAGACGGTAGGAGTTACCCGCCGCCCGGCGCAAGAACTCCTGTTCGAGGAACGCCCGAGCGCATCACGTTTGACGCGACCGGGAAGAAAGTGGTCCAGTTTGTGCCTCAGGAAAGAGGACCTCCCAGCGGTGTTCGAGCAGATGAAGCGGCATGCGCAGCTCACGATCTCCACGACCACTACTTTTGTGCCTTCTGCGTCGCGAGCGCCGCAAAACCGCTGACCGCCGAAGCGAGTCTTGACGCGTCTCGGTCCTATGTGTTGCGCGAGTACCTTGACAGGCTGGGGCTGCCCGAATACCACTGGCTGCTCGGTTTGCTTGTTTTTAGTGATGAAATCTCAGAGAACTTAAAGGAGAACCACGTCCAACTGTCCGGAACAAGTCCAGCCCGAAACGAGTTAGCGTTCCGCACGGTAGAAAGCCTTCGGAAAAAGTTGGAGAAGAACATTAATTTGGATAAACAAACCCTCCTGAAAGCCTTCCAACACGCGGCGGCCGCACAGGACGAAGTTGCGGGGCGTAAGGGGAAGTATCCTGGTCTTCAAAGTTGTGGCACAGTGGAAGCTATGAACTGCAAAAGTATCGTACTAGTAGAAATCGCATGACAAATTTACTTAGAATGAGAAATGGAGTTTGTCATGCTGTTTTGCCTTGGGATCGAGATTTGTAATGCATGCCTGCGATTACTACGAGTACGATACTTTTACACAGGATAGAAGCCCCCGCCGCACCTCCTCTTGCGTTCAAGGACAACTACAGCATTGATTTTGTCACGCCGGGGACTACGAGGGGAAAGCAGGAGCCTGCCCTTGCGCTGAGAGAGACGGAAATCGAGACCCGTTTAAAAAATCCAGAGCAGCACGAAGCAGAAGCAGCCCGACGACTGCTGACCCCAGCGGACGGCGCGGCTGAGTCGCAACTACAGGATGCGGTACACAAAAAACCGAAGAAGAGCAGGCGCGGCAAAGCCAGAGAGCAACTACACCGGGAGGTAGCAGAACCCGTCTACACCACCCTCGCCGAAGGCCCTGACGGTCGTGCTCCGCGTTTGGTGCAAGCGGTGCAGACGGTGCAAGAAAGTTGCCCGAAACTCGTGATTCCTGTCCAACACGACGGGAGAAGGACCGAAATCGAAACGGGCTTTTCCCTCTTCGACTGGGTAACAGCCGTGATGTCGCACGTTCGCATCGATATTGGGCTAAAAGAGTCGGACTTCGACGCCCGGGTGCGCGCTGCGATGGCGAGTGAGGACTCATGGGAGTTCCAGTTCGTGGAACTTTTTCAAGACGCCAATGCTATGTCGAGGTATGTGGTATCTTCCTCTTCGGACGGGACGAATAAAGCCGCGAGAGATATTGATGGGGGGAAAAAAGCAATTTTACCGGAAGCTCTGCGCGCCTACTTAGAAGCGAAGTCGAAGTACTACCACTACAAGCGCAGGGAGAATACACTGATCACCGCGTTTCAGAAAACGATGAGATCCCATGCGCGAAAGGACTACAAGGGGTCTACTCCGAGTATGACAACCCGTCATGTTGCTGCTTCTGGTTTTAGGACAACTCCGGGAACGAGCGGTGATGGAGATCGACGGGGTAGCGAGATGATGTCGCCAATTCAAATTTTATCAACAGGAAGTAGAGAAACAAATGCTCCTTCGCAAGGCGGAATTGAGACGGACGAAGAGAAGCGCGCAAGACTACGTGCGTTGGTCGAAAAGGAGCAGGCACGGCGAGCGGAGGAAAGTAAGGAGAAAGCGTTTCCATAAGTAGATGCATAGATGCATTTCAAGAAATTTTGCCGAGCAGCTGCCAAGTACAGGTTGCAAAGCGAAAACGCATGCTCGCTCTTGGTTTTCAGATGGTTTTTTATGACATTAGTGGCACATGCACGTCATTGTACTTCTCCAATCCACCATATCGCTCTTTTCACCGTAGTGTGTTTATACTTCTTTTAGTCTTTGACTTTGCCTTCATTCATATCGCTTCTTTCGTCAGCACATTGGTATCCAGTTCGCGATCATCGAAAAACAATGCTCAATCTTTAAGCAACTTGCATAGATGAAGGGGCTTCCAACAACTACACTTCAAGCGTACGCGAGAAAAGAAGTTCGCGTGTTCCTCATGCTACCCGGTTTATAGAAGCTGTTTTTACTTTTGAGAGGAGTAGTTTTTTGAAGTTGTGCTGCCTGGGCAGATTTTGATTTCAGCATTCGACTCTTCTGCTAGTGCCACTTCTTCGCGCCGCTCAATTCTATCTTCAACATAATATTTTGTCTTACCCGGACCCGGAGGTATAGCTAGAGATGGCGATGCCCCCTGGGAAGGAACATTCTCCGCACAATCGGATTGCGATTTTGTTTCTTCTGCGGGACAAGACAAGTATAGTAACACCTGTACGTGCGTGAATTTCATCCGGTTGGTCCATGATCAGCCACACGGTTTTGGTGCTTTTTCTTGTGATGGAGTTCTAAGCTGCACGTAGAAGTTATTGTGAGCAAGCTACTTCATTTCCCCCGGAACGGTAGAAATTTCTTGACATCCTCAACTTGTTCGCAAATTCTTGATAATCTCAACTTTTTCGCTGCGAGAACTCTTCGTTTCCCGTTTCGCGGGAATAAGGAGCAGAGCTGTGAAGATGTGGAGATGGAATAACTACTCAAAAGAAATTTTGGAAAGAGCATATCATACAAGTTGATACGCACAGCATTTTTTCGATGTCCCCCTCCCCGTATGTTGCAGAAGAAAGCAACGCCCTGGATGTCCTCGTTCACCTTTGTTGACTACTTTTGTGTGCCTTTTGGACAGATGACTTCCATGACATGCAGACTTCGATGAAAAAACAACAAGAGTGGTAAGTGGACGCGCAGCTTCGTATTTGCCACAAAATCATGTGTGGCACTGGCATTCGAACCATACAACTCGCAAGGTGTTCGGCATGGACTCGCAATTGCCTCGTTAATTTTATTTGTCGGTGATTGTTATAGCCGTGTTCATTTGGATGTTGCAAACCCGAGCTGTGCATCTTTCGAATCGCTTTTATCTTCCCGTCTCGCTGCTCGTCTTGTTGTTGTTTCAAACAGCTCGGATGTGGTGGATGTGGCCGTAACTTCTGCGTAGTTTCCCATGAACAGATGAGTGGAAATAGTGCAGCTCGACTACATCCTCGGTAAGTACAACAACTCATCTGAAGATCAACAACACAACTCGAGCGAAGGATCAAAAAACCGTCGAACTGGGAAAAATTCAGATCATCTTCTGGAAGAGTAGGATCAAGAACATGCGTTGTAAGGATCACAAAATGTTGTTGGTACTTCTACACTGGTTGCTCTCTTGGATGAAAGGATCGGTACTTCTGATATGCGAAAATGCGTCGATCTTGATGACTAATACGAGCTTGGTCGTTTCAAATTTTCTATAGCATCATCACGGTCACCACGACATTCGGACCTGATCTTGGCAAGATCATGTCTGGCGTCTTGAGAGGGTGACCGAATCGCTCACCCCGATGATAGTTCTCGCAAATCGTCTGAATAACTCTCGAGTAAACTACGGAGTCGAAAACGTCAACGTTTAAGATGACACCGTCTCGCTACACAAACGCTCAAACTGCAGGTTGCGAACCTGGACGCAAACAAATCCGTTTCGGTGCGAGGAAAGATCGCGACTGCTCGTCTGCGCATTGCTCTAACGACTTAGGATGAAAGTGCGGAGGTTTATTGTGTCGGTTCTTTTTTCTCGTTCGAACTCGATGTCATCATCGCAGATAAAATCATATTCGGTTCGTGTGGTAGAAGTGCTGGATCTTTGCGGCGGAGTCGTCGCTTCTTGCGCCGTTCGGTTTTTATCGTGCTTTCGCGCGTCCATTGTGCTGTCGGTTCGTTCGTACTCATGAAACTGTCGAGAGCGTCCTAGTTCCGTTCATTTCGGTAACCAATCGTTCTAGTCTCCCCGTACACGACGACTTGTTGCCGAAATGAAGGTCTCGTCGGTCGTTAGTTGAGCAACCTACGTAGCACGTCGTTCACCATGTTAGTGTTTTGATGTGCCGGAAGGTGTCGTCGGGAAGATAGATTTTGTCGGCCTGTGCGCGATTAGTGGCAGTTGATGCAGTACATGTGGCGACCAGGGCGGCTTTGGCGACAGAGTACGCCGCTGCATTTTTCGCAATTTGTCGCACACTGCGCCGGAGATAGGCAAAGTCTAGTCTTCATCGTAGTCATGATTCGTTTTTATTATCTCAACACAACAGTCAAACTGAATAATTCGAATTCCGCGTTTTTTCGCATTCCCTCCCAGTCTGTAGCGGAAACGCTAAAACAAAAACTGTCTTTCTAACAAACCCCAACGAACAGCATATCTTTCAAAACTATTTCATAACCAAGAACGAAGCGAGTCGAAGAGGATCATCGACTAACAATATACAAGGACCGCAACTACAAATACCAATACAAAGAAGAGCTTCTGAGTTCGTCACTTTCCCCAAAGTACAACTCAATTCACAATTCACAACTGAGGACACGAGGACATCAGACGCTTCGAGCGACTCAATTCAGACTCTCGCACACGCTGTCGAAGGGCCACCCATCTTCGTCAAGCCAGGGTTTGTTGTTGTTCCTGCACGAGTCGAAAATCTCTCGCAGAGAAAATAAAATGTCGCGCTTATCGCTCTTGGCAAAGGCCTTCCTCGCCTTGCGCATCGGGACGACGGGGCGGGGGGGGACTCGCGGTGACGGCAGTCGTTGTTGGCGAAGAAGCAAAGCAGGCGCGCAAAAAGATCAAATACGGCAACCTGCGCGGGAGCCGGAAAAAGGCGGAGGCTACGGACAGCATTGCGACCGTGGACGGGGAAAAGTCGTCTGATGTTGATGACAGGAAGGACGTTGGAAAGTCGTCTGATGTTGATGACAAGTACGGATTTCTGGAGGAACAACATCAAGCGCAAGGTTCACACCTGCGTGAAGAAGATCTAGGGTAAGTAGACCTGCTCCTTTGTTGGTTTTGGGAAAGGTGGAAGTGGTTCTTTCTAGCATCTGCGCCAGCCCCAGACTCTGGGGGCCCGAAGGAAGTTCTGCGACAGGTCGTTCTTAGCTCAGTGCGAGCAAAAATTTGTTCGTAACTTAAGTACTTGGCGAGGTTCTTTCATTGCTCAGGAATGCCACGCGTCCGGGCAACCGCGCGGCAGGCCTCGGCTTCTCCACGAAGATCGGAAGGGGCCGCGGGAAGGTCCGCAAAACTTAGGAGCGCTAGGCCAGACGAGGTCGGTTGTCTGATTGGAAGGTTGGCGGGGGCGAGGTGTCCTTCGGAAAATCGGGTATCCGGGTAGACCAGGAACCCTGGTCGTCAGACCAGGGACCCTACGGACCAGGGACCCTAGGGCCCGCCCTACGGACCGACAACCCTATGCACCAAGGGCCCCGCGAACCAGGGCCCTACGAACCGGGCTTCCAGCAACCGCGCCTGACGCGGACTCCGGCCGCCCGCAGCGCACTCCGCCCGGCCACTTGGCGCCAGGTCTGCCCGCCTGACGCGCACTCCCTCCGGCCGGCTGGCGCCAGTTTTATCTAACCGCCCGAGGACGCCCAGTTTGGCATTGGCCGTCTGACGCCCGGTGTGGCCGTGCGGCGCCAGGTCTGGCCGCCTGGCGCCGGGGCCGTCAGTCTAGCCTCGCTCCTGACAGGCGCCCGCTCTGGCCGTCTGGTGCCATGTTGTGTGGCCGTCTTGCGCTCGGCCTGTCCGTCTGACGCCCGGCCTGGCCTTTTGGCGGCAGGCCGGACTGGCTGCCTCACGCGAAACTCCGGAGCACCGGCCCCCCGGCTCACAGCCAGGGCAAGCACCCGGCTCCCGGAGTACGCACCTGGTCCGTAGGGTTCCTGGCCCGTAGGTCCTCGGTCCGGGGGGTTCCCGGGTCCAATGGTCCCTGGTTCGCAGGCCAGGGTCCCTGGTCCCAGGGTCCCTGGTCCCAGGGTCCCTGGTTTGCAGCTTTACCGGAGAGTCATAGACCCCATTCGCGCGGCAGCGTACTGGTAAGTCTACATGATCGCAGCGAAGCCATTCTAGGGGTTGCGTCCTATTCTTGTCTGCGGCAACAGGAGCTTGAGCACGGTGCAGAAGCATGCCTTTTGTTTCTTTTCTATGCTGTGCCAGATGTTAATGCGATTGGGGGCATTCGGCACCTAGTTTTACAAACACAAGGATAACAAGCAGCGCAACATTTGTATTGTGCATGACAATCGAAGCAGGTCCTTTGCGGATGCGCACATGTACGCTCGTGTAACAGACAAGCCATCCCTTGGCACCAATCTGGCTAATTCGCGTCATTTTCGGATTTCTGCATTGTCTTGGCGCAGCCGCAGCCCGTTTGACCGTCTGCGAACCTCGGCTTTGCGAGGATGCCTGGGACATCATTAAATTGAATTTATTGACAGGCTTGGAGGTGCTGTTGACCGACCTGACCCAGGCCCGACACATCAGGCTAGCTCGACCACTCCGAATGCTGATGCTGCGAAAGAAGACCTCGTGGAAGCTCAATTGCTTATCAACGTGCTGCAGACTGACAAATTTTCTTTTGAATCAGATGAAAAGCGAGATGATGTGCTTACGCAGGACCAATTTTTCGCTCGTTATTTGGCCGAAGCAGACAAAAAGCTTAGAGGTGCCATGGAGGAGTTCAAATCGGCTCAAAAAAAACTGCAGTCGGAGATTCTGACCGCGGAATATGCCCTTCTGGTTCATGTTCGCGACCTCAAGGCGCAAGCGATAAACGTGAAAGACTCTATTGAAGCAGCGCGCGAGGGGAGCCAAAGTTTAACTGATGCTCAAAAAACTCAATGCGAGCTTGCTGAAGAAGAGCTTAAAAAAGCTATCAGCGAGGCTGAAGACGCGATCAACGCTTTCGACTCGTACAGGGAGAAGTTGGTTTCACCACCAGGAGACCCCCCTTCCGAAAGCGAAATCGCAGGAGCGATCCGCAAAACCAATCCTGCCATCTTCGAGAGTCTGGCGAAAAGTTGTAAATTTCTACGAGGCCGCCTGAAAGGGTTAGATCATCATCTACCCAAGACATTTGTGCAGGACGAAACGTCCCCCCTGCATCCGAGCAATCGGTGGCCCAACGAGTCCGCGGCCATGAAACCCCTCGCGCGAAGCGGGAAAAAACGGTCCCGAGATGCTGGAATATCATCTCGTCAAGTTGTTTCGAGGGGCGATGGACACCGGCCGCTTTAACCGATTTCATCCTCGCAATGGTTCAGGTCTACTTCTTCGTCTCTACCAAGCAAGCTATCTTCGATGAGAAAAACCGAAGATGAGACTCCCTTGTACTTGCAGGAGCTCCTCTAGTAGTACAATTACAACAAGTTAGAAGTACAAAAGCATAGAGAGAGATGGAAAAACAGTGCAAAAGCAGTAAAGCAAGAGGTAACTACTATTAGCACTACTTTGACGAAAAACATCAAAGCAAGAAACTCACTGCCATTCCGACGTCTGCGAACATGGGTATCCCCCTTCGCATAAAAATGTTGGAGTGTGTTTGTGTAAGTAGCGCTGGCCGCCAGTCAGTAGCGCGGAGTCGATAAATGCGGCAGCTCTAAAATGAGGCGCGAAACACGAAAAAACTTCGGCGAGGCGCTGTAGAAGTATTGCGCTCGTCTTCTACAAAAAAAGCAACATAATTGAATATTAACCAGTCTGTAGCGCTGGCCAGGCAGAAACGGGGCGAGGAGGCGAGAAATAAGGAAAAACCAAGACGAAGTGGAAGTACGAAATAGCAATATTTTTCGAAGAGGCGCTGTAGGAATATTGACAACTTTGTCGTCTTCTATCTTCCAAGAAGCATTTGCATTAGTGTAATCAAGGCGACTTGTTGTCGTTATACTGGCATTCTAGTGCTGAAATGCAAAGACAGTGTACTACGAGGAGCCCCCCGAAGCTTTATTACGTTTGCGAACTTCCAAGTCCCATCAACATTTTCTTTTTGTCACCGATATAATAAGGTTTTCAGTTTTTTTCATTAGTTTTTTATGGTTAGTTTACTTTGCTATGCTTATTGTTGTATTTCTCTCATAATAAGGAGATCTGAAGCCAGAGCCACAACGTCTTGTCTTAGCGCCGATCAAGCTCACGTTTGGGGTTGTTCAGGCAACGGCGGTACCCCAGCTCTAACTAAATATCCCTAATTAAATATTTGCGTCCTTATCTCCTAGTTTAGTGTCTCAATCCCATCGCCGATTTTTTTGTGCTTTGATAATGAAATCAATTCGTATATTTTTTAAATTTATTAAGTTTATTTGCCGTGTAAATCTTAATCATCAACATCGTGTCGTCCTGTAGTCTGCGCCTCGTTTCGAAGAAAAAGCGCCTGCTTGTGTTTTTACAGGAGGTATTTTTAATTGTGCGGTCAGTTATTTCTTTTCGGAGGAGCGAAAGAAATCGAGCTGTACGCCGCATGTGCAATGTAAAAGACGAGGACAACACGATCAACAAGAAGAAAAAGTATCACTTCCCCCGCATTTTTTTATAAACGACCTACATCTAGATGTGTTTCATTATCGTTGCATATGACAACTCGCCAATCTTTGTCAGTAATTGTTATAGCCGTGTTCATCTATCATCTGGATCTTGCAAACCGAAACTGTTCTTGCGAATCGTTTTTATCCTCCAGTCTCCCTCGCCTTCTTGTTGTTCCAAACAGCTCGGATTTTGTAGATGTGGCCGCAACTTCTGCCCCCCCCTAAGCAGATAAGTGGAAGTAGTGCTCGACATCGATAAGTACTCATCCGAAGATCACAACTCGAACGAGGATCAAAAAAGCGTCGCACTGGAAAAAAATCAGATCTTCTGGAAGAGGAGGATCAAGAACGAGCACTGTAAGGATCACAAAATGTTGTTGGTACCACCCTGGTTGTTGTTTTGGATAAAAGTTGTATCGGTATCTGATATGCGTATGCGAAGATGCGAAAAGATGATACAACACGAGCTCGGTCGTTCCCGTTCGGTATCTCTGCCGACACTCGTTAAATTTGCTGTAGCATGATCACGGTCACCACAACATTCGGATCTGAAGATCTTGGCAAGATCATGTCTGGCGTCGCGAGAGGGTGACCGAATTGTTCACCCCGATGCATGGTAGTGCTCGCAAATCGTATGAATAAGTTTCGAGAATCACCGTCAACGTTTAAGATGACTTGACACTGTTTCGCTACACACACACTCGAACTGCAGGTTGTGAACCTGGACGCAAGTAAACACGTAAAACTGTTTACTGCCTTATCGGGAACACATACAGATACAAATCCGCTTTGTTTATCTTGTAGCTCTACTTTTCAAGTCTAAATAAATAAGCGATCTACTAGAAGCAAGGAGTACGACGAGGAGGATCATTTTCAGTTGTTAAATCATACCCATCTTCAAGAGACACTCCCTAAAACACACTCACACTGCCCCTTGTGAAAAGTGTTCCCCAAAAATAAACTTAGTGTTTTCATCGATCATCAAGTAGATAGCGAAGAGGTTTTCGACATTGCTTTTTCTCTTTGATAACTAGCGGAAGTGGATGTTCCGAGTATTTGCGTGATTGCAACCTCAATCAACAGTCAATTGAAGGAAGTTTTCGCTTACTCTGGGTGGAGAAGCTCGTTTATTTGTATGATCTTGACGAAGTACAAGTAGTAGCACTTTCAACTTCTGCTTTTCCAATAAAACGATAAATCAAAACTACGGAGTACTCGTAGTGCAAAAACACAAAGAAGTAGAAGTTCTTCCTCGGTCGTTCTTAGTGGTGTCTGATAAATGCATATGGTTCATCAGTTTTGAGCAAACTACAACTACAACTATTCTCGTCTACAAGAAGTGTAAGTACGAACTTTTTCTTCAAGGATAAAGAAACTTTTTTGTGCTTGCACGCGGCCGAGTCGTCTTCTAAAACCTCTCCACCATCCGACCACCAAAATAAACAACATTTACTTACAATTCTTCCTGGCAGCATTCACATTCTCATGATCATCAACGTCAAAGAGGAAGGAAGAACAAGCCACCTGCAGCGCCGAGGACCCTGTAGCTCTGTAATCATGGCACCGCTAGTACGACCTGCGCCTGCTTCTCGGCGGAACGTCGGCTCCGCGCTGTGGAGGTCCTCGCGGTTTCATACGTCCGCCTTGGCACAGCTAGTTTTACTGGGACGTTTTCTTATTTCGGCTGGTTTATTTGAACTACCCCTTAGTTCTTTCATCGCGACGAGTTCGGTTGTTCGGCCAGTCCTTGCTGTGACCGCTGCTTCTAGTACTCCGCAGCGGGATATTGATCCTCGTCGTGGTGATGGTGGACGTACGGGGCCGGGGCGTAGTAGAACAAGAAACTCCAGCGCGGCTGCTTCCTCGCGTAGAAGAACATCAAGAAGCCCCGCCTCGGCGGCAGTGCAACATGTGAAGGGGCGATTGGATCACGACTCTCGGCAAAATCTGTCACAACAACCCGCACCCGCCGGTCCCCCGACAGTGCTGGGACCTCCAACAGCAGGAGGGACCAGTCAAGCAGCACGTGGCGCTACTTCGCAACAACAAGAGGACACTCAGCGTCAGCCGCAGCAACCGACTGGTGCACCCTCGGGCGGAAGCGGAACAGAACCGGCGCAGCCGCCAGGACGACAAGCGGAAGGACCCGCGGCCTCTACCGTTCAAGAGCTACAAGAAGCGCTCCAGCGCGTTCATTTGGAGGGCGACGGATCTTCATCTTTTCGACCCCACCAGCAAGCGCGAGCGCAACCAGGGCGCAGAGCACAGTCGCAAGAGGCAGGATCAGCAAGACGAACCGACGCAGCTGGAGGAGGACCCCGGCGAGGAGGCCAGCAGGCAAGTATGCAGTGCAAATGTTATATCTGGGTCTGGGATGATGTTGCAAGTGGAACTTGTATTGCTTGTCTCGTCGTGTAATTCCTGTAGAGTCTGCGTTGCATGACTAACACAAGCGCGACGACCCTTTTTGTCATGCAAAACTGGAGTTTGTCTCTGTCTTTGTAATGCGCGCTATGCACCATGAAGGGGCGCCCATAATACTTGTCATGCTTGGCAACTGCACTAAGAAAGAAGACTGCTGCTGTTCAATTTTGGCCATTCAGCATCACAAGTTTCCAGACCCAGACATACTTTCAATGCATACCAAACTCGCGGCAACAGCAATTCTACCGCGTCCCGCTTTGGACAACACAGCAGCTGTATCCACTGCAAAAATATGTCCGGATCGACGTCTGAAAGACTGTGATATTTTTTGTCATGCTAGTCTGGCATAGCTATTATAGCTTTGCTGGTCTAAGCTCTGTAGTGCGCACCGACCAGGAGGAGGTCCTCTTGATGCCTGTCTTGCAAAAACGCAGTTTCTCTTCATGCGGGAAACGAATAGGATTAGGAATGAAAAAGCAACGATAAAATCTGTTAATATGCTTGGTGGTGCATTACAGGGATTTTCAGGAGACCCAGACTCAGACATGTTTGCAGTGCATAAGCTGCGAGACGCCATCGAACCGACGCAAGCGGACTACGATTTGCAGGGCATCATCGAACTGTATTTCACCTGGCTCTTCCGGGAACACAAATGGCACTTTGGCCACTTATCCGACCCGAGACACATGGTGATCACGAGTCCGACTAGTATGTCCGCTATCGTAAGGAAAAATCCCCCCTCCCCATATCAAAACGATGTGTCTGATGCTGGATTTGTGTACACAAATCAGATTTGTCTTGCTGGCGAGGACTGCAGGCCCATATCAAGCCTGAGTAGACAGGTTTCGGCCTACGCGCTCGGAGCCTGTAGATTTGCCTTCATGCAATACAGCGACGAGTGGCGGTCTCAAATCAGCATCACAAATTTTCAGAAGTATCCCGGTTTGGTATGGGGAGGGGGGATTTTTCCTCACAATATCCGCAGGCCTGGATTCCGAGATAGTACTGGAATTGTTCCTCGAAAATAATTTTTCTTTCGGTCTGCCACCGCAGGGGGTACAACTGAGACAACAGCCTGGAGGAGGTGGAGGTTTTCCTGGTCGTGCTCCTGGGAGCAGTGCGCCGCCCGACTCGTCCGCCCTGACGGTGCTCGACAGAGCCATGTGGCACCAAGAAAGCGAAGCAGCAGAGGTCGCTGCTGCGCAACGACAACAATTCTCTTCGAGTCGCCAAGTTGTCGGCCTCCGCATTCCGGAAACCTCCACGCTGCGCACCTACGCCGCCACATCGGATTATACGCGTCGTGATAATACCTACGGAAAAAAACTGCAGCGACTGCAAACTCGCGTGTTCGAGCTGCTGCAGCTTTTGCACAAGGAGAAATCTAGCGGTGAATCCGTTCTGGAGGGTATCCAGCTCGAGGCTACAAGTGTAGGTGCGGCGGCGAGCGCAGGCACAGATGCTCCTCCACAGGGGGAGCAAAAAATCAGGCTCAGACTGGACCCGCGCATCTTTCTGATGCAGACGTCCTTTCTGAAGTTTTTGGATTCCATCCGCGGGCCTTCATCTCCACCCATCACAGTAGATGTATCCTGAGGAAAAGCTACGTCCCCAGCTGCCCCATAGTCAAGTACAAGTTGGAAAAATTAATATCTCTGCAACACAAGTCCGGAAGTTTTGGCAGTCACGCATGTTGACAAGGTCTTTGCCGCTGTAATTATTGCAATTATATATATTCACGTTTCTAAGAGCAAGGACAGGAGCCGTATCACGAAGCCACCGCCCTATAATCCTGTTTGCAGCATTACAGATCCAAAAGCACCACTGAGAATGCCTGTCTTCTTGTGAATGCGCATTACTAGCGTTCCTGGAATTGCAAATCTGCATGACAGCCCGGGGGTGGGGACGTTTTTCCACAGGATAAGACGATGCGCAAGACGGCGAGACGAGCAGCACCACGACCGAGGCAGACGTTGGGCGGCGGATTCGTGCGGCTCTCCCGGGTTGGACACACGCTGAGAAGTTGGGGCACATGGGAAACTATCAAATGCAAAGTGTCTGGGTCTGGAAAAGTTCAAACTTGTCATGCAGATTTTCCATGACCTATGAGGTCTGGAATGTGGGACTTAGCATGACAGACTCTGCGAGGTCTCTGCCATGCCTAACCTGCATGAGAAACTCCCGTCCAGCTTGGTCAAAAGTGGACAGCTTTTGGCACTCATGCAACACAGATTTTTGCATGCTTCAGATTTACCATGACAAGCTGCCGCCTTCCAGACCCAGACATTTTTACATTTGATAGAAACACGCGGCGCACCTCCGCCGTTGGCGGCCACGGCGAGGAATGGCGGGCAGAATATGCTTTGCAAAAGTATCGTACTCGTACCAGTTGCAATCATGCAATACAAATCTGCTTCCTAAGGTAAATCTGCATTACAAATTTCATTTGTCATGCTACTCAAATTTGTCATGCCATTTCCACTAGTACGATACTTTTGCAATGCATACAGAAAAAGTCGCTGCAATCCTGACCCGGTCCGTAACCGGCTCCTACGGGAAGGACGGGGAATTCACATCGCTGCTGACGGAGGCGTATGAAATGCAAAAGTACCGTACTCGTATAAATGCAGGTCTTGCATTACAAATTTTTTTGTCAAGGCAAATCAGCATTACAGATTTTATTTCTCATGCTGAGAAAATTTGTAATGCATTTATACGAGTACGATACTTTTGCAGTTCATAAGTCGGGAAGACAAGCTGCCCGTCGCGCAAAGGCCCGGCTGGACGCTACACTTTCTGGCGGACGATCTGCAGCACCACTATCCTGTGTAAAAACGTCCCCACCCCAGAGTTGTCATGCAGATTTGCCATGACAGGAACATTTGTGATGCGCAACCCCATGGCAGGCATTTTCAATCGTGTTTGGGAACTTGTAATGCTGTAAACAGGATCAGAAGGTCGATTTGTGATGCGGCTTTCCTTGCTAACTTGCACTACCTTACGGACTGACACTTGTCATGCGTGACTCCTAAAACTCCTAGGTTTGTGTTGCAAAATCCCCATCCTGACTCTGGTGTGGGTACGTTTTTACTCAGGATAACCACAACAACATGCTCAAGCAGTGCCGGGGGTGGGCCGCCGCAGCCGCGCGGGGCCCTCCTCGCGCAGGAACGGCTCTGCTTCGGGGGCGGTTGCCGCCGCTTCTCAACCGCAGCAGCAGGGTGGACCAGTGGACCGGCAAGGCCGTCTTGCATCTTCTGCCCCTACTTCCGCCGGGCCTGAATCTCGCGCCGCCCAGCGGGCGCGCTTGCAAGTTCCCCGCGTGCGGCAGGATTCGCACAGCTACTTGGCGCACTTAATCGCCTCCGTGGTGCGCAAGGACCGGTACCGGGGTAGCATCCGGCAGCGCATGCTGAAAAAACTGGGGCAGCTGTGGGATCGCCCAGGCTGCTCGTTTCTCACGAAGTGGACCAATTGGTTTGTGCCGAAGCGTATGCATCGCAAAAGCATGATGTTCGACGTACCAGTGCTAGTTGCGTCGTAAAAGTTTTTTTTTTTTTTGAAAGGGAAAAGCCAAAATGTAAATGGTATAAATTATATGCAGACTCAGGAAAATATTTACTGTCGTGTAGTAAGACTGCTGGCATTTGTACGAGTTTTACGTCGACTTCTCTTTTGCTTGCAATGCATAAAGCAATTGCGCAAACAGCACCTCCGGAAGTACACTGTGTTGCTTTCGGTGAGAACAGTGGGCGACAAGGACGGGATTCAGATCCCTGTATTTCCCGCACTACAAGAGCGCCCCGCCACAGTGCTCGACGGACGAGGACAGCAGCAGATCACGAGCCCACCACCGCCACCACCAGCAGGGCAGCCACACGCTCTTTCCACCACCCCCACTTCTGTAATATTGTTCTCCCCGTCACATTACGCAGCGAAAGTTTTCGAGCCGTTCTTTCTGCGGAGCGTGCTGTGGCAGAATGTTTCTGTGTCACCGGCGGAGAAAACCATGAGGAGGTTCTGGATCGGCGCACCACATCCACAAGAGGAATCTGCCACTGGCGCCGGGGTCCCAGCCGCGCCTGGCCTCGCAGCGGCTTCTAATGATCCTGTCGTGCTGACAGGCAAGCTGAACTTGGTCTACATCACCGTTCGGACGTGGCTTTCGCAGTACGGCCTACTGCGCTTCTTTCAGCAAAACAACGCGTTCGAACTTCAACTCTTGCTGCAGGGCTTCTGGTATGCATTGCAAAAGTATCGCAATCGTGCTAGTATAAATTGCATTACAAATTTTATCACAAATTTTTATTTTTAATGCTAATCCAGTTAAAAAGGTAAGTAGGCTTGTCATGCAGGATTGCAATTACAACTACGAGTGCGATACTTTTGCACAGGATACCTGGGATACCTACCTCGAAGGTCCGCCACCAGCTGGCGCGACGCTGGACTTGGTTTTCACTAGGAAGCAGATTTTTCGCTTTCTTCACCAGCGCCCGGTGGCTCCCGAACTGAAGGTGGATTTATTTTTTGACGCAGCGGCAGTCTTCGGAACCGGAAGGGTTGGTGGTGTGCCGGACGTGGAACTCAAACTCTTGTACGGCCGCATCCTGCAAAACGCCGCCCCGATGGCGGTCATGCAGCTCTTCTTCGCTCTCGTTTTGCAGCCGACGCTGGTGAGCAGAACGGAGAATAAAACAACACTGCGCCAGATATTCGGCGCCCTTCTCCAGGGATATGGGATTCTCAAACGGTACACGGAGTCAACTGTTACATGATTTGTCTTTGTCACGCGGAATTACTATGATCATGCCCACACAACTGCACACGATCAAGCTTCTTGTTGGCATGATAACGCGGCATCCACGCACTAAAAAAGCGCATCAGAATTATCCGGACCTCCAAATCTGTATTATGCAAGGTCTCCTTGACGTTGTTCACTTTTGCTATTCTGGCGCCGTCACAAGTTCATGTAATAAGCAGTTGAAAGCGTAACGCTTGGGAACTCCATAGGAATAAAGCGAACCTGTTCGCTCCACACCCACAACTTGCGTTCGCTTTGCGGGCCGAAGGCGAAGCCAGGGCAACGAACAACGAGGAGGCGAGGTTTCATTTGACCGACCGGATCCGGACAGCCATTTTGCCGACGGTGTCGGGTTCTTCTCTGGCAAGCAGCGTGCAGAAGCATTGGCGTGCGGAAAAAGTGCTTTGGGACGCCGCCACAAGTTGGAAGGCGTTTGTTGCTCACGGTAGGACACAACAGCAAGCAAGAGACCAGCACCAGGGTGGTCGTCTTGGTGGGACAATGAACACGTTTCCGGGTCAACAGCAACACCAGGATCTTCAACAAGGTCAGCACGCCTCTGCTGCCACACCGTACAACCAAGGCCAGTCTGCTTTTTACCATCAGGAAGGCAGCGGACGAGCCCCGCAGCAGCAGCAGCAGCAGGGCCAGATGTTGTATCCTCAGCAACACCCATTGCAGTGGAACCAAAACGACCAAGGGACGAGGACCTTTGTTACCGCCCCGGGCGTGCAGTTTGTGTACGCGTTGGTACCTGCGAGCCTCTTTTTTCAGACGAGAGTCGGAAGTTGGAGCAGCCAACAACATGTACAACAAGAGCTAGTACCGGCCGGAATTGGAAGCGTGGTGCCGGCGCCGGCGCGTTCATCCCAGCCGGTCGCTTATTCGCCCACGGCCGTGGCCGTGTATACCCGCCGTGGTCGTGGCGGGTATACAACTTCCGCTCACCATCAAGAGCATCCACCCGCAGCGGACCCGTTTGCCTGTTTGTCTTCGCCGGCTTATGGCAGCGGCGCGCCTGGGAACATGCCCTCTGACGAAACGGAACCGTACGGCGAGTAGGAGAATGCACAGCAGCACCTCGTCCTCCACCCCTTGATTTGAAGGGCATGACGGGCCGCAAGATGTACTAGCCCTCGCATGACAAATAGGGATTATATCACGGATCATTCTTGTAGTCTTACTCCTGGCCGAGGTCTTTCCGCTATGATATTGACCCTGTGATGTTGCGAAGAACAGCGCTCCTTCAAGGAAAAAGATCTGGACTCGGCAAAAAATTTGTTCTGCATGACTACATCATCAAATGAGGGGGAGTTGTGAGACGTCGTCGAGTTGTGCACTTTCATAGCGTGCCGTCGGCTAATGCTGCCGACAGGAGCAGGTCCGCGTCTTCTTCTTCCTCGAGAAGCGGTCGAAGTAGGGGACACCAGCGGGGTCGTCGAGGCACTACTGGGAGCAGTCGCGGTCCTCGTGCTCCGTCTGCCTCTCGTCGTGAACCGCGGCAACAAGCACACCTCCAAGCCGCTGTTGCCGGGGGCGTCGGGGGGATCATCCCCGCCTCTTCTGGTGCTGTGCCGTCTTCGGCGTCCGGGGTAGTTCCGTCGAGCAGAACGAAGGTCACGGACGCGAAGCGGGCGGCGGACAAAGAAATGTTCTCAAAGTTCAGCGAGACTTTGCAAAACGTCAACTGGAGTACCGTTGGCGGTATCAAAACGCGCAGGGACGAACGAGAAAGCATCTTGGCCCAGCTCCGGGCCGATCTCTGGGACATGCAGGACGCTGGCGTAGAAGTAGTTGACGGCGGTGGAGGGGCGAGTGCCGTTGATGCTCCGAAAGAAATGGACCAAGTAGGAGGTGGAGGTGCCGCTTCTCCCGAAGCTGCGCCTCCTTTGGACCGCGTACGAACTGCCGGAACGGAGGCGGAACCTCAGCCCGAACCGGCCGAGGGAACGGCACCCGGCTCGCTGTTCACGCTCGAATGCGAGGGAGATGAATTATGCGTCTCTACTTTTGGCCTGGATCATGGGGAGACACGTTGCTGGGTATCCTGTGTAAAGACGTCCCCACACGACCAGAGTCAAGATGCGAAATCTAATCTGCATCACAAAGCCAGGAGTTTTGGGACTCACACGTGACGAGTTCTTTCGATCTGTAACGCAGGAGTGCAGGTCGCGGCTAGCTACAGCAGCCGCACCAGAAATCGATCACGTTATCCGGACAGTAGCATGACAAATTGAAAATCCAAAATAACATGTTGAGAAGATACCTCTCGGTCTCATGTGGCTGCGCATGGGAAGCATTGCACGTGCAGGCATGCGAACTTGCATGATCATATCTCTGGGATGGGGGCGACGTTTTTGCACAGGATAGCGCGCAGATACGGTCGACAGCTCGGCGGACGAGGATCCGCTGCACCACCCAGACGAGGTCTCAGTGGTTGAGAAAACTTTCAGCGAGCTGTCAATGTCGTCAAACACGCCCTCCGGTCAAGAAAGACCTGGTAGGAGTACAGCGTCCCGGGCCGTCGAAATTGCTACGATTCAGGGCGGAAGTGAAAAGCGTGCACAAGGAGAAGGTGCTGCTGGGCCCTCTTCTGCTATTTCCCCGCGAGCAGGCAGAAGTAGCCGTGGCTCTTCTGCTGCTCGTAGAAGTGCGAGGTCTGCGTCCTCATCTTCTCGTAGGAACAGGAAGAAAAGCGTCGGGCCCCCTGTGTCTATTCGCCGCAACCCACGAGGAGGCCCAGCACGAGGAGCTGGACAAGGAGCACTGCTCCTTGCTGCCCAGCTCCTCGTGCTGGGTCGAGGAGCTGCTGCAGCTCCTGCGTCTTCTGCAACGCAACCCCCTGCTCCCACCACTGTTCCTGCGCCTTCTGCTCCTCCGACTCCGTTTCGGCTTTGGACGGAGGAAGAGATTCGAGAATGGAACAGAAAAAACTTGGTGCAGGAAAAACTTGTTGCACAGATTACCGGTTCTCAGTTCTTTCCTCATGCAGCTGGTACAGACGTGCAGGTGGGGAGTGATGATGATAGTAGCCGCTCTTGTTCCTCATCTGACAGTGGGGATGAAGAGGATGACACCACCAGCGGAAGTGATGGTTACGAAGAGGATGCGGATATTGACGACGCGGACGTTTCATCTTCAAGCGGTGGAGATCGCGGGAGAACTACGCCGCGGCCTGCTGCTCGTGGGAGGGCGAGGAAAAGATCTGGTGCGCGTCGTGCTGTTCGTCCAGACTTCCACGTCGAGGAAGAGCAATCCCCACTGACGGACGAGGAGGTAGCGCAGTTTGAAACGCGGTTCGACATTTTGAAACGTACCTTCCGGGGCTATGGAGAGAAAAAAGTTTGTCACAGTCACTAACTTGCAGGTTTTGCATTACAAATTTTCTTAGCACCACAAACTTTCCTTGTATTGCAGAAACACTAGGGAAATCCCTAATGCAGTTTGGCTGTGATGCATTTTTACGCATGACAAGCAATTTTGTATTGCAAGAATGCGCATGAGTGATCGTGACGAACTTTTTTTCTTGGATAGGGGCCTGCGGGCCGCGATGGCGCTGGACCTGCACATCTGGCAGAGGTATGCATTGCAAATATCCCTGGATGTCTGGAAACTTGTAATGCAAGGAAGGGAATGGTGAGCACACTGTAATGCGCTCCCCAGCATGACAAGTTTTTCCGTGCTGGTTCAGAGTTGCGTAGTACTCCGCATGAGAAACTGCGTTTTGGTTTTTGCATGACAGACAAGAGGAGCTCCTCTTCGCGGGCACGCAATACAGAGCTCGGAGTCATGCCAGACTAGCATGACAAATCTCGCAATTATCTCCGAGACCCAGACATATTTGCAGTTCATAAGAGATTCAGTGCCGTGTTCCAGAAAGCCATCCTGGAGCAACTCGGGGTCAAAAAGGACAAGGCGGAGGGAAGAGATGTGCTGTCCGAGGCAATCGACACGTCCGGGGAGCTAGTATCAAATGTAAAAGTGTCTGGGTCTGGAAGAATGCAACTTGTCATGCTGCATTTGGATTCCAGAAAAATCTGTATTGCATGAGTACCAAAAGCAATGTAATTTTTGCTACGCGGAGAGGGCATTTGTCATGCGGAATAGGCATCAAGAAGCTCCGAAAAAATCTGTGATGCTAGGGCATGCATCACAGACATCAGGGCTCATGCAAAACGTGCATGACAAGTGTCGGAATGTTCCAGACCCAGACGTTTTTACAGTTGATAGCTAGTGCCCAGAAGCGAAAGCGCCCTGTCGGCCGAAACAAGGGAGGGCATGCGGGCAGTCGGCCTCGCCGCACTGCAGCAAGAGACGCGGTTTACAGATCGTCCGATCGAAACGAAGCTCGACCCTGTGCTGGACGAGTTTTTCGCGAAAAAGTGGCTCCGCGAGTTCTTCGACGCAGGAATTATTAGCACTCCGTCTAGTGCAGCCGCGTCAGATCCGCCTTCGCCGCCGCAGAGCACGGCTTCCCCCTTGCAGCGCTATTTGATCCGCATCCAGTTGCAGTACGAGACCTACATGGAGTTGGAGCTGAAAGAAGAGGCTGCACGTGAGGAGGCGAAGCGTGGTGACGAGTCGGATTCCGAGAGGAGTGACGCAGGAGGATCTGTTTCCGGTAAATCATCTTCATCCATAAGCAACTACCTCCTCTTTCAGCCGGAGAGCAAACTAAAGGAAGAAGACCTGCAGTTCCTGTTTTCGCTGGAGCACCAGCTTTTCTCGCAAGGAGAGATGCGAACCGCGACGACGAAGCTCTCCCTCTTCGAGAAGCGTGCCATTCTGATCGCGCAGCTCTGCCACGCGTTGCAAGAGGCGTTTTTATTTTTCGAGCAACACAAGAAACAGCTTGTGCGGAAGGGCAGCGGTGCTGCTCCGACCGCAGAAAGAAATGAGCTACAACGCTCCGTCCCGGAGGCCCAGCATCGGCTGCTGTTGCGTCCGCTGTTGCAGCAAGCCACGACGGGTGCTGCTGGTGGTACTATGACCTCCCCAGCGATGTGGTCCGCCGGGGCGGGGGCGACTCCAGAAGAAGATCCTCGACGTCCTGGTGACGAGGTATTGTCATCTGTCACCTCGCCTTTTGGGTCCAAAATTTACGACGGCGAAAAAGCACCAGCTGTAGGAGATGAACCAGAACTGCAAGAAAGAGAGGGAACTACAAATGATAAAATTGTGACGTACCAGAAATCGGACCTGTACAAATTTCTCAAGCACGAGTGTTACGCCAATGCTGTGGATTTGACCGAACCGCACGGCTATTTGATGATTCGGGGCCGGGAGCAGGAAGACGAGCTCGATTACGACTTTGTGCCGGGCTTCGACAATATTTGGAATGCGGTCTTGAAAAAAAACCCGAGCGTGGTAAAGAAGATGCAGCATCTTCACTCGAGCAGAAGTAGTAGAGCACCATTCTCAGCATCAAACTGGTACGCGTTTTGGGGAGAAAGGGTAAACGAGTACAAGGCTAAGGCGGAGGAGGAAGCGATTGCCGCGCCAGCAGCGGCAGCAGGTTTCGGCGGTAGAATAAATCCCGATCAACCAGTACACGAGAGCAGAACAAGCCGCGAGGTCCTTTTGTACCGAGGCCAAGATATGGACTTGCAAATCGCTATGGATGTGTCAGAGTTGAAATCGACAAAGTTGAAATAATGTGTCATGCATAAAATTGATGCCAGTTGGAACCCAGTTTCTAAGTGGCGCATGACAAATTTCGGTGGTCCCTAAATCCAGTTTGTCATGCTGTTTAGGCAAAAAAGAGAAAAGAGTGATTTTCTCATGCTACTTCAGCAGCTCGAGCTGTAACCCCAAACAGGCTTACAATCGGCCTCACTGGCCTGCTCTGCAACACACGTGCCTCGGGTCATGCATTTTATGCATTACAGATTATTTCAACTTTGACGATTTCAAACCTGACGCTTCCATAATCGCCCGGGAAGCGCTCGTGGAAACAAGAAATGGCGGCCTGTTCAGTGATATCCTGTGTAAAAGTATCGTACTCGTATTGCAATCATGCATTGCAAATCTCTTTCTCAAGGTACATCAGCATTACAAGTTTTATTTCTAATGCTGAGGAAATTTGTGATGCATTTATACGAGTGCGATACTTGTTTTGCAGTTCATAAGTGAGTTCTTCGGCGCGGCAGACGTTCAGTACTATGCCCGAAAGCTCCGTGGCCCGGCGGACGGCATCGGCGCATGGCTGGCTTTTCCGGACGACGTCGAGGCTGTAGAAACTACACTTGCCAAGCCGGACGAGACGTATGAATTGCAAAAGTATCGTACTCGTATAAATGCATTACAAATTTCCTTAGAATGAGAAATAAAATTTGCAATGCGGATTTACCTTAAGAAAAATATTTGTTATGCATGACTGCAATTACTACGAGTACGAATACGATACTTTTGCACAGGATAAGACGGGACGCCATGTGCTTGTGGCCGATGTGCAGCTGGTCTCGGAATATCAAATGTAAAAATGTCTGGGTCTGGAAGATTGCAACTTGTGATGCTGTCTCTGCATTCTAAAAGAATCTGTATTGCATGATCAGCAAGAGGGGTCCAGTTTGTGCTACATGGGGAGGGCATTTCTCATGCGGGATAGGCATCAGAAAGCCCGCTAGAAATATGTGATGCCAGGTTATCCATTACGGGCGTCATGGGTCATGTAAAATCTGCATGACAAGTCTGGCACTCTCCCAGACCCAGACACTTTTGCATTTGATACGGAATTCGGGAAAAAGAACGACCTCTTGTTCTCCACTGGCGCCCCCGAGGGTCCTCGTGGAGCAACAGCATCATCAAGAAAGGACGCACTGCTTAGTCAGTACCAACTGCAGCATCTGGAAACGTTTCGGAACAATCTAGTACCACGACCAGTGCAAGAAAAAGAATCTTCTGCGAAAAGAAAAAGTAATCCTCCTTGCGCCGCTCCTTCCTCTTTTTCGGCATCGGGATCGCGGCGGTCAGGCTCCGACAGCCCAGCAAAGATGAAACCCCTCGGCGTGGATTTCGGGGTGCCGCAGCTGTTGTTCAGCTCCGAGACTGGGTTCTTCGGGGAAGCCGCCGTGCACCCGAGTGACGCCTACTGGTTGGCTTCCCACTACAGCTTGGCGGCGGGCCCGCAATTCGGCGGCGGAGAAGCGAAAACGTTCGAGGAGAGGTACGATCAGAAGCTGAAGGTCGTGGCGAGATCCCTGGAACAGGTGTTCGGAATCAAATTCGTGAAAACTTGTACAACTTCCGCTTCGCGCTGGGACTTGACCACCTCGGGGTTGCTTTTTTCCAAGCCCTTCCTGCGCTCCGAAGACCTCATTCCGCGGGATTTGCGCCATCCAAGTGAGCAGGCAAAGTTCCGTGCTCGGAAGAAGGGAGTCAAACTCGCTTTGTCCTCGCTATTCGGTGAACGGCGTCAAACTCGCTTTGTCGCAACTCGCTTTGCCGCAAAAAGAAGATTTAAAAGAAAAAATCAGAAAGACTTTGTCGCCAAAAAAAAATTGAAAAGAAAAAATCAGAAAGAAAAGCAGAGGAATAGCCCAGCGCGAAAAGTTAAAGTTTTGAAAAAAATAATAAAGAAGAAAAAATTGCCACACGTCGAAACAAGAAAAGGTCCTGGAGCAGGTTCAGCTGCTCAGCCACCTTTGAGCAAGACGTTCCAACAGCAATTCAAACAGCTTTGCGAGTACGGAAAAAAACGGGACGACGCAGCGTGGGCGATGGGTCCCACAGCAGGAGCTGCTGCTGCACACGGGGTCGACGTGTCGACGTTAATACAACCGGCAGATCCAATTGATGAAGCTAGTTTGCAAGCCAAGGTGATTGGTTTCATGCAACACCAACACGACAAGCAGGCCGCGGAAGAAATCCTGAAACGTGCTCGCGAGAGAGCGGAGCTTTTTGGGGGCGGGGAAGAGCTTCGCCTTCGCGTTCTAGCTGGGCCCCACGGGGCCGGCCACGATGGGGATCACCTGTGCACCTGTGGGCTGCCCAGGTGGACCGGCGTGAGAAAAAAAAAGGAGCAAGGCGAAGGAGCGCCAGCTTGGCAGTTTGAGTATGGGACCGCCATCGGCCATGTGTGTGCTTGCGGAATGCCGCACGCGTGTTGCAACCCTGCCAGCCTCGACAAAATGAACGAGAATCCGGAGTTCCCGAAATGGCACCTAGTGCAGCCAGCGGAAGGGCAGATGCGAAAAGAACTTGCAAGGAGAAGGAGAGAGAAAGCGGGGGTGCACGCCAACTTCGGAGAAGGGAGGGTATCCCTGGTAACCGACTTCGGAGAAGGCATCGAGGCAAGGAAAAGGCGGACTGAAGAGGAAAAACGTGCTGACACGCGCGGTGATGCTTGCTTCGCCTGCCTCACGAACAGTCATATCCTGCGCAGAAACGTCCGCTGCTCCTGAAATCTGGCGCTAAGAAAATTAAGCAGAAGTTGTGCGATGAACTCTGCGTGGTGACAAATTTGGAGACGTAGTTTATTTTTCCTGCCTGGTAGCTAAGAAAGAGACCGCGGTACGCGCTGAGCAGGTCCAGACTTTACAAATTCAAATACAGGGTGTATCAGTACAAATTGGCCAGCCCAAGAACATGAAGCACCACTTCTAAAAATTCCAAAACTCATGCTCGTGAAGAAGATGGATCTCGAGGGAGCTCCCCTGTCGTGAGACATTCTGGCTCTCGCTCTAGGCATGCAGAGTTGCATGAAAAATATGGGGGGGACGTTTTTACTCAGGATATCTCGGCACTTTGGCCACCTAGCGAATGACGCGGCTTCTAAGCTTCTGGTTGACGGGGACGAAAGTGATGCTGACGGTGCGACGAAACAACAGCAAACTACACACAACCGGTCGAATATGAGAGTGCACATCAACTACTGCCCCTCGTCCACATCATTTTTTGCAGTGCATTTCTAGCATAGTACAAACAGATGAAGCCACGACGAGGACCTCAAAAATGAGAACGCGGTGCTTGAATGGCCACGAATCAACATACAGCTCCAGACAATAGACGAGCAGTTTAGAAGTTTGCGTTTGGCTAGTTGTACCCAAAAGTTGTTATCATGCAAGAATTTGTTGTCATGCAAGCAGCACGGCCAAAAGGAGGCTCAACATACACGAAGCCTTGGCCGTTTTGCGTGACAAATGAAAGACGAGAGTCGGCGAGGATGTAGTGCACCCTGATACCGAAAAAGCGACAGGGGAAACGACCCCGGGACCAAGAGCTACCAGTTGGAAACGCAACCGCTGTTAAATCCAAAGCGGAAAGAGAGAAACTGCTCGAGGAACATGACCGGGAGAACACGAAGTCTTTCGCGCTCCGGGACGCGCTAGCGCACTTCGGGATATCAAATGCAAAAATGTCTGGGTCTGGAAGATTTCGAGATTTGTCATGCATATTTTCCATGAGCCATGATGTCTATGAAGCATGCCGTAGCATCACAGATTTTTAGAGGACTTTGTGATCCCTCTACCGCATGAGAAATGCCCTCTCCGCGTAGCACAAAATGGAGTCCTCTTGCTGGTAATGCAATACAGATTTTTTTAGAATCCAGAGACAGCAGCACAAGTTTAGAATGTTCCAGACCCAGACATATTTGCAAGCCATACGGGATTCCGGAGTACCACTGGCTCCTGGCGCTGCTGGTCTTCAGTAACGAAATATCCCCGCACGTCCAGGTCGCCGGGGACGATGCGGTGGCTGCTGGTGTTCTCAAGGAGGCGAAGCGGAGAGTCGAGGCGATTCGCAAACTCTTCGACCGGGAGATTCTGCTGAACCAGGCAGCACTTCTGGCGGATCTGCATTGGGCCAGGGAAAAAGCCGAAAGGGAAGCGAGAGAGAAGAAAATGCTGCAATCGCTGCACAAAATCCATGAGCTGCAAAAAGCGAGGCAGCTAGCTCAGATGGGTATCCACGATGCAGCAGATATTACAATGTCTTGGCCATCTTCTGGAAACGATTGCATGCAAGAGCATCATGTTGTTGACCACAGCTTCTCATGTTGCAAAAGCGTGTTTATGTTTTCAAAATTTTGTTCCACGTCCCCGCGGTATCAGTACATCAAAGAATTCGCTTCTCCTTGCGTGGAAATAAGAAGTGGGCAGCTTCTGCTTTTGGTGCTTATGCAATATTACGGATTTTTGTATGTAGTGAGGTCATATGATCCATCACAACTACACGACAACCCCTCCAGAGGATCATCCAGACGTACAATTATTTTTTGCAATGCATAGCCGGGCAAGTTCCGCAACTACCCGCGTATCTTTTCGCCGACGGCGCGGCGGGAACAGCAGCCGGCTCTTGCCCCGACAGACCCGTACTGGACATTGCAGACACAGCCACCATCTCGTTTGCGACCTGGAAAAAGAAATCTGCCAGCGAAGGAACTGACCGCGGTCAGGAAGAGCCTCCAGCTGCAGGACATCAACCGCAATCAGGTCGTGGCAGTGATTGGAGCGTTGAGCTTGGGGTCAGGATGGGCTCCGTGGAGAAGCGAGCGATCGCACAGCCGCAGGTGGTTACAGATACGGTCCGTAACGACCAGCAGGAGCTGAAATTCGCGGAATTTCTACAAGCACACGTGATGCACTTTCCTACGCTGACAATTCCGGTGGAGAAGCAGGGACGAACTACTTCCTTCGAACTCGATATCTACGTAGCTTACTGGCTCGAGGAAGTGCTGAAGCGGACCAAAATCCGCGTGGAAAAAGGGCCGGACCCAACGGACATTCAGAACACGTGGGACCTGAACGATTGGAATCGCGCCGCCGAGGCCGCAAAGTGCTACGAAATCGAGAACCCGATTTTCGAAAAAACGGAGAAATTGCAGCTCATGAAGGACTACATCCAGGAAAAGTCACGCAAGCACCACGAAAAGCGTCGGGTGACGGAGCTGCAAGATCTGCATGCCGAGCAGCAGGCGCAGGCGAAAATAAAGCGGGGCGAACAAGCCGGACTTACACCAATGAATGCGGAACAAGCACAAGTACTGATTCAATTATATGCTGCGAAGGCCTTACAACCCGGCGGCACAATCACAAAGAGACCTACTACACAAGGTCGTGGGTCTTCATCAGCTTCTGCATCTTCATCTGCAGGAATTATACCGCAGCAGTTACTTGCTGCGGCCAGCCCGGCACCAGCGCAACTCGTAAAAAGCGCAACACAAACTAAATCTTCGCGAAAGCAAGCAGGCAAAGGACCGGCAAGTGGCGGCACGATGCCGGGATCTTCGGCTCGAGCTGCGGAAGGTACACCTGCTTCCACTGCAGCACCAGCAGCGGAGCCAAGTCAACCCAGTAGCAAGGAGGAGGTGGACGAGACGCCTGAAAGAGCAAAGACAAGACGACAGAGAGAGCGCAGAGCAGCACTAGCAGTACAGAGGCGATTGCAAACAGAAACAGAAAAAACGGAACTCCCGCAGCTGTAAGAGACTAGCCCGTTCTCGCTCACAAGTAAATTGATGCATCAGGATAGCTCGCAAATCAACTTCAAAACCTCGACGGCGTCCACGTTTTTTTCTGAAGCGTTTTATGCCATGATGTTGAATGTCACACAGGGTTGACACAGGGAACTAAGACTAACGAAGCTATAGGTAAGTACAATTTCCTGTAGTTTCTCGACCTGCTGCGCTAGAAGTTGTTGACGCATTTTATTTATTGCCACTTACTACTTATCTCTCAGCTTCATCTCCACCGCAAGGAAGATGAAGCTTGAATACGGCTAAAGCAACAAAGTACACACATACGTTCGACTTCGCATCTCGTCTGAACATCGTTGGTTTTGTTCCGGTAAAAGAATTATGATATTACGTACAACTCACAGTCACAACGCCTTCAAGCTTCCAGCTTAGTACCCTTACCCGTACAAAGGCAGGTAGGACTACACATGCAGGAGGTCAAGGCCGATGTATTGGAGGTTTTATTTTCTAAGTCGCTACCAGTACCACAGGCGGACGAGATGAAGAAGTTAAAGTTGGCAAGAACCCGCATTTGTACTGTTTGTATGATTTCCATTTTAAGATTAAGTTTATATATTTGTCGTTTTGGCGTCTTTCCAAATCCAGCAGCTACCTATTCAAGCGGCGAAAAAGAATAGGAGTCGATAAGGGACACTCTAAAGATGAGCGTCAAAGTCATCACTTTTCGTTTTGGCTTCTAGTATAATTTTGGGAAGAACCAAATTAAAATTAATTGGATGCATTGATGAAGAATTCCAAATGGTCATTGATTATGGGCCTTAAGTAGCAAGTGCACACGTTTATTTTACACCGCGTTCTTTCCCTGATGAAATTGACAACTAAATTATTTGCACACTTTAAAAATTTCTCCTGGGTAAGAACATCAAAATGAAAATCGCTATCGAGACACGCGGACGGGACGAGAGAGAAGGAAGAAACAGATAGCGCAATTAGTAAGTAGTTTGTCGTCTCTACTTTCCCTTTTGATTCCTACCGTTTGTAAAAGTCAATCTTTCATATGACCAAGAGCATTATGAGCAAAGGCGAGGAGATGAGCCAGCATCTCTCAACATCACTGTATAATTTATTTGCTACGTGGGAATAAGTTTTTCCACCATTGAAAGACCCTGCCTTGACATGCAAACCCAAACTCAATCTGTCGATGTCGAAGTCGTAGATTGCTAGTGCTGTTACAACAACGTATCTGCTCCTCTGGGCGATCATGATCTCAGTATGCAAAAAGCTCAAGAACCGCAAACCAAAACCACCTAAACCTTGCATATGTCCCACTGTTGAAAGTCATAATTCACTATCATTGTTGTTGGATCTAGTACAGTAACAGTTAAAGGTCGTGGTGCACCCAGAGGAGTATTCGAGTAGAGCCACGTTTTGATTTGATGAATCAAAAGGAAGATGCTATCGCTCTAATACACAGAAATGCAGCTATTTGGAACGATTTGTCCGAAGCCTAGCGAAGGACGAGAGGGTCGCTGGGACACCTTTTTCTGACATGAACAACTGCAACCACTACCACTAGCACTACGCCGTTCGCTATGGCTCGTGTAAAAATTATCAAGGAACATCACTAACGCTAACCCCAAAGGAAGAAGGAAAAAAAGGAAAGGCCAAGGTATAAGTCTTACTCGCGGGAAGAAGTTGAAGTACTAGAGAAAGATGACTCCTCGTTATTTTTTCTGGTACGCATTTGTTCGGACGTGCTAGCTTTTGTTTGATAAAGAAAAAAAAACAATAAGTCTCCGTTTAGAAGTTTCGGACCTAGCGCCTTCGCCACAAGGTGAGATACAGAAGACATTTCTATTTCTTGAGAACACAGTTTGTTAGTTTGCGTTTTCTCACTGCGACTTGCGTTTTTCTTATTGCGACTTGCGTTTTACTTGATATTTGCGCGACCGCGAAGTAGCCTTGTGTTGACGTCTTTTATTTCCGGCGTTATTTTTGCGGGAATGTCGTATATACTCGTCTTGGTCTTGCAGCTCTGCTGGAACTTCCGAATGATAAAACAAAATAAATGATCTCAATCTGAAGAGCCTCTTGGCTCTTGCAGCTTGATATTGTCTGTTTCTTTTTGTTCCTTTGTTTCCGTCCCTCTTAATTGCGAGGGCTATTGCTTTCGAATCTACGGCATCTATTTTGTTGACCTATGACATGCGTGGGAAGTAGAAAAAGAATTGCTCCGCCAGCCGTTTTAGATCATCTGCGAGAAGATCAAGACTAGTTGCTACGCCCCGCCCATCAGGGTGGTCTGTCAGGAGCGAGATCACCGACATTATCGACACACTAGAAAATGATCCAAAAACACAGAAACAGTGGTAAGAGAAAGATAACGTCGCCAAACAAATTTTTTTGATAAGATGAAAATGAAGGACTTTGCTTCACGGTCAGGCAGAAGGATGAAAAAGCCCCCGCCGCCGGGACTGCCGCTGCGACGAATAAATAAAATCCTCACGACGTCGACCACGGCGCACCAGCAGCAGCAGAGACATATTCACAACACCACCTGCAGATCGTCACTGGTAGTAGCGTCATCAACACCTCTGTCTGGTGTTATTGTGTCCATTTCACCATGTCCAAGAAGTCTGCGACGAAGACCCAGCTGCACGACTGATTTTTCTGGCGCTTCTGGCCGCCCGGCGCGATTTTCGAGTTCATCAGTTGCTGCTCGTGCACAGGCCCAGGCTTCGTCTCAGTGGCAGGAGGAACGACGAGGACAAGCACCACCACGAGGGCCACTTTATAATGTTGCATCGCACTCCGCCGGCCGCGCGGGCGCGCAAACTTGCAGACCCAGCGTACTTCAAGATAATCCTCATGGAGAGCGAGGAACAGAAGCTCACCCGGAAGATGACGACCGGCGTCGTTGGTCAGAAACCTATGACGAAAGCCACAGGAGGAGCCAGCGAGGAGCGTCGACTTCGGGGCAGGTGGCCGAGATAAACAAAAAAAATGAAGCACAAAAACAAAACGCAGTCAATACCTGTATGGAGTTCTCAAATGTTACATTCTCAACTGTTACATGAATTTGTAATGCAAATCAGCCATGAATATCTACACGATCAAGCTGCTTCGCATGACAAGTTCGTGACTTGCTAGATAGCATGAGAATCTACGCCAAACCTGTAATGCAAAAGGCGCAACCTTCCCCCTTTCAATTTTGCCACTCTTGCATTACAAATTGATGTAACAGCTGAGAATGTAACGTTTGAGAACGCCATAACCTGGTCCGAGGAAAACAGCAGAGCTGTCGAGGACCAGCTTTCCCGGGCGGCTTTTGGGTCGACGGTATCTTCGTCAGCCTTTGCTGCTACGCGGCAAAGTGGCACGCGCACCAGCATGACATCATCACGACAGGGACATTTGATGCAAGAAGATTTCATCTTGTCGGGAGGAGCAAGTGAAATATCAAGTTCTTCACGTCAGACTCAGAAGTACCACAGGACACCTTCCTCTCGTCCTTCTGGAACAGACTCTTATTATCTTGGAGAAGAACTGGAAAATGATCAGGCCGCTAAAGTCGACGAGACCGGACAAGAGGTTGATGCGATGTTTCAGCCGGCCGACGTTTCAGCCGGCACGAACTACTTCGTTGAAGAGGACAACTTCAACTCAGGGACGAAGATAAATAATGTTGGTCCAATTATGCAGCAAGAAGAACTCGGACTCGGCGGTCCACCACGGGTAAAAATACCAGAAAATCAGTCTCGGTCCTCCGGTGAGACTAGGACTGTATCAACATCTGTGGAGGAGGAGCAACAAGAACGCGGCCATGACTATGTTCATGATCATGCCGGTGTTGTAGCTGCTGTGTCACACGACCTACAAGAGCAAGGTACAGGAACTAGCTCTGGAAGAGCATCGGAGCTCGAAGAACGAGACCACCAAGATGAGACGTCACTGGGACGACAAGAACCACAGGCGCATGATCACGAGGTGCCAGGGGGTGCAGTTCTTGAAGCAGGTTCGTCATCGTTCGGAACTCGTACAGCACAGCAAGATGAACTATCCACAGAAAAAACCCATCCACATCCATTTTTTGCATGACAAACACAGGATTTTATGTATGTTTTGCATGACAAATTGGATGTGGATGGGTGTTTTTTCCTGGATATGAACTACATCAGCAGAAATTCGTCGACCCTGACCTTTTCAACTCGGACGATTCTTCGCACCGCATCCCCGAAATCAAGAAAATGGCGCTCAGCGGTATGACCCGCTCAGACGTTACAATCTCAACTGTTACAATAGAATCTGGATTTTGTGATGCAAGAACTGCATGATCTACCCAATTCGCACAGGATTGCGCATGACAAGTTCTGGAGTTCCGCACCGCACTGGAATCTGACGAGATTTGTATTGCGAAAAGCGCAAGACTCTGTACGTTCGTCATGCTCTTCATGCAAGGCAAATTCAAGATTCTATTGTAACGTTTGAGATTGTAACGTCTAAGCGGCTTATAAGTGGCAGAATCACGGAGCTGCACGACGTGATCCAAACCGTGCACACTTTTGCGAAACATAACTACTACGACCACGCTTTGTTCTCCCACTTTTCCGAGCATTGTTTGCAAAAGGAGCTGTGGCGGTGTTCCTGGGACGAACTGGTGCAAATCACCTGGAGCTACGCAACGAACCGGGAATACGATGAGAAGCTGTTCGTCCGTGTGGCCGAGATCATGCTGCGGAAGATCGACCGCGCGAACCCGACCCAGGTGATCCGGTGCGTGTCCGCGTTCACGCGGTTGAATTTCCGGGACGACAGAGTGCTCTACGTGATGGGCCGCCGGATCAGGAAGTGCCTCAAGGAAGACCAAACCTCGTTGGTCGTGCAACAGCGGGAAGTATTAAATGCAAATGTGTCTGGGTCTGGAAGATTGATTCTAAACTTGTGATGCTGTCTATGTCTTTGGATCCGAAAAAAATTTGTGTTGCATGAGCAGCAAGAGGGCTGCAGTTTGTGCTACGCGCAGACGGCATTTCTCATGCGGAATATGCATTAGGATGCCCTCTAAAAATCTGTGATGCTAGTGCATGCATTACAGACATCATGGGCCATGCAAAATATGCATGACAAACCTGGCAATCCCAATCTTCCAGACCCAGACATATTTGCAGTTCATAGGAAGCCGGGGGCTTTCTCGACCGGTTCGCCACGCATGAGTCGAAATTCTACCCGAGCCGCTTCTTCGAGCCCTGCGCCGCGTCCTTTCCCGCGTTTTGCCAACTACTGGAGATCTACGCGCGGACGAGTTACGTCGATGCGCCCGCGTTGACGCGGGTCTTCCGGTATTTGATAGAGGAGAAGCCTATGAAATGCAAAAGCAACGTACTAGTATAAATCGCATGACAAATGCAAATCTCTTCAGTATGAGAAATGAAATTTGTAATGCGGATTCAACTTGAGAAAGAAACTTGTAATGCTAGTGCATGAATGCGATTAGTACGACTACGATATTACTTTTGCACAGGATAAAGCCCCGAATGTGGGTCGAATCTCGGGCAAACATAGGACGATTCGCCTACTACTGCCACTGGCTGGGTGTGTGGCACGATGGGTATTTGGGGTACTTGAAAAAGGAGTTTCTCTACTCCTCGGAGTTTGAAGACGAAGTGGCGTTGTTTGACGCGGCAACAAGACCAGAGATAGGACGGGAAAAGAACGCCTACCTCGACAAGGAGGACAAAACGAAAGGCGGACTGCAGTTGCACCGATTGCGGGAGAAAAGGGTCGAATGGAGAAAGCAGATGGAGATGGAAGCGAACGAAACGAAAGAACAACAAGAATGTGTTGAAGTGGAAGACATTTTGACCAGCACGAGCACCAAAAATCTACAGCTTTCCGCAGTCGTCGTCCCAAGTTCTACTTGTACTAGCACTTCTACTAAATCCGTCCCTCCCAGCTTTCCGTGCTTCGCGGAAACGCACAAACCGGACGCTATGATCAAAGAGGACAACTTGTCTGCGCTGATCATTTATCCAATGCAAAGATGTCTGGGTCTGGAAGAGCGGAAGTTTGCCATGCTCGTCTTACATGACTCCCAACTCTGTGATGCGTGAGCAGGAAAGAACCCTTTTGCCTGTCATGCAAGAAGGCAGGCTCTGCTCATGCGGAAAATGAAACACAAAACAGCTCAAAAAGTTGCCATGCTTGACTGCTGCATATTGCAGTGCGTCCACCGTTACCAAACTAGCATAACAAGTTTCCAGACCCAGACATATTTGCAACGCATATCATTTCCCGCGCTACAACTCTAGCTTTCAGTCTCTACGGGCACACAGACCTGGGGTTTCTGAACCGGTTGCTGACCATTTGGAATAGTGACTGCGACGAGATTTTTGAAAAAGACGATGGTACTACTGCCAACGACGAAGGATGCAGCAGCAGCAGCAGCAGTATCACCAGCAGAACATCCACATCCAAACCAAGTCCTTTCAAGCTCGAGGACAAAACAGAAGAGATGACGCAGAACTTTGCGAGCAGACGGTTCTGCACGGCACTGGTGAGCTGCAGATTTTTCGTGCCTCAGAGAAGCTTGCTCCGATGCTTTTTCCACGGATTTTCGCTGCGGAATTTGAGAAATCTGATGCCGGATTTGTATTGCAGCCCCACCAGCGGAACCACGGACGGCCCCCGCGGCCAAGCGGGTCAACAATTATCGCCCGCGGAAGACTTCTCTAATACGACTTCGGCTCGTCCTCAGAGCCACAAGACCTTCTTGACCCAGATCACCGTCGGACCGCAGGAAATCCTGGCCACTGTACCAAAACCTGATGACAACGTGGGGAATAGCTCCGTTTTGCACGATATGAACTGCAAAATTATCGTACTCGTAGGAATTGCGGTTATGCATGACAAATCTCTTTCCTAAGGTAAAACAGCATAACAAATTTTATTTGTAGTGCTGAGCCAATTTGTAATGCAATTCATACCAGTGCGATGCTTTTGCATTCAATACACGAGGAGGTCTCTGCTGCAGTGGAAAGCGTCTACAAAATGCCAGTGGTGGTGATGCCGCAGGGGAAAGGTAGAAAAGGAAATGAAAAACAACTACATGATCATGCAGAACCAGAACCGTGGAAGAAATTCGAGCGGTTTTGCGGCTTGTACTTCGTAGACACGGTTTTGCCGCCGGGAGGGAAGGTTTTGAAAGCGAGTGCGACACCCGGTTCAGGTTGTGTTGAAATCAACGAAATCTAACGAAAAGTGAACTACCCTGAAAGGTGAGTTTTGAGTCCATGTACTACTACATCGGATCACAAACATCACACATATGAAGACGTCGAGCTGCTTTTGCTTTGTGCTTTTCGAAATGTAAATCGAATATGAAGATGCTGGGTGAGAAAATCTAATGAGCAAGACACAGAGAAGGAGCACGAACACCAACAGCAACACCCAAATGCCCGTGCGTGCAGAGCCGCACTGGGATTCGGAACGAATCTACGTCGGGGCCTTTCTCTTCCCACCCACTCTGTGGGTGCAGGGCTGTTTCGTGTTGCTTCACAACATGTACATGGTGAGGTTACGGATATGAATCCTGTTGCAGATGATCACAGTACGTGGAGCGGGCTCAGGCCCACCACAAGAAATCGGAAAGTACGTAAATGAAAAGTAAATACGCTACCGAGCAGCAAAAAAGAAAAAAACTGGATCATGATTGCTTAACATTGTGGTTTCATTGTTGCAGGTCATTTCGAGACGGTCAGCGTCCAATCAATCCTCGATTGTGATCAGAGGCGGTCTCGTTTATTTCAAGCTTTGTTGTTTCTCCTGCTGCATTTTGGTAGTCACCTGTACAGCTCGCCTTTCACGACGATGGCACACAGATATACAGTATCCTCTTGACATATGTACCTCTACACTAGTACTCGTTTTCTCTACGTAGCACCATAATTGCCAAAGCGCCAGCAGGTGCCAAAAACATGAGCGACGAACCAGATGCGAAAAAGCCGAATACAACGGCCGAAGCCGCGGCAGACCTACAAACAGAGTACCCACCAGCCGACCTCATTCAGTACCTGGTGATCCGTCAGGATCTCGCCTACACAGAGCAAAAGACCGCGGACGACGGAACAACGACCTCAACTTCAACCCCCTGGCCGACCGGCGCGATCGTCGCCCAAGGTGCGCATGCCTCGGTTGCCGCAATAGCAGAGGGGTTGAGAATACACGACGTCAACACAATCGCCTACACCGATAAGAAATCCCTAGACACGATGAGAAAGTGCGTGCTGGGTGCGAAAGACGTTGCCGCGCTGGAGAAGATATGTGCGAAAATGGAAAAGGATGACGTGAAATTCTACAGGTGGATGGAGCAGCCAGAGAATGTTTTAACCGCAGTAGTATCAAATGCAAAGAAATATGTCTGGGTCTGGAAACTTGTGATGCTGAACTGTGCACGACTGCAATACTTCCCAAGGCAGCCAAGCATCACAAGTTTGCCGAACACTTTGTCATGCGCAGTCCGCATGACATCAAGCTGCACTTTTATAGGACAAAAGAGCGCGTTTCTACTTTGTTGGTCATGCAATACAGATCTTACAGGAATGTAGGACTAGCATTACAAGTTCCATGTTTCCAGACCCAGACATCCTTGCAATGCATAAGTAGCCACCTGGCCACGGCCAAAGCCAATGCTTGCAAAATATTTCCGAGGCTTGAAGCTGCTCGGATGAAAAGTGGCAGACTTTTTGCGAGCGGCGCCACCAGATACAAGAGACGCAAGGCGTACAAGGATAGTGGAAGCATTTTCTGTCCTCGCTGTCGCATGTTGGCGTAGTACCGCATAAAAGACAAAAAGCGACGAGTCGATTTTGTTCCCATAGTACTATTTCGCCATCGTGTGGAAGTGGATCATCAGAACGAAAATGAGATATTCGTCAACATTTTGAGCAATGGTCTATTAGCGTTGTTGCCACGAGGGTAGAGATGTGTCGTGAGTACTATTCGTTTCGCCCAGGTTCTGTCGTCGTGGGTAAGGTTTGCATAGCGTCACAGCTCCTGAGCGCAATCTGCAGTGTTAGTTGTTCAGTAAAACGAAGAGCAATGTTGAATAAAGTTCTTGCTATAGGGATCCGTGCTTGTAGGTGAAACAAGTTCCTGAAGGAACCCCTCACAGCACCACAAACTAAGTATGTCTGGTCTCCTGAAATCCGTCGACGCCTTCAATATTTTCGACGGAATCCTGTACCCAGCGTCCAGCTCCGAGGCCACTCCTGAGCTCGTCGAGGTGAAGTTCCGGCCAAAAGCTTCTCCGTCGCTCCCCGACGTTTCTGTGATATGAATTGCAAAAGTATCGTACTCGTATACAGCATTAGAAATATAACTTGTCATGCCGATTTGCCTTAGGAAAAAATTTTGTAATGCATGACCGCAATTACTACGAGTGCGATACTTTTGCAAAGGATATGTGACCTGTCCAAACGACAAAGGAGAATGCGACCGGGAGTGCCATCGGTTATGAGAGTGCACAACTCCCCCTCCCCCTCATTTGTATTGCATTGAACAGCAATAGAAGGGCCTGCACGAGTGCAGCTTTTGCATGACAAATTTTCACAGGATTGTAGTGGTGTTTGGGGGGCTGCAGCCAGAATCTGTGATGCTACCATTCACAAGGGGCAAAAACTAGATTTGGCATTTGGCATGACAAATGAGGGGGAGGGGGTCCGTTGTGCACTGTGATATCGCTGGTTCGCGGGCGATAAAGCGGCGCAGATGGAACCTTGTCAGCAGGCCGTGAGGGCACATTTTGCGGCGAAGGCACCACTGTGCACGATTATGTGAGGACGGAAAATTATCATTTATGTGGTAGTGGATAGAACAAGAACGACATTACATAGCTGAACTGAATTGTTGTAGCTTGAGCTTGCGTTTCTGTTTCCAGATCAATAATGACTTCAACTAGAAATCGAACGAGAAATGAAAGCACTCCTCCGCAGCGTCTCGTGCAGTATTGGGGCCAGGTTTTTTGATGCCAAATTGAAGTTTTGAGACGGTGAAACGTCTCTCATGCTCTGGCGCGAATCGAATCTGAATATGAATACACAATCAAAACGCCAGAAAAAGTGAGGAAAAAGCTGTGTTTCTTTCGACTCTGACTCACAAACCGGAGCTGGAGCGCTTTCCAAGGGAGGTAGGAGGAGCCCGCATGCAATCAGTGTTCGGCCGCCGTCGTGGAAATGGATGCGTTTTCATCTAAAATCCCGCCATTCCGGAAACGCAACAAAAACCTTCAAGGCCAAGCTACGCCAACGTGCTCTCGCAAATAAAGTCTGAATTCGTGGTCTGAAAGCTCTCTGTAGTCGTGGTCGAACGCTGCGGTCGTGAAATGCTCGAAGTAAGTATCTGGTTCTCTAGTAGCTGATCCGCGACAGTGCATATGTGATTAGACCACGAATAAAAAGGGTCGGATACTTCAATCCTTTTGATTTTGCAAACGAGTTCAGTACGGAGCAGAAAGTCGCAACAAGAACTGCAAAATCACCAACAGAAAGCGGCTCTACTAGGTACAACTAGCACTTCCGAATTATGCCCAAGACCCCAACATGGTCAACAACATTCTACTGGTCTTTCCTTGCTGTTGCCTCCGCTTTTGGAATCGTTCACTACGCGTCCCTGATTCTCTTCTTCGTCTTTGCCGGCGGAATATCTTCTCATAATCCGTCTGCTGCTGTTGAAGCATTGTTTCCGCCGACGCCAGCGGGAGCTACTGTTGGCGGCCTGCTCGTCCCTAGAAGTGTTCAAGAACTTGGAAGGCAGCAGGAAGATGCTTTTCCAGAAAGACGAGGTTTGCGGCCACCACAGGGCACGTTTGATGGGGCCTGTGCAACGCCTCCCGCACACAACGTTCCGGTCAGTGACGTCATCGAGGACGTTCATCTAGGCCAAAAGACAGTTACTGCATCTACTCGCGTACCTTCTAAAAATTCGAACTCATTTCTACCACGGGCGGCTTTGGGAGATCCTTCCGACGCGACGGGACAGGCCACCCCAGCTGGTGGCATCCACCCAGTACCAACTTTTCTTGGAGCATCATCTCAACAGCCAGCAGCCAGCCGGGCAGTCACAACACCCGCCGGAGGTGGTGGCACTACGCCTGGGTCAATACCCTCTTTTGATACGGCTGCTGGTAATTATACAGCTCCAGGAGCTTGTTCTACAGCAGCTGCAGCCACTAGAGTTGCAAACCCGGCAACTCAAGCGTCACCCGGATCAGCGTCTGCCGTGGCCGCTGCTCCCAGCAACTATACCTACCGCGGCACTACAAGAACTGCTCAGACAGCGAAACCGCCCCCGGTGGCTGTGCCGACAGCGGCAACGTATTACAACAGTATCTGTTCACCGAACGGGCTGGATTTACTCACCTCATCGTCCGACGATGATTATAACAGCGGTGGGACCGGAACGACAACTGGCACCACCTCTGACGAAGACCAGTTCATTTTTCACAATCACGAACAGCAGCTGTATGTAAACTTGGTGCAGAGAAACAATAATTCGACTCCAGGGCGAGCAGCTGTGCCACCAACTTTATCACCAACAACGGTTGCCACACCTGGGGGAAGTACTGCTAGTAGTGCTATTCCACGTGCTGCGTCAGTGCAGCTGGACTTGAATGTCAATAATGTTGTCTTCCCACAGCAAGTAATAATCTCGCAACCCCAGAATAACCGGTTCTCCCCACCGAACGCGAACCTGAGCCAGCCAACCCTGACGGCATTGACGAGAACGGTGCCGGTGCCGTCGGTGCATGGTCGCGACCAGCAAATGCAAGTGGTCCCACCGCCACTGCACCAGTATTTGGCACACCACGTAGTTGCGCACCAACAGAGCAGCAACCCGCAGCATCATCATCTGCAGCAGCAGCCGCTGCTTCCCGTTCCCAGGGGAAAAGCCATGCTGAAAGTCAACATGATGCGGCGAATGCGGTCGACTTACGAGTTTAGGAATGAATTTCAAGAGGTTCTGGCGGAGCTGCTAGCGGGAAATAACGCCGGGAATCAAAATCATCACCAGTCTCCTGGAGCAGGAACCGGCGCAAAAAGTAGTTTCTTCCATCCAAGTACTAGGTCTCTCGGAGCAGCAGGTACTCCTGGTGGCGGAGGCTCATCTTCTTCTTATCAAGCGAACCATAAGCAAGTGTTTCGAATGAAGAAGAAAAGCATGAGCAATCATGACATAACTGCTGACCACGGAGATCGTGGAGGCCCGTTTAGAACCCTCAATCTTGAGGACAATGATAGCGCAAGTGAACAAAGAACCTCGATCCAGAGCTCCTTAACCGCGTTTTACCATTCGCAAGGACCACCTGCGTTCGTTCTGAATCCATGGTCAGCCACTTCGATGCTTCCGCCTTCTACCGCAAACGACTTCGGTGGAACGGGGACGGGAACGAGCACAGGGCTACTGTTAACGATCTACCGCGACAACCTTTACGGCGCCTACGTCGTTTTCCTCGGGTTTTTCTGGGTAGTGGTGTTTCAATTTCTGTTCGCGATGTTTCTGTATTTACGTAGGAGGAGTTGTAAAAGCATCTGCATCAGCACCAGCAGTTGTGGTGTGTCTCATGGCCGTACAACTACACAAGCAGCCGCAAAAAGTGCAGGAGCTTTGGGGGATAGACCACGAACGAGCGGCCCAGTTGTTGGGAAGAGCACACGGGGCTCGTTCAAAAGCAGTAGTACTAACATCGTATACGGTGCCGGCCAGAGCGGAGCTTCATCACCATCGTACCTGGAACAACAGTGGGCGCTGCTACGCCAGCTGCAAATCTGCGTGATGGAGGTTTTGTTTTGCAATCACGACTACGGCACATGGATAAAGACGAATCGAAAAGGAAAAGAACCAGGAACGAGAGCGCCAGCCCGTGATGATATCGAAAGCAGAGTAGACGACGCCGAGTCATGTGATCCCGAGATGTCGAGCGAGCACCAGGATTATACAAGCCGGGTCCGGCGTGGGCCACGATGGCCGGGCAATATGGAGCAAGAAACTATCTTTGAAGATGAGGAATTCTTTGACAATGAACTATCAGACACTCAGTCTCATGACGAAGGTGACGACATGTTTCTACATAGCGGCTACAATAGCAGTAGTTCGTGTCACCATCCAAATTCTCACTACGGCAATCTTCTTCATGACGATTCATCCGCTCACAACAGAATGCGACGACGTCAAGGCAGCTACAACTACGCCCCTGCGGACCACAACTTCGCGCGTTCCTATTCCTACTCTAGCTACGGACAGAAAAAGCCACATTCGTTGTCCCGGCAAAGCACCAGCAGCATCGTGAGCACGAAGGTCAAGTCTTGTTTTTTCGTAGACAAAGTCGAACGGCTCGTGCGGAAATGTGGAAAACGGTTGCACTCCCTTGTACTAGATTTCTTAGTTTCATCCGGTGGAAAGATGTCGACGAGCAGCTCTGCGTCTTCATCTTCTCTATCTTCCAGACGAAAGCTGCTCCGCAACACGACCAGTATTCGCCAGCAACTGCAAATTAGATTCGAGGAGTTTGAGCTTTCTCTGCGGGTCCTGCAGACTATCACTACGGGTTTAGTTGTTTTGCAGATTTTTTTCGGCGCCTTCCAGCTAACTTGGGTCGCACTGATTCACATCACGTTGGAATTGCTGTGGGTGTTTTGGGTAGCAGGCAAGTACGTCGAAATAACGGAAGGAGGTACAGGGGAGGTGGAGGAAGAAAATACAACCTCGATTGGTACAAGATATTACGGAAAGCAAACGTATCGAGGGCGCGCCTATTCAGCTGCATTGCCAATCTTTGACACCCCTCGAAAAAAGGGCAGCCGGGTACTGCAACCTGAAAAGCAGAATCAGATGCCGCAGTCCTCTTCATATGCCATTCATGCAACATCAGGAGCCCGGCCTTCGTTTGCACTGCGAAGAGCGCACACTACTCCAGCTGGCTCGGCGTCCGCTGCCTCATCGCATGCGGGTTCGAGCCCCGCCGAATCTGACCCTATCTCCAATTCACAGCGCCAACACTTGGACAATCTGATCCAGCATGACGATGCGCGGCTTCTTTGTTCCATTCCGGAATATACGGTGGGAGGCGGGCCGGGTTTTATTTCTCCAGACAAGCAAGAGCAAGGCCAAGAGCTGCTTTCTTCTTCGGAAGACCAGGATCCGGACCACGCAGGTCTCAGTTCGTGTGACGACGAGGAGCACCAGCAACAACGCTACCAGCGGCGAAACCCGAACCAAACCCGAAATGGAAACAGCACGGCCCTCTCCATGCAGCTACATCACTTTGTTCCCAACCTCCACGGCGCACCACTTCAGCATGGAGGGGCGTTTTTTCTGGCACCGCCACATGACCAAATGAACAGTCATTTTCGTTTCGCGCATGGACACGATCCAGCACCCTCCTTGCGGCCCAGTGCCGCGTTCTATCAACGCCAAGGCACGACCCCATTACTAGATCAGGAAGAAGTCGATTACTATCCCGCAGCCCTACCAAGCAGTGCCTATGGCCGGTCGCCAGGAGGGGGAACGAGGAAAATGAAAAGTTCACCACTAGATCCACGGAGAGATAATTTTTCTGATCAGGCACGGCAGCACCCGTCCAGCGTTTTCTTTTACCCGTCGAACATTCACAACACTGACGGGAGAGGCCCCGGACAGCAGAATCGTGAGACGGAAACAGCTCTCCTAGTGCGAGAAGCTGAGAATCACAACGACAATCTCAGGAGGATGGCGATGAATACGACGGATCTTATCCTCGTCCAGATGAATCAACATTGCTCGCCTTTTGTAGAAAAATCCTCCGCTTCAAGGTTGGGAAGACATCGACAAGGACCGGAGAACAAGACCACAACCGAAGATCATCACGGTAGATGCGTAGTAGACCACAACAATCCTTTTTCTGCACTGGAAAGCCGGGTTTTGCAGCACGCGCAGGAATGGTCTTCCTCATCCGCCGACGATCTGACGAATGAGTCGAGTTCCAAAGAAGAATTCGGGTCCTTCGAGACACAAGGTGATGAAAACGAGGAGTGTGATGATCATCGCAAAAATTATGCGACTGCTGCTGGTCGGGGTCGGCCTGATGGGGCCAGCACCACGTCTACTTCACAAAGAGAAGAAGATCTTGACGTCGAGGGAGGTGGTGTGAAACAAATCATTTCGCTGACTTCATCAAACGAAACGATGTCGAGGCGGAGAGCAGCTTCCTTACGCCGACGAAGTTCTGGCGACGGAAAGGACGACGTTCCTTCTCTGATCGATCTTGTTTCCTCCGAAGAATTTGTACACCGTGGGCTGCAAAATTCTCGAAACTGCGATCATATTTCCGTCTCGCCTGCGTCCGGTCCGTCGTCTCGGAGTGTTGTGTCGATTTGTTCACTCGTTCAACGGCCCGACGAGCTGAGCACCGACAGGCGCGACCACCCAAAGAGCAGCAGCCATAGAGTAGATGAACGGCAATTATCGTCGGCGGCAACGAAGCGTCTGCTAGGTCAAATGCAGCAGAGCACCGATGACAATAGGCAAGTATACTCTATTGCGCTTCACGACACAAGGAGCCATATACTGTCTTCACCGCCCACCGCAGTGCTTGCAGGTAGTGCAAGTGCGGACTTGGTCGCGAGTACCTCGCTAGAGACGCGAAAGGAAGACGGCGTTTCGGCTGCTTACACGAGGACCACGCATGGCGGGCCGACAAGAACATCACAGCGACTACCTAGTGGCAGTGCAGCAGCCCGAACGTGGCACCCGATCCCGTTCGTGGCACCACCCGGATCTGAAGAGGACAGCGCTTGTAGTGCAGACCAACTGGCTCTTCAGTTGTACCCTGCGGCACCTTCCGCCCGGCGAGGGACAAGTACGTGGAAAGCTACAGGAAGCTGCGATGACATCCATGACCATGCGGTGGTGGACGAGGGAGTGCCAGTCGCTTTCAGCGGTCGGAAGCATCATACTGCCCGATATAATTACACTAGGGAAAGAAGCGCGAGTTTGCCCTCTCCAGAACTGCAGCAGCAAGATGAGACAGGTGGTGATTTCCTTACGATCACGCACGGTGGCGCTTTGACAAGAAAAGTTGAAGACGACCGCATTGACGATACTATTAAGAACAAAGTCAAAGTAGAAGATCAGTCCTTAATTTCGATTCGCCCAGACACACAGGATCCTCGTCCGAAGACTGAAACTGGAGCTAGTATGAGAAATTGCGCGAGAACTTCTTCCGGTAGGAAGTCAGAACTCGGGGGTTCAAATCGAACCACAGGAGTGACAACTCGTTTCAGTAAAAATGAACTCCGAAAACTTGAGTGCTTTGTGTGTCGACTGTGGATATTTACCTGCATAGGCGTGTTTGCACTCCTGTGGTTGTTTTTCAAGTGTTGCTAAATGAATATTGAGCTTGAGGTCCGAAACCCACGGTGCACCCCGCGAAGAGGTCAAAGCGCTGTGGCGTATAAAGATCGAAGATGTTCCGGAAATGAAACATCGTGGGCTCGTTTTTGAGAGCGTGGCCGTGCGTGGTGTTTCCTTTGCTGAGCAGTGCACGAAAAAACAGACCGCGGCCCCAGCTTCCGTCCGTTCTTGCGCGCCCCCGTGCCTCCGCTGGCTTGTAGCCGCCCGCCGACACGCCCGGCCGAGCCGGCAAAGGAGGCAGGGCGGCGCGCGCAGCTTACGACTGGGGGGGGCGGCTTTCTTGGGTTCTGCCGTGCCTGCCGTGATTGCTTGGCCGCCCCCCCCCCGGCTTGGCCGGCGCCGGGAGGCGGCCGGCGACGCATTTCTCGCGCCGCACCAGCTCCCGGGCGACGTCGTGAAGCTGGCAGCCCGCAGCCCTTGGGCTTTGGAGGTCGGTGCCCCCGGTGCACGCAAGGGAGCGGGGCCGCGCGCTTGCGGCGCGAGGCCTTCAGCAGTTTGCGACGTGCTTGCAGCAGGCGCCCAGACACGCCGCCACCCGCGCCGCGCATCTCAGTCACCCCCCCCAGGGCCCTGGCTCTGTCTATGTACCACATCCACGAAGCCGTCCGCCGCCATTTGTCTCCGAAGGAAACCAGCTGCACAAAGCTGCCGGGCCGGCTTCGTGCCCTGGATGGATGTGTGCCGGGTGGGGCCGGCGTGGTGGCCGATCCGCCTGCCCACCGCGCTGAGGATTCTGCCCCCGCCGGCCCCGGTCTGCGCCCGTGCGCGCCGCTGTGGCCCTGCAGCCACCGGGCCGCCCCGCGCGCCGGCCGGCAAAAGGCCAGCCGCCGGGGGGCCCGCCATTGAAGCAAGCGGGCCACGCGCAAGGACATGGCGACCAGCGCGGCGCCCTTCTCCACCGTGCGCGGCGACCGCCCCCCCGGGGCTCTCCCTTGGGCGCTCGGACGGGCGTCGCTTCGGGGCGAAGATGCCGCATTTGCGATCCTAAAGGAAGGCGGGCGCCCCCCTAACAAACATGGACGCCGGCGCGCAACCAACCTACCGCCCGGCCGCGGGCCATTGCCTTCGTTCGGTTCTAAGTAAGGGAACCGGTGGCGGCCCGTCGGGGCATTGGCGCCCCATTGGCGCCCCCGGTTACCTTAGCCCCGGGCACGCGCCAAGTCTGGAGGGGTTGCTGGCGCAGCGTCGGCAAATTGCCCACGGGCGCCGGCGCCGGCTTGTACCTACCCGGGCCGCTCGTGGTACCGTCTGGGGTGGTTGTTCGGGGCGTGCTTTGCGCGCAAAGTAACGCAGAAGAAAATCGGCCTGGACAACATCGCCGCGCGCCTGCCCTTCCAGGGCCCGGGCATGCAATGGCAAGGAAGTCCGTCGCGGCGTGGTTCGGAGCCCTTGGCCCCGCCGGCTAGCCGGTTGGCGGGTGCCTGGTTGCATTGTGTGTGTGGGGAGGGGGGGGGCGACCAATTTGGGTTGTGTCCATCGTCCCGGCGCCCCCGCCCTTTCTTGGCTTTTGGAAAGGACCCGGCGCGGCCGGCCTCCCCCGCTCGAAGGTGGGCTCTCCGCGCTGGCAGCGAGCCGAGATTTGTTGGGGGCAGCGGTAGGTGCTCTGAGGTGTTGGCCAGTACCCGGGTGGCAGGCAGCCAGACCAACAGTCGCGGCAAGCAGTGCGCCCCTGCTATTTCAAGGTCGGAGGCTGCTGCTCCGTATCCATCACGGTATCCCTTGTGCGTGATCGTTCGTTCCATTATTTGCATTCTGTGGCACCAGAGTGTCGCGGAGGGCTGGGCAATCGGGACCGATATAATAATTGTTGGCGATGATAGAAACTTTTACTTTAGGAGTCGCCGGCTCGGGCTGTCCTCCAAGAGCCGTCCCAGACTCGTTGTTCGTTTTCATTGTTTTCGTGTTGGACGCCGCGAGGCAAAGACGAGCGTGAGTAGAGGGAAGATGACGAGAAGTGGTGCGTCTATCTTCGTCTTGCTGATGTTTTCAAAGCGAGCGCGAGTGAGGGAGGCTCGTGCTCAAGAGTGAATTGGTTTGCGTTTCCCAGCGTGGTGTTATGTTGTGACTTGACTAGCATTTCTAGTCGATTATTTGCAATTTGCCGAAGATCGAGTTCGCACGGAGACGGACCCTCGCTTCCTCTTAGTGTTGGAGTGTCAAAAAGGACCGCTACCGAGCCGGGTTTGCCCTAGTCCGTATTTATTGTAGTCACCTCAAAGAAGTCACTGCAACTAACTCGAGCTTCATCTTCATTGGCCTCTTCTGGGATTCATGAGCAGTTGATCTTCATTGATAAAATGACGAGCAGTTTCCCGAAGGAGCTTTCTCCGCGGTCGCGGCCGTTGCTTGACCCTAACCATGCTGCCGACGAAGACCAAACAGCGCCCGCTGCCAGGACGGATTCCGCCCCGCACACCCCCTCCTCGCGGCCGAAAACGATCAAAAAGCAGCTCACCTGGGACCTGGGCCAGGCCATTCAGGAACGACAGCAGGCGGCGATGTCTAATTCTTCTAGCCATGGGGGCGGTGCTGGTGTTGCAGCTGCTGCATCTTCTGGACAGACGTTGACGGCAGGAGGTGGGGCACGATCATCTACGTCCGGTGGAGTTTTCAAGTCTTCATCCTCCTCCACGAGCCGCTCCTCCACTTTCAACCCTATGATTCCCCCGCCACTTAATCTCGCCGGCGGACAGGACTACCAGCAGTGGAAAGCGAAAAACACAAACAGCACGAGAAAGAACAAAGCAGGTAGTACAGCCGCTGGCGCAGCTGCAGCTTCATCTCAGTCGAAGGTGTGGGACAACAAGAGCCAGAATCATAATTATCGGGAGATGATGAAGAGGAAGACCACGAGAAGCTCCAGCTCGCTGCACATCGGAGAAGAAGACGAGTACTATCAGGATCAACAAACCTCGCTGTTCAATTTGGCACAGCGAAGATCTTTAACGACGAGTGACTTCATGAACAACCGTAGTTACAACAACCAACAAGACCAGGGTAGAACAAACGGTCTCGAACCCGGAGCATTGTCGAGCCAAGCGGAACCGCAACCGGGCCGGGGAGGCGCCCGGCGGGTGTCGCAGGTGTGGAAGGATATTCAGCGGACGCTGTACACTGCAGCCGGGTTTGCGAAGGCCGGAAAGGACCGGGCGTTCCGTCGGCGAGAGGAGGAGCTGCGGGATCAATATTACAGACAGCTGAAAGATAGCGAGGAGAATCTTAGTGCAGGTGGATCTCGCGATCGGGGTCTTGATTCGGTAATATTAATTTAGTTTTGAGAACATTTTTTTGCATGGATTCTGCATCAGTATTATGAAAGAATTTAGGCTTTCGAAATTGGTGCAATCTTCGCGCAAGTAGTGTAGACAAGGAAGGCGTGAAATACGGGGTGGAAAAAAATTTGTTGATTGCGGGCGAAAAACGTTGAAAACACATCAAAATGCAGGGCAACACCTCGTCCCCTCTGTTTCCCCAGAAGATGAAAGACTTAACGATGCCGAGCATCACCTCCGCGTTCAAAAAGCGGAAACAGTTCGGGAAAAGGCATCAATCCTCGCTCGAGGAGCGGCCACTCCGCGGCTCCACCCCGTCCGCTTTCCTCCCGGAGCCAACGAACGGCTTAGGTTTTCTGCCCTGGGAAATGCGAGCGACCGCGGTGTCCTTTGCGGATCTTCCTACCGAAGACCGTTACGTCCAGTATGTGGACGGAAGGTCGGATTTGCACTTCCAAATATGCATTGCAAAAGTATCGTACTAGTATGAATCGCATTACAAATTTTCTCAAGAACAAAATATGCAATTTGTCATGCTATTTCAGGCAGCGAGTAGGATTTGTCATGCGCATCTGCGATTAGTACCAACGCAACCAGTACGAGCGCGATACTTTTTTGCTTGATGCCAGATCGACATGGGGAATCCGTACGAGGGGACGGCGTTCATGACGGAACTGCTACCGGAGGAAAAACTGTCCCACAAGCAGACCACCTTCGTCGGGGTAGCGTACCAGATCACCAGTTTGGGCAATTTAAACACGACACTGGAGGAGGTTTCGCTGGGGTTTGAGCTGTCCATGTTCTTCAAGATTAAAGACGAGGACGCGTCGTTTTTCAAAGAGCGGATCGGGCCGGAGGTGCGGTTTCACGACTTCGAGGGCAAGATGCCGTGTTTCCGGTTACTGTCGGTGCCGGAAGAACCCGAGGTGGTGTCAGAAAACATTGTCGCGGTCAGGAGGTGTTTTGACCGGGATGTGGAGCTTTTGGAGCACGAAAGCGATTCGGAGGAGGAGGGAGAAAATTCTGACGAAAGCGACGATGATAGTGATGAAGCAGGAGTACCATTTGGCGAAGGAGACGCGTCCTTCTGGGATTACTACAACAAAAAAAGACCTGCAGTACCGCATGAGAAATCAAATTCCACAGAGGATATAATCAACTACACCACGGAAGGAGAAACACAAGCAGGTGGTGCAACAACGAGTTGCACGTCAGATTCGGATTCTAAAAATCGCATTCCAACCCTGGAACCCTCCTCCTCTTTGGACTCGTCGAAGGAGAGAAAGAAAAACGCCGCGAATAAACAAGGCCGAAGTTCAAAGACTGCCGGCACTGCACCTCCTTTCGGGGGCGCCGGCGCGTATTATAGCAAATCTTCTTCTCAAGAGCAGATCCTCAATGCGATTAAACACAACAAAGTGGTGAAACAGGCGAAATCCCGGTTCAAATCCAAGCACACTTGGAAAAAGCAACACGTGGAACCCCCGCCGCTGGCGTATTACGTCCAGGTCTACGGGAAGTACCGGTGTACGTGCCGACAGGTGATGGACTTGGTGCATTTCCCCTTCAGCCGGCAGTTAATTCGGTTGTCGTTTGTAGCCACTGCGTATCCTGTGCAAAAGCATCGTACTCGTAGTAATTGCAGTCATGCATGACAAATCTGGTTCCTTAGCTTCTTCAGCATTACAAATTCCTTTTTTCCTTCTGGAAAAATTTGTGATGCTATTTCTACTAGTACGATACTTTTGCAATGCATACTGCGAACACGTACAAGTACATTTTCGTGCCGTGGGCATACATGCTCCCGTTCTACGAACTGGTGGAAGAGGATGTGGAAGAGGACTGCGAGCAAGACTCGTTCTCCCGCTTTGTGCAGAAATTGTCCGATTACCAGAAGTCGCAGCGGTTCACAAGAAGTTCTAATGGTCGGACGTCGACGAGTCGAGACAATTCCTTGCGGCAGGGCGGAGGGAGTAGAAGAGATAGCACTTCTGTTTCGACGACGAACAACATCAAGCAAGGCGGTGGACGAGATATTGATCAGCGAACAAGAACAAATGCGACACTTGTGGAGGGCGTGTCCAACACCGACTCTCTGGGCCGCGGGGAGGAGCACGTGGTGAAGGATTTGTTGAGTGATCATCATGTGGCGGAAAATAGTACCAGCACGAAAGGAGAGCAGTCTTCTGCATCGTACGAAAATCTAGAAAGGGCAAGCACGTACGACTTGCGGCCAGAGATACGGTCGTCCGAGGCCGACCGGCAGCTGCATGAGGGTTCTGGGAAAGAGGTGCGATTTTCCGGTGCATCAAGCAGTACTAGCAACTTCTTCGAGGGTCTGATCCCGGAAGACGATGAGGATTTTGCTAGACTTCTGGACGACGAGAAGAATAGCACTACCTTGTCGAGGAAATCCTGTGGATTCGCGAGAGACGTTTTTATCCCCGATATGGAGGAACCGAGTTGCGGCTCCGCAGCGCCGGAAAACGGGACGGGCTTCGGCTTTGATGACGACTACGGAAGTGTGAGCAGCAGCGACGGGGATGAAGGTTTTTTGGATTATGATCTGCTCGTGGAGGGTAGACAGAAAGAAGGGTTCACGAACAGCATCCGATCCTACTCCGTGCCCGCGTCTTCATCTAGCAGGAGAAGCGGCTTTGCTGGTGGAGGTGTAGGAAATAATATCAAAACAAAAATCCTCGAGCGAAACGACACGCGCACCACAGTCAGACCGCGATTCCAGCCGGAGGGGGAAGTCGCGAGCATGGTGATCCCCGAAGAAGGAGAGGAAGATGCTGTTTTGGACGCAGAAACCGACGGGCGGGGGCAGAATTTTTACAGCGGCGGCGTTGTTGATCATGATAACCCAGCACCTGAAGGACAGTATAAAGCAACATCGAACAAAACCTATCGCCGCTCCTCCTCCCTCCCCGACCGCGCCAACCGGAATTCGCGAACGGCCTACGACCTTCCCGGGAGGGAAATCATGTCCGCTGCGAAACGGCGGTCGATTCAGCTCTCCCGTGGGGAATTCATCAAGAAACGAGCGAAATCCGACTGGCGGCAGATGTTGTTGCAACCAGGCTCTGGACTGTCGGATCAGGAAAAAACGCCGGTGACGAATTACAGATCAACAACTAGTACAGGACCCGGCTCAGCAGCTGGTGGAGCAACATCTCCGCCGCCGCAAGTCAACACCTCTGCTACTAGCTCTCTGACAAATCAAGCAAATCCTCCGAAGAAGAACTACCGGTTAGTGGAACTGCGGCTCCGCCCCTCGGTGTTTAAAGGCCGTTGCCGCATGTCGGAGTCGTGGATTTGCCGGTGCCATTTCTCCGAATTCTACCCCTTGTCCTGGCTCGCCTCCATGCCCAGCGGCGCGAAGTACAGCCGGTTTCACATCGTGCTGCAGATGGAGTGTGTGCCGACGTTTTACTTGCTGAACGTGCACTTCATCCTGCTGTGTCTGGTTTCTCTCTCGTTTTCCACTTTTCTCATCGATCCGGACGACCCGGGGTCCAGGATGCAGGTGTTGCTGACCTTGATTTTATCCCTTGCGGCCTACAAAGTGACGCTAAACACCTGGACGCCCATTAAACCGTACGTGACGCGATTGGACGTGTACGTGTTGGTCACGTTTTTGATCACATCGATTATGGGTTTGGACTGCATGCTCGCGGCCTTGACCTGCAACCTCTTCCCGAGCACGAAAGACACGGTGATCTGGATCGAAGCGATTGTGTGGATTCCGGTCTTCTTCGCTTGGGTGATCCTGCACTACTTCGTGTTCAAATCCGAATTCTTGGCGAACGGGCAGTACGGTACTTTGGTGTATCCGAAGTGGTATCCTGTGCAAAAATATCGTACTCGTATTGCAATAATGCATTGCAAATCGTTTTCTTTAGGTAAACCCACATTACAAATTTCATTTGTCATGCTGAGAAATTTGTAATGCATTTATACGAGTGCGATACAATACTTTTGCAATGCAGAAGTAGGCCGATGTGTTGAAGATTGACGACGCGAACCAGCAGGCGGAGTCGGAATTTGTGGAATCGATGAACAGAAGAGGATTCCAGATGGACCGGGCAAATTTGCCGAGTGTCGCAACCATGACGAAGAAGTTGGCGAGGTATTACAGGAATCACGGGGAGTTCTTGTAGGATGGGCGGCGGAGTAAGAGTATTTCTTGTCGTGAGGATGAGGTCGTGAATCTCACTAGGTAGAAGTGGTAGCTCAGCAGTGTCGTGCTGTAAAGCCCCGGGAGGAATAAACACGTAAAGCTGTTGTAGTTGCGCTGCTGCACACCATCGGAAAAACATTATCTTATATTATTTAATACCGACAGCGACAGTGCGTTGAAGTTTCTGTTTCACGAGCTCAGCACAGAAACGTTTTCCTTCAAACTAAACACAGCTGCAGCGTTCTGATTGATCGATGCATGTACGATCTTGTGAGCATCTCTTCTGTATGATTGACTACGACCACTACCTGAAGAGAAAGAGAATGAATGTTGCGAAGCAAAAAGAAAACAAGGCCCTGAACTTCAGTGCTCTTCTTGGTAAGAACTAGACAACCGGAGATGACAAAGAAAAAGCCTTTTAATAAATTCCGGATGAAATAGTAGTAGCTGGGCCCGTTTTTTCTGGGGTGCTAAACAAATATTTGGATACACTCTCCAGCATAGCGCAGTCGTGAAGTAAACGACGCTTGCGCTTGTCCTTGGTGTTACCGAAATTGTGTTCATCATCTGCGTGGGCGACGTCGAAAGTAGCCCTGTTTTACGGCTTCCAAATTCACTGGATTCGAATCCACCTACCCAATCAACTGCAACAGTGTGGCGGTCGTGATGTAGCCGAGGCGGGCAATACTACGGGGCCAGCTCCCCGCCCGTTGCTTCTTGCTTTGGAAGGAAGCAGGCCCCGCGGTGGAGCGTTTCCTTATTTTGCCCCGCCCGGCGGGATATCTCGGCGAAGATGGCTCCCAGCAGGTGACGAACGTGCCGGAAGAGAGAACATGCCCAGGAGAAGAGCACCACGCGCCGCCGCGGCGGGCCATCCTGGGCCCGCGAAACGATCCGCCCGGACCTGTGGACCACGGGCGCGAGGCCGACGCTGCCCGGGCGCGGGGAGGGGTGGGCCAAAGGCGTAGACTGGGCCGCGCTGCCCGGCGCGGCGATGATGCCGCACGCCACAACGAGGCAACGCGCCAGACCAGCTGTTCGCGGACCTAAGCGAAGGCCCTCGGCATCCAGCGGCCGCCCGCCGCGGCCTTCAGCCAAAGAAAGCCCTGCGCCGGCGGGCCCGGGCCCCCTTTCTGCTTGGCCTGGTATGGTTCGGCGCCTACCGCCGCGCCGCCGCGGCCGCGGTGTGTTGTGGTTCGCCGGCAAACCAGGAGGCGCCACCCCGGCGGGCCTTGCCGGCGCCGGGGCCGGCGCGACGTCGCGCCGGGGCTTGTTGGGCTCTGCCCCCCTCTTTTGCCTCCTCCGCCTCGCCCCCCCCCGCACCCATGCAAGTCAGGGGGGGGCGCGCATTGTGCCCGCCCGTGGTTCTCTTGGCCTGGCCGCCCCGCGTGTATGTTTGCGCTCGCATGCGATGTGTGCTAGATGCCCGGGGGCTGACCCCCTTGCCCGCTCCGGAGCGCGTCGGGCTTCTGTTTGCCGTGTTGCCGGTATTAGCGTTCGCTCGTTGCTTTGCTTCGGCCGCCGAGTTTGCCTGGCTGGTAGTTAGTAATGAGCCCGGCCTCGAGTCGCCGGCACGCCGATGCCCCCAGCCTTCTCGCCCCGGGCTCGCCGTGCCCATACACAGGGAGGCCCCCTGCGAGTGGAAAGCAGCGCCAGCCCTGTCTTGTTTCTGTGCCAGCTGTGGCAAGGACACACAGACATCACGCAAATGCGCCAGGCCCCTGCGATAGATATATTGTGTTCACCAGCATGATCATGAAGATCATCAGCCGGAGGGGAAGCAGGAGGAAGAAGGAGCTTATTAGCTCGGCGGCAAGAGTGAAGCGACGCAAAATCTTCTCTACATCATACTAATGGTTTTCTTTGCGTATCATATGTGTTGAGTGGGTGACTGCGATAGACTCATCCTGGGAGAGTGAGCAACTTGATTTGGTCATGGTTGCTTAACTTGATCAAGAAATGCAACTGTCGCATCAAATCAAAAACAATCAATCAGCAGCAATGGGGCACCATGTTGGGTCCTCAAGAAGATGATCTTAACATCGGCGACATGAAAGATGCCTCGTCGATGCAGCTTCCGTTCCACTTCTCCCCGCACAGTTGAGCTCGTAGAAGATTTCGCAGCGACCGCAAGCGGCCACGTTTCCCCCGCCGCGGCCCGTGTTGTCCTCGGGTTGCGTATGCAATGTAAATTTCCTGTACATGTACAAAATACATGACAAATTTTGCTAAATTGCAGAGTACAACTTGTCATGGTAGACTAGGATTGAAGGCAAGTTTTGTCATGCAGAGACAGCATTTGTACGTGTACAGGAAATTTCCTGTGGATATTGCGACAGCTGCCCGAGGACGACACCATAGTGGGGTCCACGACTATGGAAGCGTCAGGTTTGAAATCGACAAAGTTGAAGTGATTTGTCATGCATAAAATGCAAGGCATGAATTGCCTGTCTTGCCGGGATGGCAAGTGAGGCCGATTGTGAGCCTGTTTAGGGTTTGCAAAAGAGCTTCGAAAGTAGCATGACGAAAGCAGTCCTCTGTGCCCAAACAGCATGACAAATTGGATTCCGGTGCTCGGAAAATTTGTCATGCGCCGCTTGATAAGCGGGCTTTCGACTGGTATTGCTTTTATGCATGACAAACTCTTTCAACTTTGACAATTTCAATCCTGACACTCCCATAACGACGAGAAGTAGATCGCCAAACCAGAATAATGCGGCGCCTCAAGCTGCAGCGAAACAGGAGCAGAATAAGGTCCCCCGGCTCGTCGTTGACGTCCACCCTCGCGTCCTTATGCAGTAATCTTTTCCTGCTTGTTGTTTGCCCAGAGGTTCATCTTCTGTTAGAGCAAAATCATGGCACCGGTTTATTTTCGGGGAACGGGTCATCTTTCCACGGCGTACAAGCACTCGGCTTCAACTGGCCGACATTTTCGCTCTTCGGGGCGTTCGACACCAAGAAGTCGGAGAAACAGGGCGGAGTAACGAGCAAGAGTGGAAACAAGATAGGGAAGACTAGCAAAACCACTGGGAAAAGTACTTCTCCGAGATCATACAATGGACACCACCACCGGCACCACCACCACAAAAGCGGTAGACCAGCACACAACAAGGAGCGAATTTTAACGACGGAGGTTGAGCTTCAGAAAAGCAAAAGAGAAGGACCACTGGGTGGAGACAATGTCAATTCCTCGGGGAGATCAGCATCCTCTGAAGATGATGACGGGCTATCTACTGCAAAATCCTCATCTTCCGTAACTTCTACCATCACTGCATCAGACACGGGAGAAGTTTCAGATCCAGAACTGCCGAACCAAAATGCGGATAGCGCCGGTGATGTTGCCAACAAGAATATCGTGCCTGCTGCTTTTCGCACCGGAGAAGGAGATGACGCAGAGGCTACGCGGAGCGCCACGACCGGTGCTGATGCGGCAGCAAAGCCGCGGACGATTCCCGAGACAATTAACCTCTCTGCGACTAGTTCTAGCAGTAGAGCCACAAAAATCGGAGGACAGCGAGGTGCTACTACAACTACCGGTACTTCTAGCAAGCTGGCTGCTGGCATGACCTCCACATCCGAAGTGGAAGACGAAGGACAAAGCAAGGTGGTCGGCTTCAGTCACCTGCTTCCCGACGAGATGCAGGAGAAGATCAAAACTACGGTTTGCGCGGACACGTGCAAAATCACCGAACATTTGGACGGCGAGTCTGACCCAGCCTACTGCGCAGTCAACGAGTGCGAGTGCGAGCACGGGGAGGTATAGATGAATTGTCTCCCCGCAAGAAAAATCACATCGCTAAAAACCTTGCGTGCGTGTCATCGTCAGCATGACGAGCTTTTTGAATGTTGAATTGCAACAGCTAGTCCCTCAACATCTTTTTCATTTATAAGTACTTAATCCAAAAATCTAGGTCGCTGACATCTGTGTGGTATCCTGTGCAAAAGTATCGTACTCGTATTGCAATCATGCATTACAAATCCCTTTGTTAAGGTAAATCTGCATTACAAATTTTATTTCTCATGCTGGGGAAATTTGTAATGCATTTATACGAGTACGATACTTTTGCAGTTGATATGTGGGTGTCGGTGGCACGCAGTGCAAGGACGGGGTCGGAGACATAGAGCTGTGGTGCTTCGATTTTTGGGTGGGGCGACTCCACTCGCATTTCAAGTGGTTGGGGCCGCAGTGGCGCAGATGTGTCGGCAGGGACTGCCCTGCGCTCCCAGGCGCCGCCTCCCGACCTAGGGGCAACGAACCAGCTTCCCGAGGGCGCAGCCATCTGTACCTCGCAGCAGGGCGGCTCCCGTAGGCTAGCGACCTAGCGTCGCCGATGCCTAGGGGCGGGGCGTACCGGCGGCGAGGCCGTCTTCCCGGTCCTTGGCCGCCTGTGAGCAGCGCCTCCCGGCACGGGCGGTGGCGCCTCGCACTGCCCAGATTCTTTGACTATGGAAGGCGCCCACCCTCCCCTTTCTCATACTCGCGCATGGTAGTATGAAAGGTGTCGAGGTGCGTGGGGGGGGGGGGGAACGAAGACACGCCCCGGGGAATGGTGGGCTTGGCGCTTGTCGGGTGCGTCAGTGTTTGGCATGTGGGGGCATGTTGGCCGTCTTTCCGTGGCTCTGCGTTTTCCCAGCAGCCAACCGTGCGCGGGCGCAAGCAAAGCAAGGACTGGGTAATGCAGCACTAGCCTGATTCCACCAGTCTGATTCCACTGGTAAAGCTGATTCCATTAGCCTGATTCCATAAATAAGTCTGACTCCGTAAATCCTTTAGTCTGATACCATCGACGACCAAATTTATTCGAACTTTAGGTCGCTGACATCTGTTATCAACTGCAAATATGTCTGGGTCTGGAAGATTTCGAGACTTGTCGTGCATATTTTCCATGAGACGTGAAGTCTGTGATGCATGCCGTAGCATCACAGATTTCGAGAGGGCTTTGTGATACCTCTACCGCATGAGAAATGCCCTCTCCGCGTAGCACAAAATGGAGCCCTCTTGCTGGTCATGCAATACAAATCTTTTTAGAATCCAGAGACAGCATCACAAGTTCCAACCTTCCAGACCCAGACACTTTTGCATTTGATATCTGTGTGGGCGTCGGTGGCACACAGTGCAAGGACGGGGTCGGAGACATAGAGCTGTGCAAGCCCGGCTACCACTACACGGACGAGGGTGGGACGTTTCAAAAATGCGGCGACTTGGAAATCAAAAATGGCATCTGCGCCGCGAACACCTGTAGCTGTGTGAACGGAAAGGGCATGCTGGGGGAGCATTGTTTGGAGCAGGTAGAAGTGCTTCTTGCGCGATGATGAACTACTCTGTCATGCGTGAATGCGAACGAAAGTTGATATTTGCCTTGGAGGAAGACGAATCGAGCAAAGACAAACGCAAAAAATCACCAGGACTCCCCACACTGTGCCAGTTGCAACGACGGCTTCCACTTGAACGAGGCCACTGAGAAACCAACCTGCGACGCCAATGTCTGCGTGTGTCACAACGGTGAAAAGATTTACAATGCGATTTTTCAGTTATAGGAGTTTGATGTTGATCGAGATTTGGATTCCGATCTCGTCTATCCAGTACGTTGAGGAGCTAGATTCACAACGTCGTACAACATGATACCGACAATAGCTCAACACGTGCGCGTACGTCAAAACTTCAAAAAAAAAAATCAACAGGTGACCCCGCCATCGGGGTCCCCTCTTGCCGCAACGCTGGCGACGAAGCCTGTTCCATATCCAGGAAAAGACACCAACCCCCATCCATTTTTTGCATGACAAACACAGGAGTGTGCGCATGTTTTGCATGACAAATTGGATGGGGATGGGAATGGGTGTTTTTCCTGGATACTCCAGGTGCAAAGACGGTTTCACGCTGAACAACGACACCTTTTTCTGTGAACCCAACGTCTGTCGCTGCACCGGCGGGAAAAAGGTAGATAACAAAGATTGTCCGCGGAACGGCATGCAGAAGTGTCGGGCCTGCGACGACGGATATAAGCTGCAAGAAAACGGCACGTGTCGAGCGAACACGTGCCTCTGCGAGCACGGGATTCCGTCCAGTGGCGTCACCTGCCGGGTCGACGGAATAGAAAGTTGCGACGCCATCAACCCGGGCTACCATCCGGAGCCGGTGGACTTTGCCAAGCAACTGATCAAGGAAGAAAGCGGAAGCAAGGAAACGTCCGATGGCGGGTTGCAAGATTCCTCTGGGTCGGAAGAGACAACAACTACGAACAACGAGGAAGAGAGTGAAGACCCGGAGGCTGCAAGCGACGGCTCGGACGAGACGCCAAGGGGGAACACGAGTGACGAAGAGCAGAAGGACGGGGATTCGGACGACAGCGACGATTCGTCCGACCATACGCAGGTGGTGCAGTTCTTTCAAGTAACCGGACCGCAACGGAAGGGGCACAACTTCACTCGCTGGGAAAAACACATCGTGAACAAGCCAAAGTACCAAGTATCAGCTGCAAAAGTACAATGATCGCGCTCGTATTTAAAATCGCAGGTATGCATGACAGACCTTTTCTCTGGAGCATGACAAATTTCATTTTTGTCCTTTCTGACGATGGTTGTTGAAATATATGCGGTATATCACCATTAGCGCACTGCTTATGCTTTTGCAATGCATACCTAGAAGGCTTCGGCAAGAAGGACCGGCCTATCTACTGGAATACCTCTAAAAGTATCGTACACGTATCAGTCATAGCATTCCTTTGCATGGCATGGCAAGGAAATAGAAATGTAGCGTTTTCATCATTCATGTGGACGAAGAATTTTTGTAGTATTGCTGCTTCAACAACAGCTCCACTCCTTTTGCTTCCTGGGTTCGTTTTTGATTTTGCTTTTTTGCATGTTGGTGTCGAGCATGAAATGCGGGATTTTCGTCTCCGTGATCATGTTTGTCATGCATCTGTATCGAGTACGTCCAGGCATTTCAACAACCATTCTTTATTTTGTCATGCATTCCGTACATACACGATTCTTTTTTGTTGCATAAAGGACAAAAGAAAAAGAATCGCGCTGCAAGAAGAGTATCGAGAATGGAAGTCAGAATTCAGGCAGATATCCTACAGAAAAGCGCTGCTGTCTAGGAGAAACCTGTCATGCTGAAGATACAACTTTCAAAAGAATGCTGTGCTTGTGCTTGATCATGCGCACTAAGAACAAAGCTAGCAACGTTTACAACTGATCGTCAACATCTGCTTGACAAACACGAACGTGGATGAAAGGCCGCGAAGAATGCGCTATGATCCAAACAGCTGCGAAATTTCTGTTGGATAGCCAAAACTGAGAGAAAAGAATCGGGCATCGGGTTTTGACGGCTCTCAACCCACCATGGTGCCGGAAGTGTTGGAATGGGAAGGATATGCATTGCAAAACCAAAAGTATCGCACTCGTATAAATGCATTACAAATTTCTTCAGCATGAGAAATGAGATTTGTAATGCTGATTTACCTTAAGAAAAAAACTTGTAATGCATGATTGCAATACGAGTGCGATACTTTTGCACAGGATAAAGGAAAGAAGTACCACGGACCTTTCAAGGCAGTGGTGAACCAGTGCACTTGCAGCAACGGGTTTCCCGTTGTTACGGTATAGTACTAGTTCTTGGCTTTGGTATTGATTTGAAGATATTTTCTTCCTGCATAAATGATTTATTTCAGGCATAGGCATGCGATGAAAGTGCATCTATCATTCGCTCTCTCATCAATACTTTCATTCAGAACCCCGCCCAGAAGAAGTACTGCAAAGCCAAATACACGAAGCGGGACGAAGACACTATGGCCGTGGCCATCGGGCAGGAGCAGTGCGGGACTTGCAACGCGGGGTACGAGGTCGACCAGGTAGACCGAACCTGCGACCTACTGGACGTCGATTGTGAAATCACCCCGCTAACTCCGTGGAACGAAACGGAGTGCGTGTACAACGAGACCAAATTTGACAAAGACGGCACCACAATGCTCCACGAGACAAACCAAACTGTCACCTGCGGCAAGGGAGTACAGACGAGGAGTCGGGAAATTTTGAATGAAGCTGTTGGTGGAGGTAAAGAGTGCCCGGATCCGAGCAAATTGGTCGAAGTACAGGAGTGCGAGGTTTTCGACTGCGCTTACGAGATCAAGACAAACACTTCGGATCCGCGTATTTACTGATGTTTTTTGCTTTGTAGATTGTAAAAAACTATCATGAATACGCATGGCAAGAACATGAGCATCACAAAGTAAGAAAAGAAGAGTTCTGAATTATCAGGTTCAGGGTCTACTTCTTGCATGACACCATAAATTCTAACAACACACAGCACAAATCGCGGGCTATGTCGGCCTGGGTTCCATCTGCGATTGGTATGAGTCTTTGAAAACGCTGACGTACGATGGCGAGTTAGTCGATGGGGAAGAGGAAGACGTCGGCGAATGCGCGCTGTTCAAATCGGGCGCCACCGTTTTAGATGCGAACGACATCTCCGCGATCGACAGTCAATGCGCCGGGGTGCCGGAGACCACCACATCCGGCTACATGTATCCGAAAGCGACCAATGGCGACCAAGAGGATTTAGCCACCACAGAATCGCCGGACGCCATCGGTGGCGGAAACGACACGAACGACACCAGTAGCACGACGAATAACGCCACTATGAACGTCACTGGAGACGAACAAGAAGCGGAACTGACAGTAGAAGAGCAGGCTGAAGATGGTGAGGAGAGTAACGAAAATCTTCCCGAAGGCGGTGAAGACGAGGATACATCAGAACTGCAAGTTTCCGAGGGGTCGTCAAGTGGTGGCGTCGACGGGAATAAAGACGGCGCGAATGATCCACCAAGCGCAGAGGTGGATCAGGATTCGGATGAAGAAACGAATCCGAATTCCGTTTTCGCTCTATGAATTGCAAAAGTATCGTACTCGTATAAATGCATTACAAATTTCCTCAGCATGAGAGAGAAAGTTTGCAATTCGAACCTACCTTAACAAAAGGATTTGCAATGCATGATTGCAATACGAGTACGATGCTTTTGCAGTTCATACGCTCATGCCTACGACAAAGACGACCACGAGGAACACCTATCGTCGGCGCTGTTGAAGAAGAAAGCAAGAGCATCTACTTCGTCTTCAGCGGCCTCTTCCCCTACAACTTCAACTTCTGAAAGGGCGAAATTGAAGGAGATGATCAGTATCGCCAAAAGACAGCTCATATGCTGTGCAAAAGTATCGTACTCGTACTAATCGCTGTCATGCATTACAAATCCCTCCCTTTTGGGGAATCCGCATTACTAAATGCTGAGGGAATTTGTGATGCTATTTATACGAGTACGATACTTTTGCACAGGATAGCTCGGTAACAAGAAACAGCAGAAGTCCACCTCGTCGTCTCCACGACGTCACTTGCAGAATACGAAATACGAAGTGCTGAAAAAAAACTACTTCGGAAACCCTTTCGCCACGCCGATGACCGTGACCGCAGACGGGCAGGATCACTCTGTTAGTTCTAGAAGATCTTCCTCACCGGCGTGGGGAAGCAACCCACCAGGTGGAGTTGTGCAGTTCTTGCAGGTGGGCGGGAAAAGTACAACGAACCAGATGACAGGAGCACGACACATGGCAACGATGTCGCAGACACAGCTCCGGTTTGTGCTGCGACATTTGGCAGAAAGAAGCGGAAATAGTAAACAAGTAGCATCACGACAACCAACAGGCACCACAACAGCTGCACCGCAACAAAAGTACTACAACCCCCACTCCCAGAAACTCCTTGCGCGGAAGCAGATGTCGAAAAAGGACATCTTAGAAGACATCCTGGCCGGCCCGGAAATTTCGGACGAAGAGGAGACGAATTTCACGGAATTAAACACAACTGTCTCTTTGGCTTACCAAATTACCGAGTTCCGGCGGAAGTTCTGCGAAGCATACTGTAACACAGACGAACTGTGCCGCTACTACTCCTACAGTCTCGCGTACGACCAGTGCAGATTTTATTCCGAGTGCGGGAGGGTCACACAGGCAGCCATTTACGGAGGCGCAGGGGAGAAAATGAGCAACGACATGATCGACCAGACGGTGCTCGTTTACTCGGACGTGTTTGAGAAGTTGCCGTGATGGTGCTAATGAGTGGCTCCTTGTTCTTCTTCTTGCGTGTGGTAGTAGTTCAAGAACAACTTCTCCGGGCTGCTGTGTTTATGTCATCTGCAAGATTTGCCTCCATGTGGTGGAAGTGCCAGCAGTGCAAGACGCAGCTTATCTTCAGCTTTGGACTGCGGCAGTGGAGCGGGGACTAGTATTTTCGCTTTCATTGTCGACATGATGAAAAAAATCGTTTCTACACCCAAAAACGAATCTTCAAATTTTAGCAAAATCAACATTTATATACTGAGGCTTAAGAAAAAGAAAGTACAACTCGTACTAGCCGACGTATTGCTCGCTCAACAATTAATAATTTTAGTTTGACCACAGATAGATAGATAGATAGATTATCACAGGAACTCCTCGTGCAGCTTTCGCTTTCCAACGCGCGGGGGGAACCATTACAGACGTACATTTTTTCCGACATAAACTGCGTTGTATTCTTATTGTACTAGAGTCGTGTGATTTTTTCCATGAGCTTCCAAGAACTCTAGCTGAAAAAGTTTGATATTTGCATGATTTCGACTCAAAGGTGTTGAAACAAATAGAAATAGAAAAGTGATGAACAGCGAGAAAGAACGAACAAGAAAGACTGTAGCATAATATCAAAGATTTTTGAGAGCCATGAGTCAGGTAAAAGATTTGCGAAGCAAACTTCCGGCTCGTCGACAGCGCATCTCTGTATTCATTGTTTCAGAAAAACTTACACCCATTGACTTTTTTCAGAATGCACCAACTACACTGATAAATAGCCCCAATATTATTTCATCCAGCTGGGAGGGGTTGATCATCGAATGGCAATGGAGGCAGTTCATTGCGTGAGCAAACTTTTTTTTTTCAAAAAGAAGTGCCTGCCTCAAATCAATGAAAATGACCTGTAGAGAAAAGTAGCAGATGTACTAGTAGGAGCGACTGTCTGACTTTCATGATGTTGCCCGATTGTATCACTCCGATTTCAGTACATATGTCAGAACACCTCCTGCGGCTCCGGCTGTTATATTCATGCGCCGCGACAAGAACATGAACAGCTACAGTCGCATGAATTCTTCCTGTGCCTCTTGCTGCAACTCAGGTGTGGCCATGGGCTATGGTTTTTTGCGCTGAGTGCTGCAACCAAGCTGATGTTGCGCGAGTGTTCTCTTTTTGGTCTGCGCTGGAAATAGCCATACCATTCGAGTGCTGCCGAGCTTTGACGTTTCTCCCGATGGCGTAATTATATGACATGCAGTGATGTTCTACTTGAGATGATACTGCCGCATTCTCCTTGTAGCAAGTCATTTCACGAGAAATCTGGATTGCAACGGACTGCAAACATCAATCAAAACGACCTCCAGGTCCCTTCAGTTGTGTGCTGTAGTACTATGGTTTCCCCTTATTGTTATTTCATCGACGGCTCTCAAAAGTCAAAATACTACTATGTTCCATCCCCGCACCGCCCACTGACCCCGTACTACCCTCACCCTCTGTAAGTAATCGACGGCTCTATAACTACTTTCTCGATGGCCCACAAGTATTGATCCTGAAACTGTACGAAAGTAAGAGCATTCCACACGCGGCGGACTTTTTTTTTCGGACTCCTACGAACGTTCACATCAGCCTTGTTGTGCTCTTCAAATCACTACCCCCGATTGGCAAAACTACGACCAATGAAAGAAAAGAAAGATGAGATCGTCTGGCACTAGTGTAGAGGAAAACTTGTAAAGTAAAGGTGGTATTATATTGCTGTATACATAGCTTGCTGTTGCGCTATTTTTAAGCGAGTGCGTTAATCATTATCGCAACTACGACTAGAAATTGGCGCGAGTCGCGAAGTCCTTAGACGAGCAATTATCCACTTCTTTTTACTCTTGATCATATTCGTATGGATGTGTCAGAGTTGAAATCGACAAAGCTGAAATAATTTGCCATGCATAAAATGGACGCCAGTTGGAATCCAGTTTCCAATTGGCGCATGACAAATTTCGGTGGTCCCTAAATCCAGTTTGTCATGCTGTTTAGGCAAAGAAGAGCGATTTTCGCATGCTACTTTAGCAGCTCGAGCTGTAGCCCCAAACAGGCTTACAATCGGCCTCACTTGCCTGCTCTGCAACACACGTGCCGCGGGTCATGCATTTTATGCATTACAAACTATTTCAACTTTGACGATTTCAAACCTGACAGTTCCATAATTCGTAAGGTTTCGCTTTCCAAATCCAACCAATCTACGAACCAAAAATCAAAAAACAGGGACATCGGACCAATGCAGGCGAATGGAAGAAGCATCTAGCATGGCTCCTAAGCACTACAAGTAGAATGACGGCACTTTTTTTATTTGTCAGTTTTGACGAGGAACATCACAACTTCTCGGGAGGAGAAGTGAGTTTTTCATACATTCGGCGACTTGGATAGCTTCAAAAGACTATTAAAAGCAGTCCTCTCTGCTCTCGGAGTCGGTGTATTTCATCTATAGTTGTCTGGGTCCAATTCATTACTTATTCTCTGCTGTTCACAAAGAAAGTTCGAGATTTACTACTAGAAGTGCTCTTTTTTGTAATTAAGTTTGTTGTACCGCGACGACGCTCCAATTTCTTGCAACTACTGTAGACTACAGACTGCCAAAGAATAAAAGCTGCTGCTGTAGGCTCTCCTGACGAGACGGGTCTTCTGCATTTACTGTCAAGTGCAACCTTCCCGAAATCAAGAACCCTCAGCGACGCACCAGCAGCCTAAAAAAACTTGCGCTCATTCGGAGCAAAATTTCTTCACTTCTCTAGTGGTGTATCTATATCATTCGGCCAATTTTGTAAGGAATTTGTGCGACGAGCAGGGCGACACAGACACTCCTCATCCGATTTTCGAAAAAAGATAAAGCTACCTTGTAGTACGTGTGAGTAAGGTTGTACTTCTGTTGAAGCAAGTATGCTACACCTAAAAGAATAAGCCATTATTTACGCAGTGTTTACGTTTAAGTTTAAGTTTAAGAGTGGTTAGAGTTTAGTATCTATTGGGACCTGGGAGTTGTATCTGGAGGCTATCCGTATTTTAGCAACGAAGGCGCACCATCGCTCGTTGCATTAGAAGGTGGGTAGTATAATTGATTTTTTCGGGGACAATCCATCCTGTTGGATGATCGGAAAGGGAAAACGAAATAAAAATAAAAGGGGAGTAGTTAAAAACAGGCAGAGGCTGAGGCAAGAAGAAGTTCTACGACTCTGACTTTCCGAGAGGTTGTACGACGAGAATTCCACCATACGTCTGCTTTTTTTGCTGCACAAGATCCACATCATCCACTTCCACCTTGTAGCCCGAATTTCTACCAGCACGTTACAATCCTCCATTCGTGCCGGGGCGGGAACAAAAAGCGAAAGCATTTGTGCCGTCGGCCACTCCTTCTTCTAGAAGTACTAGCCTTGCGTCAGCACCACATTAGCTGGTTGTGTTGTAGTACTAACTGTGAAGGTCCTCTTCTACACGACCTCGAACTCGGGCTCTTTTACGTCGAAACCATGACCGTGTACTATCATGATTCCCCAGCAGCGCCGCAGCTACAGAACGTGAACACAACTTCACCGGTTCTTGCGAATCTAATGTCGGTTATTTTGCGAGAGCGGTCTGCGCTTAAGCCGAAGCGGTAAGAAAAGAAGAGCCGGAAGAATAAATTAAACTACGTTTCATCTTCAACGAACTTCGTGCAGCTCAGGACAAAATTTAGTACGGATAGAGAAGCGAAGAGCGAGGTCGTGGACGAAATCGAAATAAAGGCCGTACTACAAGAACTTGGGCGTCTAGTTGTACAACTTCCAGTGCAGCAGGACAAAGACGACACACGACTCAGTATAGCAACGACCAGAAAGGAGCGCTGCAAGAAAATGGAGGGGTCTTCAGAAGTTTATGTCCCTACAGGTGACCAGCAGGTCGGGCCTCAATCTTCCCTGCTTCCCATCCCCGACCTGCTGTGGGGCGACATGCCACTACCTCCGCTTGAGGACGGCGGGGAATTTGTAGGGGAAAACGCGAATAAACCAAACAACGGCGAGATGTTGAACGACAATCGTGAGCTACAAGACCTCAACAACCATCTGAACCCTGCTTCTGCACAGGACCAGAGGAAAAGAACAAGCAGCAGCTTTTTCGACCTGTCAAAGAACAGGAGCAGAACGGAGAAGGTCTTATCAACCTCAACGCGAGTTGTAAGCAGAAACGATTTATTCTCTTCTCCCCCCCGAGACCAAGATTGCATGCAGGAAGAGGCACGAAAACTAGGCTACAACTGGCGAGAGCTGCGTTTGCGTCGCGATAAAGTACGACTTCTAGAGAACAAGAAATCCAGCAACTACAAGGGTAGAGGTGGTGCTTGTCACCAAGAGGAACAAAGGAACTGGAGATCGACACCGGGGCCCGGAATTGATCATGTTGTACCCAAGATGTTGACCTCTGTTGCGAACCGGAGAACTAACTCGTGTGCAGAACCGATCCAACAGTTTTCTTCGGACAAGGGAGTATTGAATGCAAAAATGTCTGGGTCTAGAAGGATGCGAACTTGTGATGCTGTCTTTGACTTCTAAAAAAATCTGTATTGCATGAAAAGAAATTATAGGAGTCCAGTTTGTGCTTCGCGGGGGCGGCTTTTTTCATGCGGAATAGGCATCAGGAAGTTCTCTAAAAATCTGTGATGCTAGGTGATGCACCATTGCAGGCGTTACGGGCCATGCAAAACATGCATGACAAGCGTCGATGCACCCATCCAGACCCAGACATATTTGCATTTGATAGGGAGGTCGTGAAAACAACACTCATCCGGGGATATCATCTATTGCGAAGGGAGGGAAGATGGAAGAAGTAGCACCATCGTCATCAGGTTTTACTCCGCTCACAACTTCTTCTACCTCTGCTTCTGCAGCAGCAGAAGCCGGTGAAGATGTTGATGCAAACTACTTCTCTACTACAGTAGTTCCTGCTTGCGGTGCGCGTGACGCCCACACAACTCCGCGGACGCCGCGCAGGCCGACGAGAGAAGAGACAGGCGAAGACTTTCTGGACAGTTCGGTGTTTGATCTGATGTCATCTACGTCCTCATCTTGTAAGAAGATGAAGGACCACAACACGCTGTACCACCACGACGCGCCGCCTCTGAGCCGAGGCAGTTCTTCCGGTGGAACAAATTCTCTCCGCTCGACTTCCGATTGCTACGTCCATCCGACTAACGACGTGATCGTGCCACTCTACAAGGACATGGATAACTTCGACTTTGCGGTGGATCTACAAGACGAAGAAGTAGAAGTGGACCACCAGCCTGACGAAGCGGTCCCGATGATGTTCGACCTGCTTTCTTCCCCCGAAGGGGACAAAAATCTCCGCCGAGAATGGTCCAAGAACAGTGCCGCGTCGTCGGGCAGTTGCAGTAACCCCTGCTATTCGTCGTCCAAAACGTCGTCCGCGGTCGTGAAGGAGGGGAGTAGTTCTTCTAGTAGAAACAGCGGTAAGTACAGCTGCTACAACAAAATTGCTAGTGGACCAGCTGCTCCTAGTACCGGCGAAGATTTTCATCATGATCTTCCCGAAACACGTCGAATGTGCACTTCTACTTCTTGTTCGCCGGAGCTGCAGTTCAACAACATCCCGCGGGTTCTTGTAGGGGATCATAACTCAAGTAGCGCAGCAAGCAGCTCCAGCTCCAGCGGCTGCAGCTCGTCATCTTCTTCTTCGTCAACATCAATGCACGCTAACATCAAGGGAGGACGACGAGAGTGGTCAAAGGATGGGGACCAGATGAACACGACCAGTGTTGATGTGGATATGCATAGTACAAAAACCAGGATGTTGAACAACGGAGCGTCAAGTTGTTCGAGTAGGAAAGGATCCACCGGAAACACTCCTGCGGGATTTTCTTCTACTTTGACGCCGGACGAGGCTCATCATTTATTAACCGGGGACTCAGACACGGAGATGCTGGGAGATGATCCGGTCCACCTTGGGGGAACAAGAGGTGACGACACGACTACGACTACGATCACCCCAGCATCATCGTGGTACGACGTCGCAAGAGCCGCGAGCACCACGACAAGTAAAAGCACGAGTACAGCCTCTGAGTATTTCTACTCCAAACCCTGGAGGCCGATGTCGACCGGGAAAAGAAGTGGCTCCTACTGGGACAAAGATCTTCAACATTGTGCGGCGGGCGGAAAAATGAAGTCCGAGCAGGACAACTTCTACAGGAGACCGCGTATGTTCAAAAGCGTGTCGACGATAATATCAAATGCAAAAATGTCTGGGTCTGGAAGAATGCAAACTTGTGATGCGCATTTGACAACCCATAAAAATCTCTCATGCACAGGCAGCAAAAGCTGGCCGCTTTCTGTCACCAGAATGGGACATTTGTCATGCACATTCGGCATTGCGGAAGCTTCTCGAAGGCCTTGTGTGTCATGCAAAAGCAGCATGACTGTTCCAGAGCCAGACTGACACTTTTGCATTTGATAGATAGGCACAGGCAGCAAAAATTGGAATTGGCGGTCCAAGTCCGATAGTTACGACCAACATCTTTCGCACCAACAACAGCAAATCGGCCACTACAACAACCACGAGAGCAATCAAAATTCCTGCGTGACCTGGTATTACCAGCAACAGGAACAGGAACAGCGAGACTTGCAATTATTGCAACAGCAGCAGATGTATCCTGTGCAAAAGTATCGTACTCGTACTAATCGCAGTCATGCAACACAAATTTCTTTTTCAAGCTATTTCAGCATGAGAAATTCCATTTGTCATGCTGAGCTAATTTGTATTGCAATACTACGAGTACGATACTTTTGCAATGCATAAGATGCAGAGTGTGTTGGTTAATAAAGGAGGGCACGGTAAACAAGATTCTTCTTCTTGTCAGAAAGGGGGGAAAAAGGCGATGCGGAAATCTTCGACGTCGTCCCTCTCCATGGGCGAACGGACGCCGGTAGTTGCGCAAGATGCACAAAGCTTCGCTACTATATGAAATGCAAAAGCATCGTACTAGTATAAATCGCATGACAAATTTCCTCAGCATGAGAAATAAAATTTGTCATGCGGATTTCACTTGAGAAAGCAATTTGTGATGCATGACTGCGATTACTACGAGTACGATACTTTTACACAGGATATACTAGTTCTTTCGACAAAGCGCAGCTGCAAGTGGAAGCCGCACCTGCCTCTACTTCTTCTTCGGGGAAATCAAAAGCTACAGATGGCAAGGGAGATTACCACAGTCGAGGACCTCCAAAGCTCCCAGGACGACAACTAGAATTGCCTGGTGGCGGCCTAGAACCTGGAACTCGAGAAGTAGTAAACCATGCGCCCCCGACTCCACCCCCACCGCCTCCCCCCCCGCCGCTGCCTTTGCGACATCTCGGCAGTTTCTCCACCGACAGATCGACGCCAATGAGCTCAGGGGCGCCGCCCTGCACACCAGGGAACTACAGTACCTGCTCTAATAAAGGTAGTTCTACTGCATCAGCTGGAGCTGGAGCTCCCCCCGCCCGCCGGAGGAGCAATAGATCACAATCCGGCGACAGCGTCAACAGCGGCCACAGAGACAGACGAATTGGAGGTCCTGCTGGAGGTTCTTTCACAAGAACTTCCCAGCAGACAATTGCACAAGAAACTAGCGGAGACAGGTTTTTCAAAAATGACATTCCGCGGTCCCGCAAAAGCAGTGTGTCGAGCAATCACTCGCAGGCTACCAGCAACTGTTCCTCTACTTTCGGCCGTGACAGCAGTCACACGCGGCCGCACGATTCTTACCTGTGTTGGGAATCTGCGTTTTCAACATCGTGCGCAGCGGAGGCTGCAGTATGGCATTCTCAAACGTTACAAATTCTCAACTGTTACATGATTTGCCATGCAAAAAGAACATGAGCGGCCAGACGATCAAGCTGCTTCGCGTGACAAATTATCGAAGGGCTGGACAGCATCTAAATCTGTGCCAAATTTGTGACGCAAGAGTTACAACCTTGCCCCTTTCCCTATTGCTGTTTTTGCATCACAACTTCGTGTAACAGTTGAGAGTGTAACGTTTGAGAACGCCATATGCAGCGGTGGAAAATTATCCCCACATGAGGAGCGACAGGTCTTTCTTCGTGGAAGGCATCCACGCGACGGAGGATAATCTTCCTGATCAAGGAGCTGGAGCTGCTGCTGGTACTACAACTAGTAGAACCATATGCATTGCAAAAGTATCGCATTCGTATAAATGCAATACAAATTATTTCTGCAGCATGAGAAATAAAATTTGTAATGCAGATTTAGCTTGAGAAAGGGATATGTAATGCATGATTGCAATACGAGCGCGATACTTTTGCACAGGATAAACCACCCCCGGGGACGATCTTCGTCGGGGCAATCGCGGTAACGAAATAACAATCGCAAACGCGACCTCCTCAGCCTCGATGAAGGTCCAGGACACGAGCGAGAAATCCAACGAGATCCGGGTCGCCGTCTTGGGTGCGGGTATCAGCGGGCTGCATGTTGTATGCATTGCAAAAGTAATATCGTACTAGCATAAATCGCATGACAAATTTTTTCAAGAAGAAAATTGGAACTTGTAATGCAGATTCAGGTAGGAAATCAGATTTGTCATGCATACCTGCAATTCATACGAGTACGATACTTTTGCAGTGGATATGTTGCGGAGAGATTGAAGAGCATGTCGCGGATGCTGATCGAAAACGAGAACCCCTATGAATTGCAAAAATTATGTCTGGGTCTGGAAGATTGCAACTTGTCATGGTAAATCTGAAGCATGCAAAAATCTGTGTTGCCTGAGTGCCGAAAGCTGTCCACTTCTGACCAAGTTGGAACGGAGTTTATCATGCAGAATAGGCATGATGTTGATGGTAGGGACCTCGCAGAGTCTGTCATGCTAAGTCCCGCATTCCAGACCTCATGGGCCATGGAAAATCTGCATGACAAGTCTACACTCCTCCAGACCCAGACACTTTTGCTCTTGATAACCCCTTTGCGGTCAACAAGAACCAGCGGAAAACCGCGATCAAAATGCCCCGGATCAGCGTGTATGAAATGTAAAAATGTCTGGGTCTGGAAGAGTCATGCTGTTTCGGCATGACACAGAAGGTCTGGCATGGAAGCTCTAGCATCACAGGTTTCGACAAGCTTCCGCAATGCTGAATCCGCATGACAAATCCCTCATTTTGGTGACAGAAGTTGAGCAGCTTTTGCTGCCTATGCATCAGAGATTTTTGTGTGTTCTGAACTTCGCATCACAAGTTACATCCTTCCAGACCCAGACACTTTTGCACTTGATAGCGTGATCATCTTTGAAAAAGCGAACGCGTGCGGGGGCAGATTAGTCACGCGGCACACCCGCGCGCCGGACCCCACCGGGTACCAGTTCGACTTTGGCGCGCCGTTTTTCCGCGTGAAGCACCCGCACTTTCACGCCTGGCTACAGAGAACGTGCGGCCTGGGGAAATTTCCATCCGGGGGATTTGACAGACAGATCGTATATAGTTCATTAAGTCGTCTGGTTTATTTTGTTTTAGCAATTTGATATCTTCCTTCCTCGTTTTTATTTTCATTGATTTGCTTGGTTAAGCCCTTTGATTGTCAGCATCGTGGTTCTTAAAGTTAAATTCTTGCACGAAGTGGAAGCTATTAAAGCCTCGAGTATCTAAAAATCGAAATAAATAATTATCAGTCCCAAGATTGGATGCAGACGGTCGCCTTCGAGCGAAACAGTTCGCAAGGGAAGGAGAAATCCGCGGAACTCAAGGACGTCGGCTTGCAGACCGGACGGTGGGGGTTGCCGAAGGATCACGAACCCAGGTGGGGTGTGAACAATAAAGAACGCACGAGGACGCACTCCCAGGAGGTGGCGGAGAAAGAGAAAGAGAACAACAATAAGAAGCTATCCTGTGTAAAAACATCCCCACCTCAGAGTTGTCATGCAGATCCGCAAGCACACGAGCGCTTGTAATGCGCATCCCCATGAGAGGCATTTCCAATTGTTTTTTGGAACTTGTAATGCTGCAAACAGGATGAGGAGATGGATTTGTTATGCGGCTTTGTTTACTAAACTGCACTACATTACAGCCTACATTATTGTCATGCGTGGTTCCGGAAACTTCAAGGTTTGTGTTGCAGAGTCCCCAGCCTGACTCTGGGGTGGGGACGTTTTTACAAATGATAGAAGCGGATGCTGAAGGACCGCGAATCTGCGTCCAGCCCTGCGGGTGACGAAGACGGCGAATCCAGCACAACCAGCGATGTCGGCAACACCTCGGCTTCCCAGGGGGGGCAGAGCAGTGACAAGGGGGAAAACCCGGGATCGGACAGAGACGCGGCTGGTTACAATTGGGCATCCACCGCCTCCAAGCTCCGGTCGGTGATCGAGGAAGAGGCGCCGCGAGATGAGGTCGGCGCTGTGGAGTGGCGCAACGGGAAGAACCTATCAAATGCAAAAATGTCTGGGTCTGGAGACTTGTGATGCTAAAGCGTGGATGATGGAAACAGTTCCGAATGCGACCCAGCATGACAACTTTCCAGAACGCTTTCTCATAGGCAATCTGCATGCGAGCCTGCGAAATTGCATGTACAAAAGAGGCTGCGACTTTTGTTGGTTATGCAATACAGATTTTCTAGGTATGGAAAGCCAGCATTACAAGTTCCAACCTTCCAGACCCAGACATATTTGCAATCCATAGAACCCCATTCTGTACGACTGCTGGTGCTACGATGTCGACTTCCTCAACATCGATCGCAAGAGTGGGGGTGCTCCTGCCTGTGCGCGAAGTCGCGTGGCCTCGGCCGCGGACGAGGATTGCAAAATCGATAAAGGAAAAGTGCTATGAATTGGAATTGCACAAGTAATATCTTCGTACTAGCAGTTGTAATCGCGTTTCACAAATTTGATGCTACATGAATGGAAGTTGTAATGCGGATTTAATACAGTAAGGAAGAGGCTGGTCATGATGCACGACTGCAATTAGTACAAGTGCGATATAATATAATACTTTTGCAGTGCATAAGTGAAAAACAACAATATGATTCCAGAGGAGCGCACCTCCGACGAAATAGCCGCGACCCACGAGTTAGAATGCGGGTTGTACGCTCTAAAGGAGTTCAACCGAAAGGAGGAACTGTTAGCAGAAATGAAAACGTCAACGGCCGCGAGTGGTGCAGCTCCTGGGGGAAAAATGTCTAACGGCACAACTCTGCTTGCCACGACTCCCACTTCCAGCAAAAATGATGTTGACCTCTGCTCGGGTGTGGAGAAAAAATCCTCACCAAGAAACGGGGGCGATGATCGTAAAGAGGGGCAAGGCCAAGGCACGACTTCGAGGGATAACAAAAATGCCGAAGACGAGGATCGCAACAAAGCATCTGCTGCCGCAAAAGTGAGTTCCCCCCGGGAGAATCATCTGAAATCCTCCCCACGGGGGAACAATCATTTGAAGACGCACCAGAACCGCGATGAGGTGCAAGGCGAGGATTTAATCAGCCGCGAGCAAATGTACGGGCAAACCGGTTCGGAACGGGTATGCACTGCAAATATGTCTGGTTTTGGGAGATTGCGAGATTTGTCATGCGAGTCTGGCATGACTCTGAACTCTGTATTGCGTGCCCGCGAAGGGCTCCTCTTGTCTGTCATGCAAACACGCAGTTTCTCATGCGGAGTACGCAACTCTGAACCACAGAAAAACTTGTCATGCTGGGGAGCACATTACAGTGCGCTCACTATTCCCTTCCTTGCATCACAAGTTTCCAGATTCAGACCCAGACATATTTGCAATGCATAACGGGAGTTGCAAGACAATCGGGTCTTCGTTGGTTGGCCGAAAATGTCCGAACTTGGCAAAATGGTAGCGAAGCGGAACAAGCTGGACGTCCGGCTGGGATGCAGAATCGGGAAGCTGTTTCCGGTGAAGACAAAACCCAATAGTAGAGCAGGTCAACTACATCTTCTCGAAGGTGGACAGTCGTCTTCTAAAGACACGACGCCGGTGAATCATAACACAACAGGAGGAAATCAAAATCTCAGCGTTCTTGTCAAGAAGCAGCACCTCCAATTGACCGAGTCCCCGGTTCCCTACACAACGCCTTCATTGCAGAACACCAACAGCACCCTATCCTGAGTAAAAACGTCCCTACACCAGAGTTGTCATGCAATTCTGCATGCCAAAAAAGTTTCTCATGCGGAGCCCTATGAGAAGCATTTTCTATTCGTGTTTTGGAATTTTTGATGCTAGAATCAGCATGATATGCTAGATCTGTCATGCTTCAGGATTACACTACGAGGACAAGCTTGTCATGCCAAACAAGAACCAAAGCTGTGTGATTTGTCTAGCAGATTTCCCATCTTGGCTCTGGAGGTGTGGGGACGTTTTTACAAATGATACACCCCGTTGCCCCAAGACCCCACCAGGACATCACATGGTCCAGACGGCAGTTCCAGTCCGGATGACGAGTCCGAGGTGGCGCGGAACGTCGGCGCGGGGCGGCAGATATGCATTGCAACGGTATCGTACTAGTAGTAGAAATCGCACGACAAATTCCCTCAGCATGAGAAATGGAGTTTGTCATGCTGTTTTGCCTTGGGATCGAGATTTGTAATGCATGACTGCGATTTTTACTACTAGTACGATACTTTTGCAGTTCATAGCAGACCTCCGGCGTCTTGTCGGAAAACTTGTCGATCAGCGCATCCAGCCGACAGGTGTCGGAAAGCATCTTGGACAAGCTCTACACCCCTTCGCCCTCCCCGCGGGTGAGGGTAGATACGAGCAAGAACGTGAATTCTTCAACCGGCGAAGGACCACTGTTCGACGACATGCCTTCTCTACTAGGAGGTGAGGATACCAACCCCAATCCAAGCCTGCGGCGAGAAATCACCCCACCGGGTGGAACTGTTTCTACTGCTCCTTCAAAAGCCGCACCACCTTCGACGCTGCACCTGAAACCGCACCCCAAACAGTCCGGACATCAAGTTGTATCTACTCAGTTACCCCCCCACGCTGAACATGAGAATGAAGGCAACAATAAGTTCCCTTTTGACCCAGATGTGCGTTTCGTGGAAGCTTCCGCGTTACCCTCCAACCAGGAAGCGCAGCTTTACTCGCGGTTCGCCACTGGCGACATGCACGATCCAAATTGCCCGGAGGAAGACGATATCAAATGCAAAAATGTCTGGGTCTGGAAGAATGCAACTTGTGATGCTGCATTTTGATTCCAAAAAAATCTGTATTGCATGAGCAGCAAAGGGAACGCATTTTTTGCTACACGGAGAGGGCATTTGTCATGCGGAATAGGCATCAAGAAGCCCTCAAAAAATATGTGATGCTAGGGCATGCATCAGAGACATCATGGCTCATGCAAAACGTGCGCGACAAGTCTCAGAATCTTCCAGACCCAAACAAGTTTGCATTTGATAGACGATCCGGCGGTGCCCTTGATGATCCGGGAACGGGAGCGGAAGGAACAGGATATGAACCGCAAAAGCATCGTACTCGTACTAATTGCAAAAATGCATGACAAATTTTCTTCCTAAGGTAAAAAAAACAGCATTACAAATTTATATTTCTAATGCTGAGGGAATTTGTGATGCTATTCATACTAGTACGTTACTTTTGCAGTTCATACAGGAGCGGCTGCAGCAACTGTTAGGGGGTGCTGGGGGTACGGACGGGGACACGGAGGGCGGCGCGCGGGGAGGTGTCAGAGGGGAAATTGACCCGATGAGAAAAATCGACTCTGCAAGAAGGCCGCCGCCGCCGAGAAAGGGAGAAGTGAGAAAAAAAGAAAATAACCCGGACCAGGAGCGGCTTCAAGGTATTTCAGAATGATATAAGGATAGCAAGAAGATGGTCGTGTGGTCCACAAGAAGAGGAACACACCATCCTCTTCGCATATTTTTAGTCCTAGCGGAGCATTGTCATGTCCATGTGTTTGTGATGCAAATAAAGTGCTTCATCTTCGTCTCATCTCCAGTACGCAATCCGAAGTCAACATGGACGAAATTGTGATGCAAAATATAAATCACGAACAACTCCAGGTGTTAACCTGCAGTGGGATCTGCGGAAGGTAAAACACGCTCGATTACCCTACAACGCGGTCACCAATCCCGCCAACGCCCCGGTTTCTTCTCGACCCTTCGACTATGTCGTGGTTAGTCTCCCCGGTCCCCAGACCATGCAACTGGTCGAAGAACTGCCCATCATGAAAAAATTTCCGAGAATTCAAGCGAAAAGCAAAATGCGGGGCTGCTACGTGCTCATGCTAGGTATAGAAAGTTGATAATTTTTGGGTGTATTTTTATTTTTTTCTGATTTGTTGTGTTCTACTTCTATTTTGCTCGAACTACTTTGACAAACTTTGTTCTTTCCGAGCTAAAAACTTCCATCCACAGGTTTTTCAATCCCCGCCTCCCTCAACGAGACCGAAATCCCTAGCACGATTGACTGCGTCGCCCACCCGGTGGTCCGCTGCGTGATCATTGACAGCAACAAGCCTGGTCGCGTTGCGAAGCGAAACCGGATTGGCCTCAAGACGATCTCAGTCTGCGTATTTACTTTTTCATCTTGCAGTTGTTGTTTTAGTGCTGGTTCCGGTAATTGTTTGTCATGCGTAGTTCGCTAATATATCGCTCCAGGGTTCTTGTTCATCCGAAAACCGCATCACAAAAAATCACTAGGTTTTCGCCTCTTTCGAGTGGTCCGAGCAGCACTTCATTATGGAGGAGCAGATGGGTGCCGGTAACGACTACACCTACCGTGGTGCGAACGTGATTAAGCCCATGCTGAAGGAAGCGCGAGAGTTACTCCTGTCTGCCAACGTATCAAATGTAAAAATATCTGGGTCTGGAAGATTGCCAGGTTTGTCATGCATATTTTCCATGACCCATGAGGTCTAAAATGCGAGACCCAGCATGACAGATTCTTTGAGGTCTGTATCATGCCTTTCCTGCATGAGAAACTCCCTCTCAACTTGGTCAAAAGCGGACAGCTTTGACACTCACGGTCACGCAACACAGATTTTTGCATCATTTAGATTTAGCATGACAAGTTCAAATCTTCCAGACCCAGACATTTTTACAGTCGATACAACGTACCGATACCCGAAAACAAGGACTACGCACGCCCGAAAATTGACTTCTGGAATATGGGACTCTCAAACATTACATTCTCAACTGTTACATGGATTTGTGATGCAAGAACACACACAGTGAAGGGAGCAAGCTTGCGCTTTTTGCATTACAAATTCGGCACAGATTTCGATGCTGTTTAGCCTTTGTCGTGCGAAGTAGCTTGATCGTGGTGTGGCTGATGGCAATTTTGCATCACAAATCATGTAGCAGTTGAAAGTGTAACGTTTGAGAACCCCATATGGAAGTACATGTTTGACATGCGCCGTCTGGAGTACACGGATCTGCACGCGTGGCGGTATTATGCATTGCAAATATGTCTGGGTCTGGAAACTTGTGATGCTAATGTGCGAATAATAGGCAAGCTCCATTTCGGAACCACGCAAGACAAGTTTCTGAGCGACTCCGTCTTGCATAAACTGCATGACAAACTGCATTTTTGCGTGACGCAAAAGACAAAGAGGCACTATAGGGCAGCATCCATTACAGTTTTTTTTTTCTCTACTCCTGCCTGCCAAGCATGACAAACCTCGCCATCTTCCAGACCCAGACATATTTGCATTGGATAGGTATGCCCAGGTTATCGGCAGACCGGGCAAGGCAGGAGCGAATAGAGGGTACTTTACTACACAGTTTCCTATTATAATTTTAGCAGTCATGCAGCACCGAGACGCAGCTTTCGCTTTGTATTTGTTCTTACCTGGGTCTGCATGAGAAATAAACTCGATCTTCGGGAGGTCTGAAAAAACTAAAACGTAAACGATTAATTTCTGTTGCAATTATTCGCATGCAAAGGCAAACGAATACATTCATTCTTCTTCAATAGGGCGGAGAAGCAAGACTACTGCTGGCTGGATAAGGAGCACAAGCTGGCTTCTTTATCTGACCGAGGGTGGTGCGGCGCGCGCTGCTGCGCCCGCAAGTGCAGGCGAACTAGCTCCGGCCCCGCCACGGTGCCAGGGATGGCTCTGCGCTTTGTTTCGGTCGCCACGTTTTGCCTCGCGGGGGCGGCCCCCCCTCTTGGTGTGGATGCTCTCGCCGCCCTGCACGAAGAAAAAGGCGCCTTTTCTCGGTGCCCGAAAAAAATGGTTATTCCACACAGCGCGCCCAGTCCCATTGTGCTGGCTGCACGTGCCTGGCTGGCCAGGTTCTTTGTCGCGCACGCAGTTTCCACAGCTGCGCCCCTATGGGCCCCGTCAAAAGCAGCCCTGCCGCCTTGGAGGCGTAACTAGAATGACGAGCAGCCGCCCGCAAGACTCGCAGCCTGGGGGGTGCTCGCAAATTTATTGGGAACCGTCCAGAAGCCTCGCCTCTTTCCACGCTGGTGTGGCCCCGGGTGTTCTTTCTTTCCCCCGGAGCTTCTCCTGCTCCTGGGGGCTGGGGCGGGCCGCTGTCACGCCTACTGTCTTTCTCCGGGGGGCTTAGGGTTTTCGCCCCCAGAATATCCTCCTCTTCCCCGCGTCTGCAACCTTCCTCGTAGGAAAGCGGGCCTATCGCATCCTTGTCTCCTCCATACCTCTCCGGCGGTCGCGGAGGGACCGCCCGTGCTAGATACTACTAGTACAGCTACACAGCTTCCTATTATGGTTTTTGCAGTCAACATGCGTGAGTGACAGAGACGGTCACAGCGTTGTATTTGTTCTTACCTGGGCCTGCATGAGAAAACTCCTCGATCTTCGGGTCTACTGACAAAACTAACAGACTAATTTCTTTTGCAATTATCAACATGCGAAAATGGAAATGCTTCATCTGAAACAGGGCGGAGAAGCAAGACTACTGCTGGCTGGATAAGGGGGCGCAGCCGTGGGAGGGAAAGGACTTATTTGTCTGACTGAGGGTGGCGCGCTACGCGCTGGTGCGCCCGCAGGTTCAGGCGAACTAGCTCCGGCCCCGCCAGGGTGCCGGTAGGGGGTTTGCGCTTTGTTTGGGTGGCCACATTTTGCCTCGCGGGGGCGGCCCCCTCTTGGTGTGGATGCACCCGCCGCCCTGCACGTAGAAAAAAGCGCCTTTTCTCAGTGCCCTAAATGGTTATTCCACACAGCGCGCCCAGTCCCATTGTGCTGGTTGCACCTGCCTGGCTGGCCAGGTTCTTTGTCGCGCAGTTTCCACAGCTGCGCCCCTCTGGGCCCCGTCAAAAGCAGCCCTGCCGCCTTGGAGGCGTAACTAGAATGACGAGCAGCCGCACGCAAGGCTCGCAGCTTTCGGAGGCGTTCGCAAATTCATTGGGAACATCCCCGAAGGCTGGCCCCCTCTCAGCTTGGGGTGGCCCTGGGTTTCTGTTTCCCAGAACTTCTCCTGCTCCTGGGAGCTGGGGTGGGCCGCTGTCACGCCTACTGTCTTTCTCCGGGGGGTTCAGGCGGACGGAGAAGCCCTGCGCCTGTAGAGTTTTCGCCCCCAGGAGAATCCCCTCCCCTTCCCCGCGAGGACTGCAACCTTCCTAGTAGGAAATCGGGCCCATCGTTTTCTTGCCTACTCCATACCTTTCCGGCGGTCGCGGAGCGACCGCCCGCGCTAGATACTACTACACAGTTTCCTATTATACTTTTTGCAGTCAACATGCGGGACAGAGACGGTCGCAGCTTTGTATTTGTTCGTACCTGGTGGGCCTGCATAAGAAAATTCGATCTTCGGGTCTGACAAAATTGAGAGAGTAATTTCTGTTGCAATTATTGAAATATGGAAACCACGCTTCTCAAACAGGGCGGAGAAGCAAGACTACTGCTGGCTGGATAAGGAGCACAAGCTGGGAATTTGCGGTGACTGGGCAAGCGGGTGTGCGACCGTCGAGGGCGCATGGTGGAGTGCCGAGATGCTCGCGGACCAGATGCAAGCCTTATGCAAGGAAAAAACTGTCTATAGTGTAAGAACTTTGTGTTGCAGAAAATGCAAAACTGTTACACTTGTCCTGCTGGACATGCATCAGAGGCTAATTTTTCCGTACGTGTTTTCAAGTACTAGCTACGCATGACAGGTTTATTTCTGTGTCATGCAGAGCAAACTTGTGATGCTATTCCTCCAAGAAACTTACCCTTGCACAGTTTTTTTCTTGCATAAGCCTGTATTGCGGACCAGTACGGAGAAAATCTGCAGGAGATGCTGGCAGAGCATGATGAAGATCGGGAATAAATCCATTTTATTGGGTTCGCGTTCTTTGCTACCCGTACCCGCCGCATCACGGAGTTGCCAACCTTCAACAACGTAAAGGGACGACTGGTGCTAAATCTATAGCGGCAAGAACAAGATGAACCCAGTAGACCTAGATCTCTTACCGGCTGCTCCAAATAAAGCCACACGCGACGCATTCTGTGAAATACTTACTTACCCCGCTATCATCTTCACCCGAGCTGTGGTGCCCTGCTAATAAATTCCCCCTTCCGGCACGATTTCGAGGCCCTCAAGGCAAAAATATTTGAAAAAACCGAAAAACGCTTCAACAATTTTTTAGACGATTTTATGAATTATTTTTTGATTTTTTATCGACTTTTCCTGTTCATTTTCAATATTCAAATACAACAATGTCAATGATCCTTTTCGTTTAATAGTCGCATTTTATTTATTTATTATGTCACAAACAATAGAAAAAGAAGGCAGGGTAAAATCGTTTCCAAAAGGTTTATTTGTGTCCAGAAAAAACTACAAACCTCCTAGAAGTGTCATTAATGAGTATAGCCAATACAACGAAGCCGCATCTTGTTTTTTTGAGGATGCGGCCCGAGAAAAATGATCCGTATGACTGGTAATATGGAACAACGTCAAAGTTGAATAGTATCGACGACAATGAAGATGAACGACAATGAGCACAATCTATATATATGTTGAGATTGAGGATGAAGCGAGGACCTCCGATATTAAAGCTTGTTGCTCGACGACCCTCTTGGCGGTCGACGCAGCTGCAGCAAGCACTATGTATAAACAATATGGAGCTCCTGCTCCGGCAGATATCGTACAGATACCGGCTTCTTTGTCAAAATTTTGAAGTTGAGTAGATTTTGGTACTATGGAATAAGATATATAAAAAAGCGACTACTAGCTATAATTGCGCTGCAGTCCAGCTGGAACTGCGACGAGTCACCAGACTTCTTTTTAATTATCTTCCCGGGCTTCTCAAAAGGATAGTGCCGTAGTGTCTAACTGGCAATGGCTAGTCTACATAGTATGAAAAATAGATATGATCTTCATCGACCGCGGTCCTTATTCCTAATTTATTGATAGAGGCTCTAGTTGTACTTCTAAACAACAAGCAGGACGAGAACATAAACTTCGCACTAATACTACTTCGCAACTTGTCTCGCTCGACGACGTGGTCGAAGACCGAAAATAAAAGAGAGCTTCTACATCCGTATTAGCGGCCTACTAATATTTGATGCGTCGACACAAGAACTCTCTTGTGTCGAGGACCCCGCAGATGTTGATATTCAGGCGACATGTAGGGGTCGCGCCCCTATTGACGCGGGGGCAAAGATAGAGATGTGAAGTACTATTATCTTCGGACAAGACCTGAGCAGGAAAGAACCGGATAAGTACTTGTTGTGCAGTAGACGACTATAGTCATTGTCATGGTCATTTGAAAAATATAATCTTCCACTCTAGCTCTACGCAACACCATCATCATCGAAATTTCAGACGCTGTTATTTAATCGATACTAGAGGTAGTTGAATTTGCGGTGGCCCACATGAAGGTGGTCGACACTTCTGGACATGAAAACTTCTTACCGATCATACGCTCGGGATCGTCTCTTTCGCAACCACCAACATTTCCAAAGACTAAAGAGATTCTGTATGGCGCACAGTTTTTTTTTTGTCAACAGAGGTCGTTGATCATGATCTTTCTTGTGGCAGCTCGTACAACATAAGTAACCCCTCTCGATTAATAGGAACAGGAATATTCGGTAGAGGAACTCCGTACCTACTGGGCTTGAATTTCGTATAGATGATACATACGAATTTTTACGGAAGCATCAGAAGAAGGCAAAAAAGTCTGCTGGATTTCTGAAAGTGTAGGCAGATGAAGAAGTTCCGGGTGGTCAGGAAGATCATGTCAACATTATGATTTGAAGAGCGACTTGTCATCCTGACTGCAGCTTTATTGCAAGAATAGTACACTGTACACCTACTAACTTGAACCAAAACCACACATAAACTTGAAGAACTCTCTCGGACTGTGGTGCCACTTATAGGCCCCTCTAGCACTGGCACGACTCAGCGAGCAAGTGCTGTACGACTACACGAAGAAGTCATAGATGAATAATGATAACGCCACAGAGGATGTTGAATAAGAAGCTGCAGTGCTGAAGAAGAAGATGTACACAATATTGTTGAGCCTAGAGAAAGAACAGCTGCAGCACAACACCAATTGGGCCTTTATAGCTAGGGACTCACGTAGTCGCTTCCTTCTTCATTTTCAAAAAACCCCTCGCAGGATGTGCTTACACATTTATGTTCAGTTCGCTATGCTACAGTGCTTATTTTCAAACTTCCCTTTGGGATTTTAGTTTTCAATATAGTACGACGTGCAATTTCATGCCAAGATAGCGCATCTCCACCTACAGCGAGAAAAAAATAAAGACAATAACACTGGTGAGGTCTGAGTCTGATTTTGTTGATGATGCATCGTTTACGCATGGTCGTCGTCTCTTACTTTCAGAACATCAAACACCTCTAGCTACTATCAGGATTTCGCTCTAAGTGCTGATAGTCACTGCTGATAGTCACTGCTGTTGTACATCATAGGACAACTATAGTGTCTACTTCTTCTTCATCTTCACAATAGGATTTTATACCCACAGCCACAGCGTCCCGCCTTTCGGCTGCAAGAAAAAGGTTGTGACCTATGAATTGTCCATGATGAGTTGCAGTGTGAAGACGTGGATGTCCTCCCGCACGCACCTGGTGTCTTTGCTATCGTTCGAGGAAAAATGTAAATGTTGATGCAAGGGAGTTATAGCTTCATAAGGCAAGAAGATAGAAGCGCCGAGTATGACATGTCATACCATAAAAATTGTTTCTACAACGGCTCCTGACCTGATTGATCTTAACTTTCCAAATTTATTCTTCAAAGTAAAAGGCCTCCGGCTACTTTGAATTTACTTATCTCGGCGACAATGAACAAAATTTTTTTTGGCCAACGCATCGGCATCGAGCGACCATGGTCGGCGACAACAAGCTAGTACAACTGATTATACCGGATCTCGACACACGAAGAAACTCGAATTCTATACGCTCGCGTCGCAGACTGGTCTTGACTACAGCGGCGGTGTCTAGTGGTGTGTCGTGTAGTACGAGTAAATCACGGATATTCATTCATCGTTGAATTGGTGAAGTTTTGTACCCAGGAATTGATGAAGAAATCGTAAAGAACTCTCAACACACCATTACGATTCAGAGACAGCTTGTCTTCAGCCTCGAGACTGCGATGAAAACAACAAGAACGGAGATGTTGGATACTTATTTCGACAAAGAAATACCGAAGCAAAATCTTCAAGTTCAAGCACCAGAGATGCTGCGAAAAGATGAAAAATGTGCACATTTTGAAGGAGGTGGAAAGGTATAACACAAAAAGCGAAAAAAAACTATCGAGAAAATACAAGGAGGACGAGCAAACTTTTACACAGTCCTCGTCAGAGGCATATCAACTTGTAGATTGTTCCTGTTCTTCAATTAAAAATTTCGTTAAAGAACAAGAGAGAACAGGATCCGGATGGTCGGTCCTCAACATTTTAATTTATGTCTGAGTGCTTATAATTTCGGTACAATGTTGCGTATGATGTCGGATTCTATTCATTGACTCTGATTGGCATTGGCGCTTCTATTTCCATGACGAGAAGATGATAATACACTTACACATCATACATTCGTGCTAGCCTACATGCCGTGCTTATTGATTGAGCGAAACAAGACAAGTTGTATATGCTTTTCGTATTAGTGAGTTCCGTCAAGCACACAAGCGAGACCAATTTGTGTGTGGGTTCTTGCAGCCGATGAAGAGAGTTTTTATTTCTTTGTCATTTCAAGTTTCCCCCTTGAATTCGTGATCTATTTTCTCCCACAGGACCAGATTGCCCTAAACAAAAAACACCCTGATTGTCCCCGGAAAATAACAAAATCGATTGAAGTTCGTTCTTTATCACAAGATGCAGTTCCCTTGATATATGTTTCCGGCGCACTCACCCTTTTACTTTTTGAAAAGCTACCACGTCACACCTCTACAAAGCCTGACCAAATAGTACCTCTACCGCCTACCCTAGCAAGAACCTCTTTCAACCAGTTCCAACACTGATTCAGTGAAACCAAACCCGCATCGATTTTAGGTTTTTTTTTCCGCCTTTGCGTGACAGGGCAAGTACCGTTAGCGCGTATGCCGACGCAACGGCTGGCGCAGTAGTCACGGTTAGTACTTACAACAGGAGCATTTATTTGGTGAGTCCAAGAACGCCTCTCATTTTTAGACTTTTGAAAATGGACTCCTTCTCTCTCGCTCCCTTGCAGCATAAAGCAAGTACGGTGGCACTAAAGGTGTTTGCCAAGTGTGCAGATTTTAAGACGAAATACATGCTTCTCGTCGTGTTGGCTCATACACCAATCCACCCGCTTATTGCGCTGTTAAAAGCTTTGTGAAGTAGAAGTTTTCAGCTCTACTTATTCGCAGCACAGCGGTAACATTTTACTTGGATTTATTCATTTCTTCGTCTACTTGTAGTTTACTTTACGTCTAGCCAGAAAAATACAAATACGTAACTCCAACAACTATCATGGCACGCCCTCGAGGAGGAGGGAACAAGCAGCAGCAGGGGAGAAACGTCGGCCAAGATGCTGGTTCCACCTCTGTTGCGGGTGATGCGACGAACTCGAACCCCGGAAGAGCGACGACGTCGAGGACACAAGCGACACAATTGCCGCAACAAGGCACATCTTCAAATGGTGAAAAAAATGCAAGCTTGAACACCGCATCAGCAGCCCAAGAGGATGAGATCGTCATCGTCTGGCTGCGCGACGACATGCGTTTTGTCGACAACCACGCACTGGCCTACGGCGAGCCGCCAGACGCGCATCTAAAATCTGATGCTGGTGGTGTTGGGTCGCAACAGAGATTCTATGGCAGTAAAGCGCCATCTTCATCCGGTACCGGGAATACGAACAGCACTGCAAACAAGCAGAAAAACACAAAGCAGCAACAAAATAGTACTTCTGTCACCCGCCGGATCCTTCCCGTGTTCATCCACAACCCAGCGGACTGCTCCCCCTGGCCCCTCCGCGGCGCGGGATTGTGGTACAAGGGGAAATCCTTAAGAACTTTCGCCGAGGAGTTGCAGACCAAATACGGGCTGAAATTGATCATCCGCTCCGGCGACCCGCTGGACGTGATGCTGTCTCTCATCGCCGAAACGGGAGCGACGAGGGTCGTGTTTAACGAGAGGTACCTATCAACAGTAACTTTCCCGTACACGTACAAATGCGGTCTCTGCATGGCAAAATTTAGCTTTTATATCCTAGTTTAGCATGACAAGTTCCACACTCCAAATTGGGGAAATTTGTGATGCATCTTGTACATGTACGGGAAGTTTGTATTGCATAGTATGAGCCTTGGTATGTCTCCGAGGATGATTGGGTGCGGGCGGAACTTATGAAAATAATTCCGGGTGACAATCTGTCGGAGAAGTGTTCGAGTGAATTCTGGGAAGAATATAAGTACAGCTGTGGAGGAGCGAGTGCATCTGGGACGGCTGGTGGTACAAGAAACCAACATGCCACAGCGGCAACAACTAACAACCCAAACACGCCCACCCCAACCGCGACGACCGCCAGCAGCACGCCCGCTCCTGCTTTCCCAGACGATTTAGATCCCCAGACCCAGCAGGAGTTAATCGATGCTGGGATACTGTATCTACCCGGGGAAGAAAATGCAAGTGCAGAAAACCAGTTGCTTGCAACCGACGACAGCAACACAAGTTCAAGCACACCACCTTTCGACTTGGTTTTCGTGTCCAAAATTCAGGTCGACGTTATATGGCCTGCTCAAACGTTACAATCTCAAACGTTACAATAGAATCTGAGATTTATGTTGCCTGATGAGCATGACAGACTCGCAGAGCGTTCGCCACTTTCTGCAATACAAATGTCGCCAGATTGTAGTGGGGTTTGGGACTCTGGAACTTGTCATGCGCAATCTCATGAGAATTGGCCAGATCATGCACTCTTGCATCACAGATTTCCATATTCTATTGTAACGTTTGAAATTGTAACACCTGAGCGGGTTATACGTTACCCCGGGATCGCTTCTGGTCGCCCCGTGGGTAGCGGATCCGGAGGTGAATGCTGAGGGCTGGGGGTTCGGTAGCGTGCAGTGGTACAAGAAAGCGGTGTGCAACATCCCGCAGGAGCATTTGGTGGTTAAGTACCTGAACAGCGATAGTACTGCAGATCACAATGGCGTTCGGCAGAACTACACGACCAAACAGCAAAACGGCACCGGCCGGACCGCCTCCGCGCAGACAACAGCTGTGGATTTGGAAGAGTACTTGAAGCCTTTGCCCAGGATAAAACAGCTTATCGGGTTGAAGAACCAGAATGCGATTTTTTCCTTTACGTTGGATGATTTGGGCTACGATGTCTACACGTGTGGGAAAAACATGCCGGTATCGAAGAAGAAATCGGAGAAAATGATGGAGGACGAAAAATTGAACTACCTGCCGAAGAACGCACCGGGCTGGATGAAGCACCATCCGCAGTGGAATTCCGGTCGGTTTAAGCAGTACAATCCGCGGTATTTGGAGACAAATCTTAAACCGATGGCTGTTGTTGCGGCCGCGACAAGCAATAGCAAAGAGAAAGATGTTGCTGAGCCCTCGCCTCCTGTGTTAAACAAGCCCAAACCGAAGTACGACAATCCCGCGAAACAGGACTGGGCGTACGAAATGAAGAAGTTTTGGACGGTGGGAGAGCAAGCAGGGTTGAACCGCTTGGAGATTTTCTGCAACGAGATTCTCGCTGAAGGCTTGTTTGAGGGCAGAGAACGATTCCGGGCGGATAGGGAGTACACCGCGATGTTGAGTCCCTACGTCCGGTTCGGAGAGTTAACCGCCAGGACGTGCTTCGCGCGGGGAGCGTTGGTTTTAGGCGAGATCAACCTACCGGAAAAAGGGTGGCGACAATTACGTGCGACGTTTCTGAGGCGGTTTCTGTGGCGAGATTTGGCCTATTGGTGCTTGTGGCGGTTTCCGGACTTACCGGATACGAGTTTGAGGCGACAGTACGAGCACCAGAAGTGGTGGACGATGAAGGATGAGGAGGAAACTGGAACAGCTACAGGAAATATTAAAACGAGCGGAACATCAACATCAAAAGCTGCAACATCATCTTCCGGCTTTGCAACAAATAAAGATGAAGACGCTCCTGCCGAGGCCAAAACCCGCAGTCGTTTTCGGAAGAAGAAGGACGACAGTGCGAACGCCTTGCTCAGCGTGAAGAAGGAGGCTATCAAGTGTAAAAATGTCTGGGTCTGGAACAAAGCAAGTTGTCATGCTAAATCTGAATCATGTAAAAATCAGTGCTGCATGATTACCAAAAGCTGTCCACTTTTGACCTTATCGAGAGGCAGTTTCTCATGCAGGATAGGCATGATAGAACTCTCACAGAATCTCTCGTGCTATGTCCTTCATACCAGACCTCATGGGTCATGGAAAACCTGCATGACAAGTCTGGCACTCTTCCAGACCCAGACACTTTTGCAGTTGATATAGGCGGCGGCGATACAACAGCAGCAGTTAACCGGATCCTTTGCGCCCGCGGGAAGAACAGGTCCGAACAATATTGCTGGACAAGGAAATAACAATTCCATGGTTGGCGCAGCAGGAGCAGCACCGGGTGGTATAACAGGAAATAAATCGCAGCAGAATAAAACCGGTCCCTCCGAGCAGGAAAAAGAGCTTTTGAAAGAGCAGTCCTACGCAAACCAAACGTCGAATAAGATCAACGAGAGTTTAAAATCCCGGTTCACCAACAACAGCTCTCTCGAGACGAAAGACAGATTACGCCGGTGGCAGCGGGGGAAAACCGGGTTCCCCTTAGTAGACGCAGCGATGGTGCAGCTGTGGAAGATCGGGTGGATGCCGAATTACCTTCGCCACGTGGTGGCGCAATTTCTGATCGAGTACTTGGATGTGAACTGGAAGCACGGCTTCGAATGGTTCGACTACACGCTGATCGACACCGATGTTTCCATTAACGCCCACATGTGGCAGAACGGGGGCCATTCTGGCCTCGACCAATGGAACTTTGTGATGCACCCGGTGTTTGCGGCCAAGTCTTGTGACCCCGAGGGAAACTACGTGAAGCGGTGGCTGCCGGAGTTGGCCAGCTTCCCGATCGAGTACATTCACTGTCCCTGGGAGGCGCCGGCGAAGTTTGACATCATGGTGTTGCAGGTCCACAATTACCCGATGCGGATCTTGCAGGATTTGGACAAAGCGAGAAAAAAGCACGCGGAGAACGTGTTGGAGGTGCGGAAAAAGTTTCGCAAGGAGTTAGTGTCTATGAACTGCAAAAGCATCGTACTAGTTCTAGTATAAATTGCATTACAAATTTCCTTCGCATGACAGATGAAATTTGTAATGCTGTTTTAGGTAAGGAAGGCGATTTGTCATGCATGTCTCCAATTAGTACGAGTACGATACTTTTGCAGTTCATAGTGTCCGGCCGTGGGAACGAGTTTTTGTGGCTGGATTGCGACTACGTCGGAGATATGCATTGCAAAAGTAACGTAGTAGTATAAATTGCATTACAAATTTTGGCAAGAAGAAAAGTGGGATTTGTACTGCTGTTTTACCTTAGGAGGAAGATTTGTCACGCATATCTGCAATTACTACGAGTGCGATACTTTTGCACAGCATAGGAGATTTCACGCCGGAATGGGAGGTAGAGAAAAGGGAGAAGGGGTTGGAATGGCTGGAGAAAATCGAGATGATGGAGCTGCAGATGCAAGAGCAGGGGATTGGTGTGAATGTGCGGAATGGCACGAGGGCAGAGACGACGACAAACAACGCAGCTACCCGAGGAGGTGCTGGACCAGTGCGACAAGACGACCCCGACACCATGAATCTGATCACCGCCCAGCAATTCCAGCAGATCCAGGTGCAGAACGGCCTGGCTGAAAACAACTACAATTCGTCTGCGAATTCAACCGCTAAAGGAAACGGCAAGTCCGCGACTTGGCTGCCGAAGAACCTGAATGAGCGGCGCGCGAAGGCCTACGAGAAGTCGTTTCTTCCGAAAGAGGTCTTGCAGCAAAAATCGAACAAGAAAAAGCATCAGCAGGCTTTAGCGGAGGAGCGACAAAGCCGGAAGCCGAACAAACGGGGGATGCTGCGACGCGTGGAGCTGATCACAAGAGTGGATTTCCGCGAGGATAGCTTGGACTTCCTCACTGTGCAGACTGCGGACAAGCCACGGCATTTCAAAAAGCGGGAACTAAAAAACACGTGGGAGCAGCAGATCATGACCGAAGTGATGGGCGAGTGGAGGCGAGGCGGTGGGGAGGAGAAGGAGGACGCGCTGTGATGTGATGTTTTAGGATTTTTAGTGGAGGTCTTGAAGTAGATCGGAAGAACGCGTTCGTCCAATATATGTCCTCGATAGATGAAGCGCTTTGTTCTTTTCCCGCTCAAAATCAAATTTTACGTGAATAGTAGAAGCGACTGAGGATGACGATTGCGAGTCTAGTACGAATTAGTTCGACTCTTTTGATGGGGCAAAAGTGAAGTGATAGATCCACCTTCTGTTTCTCGAGTAAGTTGCGACCATGCGACATCAAATTTTCCAATGTGAATGTACATTGACGAATTGGGAACCGGGTATAATGACCTTTGTCATTGCGACGAGGAAACGCTCTTTGCGTTCAGGATAATGAACTTGACGTAGACGAGCGTCAAAGCACAGAACGTCACGGTGGGGCTGCTCCCGTTCACGTATAGGAGAGTCGTGTTCGTGTAAAGTGTTCCAAATACATAGCGTAATTCTGCCACCGCGTTCTTCCGTGTGGTGTTATTGACGGCAACGGAAATGGCAGTTCTGAAATTCAATCGGGTGGACAGAAGGCGGCAGGCGCAGGCCTTATTCGCGGCCAGTGGTTGCGGTGTGGTGTTTTGCACACCCGACCCGGGCGCCCACGTCGCGCGCCAAGAAGATTGCCGCGGAAGAGACAAGAGCAGGGGCGGAGCCGCCCCGCCCCGCACTCTCCCGCGTTGTTTGGGGTCAGGGCACGCGCGGCCTTCCATAGCAGGAGCCCGCCGCCCGCTGTGTGGCATTGCGCCACGGCCGCCCGCCCAGCAAAGGCGTGGCCCCCGGCCCACTATTTGGTCTCGTCTGGTGGCCCGCGGGCCTGCGTGTAAGTTCGCCGGCGATGGAAGTTGGCGGCGGGTGGGGCCGGCCCCCACGCATGAGCCGAACCTCTCCCGCACTCACTCCGTGTGGAGCAGCTTGCGTGGCGTTGCTCTTTCGCGGGCCCGCTGCAAATCTTTCGCGCCGGTTCCCGCCAAGCCCCCCGCCCACTCTAAGCGTGGCAGCGGGCGTCTGTGCGTGCGCAGTATGCACCCGGCCCGCCGCCGCGCGGCGGCAGGCGGGGCCTTGGGGCCCCCCCCGCTCCCCCGCCTCCCGGCGCGCCTTTTATTTGTAGCTAGGCTGCCTGCGCGGCCCGCCGCCTCCGTGCGCAGGGGCCGGGTGCCTTGTGCCTGCGCAGGCCCGCGCCTGTTATTTGTGGCCCCATTCGGTGGGGCCCGCCAGACTTCGGCGGCTGACATGAAAGGCCCCGGGCCCCCGGGGTTTATCTCTGTTCTGTTTGCACCGCTGCGCCGCCGAAAAAGACGAACTCGGGTGGCCGCGCGCCCTGCGCGTTGTTGGCGCCGCAGGCTTTTAGGCTTACTACGTACTGGCCCCCGGGCGGCGCCGGGAGTGAAGTGGGGCATGGCGCGTCGCCGCCCCCGTCTGATGTATATATTGCCGCCCGTGGCCTCGCGCAAGGTCACTGGAAATTTCTTTTTGCAATTTACCAGCAAGGGCGCGCCGTGTGGCCACAATCTGTGGCATGTCGCAGCGGATCTACCCGCCCCCGGGAGGAAAATTTGGTTTGTGGTGGTGTTCGCCGAGAAGAAGCTAGTAGAAAAACAAAATCGCTCCAGCACTTTGCTTTCTTGCTCCTGCATGCATGGACTGCTAACGCACGCCCAAACTCGGCTTCCTGCCCCTTCGGTGCCATGTGATGCGCTCTTCTTGGTTGGTTTTTCGCAGTCGTTTACGCTCTGGCACTGGCTACTTTTTGTTTTATTGCGGGCTGACTGTCATAGTCATACGAAATAAAGCATCCATCCCGAAGAGGAGGACGTTGAAAACCCCGTTTGAAGAGACTAAACTCATGGCCGCCCCCTGATCATGTCCGTATCCATTCCAACCAGCCGGCGCCTCTACTTGTGGGAAAACTCTGTTGCGTATGTTGCCTTCCTGGACTCAAATTAGTTATCCTTCTGCTACGTACTTCGAGGCAGACGTGCATGCATTTGGGCATCTCATAGGAATCACTTGTCTTTTGCACCGCGCTCGTACGCGAGCCAAGACGTCACATCGACGGGGCGTCTTTGTATCAAATGATCTGCTAAACTTCTATCTGTCTCGTTAATACCGCAAGAAAGCAGCATACGCAAGCGCAACTTTCCCTCTGCATACCTCAGAGCGCGCCATCATGGGCATGCCGTACCTGCTGCCCCGGATAACCAAGCTTCATTTCCGCACCGCGCCGGAGAACACCGTCGCGCGGGATTTTATCGACTTTTTCGTCCCGGGGCTAAAAGTCGCGCACCCAAACTCCCTAGACGTGAAATGGTTGAAAACGCCGAAGCTAGGCTCTACAATACCCTCAACATCGTCTGCGACCGCTAGTAGTGCTCCTGTCGCCGCGGGAGCTAGCAGCACCTCGCAGAAAGCGGAATCAAGTGGGAGTTCAGCCGCGGTCAAAGAAGAAGAAAAATCAACACAAACTTCTACGGTGGATGCTGGAGTGGAAGGATCTTTGTCCCCTGAGGAGCTCGCTGCTGTTGCAGCGGATGGTGGTACCAATGGAGTTTCGAGTCATGCTATACCAGACTCTGCAGCAACATCAGAAAAAGGAGTTCTTCCACCTGTAAGCACAAACACAAACGACGTAGCACCTTTGCAACACCTTGACGTTCTGGAGGTTACCTTGCAAAGTGACGAAAAAGGTGATATAGATTTGGCACACTACCAAAGCTCGCACCAGCTGATGCACAGGTTGCTGAGGTTGTGACGAAATATTAAAACGAATTGCAAGAGTACAGCTACATTCTGCCTCTGCGAAGACGGAATTTTGCTTCAGCTTTCGGCCGCGTTTGCCGGAGGTCGTGTCTTTCAACACCCAAAGACTTTTTTTGGATGTCCCCAAGATCTTTTTTTTCTGCCGAGCGAGTCACTGTCAGTGAGTTAGATAGATGGAACTTCATAGAGCAGGTCTTCGGAGAGTTTTTTGGGTGGAGCGGTCGTATGCAGCCACTAATATAATGTGTAAGTCTGTGACTGTGCAGCCTCTCATGTGAAGTTTGTCTTTTCTTCAATCACTAATGTAAGTCTACTAAGTCGGTCCCACTTCTTCCATCGCTATTTCACCGCTGATGCACAAGCCATCGGATGTAGTTATTCGGGATCAACACATAGCAACAAAGACGGTCTCTTCGTTCCTTTGCCTTGTTCGTTCACATCCTTATCTGGTTTGAACTCAACGAATAAGAATGGGCGACTTCCCCGGTGCCACCCTTCTCACGACCTGCTGCTACGGTGCGCTGGCGGCAAGTATGTGGGACTCGCACCTAAAATCGCTTTTCAACGAACTTCTCGCCGCGCCGGAGCATATTTTAGCGGTGCTCGTGTTGACGACGACGGCGATGGTTGCGTGGAAGACAATTTTCGAAAGAGAAGAGATCGTGACTGTGGGTGGAGGTGATCTTCATGCAGATGAAGTGGCGACTGCACCTTCCACACCAGCTGCAGGTGACACGACCAAGAACAAGCCAGCATCAAAGCACCCGACACGACCGACAGCAAAGTCGTCTTCAAGCAGCTACCTAAACCTTGTCGCTGGCATCTCACAACTGTACTTCAACATTTTCCTCCTCCTCCCGACCTACGGTTTAATCGTGCTTGCCACCAGTTCCCCCGAGCGCGACTCGTTGCTTGTCACGACCATCTACGCCTTGACCTTTTTCGGCCTGGTGCAGCAGCACTTCCCGGTGAAGATGGGCCTCGAGTATCCACAGTAAATTTCCCGTAAGTACACGTACAAATGCAGTCTCTGCATGACAAAACTTGCCTTCAATCCTGGTCTAGCATGACAAGTTGGACACCGCAAGTTAGCGAAAATTGTCATGCATTTTGTACATATACGGGAAATTTACATGGCATATCGAGAACCTCGCGGCCTTCGCCTGCCCGGCTTTCAGCATCCTACCGGCGAACTATGACAGTGCACAACTCCCCCTCCCCCTCATTTGTGTAGCACGAACGGCAATACAAGCATCAGCAAGAGTGCCGGTTTTGCATGACAGATTTGCGCTGGAGTATAGTGCTATTTGGGCTACCAGAACTTGTCATGCACACAGTGCCAAGAGGCAAAGGGTGGATTGGGTATTTTGCATGACAAATGAGGGGGAGGGGGAGTTGTGCACTATCATACGAACATCGCGAACTTTCTCGGGCGGACTCACGGGCACGAAAACACTGCTGCGAAAAACGACGAGAAGGTTTTGCCGGAGGAGTTGGGCAGGAAGATTTTGGAAGAGAAAAGCGCGGTTTTCGAGCGCGTTTTTAACCGATCGGAGGTGATTGGGGAAGAGAAATTGTGGCGGGAAATGGTGGACCTGCCACCCGGATCTGTTTCTGGTATGCACCAGGGAGGCTCAACTACTACAGATGGTGCCATCGGTCAGAATCAAGAACATGTCATCCGGGATTACATGAAGAAGGTGGCAGAAACCGGGCAGTTCTCCGCAAAGGATGCGAGGAAAATACAAAAAGACGTGGACGAATACTTGCAGAAAGCGTTTTTGACGAGCAGTAACACCGACGGAATGACTACGGGTAAAAATGCCTCCTCAAATAAACAGCTCCCAGACGCAGATAAGGACCTCGCGACACTCCTTCATTCCATCCCACAATTGTCGGTTGAGACGAGAGGTCCGAAGATTTTCGGATTTACCCTCTACAACCTGATTTACCCCTTTTTACTCGTGGACAGAAGGGATCGGAACTCCTGGCTCTTCATCGTGTACGGATTGTTGCTGTTCAACGTCCTCGACCGGCTGTACATGTGGTTTTTCTTGACCCTGTTCGAGCAGCGGTCCTTCCGCAGGCAGCGGTTTATGCACGACGTGACCATTGGTGTCTGCTGGCTGTACACGTTGATCGGGAAGGTTTTTCTAGGGGAACTGTTCGCGACGGGGGGAAGCGGTAGAGCTCATTTTTGTGCTGCGCTTCATACTTATGGTTCTGTATTGGATTTTGTTTCATCATGTTTCCGTGATACAGAGCGCTGCCGCTGCTGTACTACTACCAAGTATCAAAAATGAAAGAACGTCGTACTTTTCAAATTTTCTAAAAATCTAATTTCTTCCAGGCCTCACCGCTGTTTTCATCATCTGGCGTGCGTTCTACCTGGGACACCTCCTCCTCTTCGTCGGTGAGCACGTGGCGCCCATGATCTTCTTCGGATTGAGGCCCTTCGTGGTCAAAGTCGCTCGAACCGCAGCGCCACCAGCAAGAGAAACTGAAACTACGCAAGAAGAAAACGAGAAAGAAAAAAACACCAGCACTTCTGCACCCGCGTTAACCTTCCTCCAAAGCGGGTTCGGCCCAAGAAAGCAAGGCTTCCTCTCCACCGCTGATCCGGACGGCACGCTGGAGCGGATCCAAGAGGTTTACATGGTGAAGGATTGGAAGGGGAGAGCAGGAATTGTAGCCTTACCATCAAGTAGTAGCCTCGGAACAGATGAAAGTTGTGATGCGGAAACAGGAACAGAATTTAGTACCTCTTCTCCAAGCCACACCATCGCCTTCCACGGCACGTCCGTGTCTACCTGCTGGTCCATCCTCCAAAACAACAAAGAATCCGGTTTTTTCAAGCCCAAACTGGGGCAGATCGGGAAGGTCACGTACTTCGCCTCCGACATTGACGCCGCGAGTTGCTTTTCCGGCGAAGGCTGGGTGTTTGTCTGTTTGCTGAAAGCGGATCACGAATCCTGTTCATCATCCCACGTGACCGGCGTTACAACCGCGAATTTCACACCAAGATCCGAGGGCCGGGAGTGCCCGATTTACGTGTGTTACGACAACTCGAAGGTGGAGATTATTGGGATTTTGCGAATCCGGCTCTACGACGGTCCGTGGGCGCCGAAAATACGGGGGAGAAAGGAACTAACGGAGGAGTTTTTGAGGTTCGTGGCAGAAAACCAGTCGGGGTCACTTTCGCCCAGCGAAACTTGTGATGCAGAAGGTGAAGGTGAAGGTTCAAAGGAAAATACAAAGCAAACCGATGAAATCTACTACACCTCTCCGCTGGACCTGCAAACCGCGAGGGGAAAAGCGAAATTCCGCTTAGGTGTGTGGAACATTCAATTTTGGCACACGGTTCACGGGCAGCTGGACATTCAGAAAATCATCAACGAGATCAAGCTACTGGACTGCAACATTTTGGTGTTGAACGAAGCCATGCTGTTATGGCCGTACTTGACGAAACAGAACTTCGAGAAAAAAATGCGGGAGGATTGCGGCTACGAATTTTTCCTGTACGGGAACACCACAAAATGGGATTGGCACATGAAGTTGCGGGGCGCGTTTTTCGGAAACGTGATTTTGTCCAGGAGGAAGATGCAGTTTGGTGGTGATATTGATACAAACGGTCAGGAACTACCGAATTCGCCCTTCATTCTGCACATGGCAGGCGCGAGAAACTACCGGCCGCACGAGGACCGGTCCGCGGTATCGACCGGGTTTGTGAAAATCACGGAGGATTTGAATCTGCGAGTGACTGGCACGCATCTGGAAATTTGGGATTTGGAGGGAAAGGTGGCTTTGGAACAGGCGAAGCAGATCGTCGGGAGGTTGGACAAAGGGATATCAAAACCAGCAGTTTCATCAAGTAGAACGTCATCTGGAACAAGAACTTCCGATGCAGAAAAGAAGTCCACCGGAACTACATCTACAGCAACCACCCTCGACATCCTTTGTGGCGATTTGAACGCGCTGCGGGTTCTTATCAAATGCAAAAATGTCTGGGTCTGGAAGATTGCAACTTGTTAGTTGGTTGGTTGGATAGCGCCTGTCGCCGGTGCAGGTCCCGCCCTCCATCGATTGCGATCCGGAGTAGCCGGAACACAAGGCCCTAGTGGCACAATCGATCGACGAAGCCCTTTATAACCAGGTCACGGACATCCGGCTGCCGTGGAGTCATTCGCGGGCCAGGCAACGTCTAGGGGCTACGGATTAGGGATCTTGATGGGCGAGACAGGTCACAGTCATCCGCCTGCCCATCGAAGACGAGCCAGGTCACAGTCATCCAGCTGCGTTCACAGTCATCCACTGCTTGTAATGCGTATTTCAGAACACAGAAAAGTCTCTCATGCTTACCTAGCAAAAGCTCCAACTTTTTGTCAGCAAAATAGGGGACTTGTCATGCGGATTCGGCATTGCGGAAGGTTCTCGAAACCTGTGATGCTAGAGCTTCCATGCCAGACCTTCTGTGTCATGCAAAAACAGCATGACTCTTCCAGACCCAGACATTTTTACATTTGATAGCTCTTGAAAACAAGGAAAAATGCGAGTACGACGCCGACCGGCTTGCCAGATTCCCGAAGCCGTTCAACAGTAACGTGTGTGAGTTTTTGGAAAAGGGGGACACGGGGTTCCGAGACTGCTTTGATTTGTGTGATTTGCAACCGCCGAAGATGACTGTGTGGTCAACCGCGCGGGTGGATTATTATTATGTGAGGCCGGTGGTGGTCGATAGTACCAGTAGCAATGTTGACTTCGAGAACTCGTTCAAACAAAATTGGCGACCGCGAGTCTACCGGGGCGCTGCGGTGTCGGATCATTTGCCGATGTTGCTGGAATATGTTGGGACGACATGATAGATACTCAACGTGAATGTTGAAAGGTGTTGGATGCTGGCAATTGAGAATTACGATACTGATACGGCAAATCTTCGCAAAAAATCGAGGTCAAAACGACACGTAGCAGCCAATAATGAAACGATGAACGACATATGCGCACAGCCATGAAGATGTGTTGTTGTTGACAAGAGCAGAAAGACACCCATTTTCTTTTTTTGGTTTTGCTCGAATTGCATATATCATTCAACACGATCATGAAAGTGAAAAAATGTTAGCGCTTTTCATCAACAACCACTCTCAGCTATTCTGCTGAAAGGTCGGTGTATTTTTCGCTTTTCAAGTGATATTTTGCCTCTTCTTCAGCACGACCTGCGAGGCCCATTGTTTTGTTCGTTTTCAATACTGATGAAAAGTTCGGTTTTATGTCCACGTCCTCGCGGAGGACCTTTCGGTCACCGTCAGCTCGTCCGCGAAGAATTTGGTCATCGTATTCTTGCCGTACTAGCTTCTCCTAGTCCTTGCTTCGTCTGCTAACTTGTCGGTCAATGTGGAACAGCTGCCTACTGATGTCGGTCTGCTCAAATAGAACTCAAATGAAAAGAACTTTGTTCGGTTTGTTGACCACACGACAACTCATAGCGTGGTCTTGAACTTGATTTGAAATCCTCGGTAATCTTTCGCACCCCTGTTCTGCATGCAAGTATCGTCGCGGCTGCACTGATAGGGATAGGCTCGTCTGGATCTTTAGTGCAAATTATTTGCTAGCGTAGTTTTTCAATGCTTTACTTTTACTTCTGCACAGGCTAAGATATCAATCTTTGCGCCCTACGACCGAAAAAAATACTTCCGTACGACCGAAAAAACATGAAAAATCTTCATTATCATGCCCGCGCGAACTACAACTTGACTTCACTTCTGTTCATCCCCAGACTTGATTCAAAAACCAAAGCAGCGCTCTAGTATAGAAGTAGTACTAACTGCACACCAGGAGGACTTCTACTTACACACGGACCGCCATGCTTGAGCTGATTCTGGGTAGCGGCGGCGACGTCAGCTCCCCACAAGCATCCTCGAGTTCCTCTTCTTGGGGCGGATGGACGAGCAGCAGCGACGCAGCTGCTGAAACCACGGGTGTCATAGCAGCTGCTTCCTCCATCACCGCCACCACCTCCGCCGCTTCCGATTTCCTCTACTACGTGAGTTCCAATTTGCCCAAAGCCTCGTCGTCCAACAGCTTCCTCGAGCACTCACACTCTGTCGGCACCAAAGCCGAATCAGCGAGGAAATGCGAGTGCACGACGAATCTGTCTTTAACGATTCTCTTCTGCACCACCACGATTTTGCTGCTCATCATCGCGTTCGCCTACATGCTGCAAAAGCTCGAACCGAAACGACAGTTGCTCGCGACGCCGGCAACGACTTCAGTGTCCACCCCGAAGAGTGGTCAACAATCCGCAGGAGGTGGGACAAAAAGCTTATCAAATGTAAAAATGTCTGGGTCTGGAATGTTGCCGGGTTTGTCATGCATATTTTGCATGACCCAGGAACAGGATGTCTGTAATGCACGACCTAGCATCACAGATCTTTAGAAGGCCTCCTGATGCCTACTAAGCATGACAAATGCCCTCCCAGCGTAGCACAAACTAGACTCCTCTTGCTGGTCATGCAATACAGATTTTTTTAGAGTCCAAAGTTAGCATCACAAGTTCCAACCTTCCAGACCCAGACATTTTTGCACTTCATAAAGCTCGAAAGCGAACAAAACGACGATGATCGCGGGTTCAACGGCGAATTTTTCCGTAGCTGCTGTATGAATTGCAAAGGCATCGCACTCGTATATATAAATGCATTACAAATTTCCTCAGGAGCGTGAGAAATAAAATTTGTAATGCAGATTTGCCTTGGGAACAAGATTTGTAATGCAAGATTTGCATTTAATATACGAGTGCGATACTTTTGCACAGGATATGCAGGGGACAGCGACGAAACCGGAGCCGCGGGTCCGACGTTGAAGAAGAAGCAATCGACGGTGCATTTCGGAAACACGTACTTGCACAACTTTTTCTCGAGCACCGGGAGCGCGATGGGCAGTTCTTTCCAAATTGGCTCCGAATCCATTCCGTCCGACCCGAACCCGATGAAATCCGTACCCAATTACGCCCTGCAACTGGACAGTCACGGAGAGCCACTGCTGTACGACGCCGGTTTCGAAAAGTTCGCGGAAAACATGATGAAAGACCGAAAGCACAACATCCCAACCGACTACGCATCGCAAATGCCCGCCACCGCTGGACCGCACTCCACGCCGGTCTACTCAACGATGCCCGTTTCTGACGTTCGTAACAGTGTCGTCGAGAAAGCACGGCAAGAACTCGGGTCGATGGATCAACAACTGATTTCGTTTGGAGGACCGCCAGCCTGAGGAGATCTTCAGGGGAAAGCGAAAGGAACTGCACGAGGACAAACTTTGTTACGCAGTGGTATTGATTTACTTTCTCGTGGTCGTGAAGGGAGATGGAACAAAAGCACGGCTCCGTATAGCTTTAAGCTAGAACATTTGTAGATGTAGTTTCCAGCACGACCACAAGAAGTCAGCTTGCTTTTATTTCGTTTCAATTGTTCTACAGCACACTTATTACATATTTACTTTTACATGATCATGTACGCATCAAATTTTATTGTCTCGTCTCTCTATTGAAGCGAAGCCAGCGGAAGACAACATTAATACGCGACTACTGGATGTGGTTCTCGTTGCCTGTACTTATGCACCGGCCACATGATAGGTAGGGAAGAAGATGATGCACTACACGCTTTGCTGGGAGTAAGCACTGCAAGTACTTATCTGCTTTCTCGAGTTTCTATTATGCTTTTCATGTATGTAGTTTGAATCGTTTTCATATCATCAAAGTTTTAGTTTTCCGGAAAGTGTGTCAAACAATCTCAATATCAACCTCGACTAATTCTCTCATACACTACTTACTTATCGGCACGGCTACGGGGGAAGCTCAACGCTCAGGCTCACTCCGTATACAGAGGAGGCAGGTCTGGACTTCCGCGGCGTTTTTTCTGTTTTGTTTCTTGCTGGTTCTAGGTAGTAGTTCTTGATGATTACGGCTCATCAGAAAGGACGGTAATTCGGCCCTTCTGCTCTCGGTCTTGGTCGTGCAAAAGTACATCTCCACATGATAGCCCCATGGATGGCGAATAATAATTTCGGTTCCAGTCGTGCATTAAGTGGTGCTTCGAACACCAAATGCTAAACCGTGTGAGTTTATTTTTTCGTACTCTACGTCATCTATCACAACATTTGAATCGGTTGAGAGAAATCTTTGAACTTCAGAGTTCTTCGGTTTTTTGCGTTGCCCTTCCTGCATCCGCATCTCGGTGGAGCAGTGGACTCTACTTCTCGGTGCCGTACGTTGATATGGCTGCCCAGCAGCTTTATCAACATCGTTTTTGAAAAAAATCGCCGTGTCCCGGTTGCTGTCGGTGGTTCGTGCTGCAAGATGATATCATGTTTGCTTTTTCTCGTAAGAGCTCATTTTCATCTTCTCTTGAGAACAAGAAACGAGTCGAGCATGTAGTTGTAAACTCACCACTACCAACTCCACAGTGTCCATCGGCGATAAGGACGATCTCTATTTTTTGCCCAAATCCATTATTCACCTCTAAGCTTTTGACTTTTCAAACCCAAAGTAGAATCAAATGAACAATTTTTCTTTATTTCCCACTTGAATTGCGTGCACGAGTGCATTTCTTCGGGTCAGAGGAGGGACCTGCACGCAGTGCTACGCCGAGCGCATTGTAATTATCAAATCACCGCTTTCATCTTCATTCGCAGCTACGATGTTGACAAGGTTGCGAAACAATCCTCGCGGCGAACAAGAGACTGCCTCTGGGTGGTCCCCAAGAACTTCACCAACACCGAGGGCGAGGAAGATGTTGACAAGATTCCGACCTACCGCTTCTTTTGCGAAACTGCTACTCCTCACTCTCCTAGTTTGCGAGCAAGGTCCTCTGCAAGCCTTTGCGTTTTGGGACGGGTCGTTTGGGAAAGGAGTCTGGGATCAGCTGGGGCAAATGTTCTACTCCGCGAACCAAGCCGAGTCGGGATCTTCGCCATCGTCAACCTCCGCTTCCTCCTCAACAGGAGCAGGAGATCTCACAGCCTCCCCGCCGTCGGTTGAGGAGCCCCCTAAGCGGTATCGGTTGCGGGGGTCCAGGCGGAAGCACCGTTTGGCCCAAGAACAAGCTGCGGAGGAACAACGTCGACTACAAGCGGGAACACGAACAGGAACAAATCAAGCTGAAGACCAGCATGCAAGAGGAAAAGACTCAGCCACGACCTCCTTCCTAGAAAATGGAAAGGAGTCGCATGAGCAAGATTTTTCTGACGGCGCATCTTCAGTAACGACATCTGCAACTACCAGCGAGCCGGCTGCGCATCTTCACGAGGTGCAAGTCAAGGTCGCGGCTGCTCGTCCTAGCACTTTCACGCAAGGAAAAACAGAGAGTAGAAGAAGTGCTGGCACTGTCCCCGGGTCTGTGACCACGGGAGCCGGAGAGCAGAACGAGAGCAGTGGCAGCAGGCTGGGAGCGGCAAGTCCCGACGCGGGACCACGAGAAAGCGGAATTTCGGAGGGCAGGCCGCGGCCAATCTCTGAATCGACTAGTAGTACCCCGGCGGCGCCTATGGAGGTCGCACGCGGGGAAGAAATAAATCTTGACTCCGACACAACAAGAAACTACAAGGCGCTGATGAACAGCGAACCCGTTGTAGCCGCCGCCGCCCTCCAAAAACAAGATCGTGAACAGACAGTGGAGGATGGTCTTGCAACTTCTGATGCATCGACCTCCTCGGTGCCCATGGAGCGCGCTGGTGAGCGGGGACCGCACATCGCGTCCTCGCGCCCTGCTACGTTTACGCAGGGAAAGAATCGAGCCTCGGACGGACTCGTAGGCGCAGGTGATGGTGAGAGCACGGACGGTAATAAACTAAGCCGTGCAAGACAACTGGAAGTAGATGATGTCGAAAAACGCAAGACAGCGCCGAGTACCTCGTCTCACTCCGGCACAAGGAAGGAGCACGCAGAACGATCCCACAAGACGACGAGGCACAACAATAAGAGACCCGTCAAGAACTACACGACCAGTGTGCTTCAAAAAGAGTCAAGCGATGGGCCGACATCTGTCATTTCTGAAAATACACCCTCTCCACCTCCATCTGCTTTCCCGTCGACGAGAGAAGATTCCTCCATGCGTTACGAGGATGGAATTCCTGTTGCTCCCCCAGCAGACTCTTCTAGCACGAACTTCACGGAAGCGGAGCAAAGAGTGGCGTCCTCGCGAAAGAAAAATGACGAGTTTCTGGACACCTCAGCTGGCGAACGCGAACAGCAGGGGACCAACATGTCGGGCACTTCCGATGAGGCAGCCGCTTTCGTGGAAAACAACATGGCAGCGCGGAGACGAGGAGGCCGGAAACAGCTGGAAAACGGCGATGTTGCTGGCGATGATGGGGAACAACAGCAAACCTCGGGCAATGCCAATGTCTTCGGCGCTACAAGGAAAGAAATGGCTGAGCCAGAGAATGTGAATGATCCCAATTATCAAGAAAATTATCATGGACACCAGCAAAAATTGTCAAGAAAAGCAGGAGCTCATCAACATCAGCATCGCAGGAAAAAACCCTCCTCTTCTTCTAGTGCCTTTCTTGCGCAGAACCGCGTACCAGCGAAGCGAAGGGGCCGGGGAACGAAGCGAGGTGGAGGACCTGGCGCCCATCGCAACACGGCAAGAAGGAACCACCACGGTGGAGCAGGTGAGGGCGGCGTCCCTGCTGGATCTTACGCGTACGGAGCGGGAAGCAGCAGGGGCATCAACAACTACAACAGCCGCAATCAACATCTAAATCCAGATCTGTCAGCTACTTCGCTGGATGAAGACGCAGCAGGTCCAGGTGGACCCGGACAGGAGCAAGAACACGACGAGGATGCTTCTGCATTCCTCGCACCTGCTTCGAAAAGTGGCTTGTCGCCAAGAAACGCACGGGGACCTCCGGGTACTCAAGCGGACTATCGTCCAAAGCACGACGGCGCTGGAAATTTACGAGGACGACAGCGACAGCGCGCAAGCCTCGCGCAGAAGCAGCAGGAGCACACGCGACGAAGAACGCGAAGAAATCAACCTGGTTCAGCTGCTTTCCATCAATCGGAGCGCGGTTATCATTCACGACCACCAAAAGGCAACCGGCAGGGGCGACGTAAAAGCTCTGCCGCTTCTTTTTCCTTTTTGGAAAATCGACGTGTTGCAAGTATCTAAAAGAACTCGTGCGCGCTCGGCCGTCCTGCTGCTGCTACTAGCTCCGGGCTTTCATCTTCATCTCGGGGTGGAATTCATGGTTTGTATAGGGGGTGCAGCTCGAAAACGATGCATTTGCATGTAAATGCACTGCACAACTCGATCCGTGTCCACAAGTGGACACTACAATTTTCTATCTCGAGTAAAAAAAGAGTCGGCGTTCACAATTTTTCCGTAACGGATGCATGTCGTTACACTAGACTCTGGGTTTGATGTAAGGAGGCCCATTGCAGCCATTGAAGACGGGTAAGTATGCACCAAAGGTGGTATGAATACATAGTAGACATGGTTATATTTGTACCGCCCGAACAAGTTGATGAAGATGAAGTCGTTCGGTCCTCCGTCAGCACAAGCCAGCGTGACAGCAATTTTTCATCCCCATCCCGGAAACCAGGAACATGCACCAGCATTCCCACACTGCGGCGGCGACAACGGGCTTCACGGAGTTGCTTCACCACAACGAGCGGAACAACCATCGAAGCGGTCGGACCGTGCAGAATCACCGGACAAACAAGATACGGGACTGAAAAGCGGCCGTTTTCCAGCAAGACTTACTACTTGATGAGAGAAAAGAGATACGAGAAATCTGATATCGTTTCACTTATAGCTCCGCCGAGCCCGGCCGCGGCCGACTCTCGTTGCATGCAATGCAACAACTTCATTTGTGCATCTTCACTTCGTGCGAAGATTCAGCAACATCATGATCAAGCTCGTATTCAAATTTACTTATTCATTGGCTCGGCACGAAAGGACTTCATTTTGTGCATCTTGATCACCTTCCAGTCAAGAATTTCCGCAAGCTGCCTGTAGTACTGTCGAGTAGATGAGGCTTCTTTTTCAGTTTCATAATCGGCTGACTACTACCATGCGCACGGGTCGTCGCACGACCACGACCTGCATCAGTACCATCGTGGCATGGCGACGAGGGGGCGGCACGATGACTTTTCCGGTGAACCAAGAAGAGCGGCTGCTCCTAGGTACCATCATGGTCAGCACCGCAGCGCACACTTGTCGCGCTCCGTCGAAGACGAGGAAGACTCGGTCTCTCTCCACGGGGAGGAAGGTTCTTCGCACGGCGTTCCAGCTTTTTAGCTGTGATTTTTGCTATGGGCGTTTTGTTGAAATTTTGTTTTATTCATCATCCGACTAGAACTAGATTTTGTGTACACAATTTTCTTTGTCCACCCTTTGTCACCGCTTGATGCATGTTGAACATGGATGCATGGATCGGAATCGGATTCGGTCCTTGTGGCCGACTCCGAATGCACATGTTGGCAAAGATATCAGGTCAAAGTAGATGGCTCGTACGGCCACGACCGCGCGACATTGTGGTGATTTTGTCGTTAAGAGTCGCTGGTCCTGGTCCAGCGAAGGGATAAAAGTAAAACTTCTGCTCAATTGTATTCAACGTTTAGTGTCTATTTTTGCGAATTGTACCTTATGTTTAAGTTTATCATGGTTTGTTATTTTTCATGCTTACATTATTACCACTGTTTTCTATTCATTTTCATTTCCAATTAATTTCATTGCTTTCGGTATTTGGTTCCTATTTGTAGCATTCATATTTCATCATGTAAAACTAACTGAATCTTCTAATGACTTTGTTGTGTGGTATTGCCAGGCGTGTTTTTACCATGCATTTTTAATTTGCACCATAATTGACGATCGATAATTGACTTGATTGCTTTTATTTTTAATTTTGTTTACACTTAGATACTGCATTTTCACTCTGTCTGTATCACCTGCTACATTAAAAACAAGGCTACAGTTACCGCTTCACGCATACGCAAAACGTCACAAGAAAAATACTTGGAGGGCGCCACTGAGAGAATGATGCGGTATTGATGTGTGTAGTTTTTTTCATCAAAGTGCAACAGTACCTCCAGCAGCACCAAGCGGGAAAGAACGCGCGCTCAGCAAGCGCGAATGTTTGAAGTGCGAGAAGATGCTTTATTTTTGATTCTTCTCGAATTCGTTGACTTTCGCTTTCGCTCTCGGTGACGTCGTTGTAGCAGCTGCATCGGTTCATCTTTCCGTCCGCAACATTAATCTCCTAAACCTTTATCTTCTCCTCGGTTTTTTCTAAATTCTCTACTTGTACTTCGGAATGAGCTTATTGACATCTGCTCGGTTCTTCATCTCGTAGAAGTCGGTTGATGTCGTGTGTGTGTCACTGATAATTCATGTCGACGTACTATCGTTGCTTATTTCTCAAACTACGTATTAGTTACGTTTGAACAAGTCCTCGGTTGAGTTGTTGCGTTGCGATGGAGTCGGTGGCTTTCTTTTCGTAGGGCTCGCTGAAGGCGTGTGCCAGTTGGAATATCTTGAGCGTAGAGAATCTGTAGATAGAAGTTTGAAGATTGCATCTTCTACTTTGGCGATATTTCGCTTTGTTGAGCCCGTTCCTTCTAGGACAGCAGCTTCCGTATCCGTTTGAAGCATGCATGAAGAGATTGTAGTCCTAGTTGAGCATCTTCAGTTTTTTCCAATTTTCATTTTCACCGTAGTGGTCACAGGAGATAAAGACCACGCAGACACAACCAACCGATAACTATTTCACTTACATGCACTGTCGTTGTTTTTTCAGCTCAGAGTGTTTTCGTCATCCCCTCTCGAAACAAAGGAAAATTGTACTCGATTAAACTACATAGATTTGAAATATTTGTTTTCCCCCATCAATCAAGACCCAATCATGACGAGGACAACCACTGCTCCTCATCAATCAATCTCGTCCTCCCCGGCATCCACCAGCTCGATGAGGCTGCGAGCTACTGTCCGCTTTTCACTGCAGAGGAAAACTGCCTCGCACTACTCCCCCCACCGGGCACGAGTGACGAACATGCTCCTCCGCCTCCTTGCCTGCGAAGGACCGCTGCGCGCCATCGCGGTGTGGGATCGGCTGTTCGGGAAGGGAGCCTGGGATCGCGATTTGGGACACGTTTTCTCCACCAGTGAGGGAGGGGAAAGCAACGGTAATTATGCCACCGATTCCGAACCCGCACCGTCGTCGTCTCCCAACAACGCGGCGGCTGCAGCGGAGGCTGTTCTCACAAGTCCACCGCGTGTTGAGAACAAAAAGCACCGTTTGCGGGGATCGAAGCGCAGGGCAGCTTCTTCTGCCGGTAGTGGTTCATCTGGAGAAAAATCGCAAGAAGTACTAGGGAAGCAGGAACCTCCCAAAGTGGAGTACGAGCAGACGGATGGTACGAAGAGTTCCTTTATCGCTGAAAGCAAGGAAGCCGAAGCGGCTCGGGAGGATATAATTTCTGATGCATCTTCTTCTTCACCGACTCTGACCGCCGAACCGGTTACACAGAAAGCCACGATCCGGGAACCTCGTGCCTTCGCGCAACAAAACGGCGCGTATTCCGGCGGCACAGCCGGGGGAACAGATGAAACCTTGGGTGGTCCAGTACCAGAAGTAGCAGAAGAAGCATCGACTCCTTCCCCGGTGTCGACCAGCCCGGCAACGACCTCCAGCTCGTTTGCCGCTAAACGAAAGCGTCCCGATACGGCCAGAAAACTGGGGGACGAAAGCGAGACCGATCCTGTTGCGACGTCGTTTTTGTTGCAAAGTGAACAACATCATGCAGGAGCAGCAGCTTCAAATTTAATGTCGCAACTAAAAGGGGCCGCAGTTGGATTTGGAAGTGCGGTGGCTACCAAGGCTAAGGAGCTCGCTGTTGGCGCAGCGAACTCGGGCAAGAAAACAGTAGCACAGAAGCTACTTAAGGAACAAAACGCAATAAGGCGGGAATTGGAGATGCGGACTGAAATCATTGAACACCACGTCGCACCCCTCGACAGTGCACAAAGCCTTTCCACCGCTGCCAGCACGATCCGCATTCGTCGGTGTGTAATCGGCTTCGCGGCTACGATGGATTCCGAAGTAGATTAGAGGCACCCACTGCCATCGTAGATCGATGTACCTGGACAACTGGACACAGCAAAAGTGATTATTTGCAAGTTGTAGATGTTGCCTTGAAAATAGTGAGTAACAGTTCATCCACCTCTATTCGAAAACAAATAAGATGTTGATATGGCACAAGAAAGGAGATAAAGTCGTGTGCAACTCACGATATATTGGTGGACGATGGTCATGGTGCAGACGGTCGTCTGAGGGGTATCGCATATCATGCTCCAGCTCGTATGTTTTTTTTGAAGATTATATATGCAGTGTCTGGTGACTCGCATGGCTCGCTTGAGGCTGCACTGTCTCTGTCTCTTCATTTAGTATGCGGGACTTTACTTTTTTTCTAACGGTGATGAAAATACTTTTTTGACGTATTGCTGTTGTCGCGAAGCCTGACTTCTTATTGCAAAGGAACTGAAATCAGTCTTGTGTTGGCATGGGTGCGCATTTCTTCACGTGGATATACTGGTATCAAACAATCGATCATTACTTCGTGACTTTCCAACCGCCGGGTAGGGACGAGGAGACTATCGTAGTTGAGTATCACGCTGGTGGGATTGGAGTCTACGAATTCGAAAATATTACTTGGACCACAAGCGAGAACGGGTATGCGAATGTGATGAATACTCTGAAGCAAAAACTGACTCTGGAAGGGACCAAGTTGGCAAGCAGGTTCGACCTTCTTGATATGACCGAAACGAAGCTGATGATCAGGTCCAAGGTGTGCGTGGGTGGTCTGCTGGGACAGCTTGGCACTGCCTGGAAAGAAAAAGTGGTTGCGGAAGCGAAGATGCAGAAACTGGAAAAAGAAATCACTAACGCAGCCGATAAAGCAGCAGCAGAAGGTAAAGAACCGGGAGGAGCATTCGCGTCTCTGCATTTACGTGCGCAGTTAAAGTACCAAGAAATGGAGAAGACTTATGCAGAGTGGAAGTTGGAACAGCTTCGCCTCGGTACTCCAGAATTCCTAAAAGAAAAGAAGTTGCCCGGTCCTCCATCTGCCAATCCAAATCCTATTGACGAGAGGCACGGTAGATTTCGGGATCCCGAGCCGGAACCCATTGCGGGTTTCACGATAAAAGTGACAGGGCTCGACACACTTTCGAGAAGGTGAATGAATTCGCACTCAAAATCGGAGAGGTGAAGAACTTCCAACCCAATAACTATAACGCGGTACGGCGTAACTGCCAGAACTTCGTGAACGAGGTCGCGAACACTCTACGGACGCAAGACGAGCATAAGCTGGATGTGAGCCAAATCAGTAGCTGGATCACTGATGTTAGGGCGGGGGTTTTTGGTGGAAAAAAATGGGACTACGGGCTTGGCAACTCGCATTCCCAAACAGCTGGGAGCGAACTTTTTTCGAACCCAGCAAACGCAGACGATTATTTGGCTAACGTGATCAGGCCGCAGATGAAAGCAACGCTTCTGCGAACGCAGAAGACCCTACAGACTTTGGTATGCGAGTTGAAGGATGAAGGAGGAGACGCGCTTCAATCAGAATCACATCGAATGGCCTTCAGCCGGAACCAGAGCAAAATCGAGAACCTCAGTAAAAAGTCATCGCAAGCCGCACCTGCTCCCCAAGACAGTGCGATGGGGGCGACGAAGACGGAAGGTCGGCTCATGAGAGCCATGAGTGCTCTGACCTCAAGCTTTGACGCCGCACCCTCGCCCGAGAACATGCCGGAATTTGAATGTCCGGCTCCCCAGGCGATGCCAGGGACTGCTGGGCCTGCGACAGGGACCTCTTTTCTGCAGCAAAATTCGCTAGCAGACAGTAATACTAGTATGAAAACGCAGTCAACTACCTTCATCGCGCAGACCAACGAGCGATCCCTCGGGTACAACGAGATTGCAGCGCCGGCAAACAAAGGCAACAACCTTGCGCCCAAAGCTGACGGCGAGAAGGGTTCTGCGCTCGACTTTGTGCCTGCAGCCGTGCCGAAAATGGAATCGGTGCTGGAGAAGTGACGGGGAGGAGGCACTTGTACTATTTTTGCGAGTTTTATGTTCCTGTTAGACCTAGAGTAAGAGTACGTACGCCCGGGGCTATTTTTTCCAAATTTTGCTTCCAGTATCTTTCTTCTCCGCCTTGTTTTTCAGTTCTCCGCCCTGATGAAGTATTTGTAACCAGCAAGAAAGATTTTTCGTGTCTGTTTTCGCTCATTTCAAAGTGGCGCTACGGGATGTGCTTGTCTCAAGGTCAACACTAAGGAGTCGCAGCAGCGGCAATAAAAGCCGTTCATCGACGCTAGCCTGCTGAAAATAAAGAGAGTAAGTAAGTTTAATCTATTTGCATTTTTTACGAACAAACAACAACAACCATCTAAAGAACTCGCTTGAATCTGAATTTGTATTTGATGACGCCGCTGAGCTGTAGATTTCCTTTCTTCTAGTTTCCCAGTATGTATCACTGACAGACGGTTCTTGTACTTGTGCTATGTTATATTTTTTTTTCTCATCGCTACACACATTTTCCTCTGTCGCTCCTTTAACGTCAAGAAGATTTTTCACCATTTTTGTAGTGTTTGCTTTCTCCATCTTCTTCTGACATGTGTCACCCCCCTCAGCCGAAATTCGTTGACTTTCGCTGTCGGTGACGTCGTTGTAGCAGCTGCATCGGTTCTTTCCGTCCGCGAAATAAATCTCCTGAGCCTTTATCTTCTCCTCGGTTTTTTCTAAATTTTCTACTTCTACTTCGGAATGAGCTAATTGAAATCTGGTCGGTTCATTTCGTAGAAGTCGGTTGATGTCGTGTGTGTCTCATTCGTGTTTCATGTCGACGACGTATCGTTGCATTGCTTATTTTTCACACAACGTACATCGGTTGAGTTCTTGTGGTGTGATGGAGTCGGTGGCTACTTACTTTTTCGTACGGCTCGGTGAGGCAGTATGCCAGTTGGAATATCTTGAGCGTAGAACAAAATCTGTGGATAGAAGTTTGATATTGATTGCATCTTGAGCGATATTTTGCTTTGTTGAAGAATCCGTTCCGTCTAGGACATCAACATCCGTTTGAAGCATGCATCACGAGATTCTAGTCCTAGTCGAGTATTTTCAGTTTTTTCCAATTAAATTTCACCGCAGTGGTCACAGGAGATTGAGACCACGAAGACACACTCAACCGAGAATTATTTCACTATACATGTAAGTTTACATCCATTGTAGTTGTTTTTTGAGCTCTGCCTGTTTTCGTCATCCCCTCCCGAAATTATAAAGGAGCACTGTACTCGATTAAACATAGATTTGATTTCTTTTTTTGTTTTCCCCCAGCATCTTCAATCATGACGAGGACAACCTCCACTCCTCATCAATCAATCTCGTCCTCCCCGGCAACATCCACCAGCCCCATGAGACTGCGAGCTACTGTCCGCTTTTCACAGCGGAAAGTCCCCTCGCACCCCCCGCCCGCCCATCGTGCTGTGGTGACGAACATGCTCCTTGGCCTGCTCGCCTGCGATGGCCCCCTACCCGCAATCGCAGTGTGGGATCGGCTTTTCGGGAAAGGAGCGTGGGATCGGGATCTCGGGCAGGTGTTTTCCTCCACGACAAGTGGAAGCGAGGAGAAGAACACTGGAGCTGCCACGCCGTCGTTATCTCCCCGGAGCGCAGCAGCACCTGCACCGACTGAAGAAGTTCATCCCGTAGCTCCGCCTCAACACAAATACCGGCTCCGGGGTTCCAAGGCTCGCTTTGCGTCTGGCTCTGGTTCGTCTGGAGTGGCCGTGGGGGAAAATCAAGTCGGCAGCACGACCACGACGTCGAACATGGAGAAGGACTCGCAGCCCCCGCCGAGCTCCGCTCTGCAAAAGGACGAAAATAACGCCAGCGCCGATCTTTCGGATGCCGAGCCGCTCTCGCCAGGGACCACGAGCCTCGACGAGCAGCAGCAGCAGGAGGAGACAACTGCTGGTGCGACTGGTCCACGTGATGCTCACCCTTCTGGGACGACGTCAGCAAGCTCTTTCATGATCGCGCAAGAAAAAAAACAAGATCTTCACGATCCGCTCGTCTCTGGCTCAGTCGGTGAGGAGAGCATGGTGAACAGTGCGAACAAAGAGGAGGCTGTGAAAACTGAAACAGCTGCGGAGACGAGCAGCAACAAGGACGCGGCGGAAAAATCATCTTCAACGGTAGGAACAACTATTATTTTTTTACATGTCCACCTATTCCCAGTGCAGCAACCAAGTGCAATGAATTGGAAGATCCGCAACCTCAATTTTATTGATGAACGAAAGAAGATGGTGTTGATACTCTCTAGGTCCTTTTTTTACTTCTTGTTCTTGTTTACGAATGTGATACTGTCAAGAAAAAGATAAACCACACTTCTGATGCAGGTGGTTTTGAAAGAAAAAACAAACACGGCGACGGCAGCACAACCCGAACATCAAGAATCGGTGGCCACATCAACCTCACCCTCATCCGCTTCCAGTTCGTTCGTCGCGAAGAAAGGTGGTGAAGGCGACGAGGTCGAGGAGAAGAACATGAACAAAAAGCTGCCGGGGGTGACGGAGATGGAGAAGGGTACGTCGGGGACAAGTTCCTCCTTCGCTCAAATAAATCGACACCAGGTTTTGCACCACGGCCAGCGTGCTCCGCCGGCCGGCTTACCAGCAGGGCCCCTGCCACAACTACCCGTCAGCAAGAGGGCCCTAGCAAAACAAGCAGCTACCTCTGCGGCCAGGACAACTATGGAAGCACTCCGGGGCGCCAAAAACTTCGCCAAAGCGACGAGAAAGGGAGTTGTAAATTCCTCGGCGTGGAAGGGCGCAAAAGAGGTCGGCAGTGAGCTCATTGATGATCTCAAAAAAGGAGAGATACAACAAGGGATTGCAAAGGTTGGAAGAAAGGGTCTCCACGCGGCCGAAAAACAGCAAATTGCCAAGCTAAAGCGTGAAAGGGAGTGGCTGGAAAAGCGAGTGGACATACTGCGGAAGCACGTTATTGGCGTTGATGGGAAAGACAAAGAGACCACTGAAAAAGGCGAGAAGACCACGCTTTTCCGTGTCAGGAAGTGCCTCTTCGCCTCAGTAGACAGCTTCAACTTGAATGGCGTTGGCGTGGACTGGAGCTTCAATTTTGGAAGTCTTGGATGTATCATGGCAGACGAGCGCACATCCCGTGCCAGGCACACCTCCCAGCCGAGAGAGCTTCTTTAAAATTTCGTTAGTTATTTCTATACACCCTTCGGAGGTTTTTTCAAAAGCAAGCGAAATGATGTCTGCCACTTCTCCTTTGCATGGATGCATGAACAATTCGAGCACAGACCACCAGCTCATTGGGGATTCTTGCCACTGTGGTCGACAGTGCAGCTCCGCGAAAACAAAACACAACGAAAGAAGCTGCCTAATTGCGGCTTGAGGTGTGCTAGCACACCATCTTTCTCCTCCATACAAATTGGGATACCAATAGAGCACTACTACGTTACCTTCGAACTACCGGACCAACAGCAACACGAACCCAAGGAGATTGTTGTAGAATATGGAGGCGGGATCGAAGGGACGGAAACTGGTGTTAATGTTTACGAGGAGGGGGACTATCCGAAGGAAATGGTCGACCCCACAACAAAGCAGGTTCTGAAAGAACTAGGATTCGACGAGGCCCGCAGCGGAAGAATGAAGTCCAAGGTTTGTTTGCAAGTGCTTGAGACAGCTCTGAAGGCTGCCACGAAATGGAGTATCGCGGATAAAAAATTGCGGAGCGCAGGACCGAGACTTGGAATGGTTATGGAAGATGGAGGCAAGGAGCTCGTCAAAGCCCAAAGGCAGGTGACTGACGCAAAAACTCTAATACAGAAGCTCAATCTGAAAAAACCCGAGGGCCAAGAACCTTCGGACAACTTTGTGCTACAACTACGAGGGTTCAAAGACGTGCACGATGTGACGAAATTCGCGGACGATGTTGCCAGAGGGAAAGGCTTCACTAGGGAAGGTTACAGTGCGTTCCAGCCCTACGGGTACAACTGCCAAACGTTTGCCAATGATATCACCAACGTGGTGCTATGGGTCGCAAACTAAGTATGTCTGAGTGGAGGTCCGTCTCCGTGTCTGCAATTTGAGGCGTCTGGGTGCTGCTCTTTTGATGCTTCTGCCTGGAGTTCGAGTTATTCTTATTTTGATTTTCATATACAGTCGTGTGGAAAGCGAAAGATGAAATAAACGCGTACGCGATTCGACTCACCATTTTGCTTAGCGCCGACCAAGCAATAAAAAGTTCGTACTTATCATGATGCCCATAATAATGGTGAAAAATGTATGTATAACATTATTGTCGCAGTCGCTTATTGTTTTAGTAAAGCACTTCTTTTTGTTTCTCCTCCCAGACCCAGACATGTCTTCCTTTCAATAGCCCCGGACGCAAGAAAAGAAGGTGAATTTCAGAGCGCACTCCCGCCGGTTAACTGGTCAGTCGCCAGGCGGCTTGGGTGCTAAGACATTTTCGAATCTGGACAATGCAGAAGCGTACATAAGCGAGAAGCTGCTGCCCGATATTCGCGAAAAGCTCGTGACGGAGCAGAAGCTGTTGCATCGTCTGGTGTGCTCGTTGAAGAAGCTGGCAGCCAAAGACAGACACAATGATGAAGACCGAAAAAAAGAGACCGCAAGCGATATCGCACAGTACACAGCCCAATTCGAGCAAAATCGAAGTAAGTTGAAGCAGTATTTAGACTTACTGCCGGAAGAAGAAAAGCAAGGAAGTGGGAAGGACAACACTCCTAAGGCTCGGAAACGCACGAGGATGACGAATTTTCTTTTGGGCAGAACACTTGGCTCCGGCTTGGATGAAAAGACCCGCGAACAAATTAGTACAGGAGCTGGCGCGGCTACCATTGTTTGCAACGAGGAAGAAGGTGGCGGTCAGCAAAAGGACGAAAAATAATTGCAAGATGGAGGCCTTAAAGCACTCGACTTTGTGCCTGCAGCCGTGCCGAAAGCGGAATCGGCGCTGGGGAAGTGACGGTGGGGAGGAACAATTTGTATATGTGCGTTTTAATTATCTTTACTGTTTCTGTTAACGCTACGTAGGCGAGGTAAGTACACTCTCTCATGTGAAGACTTTTTTTTCAAATTTTTGTTTTCAGCATCTCGCTTCTCCGCTTTCTTTTTTTTGTTGTCCGCTCTGATGAAACATTTGCAACCGCCGGCAAAGATTTTTCGTATCTGTTATCACTCCTCGACCTCGGATATGATGTACTCGCTTTCATCGCTACTCATTGACTAACTGTAAATGATGTACTTGTCCCAAGCTCAACACTAAGGGCAATAAACAGCAGCTGCAATAGCCCTCATTGACGCCTCCAGCCTGCTGAAAAAAATAAAGAAGCTATTACTTTCATCTGAAATATCTAACGAGCACGAGCTGACATTGAGATTTTGACTTTCATTCACGGCAGCTTTCTTTTCTTCAAACGTTTTTTGCTGTATTCTAGTTTATGACTTCATCTGCATTTTCTTCACCACAATCTATCACTTATAAGCGCGTGCTATACATATAAAGCACATCAGATGTGCTTGTTACTGACCTTGTAGGGCCATACCGATTTGCATTTTTTACAACAAACAACGACGACCTGCCAAAGAACTCGCTCGAATCTGAATTTGATGACGCCGTTGAGCTGTATTACCTTTTTTTACCATTTTTACCAGTATCTATCAACATAATTGACTGACAGTTCTTGCACTTTTGTTTTTTCTCATCTTTTGCCTCATATCGCTATACAGAGTTTCCTCTGTCGCTTCTCTATGTAACATCAATATTTTTCACCATTTTTTTTTGAGTCTTTGTGTTTGCTTTCTCCATCTCCTGCTATTCTGTGTCCACCCCCGCCTTTCCCGAAATAAGTCTCAAATATCGAATTATCAATCACAATGGTCTACTACTCTTCAAGAAAAAAACAAAAGAACAAGTAGAAGCCGGCTCTCCTGCTGGGTCCGCTTCGCAGGGCTGAGCTTGAGCTAGAGCATAGCGAAACGAAATAGTTCACAGGAACAAACCTGCTGCAGCTTTTGAAAGATTAGTAGAAGTAGTCCACACGCTGTGAAAAAACGCGCTATTGCTATTGGTATCGACCTTCAAGCGCGGTTCGCTACTGCAGCATCTTTGTTTCTCGCCCGGGCTGTCGATGCTGAAGACCATTCCGCTGTGAAGGTCTTCGACTGTCGATAAATAAATGCTGCAGCACAGCCAATATTAAATACTTCTATAATTCTTCGGTCCTCATGGTAGAGCGCGAGCGCTTTCGGTCCTCGTTCTGACAGTCTAATTGCCGTCTGTCGCACCATCACGACAGAAGCAGGAAGTTATCGGTCGTGATCGTCGTGTTTCTATCGGTCACATGGACAACATGATTCTTGAATGCATCCTCTACTCAGGAGCAGTTTTTACATTTTCTCGACGGTCAACAACATCCGTTACTTTGCGAGTATTCATATTCCAGTACTATCGGTTCTTTGCTACTTCTGGTTTCAGACATTGAAAAGCTTTTTCGGTTTTATGTACGCGGTCAATTTGTCGTTTTCCTTGTCGGTGTCGTCGTGGTTGGCATTTTTTAACATCTGAATTATTTTCGGGACAAAGCCAGTGCCAATGCATCACGTCGAATTGTTTGTTAATATAATTCTTAACAAATCAAGATTGTGATTGCTCACATCGTTTGCGGAGAAGAAAAAATAACAGTGACATCAAGCAGAACTCGATGGACCGGGACTCGCCCATTTCGGTTTAGTCTTGAAAAGCTGAAAACTTGAATTTTTTTTGTTTTCCCCAATCAAAAATCAAGAATCAATCATGACGAGGCCAACGACTCCTCATCAGTCAATCTCCTCGCCAGGACGAGCATCTTCTACCAGCTCGATGAGTAGACTGCGAGCTAGTACTGTCCGGTTTTCACAGAGGAAAGCCCCGTCGCAGCCCCCGTCCGCTCATCCTCGTGCGGTGGTGACGAACATGCTTCTCGGCCTGCTTGCCTGCGATGGCCCTCTACCCGCAATCGCGGTGTGGGATCGGCTTTTCGGGAAAGGAGCGTGGGATCGGGATCTCGGGCAAGCATTTTCCTCCACGACGAGTGGAAGTGGGGAGAAGAATTCTGAAGCTTCCATATCAATAAAACGAAAAATCCCCCCTCCCCATATCAAAAAGGAAATTTGTGATGCTGATTTGTGACCACAAATCTACTTGTATTGCTAGAAGGCCAAAAGACGCGGCTGTTTCTTCGTTCGCAGGAAATTTGTCATGCTGTTTCCCCTTTCCAGTTGCTTCCTGTCATGCTGAAGACGCAAAGCTTTCCCACCCCAGCCAGCACTGTCAGTGCTGGCTGGGGGAAGAGATGCAGACTTCAGTCTGAAGTCTGCATCTCTTCCCTTCTAGCATGACAACGCGATTTGTGATCACAAATCATGCTATACAAATCTCCCTTTGAGTATGGGGTGGGGGGATTTTTCATGGTAATATTCCACACCAGCAACTCCAGCGTCGTTGTCTCCCCGAGGCGCAGCTGCACCTACTGAACTTCATCCCGGCGCCTCGCCTCAACACAAAGCAGGTAGTTCCAAGGGCCGGTGGATCATGGGGCAGGCTGGTTCATCTGCAGCGGCTCCTGAAGGGAAAAATCATCTCGGCGGCAGCACGACGGAGCCGCTGGCGCTGCCGGGCTCCGTTCTCCAAAACACGGACGAACATAACGCGAGCGCCGACCTTAACCTTTCTGATATTACCGATGCGCTTGTTTCGCCAGGAACCACGAGCCTGGAGGACGGGGAGCAGGACGTTGATCAAGAGGAGGCGACTGGTGTGATTGGTTCTCGCGAGCAGGATGCTGCGTCTGGAACGACGTCCGCGAGCTCCACTTTCATCGAGCAAGAAAAACAACAAGAAGGCCGCCAAGTACTAGAGGACCCGCTGGTCTCTGGCTCAGTCGGTGAGGACGAGAGCATGGCGGACAATGCGAACAAAGCGCAGGCTGTCAAAACTGAAACAGCTGCGGAGGCGAGCAGCAACAAGGACGCGGCGGCAAAATCTTCACCGGTAGGCACTACTTACTTAAGTATTTCCAATGTTCTTAATTTGCCAGTGCAGCATGTGCAATTGGAGAACTTCAATTTTATTCAGGAACGAAAGATAGTTGTACGACTGATCATCATGATACCAACGAACAAAGACTAAGACACATAAACTTCTCATCCCTATGCAGGTGGTGCTGCAGGAGAAAAAGCACGTCACTGGCGGTGTTCCGGACCAGAAAGCTTTGTCGGAGACCACAAACACAACCACGCTTTTGGACATTTTTCCGCGCTCCTCCATGCAATGGGCAACTAGCCGCGCCGCGCAGGCACTGGGTCGCGCAAAAGAAGCTTATGGTCGAATGAGGGAAAACGCAGAGCAACGCCGCTTCCAGAACAAGGAAAAGCAGCTCCAGTATTTGGAACTTAGGAAAAAAATCCTTGAGAGTCACGTGATTCCCCTGCTGGAGCTTGATGCACCGGGAGGTGCGGGGAATTCTACTGAATCACCTCAGCCCGCCCCTGTGCAACCGATGGGTATGACCACGACGAAAATCCGTATTCGTCGTTGTCTCATGGCTTCCATTGCGGGAGTTACGAAGATGAAAGCTCATCGGCGACAGCACCCACTTTCGCCATGATTCAAAGCAATGTTTTCAGTAGACAGTCTGCTGTTCTCAACCTGATGATATGTTACGTGCATAGACCTAGTAGACGTAGACCACTGACTTTCGGCTTTTTCTTGTCATAGTGGTACCGGCAGGGCCGTGGAATCAATTTCGAGAGTTTCAAGTCTATTTTCCCATCTTAGTGAGCGAGCAGGATGACTGGTTGTTTTTAGATTAGATGCGACCGCCTCTCTGTCTCTGAGCTATTTGTTCCATCTTCCCGCACTTTCAAAGCGAGGCGGGACGCTGCACATCGAAAGGGGCCATTATCTTTACACAGTACTGTAGAAAGTGGCAGGCCGCAACACCGTGGCTCGTGGGAGTGTCGCGCTCGGGCTCGGGCCTCAGAAAGTAAATAGACGGAGTTGAGAGTAGATGAGGTTTCTTGATAAACGAGCACTATCCTCGCATCCAGAAGCTCTGTTGCGAGTCAGTGCGTGACTTGCATGTGCGAAAGTGGGCGCATTTTTGTCACATTGATACAGATACCGATCGAGCACTACTTCGTCACTTTTCGACTACCGGGGGCAACTGCAGATATCGTAGTCGAATATAATGCGGGCGGTGGCCCGGAAATTTACTCTGAATCATCTGAAACAGAAATACTCTGGGAAGACGACTTCCGCTTTTTCGCAGCTATGTATCATGACGGGTTTGTGGCAACAGGCTTAGCAACTGGCGAACCGGAAACCGAAGAAGATGATAAATCCCTCTACACTAACCTCGTCGGGGGAAGTGTTCCGAAGATGTTGTCGAGAAACTACACATACTGGGGGGGGATGACACTGCGGATACCGGACCCAGTTCCGTCGCCCATGAAGTCACTTGTTTGCTTCAAGGTGCTGTCTTTGTTCGGGAAAAACTGGAAAAAAAAACTCGACTTAGAAGAAACGATTGAAGAAGCGACGAAGGAGGAGGAAGAGATTGGGAAAAAACTGGAAAGTGTAAGTAAACAGGGCCTGCTGCAAAGCCTAACAAGAAAAGCTTCTCTCCTGAGACAAAGAGGCGCGGCAATCGCAAGGAGGAAGTTGGCAGAAATAAAGTTGCAGAGCACGACTAAGTTGTTGGAAAAGACTCGCCTCGGAACGCCGAAGTTCTTGCGTGATCACAACCTGCCCGGACCTTCGAATCCTGATCCCGCACTCAAAAATCGAGATCCCGAAGAGGAGCCTATGCCGGATTTTGAGATACAGGCGAAGGGATTTACATCCCTGGAGGATGTGAGGAAGCTCGCTCTCGAGGTCGCCGATGCAATTGGCTTCGATCACACGAACTACAGTGCCCTCGCACCCGGTGGAAATAATTGCCAAACTTTCGTCAACAAGCTGCTCGAGGCCTTTTCAACGCAAGACCAGAAGGTGGTGAATGTGAGTGTGATATCAAAGTGAAAAAAGCCCCCGCCCCATATCAAAACGAAGTTTCTGATGCTGGATTTGTGTACACAAATCAGATTTGTCTTGCTGGCGAGGACTGCAGGCCCATATCAAGCCTGAGTAGACAGGTTTTGGCCTAGGCGCTTCGCATGATAGACGTCTACGCTGTAGGTGCAACAGCATGACAAACCGCCTAAAGAATGCGGCGGAGCCTGTGGAGTTGCCTTCATACAACACAGAGACGATTCGTGATCACAAATCAGCAACGCAAATTTTCAAAAACGTGCCTCGTCAATATGGGGAGGGGGGATTTTTCCTTTTGATATGTGAAATCGCGCTGGTGGACGAATCTGACAGGTCGGAGCGTTGGGAACTCCGCCACAGAGTTTTCGAATCCGAAAAATGGAAAAACTTACATCGAGCAAACGTTAGAGCCCAAAATGCAGCAGACGCGGTTTGAAGAACAGCCGATGCTGTTCCGTCTGGTGTGCTCGTTGGAGAAGAAACCTCAGCGCGAACGCACAGAAGAGGATATCACAGGATAAAAGTGCTGTAACAGTTACACATTTGTAGTTGGACTTCCTGCATCACAAAGTTCTTGCTCGGCATGCCAAAGAAAACCTGTGAAGTAGATGAGCAGAGGACTATAAGGGAAAACACGCATCATGAAATGAGGTTGGCAAGCATTATTTTCTGGTCTTCCATGACAGAGGTGGTCTGTCTTACTTGTCCTCTCCTATCAGAGTGTGTAACCGTATTACGCTTTTTTCTCACGATAGAGGACCTTCGCAAAATACAATCATACAGAGACAAGTTCATTCGGAATTTCCAGGGACTCTATGGCAAAGGCGGGGCGGGTATGGATCACCCAAGAGTGCCGCACCTCGTCCATCGTTCACTCTCAGCCACATCAGTGACTGGGCACTCGGAAACCGAATATGGGAGAGTCAGGATTGAAATTGTCAGAGTTGATGTTGATAGTTTGCCATGCATAAAATGCAGCCCACAAAGAAAGTGCCTGTGTTCCAGAGTAGGCAAGTGAGGCAAATTGCAAGCCTGTTGAGGGGTAGAAAAAGAAACTGAGCTGCTCAAGTAGCATGACAAAAGGCGTCGCCCTTACCCAAACACCATGGCAACCTGGATTTCGGTTCTACCCAAATTTGTAGTTGGGAGTGCCAGGTCCGTAGGGCCCGGGGAGGCGGCGTCTTCGGGTTGATCAATTCACCTGATACGCAATGTCTCGCCCGCAGTAGCACAGTCTGTTTATGTCATGCGCCACTTGGAAACTGGGTCACAACTTTAATCCATTTTATGCATTGCAAGTTATTTCACGTTTGTCGATTTCAATCCTGGCACACCCATACCGAAGCCGCGAAAGGTAAAAACTGGCTCCCGGTGCTTAGGCTGTCGGTATCGGAAAAACATCTTCAGCAGATGGAAAATGGAATCGACTGTAGTGGTGGGAAATAATGGCAAGAGAGGGAATCAGACCTAGTAAACGGAAGCAGACTAATGGAATCAGACTACAAGTGGAACCGGTTTCGGTATAGTGGAATCAGAATAATGAGTAGAATCAAGATACTAGAGTCAAGCTTATGGATAGAATCAGGAGAGGCGGATTCTGAATGCGTCGACGAATGTGGTGGCCGCGAATTCTCTATCGTATGCATTCGAGACGCCCTCTCCCTGCAGGCATCGCCTTGGCCCATCATGTTTTGCAGTTCCGCCTGGTCCTCGCGTTGGTCCCCTCGCAACTTCGCCCACAGTCCTTGCGTGTTGTGCGTTGCGATTTTACTTTGGGACTTGGTTTGTGTGTTGGGTATGTATGTCTGCGTAGCTTTTTCTGTTCGCTCCTCAGCGTACTTCATGCGCGACCACATTAAGACACGCGCCAGGAGTTTGCTGCTGGCGATCCCGTTTGACAGGGTGAAACCTGAAGGAGTCAAAAAAAAGCTCTCAGCGCTTAGAGAAATAGTTGCCAACTATAGAAAAGAGAAACTAGAACTGCTTCTATCTACTGCCCTCGGCCTACTACTTCTCTTTGCTCCTGCTTCGCTGCGTTGCTTCAAGGTTGCAATAGGAAAGTGCGCAAAAGCGCGATGTTTTGCGGCGGCGGAATTGTTGGACTTAGCCGAAGTGCCGTTTTCTTTTGTGATTTTTGATGAAAAACAGGGGCAGGACTCTCGCAAATTTTTAAGAATCGGCCTCATTTTTTGCGTTTTTCTTTGGCGATATCCGGTCGAGGCAGGCCGAGGGCGATGGCAGACGCCTCCTCACAGCAGCGCAGACGTGTGCCGCGCGTGCTTGCAGCTCGCTGCCGACCATTCGCCCGCCCAGGCGCGTCTGTTGGCCCCTTGCTCTGTAATGGCGCGCAGAAGCGCGGCGCTATATATTTGTATGTGCCGCGGCCGCCGCGTTCGATGCTTTCCATCCCGCCCTGCCTGTCCTGGTCTGTCCCAACCCTCGCGCCCCGCCCCGGCTGCGATTTGGGCCTGCGCCCAAGGCCTTGCGCACCGACTGACCAGGCGGCCCCCCCGCGGCCCGTTCGGTGGCCCGCCTAGAAAGTTGCGCAGGTAAATCGCCGCACGGGCCAGGGCCGAGCGACCGTCGGTGCTTCGATTTTTGGGTGGGGCGACTCCACTCGCGTTTCAAGTGTTTGGGGCCGCAGTGGCGCAGATGTTTCGGCTGGGATTGCCCTGCGCCGGCTCCCAGGCACCGTCTCCCGACATAGGGGCAGCCAGTCTCCCGAGGGCGCTCGCAGCCATCTGCATGTCGCAGCAGGGCGGCTCCCGTAGGCTAGCGACCTGCCGCCACCGATGCCTAGGGGCGGGGCTTGCCGGCGGCGAGGCCGTCTTCCCGGTCCTTGTCCACCTGTGAGCAGCGCCTCCCGGCACGGGCGATGGCACCTCGCACGGCCCAGGTTCTTTGCCTATGGGAGGCACCCACCCCCCCTTTCTGTTTCTCATACTCGCGCAGGGGAGTATGAAAGATGTCGAGGCGTGTGTGGGGGGGGGAACGAAGGCACGCACATGGGAACGAAGACACGCCCATGCGAAAATAATAATAAGAACTGCGGCGCTATAGCCCTCATCACTACGACCTGGACCTGCTGAAAATCAAGAAGCTGAAATATGTATACGATCACGAACGGACGTTTTATTATTTTTGGCTTCACTGACAACAACGCTCTTTCAAAAAAAAAATCTGTATCTCTCAATACTTCATCTTCATTTCTATTTAAATTTATCTGAGAGGTCGAAAAAGGGAATTCGATAACGTCGAACAGAATACATTCATCATATTTGAATTTATCGCGCTATGCAGATTATATAGCACTTACAGCTTGGATGGCCATTAGATTTCTCTGCGGACGGTGAATTTCAAGTGATTTTAGGGGTCTGCAAGAATTTGGCAAGTGGTTCTGCGAATATTTCCTCCCGGAAGTATCGACATCCACCCGACGGGCAAGCCGTAGGGACTTAAATTCCAACAGGCTTCCGGTTGTGGCGGAATTTTTCAAGCAAAAAAAACAAGCGGGATGGGGCGCCGCAGTGTCTAGCTGCATTGTCAGCGCCCTACCCCTAGGCTGATGAGTTGCGAAGTAGCTTCGCGTGGTTCTTTCGGTTTTCTGAGTGCTTCGGGTGGTTGGTCGGGTTCGGGGGTCTGGATCTTCCAGATGCCTTCTGCTTCGGCAAATCTATCATAGAAGTTCAATGCCTCGCGCGACCTTGTGACGTCTTTGGATTTTGCTGCTTTCGTATTTGTGCGCGACTGCGCCAAAGGTTCGGCATTTTCTGAAGCAAATGCGCGGCAGTCGTTTTGGATTTGGTTTTCCGGCTCCGGTGAATTTAGAAACGAAAGGCAAAACGCATGCTGGTTTTTGGATGGTCTGCCTGGAATCCAGAATCAGTTCGGTGAAACCTAAACTCATCGGGCGCCCGCGATTTCCTAAATTCAGCGGCATCCCGTTTTTAAATTCACCGCCAAGCTCACCGGTCGCAGCATACCATCGAGAACGGGGGTCCTTTTAAGCGGGTTTTTGGCGCCAAACAGCATGGCGCTACGCATCGATGATTTTTCACGAAAGAATCATCATCGCCATAGCATGACGGTGATTGGCTTTCAAAGCCAGCCCTTTCCCGATGGTATTGCTGTTTTCCATTTGTTTTTCTTGCCCAAAATTGAGACGCTGAAGCTGGGCGGTGAAGTTGAATTCTTCAAAGTCATGATGCCACCAAACGACCCAAATTCAACAAAAGAGAACAAGAAAAGTTGGGGCCTGCCAAGGGTGTTGCGCGGCGAGGATTTTCATCCACGCGGAGCGATCCACGCCGGGGAGCACAACGGGCGGCCAGGCAGCCAGGCCCTGGCAAATTTCGATGATTAGAATCGGCATCAAAATAAAAGCAGTAATCTCAAAGCGCGCGGACTTTTTGGCCTGGGTCCTTTTTCTTGGTCTGCCCGGGCGCTTTTGTTTTCGGTAACCCGGAAAGGCGCCCCGGCCTCGGTTTCCCCGGGGGAGGTGGTGCGCTCGGTGTTCGTGTTTTTGGCCCCCCGTCCACCGGGTCCTTTGTATATTTTCCCCTATTTTCCCAGCATGGGCGCCGCTTCGTGTGTTGTCCAACAGAAGGAGCGCCGCTTTCGCGGCCCAACTCCCTCTCGGGCCGCCTTGCTCCTTTTCGAGTTGTTCTGCCGCCTGGTTGTCTTATGGGCGGCGCTTGGGGTGGTTGTTCTCTCCCTTTGGCTTGGCGGGGGCGTGCAGCCTTATCGGGGTTCTCTTGCCGGTCGTTCATGTGCAGGGCCCCGAGTCTTCGCTCCGCGAGTTTCCGCCCGGATTGCAGAGCTTGTCGTCCGCCAGCGTCCCACCTTTTCCGGATTAATCCCTCCGCGACCATCCGCGGAGGATGGTCGCGGATTAGTGATCGCATTAATTGGCGCAATAATTTGTGCAATAAAATTGCACTAATTTACTTCATAGGCGTTTTCGGGAAGGAAGCGCCTTGGAAGCAAATTAATGCAAATTTTAATGCAAAACTAAACCGCCAATTAAACAAAAATTAGAAATGAACTAAACCACTAACCACACCGGAGACCCAAGCTGGAGAAAGCAGAAAAGGCTGCAACTTTTTGGGGGTGGGTTGGGCGAGATCCGGGGGGCCCGGGGCTTTTGGTTTTGGGCGCCGTTTTTGCGATCTAGGTTTTTTCGGCGCAGCCCGCCGGGCCCTTGCGTTGTCTCCTCTTGATCCTTGGCGGATTTTGCTTCTGATTCCCGGTTGGCGTTGTGCCAGCGCCGTTCCCAGTGTTGCCTATATTTGCCCGGGCCATTGGGGCCTCCTCGCTCCATCCATTCCGCTTCGGTCCCCGGTTCCGCTTCGCGATCTGGCGCAGAAGGCAGGGGCGCGATGGGGTCGGGGGTAGCCGGCCCCGGTTGTCCTCGCGCGGCCCTGGCCACTTCCTGCGTTCGCCCCCTGGCTGTGTTGGCCGTGTGCCGTGTCTATCCTCTAGGCTTTCCCGCCGTCGCTTTTGCGTATTCCCCTGCCCGCCTTTCTGCTTTTACGTTAATGCTTTTTTACGCCAGTTTCAAACTGGGTAGCTTGCCCGGGGCCGGCAGCCTGAGGGCGGGGCGACTTCTGTTTATTTTTGCCCCCCATTTCGCAGACCACGACTACCCTAAAAGACAAATGGCGACACAGGACCGCCGTCAAAAATCACTGCAAACTCGCCGGCCTTAAAACTAATGGGCGTCCAAGCTCTAATATAGCACGTCTTGATCTTGCTCCTAGCCTTGCGGGGCCCTACCTACAATTTGCATTGAGTGCCAAAGATCATTGATGTTTGGCACACTTGCTTCGGGAAAGGAGCGCAGTTTTGTCTAGTAGAGACACGATTTGTCATCAAATCAGTTGCTCTTCAAAAGAAATGGTAAAAAGCGAGCTGGTTCTCCTACTGGGTTCGCTTCACAGCTGAGCTTGAGCTAGAGCAAAGCGCCACAAAATATTTCGCAGGGATTAGAGGACGGTCACAAACCTAATCCGTACTAGGTCCGCGCCGGACTTATGGACCACCCGGCCGGGTGGTCCTTAGGTCCGGCGCCCCAAAAGTTATTTTCTGCCGTCAAAGTGGGACTCAGCTGCTGCAGCTCGTGTAGTTATGTAAAGAAAGCCTGCAGCTGTTGCTTGTGCTTTCGTACAGGCGTGGAAACCTGCTGCTGCCTGTGAAATATTAGCAAAAGTCCACAGGTGAAAGAAGAAAAACCCGCTGATATCAGCATCCACGTACGAGCGTGGTTCGCTACTGCAGCATCTTTGATTTTTGCTTGGACTGGCGGTGGCACTAGTTGTCGTCGATGTTGAAGACCATAATTCCGTTGTGATCTCTAACTGCCGAAGCCGATAAAAATGTAGCACAGGAGCAGCTGCTGGTCGTGCTTGTATTCCTGTTTATTCTTGTTCGGTCCTCGTGGTGTTAGAGCTCGAGCATTTTCGGTCGTCGTTCTGATAGTCACCCGCCACTGCATGTATTTCGCACATGAAAGAAGGAGGACGGTATCGGTCGCGGTCGTCGTGTTTCTGTGACAACGTGATTCTTGAGCGCGTCCTCTACTCAGGAGCAGTTTTTACATTTTCTCGGTGGTCGGTCAACAACATTACATCCGTTGCTTTGCGAGTATTCTTTCATATTTCAGTACTATCGGTTCTTTGCTACTTCTGGTTTCAGACATTGAAAAGCTTTTTCGGTTGTAGGTACGCGGTCGAGTTGTCGCGTACTTGGTGTCTTCGTGGATGGCATTTTTTTACATCTGAATTGTTTTCGGGACAAAGCCAGTGCCAGTGCATCACGTCGAAGTGTCTGTCAATTCTTATACAAATCAAGACTGCTCACACTATTTGCGAAGAAGAAAAAAAAACAGTGACATTACGCAGAAGTCGATGGACCGTGACCCACCTCCCAGTTAGGTTGCGAAGTCTTGAAAAGCAGCTCGCTGTACTCTACTTGAGCCACACCCGGTTCAGGGCACGACACGCGTAGCTGTTGCGCTTCTCCTCACACGGTCTATTTTCTGGGATTGTCAACTAATATGTGAATGTGCTGAAGATTTTCATACTTCTTGATATTAAACCTTCCGATGAGTTGTTGTACTTCCGTTACTCCTTTTATTTGGTTTTTAAGCAGTAGCAGAACAAATTTCACTCTCGTTCTTGCGCAAATCTGAATGAAAGCTGACGTCGCTGGAAACATGGCAGAAGAAGTGGACACCTCCGGGCAGGTATCCCGAGATGTTGGAGAATCACATCACTTGCATCATATTTATTTACCCTGAATTTGTATGTATGTGACTACACAACACGTTGTTGAATTCCAAAACTTTTTGCATTCTCAAGTATAATTTTCATGAAATGTGCGCCTGCGTGTGCAACCACATGCATCCTCTTCCACCTCAGTGCAGTCATTACATGCAAGTTGAGCAAAGAAAGCAAAGTTCTTGTGGTGATTTTCCACACCATAAACACCGCTGGAAGTTGCCGAAATAAACCAGCACAACTCCCACCCAGCAGCAACTACAGACGTTGATTCCCATTCCCCCCACACAACGCCCGGCTCCTCCGTAAGCTCCGCGGCCTACCACTCGCCTACTACAATGAAAAATGCCCCCACCCCCGAACTTGGGAGATTTGTGTTGCAAACCTTTCCAAATGAAACACTCGCCCTCTTCCATCTACCAGCATCGCAGGTTTCGAATCGTGAATAGCAAAAATTTGTAGTGCAAAAGACCCCAGCAAGAGCGGCGCTTGTCATGTAATCGCTGCGATACACGCCTAGACTCTGCATCAGAAAGATTCATACTCCTTTCATGCATGACAAAAAGTTTCCATTTGGAAACTTCGCGTCACAAATTTTTGCAACTTTGGGGGTGGGGGCATTTTTCACTGCAATATCGCCCGTGCAGCATTTCCTGGAGACCACGGCAAACACGGCATCGAACTTTTTCGAGCAATACGTCCGTCCGCGCAAGCTGAAGTTCAACACCTCCCCGAAACAATTCCTGCAGGTCCGCAGCAATCAGCAGCCGCAGCCGAGGAGACGAGGTTCAGCTGCAGGAGCACCGAATGCACCTAACGACGACGACGAAAACATCGCCTTGCAGCAGCAGCAAGCCGCCCACGCAGGACAAGAGGTCCACGGCGGAGTTCTTCTCGATCACGGCGACGACCAAGATCATGATGGTGATCCGCAAGAACAAACGCAAAATGATCCTCGCGCCGCTGCTTCTGCCCCCGCTGACGAGAATTTTGCCAGAGATGACGAGCAACCAGAAAGGACTTTTTCCTATCGCCACGGCACGTCACCCCTCGTCACCTCTTCCGTTTCCACCAGGGTCGCGGACTTGCTTCCAAACGGGGGGAACAACTGGGACAAATGCAGCTGCTCCACCGACGTGGGGCTGACGATTTTGGTGTGCGTGGTGGGGTTTCTTGGCATTTATCCTGAGTAAAAACGTACCCACACCAGAGTTGTAATGCAGATTTGCAAAGACTGGAAGACTTGTAATGCGCATCCCCATGAGAGCCATTTCCAATCGTGTTTTGGAATTTGTGATGCTGTGAACAGGATGAGCAGACGAATCTGTGGCGCGGCTGCACTTGCTAACCTGCACGACACTGCATAGCGCAACTTGTCATGCGTGACTTACAAAGCTTCTAGGTTTGTGTTGCAGAATCCCCATCCTGACTCTAGTGTGGGTGCGTTTTTACTCAGGATAGCACTCTTCTGTTCTTCATGCAGGTGCTGCACCGGATGGAGCCGAAGCGCAAGTACCGGCCCGCTAACGCATATGACAGTGCACAACTCCCCCTCCTCCTCAATTGTCATGCAAAATACCCAACTCACCCTTTACCTCTTGGCATTGTTTGCATGACAAGCTCCTGTGGTAGCCCGAATAGCACTATAATCCAGTGCAAATTTGTCATGCAAAAACCGGCACTCTTGCTGATGCTTGTATTGCCGTTCATGTTGCTATACAAATGAGGGGGAGGGGGAGTTGTGCACATTCATAACGCACCGAGCCGCTACCGGACGGCCAACGCCATGGCGGCGGGCGATGAATCGATGTTCGGCCTGGAAGCGGGGGCGTTTGACGATTTTGAACAAGCGCGACTGATATCAAATGCAAAAATGTCTGGGTCTGGAAGATTGCTAGGTTTGTCATGCAGATTTTCCATGACTCACGCGCTCTGCCCTGCACGGCCTAGCATGACAGGTTCTGTGAGATCTCTATCATGCCTTTCTTGCATGAGTAACTGCCCTTGAATTTGCTCAAAAGTGGACCTCTTTTGGTAAGCATGCAATACAAATTTTTCCATGATCCAGATGTAGCATGACAAGTTGCGGTCTTCCGGATCCAGACATATTTGCAATGCATAACCGAATCGGGCCGCGCAGGGCGTGTCCGTGCACGAGTTCTTGAGCGATTACCAGTCAAGGACGCCGAAGTTATCAACGGAAAAAAAATTTTAATTTTTCTACAGTACCGCACGTAGAAAAGAGAATCAAGCAGGGGAAGACAGCACGACAAGAGGCCTAGGTCTTGCTTAAGTACCAGCATGACAGCTTACTTTACATTTTTGTTTAAGCTTGAAGTTGACAGTCTTGCCATGCGCATGCTTGATTTCTTTGCAGCCTCTACTTCTACAACGTAGCGTGTACAGTAGAAAAAGAATTCTCCCTCCGCATATCTCTCTATGCCGGTGTACAGCACGATGCCGGTGTCCACGGTGCCCAGCGCGGTCGTGCGCGAAGTCAAAGAGGAACTGGGTACCATTATGGTATTTAAAAACGTCCCCACCGTATAGTTGTAAATGCAAATCTGCATGCTGGAATATGTTTCTCATGCGGATCCCCATGAGAAGGATCTTTTAGTCGTGTTTTGGAATTTGTTATGCTCCGATCCGAATGATCATATACTAGATCTTTGATGCTGCTGAACTACCTCAATAAACAGCACTACACTATGAGTCCAAATTTGTCATGCAAAACAGCCAAAGCTTGTGGATTTGTCTAGCCAATCCCCATCTTGACTAACGTGTGGGGACGTTTTTACATAGGATAACCATGGACAAACTAATGTCCATGTTTGGCATGGGCAGTAAGTCTATCAAATGCAAAAGTGTCTGGGTCTGGAAGAGTGCGCGATTTGTCATGCAGCTTCTCCATGATCCATGAGGTCTGGAATGCAGCGCCTAGCATGACAGATCCTGTGCGATCTCTCTCTTCATGCCTATCCTGCATGAGAAGCTCCCTCCCGACTTGGTCAAAACTTGACGACTTGTGGCCATCATGCAACACAGATTTTTGCATGCTTCAGATTTAGCATGACAAGTTGCATTCTTTCAGACCCAGACATTTTTACACTTGATAAAGTCTGGCGATCGGGAAGACGGGCCGGTTTCCGCCAGCTTTGCAACCGACGACGACGAGGTGGTGCAGTCTGTGATCCCGCTTCTGCCCCCGGAAAGCTTTGACATCCCGGAGAGCGCGGCCATGGCTGCACCGGGGGCCGCGAGCTTCGCGCCCAACATGTCGATGGGTGGCCGCGGGTCCGCCTCTTTGCGCAGGGGAGCCGAGGATCTGGCTTCCGAGGATGCTCTATCCTCTAAGAATAAAGTAGAACTACGACTCCGACTGATTTGTGATGTGGTCGTGCGCGAGCAAGAAGTATGAAGGTGTGCAGTTTTCCTTTTCCGCCCAGTAAGTTCATCTAGCAAACCCTTGAAACAACTTGTCACAGACGAGATCTTGATGCATTTTGTCAGGCACGACATTGACTACATCACCAAATTATCCGGTAAAAGAGTCTTCAGTAGTCTTTTTCACACTCATATTATTCCTTCGAGTACAGGCTGAGCAAAGCCAAGAAAAAGCAAAAGCCCAAGAAGGTCCCGGGAGTATGAGACGGCACAACTACCACCTTTTTCAATACTTATTTTTCCTTTTTTCTCATTTCAAAAACCTATGAGCAGCAACAGCGGCAAACGCAGAAGTCGTGTATCGCTTACATAGCAGCTTCATGCGTCGCGTAGAACTGGACGATGCCTCCACCAATAGAAATAAGTACGCAGATGCTGACAGCCCAATTCTTTGTTGTTTTGCATGAGAAATGAGAAAAAAATCGTTGTGGGGAAACAACAAGATCAGGAGTGGTTGTGCACGCTTATAGCACGGCCCTCACATCGATTCTCCGACCACCGTCACCGACGCAGATTTCTACGACCTTGCCGCCCTGCCCTTTCATGTGGCGGACCGGAAGGACAGTCGAAAAATCGAACCGACCCGGATTCTGTTTCTCAGCACGTCCAAGACGGAGATGTCTCAGGCTTACGACGTATCAACTACAAAAATGTCTGGGTCTGGAAGGTTGCAACTTGTGACGCTAACTTTAGACTCTAGAAAAATCTGCATTGCATGACCAGCAAGAGGAGGTCATTTTGTGCTACGCGGGGAGGGCATTTGTCATGCGGAGTAGGCAGCAGAAGGCCCTCTAAAAATCTGTGATGCTGGGTCGTGCATTGCAGACATCCTGGGTCATGCAAAATATGCATGACAAACCCGGCAATATTCCAGACCCAGACACTTTTGCATTTGATACGACGCGATGATTTACCTGGCCAACCAGAAGAACCGGGACGGGTACCTGCTGTACGAGGTGGTTTTACGCATTGCAAAAGTTGAAGCATCGCAGCTATCTTCGTAGTAAGTACATAGAAACGACTGCATACAGAAAAATGTTTTTATTGTTATTCCTAATCTGAAAAGTGGCGCTGGCGTCTACGATACTGATTTCCCTTTAATACGAGAGACATCTGTCTTGTTGCAGGATCATTGCAATTTATTTGTACTACGACCTCCGCGAAGATGTTGCTTTTGCACAGGATAAACCTTCGCTTTCAACTACTGCACACTCGTGCTTCGGGAGGACCACACTGGCGGCAAGAACCTCTACGTTGCCGAAGACGTGGACGCATTGACCTTCAACGACCGCATGAAATTTTCCACCTTGAACGCAACTAGCCCCTTCTGCTCCAAGCTGCAGGTCCCGCTGGGGCACAAGGACCTGGCGTTCGATATGGCGTTCTCAACTGTTACATTCTCAACTGCTCACACGATTTGTCATGCAAAATCAACATCAACATCCACAGGGTCGGGTGAAGCGACTTCGCATGACAAATTCCTGGAGGGCTAAACAGCGTTTAAATCTGTGCGGATTTTGTAATGCTAGAGGCGCAATTGTCCCCCTTTCGCTTTTGCCGTTCATGCATTGCAAATTCATGCAACAGTTGAGAATGTAACATTTGAGAACTCCATACTCGACGAGCAACTCGACTACCGGGCCCTGGACTTCACGCCGCCGAAGAGCGTGCTGAAGAAGCTGTACCAGGCGGGCGTGCGGCTTGCGCCGAAGCGGTTCATCAACTCCGAAGCAATTCCCGTGGGCCACGAGGCGAAACAAGACATCCTGGAAAAGCTGGCGGAGCGGCGGCTGAGTTTCGACAACATTTACGGGGAGGAGGCCTTCGGCCACTGGATCGCGGAGTTTCTTTTCCAGGGCCAGGACTGCGACTTGATCGTCGCCGACTCGCTCTACTGCGAGGGGCTGTTTGACTTCCGGCGCCTGCTGACGCACGCCAGCTTCGAAGACTCGGCCATGGTGATGTACGCGGGGAATCTGTCTTCGGCAAAAATCCACCCGGAGGGACGGACGGATGTTGTCGAGAATTGGAAAAAATGCGGCTATATCAAATGTAAAAATGTCTGGGCCTGAAAGAATGCAACTTGTCATGCTGAATTTGGATCCCAAAAAAATCTGGATTGCATGAGCAGCAAAGGGAATGCAATTTTTGCTACACGGAGAGGGCATTTGTCATTAGGAATAGGCATCGCGAAGCCCTCAAAAAATCTGTGATGCTAGGGCATGCATCACAGACGTCATGGCCAATGCAAAACATGCATGACAAGTCTCAGAATCTTCCAGACCCAGACACTTTTACGTTTGATAGGCTACAACTTCTCGAAAATCCCGCTGATTGTGCAGAACGTCATCCCGTTACTCCACTATTTCGCGCCGACCGAGGAGAAGAGCGGGTATTACTGCGTGAAGAAGGACGTGATTTTTCAAAACGAACCCCTCAACGCCTTCAAAGTGACGAACAATTTCACCGGAAGAGAGCTCGCGCCCATAGCGGTGGTCATGGGCCACTTAGCGCACTTTCCGAAGGTGGGGCCGGGGTTCGAGAAGAAGACGGAACTGCCGGAAATTTCGATGATCAAACAAGAACTTGAGCAGAACCGCTATCATTTGTAAAAACGTCCCCACCCCAGAGTTGTAATGCAAATCTGCATGCTGAAAATGTTTCTCATGCGGAGACCCATGAGAAGCAGTCTCTAGTCGTGTTGTGGGATTTGTGATGCTAGAATCAGCATGATATGCTAGAACTGTGATGCTTCTGAACAAGCTAAACAGGATTACACTGCGAGGCCAAACTTGTCATGCGCAACAGCAAAAGCTGACGGATTTGTCTAGCAGATTTCCCAGCTTGACTCTGGTGTGGGTACGTTTTTACTCAGGATAACCGCTACACGCACTTCGTCTACGTTTCCTTCGGGTCCCAAGGGTTTGAATTTTCCCAAGAGGGAATCTTGTATTTGCTGCGCGAACTGGGGGAAAATCTGAGCCAGAACGACGGTTTCGGGAACCGGAAGAAGGTCTTTGTTTACTTCGTGAAGCCGCAGTTGAAGAACAACATGACCTACGAGCAACTGTTCCAGCGCAACCCGCGGTTTGCGGTCCCCGAAAACGTGAAATTGATGCCCTTCGCGCCGCAAAAGGACATTTTCGACGCGTTTGCCGACTACACCCTGCAGCACAACAACCGGAAGCTGAAAATGGCCTTTCTCGCCCACTGCGGGGTCGGGGGCGTCACGGAGGCGACGTCGCGGGGCATCCCGATCTTGTGTTTGCCGTTGCTCTTCGCGGACCAATTTCCGAATTGCAAAACGCTGGAGGCTTCGACGCTCGGGCGGGACCTGTCGCAGCTCACCGCCTGGATGATGCAGCACGACATGATTGACTTCCCCGCGGGCTCGGCCGCGCCGCCGGCCCTGCAGACGGTGTTCAACTCCATCACCATGACGGGCAGCAAGGAGAACGACCGGGTGGTCATGCTGGTGTACGGGGCGAAACGGATCAGCACCTACCAGAAGCAGTCCCGCGCCGACAAGGACGTGCTGGCGAATTTCTACGCTAACTGCACACCGTATGGAAGTGTCAGGATTGAAATCGTCATGATTGAAATAACTTGCAATGCATAAAATCGATGCCAGTTAGAAGCCCAATTTCCATGCGGTGCATGACAAATTTTCCGAGCACCGGAATCCAATTTACCATGCTGTTTGGGCGCAGGCGACTTCTTTTGTCATGCTACTTTAGCAGCTCTATTTCAAACCCTAAACGGGCTGACAGTCGGCCTCACTTGCCATCCCGGCAAGACAGGCACTTCATGCCTCGCATTTTATGCATGACAAACTATTTCAACTTTGTCGAGTTCAAACCTGACGCTTCCATACGCTGCAGATGGAACGCCGCAACAACGCGGAGGGGGTGCTCGCGGCGGAGTGCCGGGCCCTGTTTGCCGACGAAAATTACTACGAAAAGTACAAGAAGTCGACGGATTCGTTTTTGCTGCCGATGATGCAGAGCCACACGCTGGACTCGGAGCAAGATCTGGGAAAAATGGTGGCGTACTTTGCGGAAAACAAGGCCAAGTACCGCGGGAATTGGCAGTAGGGAATGTAGTGGCGGGAAGATGAAGAAGGAGGGTTTGGGGGTTTAGGATTTTGGAGATTTATTGACGAGATCCGAGATTAGACTTTTCAACTTGTATACATCACATATTTGATTTCCACTGAAATTTTGCTTGAATTTTCACAAACTTTTCGAATGGTCTCTTACGTCTTACTTTATCTTTACAATTTTATCGCAACAGCATAACATTCTGTTTCTCGTTAGTTTTCAGTACATATTTCGTTTTATTTTGACAGCAGCTTCCAGTCAGCACTTTTTGAAAATTATTGAATGACATCTTGCAGTAAATTCTTGTCGCATGTTCATACCTACTAGATCGTTTTGATGCAAAGCAATCGTTACAACAGTCGTTAACATGGTGAAAAGTACCGAAATAGAAGCCATTCCAAGTTTGCACACAGAAAAAATCAGTTTACAATTAACATGGACCTCGCAATTTCTTGTGTACTAGCGGTTTTTCTACTATCCCATCCTTCCGCGTCGCCTTATGAATAGGAATGGGATCATTTTACTTACATTAGCATCAAAAAGAACAGGACAAATGAAGTGCCAACATTCTCCATGACAAGTAATTAACAAAAGGTTGCACAATCATATCGGATGGCACCCATCAGGATGGCAGCTGCAGAGCCCGCTCAGGTCTCTTTGCTCGCGCCTCCCTCTTCCTGCAGCTTGCTCCTCTCGAGTTGTAAGAAAGAAGTAGTTTCATATTGATTTTCATCGTCGTCCTCCCGCTTGCTAGGGCTGGAGTTGTATCAGCCTCACTGAAATGTTGCATCGTTCGGTTTGATTCTGAAACGCAGCTTGCCTGTGTCGGTTGGAAAACACCAAAACGTTGATCGGTTTGCCTTGGATTAGTTTCGCTTCACTTCAGTTACAGCTCGGTCCTATTGTCATGATGCTTCTCTGTCTTCGGTTTCTCGTAATATTCGCAACGCCAACATTACTGTACGTTGATTTGAAAATAAATGGAAAAAGAGGCTCCGTTTTCTCTCCAGCAGTGCAGTGGTGACCTCTCTGACCTGCTCCGACCCTCTAAGACTAGGACTATGTCATTGATGGTTCATCATCAACAAGCGTTCTTTACATTTGTTGCAACGAGAACTTTTTCCGCATTAAAACAAACCTGAAATTCAAACCCTCGCCGAGTAAAAAGCAACCATGTCCATTGAAGCAATCAACATCGTCGAGGTGGACGACCATGGTGGCACCACACTTCCGGCAGCCCAGTCGATCAGCCACTCTTTCCTCGACAACACCGCCGTAAACGCCGCGACCGAATTTCTTGACTTTGTCACGAAAAACCTGTCCCGCTCGACGGCCTCGTCCTCCACCAATTTCCTCCAGATCGCGAACAAAGTACACACTTCTACCACCGAAACAACATCTCAAGAACAGCAAGCCGCGGCCGGCACGCTCGAAAATTATGTGGCACTATCGGAAAAATCCTGGCCCTGCGTGTGGAGCTTGGACGTCTGGCTCACGATCGCGTTCTGCGTCCTGCTATCAAATGCAAAAGTGTCTGGGTCTGGAAGAATGCAACTTGTAATGCGTATTTCAGAACACAGAAAAGTCTCTCATGCATATGTAGCAAAAGCTCCCCACGTTCTGTCAGCAAAGTAGGGGACTTGTCATGCGGATTCGGCATTGCGGAAGCTTCTCGAAATCTGTGACGCTAGAGCTTCCATGCCAGACCTTCTGTGTCATGCAAAAACAGCATGACTCTTCCAGACCCAGACACTTTTACATTTGATATCTGCTCTTCTTCGGCCTGATGGTGTTCTTCTGCTGGGCCCTTTCCAAGTTAGAGCCGAAACGGGCGTTGATGAGCAACAAACTGCTATCGCAAAACCCTGATTTCGTCGGACAGAGTGGTCTTGGGAATGATTCCACAATCAACGCACTCTACAACCAGTCGCAAATGACCGTTCCGCCGGCCAAGCAGTCCACCGTCCGCTTCGGCGGGTATTCAACCCAGTGGATCACCGGCCACTCGTTCGACACCGACCCCTCTCAAACCGGCAACAACACAACCCAACTCCGCACGGACGGGTACGCGAAATACGAACAAGATCTGATCGCGGGAAAGGAGAAAGGCGAACGAAACACCGACTTCTTATCTCCTTTCGACACAAGACAACCCACGATCGCGCGCCACACCAACATGCCGGTTTCCGACGTTTCGAACACACTGGTCGCGGAGGCGAAAGCAGCGCTGGGGTCGTTGGCTGGAGCTTCTGCGGCGACCGTGAACTCAAACACCTCGTCCCGCCCCTCCATCCCCCCACTCGACGGGAACGATCCGCGCGCCACGGCGCAGCAGAATGCTTCTGGTGTGTCGGTTTTTACGCAGCGGAGCAGAAATGGAAAGAAGAACGCAGCGTCGAATAATGCTGGGGCGAGCAAGAACCAATCTACGAGCAAGAGCAACGCCACGACTGCAAATTCATCAGTCCCGTCGAACGTTCGCGTGACCAAAGTCGCGTACGTGACTCACAACACCGAAGAGGACGTTGGCGGGGCAAGCGGTCACACTGAGGCCTATCGAGTGGAAACATGATAGATCTTCGTCTAGGGGTGGTCGCTGGTCGGAAAAGTTCACATGATGGTGCTGCATAAAAATCAAAATATGACATTGCTTTACTTTCGGCAGAATACCAATACGTGACGGACGAGTTCTTGAGAGTCATGCTAGCCGACCATGACAAATCTATCGAGTCTTTGCCTTCCTCTTCCCGACCTCCATCCTGTAGAAGTAGAACTACCATTTGCACAGCTCCATAAACCCTTCGAGGCCGCTATGCTTCGTACGCAAATGCAGGAGCAACGGCAGAAGGTGCACAACACAAATTACGCCGCCAAAGCGGCGCTCATCAAGAAGTCCATTTCGCGCATCCCCGACTTTTATCAAATGCAAAAATGTCTGGGTCTGGAAGGTTGGAACTTGTGATGCTAACTTCGCACTCTAAAAAACACTGTATTGCATGACCAGCAACAGGGCTCTAGTTTGTGCTACGCGGGGGGGCGTTTGTCATGCGGAGTAGGCATCAGGAAGCCCTCTCAAAATCTGTTATGCTAGGGCGTGCATTACAGACGTCCTGGGTCATGCAAAACATGCATGACAAGTCTCAGAATCTTCCAGACCTAGACATTTTTACATTTGATAACTTCGAAATCAATCCGAACGCCGACGACGTGATCGTCCGGGACTCCGTAGCGAGTATGAACTGCAAAAGTATTGTAGTACGAATTGCATTTATGCATTACAAATTTCTTTTTCAAGCTAAATCAGCATGACAAATTCCATTTGTCATGCTGAGCTAATTTGTATTGCACTACTACGAGTCGTGCGATACATTTGCAGTGCATAGCGAGCTCGTCGTACCAAAACGTGCTGAAGGGCTCCATCGTCGCGAACAGCGACAACATCCAGTCGGCGCAATTCGGCGAAGTGGTCGTCAGTCCGGGCGGGAAAACAATCGACATCCGGAGCGAAGGGGGTGGGAACGGCGGGGTAAATCCGGACGCCCTGTGGACCTTTTCGTAAGAAGTGACTGATTTTTGATATACGAATTCGGTCCGCGGGGTGGTGCAGGCGAATCAACTTTGTTTTTGTCTCCTTCATTGGTGGAGAGGAGTTTATCACTCTGTGGTCGTCTCGGTTGGCGTCGCTAATGTGCTAGTGTTTGTTCATGTTTTACAACTTTTTGCTTTCGCTTTATTGAGTTATTTACTACGTTTGCTTACAGCTACTTTATTACCATGTAGAAGTGCATTTCAGTTTGTTTTCCAGTATTGAGTTCACAATTCGCGAACAGCTGATGGCAACCATTACAGTTGTCTATCGAAAACCTTTTGAATTTACAGTCACAACACTTTCACTTTGACATTTCAGTATATCCAATTTCTTGTATTTCTGTTGAAACATGCATGTACATCTTCAAAAATCTTTACATCTTAACACTCTAGTTCGTTTTCAGCGCAGGTCAACATGCCGGCTCTCGAGGTGGTAGCAGGAGGCATGGGAACACGTTTGAATGAAAGGAAGTTCCGCTTCCGGCGTCTACTTCAAACGGATGGATAAGTGTAGCACGACCTGTAGCAGCCTTAGCGTCCAACGTGTCGGTAAATAAGGACGAGTTGTACTATGGACGGAATGCGCATGCGATATATATTGTGTCAACGAAACGCGGCTGGCGGGTCCACCTCACAGCAACGTCAACTTCCTGCACTGTTCATACTAAGACACCAATGGTTTTTTTATTTCGCTCCTGCTGTAGTAGGTGCTGTCGTGGGTCACTCGACCCTGCGTGATCGCGAATCATACCAGCGACGTCCTCCCGAGTTTCTTTTTCGCTGGACGCTAATTTTGATCGCTTTTGTTTTTTCATTTCGCCAGTTAGATGTGTCTTCGTCCTGCACCAAGACAGAAGTTGGCTCGGCAGGTATCTCGTCTTCATCCGCCTCGGTTCACCGCCGTCAACATGTCCAGTCTTGTCGTCAAGTTCATCTTGTTGTTTTTCTTCTGTTGCTGGTGACCAAAAGCGCTTCTAAGTAACGCGGCCAGTGCGTTTTGGACGATGTGGCCCATAGGAACCTGCTTACATAGTACATGTTTCCATCCGGACGTGTGCCAGGCACAGTACAGAGATAGTGGTATTTTTTCCCTGCAGCTCGCGCTTGTGTTGAACATCGTACTTAACGTATCACAACGCATCGCCATCTATTCAAGTTTTACACAACGCTATTTCATTTTTCATCGAGATACATCTATGCCTATGACCTTTCCTTTTCGGTGCTGCGATATGTAAAGAACGCAGTTTATTTCGTGGAAAAATCCATATGAAAAAATGTTGCGATGGTTATAACTCGCCCGGACAAGGACGAAAGTCCTTTCTTGCAGCGAGTATTAATTGCAGGCTAGTGCTGGTCTCGCAGCAGCTGTCATCGCAAGAACAATGGATGGCGGAAATAACCCCTCTGCTACGACGCCGACGTCCTCCCACCTGCGGCCGCAAACCCGGGAAAACAAGTCCAACAGCCCTCTGAAAAACGCGATCAGTCCGACGTTCCGATTGCATGGCCGCCATATCACCTCCCCCGCCGGGCAGGGAGGAGCGACGGGAGGTGCCAGTAGTAGTAGACCCGGGTCTAGTGCGGCGGGACATGGGGGATTACTACATGGCGGATCGCATCATGGAACAACAACCGGCGTCTCCGGGGTCGAAGGCTTGCTTGGCACGACTGGGGGCTTTGCTGGGAGTAGCAGCTCGAGCTCATCGACCATTGGAGTTGCGGGGACCACAAGCGGGTCAAATTGGAAGAGAAGCGGGACGGGGAAGTTGGCGCAGAAGGATAGTATTGCTCCTGTTTAGAAGATGAGTGTCGTTTTTTTTTTTTTTGTATGAGGCATTGTTGGTGTCCTCGTGTAGTGCACATGAAAGGTGAACAACGTCGAACGAAACCGCAAAGACATTTTGACATCAAGCCACCTTCTATCTTCTAAAACACAACCCCAACAACTGGAACTGATATCAGAATCCGCCGGCTTTGCCAACGCCAATGGTTCTTCAATCAACGAACAAGTGCCCACGATGTCTCTGCTGCAACGACCGAGCAGCTCTTCCTCCGGCAGTGCCAGTTCTGCGTCCAGTCTGAACCACGGGTCTAGTGGGTTTCCGATCCACAGTTCCTCGTCGGGCAATCCAAGCAAAAAATCCTCATCTTCCTCTTCCGCACACCAAAACAATAATAATGCACACGCGATCCAAAACAGCAACAACACATTTCCGAAATCGGGCTTGGAGGACGAACGGTTTCATTTTCTCCTCCACCACGGAGTAGTACGAGCGGTCGAGGGCCAGGACCGGATTATTTTCGCGGAATTACCTAATTTACCACTAATTGTCTACCGCAGCCCCGCGGAACGGGAATATTCGCCGGAGCGGTTCAATTTGGATCGCAGGAAACTCCAGGTCTGCCCCTTACTCGAAGGGGAGGAGAAACTCCGGTTGTTGAACTACCAGAAAAACAGCATCCAGAAGATCGAGAATCTGGTGTCGTTACCAAACTTGATTTTCCTCGATTTGTACGGCAACCAGATCGAGACCATCGAGAACCTCCAAACCGTCCCGACGTTGAAGGTTTTAATGCTCGGGAAGAACAAGATCAAGAAGGGCGTCGAACACTTGGCGTTACTACCGAAACTGGATGTCGTTGATCTCCACGCGAACAGCCTGAAAGAAATGCCGTTCGCCGAGCCGGCACCCTTGCGGGTTTTGAATTTAGCGAGTAATCTGTTTGAACAGCAGTTCAATTTACCGCATTTGTTGGAGAACTTGATCGAGCTGAACCTGAGAAGGAACAAGATCGAACACCTCGGAAGACTAGACATCACCTGTTTTAACTTGCAGCGACTGTACGTTTCCCACAATCAGCTGAAAAGCTTGAACAGCATCGCGTGTGTGGCCAAGATGACGAAATTGGTGGATCTCAGTGTGGACAACAACCCGCTAGTGGATGAGAAAAACAGGGAGGAAATCCGGAGGGAGATTGTGTTGAAGTGCAGCGAAACCTTGAAAACGTTGGACGAGAAATTGGTTAGTGAGGAGGAAAAGAAGATGAAGGTAAAACACATCAAGTGGTCTAGGTTTCTTCATCTGCTTTTCGACATGTTGGTGCGCATGGCAAATCATTTTTTTCTTGGCTGGTTTTGCATGACAAATTTTCGACACACAAAACGCAGGAAGCCACCGCAAAAGCAGCGCCGCAGGGATCCTGGATGGGGGAGAAGTACGAATCAGCGGCGCTGGATATCGAGCAGAGGAGGAAGGTAAATGTAGCGCGTTTTTATTTGCAAGGCGGGATCGCATGACAGACCGACTCTCCTTTTACCTTGACTTTGAGAACATTGATGCATTGCAGCAGGAGCATACGACCACACACTCAACTAAATCGAACTACGAAAACAGGATCTGGATCAAACGTACTGGTCCAGTGCTGGTCGTCGCAGGAGGCCGGTGTCAGGGAAAAGCGGTTCTCTCACCAACGCTGCGCAAACGGAAAGCGATTTGCTGCTGCAGGATCTCATGTCCCCGACCAAGATGGATAGGAGTCGAAGCGGCAGCGGAAATTTGTTGGGAAGTGGTACGGGGGCGGTGGCCGGGGAGCAACAGGTACAAGAGAAGATTTTGCACGACGCGACGAGGACTTTGCAGATGATTTCAAATAATTTGAAAGAACCTTCTCAAAGTTCGAACGTCTGTTTGCGAAGTTGTACTTGGCACGCAATTGTGCAAGTATCCATGTTGTCAACTGTACTAGTACTGCTCCCTTACAACAGGCACCATCCGAACAGCATCAAACAAAGAAACCTTTCGACCCCGGCGCTGCTCCCGACCACCCGCAAGCCAGCTCCAGCGCAGCAGCCTCGTCCAGCTCTAGCCGGTCCAGTTCTAACCAAGTCCCGCGTTCCACCATCGACCCACGCGACATTCTCGCAAGAGTGGATTTCGCGACTGCAGCGACAAACACTGTTTCCGAGCAAGCAGCTACTAGTGTTACTAGTCCTGAGGGCGGCGGCGCTGGTAGACGAGAGCGAGAAGGAGAGCAGGCCAGCAGTGATCTGGGTGGTGGTGCGGGGACGAATCTTCAACAGCCACTATTCACAACCTCAACTGGGTCCAGCAAGCTCAAAGACCAATCCAATCTCCTTCTCACACCGCCACTTACAGGGGCGGATGAACAAGCGAAAGCACCATCAGTCTTTGACGAAGTGAAGAACACGTCGAAATCTACCATAGAGCCCGTCGCGACCGCCGGAGAGCAAACCACTGAAGAAGCTCTTACCACCGACCAGGAACAGGGACGGAATGCAAGTGCGACGGTGACCGATCAGGAGATAGAGCCAGCGATTTCATCCGCAAATAAACCTTTCGCTGCTCCTGCGCAGTTAGCGATGAAACCACCGTCGGTCAAAGTGCAGCCGGTGATGCCCGAAGTCGATTCATCGGGAAAACTGACAAAACCGCCCAGCAAGGTTATAGACCTATCCGAGCCTGAAGTGCAGCAACTTGCTGAAGAGGTTGACTCCTCCTCTGTCCAGGCGGAAGAGACCGACGAAACGGGCGGGACCAGCAGTGACCAAGGGACTGAAACGCAGGAGGAGAATGCTTTGCAGCTGCAGAAACCACCGTCGACCGTGGTCCTGTCCGGGGTGCAAGTAGTCGGGGGCACTACAGCAACTCAGAATGCTGACCAGCACGTCGGAGCAACTGCAGACCAGAGCCAATTCATCACCCCGGGCACCATGGTGGATCAAATCTTATCCAAGCACATCCAGAAACACCAGAAACCTGCGGAAGCTACGCCGGGAAGTGTGCCTGGATCTGGTCCTCCTGCTTCTTCTGCAGGGGGTGCTGCAGCAAGTTCTTCTAGTGCTGGAGCAGCACCAGCACCACCGCAACCTGGGCCTCGGCAAGTGTTGACGAAAGAAGGCGTTTCCACCTCGAACATAGTCTCCAAAAACATCGCCCGACCCCCCGCCCGGGAGTCCAGTGACCAGCTACCGAAAAATAAAATCGCCGTGCCGACAAGTTCTGTGACAGTCGGTGGTGGTGGGCTTCCTCTCGAGAACCCACCGTCAGCAACAACTCCTGCAACGTCGACACATCAACATCCCTCCACGCCCGCAACTGGAGGCACCTCTACGACGAAACGGGGCAAAAAACAAGCCCCCTCGCGATTACCCACCGCAAAGTTTCTCGTACACGACCACGACGTACAAATGCGATCGCTGCATGACAAAACTGGGCTTCGATACTAGTTTAGCATGACAAGAAATGTCACTCTCCAAGTTGCTGGTGAACAAATTTGTGATGCATTTTGTAGATGTGCGGGAAATTTGTCTTGCATACCGACACGACGTGCTGAACGACATCCGGCAACAGTGGCTGGACGCCACCCGGTATGAGAGTGCATAACTCCCGTTCCCCCTCATTTGTACGGGATGAACAGCAATACAAACATCAGCACACGTGGAGCATATGCACGACATATTTATGTGCCTGATGTAGTACTGTTTGAGCTCCCGGAATTTGTCATGCAAACCGGGCCAGAAGGCAGCGCCTGGACTTGGGATTTTGCAAGACAAATGAGGAAGACGGGGACTAGTTGTGCACTGTCATACCCGGGAGGGCAAGAACCCCCAAACCAGGTATGGGTACGTGAAACGCGAAGAAGCGTTTGAGTTGTTCATTTACGGCAGAGGGTTGGATGCGATGGACAAACACGAGTACCAGGCGGTGGTTTCCAGTATCCAATTTCTCTTTCTCAGTATCAACTCGGTCTTAAAATGTATGGACAAGCTCCGGACAAGATTCGGGCAATTGGACGCGCTGTCCTTCTCGAGGAACCAAATTTTGTCCCTAGACCAGCTCCGCCCGCTGAAGTCGTTGAATTTGCGGTCCTATCCTGTGCAAAAGTATCGTACTCGTATAAAAATAAATGCAAGTCTTGCATTTACAAATCTCTTTGTCTTTCTTAAGGTAAATCCGCATGACAAATTTTCTCTCTCATGCTGAGAAAATTTGTGATGCATTTATACAAGTACGATGCTTTTGCAGTTCATAGGTCCTTGTCCATTTTTCACAATCCGATCAACGAAACGATGTCCGCATCGGTGTTGCGCATGCAAATTCTGCACATGCTCCCCACGCTGCAGAAGTTCAACTTGCGGACAGTGACGGAATCGGAGCAGCGGGAAGTGCAGCGAGTGTATAGCGGTATTGTACTACCTACGACATCATCTAGTACAACCTCGTCGGGGACGAGTGGAGGCGGGTTTGCCACGGGATCTGGCACTGGCGGGAGCAATAGAGGGGCGAATAAGCTGGACACTAAAGAAAACGCGTTGAAAATCTCCCCCGAGCTCCAGGAGCTCTTGAGCAATAGCGTCAAGGCGGACTTGATGCTGCGGAAGCTGGATAGCTGCTTCGAGGGGACGATGAAAGATCTGGTAGCGGACGCATGGGATGAGGCGATGGAGTTGGGATGAGCAAGCGACACGAAATCAGCAACACGACTGCCTTTTTGAAAATAAGTAATACCGAAGTATACATAGATGGATCTTCAGCGCATGCTCGTCAAAAAAAAAATTCTAGCTTGTAGAAACTTTGATCGAACTCAGTTCTTTGAACAACTTTGACAATCCAAAGCTTTTTCAGTTTATTATAACTTTTGACCTACATCACCTAGGTTGATGTGACAGTTTCATAGTTCTTTTTTATTTTTCTTTTCGAGTAAGCCAACAAAGCAAGGTGGCTTCGCTAGCTCGTGTTTTTCTTGAAGTAGCGCTAACGGTGTGAGTGAGAAGAAAGCAAAACTATCGCACAGTAAGCCATTTGACTGACGAGCAAAGACCTTCTTTCAGTTCTTTCACTTCTGTGAAGTGCACGGTTCTTTGTTGAGGAGTGTGGTAATAATCGGCCTCGCCTATCACGTTTTTCGCACGCTCCTACGTCCTCGATGGCTTTTTGTACTTGATGGGTCATCTACAAGGTTCAACTTGCATGTTCACCACAGGAAGATCCTGCATGTTCATCACAACAGCACCTCTTCCACTCGTCATCAAGATCAAATATTTATGTTGAAAGTTCAACTAGATCTAGTGATAGATTGTGTAACTCTCCTAGTTTCCATGCTGGATGATCTACGCCGAGATCAAGATCAACCGGGGTAGTGCAAACAGTTCGTGTGAACGCTGATTCTACTAAGATTTGCTTTGGTTTTGGTCGAACAAAACAGAACTTTTGTTCCCTCCACCTCATTCTGAATATTCATAATTGTGTTTCGGTGTACAAAAGAATTCCGACCGGGATGGCATTGCGATTTTTGCGCCATTTCAGCGCCTTTTCGCTTCGAAAGAAACGTCGCTAGTATCATTGTCCCCCCTTCCCACCTAGTAGATCTAGTCTTTTTATAAGTATAAAATAAAGCAGCAAGCTAAATAGCCAATCTCTACCCGACCCAAAACTTTTTACCCATTTTCAGCTTCTATTTTATCTTTTCCTCTTTTGAGCACTCAACTGCGAAACGTAAAGGAGCACGCGGAGCCCGCGCGTCCCCATGCACAAATGAATGAGAGCGCGGTAACAACTAAACCAACTAACTCGCATCTCCGAGTTAGTCGTCCGGCCGGCCGAATCCGGGCGGCCGGACGACTAACTCGGCACTGTAAGTGCGACATCTTTCCTATTTAGCGAGTCCGGAGCCGGCGACTCCGGTCGGAGGTGTGTTTTGGAAACGCCCCGGCAGCATATGCAATTCGTGTGGTTTTGTGCATGGTTTTTGTGCTTTCGGTACAAAACTCACTTCAGTCGGAAAGCGTGTAAAAGTGTTGCGCCCCGTAGATATTAGTCGCGCGACAAATCATTTGCGTCGCAACAGTGACAGAGCGGCCTCTGCCTGCGTTGCAAAGAAAGCGAAAACGTCGCCCCGACGATTTTCAAAAAAGATCCCAATGGCAAAAATAGCATACGCAAAAGCACGAATCTGCATAAGGAATTCCGGCTGTCGCCGACTGCGCGATCGTTAGCCCCTCCGCGCACGAGCTGCCTGCTAGCTGGTGGTCGCCCCGAGTTAATACCTAGCCGCCTACCACGAGTTTTTTCAAAACACACCTCTGCCCGGGGTCGCCGGCTCCGGAGTTGCTATATGCAATAACTTTCGCACTTACAATGCCGAGTTAGTCGTCCGGCCGCCCGGATTCGGCCGGCCGGACGACTAACTCGGAGAGGCGAGTTAGTTGGTTTAGTTGTTACCGCGCTCTGAATGAAGTTATAGTTAGTAGTGCCCCATGTCCAAGAAGCGAAGAATGGAGGCTCTTCCCGGCAAGGAACCCACCGCCGCCGGGCCCGGAGCGGCCACCTCACCGGCCGTTTCTTCTCCAAACCAGAACCAGAACCCAAAACCGACCATCAACCTGCTCCGCCTCGTCTCCGCCTGTTGTTACGCCGCTGAGAAAGGGATCAAAGCGATTCGCAAAGAGAAGAAAAAACAGGGCTCCACCGTTGCCGTTCTCCAAGAGAAAGTCGACGGGGATGACAAATCCTGCGTCACCAAGGCGGATTACGCCGCGCAAACCGCGATCTTGAACTACTTGCGGCAGTGGGAAACGTTGGAAGGGATTGCGAAGGTGCCAAACGAGAAGAATCCGTTAAGATTTGGGCTTGATATCGTCGGAGAAGAGGATGAGGGGTTGCAGCTGACGAAGGAAACTGAAAACGATGCGCAGACGGCAGGAACTGAGCCTGGTGCTCCTGTCGCAGCCGTAGAAAATGAAGACCCAGCCACCGCCGAAAGCAAATCCCTCCACCCCTACTGCGAACTCCTGTTGAAGCAACTCCACACCCAAAAGGACAGCGATGCTTTGAAGAAGAAACTGGAACAAACCATCCCCGTCGAGCACATCACCCTGTTCGTCGACCCGTTGGACGGGACCCGGGAATTTGTCAAAAACCGGCTGCAGAACACGCAGACCTTGATCGGAATTTCCGCGTATGGTGCGCCGATTGCCGGGGTGATTGGATTGCCGTTTTGGGGACTGCAGAAAGTGAAGCACAGTACTAAGTCCTCTTCTTCAAGTAAAGCCAGCACTTCCGATGCTGATTTCGCGAAAGAGAGCGGAGTCGTGACTAGAGGCCATGCCGTTGCGGCGAATGGGTCGACGTGCCAGGAAGCAGCGGGGGTAGAAGGGGAAGAAACAGTCTTAACGCCACTGCACGAGATGCCGTTAGGTGGTCCAGCTTCCTCTACAACTTCTGCCGACCCGACAGTTTTCTACGCTGACTCAAGCAACATCCCCGCGCCGGAAGACGACATCCAGCTTGTCTGCGGTATCGTCGGGATTGAAAAACTCGCCGGTGTTGGGACGCTTGACGAGAAGCGGCTTGAGGCGAGACAAAACGGGAATAAAGATGTTGAGCCACAACTTGAACTTGCGGGCAACGAAGAAAATATAATGGTCCTCGCCACCTCGAACGACTCCGCCGGGCCGTTGAAAAGAATCAAAAAAACGCTGGAAGAATCCAACTTCCACTTCCAGCACGTCGCGGTATGCATTGCAAAAGTGTCTGGGTCTGGAAGGTTGCAACTTCTGATGCTGCGTTTGGATTCTAAAAAGATTTGTATTGCATGACCAGCAAGAGGAGTCCAGTTCGTGCTACGCGGGGAGGGCATTTGTCATGCGGAATAGGTATCAGGAAGCCTTCAAAAAATCTGTGATGCTAGGCCATGCATTACAGGCATCATGGGTCATGCAAAGCATGCATGACAAACCTTGCACTCATCTTCCAGACCCAGACATATTTGCATTTGATACGCGGGCGCCGGAAACAAAATCCTCCAGATTTTGCTCGGCAAAGCGGATTCCGCGCTGTTCAATTTGAAAACGAGTAGGTGGGACAGTTGCGCGCCGGGGGCGCTCTTGGCGGTTGTTGGGGGGAGAATGATGGATCTGTTCGGCGCGCCGATCATGCACATAAGGGCTCCGAAGGAAATTCTAAAAGAAATAGAGAAGAAAACTCTGACAATCGAGGACTACTACACGAACAGTTACGGGGTGTTTGCCTACACGAAAAGAACGGAGGAACTGTTGAAGGAGGTCCGTGACACCAGTGGTGGGAAACAAGTGAAGCACCCAGCGTATCCAACCTGGGGCGCGAAATTGCGGGCGATTGAAATGAGGGATGATAAAACAGAAGCCTCTTCTTCCAGCACTACAGGGGGACAACTACAACAACCGGAGGAGCAGACGATGCAGTCGCTCCTGGTAGAGCAGTTTGGAATCCAGGCGTTTCCGAGCGAGAACGGTTCTGCTCTCCTTGAAAGTTTAGAGCATCACCAGTGCCACCCACAGCAGGCGACGGACATTCTCCGGGATCTGAATGGAGAGTTTCTGTCAAAGAACTTTTTCGAAAAGATGTTGACGAAAAACACGCTCAAGACCACTGATCAAGAACCACAAATGATCTTCCAAAAGGTCTCTATACAGCGTGTCGCTGCCCCGGAACCGAGCGCCATCCGCTACCTGATGTCAGAAGCGTGCCGGGTTTTCTTGAGCTACAACTCCTACAACTCGGAGAAGAAAGATCATGGGGAACAAGGAACAACTTCCAGCAACGTGCAGACGCAGAGCTTGTTCCTCAAGCGCTCTGCCATGCGGGAGTTGCCCCATTGTCAGCTGAAGGCAAAGACCCAACCAGAGAAGCTAGCGAGAGATGTTCGGTCGTACGAGGTCGAGTTTGGGTTTCTGGAGGCCATGGCGGACAGGAATTATCTCGGTGACAGTGCCGAGGAAGCCGAAGCAGATCACTCAACAGCAAGAACATCACCACCCCGAAGCACCCGCTCCGCCCCCAACGACCTTCTCCGAAAACAGGCGAGGCTCCAGATCCCTGCTTGTAAATATTGCGAGAAAAAAGTTTACCCGGAATCCCCCATTGACAGCTCGTTTCTGATCCTGTTATCCGATTTCTCCCCGATGGAATCCTGGGAACAAAGAATCATGGTCGTGGAGAAGGAAGAGTTGGTCACCGCGGTGAAGGCGCTAGCGAGGTGGCACGCGTTCTTCGCACAGAGCAGGTTACAGAAGCTTGATCTAGAAAAAAAGATCACGAAAGAGTTGAAAAGCAAAAACATCGTTTGGGAAAACGGAACCTTCTGGGCCTCGAACCGGCAGTCGGCATCCATGTACGAAAATGTGGAAAAAGTTTGGAAGGAAAAGAAGTTCGCAGACCGGTTTTGTGCTCTGGTGAAAGAGAGACTGGCGGAAGAAACGACAGCGAAAAATAAAAACGCGCGAGCTGATGATCGCGACGGGCTCGAACTCCTTCCAGAAGACGCACTTCAGTCTATCGGCGCGAACTTGCAGAAGCACACGAAAAGGTTGGCGTTTGAGATGCACGAAGAATGGAGAACGGAGGACAGCAGACCAGCAGATAAAGCCGAAGAACATTTCATCACCCTCCTTCACGGTGACCCGAAAGCCGCAAATATGTTTTTTCGACGAGCTGCACCAGCGGCGGCCCAGGATGAGGTTGGAACGGGAACAACTGGTGGCAACATCGACCCTGGAGAGGAAGAAATTGAATTCGCTTTCATCGATTTTCAGTGGACCGGCTGGGGCTTGCCGATGGTTGATTTGGCGTACATGCTGGCGGCCTGCGCCGGACCGGAGTTGCTGGATTTGGCTGGAACGCAAGAAAAGGAACTATTGCTCATTTACTACGAAGAACTGAAGAAGCAAATCGCAAAAGACTTGATGAACAAGAAGAAAACCGGTACAGTGACAACTACTTCATCACCCCAAACCGGTACAGTGACAACTACTTCATCACCCCATCACTCCGAGACGGAAAACATCGCGCAGATAATACCACCAATGTCCTACTTCCAGAACCAGTACGAAAAAGCGTTTCTCGACCACTGTACCACGGTCTTCACCTACATGTGGCCGAGATTTGACGCGTCGGTGGAGAATCTGGAAAAGCGAAAAACCTTGTTCGCCGCGAATCCCTACAACAAAAACGCAAGGAGCGCAGCGTGGTTGATGTACAGATGCTACGTGTACTTGGAAAAGATGGAGTATCCGGCTTGTGAATAGGAGTTCTTTCACTGAAAAAAACCATAGTTGTGGACGACGAGCAACGTGTCAATTTGATGTGCTCGTATCTCACATGGTTCTTGAAGCCGCCCATTCAATGATAATGGTGACCGTGGTGGAGGTGCCTTGCGCTTGCACACTACAAAACCCTTCAAATGAAAGGTGCGAGGTTCTTTTGGATGACGCCGTGTTTTGTGCTGTCAACGCAGGGTGGGAGGACGAGCAGATCTTCAATGTTTTTTGGTCCGAGAATTTGTGTCCTGGTGTGGTTCGCTTGCAACGTGAAGCTGAAGGCTCTGCTAGTGCCGCGAGCCAGATAAAATCCAGTTCTTCGCACGTTTTTTTGTGTATATTTGTTGTCGATCGAAGTGGCTTTTTTCAAATCATCGAGTAAAATCTTTGTCGGAGTAGTTGATGTGGAAGAACAAGAATGCTCGGAGATGTTGGCGCTCTTGTGAACGTCGGAGGAAGAGGAACTAAATGCTGAAATGTAACAAGTGTCGTCGATATCGATTTCGATCCCGGTTGTCGTCAAATTTCGCTTCAAAATTCAAATCAGAAACGTACAAATGTTGCAAACGCAAACGGATGTACCTATCAAATTCGCCACTCGAAGGAAAGAAGTAGATGTGCTGCTAATCATTCTATGTATTGATCATGAAGATGATTGTGATGAATTCCCTATGCGTTTCATGTTAAAAGTGCGGCTGACGGCTCCTCAATTCTGTCAACCGCTATGTCTCACAGAACGAACGTTCCGACTCTGTTTCGATTGTCTTGTCAGAAACAGGTTTGTGTGTTGATCTTGATGTACTTAAGCCGCAGCCGCTACAGATTCTCGTCGTATGTTTTTGGGATAGATTGTCGCCGTTATAGAAGAAACCAAACAATTTTTTTAGGCAGTAGGCACCAGCAGACGAGGACAGCGACCATGTTGACAATGACACTCACGTAACTTCTTTTGATTATCCGTACGCCGGCTAGTGTCACCACCCAGGCCTTCTTGCCAAAACAGAAATACACACTATGCCGGTCCACGACGTGCTCCTAGCTGCGCTGGAGCTCAGCGTCGAGCTTTTGCGGAAACGGGAAGAGAAGCAACATGCCGGCGGTGGTGCAGCCAGCAGCTCATCTTCCAGCAGCTCAAATGCTGCTCCCACAAATAACCTGAGCCAACAAGCCCTCGCCGAGGTGAACAAGGTCGTCGCAACCGCTTTGTCGACTCTCCGATCCAGATTTCGAACGGCCATGCTCGAGAACAACTTGGCGTTGACTTTAGACCCACAGACGAAGGAGCTGTCCGTTTTTGGGGCGGCGGAGGAACAGGACGAAGATGAGGATGCAGATCGTGATCCAGACGCCATGGAAGTTGACAGCGAAATCTTCGAACAAGACAGAAAAAGCCCAGGTGGAACTACTCGTACTCGGACTCCGCAGAAGGACAAGAATCTGCCAACCTTCGTGCAAGATTTCAACAAAGTGATCAGACGAACCCTCGCTAAAACCGAAGCAGATCCAAGCAGCACGGCGAATTTGATTGCGAGGCTGAAGGCGTCGTCGTCGACCACTTCCACCACGCTCGCAACGACGAACACAACGCAACCAGAAAACGACAAAAAAGCAGAACCTATCATGCTGAATTTCGAAGACGTCGACGATACGTTTGAATTTCTGAAAATCCAGCATCTCCCCACCCTCCCGCAGAAACCCGGGTCAAATTGGGTCTACCCTGGGTTGCCAGGGCGCGTCGCGAATTTGAACATCCGGCACTTTTTGGAAGCGATGCGGGCGAAAAATTTGAAGGAGGATCGCAACCCGTTTGACGTGAAAGAAGCATTGAAGCACGGAGGGAAGCGGAAGGACTCGGTTGAAAACAATGATGACCTGATGTTGCAGGAGGACAGTCAGAACAAGAAGGGAACATCAAGTAGCGCAGGAGATGGTCTTCTTGCGGTCGCGGGAACAGCATCAAACAAGAGACAAAGGACATCCAGCATTGACGCGAGCATTCAGGAGCAGCTTGGAGGTGCAGGTGCTGGTGCTTCCAGCCCGCATTTTCCTGGGATGAATGAGGACGATTTACCTGCTGAGGAGGATGATCCGGAGAACAAGAACAGCTGGAAAGACCAACAGAATAAAGGTGGTTCCATCACAACCATCAACCCCGCGGAGCAGTTTCAGGTCGGGAAGAACTCCTCCATGCAGTTTGTCCAGTACAGCCGTAAACTCCAACTAAAAGCGCTCCCCCACCCATCCCCCGTTTCCGAGCCACTTTCTATCGCGAACGTGGATCTCCTATGAACTGCAACTAAGTCTGGGTCTCGAAGAGTGCGAACTTGTGATGCGCATTTCACAACACAGACAAATCTCTCATGCATAGGCAGCAAAAGGCGCCCACTTCCTGTCACCAAAATGGGGAATTTGTCATGCGGATTAAGCAATGCGGAAGCTTCTCGAAATCTGTGACGCTAGGGCTTCCATGACAGACATTCTGTGTCATGCAAAAACAGCATGACAAAAATCTGCATTCTTCCAGACCCAGACATTTTTACATTTGATATCTCCCACGCGTAAAGCCGAGTTTCGAACTGCGGATACCCTACCAATTGTTCGAAAAGGGAGCACTATCCTCCCAGCAACTCGAAACGATCACCTACGCTGCGATGCGATTAGACGATAGGAGGGCCGCGAACAAAACCGCGGCGGGGTGTGCACGGATGAACGCATATTTATTGGGGGACGGGACCGGATGCGGAAAGGGGCGGGTCATTAGCGCGCTCATCATTCACAACTGGAATCTGGGGATTAGGAGGTACTATGAATTTCTTTGGTGAAGTATTTTTACTTTTTGCTGTTGCTTGCATTATCCGCGTGACAAGAGGACCTTTGGCTGTTCATTCTTTCTGGTGTCGCAACATAACAAACTCACACATCAAGAAACGGAAATAACTATCAGACACATCTGGGTTTCCGCCACCGCGCAACTGCTAGAGGACGCCCGCCGCGACCTCCGGGACTTATCCGCCACACACATACCCGTCATGTCTGTCTCCGACTTCATCGATCGACTGCAGTATCCTGTGCAAAAGTACTATCGCACTCGTATAGATTGCAGCCATGCATGACAAGAAATCTGCACTCTTACCTGAATCTGCATGAGAAATTTAAGTTTTCTGCTTGAGAAAACTTGTCATGCAATTTATACTTAGCACGATACTTTTGCAATGCATATCCAGCAAAACAACCCCATGATATCCAATTTGCCCGCGAAGCTCCGGTCGAAGCTGGGGACGGACAAGAAGGCAAGAGACGATCTGCGGGACGGGAAGAGGATCAAATTTCTCGAGGAATTGAACTTCGACGGGATCGAGGGGATTGTTTTTTTCACCTACATATGCATTGCAAAAGCATCGTACTCGTAGAAATGCATGACAAATTAGCCCAGCATTACAAATCAAATTTGTAATGCTGATTTGCCTTGAGAAAGAAATTTGTAATGCATGATTGCAATTACAATTACTACGAGTACGATATTTTTGCAGTGGATACTACAACAAGCTCGCCCGGGACGTGAAAAACGAACTGATGCCGGTGCTGCAGTATCAAATGTAAAAATGTCTGGGTCTGGAAACTTGTGATGCTGGGTGGCGTCTCATGATGAGGCTACGAATGCTGGCTCAGCATGACAAGTTTCTGAGCTCCTACGTGTTACCTATTCTGCATGACAAACTGCGCTTCTGCATCACAGAAAAGCGGAGCTCTTGGGTAACGTGCATGACAGATTTAAGAGTCATGCCAGACAAGCATGACAAACATGAATTTTTCCAGATCCAGACATTTTTACAGTTGATATGCAGTGGTTCACGCACGGGGAGGCGCGGTTGCATTCCGAGAGGAAAGTTGTGGACGAAGACATGGGGGACGGCGGATACATGAAGAACGCCTTTGCGGAAGCTCTAGCGAGCGTGGAGATGAGCAACAACGCTTTCAATTCCAACAAGCGAAAGCGACATTTGGAGGAATTATCCAGCGGATCTGGTTCGAACTACCGGGCGGAGAAGATCGCGAGGAATAAGAAACAGAAGGAAGAACAGGAACGACAGTGGGCGCACCTGTCGCCGAGAAGTCGGGACGCGGCGAGGGAGGATGCGGCACTGCAGGAATTATTGCTGGATACGGCGAACCTGTCAACAGCAGGAGTGACAACTTCTTCTAAAGGAAAAAATAAAACGAAAAAAGAGTTAGAACAAGAGAAACGCGACCAGGAAAGGCAACTGAAACAGCAACAGCTCAACAACCAGCCCAACGGAAACCGAACGTTAGGCATTCTCGCCTTCGACGAGGCGCACAAGGCGAAAAACCTGCAAATCAGGACGAAAAAAGACGGCACGGTTGATAAGTCGCAGAGTTCCAAGATCGGGCTAGCGGTTTGTGATTGGCAGGAGCTGTATTGCAGGAATTCCAAAGTCGTCTACGCGTCCGCAACAGCAGCGACAGAAGTGAACAACATGGGCTACATGAGTCGTTTAGGGCTGTGGGGCCCGGAGAAGGTTTACAAAACGTTCCAGGACTTCTCCAAGTCCATCTCCTCCGGCGGCGTCACCGCGATGGAGGTGGTCGCGATCAATTTGAAAGCGTATGGGGTCATGAGCTGCCGGAGTCTGTCCTACTGTGGCTGCGAGTTCTCCCAGATCCCGATGGAGTTAACGGAAAAGATGCAGAGGACGTACGATAATTGCTGCGGGTTAGTCAGGGAAATGAAGGAAGAATTCGCATATTTTATCGACCACCCGGTATTGGGCCAGTTGTACAAATCCCAGATGAAACAAGCGAAAGGTGGGGATAAGAAGAACAATAAGTCTTTATCTTCGGACGAAGATAACGATGCTGACGATTTTATCCGCAGTAAAAACGTCCCCACCCCAGAGTTGTCATGCAATTCTGCATGCCAAAAAAGTTTCTCATGCGGAGACCTATGAGAAGCGTTTTCTATTCGTGCTTTGGAATTTGTGATGCTAGAATCAGCATGCTATGCTAGATCTGTGATGCGTCTGAACTAGCTAAACAGGACTACACTACGAGGACAAACTTGTCATGGCAGACAACCAAGGCTGGCTTATTTGTCTAGCAGATTTCCCATCTTGACTCTGGTGTGGGTACGTTTTCAATCAGGATAGATTTGAACGACGAGAGGATGTTCGACAGTGATTACGAGGAGGAGCTGGTGAACGAGAATAGTAGGCGGAGGAAAAATAAACCAAAAGCAAAGGCGAAACAAGGACCCGGAAGCAAAAGCAATAAAAACGAAATCGTTTTGGAAGGCCGGGTGAAGTCCAAACGGGATTTGTGGCGGGAATTCTGGTCGTTTCAGCAGCGGTTTTACAAACATCTGCTCGTGTGTTTCAAGATCGACAAGACGGTGGAACTGATTCAAGAAGCGTTAAAGCCGGAGAATAACGTATCGCAAGAAAAAACTGTTTCACTGTGAACTTGTGATGCATAGAACGGAACGCAAGTGTGTTTGTCTTGCTATACATGCAACACATTGGATTTCTAGCTGTGTTTTCCCTTAGGAAGCACGCATGCCAAGTTTTCTTTGTCATGCGTAACTGACAAACTTGTGTTGCAGATCTTGCAAAATCACCACAGTGAAACAGTTTTTTCGTTGGATATAGCGAGCAGGTGGTAGTGAGTCTTTGGTCCACGGGGGAAAGCAGGATTGTCGAGCACTTGAACAACAGAGATGAGGACGAGATCGGAGTCAGAAATAACAACGACCCGAATGAGCCCGAACAACTCCTTTCTGGCCCTTTACTCGCTTTGCAGCACGCCTTGGATCAGTTTTTCAAAACCTCCGAGCAGTGCCCCGAGTCGTTTCTGAAGAAGAACGCACTGGAGGAGAAGCTGAAATCCTTTCAAGATGATTTACCGCCCAACGCATTGGATTATTTGATAGAACGGTGTGGCGGGCACAAAGCGGTCGCGGAGATTTCGGGAAGATCGAAACGGATGGTCCGCGACACGCGGACTTTACAGATCAAATACGAGCAGCGAACCGCGGAGAGCAATTTCGTCGTTCCGCTGAATGGAATCGGGGCGGCGCAGATCTCGGCGAATATGGAGAAGTACGGAGGTGTTGCTGGGCAGAGCTCGACATCGTCGGCATCTGCGTCGAGTTCCTCCACAGCGCTGGCTATAAGTTCTGGAGGATCGTCATCTTCATCCAGTAGCAGTAGTGGCGCAGGAGCGGGTGCAAGTAGCAGTAGTAGAGCTCCTGTTTTTGGCGGCGCTCCACTACAGCAGCCCGTAGCTGCTTTCGGGTCTGTCCAATTTACCAAAGAGGAGTACAACGCGAAAGTGTCTCGTGCGAAGAAAAAAGCGAAGGCGCAGCCGAAATCCCGCCAAAATAATAATCGCAGAGGAAATAACAATAACGACGACAATTTCTTGCTCCAAGAATTAGAACGGGATTTGATGAACCAGCGGGCCGGACTACCCCTAGGAAATACAAATAACGACCTAGCCGTGATCCAGGCTGCCAATTCCTGCAACCGCGCCGCTACCGGGTCCGCAGCATTGAACATCGCGGAGCAGCACCACTTTCAGTCCGGCCGCAAGAAAATCGCGTTGATCACCGAGGCGGGTTCCACCGGAATTTCCCTTCACTGCGAGAAGCGGCCCCCGCAGGATGCCGATCCGAAAGTGTTCCAATTCCGGAAACGACGGATGATTACAATAGAATTACCCTGGGGGGCGGACAAGGCGATTCAGCATATGAAAGCCTCAGGTTGGAAATCCTCAAAGTGGAAATAGTTTGTAATGCAAAAAAACGACTCCAGTTGAGTCGCCATTTGTAGTCAGCGCATGACAAATTTCCCGGGCACTCAAAACGTGTCTGTCATGCTAGTTAGGCAAAGGGGTGCACTTCTCTCGTGCGAATCAGCACTCCAATTCTTAACCCGTTGCACGACAATAGTCGGCTTCCATTGCATCCTATGCAATACAGTCTTTTTTGTGTCGCATTTCATGCATCACAAATTATTTCCACGTTGAGGATTTCCATTCTGAGGCTTTCATACAGCAATTCGGCCGGATCCACCGCTCGAATCAAGTGCACCAACCGCGGTTCCAAATTGTCATCACCCCGGTGCAGGGGGAAATCCGGTTCGTTTCCTCGATTTCTCGCCGCATGAAGCTGATGGGGGCAGTGACGAAAGGGGACAGACACAGTACCATGGGCGGCGTGGATGAGTGTCTTGATGGTTTTGACATCAACAACGCGTATGGGAAAAAAGCGCTCTCCTGTTTGTTGGACGATCTCCGCGGACACCCGCCGGACGATCGGATATGAGAGTACACAACTCCCCCTGCCCCTCATTTGCATGACACGAATGGCAATACAAACACCAGCACACGTGGAGCCAGTGCATGACAAGTGCCTTTGCCTAGCGTAGTGCTGTAGTTTCAGCTTCCGGAATTTGTCATGCAAACCGTGCCACAAGGCACCGTTAAGGCACCCACTGCGTTTGGGATTTTGCATGACAAAGGAGGGGGAGGGGGAGTTGCTTACTGTCATATCGGAAGGAGAAAATCTACGACTTGATGGATTTTTACAACGAAGATTTCAAGAAAGACGCGTTTTTGAATTTAGAGTTGTGCGATTTGTTCAGAAGCGCGACGGGGGATAGCAAACTCATGGCGCACCTACACTCTGAAGAATTGGAAGAGTCGAACAACCTGAACCGATTCTTGAACCGGCTGCTGATGCTGAACTTGGACATGCAGGACTCGGTTTTTAAGTTGTTCGAAGCAATCTATGACCATCTTGTGCAGGTGGACAAGGATAATGATAACTACAACCAGGGGAAGATTGTACAACTAAACCGCGCACCTTTAGAACGGGCTTTCGCAACATCCTCGAAGTCACTCTACTCCGACCGGAATTACAACGGCGCGAAGTGCAACATCACCCACATTCGGTTGGACCGGGGTATTCCCTGGGACACAGTGTGGCAAAAATACGAGAAGGAGATGCTACCCAGGATGGAGCGCTTGAAAAAGGACGCGGATGATTACGAACGGGACAAATTGCAGAACGCGACGGACATCACGAACAGAGTGGAGTTGTTCAACCGGCAACAGAAGCTCAACCGTCTGCGCCGCAAGCACAACTACTTCGCGAACGAGGGGTTTTGGTACTATGCATTGCAAAAGTATCGTACTCGTATATTTATACTATAAATGCATTACAAATTTCCTCAGCATGAGAAATAAAAACTTGTCATGCGGATCTACCTTGGGAAAAAAATTTGTAATGCATGACTGCAATTAGTACGATCGAGTACGATACTTTTGCAGAGCATAGGTACTTCCGGCCGACGATGTGTCAGGACAAAAAACGGCGCGAGATTATGGTAGTGTCAGGATTGAAATCGTCAAAGTTGAAATAGTTTGTGATGCATAAAACGGATGCCGGTTGGAGCCCAGTTTCCAAGTGGCGCACGACAAATTTGGGTAGAGACGAAATCCAGTCTGTCATGCTGTTTGGGTAAGAAAGACGCCTTTTGTCATGCTACTTTAGCAGCTCAGCTTCTACCCCTGAACAGGCTTACAATCTGCCTCACTTGCCTACTCTGCAAGACAGGCACTTTGAGGGCTGCATTTTATGCATGACAAACTATTTCAACTCTGACGATTTCAAACCTGACGCTTCCATAGAGATGGCGTTGGCGAGGTTCAACGTGCGGACGTTGAGCTACGAGTTGTGGCTGCCGCATAGAGGGTATGAAAGAAGTACGCAACTCCTCCTCCCCCTCATTTGAATGGCGTAAACAGCAACACAAGTGCTGGCATAAAAGCAGCTTTTGCGTGACAAATTTGTTTCGGCTTCCGAAATCTGTCATGCAAGATGTGCCAAAGAGAAAAGGGCGGACTTGGTATTTTGCATGACAAATGAGGGGGAGGGGGAGTTGTGCATTGTCATAGAGGAGCGGTTGGGAGTTGGAACACGTTTTCGAAGATCCAAATTGGAAGAGACGTATCAAATGCAAAAATGTCTGGGTCTGGAAGAGTGCGCGATTTGTCATGCAGCTTTTCCATGACCCATGAGGTCTGGAATGCAGGACCTAGCATGACAGGTTTTGCGCGATCTCTCTCATGCCTATTCTGCATGAGAAACTCGCTCCCGACTTGGTCAAAACTGGACGACTTTTGGCAATCACGCAATACAGATTTTTGCACGCTTCAGATTTAGCATGACAGGTTGCATTCTTCCAGACCCAGACACTTTTACATTTGATAAGACGGCGTGCTGAATGAAAGGAATAATTGGTACAAAATCCAGTTCATGACTGATGAAGATTTGCAAAGAGAGCAGCAGAGGAGTAGAGGCTTGATGGGCCGCGTCCTCGGCACGAACCGGGGGCCGCACAAAATGACGAAGGAAGACGTGCGGAAAGCCTGGATGAATCACTACGAGGAGGCACTTTTTAAGTGTACGCACTTGCAACGCGGGTTGAAGTGCAACAACGGTGCTTGTTCCGAAGGCGCGCGGTTGCGGAACATCTCCATGCTATGGAACTGTCAGGATCGAAGTCGACAAAGTTGAATAAATTTATGATTTGTCATGCATAAAATGGATTCCAATTCGCACCCAGTTTCCATGTGGCGCATGACAAATGCTGGTGGTGCCTGAATCCAGTTTGTAATGCTGTTTAGGCAAAGAAGACTGACTCTCTCGTGCTACTTTAGCAGCTCGAGCTCTAACCCCAAAGAGGCTTACAGTCGGCCTCACTTGCCTGCTTTGCAACACACGTATTTCGCGCCATGCATTTCATGCATTACAAACTACTTCATCTTCGTCAATTTCGATCCTGACGCTTCCATACATGCTCCACGGCGCGTTCCTCGAGTGCTGGTCGGTGATTTCCGGGGTTTTGGCCGATAAGAATAGCAGTGACGACCCTTTGAAATTCGTCTTCTCCGGGGGCACGACAAGTGGCTATGGGGACAAAGGTGGCGTCCAGAAGATGAAATTAGTCCGGTGCCAAATTTCCGACGAAATAGACTGGGAAGACGTTTCGTCTTTAGTGGGTGTCCAGGTCGAGTCGAAAGCGGTCAAGGATCTTTCCTACGTGTTGGAGGCGATGGGCGGGAAGGGGAAGAAGGAAGCCTTGAAATTGCAAAACTTGAACGGCGAAAACCAGCAGGAGATTGGGAAGTTAATGTTGCAGAACAAGAAAAACGACGACGAGGATTCGGACGACAGTGTGGAGATTATCGAAAACGTTCCCAGCCCAAGTAGAAACGGGAAGGATAACAAATCCAAGTCCAACGAGAACCTGGAGCCGCCTCTGAAGAAGCGGAAAATCGAAAAAGCGACGGAGGAGAACGTGTTGAATGCGTTTGTGAAATATTTCGAAACCCTGTACGACGAGCACAAAGAGTCTGATGTCGAGTGGACGCACTGGCTGGAGGCGCACAGGGACATCGGCCAAAAGTTCCCCTACGTCCATTCCCCGACGGGATTGGCTTTGTTGAAGAAGACGTTGGATGATTTGATGAAATCTGGCGCGATTACGAAACTGATCATACACGGTCGCTGCGTCGGGATGCAGTGCGAACTACATATGAACTGCAAAAGTATCGTACTTGTAGTAATTGCAGTCATGCAAGACAAATTTCGTTTTCAAGTTAAATCAGCATGACAAATTCCGTTTGATGTCATGCTGAGCCAATTTGTGTTGCAGTACTACGAGTACGATACTTTTGCAGTTCATACTACATCTATTGCAGCAGTACGAGCGGACGCAGCGGTTGGCCAGGGAGAACCGAGTGATCAACTCGACTGGGTTGCCAGCCGGGTTACCAGCCGAGGATGATGATGAAAGTTCCTCTGAAGAAGGTTATGACTCGGAAGAGGAGAAGGCACGAATAAATGCGGCGAATAAAAAGAGGCCAGCTGGTGGTAGTGGTACCAACGCGAGTAGGAGTCAAGGCGGTGCTGGTGCAGCGGTGGCTGCAAACAAACGAGGACCAGGAAATCCACAGGCTGGCGGAGCAAGTTCTTCTAGCTCAGGCGCCGCAGCGTCTTCATCGTCTTCGGCGGCCGGACACTCTGGAGCTGCTGCGTCTGGTACTTCCTCGTCTGGATCCAGGGTAAACAACAAGCTGAGCTTCAATCCCGCTAGAAATAATGGACAACATCAAAACGATCTGGTGCCCGATGATGAGGATCCTGTCTTCGGTTCAGCTGCTGTGGACTCTCAATACAACGTCGAGGAGCCGAAAGTGATGAAAGATCTGACGATCGGGAACACGGTATCCTGTGCAAAAGTATCGTACTCGTAGTAATCGCAGCCATGCATTACAAATCTCGCTCCCAACGCAAATCAGCATGAGAAATTCCATTTGTCATGCTGAGCGAACTTGTATTGCAATTACTACATAGTACGATGCTTTTGCGGTTCATACACGGATAGCCAGAGCAACGTCTTGCAGTACGACAAAGTGCAGTTTCCGAGTCGGAGGAGACAAGCTCAAGTTGCACCGAATCCAATCGTCCCTGGAGCGGGCACAGCAGGCGACACGACTACAACTTCCGGCGCAAATCAGTTCGCTTTTCCGCAACAACAGCTGAACAACATGAACAACCAGTCCCAGTTCGCCTCGTCGTTTCTCCAGCGACCAAACCTCCAGCCAAAGCGCCCAGACCCAGCCGCGACATTGCGGATTCAGAAGAACTACCTGGACTTGATCAAGAAGGGGAAAAAAACGGTTGAGGGGAGAATTAAAGACTACCGGGTGAAATTCGTCAAAAAGGGATCTACTCTCCGGTTCGAGTGCGGCCAGGAACTCTATGACGTGGAGGTCATTGAGAGACAAGAATTCCCCAGCTTCGCATCCTATTTGACCTCCATGGGGCTGCAGAAGTGCCTCCCTGGGTGTTCCTCTTTGTCAGAAGGGATCAAGATTTACCATTCGTTCCCGAATTTCGAGTCGAAGGCGATAACGCACGGGGTCGTCGCGTTTGTGGTGAAAAGATTCGACGAAAATGTGAACCAGGTGTTTTCTGCGGGATCATTGAACAGCACCGCAAATAATCCCTTGAGCCACCTCGTTGCGCAGAAGAACAGCAGTAGTTCCTCTTCCTCGTTCCTGCAGATGAACAAAAACACAAACAGCTTCCTCAACCAACAACAGCAACTGAAGCAAGACACGGCCGTCGAGAGTCAGGACCCGAGCGTCATGATTTTGGAAGACGAAGACAGTGACGATTTGCTGATCCTGGGGGAGAAAGACGGCGAAAGCATCGCGAACCAACTCGGGACGTTCAACAAAGCGAAGAGCAAGGAGAATGTCAATGTCGCTGCTAGCACAACGAAACAAGCCGGGGAGCCGGCGGTGGAGCAGGTCCAGGTCGAGGTCGTGCCGCAAGACCAGAACTTCTACGTCGAGAAGAAAGTAGAGCCTCCACCAAAGGAGCTAGTCAAGAATCAAGTCGAACAAACCGGGGAAGATCAATTTGGTCACCAAACACCAGTATCGCGTGCAAATGTGCCTAGGGGGTAGGGCAGGCCCAAATCTTTTGGGCGGATAAAAATACAGCTTCTTTCGCATTTTTGGCATAATTGGTGCAAAAAAATTGCACAGCTTTGGACCCCTTTGCGCAGCCCGTATGCATTTATTGCGCCGCGGCTTCTGTGCCCCCTTTCTGTGCGCGCGCTATCCGGTTTTTTTTTGTGTTGCGCGATGAAGATGTTGCGGCACAGGCCGAAATCCCAATCGCGCCGCGCATTGTGGCCTACGTGCCGGCCTGTTCGTGCGCAGCTTTTTTCCCAGACGAGAAGCCGGGAAAGTTGTGGCGCAGTCTGGGGCCCAAGCACCCCGCTTTGGCCAAGGGCTTGGGCAAGGACTTGGGCCGATAGATGGCGGCCGCCCAAGATGATTTGTATGTCTGGGTCGGTGCAACAAGAACAACTTGATGCCCGCACGGGCCACAATTTTGAATCTTTGCAGCCTGCACGCAGCAAACTGCTGCGTGCTGCCTGGAAAGATTCGCCACTGCAAACACATTCGCCATTATACCATGGCCCTTTCTGAGTGCGCAGCAGCGTGCGTATTCGTCATGCCTTGCCAGCTGCTTCGCTCCTCGCCCATGGCCTTGGGTCGTTTTCATCTCAGCGCGGCACCAACAAGCACCTTCAGCGAAAGAAGGTGTTTGGAAGTGCCTTGGTTTTCACGGGGAAAAAACAATTTTTATTATGAAAAAATGCGACTTTGCGTGGGGGCTAGACCACAATTTGTGGTGGAGAAGCTGGTGTAGAAGCTGGTAGGGAAGCTTGTGAGAAAGCAACACTCCTACCAGCTTCTTCGCCCGCTCACTCTTCGCGTTGGCGACCGAGATGGAATTTGGGCGCGGATCGATCTGCCGTGGGCGAGGAAATGCTACCGTCTGCAGCCCGCACGCAATAGCCTCCTGCGTGCTGGCTGCATAAGTATCTTCCCGCTCGTGGGTATTTGGGCTCCATTTCCCGCTTGTGGATACTTCGCCTCCTCCGGTGTGTTCTCCGCCACCTTGGTCCAACCTCTAGTCGAGCCCCCGACAGCCCAGCCTCACTCCTGCCTGCGCTATCGCGCAGCCTCTTGCCCCTGCGCCACCTCCGGCGCCGCGCCTGGCGGAACCTCGGGCCCCGCGCCTGGCCCAAGGCCGCGCGCAAACCGGTGAGTCAAGAATCAAGTCGAACAAACCGGTGAAGATCGATTTGGTCACCAAGCTCCAGCTCCACCAGCCCCAGGCACTTACGAACCTCCACCACCACTCACCTCGGACGAAAAAGAGGAAATCATCGCCGAAGTCGCCCACAGCGTCAGGAATCAGTACAAGGGCTACCCGGACACGACAGCAGAGCACTTCTTGAAGCTCAAACTCAAGGCGCTGGGCGTGGCGGAAGATGAGATCAAACGAGTGGTCGAGGAGAAGATTCACGGACAAGGAGGACCACAACAGCTGCACCAAAAATCTACCGGGGTCGAGAGTGCGGGATCTGCGCTGGGGAACAAGTTTGCGAGCAACGACCGGTGGCTGACAGCGGACCTGAAGCCGATAAATAACGACGATATCATTCAAGAGCCAGAGCCGCACTGCTCTGTGAAAGATGATATTATTTCCGGACGGGGAGGGTTTGTGAAGAGAAAAAGGAAAATGTCGGAGATCGAGAAGGATATAGATCTCTTGTTGCGACAAGGGAGGGATTTACCGGACAATTTGATGCAAGAGCTGGAGGAAGCGGGGGCTCGGGAGGGGGTGCTGGATAGGAGAGATAACGATGTTGGCACAACTACTACCTTTAACAACAACAGCAGCAGCAGCAGCAGCGGTGTTATTTCGGCAGCTGCCGGTGCAGGGGCGGCCCCCGATTTTCTTCGCTCAGGAGGTGAAGCAGCAGCAGCGCCCAATCTACTCCACCCGCCGAACCTCGACAGTGAAAGCCAGCAAGTCCGGGAAGCGATGTCGGAGGCAGCGAAGACGGAAGAAATTGAGCGAATTTTCGCAGAGGGGAGGGAATTTACAACAGAAGAGATGGCGAGGCTCTTCGGGGACGAAACTGGAGGCGGTGTTGCTACGGCTGCTAGTGCAGCTGCTCTTGTTCCTACTTTAGCATCTTCATCCGCACTACAACCTGCGAACTCGCTGTTTGAACCGCAACCGCAAGCCAGCGATGCGCCGTCGAGGCTGAACGGAGGCACCGGAGGAGCAGGAGCAGGCGGTGCAGCATCCTCTTCATCTTCGTCTTCAGCGAAAAATCCTAACGATCTCAACGCTATTAACGAGGGCAAGAAGTGCAACTCTAGCACGGTCGTTGGCGGTCGTCCTGCTCTCGGTCTTCTCTCGAGTACTACGGTGGCAGAGATCAGAAATTCGAAGTCCTCGAGCTTCAAGTCCGCGCAGTCGAATAACAGCAAGGAGCAAGCGACGGCCGCAGTAAACAAGCATCCTGCTGCTGCAGCGGCTGCAGAGAATGATATTTCCTCGGATGAATCTGAATCCGGGAGCAGCACGAGTGACAGCATGATGCCGGTGAAACAGGATGATCCTGGTGAGAAAAACGATCTGCTCGATGATGTTGAAGACGACATTTTTGACTTTGACGATGATGCCAGGGTGTTTCTATCCGCAAGTGCGGCCTCCGCCACGGCGAATCAACAAAAGCAAAAAGGAGGAGCCACCGGCGGTTCATCATCCTCATCTTCCAGCGCATCCTCCTCTTCTAGTACTGCAAACGCGTCGAACACAGCAGCAACTACAGCTGGCCTAGCTCACCAGCCAAGCGCATTTTCTTCTTCCTCAGCGTCGACTTTGACAAAACACGCGAATGCTAGAAGAACGAACTTTCTCTCCACCGGTAGCATTTTCGGCGGTTCCTCAATAGTTGGCCCTTCGTCTTCTAGTTCTATTCCAAAACTGAAGACGAGCAATCTCTTCGGCCCTACGTCCGTCACCCAACCTCCGCCGCCGGCGCCTCTCTCTGCCGACGAGCAGGCGAGGGCGAAGCGCCTACGGCTGCAAAGAATGCAGTCAACCACGAATTTGAACGGCTTGGGAAAGGAGATTCACAAGATAGGGAAAGATGTTGGGAAACATCAAGAAGATCAAACCAATTCAAAAAACGAGGACCACGTTAGCGCAGACAAGAGCGGTGCGCCAGAAGAGAACATGATCTCCATCACGCAAGACAACATGAAGGCCAAATCTACTACCAGTACGAAATCAGCAACAAAAATATACCGGAAGCGGTTTGAGAGGGAAGTTTTGAGGAAGATAGCAAGGCGGAGGCAAAACGAAATGATGCACAAGGAAAAACTACAAGAACAACTATCACCTCCTCCAGACAGTGACTTAGACTCGATGGTGACGGAAGCCGTCATCGCCGACACGAATGACGTCATCTCGTTCTTGGAAACGAGTTTGTTCCCGTCGTATTTGGAGCCGGAAGTAGACGGGGAGGAAGAGGTGGAGAGTGTTGATAGTGTCGGGGGGACGGGAGATGCGGCGGAGATTCAAATAAATCCGTATGCGGCGGATGCGGAAGCGGAGCTGGGTGAGGAGGAAGAGGATGACAAGGAGGCTCAAGAACTGCTGGACGTCCCTGTAGTTGCAGAGGAAGCTGAGCCACAGGCTGGTGTCGGTGAGGGCGACGCAAGACAACCGGTACTGGAGAAGACAATCGACCCTCCACCACTGAACATTCCAAAACCAGAAGACGTCAACGTCAGCCTACTTGACAAAACTGCAACAAGCACGAAACACAAAGACAAGAAAAACCCGAATAAATCGGGGGCAGGAGCGACCTCAAGCGCTGCGCGCGAAGTTGGGGGAGAACAGCCCCTGCCTGCTCAGACGAGTTCCTTCTCCTCGCATTTGCTGGCGGAAAAGAACCTGCAGGCAAACAGGAAAAAGCTCGACGCGCTGGTGGCTGGTGACAAATCATCGTCGTCCAGTGTGCGCATCATACAACCAGCGGCAGACAACGCGATTGGGAGTGCAGCTGCTGGTGCTGCAGCTGGGAAAACCAAAATAACAACCGAGGGGAGTACAACCACGCCAGCAGTTGCACCAGTAGAGCCCGCTGCTCCTACACAGAAGAGGTCGTACAAACCAGCGACGTTCATTACCAGCATGGGGGCGAAGCTTTTGTCCACAGGGAAGCGGGTGTTGCAACGGACGCTGTCGGGGTTTTCCCCTTCGGAAGGAGAAAAAGATCATCATGGTGACACTGTGCGTGGGGCTGCGGCTGCGGCTGCACCAGCAGCGGAACCAGAGCGGAAACTGTTGGTGGCAAACGATGATCAGGATGACGCAGGAGCAGCGCCGGAACCACAACAGGAACATCAGCAGCAAAAGCCTCAGCCGCCCATGCAACCGCCTGTCAGTCAGGGTCCGGGTCCGGGTCCGCAAGCTTTCCTGTCTGGCATGCTGAACACATCCGGAAATAACGCGCAAGGATCCAGCGCAAGCTCGCAGTTTGATTTCGCTGCTGGTGCCCCGGGAGTCCCTGCTTTCGCCACCGGCGCTGCGTTTGCGTCGCAAACCGCATTCGGGCAGCCCGCGTTTGGGGCAACTGCGTTTGGAACAAGCACAAGTAGCCAATTCGGTTCTGGATTCGGTGCTGCGCCAGCTTTTGGAGCTCCTGCGAGTCAGTCTGCATTTGGTGCTTCGCAAGTAGAACAAGTACAACCTCTGCAGCTACAGCCGTCGCAGCACATGGGTTCGAGCCTTCCAATGCCACCTCCAAACAGTCAGTCACAGTTCGCAGCTGCGCCGCCGGCTTCACAAAGTGCGGTGCCAGCAGGCTTCAGCAATTATGGTGGCGCCACCACCCCTTTCAACCCCTCCCAGTCCGCCCCGCAAATGCAGAGCAACGATTTTCAGCAAAATTTTCAGCCGATGCCCAGTCAGTCCCAAGCACAACAGCAATTTGGCTCAACCATCGGCGGATTTGGAAGTCTCAGCAACAACAGCGGGATGAATATGAATTTTGCTGCGGGGTTTCCTTCCTCACAAATCATGCCCCCTGCTCCTTCCCAACAACTGCCACAGGGGTCGTTTGCGGCGATGGTCAATTCGCAACCATTTCCGATGTCACAACTACAGCCGCAGTCTAGTCAGGCGATGCCTCCGCAATCGCGAGGTGTGTTGACCGGTAACATTGGCGGCGGACCACGGACCATGATAAATCCCAACCCGTATGACCAGTTGCAGATGCAACCTCCGCAACAAAGTCAGCAAATGCAGCAGCCAATGGGGACGACGAACTTCATGACGATGCAGCAACAGCTGCAGCAGCAGCCTGCCATGCCACCCCCACCGCTACCCTCGCCCAACAGCGCAATTGCATCGCAAAATCAAATGGGACCGCATGGAGCGCAGCCAGCAGGTTTTGGCGGAGGTACGATTTGGGATTTTTTTACTTTGAAGCGTTTAGTTTTCACGCTGATGCTAGTAGTAGAAGTGGCACATTGTAGAATCGAATAACAAATTGAATCTCTGGAGCTTAGTTTTCGTCCTCGACGATGCTTCCTTACAGTCACCATACATTCCGTATTTCTCCAAATTTTGATTTCAGGTACAACGGCGAACGCCAACAACTTTGCAGCCACCAATACATTCTCCACCGCCGGCTTTGGCTCGGCGTTCAACAATAGTACCGCGGCAAGCAGCAGCAACTTCCCCAGTGGGGGGTTCGCGAAACTTGTTGAAGCCACTACAACTTCCGTGACCAACAAGAACCCCCAAAACACCACAGCATCCTCCGCACCAGACATCAACATACTCGATGATCCCGGTGGCCCGATTTTCCCCGACGGAAACATCGACCCCAGGACCAAAATACCACCGCAAAACGAGCCGAATAAGCTCCAACGGATGAAGATCGACAGCTGCATGAAGGGGATGAAAAAAGCGGTGACTTCCAACTCGTTCGACAAGGAGGAGACGAGGAAGAACCTGTTCCAAGCGAAGTTGAAAACCTACATTGACGCCGGGTTCGTCCGCCTGTCGCACCTGTTGACCCGAGACCCGAAATCGGGGCGGACACTGTTTCAGGAGATCGTGGTCCGGGGGCGACTGGATTTCTACCAGGAGTTGAAGAAAGTGATCCCCGCGGACATTTTCCAGGCGGTACACGAAGACCGCACGAACAGCAGCTTGCACTGCCTGTATTTGTGTTTATTGGCTTTCAACGTGGAGAATACGAACAACGACCACGAGAAGGAGCAGAACATCGTGAAAATGTTTCAGGAGTTGTCCTACCAGCTGGAACACAAGGTGTTTTTCACGGAAGGGATTGACGTCACGAGGGAAAAGGAATTGCTGGAACTTGGTGACGATCTCCCGAACAGTGGTAGAACTACAGGCGGTGGTGGTGCAAGCGGAGCTACGTCGTCGAGTTCATCTTCTAGCAGTGGTACAACTACAACTGGAATTGGAAATTATAGCATTACAACTTCATCTCTGCACCGAAACCTCGACTCCTTAAGGGGAAAAAAGATAACCGTGCCCGAACTCATGGAGCACAAGATGGAAAAGGGCGACATTGGCTTCATCGAAGCAATATCCTGTGCAAAGGCATCGCACTCGTATAATAAATGCAAGTCTTGCATTACAAATATTCTTCTTAAAGGTGAATACGCATTACAAATTTTATTTGTCATGCTGGGAAAATTTGTAATGCATTTATTCGAGTATGATACTTTTGCAATGCATAAGCAAACTGGCTCCGCGACGTGATGAAGAAACGAGTAGGAAAATTGGCCGGGTCGTATCAAATGCAAAAATGTCTGGGTCTGGAAGGTTCTAAACTTATAATGCTGTCCCTGGATTCTGAAAAAATTCGCATTGCATGACCAGCAAGAGAACTCCAGTTTGTGCTACGCGGAGAGGGCATTATTTCTCATGCGGCAGAGGCATCGCATCAAAGTCCTCTAAATATCTGTGATGCTAGGGCATGCATCACAGACATCATGGGCCATTCAAAATATGCATGACAAGTCTGGCAATCTTCCAGACCCAGACGCTTTTGCATTTGATAGGTCAAGGGAGGCGTCGAAAGTGGCGACCGGCGAAGGGGGTGGCGGGAATGATGAGAACAATGGAGGTGGCTACAACAACAATAATAATCCGAATGGAGGGCCGCCAGGGGGCGGGATGAATAATTTTTACACGACGTCGGGTTTTGGCGTTGCGACAGGCGATACACAGTTGGTGATGTGAAGATGTCGACGAGTACTAGGCTGGTTTCAACTACTATTTTTATATCAGTTCTCGTCGTCGTGGTCCTCATGTAGGTACTATTTAATGATTAGTGTGTGGCTCACGCTCGGCTGATATTCCTTGTCCTTGTGTGCAATAGCCAGCAGCTGTGGAGAAGCCTATGCATGTGCCATCCAGAGCAGTAGAAGTCCCTTTATCTCCCAACCTCGTTTGTCGGTCTACTTGAGCTAATCCCAATCGAAGAAATGTGCGTAGAGGTAAAAGTTGAGCTTTCTTTTGATTTTTTACCAGTCGCATCTTCCCTTTCCAACTGAGAAGTTGTTCCTCGAAACTTTCTTCTGATTTTGTTCATGCCCACTTCGAGCTAAATTTTCCAACCTACGCAGAGCTGACTTTCCATCTGTAGCGCACTTGAATGAGGGCTACATCCGAGCTTTTTGCTTTCTCCTACTATGAGGAGCACAAGGGTCAGACTTCATCTCAGAAGTCTCATTTATATCAATTTTCAACACCAGCGACGTTTCGTATTAAAAGTGAACTCTATCACAGCGATGAATAACAATGCAAACAGAAGCGCCCTGTCGTGGAAACACTCACCCGGCAGAGGACAGCGACACCAAACGACAGAATTCCAATATTTCAACGACGCGACGTGGACGTTTCTGACATTTACAAACAAATGAGAAGACATGACAGCACTTCGCATGAACACATTGAATTGCGACGCGAAAGCGCAGAAACATCTCTCGATAACCTGTTTGAAGGAGAACTTTTGCGCTGATTGTGCGCGAAGGTGAATTTCAGAAGGATGAGAGGGCGGGGCCTCTCGTATGCATAGAGCTGCTTTCTCCTTTGGTGAACCCTAAACCCTCGCAGTGCCTTGCTGCGGCCGGTTTGAAGTACCAGGCAAAGACTCAAAGCGGGGGCGCGGTATCTTGTTGCTCGCTTTGGCCTCCAGGGGAGCTGCGCGAGGCCCCCTGTGTTCCGCGGGCCGAGTAGGGTTCGAGGTATCGGAGGACGGGCAGAAGGAGGCGGGCCCGGGGGGTATCCGGGTCGCCCCCGTTGCCCCGAAGCAAGCCGAGCGCCTTCGGTCCACGGAAAGCCCTGCCGCGTTTTGTAGGACGGGCGGTGGCGCGCGACGGCGGGCCCGGGTGTGTTTTGTGTGGTGGCGGCCCATGTAGCAAGAAGAGCGCCCGCGTCCGACTTGAGTGGGCGCCAAACAGTGCACCTGGCCAGTGCCAGCCACTGGATGCCATTGGAGGGCACTCGTGCAGCGGCTGCAACAGCTGCCGGGCAAAGCCCACAGCGTGGGAGGGTCTTGGGAGGCATGCCGACGAGCTTGCAGCGCTGCGGCGGGGCGCCGCCGGGGGGGAAAACAGTCAGGCAGCAAGGCGCCCCGCCTTTGTCCTTGGGCGCGAGTTCGCTCGTGGAGGGAGGGCGCCTCTTGCTGGAGGGCGAAGCGGGTGGCCCCCTTTGGGATCCCCACCCCAACCGCGGGCGCGGCCAGATGGATCGGAAAAACCGCACCGGGGCCATCCGGTGAGGCGATTGGCCCCGGGCCCGACAGGGATTTCATCTGCTATGCCGACGCGGCCGCCCCTGCCTGCCCTCAAAGCGGGCCGCAATCAGCACAAGGCCTAACATTTTTTTTTGTGCCGCCCCATATCCTTCCGGGATGCATGTCGTTCGTTGCTTCAGACCTGCCGCGCGGCCTTTTGCTGGGGCTGCGCCAGCGGCCCCAACTGGAACGGTGTGCGGCAGGCCAACGGGCCACAAGCTGTGCACGCGGCGCCCCCCGACAGGGGGCTCCCTCCATCGTCGTGACGCCCCCTCTTTGTTTCGATTTAGGCCGGGCGCCCCGGCCCCCCATTCGGTGCGCGCCCCGCCCGGCCCCCTGTTAGTGGGGCAGCAGGGTGGGGCGCCCATCCGTCCCCGCCCTGTGTGTCTCCCTTTGCGACCGATCGCGCCAGGTGCCTGTCGTCGCTCTGACTGACTGGTGGGCGCGTGGCAGTCGTGTCGCATTTGTGTTGGCCCCTGCGTCAAGCCTACCAGCACTCCGCCGCCCGGCCGCCATGCGTGGGTGGGAACACGCAGAGACACGCACGCCTGTTCCTGCAGCGCCGCCCACTGACAGTCCGGCGACATCATTACTACGAGCCCTGTGCGCCTTAGAGATCGTTTGGTGGCCAAGGAACCCAATGGGGCGGGTCGTTGCATGTCATCGCAGCCGAGGCGCCCCAGGGATAGCGTAGTAAGTCGCAAGTAGCTCCTTCGTACTATTTTTCCTTTGTTCACCGTGTTCGTTCGCTTGTCCAGCCACTTCAGTGTGCCTGGACCACAACCAACGTCAGTGGGCCTACAGGAGCGTGTCAGAGGGTGCATAGGAGGTGATGAGTCGCGTTGGTTAAGTATGTTACTGCGTCGAGTGATCGTATTCATATTCAACAACACATCTGTTGACTTTCCCCTTTGTTCGTTGTGTCGTGTTGCTTGATTGTTGTCGCGATCTTCGACTGTCTCGTGGCGCCGGGTCCAGTCCCTGCGGAGTTTGACCTGCGACTTCGTGCTACTGATGCGAAGGTATCGCTGACGGCCGTAGATATAGCAAAGACAAGCGCGAGTGTACAGCTAAGTAGCAGGCATGGAGGACTTATCATTGTATTTGTAGCTTGCAACTATAATCAGCGTTGGACGAAAGGCAATTTTTTATCTAAAAGAATCACTAGCGAAATTGAAAATGAAATGCAAATGGAAAGCGAGAAGATGTAGCTGATGGCGTCCTGTTTTTTGTTCGTGGTCCGACAGGAGGACCGTCTAGTATTCTGATACTACTTCGAACGGAACAAATGCATTGCATATCATGAGATTGGCTCTTTTCTAGACAGCGTCTGGGCCCGCATTGGGCAGCATGATTTTTGCGTAGAAGTGGACCGCCGGGTTTCTCAATGTACAATTCAATGACAATGTTTCTGAAAACACGACGCAAAACATACATTGCGAAATAATTGAAGCAAGTTTTTCTGACCACGTAAAGGTAAATTATTTGGCCTGCTTCTTCTGCTTTTGTTTATGTATAATTTTTCACGTGAGCACCAGACGAGAAACCACTACGTACCACCACCACCATCACGCGTTCCATTCGTCGCGTGAATAAGCCCAGAAGTTACTGAACCTTCCCAACCGCCGCCCCTCGTACTTTATCACCATCAGGACAACTTTCCCACACATCGACCACACGTCCACCATGCCCCGCAAATTGATCCCTGGGTCGGCGGTGCAACTGCCGGCCCACGAGCAGCACCAGCCGTATTCTCCCGAAGAGATGAAGCGCGTCTTCGCGACTTCTGCCGCAGCCAACATCAGCGACGTCCACAAAGACCACCCGGACGCGAGAAAACTACCGTCCAAACTGGACGTCGATGAGCAACCAGAGTACCTGCGGATCCAGGAGGAACGAAGACAAGCGCTGTGGGACGAGGTTCACGGCGGGTTCACGGATCTGATGTCCCAGTTTGACGACTTTCACCAAGTTTTGACGGGCGACGTGTCGGAGTTGGGAGATCGGTTATCTGCGAAGCACAAGAAGATGATCCAAGATAAATTAGACCGGGAGAAGTACGTCCAGGGGCTGGAGAATATGCATTGCAAAAGTAACGTACTAGAACTAGTATAAATTGCATTACAAATTTTGGCAAGAAGAATAAAAGTGGGATTTCTGATGCTGTTGTACCTTAGGAGGAAGATTTGTAATGCATATCTGCAATTACTACGAGTGAAGTGTGATGCTTTTGCACAGCATAGAGAACCGGATCAAGCAACTGATCGAGGAGAAGCAGTACTTCCAGAAAGTGATGGAGTCCCAGTACAAGATGACGAACGTGTACTACATGCAGGCGAAAATGAACGAGGAGTACTTCGAGCGGGCAAACAACTTGGAAGGGCAGTGTCGGCGGATGGAGCAAAAAGCACAGTGGCTGCAGGACTCCGCGGTGAAGTGGCGGAACCGATACGAAAAATTAAAGAAACACCATGACCGTATTAATTTACTGTTTTCGTCCGTTTTCGATACTTCTTCATTTGTCACAGTCACTTGCACTGCGTTTACGACGAATTCTTGTTTCCTGCGTGTATGCATGACGCCAAGGTCAAGCTGCTCGTCTCACTGCTCAAAATATCCATCTGCATTTTTCTTGTTGCCAGTCTTTCTCTTTGTCTTTTATTCCATCCTCTAAAATAAACCACTACTGCAGGTCTAATCGTTAATCTCTCGAAGTGGATGCAGCGGGAGATCAAGAAAATTCAGCGACAACAACTGCTCACCGCCTGGGAGACCGACGTGCGGATCACGAAAATCGTCGACGCGCTGGATGACAGTGAAAAACGACTGGTGGTAGAGCGCGAGCACTGGATGAAGGTGGTTGCCGACGTCCGCTTATGAAGTGCAAAAATGTCTGGGTCTGGAAGAATGCAGCTTGTGATGCTGTATTTGGATTCCAAAAAAATCTGTATTGCATGAGTAGCAAACAGAATGCTATTTTTGCTACGCTGAGAAGGCATTTGTCATGCGGGATAGGCATCAAGTTCAAGAAGCCCTCAAAAAATTTGTATTGCTAGGGTATGCATCACAGACATCATGGCTCATGCAAAACGTGCATGACAAGTGTCAGAATCTTCCAGACCCAGACATTTCTACATTTGATACCGCTCGCAACTCCAGGACGAGAAAAACGTGACGAACGCTATGCAGTGTAAAAGTATCGTGGTCGTACTCGTATAAATGCATTACAAATTTCCTCAGCGTGAGAAATAAAATTTGTAACGCGGATCTGACTTAACAAAAAGATTTGTAATGCATGACTGCAAAACGCGTGCGTGTGCGATACTTTTGCAGACGATAAACGCACGGCGGAAGCGGATGCGGTCCCTCGGCGAGAAAGCGCTCTACCGGCTCTTATCAAATGCAAAAATGTCTGGGTCAGGAAGATTCTAAACTTGTGATGCTGTCTCTGGATTCGAAAAAAATTTGTAGTGCGTGACCAGTAAGCGGAGTAGACTTTGTGCTCCGGCGCGGAGATGGCATTTGTCATGCGGAAGAGGCATGAGGAAGCCCTCTAAAAATCTGTGATGCTAGTAGGGGTAGGCCATGCATTACAGGCATTATGGATCATGCAAAATATGCATGACAAGTCTTGCAATCTCCCAGACCCAGACACTTTTGCATTTGATAGCTCCGCGTGCTGATCAACCCGAGCTCCCGGCCGGACCTGCACAAGGTGTGCTTCCGCCACTGGGCGATTGAGGCGCTGCGGACCAACGGGAGAATACGGGATTTACGAATCACCCAGGAGGCGCAGCAGGAGAACAAGTTTTTGAAACTCTACGTCGGAGAATTAGAGGCGTTCCGGGACGACTATGAATTGCAAAAGAATCGTGCTCGTATAAATGCATTACAAATTTCCTAAACATGAGAAATGAAATGCTGATTTACCTTGAGAAAAAGATTTGTAATGCATGACTGCAATACGACTACGGTACTTTTGCACAGGATAACGACTTGAACCCGCAAATGTGGAACGTGTACATGGTATCCACAGTAAATTTCCCGTACACGACATACAAATGCACTCTCTGCATCACAAAATTGGGCTTCGATCCTAGTTTACCATGACAAGTGTTACGCTCCAAATCGTTGAACTTTGTGATGCATCTTGTACATGTACGGGAAATTTGTATTGCATACATGGAGCAGTTTTCCGAGCTCCAACACGAAAACACGGAATTGTGCCTGCAGTTATCGGAGACCCGAAGGATGGCGCACGAGGAGTTCTTGACCCACCGGAACGTCAGGCTCGTGATCGAACGGGAGAAGTGGCGGGAACGCCTGCGGTTTCTGGAGGCGAGAATGCGCAAGGCGTGGAAGGAGGATGTGAAGGAAGTGTATGAGGAGTGCTACTACTTGCAACAGCGAAACGTCAATTTGGAACGGCTGGCTAACGACGGCGTGGACGAAGCGCATGGGAAGAAGGTATGATCATGTTCATGCCAATGCCTGTTTGGCCTCTTTTGTCATGCGAAAATGTAAATGCGTAAGTAGGCATGTTGGATTTTTTGTGATGCGTATCTGTGCTACACAAAAAAAAGACAGTCGCTGTCACTCAGGAACAAATTGATACAAAAAATCCAGCCCCTGTACCCAGTAGTGCCGAAAGACGTGGGTATTCGCTGTATCGACTGCGTATCCACAGGCACAGTAAATTTCCCGTACACGTACGTATGCGGTCTCTGCATGACAAAAATGGGCTTCGATCCTAGTCTAGCATGACAAGTTTTACGCTTCAAATTGGTGAAATTTGTGATGCATCTTGTACATGTACGGGAAATTTGTATTGCATACTGCGCGAAGAAAATGGTGCTGCAGGAGGAGAGGAAAAAGATCGCTTGCTCCCCTATGCATTGCAGATATGTCTGGGTCTGGAATAAACGCAGTTTGCCATGCGGGACACGCAACACATAGGACGAGCCCAAAAATTTGTCATGCTTGGCTCCGTATTTTTGCAGTGGAACTACTCTCATTCACTTTTAGCATTACAAGTTTCTGTTTCCAGACCCAGATTACATACTTGCAATGTATATCCCCGGTAAGGGATCAACATGGCGATCCTCGTTCTCGGTCTATTTCACCGGTGCTGATGAATCAAACCAGCAACAACCAAATGTCACCAACCGGATTGCAGATTTCGACACGAAACATCAAGCAACATCAAAATCAGCAAGAACAGCTTGCCAGTGTAAAAACCCTAACTTCCCCCTTCTCCTCTCGCGGCAACCGGCACGAGATGATTCCCTGGACGGCGGAGGAAAGGGAGCGAGCGGAGCTGAATATCTACAGGAAATTTCCCATACACGTACAAATGATGATGTGGTCTCTGCATTACAACAAGACTTGGCTCCGGTCCTAGTTTAGCATGACAGGTGTTTTTACATTCCAAATTGGTGACATTTGTGATGCATTTTGTACATGTACGGGAAATTTGTATTGCATACTGAGGCAACTAGACCACCAGGAGTTCGTCGAGGAGGAGCGGCGGGAGAAGGAACGGAGAAGAAAATCCTCCCAAGACTCCGCCTGGGGCGCGTTTGACATCGTGGAAGTGCCCAGTCACTTTCAGTACACGAAGGAGGACGAAGACGATAAACCCTTTCCCTTCGAGAAGCCGTACAGCCGGAAGAACGTCGTGAAAAAAGCCTCGGACCAGGCGAAGCTGCTGAAAAAAGAGTTCCTCCAGCAGTTTTTCGAGAATGAGCAGAAAAACCTCCCGAGACTAGGGTGGGACGCGAGCAAGGCGAGCGAATTCACGGCGAACGGGGGCGGGAAGGACTTGAAGGAGGTGATAAGCGGGCCGGGTGGCGGAGGGTTGATGTCGCCGAATAGGAGAGCTGGAGGGGTGCACCAGCGGGTGGTGAAAGAGGCGTGGACGAATAGATAGGTGGTGAGGAAGAAGGTGATGTGGAGTGTTCTTTGCGGTTCTTTACTTGAAGTTGTATATCGCTATATCATGTACAAAATGAACCGCATGCTGTAGCTGCAGGGGGGTGTTATTTCCTGCAGCCGAAGTGCACTTTTTTGTTGATGACTTTGAGCAGCCAATGCTTGCAGCATATGCCCTCGCTCTTCCTTTGTACAAAACAAAACGTTTCTTCACTGAAATCTGTTTCACCTCCTAAAACAGAATCGAATAAATATGAGCCAGCGAAGTAGTTGTCTTCGCCTGGACTTTGGCCTACGGCCTCGCCACTCGTTTCTTCCCATGACGAGACTGGACTGCTACGGCTGAAGCTGCGCTTTGTTCGTCGACTCATAGGAATACGAATACAAGGCTGCGACGCCTCATTGTTATTGCTCCTGGGTGACAATGTGGAACACAGAACCAAAACCCATGTAGGGGGGCGCGCTGCGCGATCTACGTGGTGGCCGGGAACCGCCAAGCCCTCCGGCGTGCCCACAGCCACGGAAATCACTGCGCGCCAATGGCCAGGCGTGAACGGCTTGCCATGGTTGCCAAGGTTCCGCCTTGCCCTCTCTGGGCATGGCAAGTACCGCGGCCACTTCCCAGACCGCCGGCAAGCCAGAGGGCTGGAGGCCGAATCGTTAGCACCTGGGCCATTGCCGGCGCCCGGTGGGCCTTGCGCCGGATGGGCTGGAACCAATTTGCGAAATCCCGCAGCCACGCCCGCCAAGAATCCGCCCAATAACCCAACGAGCGGGCCCCTCGGGTTTCGGGGTTGTCTCCACCATTTCCCCCGCGGCTTTGTTTGTTCCCGCTGCCACCGGCACCAGGCCGGGCGGCTGTTTTGGTGGTTGGTGTTATTGGGCGGAGGGCTGCGATTTCAGCGCGGCTGTATGGGGGCCCGGTGCTTGCATGGGCCCGAAACTTGCCGGAAGCCTTAGGGCTGTGGAGCCCTCCCCTTCGCCAGGCGCAAACGCTTCGCGCCGCGCGGCCCCTTGGGGCGGGGGACAAAGCCGCAGGGCCCCCGCTGCGTGCCGCTTGTGCGGCGGCCGCCGTCTGTATTTGTGGCCCCCCCCGGGTGCGCCGGGCGGCCGCCCTGTGTTTGTGTTTCCGAAGCGAATGCGCGATGGCCCCGGGCTCCGCGCCCGATCTGGGACGAGGTGGAAGGAGGATGATACTCAGCGAGCCTGCGCGGGCCCCGCCGGATTCGTCGCCCCTGGCTGGCCTCTGTTTGTTCGCGCGGGCGCCGTGGCGCCTGGCGGGCTGCGCCTTTGTTTCCTTGTGTTAGTTGGCCCGCCCCCCCGGGCCCCTACCTGCTCCGCCGCGCTGGCATTTGGGGCGCCCCGGAGATTGCTACCCGCCCAAGCCTGCCCCCGGGCGCCGCCTCGTTTCGCATGGGTCCATCAGGATGGCTGCCGAAGAAGGCGGCACCTTCCTGGAAAACATAGGGCCCGGGCGTTTTGATGTTCTCTTGGGCCTGGCGCGCGCGTTGCGCGCGCCAAGCCCGGGAGTGGCCCCGGGATGGGGCGGGTTTCTTTCCTATCCCGCGCCGCCTCTGTGGCGCCGTTTTAGTTTGGTTGCCGGCCGCCGGGCGCCCTGTTCCCTATCTTTCTTTGTGGTGGTGGTGTTGCCCCCCAACTACGGCGATTAATTCCCCTTCTGCCTCGGCGAAGATCTCTGCTTTCCATCTATGTCCAGCATGGATGCGCGCGCCTTTACGTCCGTGGGTTGACTGTTCGTTGGTTGCGTCCTCTGCAGGCTCGCGCAGCGCAGTTCTCTGTGGTGTTGTTCACGTCATAGAACGCGGCGACGAATTGCGTCGGCCCATGATTTGTTGCGACTCCAAACTGAGACATGATGTTGAGGGGTGTTGCAACCTCTCTGGCAGTCTAATCTTGAGGGGGACGCGGATAAGAGAGAACTTGGATCCGGTTTTGACGATGAGCGATGGGAGACGGGGAGGTCCTGAAGGCGTAATATCGCCCAGGAAACGACTCCTGAGTGAGAGATAAAAGGGTGGCGCATGAGTTGATGTCTATTTACCTAAAACAAAATGTGGCTCGGATTCTTACTCAATGTTAACTAGCTGCCCGATCATAGCCCCGTGCCATTTCGCAAACCCAGCATGCCGCCTGATGAGGCGGTGTGTTCTGATGAGGCGGTGTGTTGTTCTTTGGCACTTGGCCGCAAGAGGACCACCACAAGTTGCTTCGCTGCAGCAGCACGGCCTCGAACGTCGTGATGGAGTGCGAACAAATCATGAGCGGCAACACGACGCGGCAACGGCAACCGCAAGCCAGACTCGGCTCGAGGTCGATCTCGATGCTGAATCTGGCAGCGCCGAAGCCGCCGGGAGAGCCGACTCCACCTTCGGCAGTCGGTTATTGCGAGCGGAACTGGAAGAAAATGAGGCTGTTGACGGGGACGAGCACAGTGCAGCTGTAGATGGTGCAGCTACTGCTACTGGTGAAAATCGCACTCCGGTAGATGATGTTGACAACCACAGTGGTCTAGGTGCAACAACCACACCTGATGGAGATGACGAACCAGATGCGACTACGACAACAATAGAGCCCCCGACTTCTGCAGAGGAGCCCGTTAGCCCGAGTTCAACTCCACCGGACAGCACGAGCACGACAGATCCAGATGAAGGGACGACAACAGGCACTGATGAAATACCCGACACCGCAGTCGAATTGGACCACGCAGGCCGTGCCAGCGACAAGGAAGATGTAGAAAATGCGGAGAAGGAAGCTGCGGCTGCGCGGCCAGTAGAAGAAGCAGGTGCTGTTCCTGTAGGCGGTGCAACAGCAACTGAGGAAACAGATGGCACCAACAGCAAGCAAACCGAGGAACAAAACGACCAAAAGAACGACAAGAGCCAGGAAAGCGAAAGTGGAAGGGCACCAGAGCCTGGTGAGATAGAAACTCCAGCAACTGATGCGCCACCTGATAGCAGCACGACCGCATCGTCGACGTCAGAAGCTGGTGGCAGTAGCAGCTCTACCGGAACCTTCTCCAAAGAGAGCGAGGATACGAGCAATAGGGCGACAGACAAGTCGAAGTCAACGTCGACAGTTAAAAACACAAAGACAGTAGAGTCTGAGTCTTCGGAGGACCAAAATCAAAATACGAGCGGCAGTGGTGCTAAAAACGAGAAGATAGAAGCTGACTCCTCCAGCGCAACATCATCTTCGCAGTCAGCAGGAGAACAGGAGGTAGACACAAGAACGGCAGGTGCCAGTAGTGGAGAAGAAGCAGCTACGCAAGTAGAAGACCCTCCAGGTCATGCTGATGAGCAAGACGTGGAGTTGGATCCTGAGAAAGAAAGTACATCAAAACAAGACTCCGATAGACAACAGTCTGATACAACTTCTGATTTGAAGAACCTGAAAGAAGACCAAGACGTCAACCTAGACTACATTCCCCACTTGCACACCGAACGGCACGAAACGGAAACCAGCGCCTTTCTCCAGCAAGAAGATGAAGCAGGAGCACTAGCCACTTCCCGAAAAACCGAAGTGATGATCTCCTCTTCATCTAGTGACGCAGCTTCGGCTGTATCCACTGCTCGCGGCGCGGCCGTGACATCAGCTTCTACACTTCAAAAAACCTCCAAAACGAAGACCGCCGCCTGGGACCTCTGTCAGACGACCGAGAATCCCTACTGTTTCGCTTCCGGATACGAGGTGAAGAAAGTCGCTGCGGTAGCTAATAGCTGGAAGGGTGCTGCCAAGTGCACGCCCGAGGACGCAATCAGCAACAAGCACGAGTGTCTACTCGCTATCGCGTACCTGTGTAAATTGGGAGTGAGCGACGCCTGCTACGTGGCCGCCGACGACACCCCTTTCACGGAGGTGAAGCATGAAACCAAGTGTGTGAAAAACGGGAGTATTTGCCACAACAACAATAACCAGCAACTCTACCCGGAGGGCTGTGGAGTACTGCATCCGAAAAGCAGCTATCCACTGTAAAAGTGAAATACGCATCACATCACTCGTGGTCGTCAGACAGAAGATCCGTCTTTATTGTGTGCTCATCGGGCTAGCTGCACAAACCGCATTTCGAATTCGGCGAATAGAATCATGAACAAAATTTGAGTTGTAGGCACGAGAGGATGGCCGACACTTTTGCATTGCATAACAGCGGAGACGAGCGCGTCGCGGTTTTCTGGACACCGACTAAGAAATATCCACAAAAAAAGGCTCCTCGTCCTCATTCAATTTGTAAATTCAAAACATGATGCATCAACAAAACCTGTCGTGCGAAAAATGGATGGGGATAGGATAGGTTTTCTTCTGTGGATAAGAAAGTGGGTAGCGCTACTCCGGACCTGGTTCTAACACACAGAAAAATATCCAGTGTAAACACGTCCTCGCCCCACATTTCTCATGTGATTCTGCATGATCCCTAATACGAAATATCAGAGGGCTTTCATTCGCTTTCGCCTCCTCATGGCCATGAGAAGCATTTTCGATGAAGTAGTGTTTTGTCATGCTTCTAGCGCAACGCGATCGATTTGTGATGCAGCTGCGCTAGTACCTCAACACGTTTACATTGCGACCCTTTTTTTGTCATGCGCAACAGACGAAGCAAATTGATTTGTGTACTACTACTAGCAAAATTTTTATCTCAGCTGTTGGGTGGGGACTTTTTTATACAGGATAAAAAACCCGGCTGCTTTGTCATCATCCTCTACCTGATGTTGATAAGCACGCACAGCCTGCATACCTGATGGTAGATAGTACTATTACAACCAGCAGCACAAATCAATGAAGTTGTCGTGCAAGATCATAGTAGAAGCAGATGCTGAAAGAGGTAAAGAAAACTTTGCATAGGATAAACTCCCCAAAGAACCCATAACGTCGCCGTTTGCAGAACCAAGTCGAGGCAAACGGCACGTAAGCAATTTTTACCCCTCTGTTGCAAGTTGATTTGATATCCTCTGGATGTTGAGCTGCGTTATCATATGTATGTTTTCTTCTGAATTAGCATTCTAGGCTTATTTCTTTTGAACTTGTGAAGATGCTTCGGCGGAGCTACAAGACTTTGACCAAAAACTTCTCAAAATCCAGCTTCCGTCGTGGCTCTCACCGACTTCAAGGAATACCAAACGCCGTACCAAGTGCATGACTCTACTTCCACCTTACTTGTCATGCAAATAAATGCAAAAGCCTGACTACACTGTCCTTTCGTTCCCTCCTGTGGCGATGTTTGTATAACAAATCCCAGAAGCGGGAATTAGATTTACCCCAAAAACAGTGCTGCGATTTCCGCAGAGAGGACTTGCCATGCACAGCCACTGCAAGCTCCATGTCCAGCACTGCGCGGTTGGTGTAGTCTAGTTTCTAGTGCTGTTGTAGTAGCCATATTAAATAAGGGGGAGTACAACTAGTTGTGCCCTCTCATACGCCAAAAAGCGGGAATATGGGAGTGTCAGAATCGAAATCGACAAAATCGAAAAATTTGTGATGCGCAAAATCGATGCCAGTTGAAGCCTCAGCTTTCAGGTGGCGCATGACAAATTTCGGGAGCACCAAGATTCAGTGTGTCATGCTGTTTGGGCAAAGAAGACTGACCCTGTCATGCTACTCTGGGAGCGCATCGTCCTCCTCTAAACAGGCTTGCAATCGGTCTCATTTGCCTGCTCCCCAACACAGGCCGCGCGTGCCCTGCATTTTATGCATTACAAGTTTTTCGATTTTGTCGATTTCGATTCTGACACTCCCATAGGGAATCTAAACCACCCGATCGACAGCACTGGGAACACGAAGATCGGACATAGCTATCAAATGTAAAAATGTCTGGGTCTGGAAGATTGCCAGGCTTGTCATGCACATTTTGCGTGACTCCTGATGTCTGTGATGCATGCCCTAGCATCACAGATTTTGTGAGGGCTTCCTGATGCCTATACCGCATGACAAATGCTCTTTCCGTGTAGCACAACTTGGACTCTCTTTGCTGCTCATGCAATACAGATTTTTTTAGAATCCAAAATCAGCATGACAAGTTGGATTCTCCCAGACCCAGACATTTTTACAGTTGATAATAGCGCCGTTGATCCGATATCAGGCCAAGCAGTCGGAGCGGATAATGAGAAAATTCTTTCCGGGCTCAACGTGGACGAGTGTCGGCTGACGGTAGAGAACAAATTACTCTGCTTGATCGTTATGATGGGACTTTCCATAGAGGAGATGCTACTACTCGTTGTTGAGGTGGTAGATCAAGTCTTGATCTACTACATCTTGACAAGATGTAGTGTGGACGATGTCACTCAGGACCACCCCATAAGCCAAAATTACGCAACGACCCCCAAGAAATAGACGAACATGAAGAACCACAGGAATCCTCTTTTAATTTTAATTCGAACACCTCCAGGTCGGCACCCCGCAAGGGAAAGACGACGGTATCATTCTATGGCCACCTCAGATGGGACTCTAGCTATCAATATTACCATTGCGTGCAGCTCCATGGGAAAAAGTCTCTGACGAGACGCCAATCTGCATTGAAATTATCTGCACAAGATTTTCCATGTAGAGCAGGAACACACAGTCTGTACTTTTGCTCTTTGTGCAAGACAACTTTTGCTGGCTTTACTTTCGGTTTTACATCACTGCTCCACTTGCTATTCTTCCAGTTGAGCAGGGCATAAATTCGGTTTGCAAAGTTCACGGACCCGGACGAATGTAAAACATATCTGGACTACTTTCCCGACCAAACCGTAGCGTCAAAAACACCTCCCACCGTTATGCAGGGGAAGAAGAGGCTGATCTTCATCTTTCGGGCAAGAACTCCTGCTAGTGGCAAGAAAAATTCCAAGTCAACTACATTGGGCGGAGTTCGATACGCAGCCTTCCTAGTGTTGATGCGACACACTTCCCAAAGATCACGACTCCAGACTGCACGTAAGTGGAGTTGAGCGAGGTGTTCTCTTTCTCTTTATTTGCATGCCAAAGCACAAGAACACCCCCAGGACGCTGTGAATTAGTACTCGCATGCCAGGTTCTTGCGACTCTTCTTAGGGCTAGCGGCCCCGCCGAAAGTCACACATCACAACTCACTTCCCCGCTATAGCCGCAGCGTTTGCTTTTGACGGTCCGGGATCCGGCGGGTGTGCGTTGAACTGGATGTCAGATAAAGCCTTCCTAGCTGTGGGTATCCCAGAGATGAAAAGCACGGTCATCATACCAGATGAAACAAAATGCATTTTGTTTACGGTGCTGTTTTCCTTTTCTGGCACAAAAAAACTTTGCGATCATGTTCTAAAAACCTGTCATGTAATGGAGACTGTGACTATCTCATGCGGAACAGGATGGTATGTTATGGGTGTGGTGCTTTTCTGTCGGATAGTGGGATTAGCTGAGCCGTATGAAAAGCAGCTGTTGACAACTACATTCCAGTCTTGAAGCAAACGGGGGGCGGTAGTAGAGGAAACTAATTCAACAGGAAGTGCGACAGAATTGCATTTTCAGGCACAACAACGGGAAATTGCATGTGCAGGCACAAGCAACATGCGCAAAAAGAAATTCTGAACTTCAACTTACATGATACAAAGCATGATGCGGGAGCCACCTGCTGAGAAGGCTCGCTTCTTCGAAGATCATGCGAAAAATTCGACTTCATCAAATTGTGGAACAATCGAAGCTGCAAGACAAAGAATCAACAATCATCGAACCCCTGTCGAGAAAATTCTGGTTGTCGTTATTTTGTCAGCAGTCGATAACGGCGACACTACCCATACCCTCTTCGAACGAAAGTGGACCCTATCGAGAAAAAAAAAACGATCCCCAGCATCCAATTTGTCATTACAAAACATGCATGAAGTCCTGTGTTTGCCATGCAAAAATGCATGGGGGTGATTGTTTTTTCCTGGATAGTATGGAATGCAAAAGCATCGTACTCGTATAAATGCATGACAAATTCCCTCAGCATGAGAAATAAGATTTGTAATGCGGATTTACATTGAGAACAGAATTTGTAATGCATGACTGCGATTAGTACGAGTACGATACTTTTGCACAGGATAGATAGACACGGCTGCATTTCTTCAACCAGGAAAGACACGACTGCGAAATCGCCTGCAAGGAGCTTTTATGCATCGCAAAAGTATCGTACTCGTATTGTAATCATGCATTACAAATCTTGCTCTTAAGGTAAATCCGCATTACAAATTTTCTTTCTCATGCTAAAGGAAATTTGTAATGCATTTATACGAGTACGATACTTTTGCAGTTCATTGCTTTTATGCATCGCAAAAGTACAACCGTACTAGTAGTAGTCGCATCACAAATTCTTTGCTCGGCATGAGAAATTGAATTTATAAAGAGATTGAGATTGGGAGTTTACCGTAAGAAAAAAATTTGTAATTATGCATGACTGCAATTACTACGAGCACGATACAACTTTTGAAGTGCATGCCTTTGGTCCAAGTTTCCCTACGCGCCCAACCTCAACCGACGGCCCTGGCAGGGTTGCAGCTACATAATCACCCGAAAGTATTCTTTATTCGTGTTTGCTGCACTGCGACGTTTCTTTAGTTGTTTCTAGTAGGCTAAAATGTTGAGTGGTGGAATGCGAATGATATGCATGACTTCTGACGTTTTCACAGCATTTACCATTTAGCGTTTCTCTTTTTGATGTTAAGCAAAACCAATTGTCAGCAACAGCACGACCAACACCTTACTAACTTTTTTTTACAGCGTCAAACAATTATCGCAGGGGAGCTGCCGACTCTTCAGACTACACCGCGCTATCGTAAGGAAAAATCCCGCCCCCCCACATCAAAACGAAATTTCTGATGCTGGATTTGAGTACACAAATCAGGTTTGTATTGCAGGAAAGCATTGCAGTCAGATCCCCAGGCTAGGTAGGGGCGTATGCGTCTAGTTGTTCAGCATGGCAAGCGGCTCCCCTTTACTTAGGCCCAACAGCATGACAAATCGAATCCATAGTGGGGCGGAAGTTTCTGCCCTTGTCTTCTTGCAATACAAATGTGATTTGCGGCCTCAAATCAGCAACGCAAATTTTCGGAAACATACCTTTTCGATATGGGGAGGGGGGATTTTTGCTTTTGATACGCGCTTTGCCAGATTCACCCCGTCCCGGGATCAAAAGGGGCCCCGCCGGATCTTATGGGGGTGTCAGAATTGAAATCGACAAAGTTGATATAACTTGTAATGCTAAAACGCACGACGCGAAATACGTGCGTTGCAGAGCAGGCAAGAGAGGCCGACTGTAACCCTGTTTGGGGTTAGAGCTCGGGCTGCTAAAGTAGCATGAGAAAATCAGTTTTCTTGGCCTAAACAGCATGACAAACTGGATTTAGCCATCACCAAAACTTGTCATGCGCCACTTGGATGGCAAATCATTTCAACTTTGTCGATTTCGATCCTGACACATCCATAGATCTCGACGTTAATGTAGAGAAAAGAATGTTCTGGTTCGCGAACCTTCCCCTCCACGAGAACATTGACCTCACCGTGGACGACACACCCGACACGGCGTGCGGCTTTGACGTGAAAAAGGACGTGGATTATATCCAACGTGCTTCGGCTTCTTTTGAGTCGTGGGACTATACTGGCATCGCGGGAACCAGAAACGGCCCAGACCTTCGGGTCGCCCACGTTCCCTACTACAACCTCGAGCGGGGCTTCTCCGGGTGCCCAGTGCACTTCAACACCCCGAATCTCGCGGAGTGCGAATCGCTGACGAAACTCTTTTCCAATGCGAATCGCAAGGACACCGGGTTGATCGAGGGAATCCACACCGGCGGGGCTATGACGTGGCAGGAAGTTCCGGAAGCGGACAAGAGGAAATTCGTTCAGGACTGCGGGCTTCTGCTCGATGCGGCGGACGATACTCTGAAGTTTCATTTCAACGTATCAACCAAAAAAGTGTTAAAGTTAACGGCTTTTGAGCCATGGCAGTCATGCATGACAAGTTTTCGCTATCATGCATGCCATGCAATACAAATTTGGGCATCATTCATCGTGCATTCCTGCATGCCAAGTTCCGTTATTACGCTAACACTTTTTGGCGCGATACAACGAGAGATGGAGCAGTCCAGTTTTCGAGGACACAATCGATGTGGCAGAGAAGTTATGAAGTGCAAATCATATGTCTGGGTCTGGAAGAAATAGAAAAGTCTGTCATGCATTTTTTCCGTGCAGCCTCATCATGAGATCTGCCATGCAGGACTTTCTAGCATCACTGATTTTTCTACAAGGTCTATGCATCGTATGAAATGAAATGCGAATGCCTTTTGGAGGTTTTGCTATCCGGCATGAATAAACTACACGTCCTGCTCGCGACTCGACCACAGATTCATAAGCAGGCAAGACCTTATGGGACTAGTGATGCTAAAAATTTGGGGGAGTCCACGGGACCACGCGTGGTCACAAGTTCACATTTGTCCAGATCCAGACATGTTTGGAGTGGATAGAAGTCCTCGGATCAGTGGAGAATCTGCATGGGAAGTACTATTTTGAAACACTGGCGCTTGTACCAGTGGATTTTTTATTTTTTTGTAGTTTCTCATGTAAAAGTAAACCAACATCCGCGGAACGCCATAATTCGTTTTCTTGGCACCAACGCCTTCGCCCCCCCAACCGTCCGCCCGCACCGGCGGCACGCCGCCCCCTCCTCTTTCGCTGCATGAATAAAATAAGGGAAGGCTACCGAGGGAAGGCTATCGATTCAAAAATAGAATTGGCCGGCGCGCCCGCGCAAGCGACGGAGGCGGGCGGGGCAGCGGCAGCGAGGGCTCTGGCGTGGGCCGGTGCCTCAACATAACATGGGCACGACGTTCGCCCGGGCAATCCCAGGCCCCTCCCCGGGGCCGCTCTTTCTCTTTGCAAGCATACATTGCGTTGGTGGTAGATATCGTGGGCGGCAGGTTGCGTGGCGGTTGGTGCGCCGGCGCGGCAGTCCTCCTTCAAAGTGGTTGCCTGGCCCATCCGGCAGAAAAGTCGCGGGCGGCCTTCGTTCAGAAGGGCCCGCCCAAAAAGCCGGCGGAAGGGGCCCGGCGCCCGGGCTTGGGCCCAATATTGATATTGTTGAGCCCCATCGGCCGTGGCCCGCAGGCGACGGAGGCGTGGGGGCGCCGCCCGTTGCCAGGCGGGCGGCAGAGGGACCTGCCAGAGCGCTGGCCCCCCTGCTCTTTTGTTTGCTCTGGAGCGCCGGATCGGTCGCCCCGCCCTTTGCGCCGGCGCGCAGGTAAATATGGGTCGTTTTGCTTGTCTAATGCCCGGCGCGCGCGCAACGAACTGAGTGCACACCGACGACCGAGCGTGGGGCCACTTACTTCGCCGGGGCTGCCACGGAATTGCGCAGTCTGCCGTGGTGGCATATTTATATGGGGGCACTTGTTTTTATGTGCGCGCACAGATGCGCCGCACGCGGACGCGTTCCGCCCGGGGATGTAAACTGGCGGCTCGCCCGTTTGCATTCGTGGCCGGGTGCGACGCGGGCACGCGCTTCTACCGCGGCCCCGATCGGCGCCACGGCAACATGGGTCACCACTTTGGGCCCTTGGGCTGGCGTTGTAAACCAACAAACCCGCGTCGCGTCGCCATGTTTCCGCGCTGAAGATATGGGGCGGCTCCGTACAGCCTTGCTGAGCAGCCCGTGCATTTTTGGAGCCGTTTCTTCTTTTTTTCGCTCCATTACAATCACCCGAAAAATTCGGCTTTCGCATATCAATCCGGAAAGTCAAGAAAATCATTCCTTAACTTTGAGTTAACAGAAAAGATCTTCGTAACCCCATAAAACCAATATCCGCGGAACGCCATAATTCGTTTTCTCATGAGGCGTATTTATAAGTGTGATCATGCTAATTTTGCAATAGCTACCACAACTGTAATCACTCAACTGTAATCACTTTCACAAATGATAATTCATTAAAAACCAGCCTGCGGCAGCTACGCGGATTCCTTCCTTCCCTTCCAGCCACAAGTGTACGCAGACGCGAAAGCGATCCGCCAAACCGAGAAAACCGCCATGTATGCTGTCAAATCGGATGAGAAATGCATGGCCAGCACCAGTACGCATCGCAAATGTGTCTAGGTCTGGAAACTCGTCTACTTCGTTGTGGTCCTCATACTCGCATCGCAGAGTGGCCACTTGTACGGCATACGAGCATCAGAAATTTTGCAAGTCGATTTTGGAGAATTATTCGCAAAACTCGTGACAAACTGGCTTCCAACACGACCAAAAAACTTCTCTGTCATTCGTAATCAAAATCAGGCATCACAGATCTTGTTGTCCTACTTCCACTCATCTCGCATCACACACCAATCCAGATCCAGGCATGATTTGTGCGAAAATGCATAACAAGCACCACCGACGGCGTCTACTTTTCTGCCCGCGACCCGGCCACGGTTGGAAACTTCTACGATGCGTGCTGTGTACCGAAAAAGTTCTGCGACATGTTGTTCGACTTGGAGTATTGCGAAACGCTGTTCGAGCGCGGGTGGGTGCCAGCGGCAAACAGCTCGTCGGTCCTGTGCGACGCGGATCCGTTGGCGTATTACGGAAACGTCTGCAAGGAGCAGCACAAGGACACCTGTTGCCGCGCGACGACACAGTGTGTGGATTTTTTTACGGTCTTGCGGTGCTACGATACTTCTGGACCGAACATGGTGCCCATAACGGACGAGACCGTGCAGTGCAACGCTGCGGGCGGGATGTGCGTCGACTACCCGGACAATAACACTTGCTGCATGGGTACTACTAGCATATGAACTGCAAAAGTATCGTACTAGTCAAACCAGCCATGCTCCGGCTGCCGCCGGAGCGCAAGGCTGTTGGGCCGGGGCAAGGCTGTTTGCCGCTCGGACCACAACCCCACGGGCCTAGGCACAACGAAACATACTGGATTCCTGCCGCCGATTTGCGCCGCGCCAAGCCGCAGGACCACTTGCGCGCTTCCCGCGCCTGTGGGCGCTCTGCGCAGGGAGCAGTTGCAAAGAACACCGGGGGCGAACAGAAGCCGCATGGCGGGAGAGGGTGGCGCGGGAGGGTGGCGCGAGAGGGTGCGCGAGAGGGTGGCGCGAGAGGGTGGCGCGAGAGGGTGGCGCGAGAGGGTGGCACGGAAAGGCGCCGAACAAAACAGCTCCGCGAATGGCCTGCGGTGCCAAATATGGGTAGTGCCATGCGGATTCGCGCCCGCTTCTTTGTGCTTTCACCCTCTCGCAGACCTCTCGCAGACCTCTTTTTGGCCTCTTTTGGGGGGTCCCCGCTAATAATCCGGCTATACTCGCGGGCAGAGGTCGACAGAGGTGGCCGAGAGGTGGCCAAGAGGGTCCGCGAGAGGTCGCCCCTTATTCGCAACACCTCTCCCCACCTCTGTCGACCTCTCGCGCCCCCTCTTTTTGACCTCTCTGCACCCTCTGTGCCACTTAGGCGGCGCCTAAGGGTGGGCGCTTACTGCGGGCCTTATTCGCGCACCCTCTCGCGGACCCTCTCGAACGGGGTCCCGCGCCACCTCTCCACCTCTGTCGACCTCTTTTCTACCTCTGTCGACCTCTTTTTTATCTCTCGGCCACCTCTCTGGGGCCCTCTGTCTACCTCTTTTTTCGCATGGATATAATGCATAGTAATTGCATTGCTTAGTATTATGAATTGAATTTGTAATGCGGTTTTGCCTTAACAGTATGTGCGTTGACTACCCGGACAATAACACTTGCTGCATGGGTACTTTAGCACCGACTTCTACGATTTTATATACGTAGCAAGCTCAGCTTGCTGTTGGTTTCTGTTTCTTCTACAACTTTATCTCGTCATTCTGTGATAATGCGTGAAGATGAAGCAGATCGATTAAGATTATACTAACATATAGTTCCGGTTTGTAAATGTCATTTAACATTTCCAATTTATTCTCGTATGCACCACATCGAGCGACGATATTGCGAAAAAACTGTCAACAACCAAACCCAAACAGAGGAGGGCATGCTGCAAGATGAAGCAGCGCAAGAAGCCGAGCTTGACTTACTGCCGGAGATTCTGACGTACGGTGGGAGTACCGTCTTGGTGTTCGTTCTCATCACGGTTATCGCCCTACAGTGCCGCGAGGATCCGTTACGCAGAAAAGAGAGAACTACAGCAATCATCGAACGCGCACGAAGACGAACCATGTCCATGATGCATCAAAACGCGATAGGGTTGGTGATGGAGCGTAAGTCATGCATAACGGCGACTATTTTTTTAAAAAGTAGACGTCTGGCGCAGGAGGTTGCGTGATCATGCACCAGCTTCAAAAAAAGTAGGAATAGCCGCGTGAGACAGGTTTATTTTGCAGCGATCGCGATCGATGATGGGAGTTTTGTTTTGCATATCTGCTGGCAGAATTCAAAAAACGACTCGAGGAGCAGGAGGGCGACTCAGACGACGATGACGATGAAGATTCTGATGACTAGGAGGTGGAGGAATTTCGATTCTTCATCATCGCTATCAATCGGTAGCAATCACAGGGCTGATGTCAACAACAAGAAAGCGAAGGCTATCTTTTCATTTTTGAAATTTTTTGTTGAAAATCTAGGAACAAAGCAACACCTCTACGCCATTGTTCACTCTGGAAACCAAAATCACAACTCACGGGCGATTCACATAAAAAGGAACAATCACGTAGTCTCTATTAGTCAAATTCCAAGCGCCAAGCCCAAGAAGAAGACACAGCAATTTTTTTCAAAGCAAGGACACTGTGAAAAGAGAACGCAAAGTCGAACACCCTCTCTTGGTGGCTGTCATTGATACACAAAAAATCGAATCGAAAGTTGCATAAACTGGCCCGATACGATGCAACATCGAGACATCGCTGCGATACAAACAGAAACACGATCATGTCGTGCTCATTCATAGTACCATTACCGACCACCGGTCTTTTTTATATGGGAGATTGAGAACCGCCTACAATTACATGCTCATCTGATTTTTGGGCTGGCGCTGGACAAGCACAATTTACTGCTGTGTGTTCTACGACAATCAAAGTCAAAGACAGACAATCTCAACCGATGAAATACCATTGCAATTGAGTTGATTGCATACATGATCAATACGCTGCGTGATATGTCCTGCCTCTCAAGAAAAACGATTGAAAATATTCATCGATCTCGCTTCTCTATTCTATTTCAATATGAAGTTGTATAATACATATCCAAGAAAAATCATTCGCAAAATTCTATGATGACAATCCATGATGGATGATATGGATTCGATTCTTTCTCATCTCATAGAACCATCTTCATCATAAATTGAATATCATCATGATCATCGTTAATTGAAATAAATCATAATAACCCCTAATGATCCCTCTCTATGTTATCAAGATGATGGAGATGATGAATTAGGGCCTTGAACATTTGAAGCCATGCCCGGACATGGAAAGAAAGAAAGAAAGATGATGAATATTTCTATAAAAGAAAAATTCAGTTCTTTGGATCGATGATTTTTCATGAAAAAATGTTGAGGTTAGATCAGTTTGGATTTTTTTGTGGATAATAGTCGGGATGTTCTTTGGAAGATATCCGATTAGAATGAATATTGATCATTTTCAAAAATGTGACGCAAATTTTTCCATTTTTCCTTTTTTTTTTTTTATGTAATGGAATGAAGAAGCAACCGATTTTTCAATTTTTCTTGAAAAATTTTCATGGTGTCAGAATCTCATCAGGATTATGAATTTTCTTGATTTTTTATTTTGTTATTTTGATGGAATTTTTCATCTTCTCGAATTCTGAAAATCATTGGAAAATCAACATTGGAAATCGAGAACAACAATGGATTTTTATTGAAATAACACTAGAGAAAAAGGTGAATAAACACATTCCCACATTGACACATGAACATAAACAAACAAACAGAGCACATATCTGGAATATATTCGAATATGATTGATATATTATATCAAGATATCCAAGAATCAGATGTGAATAGAGAAATCCATGATCATGATCCACAGAGATGAATATCGAAGAATCATTTCGTTTCGTTCCTTCCATGTGGTATCCCTAAACCCGAGCGGCCCGTTGGACCGCGCCGTTGGGGCTGGGTAAAGCGTCCTGGGCCTACCTCCCAAAACCGAGGCCCAGCACGCCTCACCACCAAACGTCTGTCCGGACGAACCGGCACGACGTATACGGCCACTCGGGTGGGGGGGTGGGGCAAGAATTCACCTAAACCTACGTCCCCCAGACGCACATATCGATGACTCTACATCGCTCCTCCCCACTCTAGGGGAGGAGATCGCAAACGTGCAATAGCTTCTACGGATCTGCCAGCCGATATAGTGCGAACGGGGGACCCCAAATCCCAGTTACTACACGAAAAGGATCTACCGAGGTAGATATGTCTTTCGTTTCGTTCCTTCCATGTGGTATCCCTAAACCCGAGCGGCCCGTTGGACCGCGCCGTTGGGGCTGGGTAAAGCGTCCTGGGCCTACCTCC